CGCAGATACGCCAGGAGAGGAGCCAGCAATGAACCCACGGCACAGTGAGGGCATCCGAGCCGTCCTTTGATTGGCCTCAAAGTAGGGAGGCGGCGAGCGTGTAGAGAGGTCTCACCACCTATTTTTGGATTTTCTGTTTCCCTGCGTGTTGTGCAGGGGGCATAGGGTTCAGACCCAGAGAGCTCGCAGGGGGCTGTATGCAATAGATGTGCTTAGTATTCGATGAGCTTCTATGTCCTAAGCAGAGGTATCGTAGGAGACGAATCTCTTTGGAGTAATTAGCACAGTACATAGTAAGTCAGGTCTTTAGTCTTAAGTATCTTATTCTTGCTCACGCGGTAAGCTGAGAAGGACCTCAATGTTGTTGGTAGCTTTCTATTTTGTGCTGAGTGCTCTCGCGGCAGCATGCAAGCAAGCACAAAATTGTGCAAATGAAAGATGTGAAATGGTTGGCGAAACAGAAATATGCACAGAATGTAAGGACCAAGGAAATGTCCCCGTTAACGGAGTATGTATGCCGAAAGATAATGACGCCGTTACAACTGCTGGTTGCAAAAAGAATGGAGGCGCTGATTTAGGAGCAGAAGACAAGGTATGTGGACAATGCGACGGGGTTCACTTCCTCTATAAGGGTGGTTGCTATAGCACCGCCGATGCGACCGGGCAGAAGTTATGCACCGATGCCGCGGAGGGAGTGTGCTCAGCGGCCGCAGTGGGGTACTTCATTCCACCGGGGGCACAGAAGACAGACCAGTCTGTTATCTTGTGTGGTGATGTCACTGAGATAACACTGACCAATGGCAAAAAGTATAAAGGAGTTCAGCATTGTACAGTATGCACTGCTCCTGAAGCAGCAGAGTCTACTGCTAAGCCTGCAGTGTGCACAGCTTGTGACGAAGGATTCTTTGCCGCATCTGAGGGAACATGCACAGCTTGTGCTGACAACAATAATTGCGCTAAGTGTGATGCAGGAGCAGATAAATGTACGAAGTGCAAAGCAACCGCTGCCAATAAATATTTTAAAGATAGTGGCGATGGAACGGGCACATGTGTCAATGAACAGACCTGCAAAGAACAAAGTACCCATTTTCCAAAAGATGATCCCAATAATGGCAACAAATGCTTATCTTGTAGTGATGATAAAAGTGGTGGAATAGCAGACTGCAAAACATGCACTCCAAAGGAGAATTCCGAAGGCCCAATTCTCATTACATGCTCTGCTTGTGCAACAGATACCAACAAACCCAATGTTGCCGGGACAAAGTGCATTGCATGCACTGTAAAAGATTGCAAGAAGTGTAATGACGATGGCACGTGTGCAGAGTGCGACAATACTAGGAAGCTCACCCCGACAAAGGAGTGCGTAGATAAGTGCGAAAAGCTTGAGGGATACTTTGACGGAGATGATGGTACTTGCAGGGCGTGCAACTCTGTCTGTAAAACGTGTAACGGTGAAGATCCATATCAGTGCACCGGCTGTCCTGCAAAGAAGGTGCTTAAATACACCGTTGAAAGCACTCCGGACAGTGGTAGCACCTGTGTAGACGAGTGCACAACAAACACAAATGGCTGTGCAGAATGCGGCGCAACTATCGGAGAAGCTAAGTACTGCTCTAAATGCAGCGACGCCAAGCAAGCACCGCTGAATGGTAACTGCACTGCTAGTGTTAGAGCAGCCGCATCATGTACACAAATAGAAAACGGCATTTGTAAGAAATGCGCTACTAACTATTTCCTTTTCGAGGGCGGCTGCTACGAAACCACCAGGCAGCCTGGGATGCAGATATGTAAGGATGCTGCAGGGAACGACGGCAAGTGCAAGACATGTGCCAATAACCTACCCTCCAACATCGATACCGGGGCCTGTCCTTCATGCCCAGCAGGTTGCGCCACGTGTACGGCAGCAGGGCAGACGTACACATGTCAGACTTGTCTTGCTGGATACTATCTTGATTCTACTAAAAACTTGTGCATAAAATGTACTGAGAGTAGCGGTAATATCCAAGGCGTTACTAATTGCGTTAGCTGTAACCCGCCAGCTGGTAATAGTGGCCCTGTCACCTGCTATGTAAAGAAGGATGGCACTAGCGATGGCGGTAACGATAACAGCACCGGTGGTAGTACAAACAAGAGCGGCCTTAGCACAGGCGCCATTGCAGGCATCTCTGTTGCTGTCATCGTCGTTGTGGGTGGGCTCATAGGGTTCCTCTGCTGGTGGTTCATCTGTAGGGGGAAGGCGTAGATGTGTACTTAGATAGTAAACGCGTTACTTACGTAGCTTGTGTAGATATGCTGATAGGTCCACCTGCAGTGCGTCCAGAAGTCTCACGAGTAAACTTTCGCTTAATTCCTGGCCAATCCAGAGACGAAGCCTGATCGTAGACAGCATGCTAGGGGCTTCCCTCTACTAGTGCATCCAGGACCCGGTATATTCATCGGTCGCTTCGCAGGGATGTGCTCGGTTTGGGTATCCACGTCGGTCCTTTAGGGGTTCAGGTCTTCTCGTGGACCCTCTGCTCTATCAGTGGCGCCTCTCCTTGGTCTCTCTTCATAGCGGGTGAAGCCCGGGTCGCTGTCTTTTTTAGATGCCCCGTCTGTCGGGGGCTGCTACCGGGCTCTCCACTGGCCGCCCCTCGGTGTCCGGCTGTGGCTCGGGCAGCGCTCTACAGTCGCGGTCACGTAGGTCCCAGTGGGCCAGCTGGTGGGGAGGCGGGGTTGCTGGGGCGGTGGGACTGGTGGGGGCTGAGGTGGGGGTGCTTGTATGTGCCTCTGGGTCCGGTGGACTGGGATGATCGCAGCTGTGGTGACTGGGGGCTGTCCATCTGTGACTCACCCCTCTGTGGACTCGTGGTCTGTGAGTGCCTCCATCCAGACAGCACCCCAGGAGCCGGAGAGTGGTGCCAGCCTAGCTGCCCTCGCTTCTCGGTGCCTCCCAGTGCAGACTCACCGGAGGCCACTACCCTGTCAGCCACCCGAAGGAGCCGTGCACCCCGGGACAGAGAGGATAGCCAAGGGGAGTCAAACAGCCCTGCCACGAGAGATGAGGGTGCACAGCAACCAGCCTGATCTGCAGGGCTGCCCGAGCGATGTAGTGACAGACGACTCCCTCTGACAGCGACCCTTGATGACTGCACTGGCCTGCTCTCGAGGCTGAGTGACAGTGCACACAGATGGACATGAGTCCAGGAGGACCATCCACACACGAACAGACTGTGTAGACCCAGAGAGGACTGGAGTCTGCTCGGGACACGCTGACTGTGCCCCCATACGAGAGCGCCAGGCAACCACCCGAGCACCCGAGAGGCAGCAACAGACACGGGCACCAGAGATCCCCAGCCAGACAGCTGCCATGCTCATCCACAGGGGCATCAGAAGGCCAGATGGAGTCACCCTCACAGTCAGGGTATGATAGGAAGCCAGAGGACTCACGCAGCACAGCAGAGCAGGCCCAAGGGAGGCACACTCCAGGCAGGTGAGCAGTGGCAGAGCCCTGACAGCTGCCAGCCCCAATGATACCCAGGCAGGCACGACTCACCGAGACTCCGCTGGTCTCGACTGTCTTCATTGATGACCAGAGGGAGTAGCAGCCAGAGGAGTGAGGAGGCCTTCGGACGCCACAAGAGGCCCGGCTGTCCAGCAGGCGATGGAGCACAGGTGACCTCTGAGCACCACAAAGGCACAGGACTGACCATCAGAGTGATGCCCGATCACAGAGACGACCACGAGCACCATCCACTGCACTCTGAGGGGCTGTCGATCATTCACTTCCTCTCATAGCAGACCTCCTTGGAGGCAGTGCAGTGGGTCCCAGCTCATGCAGGAGGGTGCACGCCCCTCGGCATAGGACACCCCGACTCTCCCCGAGGGGTCATCAGGGCCACGAGGAGGTGGCAAGGTCCTAGTGAATCACATCGGGAACTCCCCGAGGGCACAGCAGGTGAGGTATGGGTGACCCTCAGCGTGCTCCTCTCTGCTGTGAGCATCTTGAGACTAAGGAGGCTCACCTCTGCCTATGAACAACACACAGTGCTCCACAACGAGGACCCACCAGGAGCAGCACAGCTGACCACGGGGACTCTCCAGCCACCCGGTGCCCCACCATGCCAGTCTTCTGAGTCATCACACTAGAGGCACGAGAGAACCCCATCCCATCCACAGGGTCATCCATGCCCCTGCTGGTCCCAGGCGAACTACCGTCGAGGCACCGGACAGGGCACACCAGGGGCTCAGCAGACCCGCACAGAGCATCAGCGAGTAGCAGGAGAGGCTGCGATGGCTTGCCTCAACCCTCACGCACCAGCCAGACAGAGAGGCAGTACTGCCCGAGACAAGGGGCCAAGGGAGGCGCTCAGTCAGGGGGACACGACACGATCGTCGGTGCCTGTGTCTCGGGAGTGCAACGAAGGCTGGGGATCAGACACAGCCACCTTGGCAAACAGAGCGGGGATCACCCCAATGACCCACCGGACCCAGAGGCACATACAAGCACCCCCACCTCAGCCCCCACCAGTCCCACCGCCCCAGCAACCCCGCCTCCCCACCAGCTGGCCCACTGGGACCTACGTGACCGCGACTGTAGAGCGCTGCCCGAGCCACAGCCGGACACCGAGGGGCGGCCAGTGGAGAGCCCGGTAGCAGCCCCCGACAGACGGGGCATCTAAAAAAGACAGCGACCCGGGCTTCACCCGCTATGAAGAGAGACCAAGGAGAGGCGCCACTGATAGAGCAGAGGGTCCACGAGAAGACCTGAACCCCTAAAGGACCGACGTGGATACCCAAACCGAGCACATCCCTGCGAAGCGACCGATGAATATACCGGGTCCTGGATGCACTAGTAGAGGGAAGCCCCTAGCATGCTGTCTACGATCAGGCTTCGTCTCTGGATTGGCCAGGAATTAAGCGAAAGTTTACTCGTGAGACTTCTGGACGCACTGCAGGTGGACCTATCAGCATATCTACACAAGCTACGTAAGTAACGCGTTTACTATCTAAGTACACATCTACGCCTTCCCCCTACAGATGAACCACCAGCAGAGGAACCCTATGAGCCCACCCACAACGACGATGACAGCAACAGAGATGCCTGCAATGGCGCCTGTGCTAAGGCCGCTCTTGTTTGTACTACCACCGGTGCTGTTATCGTTACCGCCATCGCTAGTGCCATCCTTCTTTACATAGCAGGTGACAGGGCCACTATTACCAGCTGGCGGGTTACAGCTAACGCAATTAGTAACGCCTTGGATATTACCGCTACTCTCAGTACATTTTATGCACAAGTTTTTAGTAGAATCAAGATAGTATCCAGCAAGACAAGTCTGACATGTGTACGTCTGCCCTGCTGCCGTACACGTGGCGCAACCTGCTGGGCATGAAGGACAGGCCCCGGTATCGATGTTGGAGGGTAGGTTATTGGCACATGTCTTGCACTTGCCGTCGTTCCCTGCAGCATCCTTACATATCTGCATCCCAGGCTGCCTGGTGGTTTCGTAGCAGCCGCCCTCGAAAAGGAAATAGTTAGTAGCGCATTTCTTACAAATGCCGTTTTCTATTTGTGTACATGATGCGGCTGCTCTAACACTAGCAGTGCAGTTACCATTCAGCGGTGCTTGCTTGGCGTCGCTGCATTTAGAGCAGTACTTAGCTTCTCCGATAGTTGCGCCGCATTCTGCACAGCCATTTGTGTTTGTTGTGCACTCGTCTACACAGGTGCTACCACTGTCCGGAGTGCTTTCAACGGTGTATTTAAGCACCTTCTTTGCAGGACAGCCGGTGCACTGATATGGATCTTCACCGTTACACGTTTTACAGACAGAGTTGCACGCCCTGCAAGTACCATCATCTCCGTCAAAGTATCCCTCAAGCTTTTCGCACTTATCTACGCACTCCTTTGTCGGGGTGAGCTTCCTAGTATTGTCGCACTCTGCACACGTGCCATCGTCATTACACTTCTTGCAATCTTTTACAGTGCATGCAATGCACTTTGTCCCGGCAACATTGGGTTTGTTGGTATCTGTTGCACAAGCAGAGCATGTAATGAGAATTGGGCCTTCGGAATTCTCCTTTGGAGTGCATGTTTTGCAGTCTGCTATTCCACCACTTTTATCATCACTACAAGATAAGCATTTGTTGCCATTATTGGGATCATCTTTTGGAAAATGGGTACTTTGTTCTTTGCAGGTCTGTTCATTGACACATGTGCCCGTTCCATCGCCACTATCTTTAAAATATTTATTGGCAGCGGTTGCTTTGCACTTCGTACATTTATCTGCTCCTGCATCACACTTAGCGCAATTATTGTTGTCAGCACAAGCTGTGCATGTTCCCTCAGATGCGGCAAAGAATCCTTCGTCACAAGCTGTGCACACTGCAGGCTTAGCAGTAGACTCTGCTGCTTCAGGAGCAGTGCATACTGTACAATGCTGAACTCCTTTATACTTTTTGCCATTGGTCAGTGTTATCTCAGTGACATCACCACACAAGATAACAGACTGGTCTGTCTTCTGTGCCCCCGGTGGAATGAAGTACCCCACTGCGGCCGCTGAGCACACTCCCTCCGCGGCATCGGTGCATAACTTCTGCCCGGTCGCATCGGCGGTGCTATAGCAACCACCCTTATAGAGGAAGTGAACCCCGTCGCATTGTCCACATACCTTGTCTTCTGCTCCTAAATCAGCGCCTCCATTCTTTTTGCAACCAGCAGTTGTAACGGCGTCATTATCTTTCGGCATACATACTCCGTTAACGGGGACATTTCCTTGGTCCTTACATTCTGTGCATATTTCTGTTTCGCCAACCATTTCACATCTTTCATTTGCACAATTTTGTGCTTGCTTGCATGCTGCCGCGAGAGCACTCAGCACAAAATAGAAAGCTACCAACAACATTGAGGTCCTTCTCAGCTTACCGCGTGAGCAAGAATAAGATACTTAAGACTAAAGACCTGACTTACTATGTACTGTGCTAATTACTCCAAAGAGATTCGTCTCCTACGATACCTCTGCTTAGGACATAGAAGCTCATCGAATACTAAGCACATCTATTGCATACAGCCCCCTGCGAGCTCTCTGGGTCTGAACCCTATGCCCCCTGCACAACACGCAGGGAAACAGAAAATCCAAAAATAGGTGGTGAGACCTCTCTACACGCTCGCCGCCTCCCTACTTTGAGGCCAATCAAAGGACGGCTCGGATGCCCTCACTGTGCCGTGGGTTCATTGCTGGCTCCTCTCCTGGCGTATCTGCGTCCCTGATGAGTCAGCCCCCTGTGCCTCCCCTGCGCGGGCCAGGCCCTTGCGGACCCCCGTGCGCCGATGACCTCCTCTCCGCCTCTGTGGCATCTTCACTCCTTTGGATTATGCCTGCGACTCCTGGCTATCGTGAGGGAACTGCACTCAAGGACAGTCCGGTGCGAGATCCCGAGAAAAGGCTACAGTGATCGCTAGGGTTCGTGGAAGTGTGAATCAGTGTAGATTAGCCTATGAGACGCTATGGATTGTTGAGTATGCATGACGCTATTTCTGCCTTTTTGTAGTGGATACTATTAAGGTTCCCCATCGCATGATAAGGTGTCAGATGGTCAGAGGGCGAGGCCAGCACTCCCAAATTTAGACAAGGAGGAAGCCCTGCCCAAACTGTGCCACCCCTGAACTGATGGATCAGGACTCTTATCCTCCCCTCTGGATCATCCTAGTGCTGTCGCTACCACCACTAATGGAAGCACCTAGGAGTGCAATATCTTGAGCCTGTTAGTGTAGGGCTCTAGGCCCCCAGAGCTTCCTACATGTGGATGCCTGTGAGGAAAGAATGGAGATCCAAGGAGGTTGTGTTGATTTGCCAGCAATTGGCCGGATGCCTGGTCCAGTACCTTTTGTGGCCTCCTGTGGGTGTTAGAGCAGTTGACCCCCATCTGCTGATAAGAGAATCGAATAGCATTCGCTCATGACCTTTGGTCCGAGCTGTAGTTGGTCCCGAGGAGACATACCAATCAGCCCAAGCGTCCTACCTTTTGACTCGCGAATCATGCCACACTGTAGGGGTTGTACTGGTGTTGCTTAGCACGCGTTACATAATGCATAGAAGGCCGGCATCCTCCTGTCATATAGCTATAAGAGTCAGATAAAGCCCTACTGAGGGCGTCATATCCTGCGATTTCCTTGGCTCCACTAGAGGCCAAAAGAACCGATGTCTACAGGCTGGTGTGAAAAATAGTAGGGTACGACAGCATACACCTTGAACTGGGAGTCCCATAAGCATGCATTTTTGATACAACTCGCCAAGAGTCTTGTAATAAGCTGGCCTAGGTCAGTGACTGAAAAATTTTCAATGGGCAGGCGACTACCGTGGTCTACAAGTCGCTCATCTCCCTTGTCGTGAAGGATATCTGCTAATGTCTAGTGCTGCGGGCTGGGTAGCCCTTGTTCATCTGTGAGATTCGACTGGTGTACGTTATAGACTACTGACGAGACTGATATCATCCTCCATCAGGTGGCTCTGGGTGAGTAGACGAATTCTGTAGTTGATCAGTTATTTTAAGAAAGGCTGCACTTATGAAGCCATAACTACAACTTGCGTTCGACAGACAAAGGTGCCCTTGGGCTGTGGTACTCCATACAGGTTCCTCGGGATGTGTGGTACCTCAGCGTAGTCTCCAAGAGGGTAGCCCTGCCTGGCTGAGGCATGCAGACACGAGTACAGTATAGCGCCCTTCTCAGTCTACAGGATCAAGCACATCTCAGGCAACGAAGACAGATGGAGACCCAGAGGTGACTAATGCTAATCTGAGCTGCTCCGATCCCTGCTGTCCGAAAAATCAGCAGGGCCGCAGGATGACAGGGTCCACTTTTATGCTCTGCTCAAAGAGGCCGTGTCTTGGCAGAGATATGCGCCAAGGTCATTGTTAGCTACCCACTAACGAGGTACTAGCGCGCTTGAAGACCTCCCGGAATGGCCTTTCTCGGTTTGCTGGCCATGAGCTGGGTCCTCGCGCCAGCTAACTGGATGAAAAACAACAGTAGTATTACCCAAACGATGAGCTGAGAAGGCTGATGCTGACTATGTATCTCTCACGCTGAGCATACCCACTGTGCAGCGCAAGGGATTTGACGTCCTAGGTGGTCAGTCGAAGCTGCTAAGTGTTTGGTAGTAACGATATGCACGCGGGCTCCAGACAGGGCTCTGAGAAGATGTTAAAGAGCACAAGACCTGCTGGACTATATAGGGCACACAATGAATGCCTACGCGGTAAACAGATTGACCCTTTTCCTTGGTAGATAGGACTCTGGTCTGCAATAGTCACCTACATGATGCGTGTCTCTGTGGGACCGATAGAGGCACCCGCTGATCTGGAAAGACCATCAGCAGTGGCCACACAAGATAGACACGCAGAGGACGAGAGCTGATCAGATCACCCTGGATGATGAGCAATCCAAACTACGCAGTGTGTGTAGCAACCTTTGGTCGAAGGCAGAGATGCACTGTAGGACATCACGCAATCCAAGAGGCACTTTGGCGATTCATCTGTTGTGGGAGAACGTAAGTGAGACATTTGTGGACAGCAACCACGCCGACTGGTACCGGCCTGCACAGTATGCCTCTACAATAGATCCTCGCCTGTATATGGAGAGAAAGTGAATTTCCCCAGCTTCAGACGAGGCTGGATCCCAATAAATATTACGCCGCTACAAATGCACAAAATCAAAAAGTAGCCTCCGATCTATTTATAGGCCTTGCAGTCTTTCTACGTTCGGAGGCCAGAAAGGCATTACAAGTGTCCTCGTTGCAATCCAGATTTATAACTAGACTCTCTAGCGCTGATCTTACCTCCCTGGTCTGTTGGTCGCCTCTACCTTTTTTGTGCGAACCAGCTCTCCAGGAGCCACCGTGCACAGATAGTCTTTTGCACATCCAAGTAGCACCGTCCTCCGTTGAGACGTGCAACCAAGGACTAGTCACTGTAGAGTGGGTGCACTCAGAGGCCAACCTCCTTGCTGCACTGTCCAACATAGCAGTGAGCATGCACGCGAGCACATAGGCACGCAGAGATCGTGCCGCGGTCTAAGCCTGACATCACGCCAGGCGCATAACAGTTGGTGTACAGAGTTCTATTTCTAGCCCTATACGCAGGTCCATGTCTCACTCTGAAAGGCAGTGGAGCGTTTCATGGCATTGTTCTGGATATACAGTTATTACTATAGTTAGTGGGGAAGCAGGCACGAAGACCGAAGGCTTACCTGGAAGAGTCTCTGGCGCGATCAGCTGCTATTCTCTACTGATGGCAGACAGCTTAGCTATCATAGTATCCACGCTACCTACCAGAGCTACATATGACCATGCATGCATCACCAGAGAAGCAAGTGCAATACCTGTTCAATCTGTTGGACGGACACAGCCTCTCATCACAGCAAACACGATGGCAAGCAGGTCGCCAATGCAGGCCAGTTGAGATGCCCGGCTTAGTGCCGCTGTATACACCTAGAAGTTGCGATATACTTCCACGAACACAATGCACTGTCTGTACATCCAGTTGCCTTCTTTTGTGCTATTCACAGGTCGTAACGCCTCACAGGTCGAGGCTAGTACAGGACGTCCCCAGGTTACTCCCCTAAGAAGCCAAGGCTGGCACGGCTGGTACTGTGCATGATGTGCTCTCCCAGGAGACAGTGGGCGCTACCGTCCCTTTGGATTTTTTGATGTCAGACAATCGGCCCCGTGATGAGTTTATTCTTCGCAGCTTCCGTCCTACATATCGAGCCTGGCATCTGGCTGCTCAGGCCGCGGATGAGGAGGACGGTGCAGAGTGTCAGTCGCTGGGCCGCTTTCTATTCGCACATTGTCCTGAGAAACGAATAGGACAGTACAGCTTCCTCTTCTACTCTGGATGTGATGCAACCTAGCCGAGGCATATGCCCTTCCAAGGAGTGATCGGGTAGCGCCTGGAGTCGTTCATAATGGGACACTCGCCGTCTCCTAGCTCTGCCCCCTCCTCGGCTACCAGGAGATGCTGGTTTGTATACATGTCCACGGAGCACTGCATAGCGATAACAAGACGGCGCCATCATCCCTCGAGCCTCCTCGGCTTGTCCGGCAGCGTGCTTCCCGGAGTCCAGTGTGGACTTACCAGATGCATCGATACAGCTGTGGATACCTTACAGCATCGCACCTGACCAGCTCGACGTGCATCCTTTCCCATCTAGAGAGCAGCCCAGCCATGCACAGGAGCTCTTAGCTCCTATCCAGGGCCTGGTTCAATGCTCAGCTGGCTCGATGCCCTGCTGCACCTTGTTGGATGCCGCGTTGAAGCCATCGATCCGGCGATTGCCTTAGGCTCACCGCCTCACATTGCGTTGCCATAGAGTACTAGTCCTCAGGTCGCCCGTAGCCCGTTACGAGAGCTGTGATGCATGATCGCACACAGAGTGCCTGACTTAATATGCACCTGTCCACCGATGTACTCTGACACTTGCTGGTGGGGACGTGTCGCTACAACCACGCAAGTGTTTATACATCCTAGCAGCTCACATGCCATGTAATATAGAACTTTCCTACCTAGCACGGGCTCCATGATACCAAGACTCTGGAAGGGCACCTTGGGCGCCTTCAGTCCTATTTGGAGAGGAGACGTGGTACGAGAGGGCTGGCCGCTTCTAAGCGCTGCCTAGGCTAGTTAAAGGCCCGCATGAAGGCCTCTCACCGCATGATCAGCACGGTGCCCTGCTCCCTGTCATAGATATGAGAGCCAGCCCGCTGAGTCCACATCGAGGCAGAGCACCACCCACTAGTGTGGGCGAGACTTATAACCGTGCCCGTACATGTACACGTTGCTCGACCGGTTGGTTTCCATGCCCCTACGCCCTGCTCCTTCGCTGTGCAATTGCTCTAATCGAGGCTACCAAAGCGTGGGTCCAGTATCCACTATGCCCATTGTACTGACAACGATAGTATACAGCTTGCTGTAGGTGCCACCTACCTCCAGGCATGCCCTCCACCGTCGTACTGCCGCTGGTGTGCTATACGATCTATATAACGCTTCATACTTCAGCAACCACTGGGAGTGTTGTCCTCCTGCCATCTTGACATCGAGTCCAATAACTGCCTGACAGAGCTCTCGGCTTGTGTGACCCTATATGGTAGTCTTGATGGGCACATACATGTGTAATAACTATGTTGAAGGATCCAATAACAGCCACTGGCCACTTCATATTGTGTGAGATACTAGACAGAAGCAGAGGTGGAAGGTCCAAGAGGAACCATATCATTAGATCTGCATCTGCAGAGAGGCTCACCTGTCACTGCCACGGGAACAGGGCCCTATGCAGAGCATCAGCAAGCAATGCCACGGGCAGTACTCTGACTGTGCAGCAGCAAAGTGGCCGATGATATGGAATGCTGACACATCTACTGACGTCATGGATGGACTGGCAGGCCAGACAAGGATGCTCTAGGCTGCGATGGGCTGGCATGAGATTGTGTATAATTAGGGGTCACTTCCTTGTTATGCCTGCTATCGGAAACCAGCTCATGAGATGGACAATTTCAGAGTGATCAGCCCCCGCGTTCTCCCAGACATCAAGACTGTGAGGGTCTCCGTAAGTTCTTATGTCCTCATCCAGTCATGCTGGCTGTTCTCAGAAGCAGTCATAACTGTCGGGCCTGTTCGGATGCCACACCCCTGCAGGCCTCGGTGCTCTGAGCACAGCTTCCAGGCTGCATGCGTGCGTGGATGGACACCAGGTACGTCACTCGCTCCCTACTTTCTAAGCCTGCTATGACAAGGGTAGCTCTCACTAGCTTGAATCAGCTACGCCCCTGGCGTTCTACCCCGGGAGTTGCAGGGCCCAGACAGTTGTCTTATCTACACTATGGTTGCCATAATGACGGGTATATGATCACAGCCCTGATGGGATCCTCTTCGCTGTCCTTAGCAGACCTCCAACTCTTCAATGGGACAGATACGGGGCACCGTCTACCGACACTTCCAACGGGGATAGCAGGCGCAGTGCTCTCGATACCAATGATGGATCTACAAGAGGAAGTAGATCTTCCGCATGCCCTTGCCAGGAAGTGGCGCTGACGTGGGCCAAACGTATTGTCCCCGAGCTGCGCCTTGGGAGCCGAGACCTCCGCTGACAATGGGTAAGACTTGCGCCATTGGGCGACTCTGTAGGGAGGCTCCAGGAGTTCTTAGAAGCAGCACCCGTGCAGTGAGGCTTCGAGAATCATCCAAGTGGCGCTATCCAAGGACCACTTCCCCGAGGGAACAGAGGGTTGGGGGACCGACTCCCGAAGGGCGCCTTTGCAGTCTACTGGACAGCAGAGAGGGCCAGAAAGCAACAATCACCTCCAGATCCACAGCTCCCCTATCATAGAGACACTGGGATGGTCAGAATACGCCTCTCAAGAGGGACAGGAAGTAACATAGTGGCACAGCGCTGATGCTCACGGGATATGGTCGACGAGCACCTGGCCTCTGCTGGATACGAGGTGTGTGCTGAGAGCAAGGTGTCTGGATTGGGACGGTTATGCCTCTCCAGAGAGGAGACAGGAAGCACCACCATAGATGGGCATGTGCCTGAAGGAGACACACAGGAAAGTGACTGCTTTGCTGGCAAGAGAGGACAATCCGAAGCATGCAGGTCTTAAACAAAGAAACGTGCATTCTGAAGAACTATCGACGCTAAGGAACGAGCCAGTTCTCTGCATCATCCAGCAGAGGAGTATAAGGGCTGCTACTCCCTCCTCAAGCCTTCTCACTCAACTTAGACTTCCCTGGCTTCCAATTACCACATGAACTACTGAGAATGCTAACTGTTCTTCCAATCCACAATAGCTGCGAAACGATAGCAAACTTCGTTTGAGTGCAGTACTAAGCAGCGCAACATATGCAAAGACAGCTCTTAGAAGTCAATGTAAGGTATCATCTTGGTAACGGCAATCACCCTCGAATCAGCCGTTCAGTGGAGACAGGATTTTAATAAGATACAGTTGGGCCATAGACAGGCAGTGGGTGTAGAGCTATTGTAGACAGACGCCGCCCCTAAGAACGCCAGAGGGGAGCTCCCATCAGCTAATGTGTTTCCAGCGCCACGTCTCTAGTGGAGCATGGCCTCCCGCAGTAAGACTTTGCAGGGGTCACCTGTAGTAATTTTGGATGCTTTATGGGGTGAAGCAGCTTATCCACAGACCTCACGAGACCGGGGCTGCCCACATAGCTACTAAAGTGAGAGAGTGTGATTGTATGGAGCAACACTACATCTGCCCCTCCATCATTTGGTGACCAGAGGACTGCTCTCAGACTGCGCCTCTGCTCATAAGTGTCCAAGGGTTCCTCTAGCGATTGTCTCGTTGGCTAGTTAACTATGGCTGCCATGGCGACATAGATCACTAGTGCATACGCTGGGTTACATTTTGCTAGAGCAGATGGAGGCATGACAGATCAACCCAGAAACGTCTTCTCACGTCGCACGAAAACGCGGATCTACACACTAGGGGTACACTCTCATAAACAGCTTCCTCTGCTACGATCTAGAGTTATCAGGCGAGCGGTGGCGCTTCAGAGCCATCTGCCTCCTCTATGCGAGAGTTACCCGATAGACCAGAGTCGCTGCCAGAAGGTGTGCTTTGCAGCAGACAGAGTATCTCATGTCTCAAGCCTGTCTGGCCATACTAGGGAACGAAGCCATGCCGCTAAGCCTCAGGGGATCGGAAAGCACTCCGCAGCCAGTGTGACTCTTGTGATGTTAGCTTCTAGGCTATGGAGGAGCCCTTGGCCTCGTGGTTTTTGCACTACGGCTCTACTTAGTTGGCCGTCTTACTCAGATGAATAGAACGCGGTGCCTTCTGCAAGTCCCTATACTGCGAGTTCACACTAGGATCCACTAATTTCTAACTAGTTTGATAGAACCTTGCTCTTATCTCCGCAGACTTGTTACTACAGACAACTCACTGTATTAACTTTATAGTGATCGTGAGTATTCCAAAGCTGGGAAGCCCTCTGTTAGAGCTACAGGTCCCAGCCTTCATCAAGCCTGCGATTACCTCATCAAAGCCTCCACACACTACGAAGCAGGCTTCTGCCCGTCTGCTGTGTACCAATGGTCTGCCTTAGACTTTGTGTGTCAGAGCCTGCGTTGGAGGATGCGCTTCTACATAGACTAGCCAACGCCTTGCCAATTGGGTGTCTGCTCTCATCCATCTGGATCGATGGGTTGTTTGTGGCTATGCCTGAGTCTGCTCTCTGTTGCCAGGTCCTCTCGAGCTGTGGATCTCGCCTGTCCTCGAAGTGGTGCTACTTCAAGCTGTCACATGTAGGTGGGGGCTCCTGCAGCCAGTGAAGTCAACGTCTTCTAAGCCTGGCATGCACCAGGGCTTCCAGAAGCGACGACCTCCATCTGCCATGGCTAGTAAATGTCCTTCATAAAAGCTATGCGGTGACATGGCCTTTCAAGTCGTAACGCCTAGGGTTACGGATGGATGCAAGCGATTGCTCTAGAGAACCACCGTGGCCTCAGGGCAAGTAAAAGCAACAAGTAACGGCAGCAGACTGCAGAGCAGCATGTAGGAACGGGGCTGGGTCGCGCTCGCCCTCCTGCGCAGGCCGGGCCGGCCCGGGGACTCGAGCCCACGTAACCAATAGCATGACACCCTACAAAAAGTTGGCCGGGCCAGAGTTCACTAGCGTTTGCTCAGAGCAGCGCGAAGGCCAACGCCCACAAGACCCAGCCCTGCGGCGCCCCCAACAGCGAGAAGTGCCCCCGCAAGGGCGTTCGCCGTCCTTGCGCTGGAGACTGCAGTCCTCGCCTCGGCGACCGTTCGCACCTCATCGACGACGTGCGTGACGCGGTGGAGCTCGTGGAGGTGGATACGGTTCCTGGGCCAGTCCTCGGGCGGGAAAACTGGCTTCCCGTCTCTCGGGGGCGCGTACGTCGGATAAAACCCGTAAAAGCGGTAAGAAGGCGTGAGGTCCACGGTCGCTTCACTGACTGGGGCAAGAGAGACGCATCCCGAGCCGTCTGCGTTTCTAACCTCCCCGTCAGGGCATTTCTTGCAATCAGCCTGACCCTCGGGTGAGTACTCGTTGTATGCACACTTTTCAACTGCATTAGATGCAGTGCACTTGTAACCAACGGGGCATGTGCGGCATCCTGCATTGGGCGCGTCCATAAGGTGAAGTATTAGCAGCCCGTAGGCTGCGTTCGTACGGAAGAGTGGATAGGACCCGTCGAGAGGGATATCGTAGAGACCAGACCCACAAGTGAGTCTTTGTCCCCTAGTCGTATATGTCTTGCAGCGCTCCTGACCCTCCTCGTCTTGATATTCGTCGCCAACACACGGCTGTGCAAACCCGCCGCCACAACGGAAGCCCTTAGGGCAGATAACAGCATCCATTCCTGGAACGCAAATATATCCCGTTGTTGGGCATGGCTTACAGACACCGTTGATCTTGAACTGATTTCCTGGGCAATCGTAGAACCCAGTGACTGTCCCGTCGGGGTTTCTGATTGGAACCTTGCTATAATCAATGTTCTCGTAGAACGCATCAGCAGGAATCTCGTTGAACTTATGGCCACTCAACGCAGTCATATAGAGTGTACACTCCTTTTGGCCGGTCGTGCTAGTGTAATATCCGGCGGGGCACGGGTTCATAATGCCTTCAGTACAGAAGTAACCTGCAGGACAAGCGATGCACTGATACTCCCCGGTCTGATTACGCCAGGCATATTGGCCATCACTGCACTTGGGCCTTCTGGGATCGTAGTATTCGATCTTTGCGGGAGGCACGAACTTTCCACCCACCATCTCAATAGGGAATGGAACCTCGAAAGTGCTACTCTTATTTTCAAAGTCATATTTGATTTTGTTGAGAGTGATTGAGAACGGATTGACATGAGCCCCAACAAGTGGGTTAGCAGTCCTATCCTCAATCTGCGTTTGAGTAGGTTTGGTGAACTTACCGCAATCGTTCATTCCTCCGTTGTTTCTAATATCTTGGAAAGTGCCAAAGAGTGGTGTCACAAACCTAACGTTCACGAGACGGACGTCCTTGTTAAAGGCAAAGCGGAGCCCAGGATTTCCTCCTGTGTGCTCGTAGCGGTAGTAAAACTCGTGCAGCACCGCGTAGTTATCCACAGCATACGACCAATAGATAGTACGATTGTTGGCCTCATCTGCGTTGGTCATCTTGTTCACGAGGCTGAGCATGCGGAGATCAATGGCATCGGTAGAGTTGTATGAGTCTGTGAAGAGCACCAAGTTGTCTGGGATTTCGCTGTCAAAATCAAAGACAAGAAGCCAATTTCTCCTGGACGGCCCTGGGTTGTAGATCATGTGCCACTGGTTAGCGCGGTAGAGGGTCGGGCGATTCTGATGGGCCCAGCAGCCTGTTCCCTCGAGAGAGAAGCCGTCGGGGGCCAAGGTAAACGTCTGGTCTGCATAGCTCAGATTTATCATGAGCACACGGTCCTTCGAGTTCATAAGGATCTGCGTGGACTTCGCTCTTCCGAGTTTGCTAGCTTTATTCGTTGTCCCGTCGAACGAGTAATAATAGCCATTGTACCCGCACTGCGCATTAGTGTGGAGATATGGGAAAGCGAGGTAATACATCTCTGCTCTGGTGTTGTCTTTGAAGTAGTCCGTCGGATAAGTGTCCGCAATATAGTATAGAGCGGGATTCCAGACAGCATCAAACATGATAATATACCCGTTATTCATCTTTTCGGCCATGCTCTTACGACGATCATGACGCCACGACCAGCCAATCCTGTTTGTAAAGTTCGTGGGGCCACGGGTAAGAAGAGAGTAAACTTCTGTATTCGAAGATCTAATGCTTGCGGTAATATTACAGTCGTAAAACTCGTCCATATATTCAAAGTCGCTAATCTTAGAACCCACTGCCGATGCATTAGTCACAACACCGCCGTGGACGAAGTATCCATCAGTGCTCGTAACCCCTCCTATCTTGGTCATTCGGCTGGTGTCTCTATTGGGGTTATCAGCATCCATGTTGACGTTACTGAGGAAGTTAATTGCACCAGTTGATAGCGTGCGGTATGTGGAATAGTAGCCGTAAGTATCAGCATACTGGCGAATCATGCCACCATAAGGATCATTGATGAAGTAGTTTGAGATCATGTGGACGGCATTGTTAAACACTCTAAGAAGAGCGGTGCATGTAATGTTGTGTCCTAGATCAGACCCCACATTGGCATCTTTGACGCAACAATGTACGCCCGGCGATTGCATGAAACGCAGCGGGTAGAACTTCGGCGTGGGTGCAGGGTTCGGGCGGCTGTTGGGCGTGTAGTTGATAACAATATTGCGGTAAGGCATGTCAAGGATGTTTTCGTGCCTGTTTTCGTTGAACTTCGTAAAGTTGTCCGGATCGACGTTGGCATAGCCTCCGTCAATGACCATCAACTGGAACGTACCAATATCGCAATCAGGGCATGTCCACAGGCGCCCTGGAAGAGGGCTTCCGACGCCCTGGCCCGCTAGTTCCACGCCGTTGTGGTTCTTCTCGACGCAAGCGTTGAGGATGTTAACAGGAAGATTGGACTCAAAGTCATAAGGGCGCATTGACTGGAAGTGGATGGAGTGACTATTCCAGGACATACGTGTGTTAGAGCGGTACTCGATGAGAACAGAGAGGAAGTCAGAGTTCATCTCAGAGTAAAAGCCGGCCTTGTCTAGGTAGACTTCGACGATAAGCACGTGGTCTTTGCGCTTAAGGCCCAAAATAATATCCTCCGGATCAAATCCATCGTTAAACCCTATCCACGTCTGCTGGTCATTCCGGATCAGCGAGCTAAAGACAGGGTTCAGAGAATAGTTGGCAAATGTGATGTTCCTATATGCATCCTCGTCCGCGCCAAGGAACTTGTACGAGTACTGGTGCTCAACGTCCATGATGCGGAAGTAGTGGACTCCAATATCGCCTCTTCCGGTGCCGTGAGGGAGGCGTCTTTCCTTGCCAAGAAGAGTGGCTTCCGGAACAATCCCGTCATTCCAATACTTGAGCACGCGTCTCCAGCGAGGAAGGATAGTCTCCCATGAGTTGTAGTAGTGGCTTGCGCTCTGGGCCGAGGTATAGAAAGGATAACCACCACTGGCCATATAGGAGAATGTCCCACAGCCGTCACGCTCCCCAGCACGATGGTTAGCGATAAAGTGATGGAAAGGTGCTGTAGACCCAACACCATGTCCGTGAGCCCCGCCACCGTTATGACCGACCTCGTGCATGAAAGGATTTCCAGTCATGCGGAGCGAGTGGTAGCAATTTTCAGCCCAGGGTCCACTGACGTATCCGCGGCCATTTAAGTACATGATCTGACTTCCGTGAACAGAAGCCAGGCCGCCCCAATCAGAGTAAAAATCAACGACCCACACACGACTAGTGACCCTATCGATAAATCCTGACTTCCCGGGATAGGTGGTATTTGTCGTGTCGGCTTCAAGCAGTTGGATAAAGTATTTCGTCGGAGCTGTGTTACCATTCCCATACTCCTGATCTGTGGTGATCCCGCATTCTGGATAGATGTAGCTTCCCGTGTAGTTGACAAACATCTTCCCAGCCGAAAGCATGTTGAACACGCTGTGCTGCTCCCTGAGGAGCGGGCGCATACCTGTTTCTGGCGGCATGCACCGGCGTCCTAGGTCTGTCTGTGTTTTCGTCTTGTACTCCAAGGAGATACAGTTGTAGACGTGACCTCTGAGAGCGTACGGCCTCGATTGTTCGTAGTTGCCTGGGACACGGGGGTCACGCGCAGGGGGAAGGCTGATCTGGACAAACGGATCGCCTGGCTTCCAGTTGCGATACTCGGCGTACTGTGCAGCCTCCTTCGCCTTTAGCTGATAGTAGAGCTCCTCCTTCAGGCTCACGTTTGCAACAACCTTGGGTACCTCGACGCCTTCGCGCAGATATGTATAGAAGGGATGGTGTGGAAGAGACTTGAACGTGAGGAGGTGCAGGTGGCCTGCCGGGGACGTCTCCCAGACGATTTCGCCGATATCCGAAACCAGCTCATCAAAAAGGTAGTGGTTTTTGAAAAAGTGGATACCGCCGTCTTCAAAGTACTGAAAGGCCAGCTCTCCGTTGGAAATTCTTTGGAGTTGCACAGCGCATGTGGAGACGTTGCGTGGAGTCATATCCGGTGCCACAGCCTCGATTCTGTGAACCGGACGGTCCTCCGGGTGGAGCTGGTACCCCGCCCCGCCTCCGAAGTAGAGGAGGAGGATAAGCACGAAAGCCAGCATTAATAATTCTACTGATAATTTTTTGTTGCCGCAAAGGCTTATTGTTGCCAAAATTTGACAAGAACGAAATTCAGACCACAGAGGTTGTATAAGTAACCTGTAGCACGGTGGTCAAATAAGTTTGTGGATTATCTCGGTTGTATACCTATAAGTATATTATCAATCGTTTTTGAAATTAAAGAGGTTACAGGTGAACATTTACTAGGCAGAGAATAACCATTCCCTCAGACATGCCCCAGTGGTGTACTCGTCAGATCAGAAGCTCTCTGAGTTTTACTATATCATATTGATAATCTTGATGCGTTTAGAGAACGAACAAAGCCAGTAAATGTCTTCGTCTTGAGGTTTGGTGTCCAATCGCTTCTTCACTTGCTCAGGCCTTTAAAAAGATTTCTCAAATGGGGGACTCCTCAGAGCCCAGCTCCGAGCTGGACGACTCTGATGCCGTGAAACTCTTTGAAAGCTACAAGCTACAGCGGGCCCAGAGGGAACTGGACCTAACCACCTACCTGCAGACACAGCGCACCGAAGAGCTTGCCATCCTTACCAAGGCATACGGCGGGCGGGAACTCCCAGAAGCAGAGACTGGGGGTGACTATTTTGCACCTTCACCTCATTCTAGCCATGAAGATTCAGTACTAAGCAAGTCCCTAGGGGATGAGAATTGCATACACCCCAATCAGCCTGAGATGGTAGATTCCATCCAAGACAAAGTAGAGACAGAAAGCATTCCTCCTTCTCCCGATGAAGCACTGCAAAGAGAGATGGAGCGCCTCAATTACGAGATGATGCTCGAGATGAGAGCATCTTCCAACGTGAGCCAGTATATCCAGACTCTCGCTGAGCTTCTTTCCTTCAGTAGCTTGGCGGAGGAGTGCACAGAAGAGCATAAGGCCCGGCAAAGAAGGCTTTCGGTTGTCCAAGCTCTCTCCTACTCTGCATTAACACGGAAGCATGTCACGTTGCAGGCTCCGGTTCTTCTGCCCCAGCTCCTACCGTCTGTGCTGCAGGAACAACCGGCTCATAGGTCCTTGTACGAGTATTATCACCAGTTACGTAAGCGGGATCTAGTGCAATTCATGTCCGATCTCTGTGGAACAGCTACGCTGCTTTTAAGTGAGCGGAGATATCGTGCAGCATTCACTAAAAAACTGACAGCATTGACTCTCTCATCCACTCGGTTGATTCTGTCTGTGTCTGATGTTTCATTAAGCTTTCATGGTCGTCCAACGGCTTTTGTTACTTCCCTATCATCTCTACAGTTTGTTGAATTAGTAATAACGAAAGACAACGCGTTATCATGGCCATCTTCACTACCGAATGAAGTCAATGTCTTTGTGACTACGCTCTCCATACGCGGCCCTCTTGAAATGACCATTGAACAGTCATTGGTTGACTTATTGCTTCGTTACTTTAATGAGCATCCGCCTCTTTATCTTACCCTTTTCTCTGCCGCCAGTATCGAGTCTACTTCTACACTCTTGACCAATCTTCTACGTCTTTCTCCACCACTCGTGTCTGTTGCTATAAATGACTGTACCCTTACATCTATAGCTTTGAAGGGCCTGGGATTGAGTGACTCTTTGATGTTGCTCTACCTCGACCTTTCGAACAACACATTGGAGGCCGTGGATGGAACACTATTTCCTCCCAACCTTGTCTCCCTCAATCTATCTAATAATCGGATTTCTCAATTTGAGGCTGTAGGGCTTTCTAGGCTTCAGGTGTTAAAGCTAGGGGGAAACTCCTTCACACACCTCCCTCCCCTTCAATCTCTACCTATGCTTACACAGGCTTATCTTGAGAACAATCGGATAACACGCTTGGATCTTCACAGTCTAGCCAATAATCCCCGGCTTGCCTTTCTTTCTCTCAATAACAATAATATAACAGCCTTAAACGCAGGAGGTGCTTCTGAAAGATTTATTTCGCTTGACTCTTTGGAGATACTGACCCTCAAGGATAATCCATTGGAGAGTATCTGCTTTGCCGGTGCATACTTTCCTAAGCTGCAGTCTCTAGAGCTCAGCACGTTCCTCCCAACTTTTGTCTCTCAGTTGGGAGCAGCATATCTCAATCTTCCACGATTGAAACTAGTTAAAGGTGATGTATCCAATGCGTTCCTGTCTGACACAGATGTGCAGATTCTGCGTGACTATCTTCCACGACTCGAGATGTTCTTCAATCTCAGTCTTACACAGCGGTCTCAAGGAAGTGCACTATCAGTTAATCCTCCTCTCCTGATTAACAGGGCTACCGATGCTCCCTCGTTTGTCCCGAATAGGCTTTTAATGCAGGACGTCAAAGGGGGCCAATCTGCCTGTCAATGCATAGCACGCCTCTCCTCCTCCTATCAATATGTTAGCTCTATTGACAGTAGCGGCATCATTGTGTGTTCAGAGCGCAACCTTGGGTCTCTGGATCCTCCTGTGAATAATACTATTCTGCAATGGCCCATTCCGGGACGGGCAGTAACTGCACTACAATCGTTTGAGGGACCGTCGGATTCGGCATTCGTAAAAACCATTGCAAGTATTTCTGCCCTATTGGGACTGCCTCTGCATTGTCAATACTCACGTTGGTCTGACTTGAGAGGGGATACCGTTAGTAGAAATCTTCTCGATACTCTCTTTAGGCTGTACATTATGCTACAGCGCTCCAGGCGCTCGTCTTCTCTTACTTTCGCAGTCAGCAACTTCACGATTCACCATAACCCTGTGTTCATAGAACGCATGAAATATAAAGCGCACATTGAAACTCAGATTAAAGTTGTCAAGCGGCTCATATTACGGACTAAGTTCTACTTAATTGTAGTACAAGCACAGGATGCTCTTGCACAATCACGGGCCAACTTAGCTGCAAAGTACCAAATACTCAAATGTCGCGCTACGATTAAAGAACAACAGCAGAGAAAGATGGTGGACACCGCCTTGGCTCTACTCTCTTCGAATATACACACGGGACTAGAAATGATGATGGCCAGAGAGAGGCTGCAGAATGCAGCTCAAGAGCGGGCTGCGTTTCGGCTGCACTTCAGCCGTATACATGCAAACATGGCAGCCCTCTTGGAGAAATGTCAAGTCATAGCTATTGTAGAGTCAGCACAGTTCCTTCAGTCTGTGGTAAGGGCTATGATAACACGTAGCAGACTTGTGTTACATATCTGCGAAGAAGTCCAAAGATTGAAGGAACAGGAGCGTTGTCGCTTCGAAAAAACTCGTCTGGCCACGCAGAAAAAGCTCGAGCTGGAATTTGCACAGCTAGAAGAAGCTGATGACGATGTGACTGCATGGGCTCTCAAAACGACGGGAGAGGCCTCTGAATTCGATAACATTTTAGCTTGGGCAAACAACTCCGCGGATATAAACGTGGACTCTTCACTTTATGATGAGGCTCTCTTCAACACAGCAAGAGGACTTCGTACAGATATATTTTCGCAGCCATCTCCTAGCGAACATTTTCCAAAAGAGGTCCACCCACCCGCAGTCCCTTCAAGCCTTGCTTTGAGTGTAACTAGTGACACTAACGAAATCGAACACTCTGGTCCTGTCTCTTCTTTGTCGACGCATACTGCCTCTCATGGAAGTGGCACTCGCCTGTCCTTTAGGGCATGTGATGCGAGACCATCAAGGGATGTTTTAACCCCACAGGTACTCTCGCCTCCACGGTCACTTTTCAAGCACGAAGCAATCAGCATTCCACGGCATTCCAAGAAAGCCCAGCAACCCTACATTCCCAAGAGCAGGAGTGCTCCTCGGCAGCTTGAAATTCGGCCTGTGGCCTTAGCTCCAGCTGACCAGCGGTCTCTAGAGTATAAGCGGCGGCAGGCGCTTGTGAAAAACGCAGACAGCCTAGCACGATCTCATCAAGATGCAGCATCTAAACAGCACACTCTCGACCCCATACTCAAGCAAATAAAGACCGATGGTTGGGACCTAAGTCCAGAGACTGCAAAGACTCTTGCGCTAAAGAGAAAGAAGGAGCTCGCCATCGCACGAGCTGCGCAGGCCAGTGACCGGAAACGGTTTTGATGCGTTCACTTATCCTGCAGTTGTCGACAGATGGCGTCGACCTCTGCATTAGAGACGTACTTTGCAAGAATGTCTCCACTCTCGCCCTTCACCACCGTAAGGATCTCCATTTTGTCAGATGATACCTTGGTTATGTCTGTAGTCTTAATTAACGCAGAAACAGCGTATTGCTGGGCCTCCTTTAGTAGAATCTTTTGACTGCTATCTGCAATGTTCTGCTTCAGAGCTGATGCTATTTCCGGAGCGGACCCTCCTATGCTTGTTGCAACCCACGCAGAATAATTCCCACTGGGATCTGTCTGGTACAATTGGAACCCAAGGTGGGCATCCCAGCCCCCAAAAAGGAAGGAGACGCCATATGGACGCAGTCCTCCGTGGTGCGTGTAGTTCTGTTTGACATCCGAAATATATTGAACTAGAACTTCGACGGGAATAGGTTCGTCATAGACTGCTAGCCATTTTTGACTGTAGGTTCTGGCCTCGTCGATAAGGATATTGGCATCGGAGGTTAGCCCAGAAACAGCGCACACAATGTGGGAATCGATCTTGTAAATCTTTTCGCTTGTCTGCTGATCGCTGAGTTTCGATGGCAGCTTCTTCTGGGCGACAAAGACAATCCCGTCTTGGGCCAGGATTGCGAGGCACGGCGCGGCAATCGTTACTGCCTTTATCGCGTACTCAACCTGCAGGAGACGGCCGTCCTGCGAAAAAAGAGTCGTGCGAGAGTCAAAACGAGACATTTTAATTGTCGCTTCAAGCAAAAGTGTACTGTATAAAAACCAATATTACTACCATCGGTCCTCACCACTAGATCGGTGTTATGCTTTGTTGGGATAGCAGGCCGTGCCAGTTGGACAGCCAAGGTCCACCTCTGGTTCGGCACACATTTATTCAAGACATCTTGGGACTCGAGTGGGGGCCTGCTTCGCCTTTGCCTGCGGGGGTACGATGCTTCTGTGCTAGTAAAGTTATGTAATGCTGCAGCCTAATTGTCTAACATGTAATCTGGAACCAGTGACTGCGCCGCGCTTGTTCACATCCATAGGTCTTAAACACATCTTCTATGCAGACTGCTTCGAAGCCCCTGCTGACTCCACGGTAGGGCTACTCCCTGCACGATCGGGTGTCAAGGAAATCGTTGCAGGAGAGTCCACCGTTGCAGCCCTGACCTACGCGGGAACCACGAGCGTATTCTCCGCTGAGGGCCGATATCTCTGCACCATTAATCCAGGAGACGAGTTTGCTGTAAAGTGCATATGGTACAGCAGAAGATCCCGATCGTATATCTCTGCCAGCGTTGCGCTGAGTGACGATTGCAGTTGTTTACACATTCATGCTGCTTCGGAGCAGGAGTGCCTAGATGCTATAGAGAGACCGCTCATGTGCACGCTCAATATTGGGCGAATTGTGCGGCCGGGTTACGTGGAGTACGATGATGTTTCTGATGTGATTCTTGCTTATGAACCTGCTGGGGAGAAGCCAACTGGTAGTGGCAGGGCAGTAAGCAAAGTACAAGGGTGCTTCAGAGTATTCTGTTACACGGGAACGACCCTAGACTGCATCGTCAAGTTGTCTGCAGAAAATGTGAAGGACATACGTTTGTCAGGAGAGCATCTCATTGCGACCATGCTGGGTCCAAAGAGCATCTTGTACATTAAGGTCTTGACACTGCAAACGTCTCAGGAAGTAACATCTGCCAATGAGCTAGAAAAGCGAGCAAGCCTCAAGCTGCGACTTCCGCACTCATCACCCATTCAATTCATGGAGGTCACGGGGTCTTACCTCTATATCCAGCAAGAGGGAGCTCCTCTTTTAGCCATTAATCTGGGCAGTCGCGAGATTTATCGCTACCTCATGTCGACAACCGTCAAAGACCTCCCGACATCCCAGCTCGCAGTCACTACTTCGGGAGATTACCTAGCGTTTTCCAGTGGGACGAATCTCCGGATCATAAACTCTCTAACAGAGGAATTCACAGCTCAATGCCTCCAGAAGACACAGGACGTGCCTGTTTACTGGGTTCCATGGTTCGGTGTCTGGATCTACCATGGATGCGAGTGCACGCGAGACTTGGGTGCTGTTCAGGGCCTGTATATCGCGAACCCTCGGGGAGAGAAAAAGCGCCTGCTGCTATGCTACGATGGGACCTATGTGACGGTGCTCTACGTTTGTCATGAGCGTGTCTACATTGGGAGCACAGACGGAACATTCCAAGCGTATAGTTTCGCTTAGTTTCATCTGGTCGAGCGATTCGATTTAGAGTGATAGCCGCGTACACACTGCCAAACGTGGCTCACTAACGGAGAGTAAATCACGCATCGACGTCCTCGTTGGCAAGGAGCTTTTCGAGTCGGTCTGCCCTCCGCAAGCTGTCTGCCGCCAGCTCTTCATAAAACGTCCCCAGCTTGGTCCAGTATACGGCCCTCGCAAGATCTGCCTGGCTACTTGCCTTACAGTTCTCCTGAAGAGTCAGATAGTGGTCTGCAAGCTCTTTGAGTTCGGTCACCTCGCTAGACTCCGCCATAATTTTAGATCATCTTTCTGTTTACTCTGCTCACAGAGGCCAATGGGCTTCAAAGTAAGACGAGCACCAGCATCTCTTCACTATCGCACCTCATCACCTTGTGACAAGCATCTTCACAACACTTCCAAGCAGCAACCGGAGCGGTAGCCATTGAGAAGTGGAGAAGACCAACTTGTTACTTACTTGAGAGGGCACCAGAGCAGTATATCCAACCCTCGTTGGCTGCGTTGGGGTTCTTGAATTCATCTATGAGTAGGCTAAAGTCTCCCGTGTCCTCCACATCTTCGACGTTGACTGTCCGTTTGGCGTTATTGCTGGATCCTTCTGGGGGTGGAAAGTTCCGAGGGATGATGATCTTCAAGACATCATCCAGAAGCTTGCACTTCATGAGTCTATCTGCGTCTGTGGAGCACGTGAGGGACGGGCTTGCGTTGACTTCCAGAAGCCATGGATGGAGTCTTTCATCTATGAGGATGTCATATCCATAGCATTCAAACGACGACTTGCTAAAGACCATTGACGATTGCACGGCCTTCAGTGAGTGTATGAGGGTGAACAGAATCTTCTCAAAACACTTGTTAACGGCTTCATAGCCGTAATGCGCAGAAATATACAACTTCAGATTTTCAATGTCCCACTTACCGCCATGCCTACTATTGTACGCTTCTCCATGCTTTTGAACGGCCACATTGGTAAGGTGGACAAATGGATTAGATAGATCACCCGGGTCTAGAGAATACTCCACGGTGCAGAATCTGCAGAATGCATGCTGATAAATGTAGGCCTTGAGGGGGCTGTAGGACGTGACCAGGACGTACATACGAATGTCAAACTTCTTATTCCCCACCAGAAGGGGCCGATTGATATATTTAGACGCCAGGTATATCGTCCTAGAATTGGCCTGAGACACCTGCCACTTCTTGAACTGGGCCATCCGAGAGATAAGCTCGATCCCCCGCCCTTGTGCAGAGCCGGCCGGCTTCAATATGAATGGTGTCTTCTTGTTTCCTTTGAGTTCTTCGGCAAACATGGTGCTTTCGCTAGGAAGCAAGTAGGTCAATGGTATAAAATCTATGTATGCCTTTCCTGTCTCGGGGTCTGGTCTGCAGAATATCGAATTTTTCGCCTCGAGATCCTTCCGGTACTTCCGCATATTGCGAACAATCAGGTCTTTTCGAGTGAGTTCGTAGTGGTTGGGAAAGTGATTGACTATTTGTGCATCTGTGGGTCTGCTTTTAGAGCCTATAGCGAACATTTTCTGCACAACCGCTACAGGGGCCCAATAAATATTCCAATCACTTCCGCTTGTTCTTTGCCATCCCCGTTTCTCAAAATTTGATATTACGGCGTACTTCTCACAGTCAATCCTGTATTTTATGGGCGGCATTCCACAAACGTTTTTTGATTTAGAGCGGGTCCGTCCTGCATCGCACACAGATTCGTACGATCCGTTCGCTGCGCTGTGTGATCGTTGCTAAGGATAAACCACAATTGTCACACTCTTCATTCAGAACAACGATCACCCCATCTGTCCTAGGAATCTGAAAGGCCTTGCCGCATGCAGCACATGACCCGGCAAGCGAATTCCTTGAACATCGCTCACCACAACATGTGAATGTGCCGCGAACTCGTACGGGCTGCGCCTCCTTTTGGCGACGCTTTGACACCAAAGCAGTCCCGTCAGTAGCCGAGTGATATTTTCTCTTAATCGTTGTCTTCTTAGGCTTTTCGTTCAGCATACGGTACCCTCCATACCCACCTACTTTAATAACTTGCAATCTATCGATACTATCGTAGAGCTTCATCCCCCACCTGATGCAATCGTCATGCACGCTTTTGCAATCTATCTGACCCTCGCAAATAAGATGCATGCCGTGCTCTAGCATACTACGGTATGAGCACGAGAGAGCCTGCACGCCCATTGGGGTCTGTTTGTAAAATTGTAGCAGCTCAGCGCCCAGCGACACCACCTGCTTCTTAGAATTGATGTACTCTCGATCAGTGATCAGCGCAATGTGGTCAGACATAGTTGCATCGGTGCCTATACCGTGCTGATCCATTGCGAGCAGAAGGGCGCTTTCCTTCATGGGGAGAGGCACAAGCTCTGTAGAGAATTGAGAAGTACTATTGCTGGGGTCCTCCCTGTCATTTACCATCACTGGCTCTGGTGGGTGCACATTCTCCTCTGCGTGTATTTGCTCAGATTCGTCGCTACTATCAATATCTATTACGAGAGACTGGGCATCCCCATCCCACACTATAGATGAGGCCAACAATTCGCTCTCATCATTTGCTGTTGGATTGATAATGTGCAAGTCCTGGGTCCCAAAAAATTGTTTGTATGGTGCCTGCAGAACCAGGAGCTTTGACCCAACTACAATGCTAGAAGAAGATTCAATAGAGGCCGGAGAGCTAGCTGAGGAAGAAAGGTGTCCTGCTTCTTCAAGTGACTTCCGAAGGATTCTTTTGAACCCGTCAAATGTAAGGCTGTTCTGAGTAGCTACAAACTCGCACTTGTCTAGACGTGTGCGCATGGTCATACGCGTTCCTCGAGCATCCGGTGAGACGGATGCTAGGAAAGAGCGAGTGATGTAACCATAGACTAGCTCCTCATCCTTATCTAAGGGCCGAGACGGGCATGCGAGGGGGTGGATTGGAAGATGAGCATTATCGGTAGATGCAGAGTTGGATCGAGGAAGCTGCAGTGTATATGGATTCCCCGGAGAATCATCGAGGAGGACTTGTGCATAGTCAGCAAGGAGGGCGCAGAGTGGAGATACATTTGGTGGCATGTGTGCCAATTTATCTACTAGTTGCTTAAAATATGAAAGGTTATAGGTATTGGGGTATGATTTGGTTTCTGTGCGCGGATAAGAGATGAGGCCACGAGTGTAGAGTGATTCTGCAATAGTCATTACACTTTGGGATGAGAGGCTTTCACTGAGTGCACGCTGCATGTCCAGTGTAGAGACCGGGTGTGGCCTGGGTACTGTGTAAGGCTTCTCCTCTACATCCGATACCACTACAATACGCTTCTGGTTCTGTAGGGTATCAAATACTAATTTCAGCACGGGAAGGGATCCGAGGTACGACTTGAAGTGTGAAGTGTCAATAGGGGAAAAGACAAGACCTTGTAAATCATCTTTTTCTCGGTTTCTATGCTTGCTATCCCACCGTTTTAATGCATCTGCCAGACCCTTGAAGACACTACCACTGTGTGTCTGCAGAGGGCGAGGATCACAAACAAGATGCAAAGTAAAGGAGCTGCTTTGATGGTTTTTAAGAGACAGAAGATCGTTAGAATGAACCAGCCCCAAGGTTGGTACCTGGCACGGGCCAAAGGATATAGGCTTCTTCGCCTTGAATGCGCCTGTGCGATAGTCGATAAAGGAAGAGCGCAACTTATCTGTTTGAAGCCTGGTTATGGAGTATCCTAGACGCAGATCAGTGAATTGGCGAACATCAACGGCGTCAACCACATTCATGTCGATGGGGCCTGCATTGTATACAGCCGATGTTAGCTCTGGATAAGTCAGACCGAAAAAGCGGGCCCGCTTGACGATAATGGTACGTTTCACGGAGGTCTGTGAAGGCACGTGATCAGCAGCCAGGATGTGTCGCAGTGTGTGCTCAGTTGGGCTGCGAATCTTGGGGAGTCTAGCTGGACGGATGTCCAGTAGAGTGTCGGCGGGAAGAACAGAACAGAAGATCTCTATAATGTCATATCCAATGTTCTCTCCTTCCCGATCAGCATCAAGCATAAGAACGAGGACGTTCGTTTCCGCTGCATTAGGCCGTAGGACATGTTTCTTGAAGACAGCGTTTGCCTTAAAGTGCACCCCGCAGGTGAAGAGGTCACTTGGGGAACACTTTCCCCACTCATATCCTTCATCGGGTTCTAACTCAAGCATATGCCCCTGGGCATGCACCACAACATACTGTTGAGCAGGGCCGTGCTCCTCCTCAGAATGTGTGAACTTGTACTCATTAAAATACTGCACCAATTGCTTCTTTGAGTAGGAGCCCTTAGAGAGAACGTTGGAGACCTCGGCAGCTACAGAGTTCTTTTCAGTGACGCAAAGAATAACGCGATTCATGTCCTCAAGCGTGCGGTAGAGGGTGTATTACCTTGCTGAAAGATAGAGGGTGCCGTAGTTGGTAGCAAGCTAGTAACACGTCGTTGCCAACCTAGAGTCCGTTCAGTTGCACTTTAATTTATTTTTGGCGAGGATTTGCGGGAGTGGACTCAATACCTTTGAGCTTTTAAGCTAATTTTGAGCTCGTTGTCGCTACTGCCTGAAGCTGAATAGTAGATGTGTGTACCTAATGACGACATCCTCATAATTAGAAGACTTCGGTGGGTATACCCCTCTTGTGAATGCAACTGAGAGAGGCAAAATTCAAAATTCGATGTCTACTATAAAGCAATGGTTCCAAGCTATCAAAAGCAATGACCTAGAGTTCGTGGAGGCGCACTTGCATGAGTACTCAAAGACTACAGACTCTAACTACCCCTATTACACCGGCCTAATGCAAGCAACTGCGGCTGGGCACATGCGAATGGTACGGCTACTCCTTGACAGTGAAGCGCGGACTACAACAAGAACTGGCTGGACAGCACTCATGACAGCCGCAGAAACCAATCAGGTTGCGTTGGTAAGACTTCTTGTCGTGCACGAGAAGGGAATGCAGACAATACGGCCCACAAACCATTACAGGGTCGGGACTACTGCACTACTTGTGGCAGCCACCAAGGGGCACCTAGAGGTCGTCAAGATATTGTATGAGCATGAGGCCAAGGTTAGCAACTGGAACCCTCTTTTTCTTGCCGCACTCACCCATAACAGTAAGGATGCCCGTGAACATCTTTCTGCCGCAGCCACACGTGTTGACACGTACAATCGAACGCCTCTCATGTACTGCGTTATGCATCTAGCTCTGGGGCCGTCTGCACCCGCCAATGATGCACTAGAGTTAACACGGATAATAGAGCTGTTAGGTCCCCTGAACGAGGGTGCAACTGATTACCATGGAAAGACTGCGTTGATTTACGCCACAGAAGCTAATAACGGCTTGGCTGTGGAAGCCTTACTTAACTATACAACAAAGGAAGCCGGCTGCAAGACAGTCTCAGTGGACGGAAAGACGGCCCTCATGATAGCTGCAGAGAAGGGCTATACAAAGGTATGCTCCCTCCTGGTGGAGAGCGAAAAGCGCATGATGACGAGCAAGGGGCTTACTGCCCTGATGTATGCGGCTGTAAATGGCCACACAGAGATTGTACAGCTTTTGGCGCCTCTAGAGGCGGACATGCACATCGTCGAAGATGTTCCTCCATTTACAGCGGGCATGAGAGCGATTGACATGGCCAAGGCAAGCAGCTTCCAGAGTATCGTCGAAGTCCTTCGCACTGCAGACGAAAATCTGCAGCTGCCCCAATCCGATGCTCCATCAATTAACCTCGAGCGAGTGTATGAAGCTGAGGACTATTCTCGCGCATCAGAGATGGATAATCTTCTCTCAGTGAAGAAGCGACACGAATTCTCCGTCCTTCGTAACCCGGTGGTGTATCCAAAAGCCTGTATTCCACAAGATATGATAACTGTCTGGTCACCATCCCTTTCATGCATCCAGTCCAACAGGCTAGCAGGTTCCCTCGGTAGGAGCGATCTAAACAACGAGCCAGAAGGCAAGCCAGTATCTGGATCGTTTCTAGTATCAAATATAGACCCACTGCAGTTATCTGATACTGCGCAGACACATAATGAACCATTTACCTCGGCTTCCATACAGACTTATAGCATCTTAAACAAACTCAACGGAGCAGTGCCCTCACGCATGCTCAATGCATCAGAGGGGTTACTTACAAACAGACCGTTCGCAGCGCATATAGAGGGCTCCACTGCAAGTGAGTCTAGAATCAATAGTAATGAAGACAAAGATAGAGACGAGCTAGGGAAATTCTTGACACGGAAGAGACAAGGTACGAGTGCCGACGCAGTGCACAATACAGCCTATGGCGCAGCAATGTATGAGAATACATCTTCCCAGTCTAACAACAGTATTCCTTTGCAGGCATCTGCGGCAGAGGTAACCTTCATCGAGCCGCCCGTGATACCGTCAACAAGCAGTATATTCTCCAAGAGAGAGGTGCCCCGCGCTGTGGAGATGCCAAGAGATGCTCCTTCTCAGGACAGTAGGCAAGGAAATGAGGTCATACGGGTAGGATCAGTCATGGGATTGCCAATGGATGACACTGTATCGCAGATAGCAGAGCAGCTGAAAACAACAAAACAGCTGCTCAACAATTACGCTGCAGATAACATGAAACTACTGGAGACAATCAGTGAGCTACGGGCAGAGCTTCAACAGGAGGAAGATGACAAGCAGGTGTTGTTGGACAAACTTGCCGTCCTCAAGTCTAAGGAGACCACAATGCAGACTGCGACCAGCACAGCCACCATGCAACGAGAAGAATATGAGAAGCGTTATACCGAACTTAAAAAGAGCAATGCAGAGGTAGAGCTAAAGGCAGCTCAGTATTACACAGAAAACATAGAGCTTAAGAGCGAGTTAGAAGAGTTCAAAAGACAGGTGGATGCTCTCTTACGAGAAAACAACGAACTGAAAAGAAAGGTAGACCGTTTTGACTCGTCGGTACGTGACACACGTCAAGGGGCCACGTCGGATCCTCTTTCCCGCTCTGCTCTTACAACATCAGTAGGCTGCTGCGGAGAAAGTGTAGAAAACAGACATTTGGCGGCCGATATAAAGGACCTGAAGGATGAGCTTGCCCAATTAACAATCAAACGTGAAAATCTTATGAGTACAGCCGATGGCTTGAGCAGTGGAAAAGATAGTGTTACAGATGGCTCAAGCTCATCTACAATGCATGAGATCATTGAGGATATCATGGTGGATCACCACCAACTGGCCATGTTCATGCCCAAATACAACAAATACATACATCTCAGCACCCTCTCGCCCACCGTGCGTCAGTTCCTCATTAATAACAAGTTTCTTTTGAATGATCTGGTGGTTGAGCGGCAGGAGAACGAGCGTATGACAGACTACACTATATATCTCAGAGAAGAGGTGAACGCACTGAAGGAGCGCGTTGGAAGGTACGAAACATCACTGATGAACAGAGGAGCTAAATGATCTAGTCATGTATATGTTTGATTGACAAGGTCTCCCTCTAGTGGTTGTAGGTACTCAGTGATCATGGGCCAGCGGGCCTTTAGCGAGTAAATTAATGCACAGTGCCCTCCAGTATCCACCAATCGCTGTTCGTATCGGGCTAGAAGCATGACAATGGGCAGGGAACCCGCCCTCGCTGCATACATCATCGCAGTGCATCCGTTGTTGTCTCTGAAGCCGTGCTCACAAGGCAGCAAGGCCTCCACCGCACCAGTGCACTGACTCTCTGCAGCGTACATAAGTGCTGTTCTACCTTCACAGTCTTGAACCGTGGATTCATAAGGAATCAGGAAGTTAACAAGTTGCTGGTGGTTTTTTGCCGCTGCCAGCATGAGGGCTGTTTGTCCTAGAAGGTTCTGAAGACCATGCTCTGGCGCTAGCAACACTCTACAGACATCCACGTTACCAGCCATGGCGGCAATCATTAAAGCTGTTGCTCCATTCTCATTAACCTCTTGTGCTTCTGCACTTAGCAATATAGATACAGATTCCATGTGACCATGGTATCCTGCAAGCATCAGAGCCGTGATTCCAGCATTGCTTTTCCGCCGCGTTTGGACGGGGACGAGCAGCTTGAGTATCTCTACATGATTTTTCTCGGCAGCGATCATAAGCCCCGTCTGTCCTGTTGGATCAACCTTATTGCCTTCCAAACCCACTAATAATTGCGCTATCTTTTCATATCCATTATTGCATGCATACAGAAATGCTGTGTGGCCTGAGAAGTCAACCATGGAGTGCTCGTTGTCCGAAAGCATCCGCGCAGCCTCATAATTCCCTCTTTCAACGGCGTGTATCAAAGCAGTTTTCCCAGTTCTGTCCTGTATTCTGGACTCCTTATGCATAAGGTCAATAATAGCAGACGTTCTATTGTGTACAGCCGCTATCATCAATGCTGTTTCCCCAGCGTTGTTCTGCAGCCCTGCCTCAGTCGCTGCAAGGGTTGGTAGTGACTCCAGTTTGTTATAAAGAACCGCAAACATGAGCGCTGTCCAACCATCAATAGTTTTAGAGCCCGCGTCAGTTTGGGCAAGGTGAGGAATCAGCTGGTTCTGGCCGGTTATGACCGCTGTCATCAGAGCTGTGAGGCCAGGAAGACAGTTGAGGTGCAGAGAGTTAATCGATGGATTGAGCCCGGGCTCTTGTTGATGTCTAGCAGGTAAAGAAAATGTCAATCTGGTGTCCTGCTTATTATAAGCTAGAGATCTATTATTGAGTGTAGATGGTGAGAGTCTAGAGAGATCGGCTGCTCGCCGCGTATCAGCAGCAAGCATAGATGATGATGGCGACTCATACTCTTCAATGGCACGTGGAATAGGACGGGAGCGCGTAGAAGATGCTCGAACTGGTCCTGTTATCCTTACGTCCCGGGAGACAGGATGAACATATGAGGAAGTTAAAACCGCAACGCTGTCCAGGGCTTTGGGCAGAAGAGATATATCTGGTGCTCTCCGAGTGGTCGTTGATTGACCGCGAATAGAGGTATTGGGTACCTCTGGCCTTATGGCCTGTGGTGCCTTAGAGTTGAAAGTAGGGTGTTGTGTAGCTAATTGAGACACGTATGGCACCAACTGTGGAGATGCAGGTATGGGAGACAGCACTTGTGGAGAGTCACCTAACTTGCTTCCATTGCCAAAGAGCAACTGGTTGCTATGCGGTTCAGATCCACTGAGGCATTGTCCCCGTGTCATATTTATTTGGTCATGTGCAGCTTCTATAGGGTTAGTGACACAAGGTGCAGATAGGGGAGAGGATAGACCCTCCAGTGCTGGCTGGGCGGTTGTGATGAAATTGGCCATATAACGTGATAAATACAATGCTGTCTCCTTCCGTTCACAGAGAACAGCCACAATAAGGGATCTGAGGGCATCAGGGGCGGGTGAGGCTGTGTCCCCCTCCTCCAAGAGAATCCGTACTATGTTCAGGTGCCCACGCTCAGCCGCATAGACAAGAGCAGTGGCCCCCAGAGAATCTGCTGTGTAGCGATGCAGAGGTAGAATCGCACGCACAGCGTCTCCTGCATTTGCAACAGCAGCAACAATCAGGCAGCACCGCTTACTTGAAAGATGGATATTGCCTTCATCCGAAAGGAGCATCTTGCAGCCTTCTGCATAGTTAAAGTGCGCAGCAAGCATCAGTGCAGTCTGCCCCCTATTATTCGTCATGCCCGCCTCGTACGGTGCCAGTAATTTGATTAGAACGGGGTATCTGAGACGTACAGCTTTCATCAGGCCTGTCTCACCGTGATCGTCAACCATTTTAGCGCATTGTGGCAGCATCCGTTGAACGGTATCTACATCCAGCACCGCAATTGCCTCAAACCATGCGCGAGGAAACGACATTAAATCGCAAGTTTTTATTTAGATTGAAGAAAGCATCGAAGAGAGGAGAAAGAACAGAAAAAGGGGAATATATTACTCGAACTTCTTGAGGAGATTAACGATCTCGAAATAGCTGTAATCAGAGGCAATCTTACACGCCGTCTTCCCACGCGCATCAACCTTCTTCGCCTCCTTAGGGATGAGAGCTCTGACGATGTCTAAATAACCACGTTGCGCTGCAAGCATCATTGCTGTCTGGCCCCTGCGGGTCTGGTATCCCCCTTCGCGCCCAATGAGCACCTTCACGACATCGTAATAGCCGTGGTTTGCTGCCGACATGAGAGCCGTCCATCCATCCTTCATGCGGATTCCCCCTTCCTTATCTACTAGAATACGGGCAATGTCTGCATATCCATTGTACGCAGCAGTCATGAGAGCTGAGTACCCATCCTTGTCAGTCATCCCACCCTCTTTATCAACTAGAAGCTGAACAACCTCCGTGTGTCCCATTTGAGAAGCGAACATCAGAGCGGTGTAGCCTGCCCGGTTCGCTAACCCAGCCTGCTTGGGTATAAGGGCCTTGACTTTTCGGACCTCGCCCTTCTGGGCAGCCAGCATTAGATCAGTGTTACCGACAAGTGGCTCTGACATTCCATCATACCTTGCTGTTCTTTCACATGTGTTATAGTCAGACCTATCGAGGTCGGCGAGATTCACGGTGTGTCCAGGCCCGGGGGCAGGTCTGACTTGAGCAGAGTCGTCATGCCTGTAGGGATTGTTTCCAACCCCTCGCATATCTGGGGAGTAGTTGCTCGTGCTGTGGACGACAGATCCCTGCACTGAAGAGTTCAGATTCTGACTATTCCCAATGTTACCGTATCCATCGGTGATATTAGATTCGGCGACAAGGGATTCATAATTCTCAATGGCCTTGTCCTTCGCTTTCGACTCATCCTTGTATAGCTTCACTAGGCTCTTCAGGTCTTCGAGATCGTTTATAATGCTCTTCTTAGTTTCGTTTGGATTCTGTATGATGTTCACATCGGAATCCCCTGCCCTGGCGGTGTATACATGGGAAGGCTCGGCGCCAACGCCGTGTCTGTTCTGGTGTTCTGCAAGATAGTCAATTATCTTAGAGTGCTTGTTCATGGCCGCTGCAACAAGGGCAATCTTCGCATCACTACAGAGCTTGTCTCCGTTGCACTCCACAAGCATCCTCACCGCCTCGAAGTGCCCGTTCTCCGCCGCATAACAGAGAGCTGTCTTTCCGTTCTCGTCGTAGATGAAGCGATTGTGGGGAAGAAGCGCCTTAATAGCATGGAGATTACCTCTCTCAGCAGCAAGCATGAGCGGCGTCCTCCCATCTGGAAGGATAGAGTCAAGCTCAAAGGACATCAATAGCTTGCAGGCCTCCGTGCTGTCCATCAAGGCCGCAAGCATAATGGCCGTGTAGCCATCGTAATTTGTCATGGAGTGCTCGTGCTCAACCAACAGAAGAGCCGTATCGAGATCCTGGTTGCGCACAGCTCGCATGAGGCCTGTCTCACCGTTCTCGTCTTTAGAGCCCTTAAATTCGCGCAACTTAGCTCGTATTTTAGCGCGGTTCCCTTCATCTATGGCCCTAAACCAGTCTCGTACCGTTTGGATGCTCATCCGTCAGATTCTGTTTTCTTAAAATTATGTAATAAGCTAATCAGCAATGTGTCATTTTTTGCTAAAATTAAGGAAAAAGTTCACAAAGTCTCTGGCAAGATCTTTATGATAGCGGGAGCTGGACAAGGCACACACCTTCTGTTCGGCCCTGTGTTGTTGAGGACGGTTCGCTAGAGTGTAGGAGACCTTGTTCTCATCTTCAGCATTGATGAGTCAAAGCCCTGCAGCAGCGTTTCTCTCGAGCCGCGTACCCAGGGAGCTCACCCCAGAAAGCACGCCCGTGGAAATGCTGGATTTACTGACCTCTCTGCAACTACGGGGAGAGGACCGCGTTCTCGCTCTCGTGTACGCCGCAGAGCTTATTGATACTTGTCTACAAAGCACGTCTCCACCGTCTACCCTCCCCGATATCACCCCACTACTTTCGGTAGCAGAGTGTCTGTTTTCCGAAGGGCACCATCGACTCGTCCAATCGTTCTGCAGCGTTCTAGCGCGGCTTGTGCGCTCCCAGCTCATCAATGATATGTCCTCTGATATCATCTTGAAGATTGCTAACATATTATCACTGCTTGCCAGTAAGCTGAACTCGGACGAGTGTTTATGTCTTCTATCTCTTTATCTGGGCTCCTCTGACAAGGCAATATTTTCCCTTGGCGTTCAGATTGTAGAAAAATCACGCAAAGTTGAGCAGGTGATTCTTGCGCCTGCATCTGCATTCGATCTGGAGCTAGCATCTATGCTCTCTGCGGGGTCATTCATTCACCAAGTCAGTCTGGCTCCATACCTCTCGACTGTTTGCAAGCTATCATCTATCTTTGTGCATATTGATAGGTTGTCTCTTTGCTATGGAATGTATGATCGTTGTCTGAAGGCTGCCTATACTTCCGTTCTGAACAAATTAGATCTATCGCAACAGTCCTCTACGCACGGTACATCTGCAGAGAACCATGCCACTTGCGTGCTCACTGTGCTCTTCCCCTATCTCTTTTCCCCTACTATTTCCATTGTGCAGCTGGAATTTTTGTCTGATATCTTTGCAATTGCGAGTCAACATGCACAGTCAGATAACATGCATAATATCCTGGTCGATATTGTAGCAGAGTTACGCGGCCTGGCTAGCTTGTATGAAGAGGGACCCTTTTTGAAACGTGTAGAGACCCTTAGAAAAGCAAACCTGACATCTCCCCAACTTCCCCTTGAGCCGCTGCTGTTTGTTACATATATGAGCACAAGCTGCAACACAGAAAGTGGGATGTTTCACCCTATTTTGCTACGGCTTTCTGTCTGCATCTATAAAATGGAAGTACTGCTCTGCAAGCGTAACACATCTGTCAGGTACAATGCGACAATCCAGACTTCCCTGACGAAGCACATCAATGGCAAGCCTGTATCTGAGTGTAGAGATTTACTAGAAACTGCTCGGGCGCAGGATGCTCCGCAGGAGCTGCGTCTTTACGTTAACCTGCGTGAGACGCAGAAGACGCCTTTAAGAAAGACATGAAAGGGATCCTACTGTGCTAAGGGGGTGAAGACTACCTTTCCTCGCTCCCCCGCGCCTTCTCCCAGCTCTGGGAATCTACCCTTTGCCTCTTCCATCAACTGTTTGCTGATCATCATCAGGATCTCGATGGCTCTGGACCCATTTGCAGATCCCTTCAGAAGCTCCTTTCCAAAGCTGGGCTGTAGGGCCTCTGCAGAGATGTCCCCAACGGACCTTGCATCATCTCCGACGTACTCTCCCAACCATACCTTGTCCATGACATCCTGGAAATTCTGAGATGTCAGGATGTCGGACACGATTTCCCCTATCGTTGCCCTTATGGCGTCACTCAAAAGGACCTGCACCTGCGGTCGCGAAAAGAAGTCGATAAGATCCACCACTTCACCGCGCGCCCATCGGCCCTCTAAGTTGTTAAGCAAAGCACTAGGAAGGCCCACTATTCTATATAGCGTGTCTTTAATGTCTGGATGCAGCTCCTGCTCCGAGAAAATAGTGATGCTATCGACGACGCCAAATGGATCGACCTCGAGGTGGCACCAGCGCTCACCCTTCTCAAGCTTACAGAGCTTTCCTGTTTCCACGACCCGGAAGTACTTTTCAACAGTAAGACTGGGGTCTCTAACGTCCCTTAGGGGCCTTGAGACACGGAAAACATGGCCGCTGATTACCCGGCAATTGAGAATAAGGGGGTTAGTGAACTCTGGCACAAGGCCGTCGTCGTCTAGCACTTCGAAGTCCAGGAGCCGCTTACTGAGTAACCGATAGACAGCATACCGGGCCGATTCAGATGCAGAAAAGAGGTTCCAATCTACGACTGGCTTGATGGGATCAGCTGTCAGTGCATGCGGGGCCATTGGTATCTTCATGGTGGAGAGGCAGTTGGTTGCGCTGTTATTTTGCTGCATTCTCCGTAGTAAAGTTGCGCGACTTATCTTGCCTAGGTTACAAGCGGCGTATACCCTGGGATCAGAGGCTTGTGCGTTAGAATTGACTATCAGGGCCTTATCGAACACCAAATCGGACCTCATTAGAGCACTGGCGTAATGGAATGGGACCCCGAAGCTCTCCGTGAGAAACACTGCGCAGACATGAATGTCCAACGAACCCATTTGGGGGCTTGGCTCTGAGTTGCTTATTTGCATGCGTGCAATGCTTCCTGTTGGCCCTGTGATGATGCGTGTCATGGCGCCTGCATTCAGGAAAATGGAGCCAGGAAGGTCATCGCCATATGCACTACTCATCTCGCCGTCGGGGTTAAACGCTGTGTTTGTTTGGAGACCTAGTCTGAGGCCGCACAAGCTAGCACCAAGGAAAAGCTTTTTCCGGTACCGTTTCTTCTTTGAAAGCGTCTTCTTTGCGTCGTGCTGCAACTTGTGTAGGCGCTTCTTCAAAATGCGAAAGATCTCAAAACGCTGTTCATTAGTATCCATAACACTGGGGTCAAATTCTGGGTCGCCTTCTGCAAGATATCGGACAAGGACACCATTTATGTCTCCTAGCAACAGAGCATCACAGACGTCATCAAGCTCCTCCAGCTCTTCTGCAAAGTTGGGTATCCTAGAGTTTAGAGATATGTCCGCAGCGTCGAGCTCCTCTAAGGTCTCACGGATTTCCTTCACCATTGCTACAAGCTTGTTCTCATCAAGGGAATCTGCATCATTGTCGCTGCCCTCTTCAGATTCACTATCAGAAAGAGCTGAATCGTCAGCATCGTAGTCGCGTGCTTCGTCTTCGTCAGATTCATCGGAATATTCGTCCTCCTCGTCTGACTCGTCCTCTTCGTTACCATACCCTGGCATCTTACCGAACACTTTCGTTGATAATCCGTTTAAGGAACAGAGGACGTCCAGTATTCGTATGTTCTTTAATATATTAATCCCCAACTTGTTCATTTCTTCGAGAATGTATGCATGCAAGTCACGGGGGAATGCTTCGGAGCGCTTTTCAGCATACTGAGATGTAGAGTTGTCGGATACGCCCCTGGCTGCCATCTCAGATTGGCGCATTGTAACCCGCTTAGTAGGATCCATGGGCATGATGCTGTTGCTGCGAATGGCATATTGTCCGTACCCAGGAGGTGCGACGAGATTATCTAGCATTGCATCGTTGCGGGTTTCTGTTTGATCGACAGTCACGGTGGGATCTAGAGGTATGAGCAAGAAGATAGAAGACGGAGCAACTCCCGAGTCGAGCAGACAGCGTATGATGCTGAATGATTCAAACGTATCTCCAACAACGGCAACTGACACCCTAGCGGCATCGACAACTGATGCAGTAGTTGTAGGCGCAGCAGTCTGGCCTTTTACCCCCTTTCCAGGCTTCTCCTGGGTCAGAGACGGGAAGAGTTGATTTCTAGCTTCGTTAGTGATGTCTGCAAGCCTTTTACATAGAAGAGGGAGCTCTAGCATGGCGCTCGGGGACGAAGCCTGAATTATTTGGCTGGACTTTGCATACGGCGAAAGAAGCCTATAGGGCCCAAGCTGAGACGTTGGCTTCTGCTCCTCCTCCCCAGACGGCTGCTGCGCTGTCCCTTTCGTAGCAGTGGTTGCGGCGCTACTAGTAACTATGTTTTCATCTTCCTTATTGGTCGTCGCGCTGCTACTCTTTGCATTAAGCTGCTTCAAGATGTAAGGACTATATAAAAGATTGATGCAAGTGTTTAGATTAGCCGTCAACGTGCTGTTATAGAGAGCAGACAGCTGTCGCTTGGAAAGGGGCTCGTCTTGAGTAAGATAACGCATAAACAAACGTGCATTCAGCCTTGGCGCAAGCAGCTGCTCGTAGTACGTCGCCTCCTTGGAGGAAGAGCTTTCCAGGACACGCTCATTGATCATGCACGAAAGCAGACTACTATATGATCTGGCTTGTGACAGAACTGGTATAATTTCTTGATCCTTAAATCCACGGGTATTGAGAGCGTTACCTTGAAGCTGTGAGAGTTGACCTGCATTACTTGCTCCGGACGGGTCAACGATGCCATATGCAAAGGACGCAGCCGAATTAAGATTGAAGCTAGGAACCAATCTGAATGATTCTGCGTCGCTGCCCTCTGGGCACAACATAATGATATCAAACCCAAATTCAGCGCCACTTGCGAGCTTCAGCAGCCCGTTATTCAGAGAAAGCTCTAATATCTCACCTATATAGATGTCATACAACAGGTGAATTGCTCGATCCCGGACAGAAGGCAGTGACTCCCCGTGATCAAAGCAGAGATCGTACTCTGATTTTTCGTAGTCAATTATATAGGGCGTCACAATGCCTGGGGGTGGGGACACAACAACGATGTTCTTGAAGCGGGCCAGGTCGGCACAATCGTGCATGGTGGTGAGCGTGGAGATGAGCCCGAGTCCTCCTCCTATAAGGACAAGTCTATCAGTGAAGGTAACGGGTGGTTTGATAATGATGGATGGGGGCTCAGTAGTGTTGGCGATGGTGAGCGGTGGTGTAAAGTGATGGATGAGATCGCTAGGGCACAGGGCAAAGAGACTAAAACACGGATTTAATACCCGGAGGGCTGACGTCTTGATCTCACTGGTTAGATCTTCCTGCATAACGCTGTTGAATCGAGCCTCGTCCTGCAACCTCTCAGCAGACTTCTCTGGATGGCCAGTTGGGATAGAACCGTCGAAGTGTTTGCGGGCTGCAGGTTTTATAACGTGCTCATCTCGTTCGCTGGGAAGAAGAGTTACAGCAGGTATGTATCTAGATGCTCTAAACAGGTCCTTTTCAAATGAAGTTAAAATTGTATTGGTGTCACAGTCTATCTGTTGAAACATACCTGTTTCATTATCATAAACTTTCTTTATAGATTTTTGCAGTGTGGACCCTATTGAAAGCAAAAAGCCGTCCACACCGGCAACACGCATGCATGAATTAAGGATAGTATCCTTGTGTTGTACAAACAAGGGGTCAATGATGAATGCCCTCAGATAGGCATGCTTAGACAGATCCTCATCATAATGCATTGTGCACCAGGGCGCGCTTCCCAAGCAGAGAGACGGCATCCAGACAGAATCTGTATGGTTGAGTTCCCACGGAACCTCACAGTCAGATGCCTTACCCCTCAAGGTAAGGTGATAGGCCTGGAGATAGTCGCTCATGGCCCCTGGTAGATCGTCAGTTGCTATGTTCATGTCCAAGATGCAGACTGCAATGGGAACTTGCCTATCTCCAACAGCATTGCATGCTATAATTGTACCAAACGACGATTGAGGGGTCAAGGACTCCAACTCCTTGTGAAGCGTTGATGAAGTGTTAATGATCGGGCGTTCTTGCTTAAGAGATGCCTCTAAGTATCTGCAGGCCTCCTCCAGAAGGGGCAAATCCCTAACACGTCTAATAGTGACTGTACCCAGCCAGGCATCCTTGTGGCACACAAAGAGTGACTCTCGGGGTGAAAGAGGGGAGCGAGGGTCAATCAAAGTGAACAGCCTGAGCATTTGCATGTCTGTGCATGTAGCTGCAGAGGGTAGGGTGAGAAGGATGGCTTCGAGAGTGGGCCATTGCTCAAAGACAGCGCTGATGAGTTCCCCGCAGCGGCTCTCAGCTATAGGAAGGGTAGCAGTGGCGCGTATAAAGCCGAGATCTTCGTGCGGAATCTTGTGGAGTGAATATCTTTCTAGACAATGGCTTTTCTTGAGATTCTCGATTGTCTTGGCGTCCTCACTGGATTGCGGATTGCACCGCTCTACGTAAAGAAAAGAAACGGGCTTACGTATTGCGTTAGCCTCGTTTGCTCTGTACTCAAGAGCATATGACTCATAGTCGAGTGCAACTAAAGACATCTTTTGGCTCGGTTCAGCGCTGGCCGACGTTATCAGCCCTGCGATAAAGAATTCCCCAAAGCGAGCTCTAACAGATGTATTTTGTAATTCGAAGATCGAAACCAAGTCATCATGGTCCCGCATGTCTGCATTTCGGACGGAGAGGGGAGGAAGAACATCTGAGCGCAGACAACACATGATGTGGCACATGCTGGGGGACACTGGGGTCTCAGCTGCTAATTCTGGGAATATCTTGCGTAAGTAAGGTGGAGGACTGGTAAAGGGGTGGGACAAAAGGAGTAGATTTTCATGATAAGGGTCATAGTTGAAGTACCCCTGAACGAGGACAGACATAGCTATGTTGTGTTCTGGAGAACAGTATGCCATTCGGACCCACGAAGTAACAAACTCGCTGGTTTCGCAACCATAGACCAGATCTATGTAATCAACCCAATAGGAGGGGACCTTTGTACCGGGGGCAGAGGCCGGCTGCTGCTCTGGGTTCAAATCCTGGTAAAACTGAGGTAACGGAGCTACCATGAGTATGGCACATATCTCGTTATCAGCCACGGACTCGGCCACTGCGGCATAAGAGCAAATGGTATGCAGCTGCTGCAAATCTGTCGTGACGAAGAGTCGTCCATAAATGGGGTCTGAAAGGAGCTCGCTACAGGCGGGGTAATCCTCTGGAGATAGATCTCGCATTGCATACTGGCTCGTCATCAGGACAAATTTTAGTTTTTAGTGACGGGACTGAGATAGAACCCCACGCCCAAAGAGAGTAGGGCCGTATTATGACTAGTTTACCTTAGAATCTCACGTTAGAATCTGTTGTCTTTTAGAAAAAGAAAGTTCTCGACCTGCAGGCATGCACCAAATATTGCAGAGTTCTCTCAGCTTCTTTGAGGATGGAGCTCAGGCAGAGCGTAAGCTTCTTTCCCTCATATCAGCGTTCACCGAAATGATCTCCCGCCTCGATGACCCGTCAGATGTTTATGAGACGACAATCACTTGTGCCTCGCTCTTTTTCCAGCTTCCCTGTCCCAACGCAGGAAGGGCCCTGGTTGACCTCATTCTTGCTCCGTTGCTGCAGAGGGTGCAATTTACTCGGGATTATGCCACGTGGATTAACGCTTCCGTTCGTGATGGTTTGGCCTGCAATCTAAAACAGCCAGCGAACCGCTTCAGATTTCTTGACCCTGATAATGTTTTCGATATTTTAATTTTGGCTGCCACACAGGCAATCTCTGATAAAATAATAAATAAGAAAAGGGATTTATTTAAAATTTGTGACATTCCCCCTGAAAACAGAATAGTGATAATTTATTTCTATGGAGTTCTATTTTCCAAATCTACATTTCTGCGGGGAGTCTGCAAGCAGAGTTCACCTCAGCTATCGGAACAATTGACAACTATTTACAACACTACCTATGTACGGGGACTGCAACAGATGCTCACCAAATCATGTGAGGTGATTGAGGCTATTAGAGGCACCGTTGCAAGGCTCTTCTATCATATGGCGTTACTTAATATTGATATGATCTCAACTGTGCTATCTCTTAACCCTCTAATGAACCTCTTACACAGTATGCAGTCCCGGTGCGGAGGGTCAGCGCCCAGCCATAGAGGAGACTTGGAGGCTCTTTCGGTGCTTTGCAAAGATATCTGTGTTTATGCACAGTCATGCCCGGCGTCACTACTCAGCGCTGTCAGAGACCGCTATGTGTCATACTTCTCATCAATCCCATTCACCAGTGTTCCGCCACCTCTACGTCCGTTTCTGCTGGACGATTCAGGACCCCTCTACCCGGCCATTGTGATTAGAGGAGATGATGAGGATGAGAGCGCCTACAGAGTGCGTCTGTTTGCGCCTTCTGACGTCATCAGTAATCTTCAAACGAGCCCTTTTCAAGCCCAAGGAGAGCAGCTTTACACAAGCATCATGGGTCAGTACTCCTTCCTGATACACTCTCGCCCGTTCCCTACCATTGCAAGCATGCCCCAAATCCTGCCCTCTGCCCGCTCTCCCGAAGGTGCCCCGTTAGGCCTATTCACTGCAGCAATCCTAGGAGAGGCTCGAGCATTTACTTCTTAGCACCAAGGGTCACGGTGGCCTTTTCTGTACCGCGCTTCTTCAAGCGTCTGTTCTTGAGATTCTTAAGCTGCTTGCGAGAGACAGGCTTGGGCGCCTCGATGAGCCCGCAACGTATCTTGCGAAACCCTGGCTCGTACTTCATGAGGGCGTCCATGTTCTGATAGGCGTTGCAGAACCCCACCGTGTGCCCACCACCAAAGGAGGTCTTAAATCCGTAGAGGACAATATTCTTCTGGTCAGCGACCTTGAGTTGTTGAGCAACTTTGGCCTTGATGGCCTCTTTGGACTCGTAGGTGCACCCCGGGTGAAGTACATCCACGACACACTGCTGGCGCTGAAGGAGCGGGTTATTGAGGACCTTCCTCACCTTAACTGTGATCTCGGGCATCGCTAGCCCCGCTTTAATGACAACGAAATTCAGATTTAAAATATAAAATATTTTTTGGGACTCTGCGGACAGATTGACCTGGATGCGTGAGCCCCTGGATGTGAGCGTGAAGAGAAGCCCGCTCGGGCGTTGTCCGGATGCGTCTGCAGTTGTAACATTTCATCCGGACCCATCTCAGCTTGGCGGGTCTAACGATGGAGAGAGTGATCGTCTTGAAAGCCTCACTGTTCGCCTTTTGGATGAAGAATCGTCGCATCCTTATCACTCAGCAATGAAGATACTGTCTCTGGATCGCTTCACCTACCCTACCTTGTATCGCCACACTGGTGTGCCATACCCGTCGCTCATTATGCCTCTGTCAACTAACTCGCTTGCATATGTCGGGCTTGCGCGGCCAGAAGGGCTTCAGGTCCTTCTAAGTTTTCACAACGACCCCATCCAAAAGGCCCTTGTCCAGCTCATTGGACAAGAGTCGTATGATGAACTTGTACAGGCAACGTGCTATTATACAGAAGGGGAATACACAGCTGGAAACGCATCGCGCATGCTAGAAAAGCTTTACACCCTGATGTTTGCAACTATCAAAAAGCTTTCTGAGTCCTTAGCCAAGTTGTCAGAAGAGAGCAACACACCCATGCCTCTTGTGACCAAGCTTCTGGCAGAGCTGTCATCCTTAAAGAGGCCCCTATTCACTTTTGAGCAAGCTGCTCTGCAGCTCCAGAGTGAAGCTCTCTTCATTGTTCCCTTTCTGAATATATTGGGAGCTAGCCCCGGAAGTCCCATTTTGCTGAGCCCGGACACATTTGTGTGGCTGGGTCCTGGTGACTATATGCTGGTAGAGTTTCTAAGCACCAAATCTCAGAGTATTGCAGATGATTTATCGCCGTGGGCATCAGACACAGAGAGGGGTAAGGAGGTGTACGATTTAGTTTTGCAGAGCAGCCACTTGACAGTCTGTCTTCCCAGGCACTATGTGTTTGAGCACGATGGATATGTGGGAGAGCTGAAATACAAGGCATTGAATATGAATATTCACGAATTTGAGGCACTGCACAACGATGACAAGCTTCTTAGTGGGGTCAGCATGTTCGATTCATATACCATAGTTCTAAAGCACGGAGAAAAGACTGTCTTTTCAGCATGTATTCATATCGTCCCAGTCGGAAATAAGGCGTACAATTTTGAAACGAAAGATTTGGGGCTTCTGGCTACTGCAGATATGTACGCTCTTCTTCTGCGAGGAGTGCTTCAGCTCCATGACGATCGAGTTATTGCCCCGTCCTATTGGAAACTATCTGGCCTAGCCTCAGAGGACCCTATCGGACTTACACCACTAGGCTTGGCAACCTATGGTGCCCTTAGCTGTGTGTTTCTGATTGTAGACAATGTTCCGAGCGCTCGTTAGTGTCCTCAATGTTGCGCATGCTACACTCAGAGCTCTGCTCCAAGCATAGCGAGCTGTCTCTTGTTGGCGGAAATACAACCTCGTCAAGAGACTCGTTGACGAAATCGGCAACTATTTGAGAAAGGTTGGCCTCGTAGTCTGTCTGATCCCCTGACACTATCTGTGAATGCCTCTGTGGATCGTCTCCAGACTGTCGTGAAGATGACTTGACAACCCTGGTGAGCTCATTGTAGAAGTTAGTAAACCGTGTTATGAGAGCACGCATTGTTGACTCCTTTGAGTGAAGTCCAAGTGCAGTCCACTCAAGTTTGCGCAGCTCTTTTAAGAGAAGCGAATGCTCAGCTAAGAGCGCTGTGTCGTGGATATTAGTCTGCTGCCTTTCTGTGCGAAGTGCCATCAGAACATCTCTTGCATGCGCAAGCTTCTGTCTAAGACTATCGTTTTCTTGGAAGACCTCTTGAGAGTAGCCTACAGAGCGCTCTAAGTTGTCCTTCGCCGCTTGCAAAGCTTCCTTGAGGGCTTCTTCTCGTTGCAAATGCTCTTTCTCTTGTTTCCTAAGACTAAAGGCTAGCTCTTGCAAGTCACCTTTTGCTCTATTGTGCTCATCATCAATCTGCTTCAACCTCTGTCGAAGCTCAGTGTTTGCCTCACGCAAGTTGGACAGCTTCTCTCTAAGCTCCTCGATGCTTCCATAGTCATTGCTGGTGTCTGGTGGAAGCTCTTCGGAACTGGTTGCAAAGGATCTCAAAGACAATTGATCAGATTCAACATCGTGGTGATGTCGAGAGGATAAAGGAACTGCTGATCTGAGAAGAGCTAGGGAGTCAGGGTGTGTGCCTCCACTACCTGTCATTAAAGTTGAAAGAGTTAGCGGCGGCTTAGTTCTTTGTGAGAGGATCGATAACATCTCTGGGCTTCCATATTTAGCTGCTATGTCTGTGGGAGTCATTCCTGGCTCTAGTGTATGAATGCAGGTACATCCTCTATGAATTGCTATGTGTGCCTCTGTCGGAGCAAGCAAGAGAACGATGTCGTAATGGCCGTGGATAATAGCAATATCGAGCGCACACAGTCCATAAGGGTTTGCAAGCCCAGCTTCTTCTGAGGCAAGAAGCTCGGATGCCTCGAGATTTCCTAATTCTGCGGCCATCATAAGTGCAGAATACATTCTCGAGCGAGGAGAAATTATTCGTAGCTCCAGTGGGCACTCACTCAAGACATAGGCAAGAAAGTCAATATTGTCGGTGCGTACTGCGTGCATCAGAGCCGAATACCCTGCGAAGTCCAGACGTCCTGCAGAGAGCTTTGCTTCTGTCCTCCGATGTAAGTCAAAGGCAAACAAGCCTTTGTGGGAATGCATTGCATAATACATCAGGGGTGTGTGACCGGCGCTGTCGTGCACAGTAGCCAAGCAAGCCTCTTGGCCTTTGAAGAGTTGAATGAACTCATCGGTCCAACGGCTGATCTCTTTCTCATATTCTAAAAGAGCTGATACGCACTCACAGTGCCCAAGGGTTGCTGCTACAATCAGAGCGGTCGACCCTCTGCTGAATATTCCATCTTCCTCAATAAGCTGTCTTCCAGCTAAATCGAGGGCAAGCATCTGCACAACTCGTGCTTGCCCATGGTACGCAGCCTCCATCAATGCTGTCCAGCCGGTTGGACGCGTTATGGTACCCTCTGTTTCAATGAGAAGTGCAACGACCTCGAGATTTCCTTGAGCTGCCGCCACCATGAGAGCAGTGGCTCCCTTATTGTTGAATATTCCAGAACATTCATCTAGCCGAGACAGTAACAGCTCTGCGTCGTTTTTCCGGGCCGCGAGGAACCACTCATCCATAGGAAAAAGTAAGAGCGGCGAAGAAAACAAGAATTTACTGCGAGTTCTGGGTCTTACTTCCTCATCCTCTTCATGGTCTTCAAAACTGGCTTGACCTTAGCTTTAGCCTTCATCCTAGCCTTCGCGGCTTTCTCCTTTGCAGCAGCTTTTCTTTCTTCCCTCTTCCTTCGCGCGATAGCTTCTGGAGTGTTCTCCAACTCTGCCTCAAGGAGTCGGATTCGATCGGCTCTAGTAAGCTTCTTCGTCGGCGGATTGCTTTCGCGCTTCTTTTTCATCTCCAATATGCGCTGGAGCCTCTTTTCTTCTGCAAGATTGCTACGGCGGAGTTTCTCCGCCTTCTTTGCCTCGAGGGCCTGCATTCTCTGCTCGAACTCTTCGCGGGTCTCATAGGGAGACGTGCCTCCTTTCACTTCTGTGGCATCTCCATAGAAACGGTTCACAAGCTTATTGGTTCGGATTTCTGCCCGCTCCGTGTCTAGATAAGGATAGTACTTGATAATGCGCATGCCCTTGAGAGCATCTAGATATTCAGTAGAGCACTCGCTGATTTGTCGTTTGATGTTTGCCATCCGAGCCTTGTAACGCCCTTTTTCCTCATTCATAGATTCCTTAAGTTTCTTTGCAATTTCGAGGATATCTGCCTTCGTATGAGGTAGATCCTTGAAGTGTTTATTGACTATGTGCTTGGCGGCTTCAGTTGCGTCGTCCTTCTCCTCGTAGAGATCCGTTACTGTGGTCTTATGCAGTGTCACATCAACAATTACATTGGTCGGCTCCACCATCTCCTTCATCTCTTTCTCCTCCACATCGGGGCGGAAAATATACAAGTTGGCATACTTATACCTATTTAACTGGAGCTCAGACATGAACTCGACAGTGCTGAGACGCTTGTTCAATGCCAGTGTTTTAACAATGAGTTTTTTCTTTGGCTTCCCATCAACCTTTGCGACTCCAAAAGATTCCTCTCTGAAGAAAAGATCCATTTGCTCGAATGACAGGACGTCTATACTATTCATCTGAACAGACTTGATTCCTATCTGCTCCGGCAAAGGAATACTAATACTAACCGCACAAATGATTGGAACCGGGAGGAACTCTTTGCCAACAAGTTTTGGTTCGGAAATCCCAAAAAGATAGACATGCCTTCCCGCTAGAATATCAGTATAGAGAGCGCCGTCGGTGTCTAGGTCTTCTCCCAGATGCGGAAAGAGCCATGGCTTTGCGAAGAGCCTCTCATAGTGATCAAGCTCCGTCCCGCAGAAAAATATATCGCGCCAACATCTGTGGGCAAGCTTCTCATGATAGGACATGTCTACCCCGAAATAGTCCGCACGTACATATGTGAGCGAGTCATCTGAGATGAAGGGCCTCTCTCCACCGGCCTTAGAAGAATGGGAGCGGCTCTTCTCCTCCATATTTTTTTAGTTTCCCCGGCTCTTATTTTTAATTTGAATAACCGCCCAAACTGTATCTTTGCAAATCTGCCCTAGTATTAGCACTTTCGAATTAGGATATTAATGGGTGAATGGTCACTCAATAGCCCGTAGTTAGCTAACCAGATAGCAACTATTTTTTGATAACTCAACCAGTACCCGTATCTAGAACGACTCGTCCATTGCCACACTGCTTAATGTAGAAACATTACTTTCAGGAACCTTGATCCCGTCTTCCTCGCAGGACTCGGGAGCTGATCTGCTGTGAGTCTGTGACTGGTCCTCAGGAATTGCAGGCATGACAGTGATAGTTACATCTCCCTTCGTTATATTAGCACTAGGTAACTTTATCGATGATGGTTCCTGCTGAGCCACTATGCTTTTGTATAGCTCCAGCTGCTGCGCATATTTCTTATTGCCGAAAAGTTCTATGTTGAAGGCGATAGACAGCACATCGCTGCTGAGAGAACTGTGAACGCAGCGCCTATTAATCATTGCTGCCAAAGATACCGAATTTTCAGAAAGCATGGAGGCCGTGCTATCAGCCAATTGCTCCTCCAGCTCTTTCAGCTCTCTCTGCGCCAGTGCATGCCGCATGGATATGTACACATGGTTAGTGAAGCTCTTTAGATAAGCCTTGGTGTCATCGCTCGGCAAAGACAGCATCACCATCTGGCACAAAATTCGACGGGCCCGGAGCCGTGCGACGATGTCCGTGGTCTTAGACAAGGCTGCAGTGAACTCATCGTTTGTAGCTTGGTCTGCTTTGGTAAATGCAATAAGGACCTCTTGATACTGGAGAACGCGGTCAACCACCGATTCAAGGTGCCGGATAGAAAGATCAACATTCAAGCATGAGACGGTGAACACTAATCCGTTGGTTAGGAGTATTGCATTGTCTTCATAATGCACATCCTGGACGATCAGTCGCAGTGCGGTACAACTCCGGGGCGGAATATAATGAGTCATAATAAAAGAAGAGCACTGAGATGGGGAGAACCGCAAAAACGGAAGACCAGCAAGCAAGGCCGTAAGAGTACTCTTGCCTGTCGACCGAGCCCCAATGACCGCAATACTTAACTGCTGAGTTTGGCTTACTGGGATCGAAGTGTGGTGTAGTGCTGCCAGCGCAGCCTCTGCAGCCTTCTGATCCGTCTTGTTCAGAATGTGGGACGACAGAAGGGTCGAGGTCATCGTTTTAAATTTTTGAATGGGCCTTCCCTGCTTGATTCCCTGTTCCGGGATTCGAGAGCTAAATAAAAATCCACAGCTGATTGACATACCACATGGTAATATCTGATTCCGCCAAAATAAAAATGCTTTCATCTGATTATAATGGATCTATTGAGACGTGTCTAGTTAAAGGCCGACTTTTTAAGCTACGCGATACGTCTTTAGGATTTGAGCCTAGCAACAGGGAGTATTTGCGTGACTTTCCCGCATACGTCTCCGGCGAGGAGAACTATCAAAAGGAACTTTCTAGCCTTAAAGCTGTACAATCCATTTTTCCGCTACGATGTTATAGCCCTTCCAAATCAGTGTTTGCAATGATTCATTCAAAGGAAAACAGCTTACTTATGAAAAATACTAGCGCGGGCTTCCACATTCCATACATTCGGCCGGAAGTCCTTTCTACGGATCCGCGTACTATGCTATCTATTTTTCAAAAGCAGAAGCAGTATCCTGCACTTAAGGTAATGAATGTAGGTAGTGAAATTGATGCAGCATTCACAGGCGGCCTTTTAGAACAGGAAAGTTCATCAAACATAGGGTCGTCTTTTACTAGTTCTTCGAATATGTATGTGTCCTCAAGCAGCCAGATCAACATGACGCCGTCGACTTCCTCAAGTAGCCACCAGACACAGGATACATTTGATCAGACCGATTTAGATGAAAAGTTCTTGGCACCACTAAATGACAATGACCCTGACTCAGGATACATCTTCTTGGCAGGTCCATTTTTATTGTCTGTCTCCGAACGTAGGAGAAAGGAAGCGGAAGATCCATACGTATGGGTGCAATACGATGTCGAAAAGGTGACTGGCTGCCCACACTACTGGACAGGAGCGTTTATTGTGTGTCCCGATTGTGCACAAATCTATCCGTGTCGTATTTGTCATGACAATCTGGTTCCTGGTCATACCCTGGATAGAAGGAGAGTTAAGGAAATGTTCTGTCTCACGTGCAACAAGGTTGGACGCATAGGCTTTCGGTGCGAATATTGTGGTGTGGTGGTCTCGAGAACATTCTGTAACATATGCAACACTTTATGCATGCTTGGCCCCGAAATGAAACCAACGTACCATTGTCAGCACTGCAACTCGTGTCATGTAGGTCTCCAGGAGATGGTAAGACACTGTAGCACTTGTCGAACGTGCATTAGTAGAGAAGACTATGACACACACGTGTGCGATTGTGATAACATGTGTCCTGTTTGTATGATCCCGTTTGCAGATAATGTCATGTCGGAAATAGTTCTACCGTGTAACTCAGCACATAAGATGCATAGAAGGTGCTTTAATGATATGATAATGAGCGAAAACATAACGTGTCCGCTGGACCACAAGATTATCTTAGATAGATACCGCTATGGGATTATCAGGTGTGAGAATTTGAGACGCTACTCAGAGACACAGCTAAGCCTAAACCAGTCTGAGCTTGTTAAAATTAGGGTCTACTTGTGTCATGATTGCCAGAGGGTATCTGCAGACCTATCTTTTCACTTTATAAGCCTGCAATGCCACTTTTGCTATAGCTGTAACTGTAGGTTCTTGTACGTGCTTGACTTCATGCCTTCTGAGTTGACAAGCGAGATTGAGGATTTAGCTCTGGATGACTTAGAAGGCATATGTATCACTGCACAGGAAAAGTGTACGGCTGGGGAGCGGGAAAAGGTACGGCAGCACCTTCTTCTCTACAGAAAGCTATATTCAGATATCGTTCCTACGTTGGTCTATTTGAACTCGGCGATGTTTGGGCAAAGCTCCGACATGGTTCAAATTATATTAAATTTGATTCAAGCACATGCACCAGCACACTGACAATGCATGAGGCTACAGGTGCTCAGCTAGTGAGTAGGTTTGCCACATCTGGGGAAGTGTCAATAGATTGGAGGTGCGATTTTCCAGGCTGCTCCTTCAATAGATACCCCTCGGATTCTAATAGTCTTTTGACGACCTCCACATATCCCCATTTTATAGCATACAGAATCGCCGAGTAGCCCTTAAAATCCTTCATCCCTGCTTGTGTCTTGACAAGCTGAACCACGCAATCCACATGGTTGTTCCTTGCAGCATGGATGAGGGCGGTCCAGCCATTTTTGTCCACTAGAGATACCTCTTTGTCCGCTATCGGAGATTTCAAGAGAATGCCAAGAACTTGTGCATTTCCACTCTCAGCAGCCATGCTTAGTGCTGATGCCCCATACTTATCTGTCCTACCCATTTCTTTTTCGCATGTGGACAGGACTGATACAATTCTCTGTCTGTTGTACTTTACCGCATGCATTAGCGCTGTGCGGCCCATGTGGTTGGATTCTCCCGCAAGCTGTATGGTTGCCAAGACAGCTCTCTCTAGACCTTGCTTTGATGCGATTATGAGGGCGGTACACCCTTCGTTATCACTGTACATTCCTTCCTGCTCGATGAGTAAGGAGCATATTGACGCGTATCCTAATGAGGCAGCCAGAAGTAGCGCGGTAGTTCCGTCATTTGCTTGAGCTCGCGCCTCATATGGCATAGTTTTCCTTACTAGGTGCACATTTCCAGCTTTGGCTGCGTGCATAAGCGCTGTGTACCCTGAGCAGCTACGCATCCCATGCTCTCTGGCTATTAGCTCATCTATCACTGCATCATCCTGGAGTCCTATTTGATCGCACGCCATCATAAGCGCGGTTGTCCCATCGCGGCGAGCTAGGCCAGCTTCATCCATTAATAGCGCTGCTGCATTGCAGTTTCCGTTAGCTACAGCAATCATCAGTGCAGTTTCTCCATCGCTCTCGGTGCCAATTGTCCTCAGTTGCATCCGCATCTCCTTAGCTTTCAAGCATTCAATATAAGCTAAGGAGTTATTTTCCGCCGCGTACATTAAGGCAGTTTTTCCGCGAGCGTCCTGCATTCCAGCATATCGCTCCACCAACTCATCGATGAGTAGAGGAAACCTGCTTCTTGCCCCTAGTATAAGTGGGGTTGCGTTTTGACTGCCTATCCGGTGGTGAGTAGCATCCTGACTCGGCGGGCATAGGATATATCGGAGAATAATCATGAAATCGTGCTCCAATAGATCAGACACCAAGAAGCGAATACTGCCCTGTGTGTAAAGCATACGATAGCCAATAAGCGCTAGTTCTATGGAATATCCCCGAAAATAGAGGTGATTCGCATTGTAATATTCGTCATCTTCGTCTGTAGTCGCTAACATGACTGGGCTCAAATCGCATAGTAGAAGCACGATACGGCCAATCATGTACGTCTCTATCTTAAGCCAGTCAGCTTTACTTGTCGGGCAAGTGTCCTTATGTTCGGGCTCCACGTAGAAACTGAGTGGCGGAGAGACAGCAGTGCATGACATACAGTTATTAGAGCAGTCCTCGTATGGCCAGAGGTCGGCCACGGCGACACTTTTGAGTATCAAAGGCTGATTAGACAGACTTTGAAAAAGAACAGTCCTATCAAATAGATAGTTAAAACAATACACAAAAACATCCAACCTGCAAAAACCTGCGTTATTCATGTAGAACGACTTCAAGCTCAGGACGGGAACCTGGCTCCGCAACTGTACAGAATCTGCTAGAATATAGTTTCTTATTGCTTGAGCTTCTTTTACTGCGGAAAGCATGCTATACATAAACTCCCAGACGACATGTTCTGGTAGAGCACTGTCTATAAACCTCGCCTCACAATAGATTGTCTCTAGAGGCGTGTCCGTAGCGCCATCTGTATAGACCAACAACTCTTCTTTAGTTTCGGTCCATTCTACTACATGTATAATGAAGCTAGAGTTGTTATCGCGTAGCTTTTCCAAAAGCTTGAATAAAAGATTGCGGTCAAGCACTGCATTCAGTGGAATCGTATATCTGCGACATACCTTCATACTTCCAGGAGATCTACATGTGGCTGATTGGAATAAGCCTAGCTGAGCAGGTGGAGCAGTAGAATCTAGAAACATTTTTTAAAGTTCCTGCTTCTTACTCTTAAACACAGAGTTAGACAGGGTAAATCCCACACAATGCCGAAAGGTCGGTGTAAACGAATGATGAATTAGCTCTGGCTTTAAAAATTGCATGTAGCAGCGATGATGTTGAGTGTCATCGCCCGTCATAAAACTCGTTATAAGGGTTGCTTCCCAAAACAACGGCAGTAGCCGCTTCTCTATTCTTTTAAATGCAAGATCTCTCTCTCCGGGATCCAGGGCCACTGGTTGAAGGCACATAGTGTATGCCAAGGGCAGTTGCACCCCAAGGATCTCACTCAGAAGCGAGGAGCACGCAATAATGTATTCCCTACGATAGTATGGAGCACACATCTTCTTCAAGAGAGATATGCTCCTCTTCATAGCAATCAACGACACGTCCTCTTCTGAAGAAGGCTGTCCTTTATGGACCCTAAATGGTAAGAGGAGTAATCTGTCACTAGGCAGCTCTGGAAAAGCTAGACAGCTATACTTGGTGTCCCTGTCCTCTTGTTCAGAGCTAGGGCTGCAATCGAGTAAAGCGTCGAAGAGAGGGATTCCGTTAATAGCCTCGAAGCCAACCTCAGACACCTCTATCACGTAATTGATGGCCCGAATGGATGCAAGCGTGTAGAGAATGTATTCGGTGCTTTCAGAGACAAACAGGCTTTCTAAGGCACGCAGGCCAATGTCATAAAAGTCTAGATCCAGTGCTGTTTCACGTAACATCCGCATTCTCTCTAAGAGTGTCCTTTTTTCTTGTCCGTTCTCCAGATTCACGAACTCTCGGATTACGGTCCGTGCACATTGCTCCACAAAGCTATTGGGGTAAGGGTAAATGAGGCAGAGATACGAGGCATCCTCAGTCAAGGCAGCGCTCGTCTTCGGAACAAATGTTAGGATTCCTGTTGTTCTACCTATTGGAATGATGCCTAACGCCTCAGTGGTGAGTATTGGAGGATAGTCTGTGTAAGAAGGCTCCTTGAACATGGATGGATATGCACTGACAAGGTTCTTTGGTGCATATCCAGCATAGTCGCCACGAGCCAGCATGTGTTCCAAGACCCCCTTGACTAATGCTTCCTCGCTAATTGTTCTCTCCAATAGCTGAGCGCCTGCTTGCAGCAAAAAGTAAAGAAAGTTCTTACAAATTAAGGAATACAGCATTGTATTCCGTGGCTCCTTAGAGAGCTCGCTTTTAAGATCATGGAACGTTGGCGAAGGGAGGCTCATTGTGACCTTATTTAACCCGAACTTTGTTAATGCTTTTCCTCTATCATCAAAGCTCATGGAGCTGCTATTGCTATTGTTGCTAGTAGATGCCTGATAGAGCCTAAGACATTGGTTTGCCTTTGCCAGTACCTGGTATATGGTAGCGTGCCGAGTTATCTCAAATGTATAGCCAACATAGGGTATTGAGTCTCCACTGTGAAACATGGCCATGAGCCGTGAAATCAGCGTCTTGACTAGTACTAAAACTCCCTGGGCCTCAGAAATTCCAGAGGCCACCCCGGCAACTCTGCAAAGAAGACAGTTTTCAGGACAATAGAGTTCGCTGTGTAGGGAGTAGAATTGCTGGGACAATGGAGACGAGTAGCATGGAGGCTTTTTGAGGGGTGTGCGGCGGCGTCCACAGTGGTGATTATCCCCAGTAGTGTTGGCTCCCTGGTGACATCCAAGAATATAGTCTATGCTGGTATTTAGGACTTTGTGGCTCGCTAATATTTCGCCCGACCCTGTCTGGGTTGTTCCTTGCGGTGTAGCCGACTGTTCTTCTGCCAGAGCCAGAGCTGCCAGAGTGGTATTATGAGATATATAGACAGAACAATCTACAGATACAGACTCCATGCTTCTCGGTGCAGTATGTCCATAGCTAAATTGCAGATACTTCTCCGTTACAGACAACAGATTTGCCACAGCTGCACACCCGGGCACGGCCTTTTGGAGATCGCCTGTCTGAGATAGCTCTGCAAAGAAGGGAGCAAATGCCCAGACAGGTGCATCATCGATATCTGCACTCGCAGCGCCGAAGCTCTCGATAGCTGCTAGACCAAAGTGTATTGCAAGAGATAAAATGTGCAGAGAATTGTGCAACGGTATCCCAGCAGGAAGAAGAACCGGTAAAGTGGAGTCGCCTATAACTATGGTATTACGTTTGTGCTCCAGAGCACGAGCCTGTCTGTACTCAGTTAGCTTTTTCACATATACGGTGTATGGATCCTTATGGCCATTGGTGGAGAGCACAGTCTGTTTTGACAGAGATCCTTTGCAGTCGGTACTATTGAAATTGGTGGCAGGGTCATTAACATGCTTCCTCCTAAAGGTGTCTATGTTAGCTCTGCGGGTCTTTTTTCCAAGGAGAGATACAGACACCCCGCTTTCAAGATTGGAGCGTACTCTGCATAGAATGTTTGCATATGTTGTAAGGAAATCTTGATCAAAATCGGTTGCATAGCAGTGCAGAACCACTGATTCAATGGCCTTTCCTCGAACGAAGGCCTCTGCAGGACATCTGGCAAAAATCTTCCACACGGATCCAAAGTTGCTAGGGATGCCTGTGGCGATGCTGTTCAGGTACATTCGCGGCACGTGTGCTGTCAATGGAAAGTCTAATGGAATGATGCGTGAGAGCATCACGTTAAGGTAGCATTTAAAAGGTTGCTTATAGGTGTTTTGGTAGATGTTAGTAAGGTAGACGTTCTTGTTAACGTCAGTCGGCAAGATATCTGTCAATGGCCACAGAATTTCGTCCGTATTCATCTTCAGCGATTTCGAGAGAGAAACAAGGGCTGTCTTGGCAGAATTCTTTGCTGCAATATGTCGCTGAGACTTGCTTCGTCCTAGAGCGTCGGTGACGAAGTCTTTTAGATCAGAAAAAGATAGTGTCCTCTGCAAGAGATCCATTCGTCGAACTAGGTGCCCATTGTACGGGAGACTGGGGGTTCTAGATAAAGAGTTAGGGGCACTAGCAAGTATATCTGTATAATAACACGACAGCAGAGGAACAGGCCCTATGGTTGAGCTTCTAGGCAGACCACGCATAACATCTTTGGTATCTCGAAGGAAAGCAAGAGCGTGCACAGAGTGGAGGGAGTCAGCGCTATGTGTTTCGGTGCTTTCGTGAGAACTCTGAAGGCAGTCATAGCTTTTCATCTCTCCCACACCAAAGCTGGAAGATATACCCATGCCATTAATGATTCCGGACATATGGCAAGATCGATACCAACCCCTCAATGCAAACATGGCGATAGAGTGCCCCTGTTGATAAATCGGGACTTGAATTAGAAAAGGATATATCTGATCCAGGTGTACCTGTGTGGCAGCCGAATAGACAAGGAGTTCAAGCAATTGAAGAAGTGACTCTGTGGGCTTTGTTGCCTTTGCCGTATCTTTTGGGGGAATAGAGGTTTTCAGTGGACACCCAAGAGAACGGTCCGTACAAGCGTAGAGAAGAAACGAGCATGGGAGACCAAAGTGGGTGAGGACGGAGATATCATGCGAGTTCATTCTAGGACAGTTCTCTAGTCGGGCACTGGTAGAGCCAAAGCAGTGCCTATTCAATTCCTCTTGCTGATGACTGCCTTTATGTCTAGTGATAAAGCACATAGCATAGTCTAATCCACCAAGATTGAAATGCTTGGAGATGGGTGTAAGTTCAGCTTCCGGGCACTCAACTGCATCTTTAGCTATCAGGAGAGCATCAGCTACTTCTTTGGTGAAGAGACGCTGCTCCCACCGACTGCACATTAACTCACAATTGCACAAAAGGAATTTGTTCTTTTTCAGCAGAATCTAGAGCCAATGGACGATTGTGCCTATAGTACCGGTTCTCCTTCTGCGTACTTGCTCCCATACGCTCCCAGAGTGTAAGATAGTTCGTACAATGTATACTTCTATGCACACAACGACACTAAGGGCGAATGGATGATTAACTTAGACAGTTACAAACTAATGATATCCAGGCGCCACCGGCAGGCTTGTCGACAATGAATTCACTACCCAAGTCACGCCTTCCCTCTACATATGAACCACCAGCAGAGGAACCCTATGAGACCCCCCACGACGACGATGACAGCCACGGAGATCCCCGCGATGGCCCCCGTGGAGAGCCCGCTCCTATTACTGCCAGAGGACACACAGGAGGCCCCACTGCTGTCAGGGCTGTACCCATCGTTGCACACACAGACAGAGTTATCATCAGTGGAGTTGCTGGGACAGCCATCCACACATGACTTCCTCCCGGGGCTCACCTTCTTTCTAGTACTACACTTAGTGCACGTAACAAGGACCCCTTCAACTTGACCTTCGATCAGTGCGCATTCCAAGCAGTGCTCTATACCACCGTTAACATGATCACCACAAGGAAGACACTTCTTCTTATTCTCTGCATTGTCGTTGGGGAAGTGTGTTCCGGTGCATGCGTTTCTGAGAATACAACTAGTGGGATCGCCGCCTTTCAGGTACTTGCCTTCTTGGCACTCAGTGCATGTGGCAGGGGTGTTTTTTCCCGATGTAGTGCACTTCAGGCACCCATCGACGCCCTTCCATGTACTGTCAGATGCATCTCCGCACGATATGCACTTGCCTTCTCCACCAGAAGCTGCCCCAAGGAAGTGTGTTTCCTCTGTACAAGACTTGCGCTTAGTATCTCTTGTGGCCTCACACGTCTTACAACTACCATCACAGGCAGTGCACCCTTTACTACTATCTACAAAGTACCCGTCTTCACAAGCCGTGCACGTGGCAGCCTTGGCGTTAGCATCGGTTGCTGCGTCAGGCGTATTACACCGAGTGCAGTGCGGCACACCCTTGTACTTCTTGCCATCTTTAACTGTTATTTCCTCTTCGTCTCCACATGGTATGACCGACTGGTGAGAGGCGTCTGCGCCCGGCGGCACGAAGTATCCAGCCTTAGTTAGTGTGCACACTCCATCAGTTGCTGTTTCACACATCGTGTTGCCAGGTGCCTGGCTATCCTTGTAGCATCCGCTCTTGTACATGAAGGACTCATGAGCGCACTGTGTACATACTCCGTTGTTCTTTTAGGGGCATTCGTTGTTGTCTGCTGAGCACACTCCGTCCGTTGGGGCAGATTGAGACCCACCGCCGTTGCACTGGGAGCAGTACTTCTTGCCGTTGATGACGGCGCTACAGGCCTTGCAAGTGTCGGGCTGATCACCAGAGACGGTTGTGCACTCCTCTGTCGCCAGTTGGAGCGCAAGGCTGATCAGAAAGACTGCGTAGAACGTTATGGCGGGCCTCCATTGGCAGCAGCAACAGGCGGAACTGGGGCACTGCATCACGCACAAGGTGACGTCACAGAGAGTACCACCAAGTGGTGAACAACTGATCTAAAAGTATCCGTTAGTGGAATAAAGTCTAGATCAGCAGATCTAAAGTCCGAAGCACAAATTGAACTAGCTGGTTCTGGTGAGTGATTTGCCCTGCCAGTGATTGATGAATTATCAACTACTCGGTGGGTCGTGATTAGCACTCTACGGTTATGTATCTTATACTTATATACCGCACGATCTGATTGAACTGCGTTTTCATCCATAAACTCATAGCTGACTCGCTCTTCAAAAGTTTCGGTCCCATAGCCAGAACTGCGCGTCTAAATATTTAATGGAGTAGGAAGTAGTTTACATAATAGCAAGCACTTGATGGCTATCTGTGTTTGCGACCCCTTGGTCCGTGCCTCTTCGGCTGAGCTGCGCGACGGGGATGACGACCTGAGCCATCTTTGTACTCAGATACTGTCTGGAACAATTCATCATTACAGTGCACACACCCAAACACCTCGCTGCTTGCAGACTTTTTATCCAAAAGGTCTGTGGCCCTGAGCTTTATACGACCACACGCACAAAAATCCGACGAAAGGCTCAGCTTGCACTCTTGAAACGCAATTTGGAAGTTACAGCGGTTGCAGTAAATCCCTGGGAGCCTTCGGGCTGTCCCCACATCTAAGCACAAGTACCCGCCAACTAGTTCGGCTAAGCTACTAGCCTTGTTTGGACTAGGCACAGCTGATGCACTTCCCGATGACTTATTTGCTTGTGGAATGTTAAGACTGATCTTCGCTTGAGGCTTTATAGTGATTGATATCTTCTTAGGCTGTACTGGGGCGGATGCTAACTCTGCGCTCTTCTCTGGTGTCTGCTCTTGCGCTTCTGGGGAACGTGCAACGGCTAGAGTATCGTTTGTTGCCCCTGGACTGGAATCAGGGCCATCTCTGTTCACACTTAGCATGGGCCGACCATCTGCGTTGCAGTGCCAGCAGGCTCCCACTTGGGTTTTAAGAAGGCTCATCTGGCACAGACTGTTTAGGCACATCCCACAAGTTATGGCCTTTGTCTGTTCGATATCAGTACTGCCATCTGCTGCCACGGTTTGCAGTTGCGTAAGTGCTTCTTCTTTATTCAATCCAAATGTGTAGCAGTGGAGACAAAAGAAGGTTCGCTTTTGTGTGGCCTCTGCCATGTGTAGAATCAGAGGCCAGCCGTCGTAAGGGCATTTGCGACTGGGTATCTCTATGAACGTTCCACGCATGGGAATTGTGTAAAGCTTATCACACGTTACACAGTACACACGTGGCGGGTACTGTTCTATGAGATCGGTATAGCGATGGCACTCTCCACAAAGAATAAATGGCCGGCCGGCCTTCTTAATAGAGGTAAACTTCGCGTTTAGAAGTGCTTCTAGCTTACCAATGTTCTGCTTAAAATGTAGGAACTTGGTTAGAAACTTCGAAAGAACTTGATTAACAAGGACGTCCTTCCTAATCTTTCCTTCAGCAATCCTCGTGACATCCCTTTCAATGCTTGCCCGCAGCTGGGGGGAGGACAGGTCCCCGTCAATAAGCTGGTAGCCGTGGATGAGGCTGATCCCCATCGACGTCGGCACCAGGCAGCGCCGTCGTCCCGTAACGCGGAGCTCGACATACGCCCTAGTCACTATATTTCCTATGTGGGTGGCCATGCTCGCGTCGGTCCCAATTCCATGCTTTTCCATCAGGCCAAGTAAGTCTGATTCAGAGAGATATCCTGGTGGCTTCGTCATCCCTGCTTTGATGGCAGCCGAGGCTATAGTCAGCGTTGCACCAGTTGCAGAGATTGCTTGCAGCGTTTCCTTGCTGAGCGAAATGCTCTCGTCGGCAAGGTCATCGCTCAGATCGTTGTCCCGCATGCTACTGAACTCCGTAGCACTGTATAGAGCCTTCCAACCCTGGTCTACGACGTCCGTAATAGAGAGTAGAAACGTTTCGGAGGGCATGTCAACGGATTGAAGAGTTAGCGAGCTATGGCTATAAACTGCGTCAGGAGAAACTGTTGCCAGGAAGTGCTTAGTTATCAGATTGTAGAGACTCAACTCGTTGCTACTGACATCGTGAGGGATTAGCCCAGTGGGCATAATGGGAGGATGGTCGCCTTGGTCTGTCCCCCTCCGCGGATTAGTGTATCTCACACTTTCATCAGATGATTTCTTGGAGGATGGCAGGAGGTTTTGGGCACACTGTGAAATTCTAGTAGACGAAGATTCTTTAAGCGCAAGTACAATTTCTCGCAGATTGTAACCACTGGGATATGTGGTGGACTCAGTTCTTGGATAAGAAATGTATCCAGCAATATATAGGCGCTCTGCCAACGCCATTGCAGAGTTAGGAGAGAGACCGAGCACCGTTGAAGCTGCCTTAAGTAGCGCAACGGTATTCATTGGCAAGGGGCGAGGAAGAGTACTCTTGCTGCTTTTAAAGCTCAAGACTTTCAAGCACTTCGTTGCACTCTTCCCAAAGAGGCCAGTTCGCTTTTCCTCAATGACCTCCCGACTCTCGGACGGAACCCCCTGCCATCTGAGAGAATGGGGTTGGTCCCCAATCAAAGCACAAACATCCAAACTGAAGATCTGCTTCGGCCGGAACCGCTGGATTTCGTCGTGGCGAGAAACACAGAAACTCAGCGTGGGAGTCTGGCACGGTCCATACGATATAACAGATGATTGAAGATCTGCAAACTGTGCATGTAGGTGTGCAGTCTGAAACCGAGTGAATGCCACCCCTATTTTAAGATCGAGTTCCTGACGGGCTTCGACTGCATCCGAGAGATTCTGGTCTGGCTTATCTAGATTACGAAATGCGTTCTGTATCTCCGCCTTTGTGACTGCAGAGAAGCGCGCGCGTCTGACCCGACAATCTGATCGTAAAGTGGGTTTGAGGACCTTCAAAACCTCAAAGCAAATATTTTCTCCCTCACGATCGTTGTCCAAACAAAGGATTAGCTGCATGGCTTTCCCCCCAATGCTCTTTAAGTGCTTTGCAACAGTCGACCCCGAGTCAGTGAAAGAATAATGAACATGGCCCCGCTCAAAAAGCCTTTCCTGAGGCACAGAAGACCCATTAAGCTCTGCATCAAAGTCTATCTCAAAAACGTGGCCTGCCACAGAAGTACACATGAAGGTCTCCTTAGAGCCTTCAAATGATTGCACAAAGGTGTACGTTGGGAACGACACGTTATCCAGCTTCTTTGCTCCCTCGCCATAGTTCCGCGAGATCATCTCTGCGATTGAGGGCTTCTCTGCAATGAGAAGGATCATGAATTATTTTTAGCATCCCAGCCCTCAGCCCCATAGGAAGAAAAGTAGTAAGAGTGACAACTATGCGAGATGGTGTAGCCCTTTAAGAAAGCTACAGGGAAGATACCATCATCCCCCAAACTCGTTCGCTGGCGCACCCGAGTGAAGCCCGTTTGGGGGACACATATCCGGCCGCCAATTCCTTCTCAAAGCGTGCAGGATCACCGATCTGTGTGAACTTCGGCACCCTGCCACTATAACACTTATTCCAGCATCCAAATCGAACGCAGTCAGGAGAGGGCTTTGGCACATCGACACCGAGAATGCTAATTGCATCGTGGAGCATCCTGCGCTTAACAATGGAGTCTTCGCGGGTGTCTGCAGATAGTGATGGGCTTGCATTTATTTCTATCAACCAGGGCTTCAGGCTACTGTCTAACATGACATCGAAGCCATAGATCTCAAACATGCACAGTGACTTGATCATATCATTCGCAACGGCTTGGAGAGAGCGGATAATGAGCTGCTCAATGCGCAGAAACATAATATCTATCTGTTCTCTTCCATAGATGGTCTCCAAGTAGCAACCCAGTTGAAAGAGGCTCCACTTGGCTCCATCGGCCCTAGAGTCATAGTTAGTAGAATTCTTCTGAATAGCAACGTTGGTCAAGTGAACCTCTAGATCCCGCGTGTCGGCATTTGCGGTGAATGGTCGCAGGCTGAAGCGTGCAAATCCCTCACGGCAGATCCACGCTACAAGGGGTTGAAATGATTCCACCAGGCAGTAGATGCGGAGATCAAACTTGTGACCGCAGACAACGAGAGGGTTGTCGAGATACTTCTGGACGACGTAGAGTGCCTCACGGTCCGAACCAGAATTTGCCTTGGCCTGAAATTCCGTGTTGAACCAAGTGTACAGGTCGGAGTAGCCGCATATAAATATTCCTTTGCCCTGAGCCCTGCAGGACGGCTTGACAATGTATAAGGGCTTGGTAGTTTGCTTACGATTGAACTCGGTGATCATGCCGAACTCCATAGGGAGAATAAAATTGGCCGGAACAAAGTCAAAAAGATCACCAAGTTCATGCAAGTTGTACTTTAAAAGGTTCCTTCGAGCGGCCTTCAAATTTTTGGCCATGAGATCCTTCCTGGTTAGGATGTAGAAATTGCGAAAGTGATTAACGAATTTAGTGTCAGGAACATGGCTGTAATCAAAGCGCTCGCTAATCCATTCCACAGAGGCCCAGATAAAGTTCCAATCGTCTGTGTCATTGGACACTTGCTCCCATCCCCTCTCTTGAAGGACGGTCCAAATAGTGTTTCTAAAGGTCGTATAGTACCGTATGGGCTTGGGCATGAGCGAACGGAAGTTGTCAAGAGTGAATTTTTCGTTTCTGATAATTCCTTTCTGGAAGGACGGCATCGTTCATAAAGTGGCCCTGTCGGAGCAAGTGAAGCGAACAACCTTGTCTTCCAGGCCAAAATTGGCTATGTGGGCTTCGATGGTTGCGGCATCAACGGCAGGAAGACACAGTAGAATCAGCTCTGCTGTCAGTAGGACATTGAGATCGGTGGTGACGAGAATCCCAAGCTCTGCAATCCGCTCAGAGTGAACTGTATCACGCCCTAGTGACAACACTCTAATTGGTACTTGCTTGGGCAGCAGGACGTCTTTCAGTACTAGCTGGGCAACCCTTCCCGTCCCAACGACGACAACGAAAGAAGGTGCTCCAGAGACACGGTCTCTACTATAACTATTCCCCCTGGTGCGCAGCCCGTCAACAGCGGAGGCACACTGATTTATGAACAGGGTATCGGCATAGTTAGCCGAGTGGACCAGGCTGACTGCCTTACTGTAGTATGGTTGTCTTGTCAGATTTGCGACTGCTTTTTCATACCACTGCTCCATGGATTGCTGAGGTAGAGGAAAAGAAGGTAGCCTGAGACAGAAGAGACAACCTAACGAATGACTTCTAAATCCTCGTATCGAAAAAAAATGAAGGAGAATATGTCGATAGATTTCCATCCGCTGGGCGACCGCTTTGCTAGTATTCAATGTGTTGGGTCTAGCACGGCAGGGAAAACATATCTTGCAATTAAAGTGGACCAAGGATGCCCCGTTATTTTGAAGGAGGTTGATCTCTCAAATCTTTCTTCGGACCAAATAGACCTTTTGGAGGGCTATGTTACCGCTATCAAAGAGCTTACTTGCCCAAATATCGTGCGTTACAAAGCTATTCACAAGGGAAGCATGGGAGATAAGGTCTATTTGGAGTCTGAATACTGCTCTCTGGGCTCAGTACAAGACATGGTTATTAATCATAAAGCCAGTAGACGAATTATACGTGAAGACTTTATATGGCGCGTTGCGGCTGTCATAGTATTTGTACTAGAATATTTGCACACTCACCTTACTCCACAATACTGTTCTATAAAGAGCTACCGGTGCCTTAGACCTTCAAACATTTTGCTCACAGAAGACGACATAATTAAGATAGACAATTTTAGCGCTACGCGCTTGCTTGGCGACTACAGCTCTGAAAGCCTTCGGATATACATTGCACCAGAACTGCTAGCCGGGGCAGCCTATGGTCCGGCTGCAGATGCGTGGTCACTTGGATGTATTCTCCTTACCATGTGCACTCTGCTTGAACCTCTATCTGTCATTGACCCAAGGGCCTCCAATGAACCCCTAGATCTCTCTACACTGCACGGCCTAGAACATTATAGCAATGAGCTCCTTGAATTAATTAAGAACTGTCTATACATATCTGTCAACATGCGAAGCACTATCTCACAGTTACGTTCTCATCCGAGAATAAAAGACACACTCGCAAACGAGTTGCATGGCCCCCAAAGGAATCCAGGGTCTTTTCTCCTCAGTCCAAAACAGTCAACCTTTACGCCAAAATCACAGCAAAGCCTGCCGATGATCTATTCTTCAGCCCCACCGCTGTTTTCTCAGATGCAAGATTTGCAGCCTCCAGGACTCAATATGCACATCGCTCATGACCAGGACCAAAACCTCGTCCCAACCTTCAACTCTCCCCGTAATGTACAATCTCTCCCGATTTCCACATCAATCCCTATGCCAATGCCTGTGCAGATGCCTGTGCAGATGTCAATGCCAATGCAAATACCAGTGCAGTTCCCGTTGCAGATTCCTAAGCCTGGAAGCATGGACGATGTAGGAATCTGTAGCCCTGCAAGCTCTGACGTTTTCAAGCAGATACATCAAATCTGTAATCAGATGGCAATGATGATCTATCTTTCTGTACACAAGGCTTACTCTCAGCAGCCCGAGGAGAAGCTCCAGTCCTCATCCCACTTGGCAGCCTCACCAGCGCTGGAGTCAGAACTAGAAAGCACTGCAGTTAGCGATGACACCGCCCTCATGATCGCCGTACGAAACAGAAACATGCCTGCTCTTCTCAGTAATATCTCGCAGTTGAAACAGAGAAAAGCAGATAACACCACTGCTCTGATGATAGCTGCCGAGACAGGGAATAGTGAGGCGTTGAGCTACTTGTTGGGCGAGTACAGACTCCAGCGACACGATGGGAAGACTGCGCTAATGCTTGCCATTTTGAATGGACATGTAGACGTAGCTAGAGTACTTGCTGACTTTGAATCGAAGATACAGGATAGTGATGGGAGAACGGCGCTTATGTATGCCTGTGAACGGGGAATGAGTGAGCTAATCAACGTCCTACTGGATGCTGAGTCAGGAATGACTGATGTTAATGGATATAGTGCCTTGATGCTTGCATTGCAAAGAAATAATATTGATGGGGTGAGGGCCTTGGCAAAGCGTGAGGCGATGATAACCCTTTCCGACGGAACGTCTCCCCTTATAATAGCGGAGAATCTCGAAAATACAGATTTACTAGAGCTTGTTAGGGAATACTCTAGCACAACATTGAATAATGAAAATGCATCTACTAGGGAAGAGAACAGCAGAGGCTCACCTACCGAGGAGACACACATGAGACTGACTGTCTATGATCCACCGTTGGAATATATCAGAGGCTTGGGACAGAACAAGAACAATGAGGGAACGACAAATTTGATGGAAGCAGCAAGAATAGGCTCAGTTTGTGGTGTTAAACAACATATATATGAAAAGAAGCAGACAGATAGTAAAGGATGGACTGCACTCATGAAGGCGGCATTTTATGGAAAGTCAGAGTGCATTCCTCTCCTTAAAGAAGAGATAAAGATGGCCAACAAGGCAAAGTATACCGCACTCATGAGCGCAGCTGGTAACGGCCACTCAGCGTGCGTGCGCTTGTTGCTTGCCGAGGCTAAGATGCGGAATTGGAAGAACGAGACAGCGCTTATGCTAGCCATTATGAACGAGCAGGAAGAGTGCATTAAACTCCTCATGGACAAAGAGGGATCACTGCGTACCCACGATGGTCTGACCATGCTCGAGTATGCCGTAAAGCACAACAAAGTCCGCTCTGCAGAGGTGATAAGGGCATATAAGGGCGTGGGATAAGCAAGAGATTAATTAGGAATCAAGAACATATGAAGAATACTCTTTTATATTCAGGAAGCGTAGCAAGGACGGCATAGAAATCGTTGTACACTGCGGCGTAATTCAGCATATCTGTGCCTTGTGAATTAGAAAAGTCTATGAATACATATATCGTTCCGTAGCTTTGACGCAGAATAGGTAGATCCAGTAAATCCATTGGGGCAACAGCAGCCATCTTTGTTAGTGAGTTGGAGAATGCCGTGCATTTTGAGGTTACGCTGCTGAATAAATCTGCAGGACTGATCTGTCGGGTTATCACGCTAACAAGCTCTGCATCAGAAAACTTCGCCGGCCAATCTGAACCAGGGACAGTGCAAATTCCTCGTCTAGCGAATACAGCTAGCAGATCTGTTGGCAATTTATGTGCGTCTTCTTTATTGACTAGGAGCAAGATGGAGTCATTGTAGAATGGGCCTTTAACAGCATCCTCCAAGAACTTAAGAGGGCAGTGCTGCACGGAACGCTCCAGCGTCAATAGCTTCTGATCGATCGCATCTATAATCTCCTCAAACGAAAGTTGACGGAGCATAGGACTCGACATGAGAATGGATAGAGAGCGGCCGGCCACAGTGCCATTGGGAAGTAGGGGATAGGCAGCCCAAACTCCAACAACCTCAGAAACGGGTGGGCTGTACACTGACGAAAGATCATAGGAGGATTCCAAAAGAGCAATTTGACTGTACATTTGTGAGGAAGAGCCGCATGCTAGCACTCGCATAAGTATATTAGAAACCACACAATGTGCTTGATCGAGTGACGGGCTGGAGGATACGTGTGTAGTAACAAGGAAACGCAAACGATACATATCGGTCACAGTTAGAGAGCCTGATTTCAGATGAACGAAAGAGTAGTAGCAGTTCCCTACTCTGACCGTGTGGAAATGGCTAAGAACAGCTAGGGGAGTTAGAGAATCGCCAGTAATGTGGTGATATGTTCCCAGAAGGGCAGACACAAGCTCCTTCCGTATAGATGTCATGGTGGTAGACTTTAGACCTCCTGGCGTGAAGAGGAATCTCAAGAATGATGCATTATCTGCTTGTGTGCGGAGATATTTTGGTTCGTGCTTGCGTAGTATGTCAAAGAATTGTTGCGAATCTATACAACACTCTTCGGCATTGACCATAGTGACAAGGTACACAGAGAGCTCCAGAAGGAGCAAGTATGTGACCCTGAACACCGTGTATAATTGCAGAAAGTAGAACAGAGGATTGTGTGGCTGTTTCTTGGCTAGTTCTGCACATGTAACAAATTTCTGAGTCCCAAATAACTGAAACGGGCGACAAAACCTACCCTGCTTAATACCAATCACATCACAACCTAGCAGAGTGTCGCTGGCAGCTTTTTGCTCGAGGCATGTGGCGTAGAAGTACGTGCATGCTTGCATAAAGTGTGCCTCTCTTTTCGCACCGCTTGTGCTAGTAGTCTTTAATTCTATTATGTCCTTCCTCTGAATCTCTCCTGTCTCTTCGCACTTTAGCAATCCGAAAAGGTCAATCTTTCCCTGCATTCCCAAGTCAGTGGAGGCAATATGCTTCTCTACAAAATACTCAACATGCCTGGCCTGCAAAGCTTCACGAGTTGAAGCAGCATCGCATGCTAACTTAGATACCGTGTCAATGGCCGCGCGCTCGTCTATGAATTCTAAGTCATTGTTTTGCAGTGAGATGACAGGCTCGTTCTTCAACAGTTCATACAGTATCTTGTCTTTCATAGAGGCAGGGCTGTAAGGTACTTTCATGCTAGCGGGAATCTTTGAAGCGGATATTACGCCCGGTAACTCGTCTGGTTCTAGCTCCAGTTCAATCCATGCCGCCTTGAGCATAGCTAACTGGTCACTCGTTTTGGCTCTTGTTGCTTCAGTAACAAATTTTGACTGTACGACATTGTGCAAAACAGTACCGAGGTGCATAGGGTAGGTAGTGGGCTTGGCAAAGGAGAAAAAAGAGAAGATGCAATCCATGGCCGAAAAGCTAGGTAGGCTAGTCGGTGACAGAGTAATATGCGGGTGAAAGATCAGAAGTGGGCCGATTGGCCAGATGGGGGAATTTGAAGAACAATCGAGTAGTGGCATCTCCGCGTCACCAGAAGCAGGCGCATAACACTTGCTGGATGCGGATTTGACGAGCTTTGCCACGTCTGACTCTGCAGAAGCGTAGATAGATAAGATGGAAAGGGTGAGCACAGGAGCTGTTTCGCTGGAGCAAAGGGCCAACAAATCTCGTGATAGTGCTCCGGCGGACTCCAGAAGCATGCAATGATGCACTGCAAATGTATTTCCCAAAGACGAAACAGCTACGCCTCCAAGGTCTTGTGGAAGCTTGGTCACGGCGCATGACTGCAGCGTTATAACAAAGATTTGATTCTCTAAATCATATTTCTGCACGACGAAGCATGTCAATTTGGCGCCTAGTCGCCTTTGCATGAGTAATACAACCTTTTTGAAAGTGTCCAAAAAATCAAGGGGCCGCATGCCTGTATTCACTGCTTTGTCTGTTGAAGACGAAGTGCAGGAGCGCACAAAACACATTGAGGAGGCAAGAAAGCGGCGGATCATCGAGCTCAGACGAGTAGAGCAAGAGCGGGCCAAGGAGATGCTTAGCAGGTTTAAGGCGGCCTCGGCTCAGAACCGACAACAGCAGACCCAATTCATACAGGAATTAAGCCTGTATGAACAGAAAAAGCGCATTCAACAAGAGCTTCGGGAGATTGAAGAGCTTCTCCGAACGGCAGATGCAAACCAAGAGGCTGCTGGGGTGCGAGCACGCGCACATAGTATGGCGAGATTACGAACGAAGGATACATACGAACGTCGGCGGTCTGCCCTGGACCGTGGGAACAGTGCTCTGCAGCTACTGCAAGCTCAGAAGCAAATAGATACAGAGATATTAGAGCGCAAAGAGAAAACCCGTCTGCAAACAAGGCAGGTAGAAGATATACGTGCGCGCCAGGCGGTCCTGATTGCACGAGCGAGAGAGCTAGAGAGAAGAATAGCCTTAGAAAAGGATCAGCATAGTAAGCCGAAGGAGGATAAACCGTATGCTATTGTAGAAGTGACAAAGGACAATTACATCCCACTGTTAGCTAATAGGAATAAAAGTACAGCGAGAATACCGGGCTTCCAGGTACTAAGTGACTCTCTATCAGACGAAAACAACCCAAGTAATGACCCTGACCAAACCTATCATAAGAACGCCTTTCTAGCTGCCGAGGCAACAAAGAACATGGCCAGAAAGACGGCCATTGAAAATGCAGAGAGCAGAGCAAGGGCTGAAAAGGTTGTTCGCGACGAGCTCCGAAAGACCGTGAAAGAAAAAGAGACCGCCAAGGTGGCCGACGAAGCTATCCGTCTGCTTTACACGCTCAGTAAATAGGTTATGCTTTAGCCAGTCTCTGCTTTAAAGCGTCCCGCGAGTGCTTGCAGTCCTCTAGCTCTTTGTGGACTATCTGTGGATCAGTAGTCGCCTTGAATAGCTTAGCAAGCAGCGTGGCAATCTTTTCTGATAGCTTTGCCCAGTCCTTAAGTAACGTGCGATCATCAGACTTGGCCTGCTTCAATTGATTGACAACCTCTCCGACGGCGGCAAGGAGTTGATCAGCCTCATGTGGAATGGTGCCGTACTTAGATAGATCTGCTCCCGGGTTGGCCTGGATGAGGGCTCGCAGTCCTCCAGCTTGCGCCTTGGCGGCCATGGTTGCAATGTTTGCCAGTGGAGTGGGCATCGGCCGCGTAGTAGCCACCGATGAACGTGCAGGCACGAAGACAGTGGCAGAGGATGCCCTCTTAGACCGCCCAGAGAAGGCACTTCCGGGACGCGCAGAATCACTTTTCGACGCGGTCTTTGCCATGCAAATCTTAGACTGGCTGGCGATCAGCTCCGTTTGCCGAGCAATATGCTCTGCTACTTCACCCTTTAGCCTTTGTATTTCTTGCTCTTTTTCGGAGACAAGGTGATTGAGCTGTGCAACGCTCTTGTCTGCAGCAGCTAAACGTGTAGTAAGCTTCTGGATGGTCTCTGCATTTATGACACACTGCTCGCACTTTCTTTCGGTGTAAAATCGCTCATATGGACGCAGCTTTTCTAATTCTTTACGAAGATTGCCATTCTCCTCTGTTAGCTTAACGATTGCCTCATTGCGCTTCCGTATATCGTTATCAGTAGCAGTAATGTAAACCTCCTTATATTGGGAGGGCTCATGAGTCCCTAATGAATTAGATGCTTTTGCATTCAGTTGGCTCTCCTGTCCCTTTAGAAGCGCCAACTGCTCACTGAGGCACCGCACGCGTGCAAAGTGCCGCGTAAGGCCAGTAGTTACTTCATCAACGTCATGGTAGCGCTGTCCCAACCCACTTTCTATGGCATCGAAAATTCTATTGGTGTTATCGGTAAGAATCCTTAGCTTGCGTTGGTACTCCGTCATCTCTTTATAGAGGTAGTCTATTTGTCCGGTTGTATCAGTAGTGCTGAGAACATCAGCTAGCCGCTTTTCGCTCACCCGTTCACGTGCAAGAACAAGATCTGCTCGGAGTCTCTTATTTTCTTCACGCACTGCAAAGATGTGGGACATTACAACGTTCTCCACTCCTGCCTTTGCATCAGTTACATCTATAACTGCAGATGCAGCTTCATCGTAGAGCTTTGCCTTTAGCAAAAGGTCCGTGGAGCGGGACTCAAGAGATTCTTGCAACTCGGCCAGCTGTTTGCGTGCATCACTGAGCTCTTGTTCCAATCTGTCTGCCCTCTGAGCCGTGCATGTCTGTAGGTTTCTTAGAGATTCCAACTCATCTTGCTTGTTATCCAGGACGTTCTTGTTCTGCTCTTCAGTAACCGCAGACAGTTCTAGCAGAGTACTAAGAGATTGTCTTTTAGTAGAAACTTGAGCAGCTGCTGAAGAAGGTGGCAAAGGAGACGACTCCAGAGGAGCCCTGTCCGTATGGTGCGGAACAGATGAGACTGTAGTGGAGGCTATTAGTTGCGTTAATACACTGTTAGCGTCTGAAAGCAGCACAGGATGCTTTTGGTAGGCGCTAAGCGTTGCCAAAAGTTCAGCGGTGTACTTAGCTGCAAGTTGCTGATCAGAAGTCAGTCGCTCCACTTTCAGACGTAATAATTTATTGTCGTCTTTTGTGGCCTCCAGATCTCTTACCATCGATGGCAGTGCAGATTTAGCAAACGTATCAGTGGCACGAATAGCCGCCAGTACGTCGTTATATCCCTTGCAGGGGACTGAGAGAGTTTCTTCTATCTCAGACAAAAATGCCGTCTGTTTGTCCTTAATGTGGTCCATCTCTGTTCGAAGAATATCGTGGTCTGTGATGAGCTCGGCATGCGCTGCACGCATATCTGATACGCTCTTCCGCAAAATCTCTAGTTCAGTTTCCTTTGCTAGAAGCTTGGACTTCAGCTCTATAGTGTCCCTCGAGATGGAGCCCAGTGAGTGTCGTGGCTCTCCTATCTGATTAGTTCGAAGACTTTTCAGCTCTGCGTGAAGAGATGCATTTTCTTCCCGCAGCGCATCAGATTGGTCGAAGAAGTTCCCCAAGACATACTTCAAATCATCTAGCGAAGATGCCCTAGTGCCAAGTTTCGAGTTAATATAAAGAACAAGTTTGTCCTCTTCTGTTTTCGCAATCTCCATCATACTGCGCTTTTCCTCCAGTTCAACTAGACAACGGGCAAGCTCTGCCTGTGTGTCAGAGAGCGTACGGGTGTACACCTCGTTTGCATCCCCGATCATTGAGATGCCTGGAACCGAAGACCCCCTAGCGCTACTAGACTTCAAGTCGAGAGCCTGACTTTGGATAATCCGTTGCGCTTTATCCAATTCGGCCTGAAGTTGAGTTTTCTCTGCAGTCAATATGTAATTCCGTGAGAAAACTGTGGTGAGATAATCGGTTATATCTGCAGCTGTGAGGCTGGAGAGCTTCGTTTGCGAATTAATAAAGCCGGTGACCTCATCTAGTATGGCAGCCTTGCGCTCAAGCTCTACAACGCCGGGATCCTTTTGCCTAAACGGTTTTGTGATACTACCGCTAACTGTGCTATTGAAAGAAGCTGATGTAAGCTTTTCTGTAGAGGATGGCGTAGATGCAGTCCTTCGGGCCAGCTTCCCCGGCGACGGATCCGAATAGGTAGAGGAGTGCACCGGCGGCGTTGATCCAATATAGGGCTCAATGAGTTGACACATGTCTGACATATCGTAACGCCGAGCTGCAGCAAGTGCCTCATCCACGTCAGCTCTGACCATGTGCACCCAGCCCCTTAGAATGAGCCGCACAGCCTTTATCTGGTGTGCCTCTACAGCGCGTGTCAAGGCAGTTTGGTGCTGGTGGTCGCGGCAGTCAGCGAGATAAGGCAAAAGAAGCTCAAGGGCATTGAGAGACCCATTGACAGCTGCAAGCATCAATGCAGTAGTCCCGTCTGCCAAAGTATATGCGCTCTCGTATGATAGAAGGATCTTGCATAGGTCCTCTGCATCGTTAAGGGCTGCTAGCATTAGGGCCGTGTATCCCTCTGGATTTGCCCAGGAGTGTTCATGAGAAGCGAGAATTTTCACTATAGCTGTGTCCCGCCTGCGCACAGCCTTCATCAGAGCCGTTTCGCCATTGGCATCTGCAAAGCCTTTGAACTTATCCACAGACGCTAATATTGAATCAGTGTTGCCGGTCTCAATCATCCTAAACCACTCCGCATTCGTTCTGGCCTCCATGGAGTGACAAACAAAGGGTGGTAGTAAATCTCAGAATTTTAATATTGAACGAAGAGTGGTCTGCGAAGCCACTTTGATATGTCCGCTGATGTGCAGCAGTTCCACGCAGGGTAGAGGGGCGAATTGCTTGTTGTACTTTGACTCCGCGTTTTCTGCTTAGTAATTTGTTGATTGATGAACTTTTTAGCGTCGTCTACACTCATGGCTCTCCGTATATGGCCAGCCCTATCAGCAGACACTTCATATGTGATCTGGGTGCATGCTGCGTCGGCTACAGTTATTGGAATTTGAAGCTGGTCACCATTAAGTCTGTCATTATTCTCGTGCTCAGCCTTTTCGACAGGGCCAACTGTATCAGCAAACCTAACGCTTTTGGGAGATTGATGCTGTATTGCTCGCTGCCTTGTTGCTGCAAGAATCCTTTGTAATTGTTCATGTGCTGCGTATAAGTCATTGTACTTCTTTCCCAAATCGTTGTATTTCATTGCAAGATGCTGAGCATCATTAAGTAGAACAGTGTGCTTATTGATAAGCGCATTATATGCTGCCTCTTGGTCTGCCAAAGCTGCACGGGCACTCCTTGCTATGGAATGCTCCCTTTCCACATCATCTCTCGTTTTCTGTAGAGCAATACTCTCTGATGCTGCTCGAACACAATATTCGTGGATTAAGTGCATGGCATCCGTAACAGTTGTGCAAGGTCTTTGCGTATATGATGATAGTTGCCGTAAAAGGGCTGACACTTGTGCTGGATCCACACCACCACTGTTAAAATACTGGCAAGAAGCTTGCTTATCATTAGACTTCTCGTTATTGCAGACATCATGACCAATACTCCCGGCAGTTTGCATGGAATCAGATGAAGTAACGTTGCCGACACGGAACCTGTACTGCGCCAACTCCTGTTTTGTGGTGGAAATGTAAGTTGCGAGTGCCTCAATTGAGTCTACCCCAGTGTCTTTTAGTAAGTTGTGTAATAGAGCCGACTTTGTACAATGTCCTAGCAGCTTTTCTGAGGCTGACTTTAAATCGCTCTGTAAAGAGGCGTTTTGCTTTAGGATTCTGTCTATAGCCGACACTATTACTTGTCCATCTGCATGACCCTCCTCAATCTTTACTACTGAACATATTTTGTCAAGAAGGGCCTCTTTTTCATTTAGTTGCTGCCGGAAAGAAGCGATGTCAGACATAGAGTTCTCATCCGCTGCAGCTTGCGCATAGGCATCTACTGTGCTTGTCTCTGGGTCGGTGCCCTTATCACAGCCAGTAGCCACAACGTTTACCTCCTGGATCACAGTCATCGGGCTACAGATACGGGTATTCACATTTTCAAGACTGGAGCACGTAGGAACTGCTGTATCTTGCATTTGCACTTCCGTCCGAGCCATCGACTTTACACTGCTCTCTACCTCCATTAGCGATTGGCAGCTTGTGCCCAGTATGCCATTTATAATACCAATATGTTCATCCATGGCTCGCTCCAATATAGCAATCCTCTCCTTCAGAGTTCGCTCCTTGATCCTCAGATCACTGGCCTCCTTGAAGAAAGAGTGGCCAGGGTTATCCATTGTATCTTTGCCTTGAAGGATTTGAAGCTCCTCCTCGAGTATTGCTATTTTTCTTTGCTTGCTATCAAGTTTAGATAAGAGTTTGGCTAGCGTCCATGATTGGCTGCCCCAATCAAAAGGTGTTTGTAGGCATATGCTTTTGTGCTCCTGCGTTACACTGACGTGCCTAGAGACACACTTAGAGATTCCTTTTAACTGATTGGACTCTAACCCCTCTATCTTAGTGTGCAGTAGCTTGATCGTCTCACACAGCTGAGCCTCTGTCTCACGCCATGAGGCGTTTTCCTCGTGAAAGTGAATGTCTATAGGGTAAACACCATTAGCATGGTTGGGTATGGCTTTCTTCGGAATAACGCCCATGCACAGCACCCGTCTGCTAAACCGGGCCACGTCTGGCAGCCTCTCGATTGATATTTTCAGTAGTTCGGAAATAGCGTCTCTGGCATCGACTGGTCCCAGGTCAACAACATCGTTGGCAGCGAGCAAATCCTCCATGCATGAGCTTGGCCAGCTAGCTATAAGAACTCTGATCATTTCGAGGTCCCCCAAAGTAACGGCATACATCAGGGCGTTATACCCATGCCTGTTGGTTAGCCTGCTCAAGCGCTCCGTCATTAGAGGAACCAGTCTATACCGTCTATGTTTAATTGCCAGCATGAGGGCCGTACGGGTGTCGGGAAGAGTAAAGGGATACTCGAAGTCAGTAAGCAACTTAACTGCTTCTATGTTATCAGCCTGAACAGCATGCATCAATGCGGTGTAGCCATCGACATCTGCCCACCCCCATTCAAAGGGGGCATGGGATAAGATGGCGTTCCTGTCATTACTTATAATTGCCCTCATGAGAGTAGTACGTCCGTGCTCATCTGCCTCTGTTAGTGGCGTCGTTGGAGGTGCTGGTAACAGAATAGCCATTGGTCTCACGGAACTATAAAATTAATGGACCAGTAGGCGGATATTTTGTTAGTATACTAGGGTTGCATCATGATTGGGTGCATTAGTGATGGAGGTACAGATCTGCGAAAGATATGTGGCACAACATTTTACTTTCACTAAGAAAGGCGGCCCCACTCACCTTTGATCAAGGTCAGAGAAGGATCCAACGACGCAAATAGTCACATCTAGAACACAACTATTTAGCAAGCCGGCATTATTGCTCGACTACATTGTCTATATGCCGGTGCACTTGTTTGCGGTTGGTCAAATAATTCCTGTTGTGCCAAAAAACGAAAAGGAGATGTTACCCGGAGGGCCCAGCCAGCCAGAGTCTAGCAATGAATCCATACCACTGGTGGCATCAGCGGTGCAGGATGACCAGGAGTCCAAGCCTGTTGTCCACGACGGGTCTGCGACCGTCCTCTCTAGCTCGTTCAATCTTTCCAACACCATCATTGGGTGTGGGATAATGACGCTGCCGTTCAACCTCTACAACTGCGGCTGGGTTCTGGGCATGTTCTGTCTTTTATTGGTCGGGCTCTCGTCTGGCTATGCGTTTAATTTGCTGACCGTGGCCAGTGAGTACACTGGCTTCTTCCAGTATCGGGACATAGCGCTCAAACTTTATGGCCAGAAGTTCTCTCTCTTCATAGGCATCATCGTAATAATTTACACGTTCGGGTCAATAGCATCCTATTGCATAGTGCTGAGAGATAACATGTTCTGGTGGTCTGAGCCTACCTCCGAAAACGACTATAAAAAGAAGAGCCTCCTGTGGGGGATCATGACCTTTATCATTCTGCCCCTTTGCCTCCTGCCCCGGATAGACTTTCTCAACTTTACATCTCTGGTTGCCCTTGCCAGTATCTTTTATGTGATCTGCGTCGTGGCAGGCTTCTATTTGCTTGTCACGTATGTTCCCGGTAAAATACTGTCCAGCGGTCCTCCCCAAGCCCTAAACTTTTCCATAGACGCTTTCACAGCCTTTCCGCTATTCACGACCGCGTTCTGCGGCCATTACAACAGCATGAATATATACCGCGAGCTTAAGGATCGTTCTATTCGCCGCATGAACATCACAATATTGATAACCATGGCTGTTACGATTCTTTTCAACTCCGCAATGGCTCTCTTTGGCTACTTTGCGTTTACAGATACTGTGGCGTCGGACATCCTCAGAAACGTCTCTCAGCTCTCAGGGGCGTCTGTTTACTTCCAGATTGCAAACACAGCGATGATACTCGTCATGCTGTTTTCCTATCCTCTAGTCAGCTTCGGGGTCAACAAGGCCTTCCAATCCCTCATATGGAAGCCCGGGCAGAAGGTTCCTTTCAAGTGGTCCCTTATGTTTGCCCTTATAAATGTCTTTGTGCCCGCCATTATCGCTACCTTTGTGTCTGACATCGACCACATCCTTTCCTTTACTGCTTCTCTTTGCGGGTCCCCGATGGTCTACATTATCCCTGGCTTCTTTGGATACACCATTTCTAAGCGCCAAGGAGGGCCAAAGTACCGTCTAGCGTTAAGTCTCATCCTGATCATCCTCGGGGTGTTTTATTCTGTTAGTGGTTTTTCGTCTGCGCTTTATACGATTGCCATAAGGCCAGCTCTAGAAAAGTAGCCCTGTAGAATTCCCATGTTCATACTCTTTGCCATGTTATATCAAGGATCTATAGAACCTATAAAAAGTAAACTGTAGATTAGCGAAGATGGCGCCTCAGTGCGACGACCCTCTGGCTGAGGCCGGCCTTCTGAAGTGCACCATTCATCACCCAGTGGGGCCAGAAGCACTGCATCCTGCAGTCTACGATACTGAGCTCCTGCTAGAGCGGGAGAAGCAAAATCTCCTGCGAATGCAAACTGCGCGCGATCTCATGGAACAGATCAGTGTACATACACGCCCTCAGGAGAGCTGCTTCTTCCACCGTGTCACCGCGTTGAATAGAGACGCCATGTGCCAAGCGCTGCACCTTGAGACGCGTGAGAGGCAAAGGACAATGCAAGAGCTAGATGAGCAAATTAGCCACCACGCGCGCACCAAGCTACGGGAGTACAAACAGCAAAGGGACTACCGCAGGGGCATCTGCAGCCCACCAGTTTACTCGTGGTCCACCCCGGAGACACACAGGGGCAGGCTGTTGAGTAGACTGCCTAACATCCCACTCTTTGTCTACGGGACCACAATAAACTCCACATCAGACCTTCTAGAATAGGCGTGGCTCTTGCATACTTCGATAAACCAGCGGTTAACCCCAATTATCTGAAAAGTTAAACAGGTACTCCAGACTCCCAAAGCTGGTGTTGTGTTCATCCACGAATTCTAATTTTGCCCTGAAGTACCCCTTTGCCAGAATGCCCTTGGGTGCACACTCTTCGGACATGAAATATATATATGGCTCACTTCGAGGAAGAAACGTTCCGAGGAATACCCTCCCCTTGTAGACAGGGATGCCTAGGCGGTAAATCCGAACAAGGGATCTGAACCCAACTATGGGCGCTTCAGAGACCCGCCAGGAGAAGCCCATGGAAAAGAGACAGCCCTGCTTGATGGTATAGAGAGGCTTCTGGGTATGTTCCGGAGTAATGGAACTTGTAGAGTAGACGAGAGGCTCCATTAGATCCGGGCTTAGGATGCGAAGATCGCATATAGACACCTTCCCCGCGCCCGGAGCAATGGGAGGAAGTTCGGGACACAAGGACTCATCCCAGAGCTTAGCAGCCTCCTCGGCGCTGATGGGTGCTCCGATTGGAATCGGAGATGACGCTTGCTTAGTTGAACCGCCACTTGCTTGTGTCTCGGTCATCTCTGCGACTTCGGAGCACATCACCGTGTGCGAGGTCAGGGTTGACATTCACCGACGACAATATAAGTACTTTTTAAATGCCGTTCTCAGGAGCAGATTTAACACGTGTTCGTGTACATGAGAAAAATGCGCCGCCCTTACTATCGACTGGTTCTTAGACACACTAATAGCACCTTCTATGCGTACAATACATCCACCTTACTAAACTTCGCAGTCAAGCCATCTTAACTAGAGTGAACAGGTGACTACATATTCTGTTGTTTCCTCTACTGTGCCTGGATGTTCTATCACCAAATCCAAGCCTAAAGATTTTTAAAAGTGCCTCACTAAAACCCGTCAGTTTGACTTCTTCCACTCGTTCTGTTCTAGAAGGTGACCCCGTTAGCTGTGATTGATCGCATTGCCTACTGGCCTCCCAGAGTACCGAAGTAACTGCTGGCTTTATCTAGACTCATTTAGGCGCTGTCTCAGAGCACAGACTGTGCAGTCAGGAATGGCACTCAGGCAGCCCCTAACGGGATCCGTCGATATAATACGTTTACTACCTAAGTGTACAGTTAAATCTACGCCTTCCCGCGGCAGAGGAACCACCAACACAAGAAGCCAACAAGCCCTCCTACAACAACGACCACAGCAACGGAGATGCCAGCGATGGCCCCAGTGGAGAGCCTGCTACTCTTGTTTGTGCTACCGCTATCATTTATGAGGTAGCAGACGACAGATCCTTGATTATTAGATGGAGGACTACAGCTCACACAGCTGCTAACACCTTGAATAGCACTACTATTCTCGGTACATTTCACACACAGCTTTTTATCAGAATCGAAATAGTATCCCAGAAGGCAAGATTGGCATTCGGGCGCCCGCGAGGATGTCCCTGTACATGTGTCACAACCTGTTGGACACACAGGACAGGCTCCAGTATTGGTATCTGGTCTCTGTCCATTTACGCACGTAGTACACAGGCTATTGGGACCCGCCGCTGCACATATCTGGACACCAGGCTGTCTACCGAGTTTATAGCAGCCTCCATCTTGAAGAAAATGATCTGCAGCACACTGAGTGCATACGCCACCTGCTGCGTTCGTGCAGAATGAATTCCTTGTTACTGAATTAGCGCACACGCCATTCTGAGGTGCCCACTTATCTTCCTTGCATTTTGAACAGTACTTCGTACCGCCGATTACCGCTCCACACTCTGCACACCCGTCCATCTCTGCTTTGCACTCATCTACGCAGGATCCACCTTGATTAGGATCATCATTGGTGTATTTTAGCATTTTCCCGGGAGGACAAGCTGTGCACTTCGCTGGCCCCTTTGTGGTGCACCCAGCACAGCTAGGATCACAAGGCTCGCACACTTTGTCTCCGTTGTAGTAGCTTCCTATTGCTCCGCAGCTCTGCGTGCACTGCTTTGTCGGGGTGAGGTAGTTGCCATCATTACATTCAGTGCAGATTTCGTTGTCTGTTTTGGGGTTGTCACAGGTCTTGCAGTTGGGAGTATTGCACTGCGTGTTAGGGGCCTTCTCGCACTGGTTCTGCCCGGGAGTCGGCTGGTACCCAACGGCGCACTCGCAGACGTGCTGGCCGTTGGCTGCAGAGTTCGACGGGCAGTCGGCCTTGCAGCTCTTCTTGTCAATCTGTACATTGTTGGAAGCCTCTGTACAGGCCGTGCACGTCTGGGCGTCGGGGCCGCAGGTCTTGCAGCCCGCCGTGTCCAGGGCTGCTGCGCAGTTGACGTTGGCAACCGCCTCGCACGCGTCTTTTCCATTGTTCAGGCTGAATCCCGGGTCGCACTCGCAGACGTTCTGGTTGGGGGAGGAGTTCTGCGGGCAGTTGGCCTTGCAGCTTCTTTTATCGAGCTGCACGTTCTCGCCAGGAGTCTTGCAGTCCAGGCACGTCTGGGCGTCGGGGCCGCAGGTCTTGCAGCCCGCCGTGTCCAGGGCTGCTGCGCAGTTGACGTTGGCAACCGCCTCGCACGCGTCTTTTCCATTGTTCAGGCTGAATCCCGGGTCGCACTCGCAGACGTTCTGGTTGGGGGAGGAGTTCTGCGGGCAGTTGGCCTTGCAGCTTCTTTTATCGAGCTGCACGTTCTCGCCAGGAGTCTTGCAGTCCAGGCACGTCTGGGCGTCGGGGCCGCAGGTCTTGCAGCCCGCCGTGTCCAGGGCTGCTGCGCAGTTGACGTTGGCAACCGCCTCGCACGCGTCTTTTCCATTGTTCAGGCTGAATCCCGGGTCGCACTCGCAGACGTTCTGGTTGGGGGAGGAGTTCTGCGGGCAGTTGGCCTTGCAGCTTCTTTTATCGAGCTGCACGTTCTCGCCAGGAGTCTTGCAGTCCAGGCACGTCTGGGCGTCGGGGCCGCAGGTCTTGCAGCCCGCCGTGTCCAGGGCTGCTGCGCAGTTGACGTTGGCAACCGCCTCGCACGCGTCTTTTCCATTGTTCAGGCTGAATCCCGGGTCGCACTCGCAGACGTTCTGGTTGGGGGAGGAGTTCTGCGGGCAGTTGGCCTTGCAGCTTCTTTTATCGAGCTGCACGTTCTCGCCAGGAGTCTTGCAGTCCAGGCACGTCTGGGCGTCGGGGCCGCAGGTCTTGCAGCCCGCCGTGTCCAGGGCTGCTGCGCAGTTGACGTTGGCAACCGCCTCGCACGCGTCTTTTCCATTGTTCAGGCTGAATCCCGGGTCGCACTCGCAGACGTTCTGGTTGGGGGAGGAGTTCTGCGGGCAGTTGGCCTTGCAGCTTCTTTTATCGAGCTGCACGTTCTCGCCAGGAGTCTTGCAGTCCAGGCACGTCTGGGCGTCGGGGCCGCAGGTCTTGCAGCCCGCCGTGTCCAGGGCTGCTGCGCAGTTGACGTTGGCAACCGCCTCGCACGCGTCTTTTCCATTGTTCAGGCTGAATCCCGGGTCGCACTCGCAGACGTTCTGGTTGGGGGAGGAGTTCTGCGGGCAGTTGGCCTTGCAGCTTCTTTTATCGAGCTGCACGTTCTCGCCAGGAGTCTTGCAGTCCAGGCACGTCTGGGCGTCGGGGCCGCAGGTCTTGCAGCCCGCCGTGTCCAGGGCTGCTGCGCAGTTGACGTTGGCAACCGCCTCGCACGCGTCTTTTCCATTGTTCAGGCTGAATCCCGGGTCGCACTCGCAGACGTTCTGGTTGGGGGAGGAGTTCTGCGGGCAGTTGGCCTTGCAGCTTCTTTTATCGAGCTGCACGTTCTCGCCAGGAGTCTTGCAGTCCAGGCACGTCTGGGCGTCGGGGCCGCAGGTCTTGCAGCCCGCCGTGTCCAGGGCTGCTGCGCAGTTGACGTTGGCAACCGCCTCGCACGCGTCTTTTCCATTGTTCAGGCTGAATCCCGGGTCGCACTCGCAGACGTTCTGGTTGGGGGAGGAGTTCTGCGGGCAGTTGGCCTTGCAGCTTCTTTTATCGAGCTGCACGTTCTCGCCAGGAGTCTTGCAGTCCAGGCACGTCTGGGCGTCGGGGCCGCAGGTCTTGCAGCCCGCCGTGTCCAGGGCTGCTGCGCAGTTGACGTTGGCAACCGCCTCGCACGCGTCTTTTCCATTGTTCAGGCTGAATCCCGGGTCGCACTCGCAGACGTTCTGGTTGGGGGAGGAGTTCTGCGGGCAGTTGGCCTTGCAGCTTCTTTTATCGAGCTGCACGTTCTCGCCAGGAGTCTTGCAGTCCAGGCACGTCTGGGCGTCGGGGCCGCAGGTCTTGCAGCCCGCCGTGTCCAGGGCTGCTGCGCAGTTGACGTTGGCAACCGCCTCGCACGCGTCTTTTCCATTGTTCAGGCTGAATCCCGGGTCGCACTCGCAGACGTTCTGGTTGGGGGAGGAGTTCTGCGGGCAGTTGGCCTTGCAGCTTCTTTTATCGAGCTGCACGTTCTCGCCAGGAGTCTTGCAGTCCAGGCACGTCTGGGCGTCGGGGCCGCAGGTCTTGCAGCCCGCCGTGTCCAGGGCTGCTGCGCAGTTGACGTTGGCAACCGCCTCGCACGCGTCTTTTCCATTGTTCAGGCTGAATCCCGGGTCGCACTCGCAGACGTTCTGGTTGGGGGAGGAGTTCTGCGGGCAGTTGGCCTTGCAGCTTCTTTTATCGAGCTGCACGTTCTCGCCAGGAGTCTTGCAGTCCAGGCACGTCTGGGCGTCGGGGCCGCAGGTCTTGCAGCCCGCCGTGTCCAGGGCTGCTGCGCAGTTGACGTTGGCAACCGCCTCGCACGCGTCTTTTCCATTGTTCAGGCTGAATCCCGGGTCGCACTCGCAGACGTTCTGGTTGGGGGAGGAGTTCTGCGGGCAGTTGGCCTTGCAGCTTCTTTTATCGAGCTGCACGTTCTCGCCAGGAGTCTTGCAGTCCAGGCACGTCTGGGCGTCGGGGCCGCAGGTCTTGCAGCCCGCCGTGTCCAGGGCTGCTGCGCAGTTGACGTTGGCAACCGCCTCGCACGCGTCTTTTCCATTGTTCAGGCTGAATCCCGGGTCGCACTCGCAGACGTTCTGGTTGGGGGAGGAGTTCTGCGGGCAGTTGGCCTTGCAGCTTCTTTTATCGAGCTGCACGTTCTCGCCAGGAGTCTTGCAGTCCAGGCACGTCTGGGCGTCGGGGCCGCAGGTCTTGCAGCCCGCCGTGTCCAGGGCTGCTGCGCAGTTGACGTTGGCAACCGCCTCGCACGCGTCTTTTCCATTGTTCAGGCTGAATCCCGGGTCGCACTCGCAGACGTTCTGGTTGGGGGAGGAGTTCTGCGGGCAGTTGGCCTTGCAGCTTCTTTTATCGAGCTGCACGTTCTCGCCAGGAGTCTTGCAGTCCAGGCACGTCTGGGCGTCGGGGCCGCAGGTCTTGCAGCCCGCCGTGTCCAGGGCTGCTGCGCAGTTGACGTTGGCAACCGCCTCGCACGCGTCTTTTCCATTGTTCAGGCTGAATCCCGGGTCGCACTCGCAGACGTTCTGGTTGGGGGAGGAGTTCTGCGGGCAGTTGGCCTTGCAGCTTCTTTTATCGAGCTGCACGTTCTCGCCAGGAGTCTTGCAGTCCAGGCACGTCTGGGCGTCGGGGCCGCAGGTCTTGCAGCCCGCCGTGTCCAGGGCTGCTGCGCAGTTGACGTTGGCAACCGCCTCGCACGCGTCTTTTCCATTGTTCAGGCTGAATCCCGGGTCGCACTCGCAGACGTTCTGGTTGGGGGAGGAGTTCTGCGGGCAGTTGGCCTTGCAGCTTCTTTTATCGAGCTGCACGTTCTCGCCAGGAGTCTTGCAGTCCAGGCACGTCTGGGCGTCGGGGCCGCAGGTCTTGCAGCCCGCCGTGTCCAGGGCTGCTGCGCATGCTGTGTTAGAGGCCGCCACGCATGCGGTCTTCCCGCTGTTCTTTGCCAGCACGGTTGCACAAACTAGGAGAAATCCTATCAACATTAGCCGGGTTCGTATGCCACTGCTCTTTCACCAGACTTGTGCATTGACCGCGAGCAGTGAGAGACAGCCGCTCTTGCTCTCTTGATCAGTTGGACTGGAGAAGGACGAGATAGGAGCACACCAACCGGAGGCCAGCTGATAGCGCAGTTCTCTCTGACTTCCATAGGAACAGGACCAGTGAGGGCCGGACTCAGATCGCACCTCTCTTGTGGAGTGATTGGTCGGGGTGCACTCCTGTACATTGCTGTCACTGTATCACTGGGCCCACCTGCAGGGGCAGGGCGTCTCGGTAGTAAACGCATTGCCTATTGCATCTGCTCGCTCCATGGCCTCTGCGGCGCTATTTTACGAAATCGTTGGGTCACCTGTCTCCAAGCATCCACTGGATCCTGCGGCAAGACCGTGCCTCTATGCCCGCTCTACCCACGAGGAAGTAGGCACTGCATAGGAATCCTCGGGAAGTGGCAGTGCGTTGCAGCCCAGGGTTCTCTCGAGGGCAGCAGCCGAAGCCGACAACCAAGACAGCCCGCAGGCGCCTGCCAGGACTACTCCCCCCGAGGGGCTGTGCTACCCGGCCGAGTGCGTCGTCGGAGAGCGGCTCTGCGGATACCCCCACATGCTTGATAAGAGCATCAGAAACAACAATAGCACGATCCTCACCGACGGCTTCGTGGCAAACCTGACGAGCTCTCTGCTCTGCCGACTGGACCACTCCACGGCGAGACACCAGTGTCTGTGCGTGCCACCATTCAAGCACATTCCGGACCACGGGTGCGCCCCGGCGGGGTGTGTTTCGGACACGGGTTTTGTGTGCCCGCACGGAGAATGCCTATACAGTGATGGAGAGTACCTGTGCAAGTGTGAGGACGGCTTTGTGATGCTGAACAGCACGTGCGTGCACGCCCAGTGCGTGAAGAACGGGGCTGCCTGCAACTGGACGCCCAAGGCAAGGGGCAGGACGTGTGTGCAGAACGCCACAGCCGCCCTTGCGTGCCAGTGCGACGAGGACGCGGTCCCCCATGGCCAGCTGTGCGCCAGCAAGAAGTACCTGAACACTCGTCTGGCTGGGAGTGTGTGCACAGGACACGGGGAGTGCTACAAGGATGCCTGTGTCTGTGCCGAGGGCTACCACAGGGATCTATGTGACTGCCGTGTGAGGAACATCGGGGCCGTGGCGGGGGTGACGGCGAGCACGGCCGTCTTCTTCGGGCTCCTCTTCCTGTCTGCGACCCGGTAGGGTGTGCAAGTCCCGCACACGGCTAACCTACCCGCGGCCCAAAAAAGGACCGGATGTTGCTGCTTACTTTGTCTTTCCTCTGCGCGGCATCGGCCGAGCGGGACCCGTTCAGCATCCACATGGCGTGCGAGCATGCCTTCGAGCGCTTCGTCGGCCTCTACGGGAAGGCCTACGACACGCCCGGGGACCGGCTGGAGGCGGAGCGGAACTTCTGCATGCACCTCGAGCACCTCCGCAGGCTCCGCCGGGAGGGCCACGAGCACGTCACCTTCGGGATCACGTCCCGGATGGACCGCCACCCGCGCGCCGGCATCCTCCCGCCCCGGTCGCTGGGGGGCGGCGAGTGGAGCGCAGCTGCAGATGCGTGCAACTGGACTAATAAAACCAATAAGTACACCAACTGCAACGTCGATGCCTACGAGCTGGGGCCGGACCTGAAGGGAGACACTCAAGCTAATTCACAGAGTGCTAACGCTGACGACAAGAGCAAGAAGCAGGACAGCTTCTTCCTCGTCGACGTGCGGGACATGAACGTCAAAGACAGGCAGCGGACGCTCCCCCACTCCGTCGACCTCCGCGAGGTGGGCCTCGTGACCCGCGCGAAGGACCAGGGCCTGTGCGGCTCCTGCTACGAGTTCACGACCATCGAGGTCCTCGAGAACCTGATGCTCGTCGACGCAGACCTCTACACGAGGGGGAAGTACCTCGATCCCCAGCCCTTTCCGTCGAACTACTTCTGCAACTGCTCGGCCCCTGCGAGCCAGGATGACAGTCAGAAGAGTAATGACTGCGCTGCAATGATAACTGTTCAAAATCGTACTGAGAAAGAGTATACCGACATCCCCGAGAACTGGAAGTCCTACAGCGCGTCCACCCTGCGCCTCTCCGTCCAGTTCCTCCTCGACAACCTCATCGGCGGGAACTACTGCAACGGGGGAAACTACTTCCGCGCCATCGCAGACTTCGTCAACAAGCTGAGCAAGCTCGCGAAGGAGTCCGAGTGCATCTACAGGGAGTACGCGACGCCCGAAAAGGCCGCCCCAGACAATGGTGCTAAGTGTCAGGACGCCAATATAGGAGACTTCAACCCTGCCTTCGTCTCCATGCCGATGAAGAAGAAGGGCAGCTCTTCTAATTCTGGGGCTGCAGGTAGCGATGAATACGAGTATGATGTCAATGGTGGCTCAGGGACACCAAATAAGTTCGGCGTCTACCAGATCCTGCGGAACGAGGGCGTGCCGGCCTCGGGGCTCATCATCGAGGAGATGGACAAGGGGAAGTTCGCCGAGTGGGAGCGGAACGTCATGAACGTCCTGGCCCGCGGGGTCGGGGTCGCGGCGGCCATGCACACAGAGTCCGGCGTCGACACGTCGATCGACAAGGACTACGAGTCCGTCGTCGCCTCTGCGCTGACGTTCAACCTCTACAAGGGCGGCGTCTTCCCCGACGTCAAGTGCGTGCGCGCGACCACGAACCACCAGGTCATGCTCGTCGGCTACGGGGCGTACAAGGGCCGGCCCGTCTGGATCCTGCGCAACTCGTGGGGGACCGGCTGGGGCGTCTCGGGCTACTACTACATCGGCCGCGGCTCCAACTCGCTCTGCCACGAGCTGACCGTCGAGTACACGATGCCCCGCTTCTACGGGCCCGACCGCGACGGCGTCCACCCGCTCTTCCTCTCCGCGCCCGACGAGGCCCAGAAGGTCGCCATCGCAGACGCCGTCCGCGCCTCCCCGTTCAACAACAAGGTCAAGCGGTGCGTGAACGGGCTGGACACGGTCGACGCGCACGGGGGCACGATGTGCGAGGCCCTCGAGGTCAGCGCGTGGAACTACGTCCTGGTGGGGGCCCTGGCCATCGTCATCTTCTTCCTCGGCCGGTACTGCATGCAGTACTACTTCTGCGCGCCGGAGTACATCTTCCACAGCCCGCTCAACCTGAACCTTCCGCACAAGGGCGTGTAGCGCCTAGCGCCCGAACTCCCCGTCGTAGAGGGTGGTCAGGTAGATGTCCGTGTTCTCGCTGAACCTCCGTGAGATCTCCAGCACGTCGCTGTCCCCGACGGAGAAGTCGGACAGCCGCGGTCCCTCTGTGCTCCGGTAGTCGCAGAGGCTCTTCTCGTCTATGGAGACGACCCGGCTCGGATCGAAGTTGACCACCGAGCGAACCGCAGGAAGGTCGAGCCCACGGGCGAAGTTATCAGTTGCCAAGACGATCGTTGCAGGGTGTTCCTCGAGGGACTCGTTGGAGATGGCCGGGACAGACTCGAAGTTCGGCCTCCGGAAGACGTGCCCCTGGGCCACCAGCGTTATCCTGTACCAGAGCTCTTTGTAAACCTTGATCATCATCAGGAACAGCAGGTGAGCGATGCGCTGCGCGGTGTGCCTGGAGTTGACGAAGACGATGCAGGGCAGGAGGGTCGTCCTCGAGTTGGTGATGGACCCGGCGGGGCTGCAGAGGAACCTGAAGACCAGGTATGTGATGTCTATCTCGGAGTAGACCCGCTTGAGCTGGACGACGAAGTGTTCGACGTTGGGCGAGAGGGCAAGGCGCGCGTGGCCCTCGTCGAAGTCCACCATGCACCCGCCGTGGAGGCCCATGTTCTCGAGCAGGCTCGCCCGGTACTTCATGGTCGCAGAGAGGAAGACAAACCTGTCCGTCGGAAGCCCAAGGCGGTGTCGCTGGGCGAAGAAGAGAGGCACGCGGAAGACGGCCGTGGAGTTCCGTTGAGCGAAGAACTCCCTGATGAGCGCCAGGAAGGACGTGTTGTCGTTGAGGAGGATGTGGTCTGCCTCGTCTATCACCACGTGCCGCAGCTTCAGGAACGAGGTTGCTCCACGGGAGGCGATACCTGTGCCCGAGGCCGGCTTGACTGCCGTAAGGAGAGCAGAGACGATCCCGGGGGTGCCGCAGATGATGTACGATGTCCTATCCTCTCCATACCCAATGATATTTCTGAAGTCGGGAAGCTCAGAGTGTCTGAGCAGAGGCACACGGTGAAGGAGGCCAAGGAGCAGATGATAGACTGACTAGAAGAGCAGTGTCGCCTTGTGGATAAATGGCAATCACAGACACCGACTATCTGCCAATACTATCTCGTCCGACACCAGCTAGACACATATGAATGTAACACGCCCTTCTGGTCAGTAACAGATACTATGGAGTATCCGAAGGTCTCACTTATCAACGAGCCTTCAGATTATTTTTCGGCAAGCGATTATCTTGCTCGATTCCCTAAGAACACGGTTCAGCTGGCCGACAACAGCCAGGTGAGTCTTTTACCTTGAGAGCAGATCTGGGGACAGCCTATATCTTCCTGTTCAGAGTGTAAGAAGTGTGCTTTGAGCAATACCTAAGTGAGTCTATGTAAGACCAGCAGTTACTCGGGAGGCCCAGATGACAGCCTTTGGGCTGCAGCTGATGAGGTCACTTTCTGAAACGGAGTAAATGCTAGATTCACTAGTACAGCTTATCGACTATTTCAGTGCATCAGACTTCTGCGTAGTAGCCGAGTTCATATAATTAATGCCAGGCTCAATTTCGTTGGCAAATTCGAGCATGTACTCGGCCATCTTCTGAAGCTGCCTAGCCTGAGAAACATAGTCAGCTTTTATATCCACTAGTCCGTCTGCTTTGTGGGACAATTGGTTTTGGAGCTGCGTTACCTGCTTTTTTAATGCGTCGATCTCGCAATCTTTACAATCTATTTCTGTTATAAGTTTTAGTATTTTAGAATTATTGGAAGCAGAGTGGCCCGAGTGAACCGAATCCATTAGCGTTGCGTTCAAAGTAATGTTATCAAACTGCGAGGCCTCAGAGAGAATGTAGCTTTCTACAAGCTTTGAATTGTTGCCATCGGGATGACTGCTGTTATTATGGTTGCTTTCTATTAATGCAGGCGTGCTATATCCACCGGGTCCTTGATGGCCTTCCCGCTTAGTCACGCCCCTGGTAGTTGGTGTTGTCGGAGCATGGGGATACTGATGCCGCTGAGGAGGCATGAGGGTCGAGGAGGTAAAGGCCTTGCTTGGATCATTTTCTGGTCTGGGCCCGTTAGCGTTTCTGGAAGACTTTGCTGAAACAGAGGGATTTGGCGGGAGAAAAAGGTGGGTGGAGTTGGCGAGAAGATCTGCAACGTCGTGGTTTCCAAACTGAGAAGCAATGTTTCTTGCTGACAGGCCGTCTTTCCGAACCATATTTCCCTCTGCAGCCATTAAGAGACGCACTATGTCTTCGTGGTCGAATTGTGCGGCAACCATAAGTGCTGTCATGCCGTTCTGCTTTGCTAAGCAAGCCTCCTTTGGAGCCAGAAGCTCGGCAGCTTCAAAATTGCCCAACTTAGCCGCGGTCATAAGGCAGGACCAGCCGTTGTCCTTGCAGACCCCTGCTTCATAGCCCAAAAGAAGCTCAATGACTGATATATTGCCGCTGACGGTAGCGTACATCATTGCGGTCTGACCACTAGAGTCCCGAATCCCTGCTTCGTGCTTGAGAAGGATCCTGACGGCATCAACCTGGTTTGATTCAGCGGCATACATGAGGGCCGTCTTTCCGTTGTCGTCTACGCATTTTACCTCTTTCTCCAGGAGCTCCTGAATGAGACTACTGAACCCCATACTGGCGGCGCTCATGAGAGCAGTTGCGCCATCCGTATCGCGCAGTCCGGTTTCGTAGGGAACCAGAATGCGGGCAACCTCTGCGTGCCCGTTCTGAATAGCAGTTATAAGAGCAGTCTTCCCACGCCAATCTTGCATCCCAGCCTCATACTCAGCTAAGAGCGAAACGGCTTCATAGCGTCCCGCCTGTGCTGCATACATCAGCGCAGTAACGCCCAAGTTGTCCTTCAACCTGGCCTGCTGTCTTAAATTTTGACGCAAGGCGATCATGTCGCCCTTTCGAGCGGCTTCCATAAGCGCTGTGTAGATATTGCTGGACATAGTTCTTTCCACTTTTTGAAATGAAAATACCGACTATCTGGTTGTTATGTATACGCGGTGCACAGATGGAGCCGTTCCATACTACATATTTCAGGCTGCAGGTGTAACCTTCCTGATTAATCCTGTCTTTAGAGAGCCCCCGGCCGGCAGCCGTCTTGTCTATTCAAATGTAGAGCCCGTGGTGATTCTCACTGACCCAGAAGCCGCGTTTGCATATTTGAAAACTCATACAATTCTCTCCACCTGTGTTAGGACTACTTATAGCCTTCGTGTTCTCATTACGCTTCCCCTTGTTCATTACATCCTATCATTCTGGGATTGCTACAACCTAAAGCGGCTCTTTATGACCGTGCCTTTTGAAGCTGTGGCAACTGATGTGTCTATCCCTATAGGTGCTGCCTTAGTGCGGTTTACAGGCCCTCTTGAGGTACATTTTACAGTCGGTGAGATGACATCTAAATGTGCTGTCTCCTGTGTTCTTGGCACAAAGCTTATGCCTCGCCAGGCGTACTATATTAGTCGCATATCTGAGTTGTATGCCTTTGCGTTCTATTTGATTGTAGCCTTCAATGAGTACGAAAAGAAGAACAGAGATATCGATCAGTTTTTGGGTGTAGCACTAGACTCCAGGCTCTGGCCCTCCTTCATCTTTTTGATAAGGCTCCTAGACTTTTCTCCCGCTTTCGATATCCAGAAGGCCAAGCACAATCCTGACAACAGCACGGTGAAAGGGACCGGGGACAGCTTCAGAATGCAGTCGCTTATCTCCTCAGGAAGAATTATTCAAAGCAATCCCCGAACGCCCGTCTCCAAGGACCGCCTAGCGGTGTACTTCAAGGAGCCCAAAGCACCCGCAGACGAGTCTCTGCAAGCACTGCCAATGCCTATAAGCATAACAACTCGCTGGTCGGGAGCCACCGAAGTGCCCATGGAGTCACTGCAGTGGAGTAATACAGTTGTCACGCCAATCATTTATCCCACCTTCAATGACCTGTTGCTCAATAGACCCGATGCTATCTTTGGGCCGAGCAAGCGTTTAATGGCTGATTGCGTCCCGACAGAGATAGATAGTGCGACTACTTGTCAGCGTGAGGAGTCTGCGTCTGAAAAGTTTGAGCTGTGAATACTAAACTGAAATAAAATTGAACGCATGGCCGCAACTTCTTCAGCCATTAATGGAACGTGCTTGCACAACCAAGCGCTGCGGGATGAGCCGAGTGGCCAGCTTGCCTTCTCTGAATCACCGACCGTTTTCTCTGGAGCGAACCCTGTCTCGGGTTCAGCGACAGCAACAAGGATAGCATTTTCTTCGCAGCCCTTAGCTCCTGTTGTCCCGACATGCAACCCTTCTCTTTTCTTCACTCAAGCTCCCAATTTGTCGTCTCCCTTGACTTGTAGCTCTAATGCTACGGCATCATCTTCACCTTTGATTTTCTCCAGGAATAAGCGTGCTGTCTCACAATTTTCTATCACTAGAGCGCTTCCGTTAACCACTACCTCTCCAGAAAAGCCCACTGCTGGATCTCACTCGGAGAGCGGTGGCATCAATCTTTCCATTTCTGTTCCTCCTTCCAAAAAGACCGGGGGCTCTCTTGAGGTGACTCTGCGGCGTAGAAAGCGTGCGCAGTCAACAGCCTATGGTAGAGATGGTCGGAGAGGCCAGCCTTTGAAGGGACCCAACGGTGAGCCTCACCAAACAACCGAAAAGCTTCAATCGTCTCATATTCCCTATCCTAGCACTGATGGGCAGAATCAATTACAAGGTCACTCGGCTCTAGTAGGTGTCCATTATAGGCCTTCTGCTAGAGCAACTAAGTTCGTCGCAGATAATACGGAGCATATAGATAACAGACTTTTGTCAAGGACAATTACCAGTGTTATAGCTCGCATGTTTCCAGCAAAGGCTGACAGGATTACGGATTGTTATACTAAGCTGAGTAAGCTATCTAGCGGATCTAAAAAGTTGGTTGAGAATAACCTGCTTAATACAAGATTATTTCATGCATACTATAAGCTTTCTCTAAAAGATGGTGTTGGTAACCTAATAGTGCCCAACAACGTCACTACACTAGAAGCGTATATCAGCTTTCTAGAAGCCCATCTGTGCCGATAAGTTGGCGGGCTTGCTTGTATATTAATTGTAATTTAGTATGTTATATTGCAGTAAAATATGAACATTGTGATTTAATTAATGCCCCGCAGAGATCAGCAGAGGGACCAGCTCACACCGATCTACGACACTCGGACCAAGACCACCAAATACCATGATTACTTCTCTCTCATGGCCCACTTCAACATTGACTCCACGCGGAGTAAGCACTATGACACGGATCTCCCAGAAGACCAGCGGATATCCTTGTTTTCTGCTAAGCTGGAAGAGCTTCAGGCTGGCAACGATCACGGAGTGTTTCTGTCTCTCTGTGACGACGTGATGCTCAACTATAGACTGTTGGTGCAGGTTTTGTATGATCCAGATGGTCTCTTTTCCATTATTGAGAATGCCTTAAATGCGCTAACACTCGAGGATCCTAATAGCTCGGATTTCATAGCAAGCAAGACCGTTTATTTGAGCATCATTCGCGCGCTGCCTGACCTTTTCCGTGACCTGGGGCCTAGTAATAAGCACTTTATTCTCACAAGCCTCACACTTTTACGTCTCAATGGCGTGTGCAAGCATCCAGAGTTATTTGTGGGGGCAATTCAAAGCCTACTTCTTTCTCTGAAGTATCTAGGCGGGGCCATACCCGAGGGTATTTGGGGTGCAATTCTCTCCTATGTGGAACAGATGGAGCGTATGCTATGGCCAGGCTTGGCGGAGATACCAGCGTATCTTGTCAGAGTTCACTCCCGCCACGACGACTGTATGTCTGAGATCTTCACGTCGATCGCCGGGCCCCTTGAGTCAACAATGGCTAATCTAGTACTTCTTCTAGCGTGCCGCCACCCTGACGGAACCCTGCATAGTCGTTTTGATATCATTATTGGCTCCTATTTCTCTATCCCGAAGTCAGATACCGAGAACTGGCTTGTTGATCTAACCACGCTCTTCGCAGAGGCAGAAATGGATTCATCTGCACTATCACAGGTTATTCTATCTATTACTGGACACGCACTGAAACTGCTGTCAGACCCTTCTCAGCAGCATGAGACTCAAAACGCACTACTCTCTCTTGCAATGTTCTACCCCAATAAGATGACGTTTTCCGGTATTAATGACCTTTATCACTTGATTGTGGCGAACAAAGAAGCTTTGAATAGGAGCCTTTACTTACTGACTTTGTGCTTGTTGGCTATCTCTACCTCTCTCCACGCAGAATGCAAGGATGACTTAGTAGCAACCTTTTTCAAACAGTTTCATGCTGACCTATGCAATTATAACGTGTTCTACTCTCTCTATGTCATGGTTCAGGACTTTTCAAGGCACCACAAACGGGACATCTTTATAGACACATTCAAAAGTGTGTACAGCTCTTCTCTTTCAGAGGATCACTCCCCGTACATTCGTCTTTACCTTTTCTGCGAAGGAGTCTGTGATTCGCCCTCCGGTTCAGAACTCGACGCAATTGTAGAAGCAATCGAAAGGGACTTTGTCCATGAGCTGGAGAACGAAACAGGATCTATGTTGTGCACTGTCCTAGCCTGTCTATATTCGCGCTCGTTGCTCAGTAGAAAGCATACGCAAGCGCTGCAGTCTCTCTTGCAAAGCATTGATGCATCGTATTTGAATATGCTTTCTGTAGGCAGAATAGCTAAGAAGCCCGCGGTGCTTACAACGCAAGGTGCTCTTATCACCACCCTGCTTTCTCTATTAATTCAGGTCACCCCTGGTTCACCAGAGTACTTCTTTACATTACTCGAGTCTATCGTCTCCATCCAGTACGACTCTCTTTTCGACGTTCTGGCAACACGGCTGGCTGGTGCTTCGCTGGACGAGCTATATGCAACCCTTTTAAACAGCGAACTACCTTTAATCATGCTGACATCTCCCAATGGTGTCATGAGACGATCGATGTTGAAGATAGTGAGTTTACTCGGGGGTGCCTCACGCGGGTTTGCTATTATTGGTCAGTATGCCAGCCTCTTTCCCCTTACGAATGTTTTTGAAGTCCAGCATATAATGACACAGTTGCAGAAGCAGCTGTTAGGCTTCCTGGAGGTCTCATCTGCTAAGGCCAACGACGACTCTGCCAGGGTAATATCCATCGTTGCAGCGGCGACATGTGGACTTCTCTACATGCGCTTTGCACCTGTAGCCGACGGCGCTATTGACTTGCTGCGTTTATTTGCCGAGATGCGTCCGGCAGAAGTCTCCTACGTGTTCGAGCGCTATCTCTGGAAATTCGTATTCGAGCTTACTGCTTATGAGGTCAAGAACCCTGTGTTTGAACTGATTCATAACTTCTCTATGGAGGCAGAGTACCCTTATCCCTATACGTTAGATGGCCAAGATGATCAGGGAGCAGAGGAGCGGGTATATCGCTCTGACAATAAGTTCCGTGCCAGAATCATGACGGCTGAGCGGGAGCAGATTGCTGTCCGCCTCAATTTGCTCGTTGACAAGGCTACAGTTCGATCAACCCATCTATTGACTAGTAAGGTGGTTGCACAGCTTCTACTGGGAATAAATACGATTAAGTACATAGGCGTTAACACGATTCTTCCCTCGGAGAGTTTGAAGATTGTGACACTTCTTGCTGAAAAGGCGATTTGGATGACACACTTCACTAATATCTTTTCCGATGCTTGTGTGTGCGGGCTGATCGCCGCCTATGTTAAGCGTATTAACCTTGGAAACACTAGTGAAGGCTATGAAGGCTCTGAGATTCATTCCCGTTCAATGGACCTAATGAGCAAGCTTTTTTGTCTCTTGGCAGACCGCATTGTAGATGATTCGCGCGCTAAATTAATGGGAGCGATTAAGCTCGTCTTCTCTACTGCCTCGCTAGAGTACATGGTTCCTAACTGCGTAATTCTCTACTACTTCTTGACTAAGGCCCCCTTCATTCACGTATTGGGACGCATGGCCAATTTGCAGACTTTTACTGATCAGCTCTTAAGTCTCCGCTTTAGCGGCAGCGAGGTCGCAGAGCCACCGTACAAGCTTACTAGAGCCGGCTTCGATGAGCTATATGAGCTCTGTACCAAGAAGTTGTCCAGAAAGCAGATGTATGAGCGTGACTATGGCGGAATTTCCCTCATACACGAAGCCTACCGGGCAGATTTCATGGACATTGCACTCTATCTCATGGCGGGAAAGGTTGTCCGCACAGGCAGGAGCTTCAACTATATTTCAGGCGTCGCAAATGCTGCCGTCGGAGGACGGTCTGTCGGCTCTGATGACAGTAGGCGCCGCACCATTTTCGCATTTGCGGAGCAAAACATGGACCCACGAGAGCGCAACCGCATGTACGGGATTCTCATCGCTCCTATTTTCAGTAAGCTCTTCCACGACGTTATCATTGGCGGCACAGAGGCAGAGATAGTTGAGTTTCTTCTCCATAGGGTCGATCTAGAGGACATATGTGGGCTAGCTGCTAGAGTCCCCAACGTTCACGGAAACATGATCCGAGGCTTCTGTAACACATGCACAATGATGCTCCCGTACATCTCAAGCGCCTACATTACAACTGCGTATTTGCACGTGGTGCTCATTCTCGCTACTTTCTGGTTCTTTGACCTGGATGCGCATACACACTTGACAGATTGGTACAATAGCTCTTTGGATACCTATCGTGCAGATGCCGTCGCACGGAATGAGGCCAAGAAAATCCCCCACCAAGGGGTGGACATCGACGGCATCGAGATTGATCTTATCAGAAGCACCATTCTCCGTACGATCAGAACCTTTATCACTTGCTGTCTTGAAATTACAGACTCAGAGGCACGCCTCCAGGAGATATTCAACACCGGTGCTCGACAGAGCACTCTGACCTTTTTCAAGGTAGTTTATACGCTGATCAGTAAGTTCCACATTAAGAATGAGTCAGAGCCGTGCTCCAATAGCCTGGTTAGGATGTATACTGTCCTATCTAGATATCCTCTTAGAGTCGAGCGTTACATGCAATGGAATTACTTGTTTATAGACGACCTTCTAGTCCACTTGCGCCCTCATCCTAAGCAGAGCTTAACGATCCTGCGAGTTTTCACTACGTTGGCCACCGCATTGTTGGACAGCTGCACGCAGACTCTCGATACGCCTGAGTATACCCTTCTTTTGGAGAAGCTTCCAAGTATTAAGAAGGAATTTACAGAACGGTTGCTCCTTTGTTTACGAAAAAGGCTTTCTACAAAGTACTTTAGAGAATTCACAATAGGATATACCATGCCTGAGAACCTGGTGTCGTCTCTCTGCCGTGAATCTTTGGCCACTGTTCATACATTGCTTTTGTGCGATGCAGAGAGCAAGCGGTTCAATGTCATCACTCCTATCATCGAGGAGCTTTGCGAAATTTTCCATTACGCCCTTAACGCCGACAGCACAGAAGTTTCAGGTGCAATCCTTAGATTTTATGAATTTGCTTCTCCTCTGTGCACGCACAATCTTCTCCTTCCTCTTGTTATGAAGAATAAGCTTGTGGATGCCAGACCAGTCCTTGCCAAGCTCTTTCGGTGTTACGGAACCGTGGAGGCCATAGAATCCCTAAATATCCCTTCAGAAGTATACTCAAAAGCCAGCACCCTCTCCCTTCGAGACCATGCAGAGATATACACCTTGCTTTACAAGCTCGGGATACCCCATAACGAATCGCGACTGGAGAGCATCCAACACCTCTCCGCCTACCTGTGCCACTCAAAAATGGCCTTAGGGATGGCTCTTCATTTCCTTACCGAGGGGTCTGATGCAGAGCGCAGTGCGGCATCGACACTGCTTCGTACGTTCACCTTAAAACCTCCAGCAGAAGACTCTGAGCATAGAGACTCGTGGAGGGCCGCACAGGTGCTGCTCTTGAATTACGTACATGCTTATATAAGTCAGACCGTCGCACATAGCACGCAGCTTGATAGCAAGCGGAGGAGAGGGCGTTCAGAGCTCCTGTCGTTTATGCAGGTTTATGCAGGATATGGTGCTGACAGAAGGCTTCTCTGTGATGTGCGTGAGATGCTTAGTGCCGAAGACTTGGCCGTTCTTTTGGATGAAGAGTTCAACTTCGATCGTGAATTGGACTCGGCTGCCCAGTGGTCTATGCCATCATTAAGGTGTTTGGCCAATGCAGCACGCCCTGATTATCTCTGCGTTTATCAGCTGACTGATTTTGTCAGGTTGGCAGATGCTTCTGCGTCCGCTCGCATAAGCGCATTCGGCAATGTATTTTCATTTCTGTGCAATACGTTATTAGGCAGACTCATTATGAGCAACGCATTTGGCTGTCGATTAAATCAGAACATTATTACAAACATCCTCATCCCCATATCTCTGCAAGAGTGTCTTATTGCTAATGACGACAAGTTGGATACCATGTTTTTGAATTTTCTGGCTGCTTGTGGCCTTTATCTAGACTGGGCACGCTATAGGACAGTTCTTCTCTACCTTCTCGGCCAGGTCAACAGTTCACCCAACGAGGGCAGGCTCATACAGGCTCTGAACTCGCTTCTCGACAACTTCCGATTTATCACAGCTTCAAAGAATTCTTCAGCTACTCAAAATGAAAGCTTTGACAGCGATGATACTGAATCGTCGAACGAGTCTGAGCTGGAGGTCTCCAGTGATAGCGGTGATACGAGCATTGCAGATGATGCTAGAGATGGGTCAGGAAATCACCCTTCACTTAACCTTCTCAGTGCACCTAACACATCACTCACCGTCGGCTTTGACACTTCATCCAAAGAAAATGGTCCTGACGCAGAGCAGGAAAACCAGGAGTTTGAAAAAGCACTTAGTGGGATGCGAACAGCTAGTTATATTAGGAAGAACGACCTCGTCATTGCCACAGCTATAGAAAAGACTCAGAAGGATCAGTCAGAAGCAGTAGAGAGCAGCCCAGATCCTCTCCAGCTACTCTTCAATTCCATCACTGATTACGCGCCTGCGCAGGTTCTATCGCATGTTTCCCGCATTTTCATACCACAAGTGCAAAGATATATCAATAGGCGGCTGGGAACAACGCAGAATCGGTACCTGTTAGCAACAACGCTTAGTAAGCTTATCGCAAAACTTCCATGGGAGCAGCGGCAGCGGCGGCTTAACCATCTGGTCATAGTTATTCTGAAGGATCTTGCCTCAACAGACCAGGATGCTCGTGCAGCATGCAGACGATGTTTGTCGCACATATCAATGTTGCTGGGGCCAAGAAACTTGGGCACAATTTTACTCTCAATAAGAACGCATTGCGCAAAGGAGTTTATTGGTGTGCACCTAGCTGCATACGTGTACTACGAAATCCTCGAGCACGTGATCATGGTTCCTCATAGGACGCTTCTTGCCGTCATCCAGAATCCCTCCATTATTCTCAAGCTCCCATATGTGGATACATCTAGTTGCAACGTCTCTCCTCTACCAGATGCTATAACCCCAATCAGTTTGCGGCAAGTCATTGCAGTTCTTGTACGAGACATGTTTAGTGCGCAGGCTCAAGAACAGAAGGCCCGCTCGCTACTAAGCATCAAGCACATTGAGGTGGGTGAGTCTCGCTCTGCAGATATAATTCGACTGACTGCAGCATCTCTGTCCTTCTCTAACATCACCCAAACCGTCTTCTTCATTGAGCCTCTGTTCAGGGGCTGTGCCTACTCTTTTTCGTCAACCCAGCAGGATGCAATTGTACACTCCTTACTGGCTGGCTGGTTCGTTAACTCTACCGTTACAGAAGACGCTCTTCTGGAGTTTGTCCACTATATGATGTCCCCCAAATGTTTCTATCACGCTTTGATACCTCAGATTGTTGACGCGTGCAACAAGCTTACCAAGCAGGAGAAGATCATCAACGCTAGAGTCGAAGAGGATGACTTACGGAGAGCGCGGGCAATAACAGATATCAGAAACGAGCACTTGCTTCTTGAGCCGTCTCCTAAGAGGCTCTACCAGGGGATCGGTTCCATTTCTGGAGGCTTCAGCGGAGTTGGCTCAAGTTACGATACAACGGTGCCCCACAAGCTAGTGGGCGCGCTTCTACGTCATGGAATTGAGAAGCACTATGGCGACCCATATGTTCATGAATACATGCCTTACTTCGCTGCTATTGCTAGTGGAACAGAGGAGTCAGTTCATGCCCTTCCGCATGCTGCTCAGGACCCCATTGCTACCCTTCCTCCACCGGCTCTTCGTGCGCCCACTATTTCCGCTGAAAGATATCCTGAGATTGCCGACTATGTGCTTCTCATGCTCAGCTCTCGAGCGGCCTTCTGCCGCGCTAGTGGATTCCATTCCCTTGCCGCTATGATGCCCAATTATCCAACAGTACGCACCAAGCTTATTGCCTCCGAGTGTTGCAAGGCCCTTTATCGAACATCGGACAGGCAGGAGCTAGAGGCCTGTTTCCGTCTGATTAACGTGATTTTGACAAACGACTACGATCTCTTCTCCACTGAAGATTATTCCTTGATTGTGAAGGTGTCTTCGCTGATGTTGAATAAAAGTCTCAAGTCACTGCTAGCCTTTCACATGATACAGCTTATCGTTGAAAAGAATATAGATGTGCCAGAAATTTATGAGACAATGACATACTTCTGTAAAGTCGCAGCAATGGTTGAGGGACACGAGCAGACAGCTAGCTTAGTAAAAGCCCTGAGCCACTTCATTGTCACCTATGAGATGACCCATAAGAAGCGGATAGTATATATTCGTAACTTGTTAAAGGTGGCAGCAGAGTTTGAAACGAATGCTGGCCGTCGTGTCGTTCTGGCCTGCCTCCATGAGGTGTATCGAGGACTCGACGCAGAGACTCTCAGCGGGTGCGTTGATATTTCTGTTGTGTCCTTTGTTGTCACAATTTCTAACTGCTCGCAACTGGCGGAGGGCTCTGATCAGGTGGTTTCTGAGGCTATGCAAACTCTTGCCGTCTTTATCAAGCGCTGCGAGGATACTGGCTATCAGCGCTGCCCCCTCTATTTCATTCGCTCCATCTTGGCGAATGAGAAGGTGCTGCCCCAGCAGACCAGTGTCCTTATACTGCTATCATGCCTTAGTGAAACTATTCTGTCGGTAGCTGATGCCGAAGATGTCCAGGAGCACGTTGCCGATGCTTGCATCTCCGCACTGACCACGTTACTTGAGGTTGTTGTTGACCTGCAAGATGCGGTTTTTGGAAAGATGCGTAAAACACGAGATAATATTGATTTTGTTGCTGCCAGCTTTCGACTGTTTGCCTCGGTTATTCAGTTGCTATCTCTGGCACCAGACTTCGAGGCAAAGTATAACGCGTTATTCGTTCAGCTACAAGGCTTTTTCGCTGAAGATACCTATCGATCAGTTCTTTTGTCTGCAGCACCGGACTTGCGGTCCAGAAGCCTCACCGTTTGCAACATCCTTCTTTCTCATGTGCAAGAGCAGCCTTCTTCTGGATCTGCAGAAGCGTCTCTAAAGCCCTTTTTATACCTTATTGAGCCGTATATTCTCAGCATAGGTGACACGCTTCTAACCAATTTGGACAAGCATAGGACCGCCGTGATTCTTGGCGATTTGCTCTGCGCATCCGCCAAGGATGCTGATGCCAGCCACTACAAGGTTTTAAATGCGTTCAGATTGGTAGACTCTACACTCTTAGAAATCCCTGCTTCGCATCCCCATCTCAAGATCTCTCTTATCGGAGCCGTGCTGTGCTTCTTCTCGAAGTTTCAAAAGGAAGACCAGTGCCTTCTTGAGCTCTTGACAAAGGCCTTTATCCAGACTCTGCTACGCTTGCGTTACTTCCACACCGTTGAGACGGACCCTCGCTATGAGACTGCAGAGGAATTTGAGGAGCGAAACCCAGAGGTTCTTCACGAGCGGCATGTTTGCGACATTGTGAACAGCACGCTGGATAAATTGGAACAGATATCTACTGGAACACGGTCGTTTACTGAGCTTCTCAGCGAGTCAGAGCAGGCCGTGGACGCAGAGCCTTTTGAGCCACCTGAAAGGAGGTTTAGAAGACCCGTCAAGAAAAACTCTGTTCTGGAAGCGATGCTTAAGGTATCATACTATATTGGTGACAAGGACTAAGTGCGTCTTGCACTGTTTAACTCTTTTGGCAGGGCTCACCGTGTTGTCTGTGCTACTGTCATGGATTTTCGTCCCCTGTATTCAAAGCAGCTCTTCCTTCGTCGCCTGCACGCATTCTAATAGATCTTCTCCAACTTATGTAATGAGCTCCTTCAAGAGACCGTCTAAACTTGTATTTCAGCATCGCTCTTTCGTTGGGTACACGGCTACGGAGGGTCTTAGGGATCTCCAAGACGTGCAAAGTGCCATGGATGTCTCCTACCAGTAGGACGTCGCGTGTTTTGACACGAGTTTTCCCCTCCATAAAGTTGAATCCGCCCCCACCCATTTCGCTTAGCGTTGCCTGAGCAAACATGTTTATGCTCACTCCACCAACGATCGCTTGTCTGATATACTGAATACGCGTGACCGGCCCCACACAGATCTGCAGGGTCAATAGGGGCTCATGCATCCGATCTGAGATATCGAAGACAGATACCAATCCCCTATCATTTCCTATGTACAAGACGCTTGGCCGCGCCTGGGAGAGACATGCGGCCGTTATTGTGCTGTCAATAACCCCGTATCCAAAAACAGGCTCATAGAAATCAAACAAAGGAAAGTCCGTCTCAAGGCTCTTGGTCACCGGGACAATCATATTCGGAATGCGCTTAGTGGACATAAGGTCCTGTGCGTTATATTCTATCGTCAAGCCGGAGAGATTCGACATGCTCGCGTTGGTGAGGTTTAAGTTGGTAATGACCTGGGAAATAGATATTAAATTTTCGATTGATGTGCTGCTACCGACAGAATAGTTGGAGATCACATTTGGAATGTCTTTTGTAACGATGAAGCCCGATGTGTTTGAAGCCTCATAGTTACATCTCAAGATGAGCTGCTCGTCCTTTATCCCCTTTGTTGCCATGTCGAATGTTTGGACGTGGCATTGCTTGTCAATCATCCAAATCTTGCATCCGTCCCCAGAGGCTGCCAGGAGCATGTTGTCGACGGTTGTGCTGTACTCCAAATGGAAAATAGTGGATAGAAAGAACTGGAACGAAGTGACGAAGCTCCCCTTGGTGGGGTGGTCGAGTAAGTAGGCTCCTATCGCATCTAAATCCGTTGTCCCAATCTCCTTTGCAATCTCTCGTTCGTTCTTCCGTCTATCATCGTCCATGGCCTGAGTTGCTGCCACGGCCACGGGCCACGTTGTGCATGCAAGGTTACCAAATGCGTCACCGACAATGAAAAACGTGGAGGGCTCGTCCGATGGCGGGAAGATGATGGTGGTCGGTCTAAGGATCCCCAAGTGCGGATATGTAGATGACGATAAGATGTTAATGAATGGATAAAGAACAGTCAGATCAGACCGGGTGGTGTCTCGGTCCACACACTGAAGAGACCAGACCTTTATATATCCATCTGGAGCCAAAGAAGTGAACTGCAGTCCGCCGAGGGGGCTGGCAGACGTCTCAAGCTCGCCATTACGAACAATTTGTGAGGACTGAGGTAACCACTTAACCTGAGTTACTGGAAGCGCGTGGTGTGAGCTGACTGACGATGTAACAGAGGGATAAAAAAGCTGAGGAATTGCTCCAGCCGATAGGCTCTGGGAAAAGGTCATGGTATTTCGCCCGTTGTAAAGAGCCTCTTGGTTGCTAAAGGTGGCATCAATGACGGCGTTGTTCACAAAGATGTCGCTGAAGATGGACGAGTAGGCATTGTCAAGGTCGTAGACGATTAGTGAGCCAGCGTATGTGCCAGCAAGGATGACCGTTCCGTTTCTGTGAGGGTGCACATCTATGGAGGTCACTGGGTGAGGAGAGACGAGTACGGCTAAGGGTGCCATGTTATCTGCCAGGTTCCAGACTAAAATGTGGTAGTCACAGAGAGCTGCAAAGGTCATAGCAGGCCCATTGTCTCCAAATGCCTCCAGGTCTTCGTTAAGGCCCGTGTTGCGCCAGTTCGGTGGTGCTACGGCCATGTAAACTAAGGTTAGCTTCCCGACGTTTGCGTACGCCATCGCAGATATTGCCTTCCCCCTGGTGTATTTTGCATGCGACAGGGCCTGGATCTCCGGGAGGGTGGACTGGCTCTTTGCATCGTAGTCCTCTTCATCTTGCTTAAGAGCATTTTCAGAGTCTGCGTATAAATTCATATCGAGACTCGAGCTCAGATACGGTTCCACCGCTTGTAGAAACAGACCATAGTCTTTGGATGAGACGGCCTCATTAAGGCCGTCCTCGTCAAAAAGAGCTGGCTCATATTGCGTACCAGCGTTTTCAGTTGAGAAAATCCCCGTTTGGATGGGCCGTTGATGAGTGGACGGAACTGCCTGCACACTTAGCGAGTTGAGCTTAGACTCTACGTTATAGCTAAGATCAGTGTATGCATGCAGCTCGACATAATGGTCTTGAGAGTCCACATTTTGGAACTGACACGGCTGCCTGAACTCCTTCTGGGGCCGTGTGTAGGCCGTGGGGATTATGTGAGCCATTGTTAGCAATTTTTGTATTCATTGCATCCTTGCAACCAGGTCTGCTATGATTTACTGGCTCAGAGGGACAGCTACTCAGTAGGATCAAGAGCATCTTTGTCTAGTGCCTTTGTCTCTGTGAGAAAATCGAAGTTGAAGCCTAGGCTGTCGGGGATGTCAAGACTACTAAAGCGATCGATAGCTGCCTCCTGGACCTTTTTGAGTAACAGCACGTTGGCTGGGTTCTTCGTATTGAATCGTTCGGTTGTTTTTGCGTGGTTCTCAGATTGCAAAAACTCTCTCAACTCGCGGTCCAGACCAGGTATTTCAAGACGCGAGGCAGCACGGACTACATCTGCAGTAGAAATGATCTTCTTACCTGACTTTCCCTGTTTCTCGGCGAGGAAGGTTACGAATGAAATCGCTGTTGTACATATCTGGGTGAGCCCCAGCCGCAGGTCCTTTGAAAGTTTTATGCTTTCAAGGTCGATATCACAAGCCCTGAGCACGGTGTTTATCGGTAGATCCAAATCCATTTCAGTTGTAGCGGTAAAGAAACAGACCACCCCAAAAAATTAACCAGCTGGCCGCAACTGGCGTACGTGATGGATGACTTCAACCCCAATCCCGCGTTACATTTAACGAATGGGAAGAAGGTTCGCCTGCCGATTGATTCTAAATTCAGAGATACGACCGCAGATTTCACCTTTCCATCTTCGAGTATACGTGAAAAGGTCGCCAGAAAGGTATTCTATAAACTCTCTCTCCCCGCAGAACTGCTCGCATTTGAGTCCGTGCCTGCAGTAGCAATCCTAGTCACACTTTCAGCCCTCGTTACTGAAGACGATTATTCCAAGGTCGTCTCCATCCTGAACTCTGATCTCCGGCTCAAGACTATATATGGCAACTTCATAATAGTGTGTGCATGCGTCAGTTATGAGAAGCTCTGGGGGTTCATCGTCGCTCAGGTTCCGAGGAACTATAACCTACCACAGCAGCGCGTCGTCGACCTGGCTGCTGCGGTCCTCAGTAAGTATACGGGAATCACGCTGTCTGAGGCCAATCCAAGCATTTGTGCATTGACAGGTACAGTCACAGACCCTCGCTTTACTGAGTTTGATGTGGCGTCTCAGGGTAACAACGACATTCTTACACTGGTTCACTGTGGAAGGTTCTACAACTACTTGGCGCAGAAAAGCTTAGAAGAGAGTAGCGCCCGCACCCCTCTAGTAGCACAGGCAGAGCAAATTATTACATCATCGGCCACCACCAACCTGCAAGGGAAGTCTGTACATGGAGGCAGTGATCCGTCACCTTACTCACCCGATGAGAAGCAATTGCGAGTCTACGAAAACCTCTACGAGATACCATTGGAGTTGTTGGCTTATGCAGCGTTTCAGTTGGCAGATGGTGACCCTTCTCGCATAGTATACTTCAACTCTCACCCCGTTACCCTTTTATACATAAGAAATGCAACGATTAACGAGCCACTGGAGAGGTTCTATGGTGCCCTGAGCCAGTGGCCACTCTGCGCAGGAGGATTTGCGGAGGTTGATAGTCACCCCATATCCGAATTCAGGGACCGGAGCTCCTATAAGTACCATGAAGCAGTTGGTAGGGGCCGCAGTATATCATCCAATCAAAATCCAACGGTGCGCCGTAATTCAAGGAGTCAGAAAGATGGCACTCCTATCCTAACGTCAGATCTCTCCCACAGAAACCTCAACTCTGTGGTTGGCCGCCAACAGAATACCTCCACCATGAACCCACTATCCTATACGCAGCGCATACGCCTGGAGTCTAAGGGCCGCGTCTACATAGTTCTCTTCCTCAAGCGACTAAATGATTATCACTCCGATCTAGCGAAGGATTCACACAAGTATCTAATTAAGTCGGGAAGAATACTCACGTCTTCAGCGCAGCAGACGTTTCTTTCCTGCACCGTTGACTTCACCGACCGCTTCAAGGAGATATGCCTCAGCGTTGGTGGAATAACGGACAACTCGTGCGTTAGAATTATTGAGAACTTGCTGCTGGACAAAAACTGCCGTGACATTAAGATTGATGTTATGTTAGGGACCGTCCTCTTCCTTGCCGTTCCGGCTGCGGTACCAGTTATAGTCAACAAGATAAAGGCTATGGGATTTACTTGCAAGCTGATTGCAGGGACCGATGTAGCTGACGAAGCAAGATCTCTATTAATAAACAACAACCATCTGCGGAAATGGATAATACAGGCCGTTATTAACTCACTGTTTCTATTGCTGACACTTCTTTTTTCCTTTGGGCATGCCATTTTCCCCACAAACGCTCAGGTTAACTCCAAGTTGAACACTTCTTTTGTCACTGTCTCAGACACTCTTGCTGCAATTTTCGCCACGCTCTGCGTCTTGACCAACTCAGGCTATTTGATAATTAAATATGGAATGATTGCTCTGTGTAACAAGACGTTTTCCAATGAATCAATGTTGGCGTTCATCCTGCTTACTGGTCTTGTCGTGTCGATCAACGCTTATGGATGGTCATTGGGGCTCAAGCAAGAGTCTCGCACCCCGCTCATGTTCGATTCACTCGTCATCCTAATTACAATGGTCTCCTTTTGTAAGATTATCGAGCTGAAGGCAAAGCAACTTTCTGCAAGGCCATACATTAATCTGGCACAGTCCATTCCAACGGAAACAGTGATCGTTACAGAACTTCTCATCCCAGAGGTGGTCAATCACTTCTTTAAGGACGCCAACAACCTGCTAGAGCCACACCTTCAAGAAGACACAGACACGGATGCCACTACAGATGCCACCGAGACTATGACAGAGCAGCATAGTGTTCTTCAGACGGTGCAAGAATCGCCTTCTAGAGACGCAGATGCCAATTCCCACTTTCTTCTATCTGACATAGACGCTGTTTCCAAACCAGCATCCATAGAGGTAGTGTCCTTGCCTAGTAGCGACAGCATCCAGGTCGCAATGGACTCATCTGATAAGGACACCTCTCTGAAGGCGACGACGAGAAGTTCGCTTTCTCCACGGGGACACCTCCCCGCCTCTGCGAAATCTAAGGGTACTCCTACTCTACGGAAGTCTGGAGTAGATGATAGCATCAGTGTTTTTACGGGACAAGCACATAGCGCTGACACAAGTATTATTTCTCCAAATATCTCCTACAAACGCAACCCTCTTTACAATCTGCTAATCAAAAAATACCAGATTAATAAAATTGTCGAGCACTTGACTGGCAATTATAATGAGTCCTTCGCACAGTACAAATTTGCTAATGCGCAGACACGCAGCCTCACCAAGGGAATGATCGTTAGGGTCCAGGCAGGTTATCGCTGTCCTTGTGATGGGGTTGTTGTTTACGGTTCCACGGAGGTTGATGAAAGATACATCAGTGGTCGGCGGATGATGTCGGCCGTCAAGAATATGGGAGATGTCATCTATGCCGGTACTCGTGTCCTCTATAGTGACCTCTACGTTTGTTGTGTCATGATTAACCAGGACACAATCATCGGGAGGATATTCAGTCTTCTGCAGCGCTCTCAGAAGGCGAGTGATCACCTCCCGAAGCTACATAGAATCTCAAATAGAATTTTGGACATTATGGGGCCACTGGTTCTTGGTCTCGGCGTACTTCTTCTCGTGATATGGCTAGCTGCCGCCTTCAGCAGTAATAGGGTGCACAAATATATTCTTGAACTCTTTGTAAAAGATAATAAGAGCAGATCCTCTGACAATCTGGTAAAAACTATCTTTTCATTCAACATTATGCTAGCATTCTTCATTGCCGGTTGTTCTTCGGCTCTGGCCATTGCAATTCCAATTCTGTCGTTGTCTGGGTCAACCAGAGCACAAAAGATGGGGCTCCTGATGCGCAATAGTTGCTTGCTCAGCGAGCAGTTGGCATCCGTTGAGCATGTAGTGTTCTCTAAATCCGGAACTTTAACGCTAGCGCAGCCTATCGTAGAAAGCATCCTTATACCCTTCAACATCGATGCCATGTTTGCCTTCTTTGAAGCAACAGGCCAACTGGTGCACACGTGCGGTGGGTACATGGTGAAACGCCCAGTAAAGTTGAAGGAACCGGAAACCCTTGCTACTATTTCGGAGGAGTCTTATGGTAATGGAAATGCCGGCTCCCCTTCTCCTTCCTTTGTGATTGCTTCTGCAGAGGCTGCTGGTAATACGTGTGCAATGATGGCTATGCCTCTAACAACGGAGGAGTCGGAGACCAATTTTCCTGGTGGCACAGATACGTCTGGGCCTCTTCTTTCTATGTTTGCACAACCTGGTCAAGAGCGCAGAATGTCAGCGAAAACGATTGATGCTTTGAATGCTGTCGTGGCAGTCGGCGATCTCGGTTCTATTGATTTGGTAATGCCGAGAGAGGAGGATAGTGTGGAGAGTAATGAGAACCTTAGCAGCCTTTGTAAGCCGGTGTCCATCCAAGTTATCTCCAAGAGCAATGCAGTCGACACTCTATGCCACTCTGAAGGATCGGCGTCACTGTCAGACAGCATTCACCGTTTGTCCTCGCCATTAGGACTGACACCGAGCATATCTAGCACAAACCTAAAGAGCTTCGAAATTCCGAGCCAGGCCTTTCCTCGAACCACCTCGATGCCTTTGCATGTCAGCATGTCCATGTCTACTCTTCCAAACATTGCAGACTACATGGCCAAAGTTTATACAAAGGATGATTTGTGCGCTGCGATGAATACAGATGTTGTTCTGGGGAAGATGCGTGACAAGTTCATCTATTCCGTCGCCATCAAATGCCTCAAGTATTACGCCAGCTTTGCTCACCACTCTGGAAACTCAATTATTTATAGCTTGCTAACGTGCATAATTCTATTTGCCAAAGGAAGGCCAATGGACCACATAGTTCGAAACATTTCAAACCTCTCGGAGTTCTCTCTCCCGGACGCAAAAGACTTCGAGATGCACCAAGACCGTGGTGGATTCAGCGCAATTATGGGCGGAGAAGAAATTTACTGTGGTAATTTCTACCATGAAAAGAAAGATACCGATGGACCACTTTCCAATTGCAACAACGAGAACAGCAGTATCCCAACAGAGAATCAGCAGAGCCAGCAATACGTTCGAATTAACCCTCAGACATTTAAGTACGAATTTATCAACTCCACAAGTCCAGAACAGTTAGAGGGCATGTTCGATAACCACGACTATGCGGCACTGTACATAAGGGGGGAACTTATCTCTACCATAACTGTGTCAGACACCGTTAGACCAGACTCTCAAGCTACGATTTCACGGCTGAAGAAGAGGGGCTACAACGTGTACATGATCACCGCAGACACCCAGCACTCGGCCTTCAAAGTCTCTGACAAGGTTGAAATTCCAAGAGAGTGTGTCATACATGATCTTCCAGTTAATGTGAAGCCGGATGCAATCCGTTTTTTGGCTCTTCACGACCGATGGCCCACACAAAAGGAAGTAACTATGTTGTCTCACGGCTGGAAAGCAGACGGGTGGGAACAGAAGCAGCAGAAAGTGCTCTTTGTCTGTGATGGGATCAATGATATCAGTTGCTTACCTGCTTGTGGGGTATCTGTGGCTGTTGGTTCTGGGGAGCAAATTCTCAAGAATAGCGCCGATATAGTACTCATGTCAAACCATCTATCTGACATGCTTCAAATGTTTCATTTTGCCGAGACCGTACGCAAGTTCATGATTGCTGTATTTATTGTCACGATCCTGTACTCCACTATACTGCTCATTCTAACGTCGGGCATTCTTGTTCCCGTTCCTTTTGTGATTAGCCCAACATACTCTGCGCTCGCTATCACTGGCCTTGTTGTGTGTGTCACCACAATAGGTCTTTCATTGAACCTGTACTGCGAAAGGTAGACGCAGAGCCGGCATGACTTAGCTCTTGCTCTTGCTTTTCTTCAGCACGGCCTTCAAGGGGGTCCTAGGCTGTTTGCTACAAGTGCTCGTCTGCGACGAGAGTAGCCGCTCTATTTCTGCTTCTCTCAGCACGAGCTGTGAACGGAAGAAATCTATGTCCTCGTCCTTCTTCTTTATTAATATGTTCTTGATGGAGAGCTCCTTCTCCAGCGCGCCAATCTCCGACTCCGTACTATCGTGTGTGGAGGAGGACTCCTTTCCGAGTACCTGAAGGAGCTTGAGGTCGTTAACCTTTGAGCTACTGGGGCTGCCAGACTCCATCAATCGGTCTCTGTACTCCCGCACCCTCTCCGTAAGCGTGGTTACATTTAGCTTGAGGGCATTGATCTCAGCATTCTTTGACTGAAGCACGTTCCGCATTTCGTCCTGAAGACGAGTAATCTCACAATTCTTTTCCTTTATCTGTGCACGAAGCGCGGATACATCTATGCTGTGCTGGCCGTTGGAGAGGGCCACGGCGGTCTGTGCCGCACCGGCTCTATCCTGGATAGATTCAATGGCTTCATCCTTGTCCTTTACAACACGCTCCAGAAAACCGATTCTAGATTGCAATTCCAACTTGTGCTTTATCATGGCATCCAGCTGCTCCGATAGACCTGCAATCTCTGCCTTGCTTTTCAACAAGGCCTTATCCTTTGCCACCATATCAGCCGACAGGAGCTCATGCGCAGCTTCAACTTCCTTTATCGTAGTGCGATGGCGTTCTTCCAAGGAGCTGATCGTCAGGTTAAGCCTGTGTATCTCCTCGTCCTTGTTTGTGAGAGCCATCGTCATCTCTCTAGTCGGAATGGGCATAGAGAGCGCAATGCTCTTCCGTTTGAAGTCATTTGCTTCCTTGATGGATGACTGGAGATCAATTTTAGATTCTCGCAGCTCATTTTGCAATCTCCCTCGGTCGTCCTCCAAAAGCCTGATGCGCTCTCGATGTGCAGCATGCGTCTCTTGCAATTCTGTAAGGACCCGCTCATACTCTATGCGGAGCTTGGCGTTGTCTGTTCTTGCTGCGCACAGTTCTGACGCTGCATTTTCTCGTTCCTGAGCCAACTTTTTTGCCATATTAGCGCACTGCTGCTCTGAATATGCGAGAGAAGCGGACAGGTCAGCTATTTTTCCATTCAGCATCGACGCCTCTGCCTGCGCGGACGCCAAGTCCTCTATGAGAGAGTTGTTCTTCGTCCGCTGCTGCTTTAGCTGCTGCTCATAGTCTTCTATGGCATAACGGGTGGACTTAGAGGACTTCTTGAGTACCACCAACTCCTCCTTCAACAGGTCCATCTCCTCCCGTATCTTGACGTTTTCACTAGTGAGACTGTCTATTCGTTGCTCTAGTGTTACAACTGTGCTATGGTTGTTATCGTTAAACTCCTCTAACTGTGTTGCTAGATCATTATTGTGAATCGTTAGTGTGTCTATTTCTTGAATGTATTTGGCTTCGCGGGCTTTATACTCCTCTACTTGCTTCTTCAACTTAGGTGTCTCGTCAATGTCAGAGTCCTCGTAACTGTCGACGAAGTAGTCTGCAAAAAATAGGTCTATGAGCTTGCTTATGCGTGTTGGTTTCTCCCGTGGCGTGCCATCAGTGTTCCGGGGTGTGTGTTGCCGCACACCAGGCCTCTGCCCCCCAATGCTTCCAGAGGGATAGTTTGCCAATCCTCCAGCTCCACGCTGCGCAGCTGTCTGTCTGTTCTGATTAAATCCTTCGTAATTTTCGATATTTGCATACTTCTGAGACGTATTTGGGGATAAAAGCCCGTATACAAAGTTGTCTGAATTCATTGGTTAACACGCTTTTTTGAAATTTGAAACAAATGAATGTGTAATTGTCTGCACTGTAGCCCTGGGGCACATTGAAAAGGCTTTTGTCTAGGAAAATACCAATGGTCGTGCCTTATTCATCAAAAAGTGATACCTTCGTATATGTTCCTTCTGTAATCTCGTTGATGGGAGCAGACGTCGAGCTCACTGCAGTTGCGATGATGCCTGCGTTCCTAGAGGAATCAGTAATGTAATCTACCTCTTCTTGAATTTCGGTCTTTAGGGTACTCCCGCCTCCACAGTGCGAAAATGCACTTCTACTGCGCGAGCTGGCGCGGGATCCTTTCTTAGACCCAGCACTGGTGCTAGAGTTACTTGCAGCGCGCCTCATAAGCTTCTCCTGCTTCTTTTCCTGCTTCAAGAGGCGCTTGATCTCCTTTTTGTCTGCCTTTGTTTGGGGAGCCTTCGATGGCTGGGAGGGGGTGATCACAGGTGAATTTGCGCAAACCTTATACAGCTGCGTCTCTAGCTCAGCAGCACTGTCTGCAGGAGAATGGTTATCGATAGATTGCATCACGCTGGTTGAGGTTAGTGGAGAAGGAGAGGATTTGCCAGTCCGAATCTCAGCATTAGAAGTGGGAATGCTCACGTGGCTAGGACTCACAATGGCCTCGCTGGAGGACGCTTGCTCATTATTAGACTTGAGGCTCTGTAGTTGAGCCATTAGGTCTGCAATTAGTATATCCTTTGAAGAGAGATCTGCTTCAAGAGATGCTACTTTGTCTTCTAGCCGTTCCTCACTGTACTGTGGCCGTGAGGGCAATCCTTCGACTGAGACTGCTACAGCCTCACGGGTGCCCGCTTCTGTCTTTGCTCGGCTTAGCTCGTCAACTAAAAGCTTCTTTTCTGCCAAGACATTCATGGTTTGCTGCTGCACTGATACCAACTGAGTCTCCTTCTCCTTCAAGCGCTCCTTTAATTCATTTGTCTGGCGTTCTAAGGACTCGACCAGCAAGTCCTTTTCTGTGCATCGCTCCTTCCATAGAGATACTTCGTTAACTAATGCTGTCTGAGCATATGTTTCTAGGGCGCTCTGCCTTGCACTTTGAGGAGACCTTGGCTTGTGGGCTGAGGTCCTCTTAGACGAAGAAGATGCTGCCGTGGACTTCCGGAAAGAGCTTGCTGTGTATGCTGTCTTATTATGAGATACTACGGCATCGAGTTCTGGCATGGGCCGAGACTTGGCATGTAATTGAGGAGTACTGGGTGGGGAGAAATGTCTGACAGACTCTACACTAAGTACTTCTGGAAGACCATAGGAGATGGTTAAAGGTCTATTATAATTGTGCGCAGAAGATCTTCTATCCATATGCGCGCTATGCTCCAACAAGTGACTTTTCTGCTCTGGCGCATCATCCAGTGACTCCAGTAGGCTCTGTGATATTACGATGGCTGGTGCTGCAGCTTGATACACACGTCCCGACTCTTGTCGTGCACTCGAGCAACGTCTACGCTTCTCGGGGGTCTCATAAGTGGGCGTGCTTTTCAACTTCTTTGAGGAATATGCACTACTTGGTCTTGTGGTGCCAATACGAGGATTAGCAGCAGCAAGCTTAGCTGCCAGGTTCTTGTTGATCCATTGGAGCCTCTGTAGTTGTGTTTCTTTGGCAGCTAGTTTGGTCTCTAGTTCCATGCTATGGATGGCACTTTTTTCTAGAGCTGATCGCAGTGTGGAGCTAAGACTGCACGTTGCGGCAATCTTTCTTCTAGTTTCTGCTGTATCGCGGACAAATGCTTGTGTCATGGAGCTCATCTGGGCACGTAGAGCATCATTGTCCGACAGAGCTCTTCGTAGATCGGAAGACGAAACATCTGGGCCATTGTAAGCTTGTGCCTGGGCCAAACCATCTATCTTTCTGGTGAGGTCTGCGATACTCGCATCTGTCTTCACTAATTGATCGACGATAAACTGCGTTGCCTCAGCTGAGAGGGTGCTGGACGCTGTGTTGTTTAACTCTGAAAGCACAAGAGGAGGATCATCTAGGTTTTTGTCTCTTGCTTCTTTTGGTTGGCGACGAGAAGAGACGACGGTGATCGCATTAGAAATCAGGGAACTCATGGTGCTATTCTTTGACATATGAACTGGTCGCTGAGGCCTAGCAACTGGCGTTGACCAGGTAGCATCGGTGGTAAATTTAAGCGTCTGAGGGGTGCTGTATCTAGCCGGCCTAGAGCGTTTAGTCAAATTGACCTCCTGGTAGCTAGCACTATCCGATGTGAGAAGTTCTGGAGACGGATGGAGAGACCGGGGCGTTCCGGATTTTCTAACTCTTCGTGGCTCGCGATCACTCGATGCTGATCGACTTAGATGCTGCTTTGCTGGACGCCTATGGCCACTGTGGTGATTTTCATCCCGTCCAGTGCAACTTGCAGAGCGTGCTTTGGTCCCCGGGCGCGGTTTTGTGCGCGCTAGCATCAAATTCAGCCGATTTTTTCCCGGCAGAAAGTGAATTTACCAGAAATTTTCCTTGTCAATCAGGGCAACAGCGTTCTGTAGCCGTTGATGACGTAATGATGCATTTATCTCGCTAGAAAGATAAACTACTCACCTTTTCATGACAACAAGTTAGTTGACAAAAAATCAGATTTGGACTCATGCTCGAAGATGAGTACTACGATAAAATGGAGACCAATCCGTTTCGACTGAATAGCGACTTTGACATCTATAAAGTAAGAGCGGACGATCAACGTGAGAAAGCCGAGCAGGCCGCGTTACTGAAGAAAATTCCCATCCATATGCGAACTAGCGAATACGCCTCCAGGAACAGGAATCTTGGCCTGACAGAGTCTAGAAGCAAGGGATCAGCCTCCTCTTCAGGACATTCATCCACAGCAACCAGCAACATCAGCGGTAGAGGATCAAAAGCACAGACAGGCAAGGGCACAACGTCTCTTCCACCCATTGCAAAGACCCGTAACCAGCGTGTGGCACGAGAGGAAGAGCTCCAGATTCCGAAGGAAGTCCTCAATCGTTTGGACGCTTACTCCCCTCTCTATTCAGAGAAATACGCACATCTGACGAAAAAGGACCGTGAATTTCTTGAGAACTTGGTCCGGGACCCGGGCCCTCGGCCAAAGCTGGACGAGTACATGAGCAAGCAAAGAGACATCTTCCTTGCGGAGCTGTCTTTGCAAACCAAAAAGAGCGAAATAGATAACATCAATAACCAAATTCGTGCAAAGGAAGACAATCTCAAGGCAGAAGTGAAAAAGCTCGATGTGGAGGTCTCGAAGTTCGATAAGTTCATTCGCCACAGCGATCTGGGGACTGTGAAGACAATATCGGAGTCTGAGAAGGCTGTTAAGGCCCGAACACAGAGACAAGAAATGATTCGTAACACCAGTAGCCAAATACTCGCTTTGAAGTCAGAGATAACCAAGCACGAGCTGTCCATTCGTCAGCTACATAGGTATAGGCTTTTCTTGGACCAACTCATTTCCATTAAAGATAGAGAGCTACTCGTAGGGCGACGAGAGCGACATACTGTTCAACGTATGGCCATAGCCTTCTGTTTGGAGAAGTATGGACACTGTCACGGACTCTGCCTCACGTGCTTCTGCTTTCCGCTGAACTCAACAATTGTGCAGACTGGCGCCATAACACCGTACAATCTAATTACTATGAATGATGCTGGAGCTCAGAGTGGCAGGACCTACTATGACAAGATCCTTACAGAGAGTACGGAGGTGCTCGCCAGTACAATTAATACAAACGACAGAATAGATCCGAGTAAGAACCTAGAGGAGATGCCTGGAACCATTGTACTGAAGAAGCTGAGCGAAATTCTGGAATTTTATACAATACCCAGTGGCCGGTGCCCAGAGCCCTGCACAAACTACTGCAACTACATGACCATATCTTCACAGGAGGACAAGCAGTACATCATGCGTATGGCACCCAATGTGTTTGCGGAGTCAGGGCCAGTTATTCAAGAGTCGCAGATAGGCGCTGGTGCTGTGTCCACAGACGGATCAGTGCTTATGAAAAATAACCTCAAGCAGCTTGGTCTCACGATGCGTCATCTTGTTCGCGCCACGCAGATCAGCATAGAGGAGTACTCCCACATCCCGGTGTCAGAGCCAGGCCTCAGTGATTACTACAGTACAAACGTAGGTCTTTTCGTGAATGAGGAGAATAAGATACCTTTTCTGGACACCAACGAGTTTGTCGAGTCGCTCAGATCGATTGAGAATACCAACTTCTTCTTGCTGGAGCATTTGCAGACAGTAGAGACGAGCCAGGAGGCTTTCATAGATAGGTGTATTAATGAATATAGAGAAAGGGAGGAAGAGATGCGCCAATTATTAATGCAAACTGGAAACCTTCAAACGCTGGCCCAGCGGACAGATGCAGAGGAGGTGGAGGGTGAAGCTTCGTATGTAGAAGCGACCCTTGACCACAATACACATCTGGTGTCCCTTCTTGAGGACGCCATCAGACAGGCATACATCCACTGTACAAAGACGTCAGACAGCGACGCGCTCTCTGTCACACCACTGAACATGCTGAGTAAGATAGAAAGGCTTTTGCAGCATTCCTCCGCACTCGTTAGAAAGCTGCCAGAGAAGTACCACATTTTATTTGAAAAAGCACGTGAGAAAGAAAGGCGCAAGGAGAGACACCGCAAGCGTCAAGAGGAATTGGCAGTGATTCATGCAGATAAGATAGCCCGCGCTCGGGAAAGAGCTCTGGAGCCAATCAAGAAGGCCACAATACGAAAGGTTATGGCTCGCAGCTACGGGGCTGCAAAGAAAACTATTGATAAAAGCACCAGAGAACAGGACGAGGATAGAGGTCAATTACAACTTATCGCAAGCAATAAAAATAACATTGATTTTGGTAAGGATTTCTATGAGTGATGCATTTCTAATTTTCCTCTATTCTGCACTAGCTGCTGCTGAGGACCCAGAGAGGCCTCTAGCTGCTTCGTCTTCCTCAGAGATCTCAACGTAATCGTCAAAGCTCTTTGCAGTGCTGGCCAAGCTGCTGGGAGCTCTTACATTGTCGTCGTTAATATGGACCGCAGTTTTGGCCAGCTGTGTATTGGTGGCTAACTGGAACCTCACCACTCCAAACGACTCCTGGTTATCTTGCTCGGAAGCCTCAAAGCTTTCTGGGTTGTCCGCCATTTGAAGACCAGTGTCGCTGATTGCAGTTGCCGTGCGGCTGGACGCTTCGAGTCTTTGTTGAAGGATTGCAATGCTTGATATAACGCTTGACAAATGTCTGGAGATGTTGCTTTTATCTTCTGTTACTTTGCTAAAATCACACGTATCTATATAGGTTAGAAGAGACGCAGTGTCCTTCTTGATGATGTCAACTTCCACTTGCAGCCATGCCGGGGGAATGCTCTGCATCTTAGACAGTTCTGCAATTATGGCATCTCTGTTGGCTATTTCGCTGTCAAATATAGCACGTTGTTGGGAAAACGATTGGTTAAGAGCATCATCTCTTTGTTCTGTCTCTATCTCGCTTGTTTTTATTAGAAGATCCTTTATCAGCTCATCTCGCTGCGAAACCTCTCCTTGGGCCGCCGCAAGGGCCTCTCGAAGTGCCGTTAACTCTTCCTCGTCCTCTTTCAGCTTTGCCTTTGTTGCTTCTAGCATTTGGGACTTTGCAGCCAGAGTCTCGTTCAGCTTGGAGATTTCCTCAGATTTGTGTGATGTGAACTCAGTGACTGAGCTCAACATGCTAGCTTTAGTGCTATTGAGCACGTCTTCGTATTCGTTTTCGAGCTTGCTCCGGAGTAGCTTCATTTCTTGGAGATAGTTTTCTGCATTACTAGCTGCATCAGCCATCTGGATCTGGCTGTTGTAGTTTTCAACGATCTGCTTGAAGTAACTCACCTCTTCGCTTTTATCCACAAGGAGCTTATTTAGCCTGTCTATCTCCAACTGCTGCTTTGATTCTGTCTGCATTTCTAGCAAAACTTCGTGGTCGTCTCCCACGTGCTTGTCTATCAGCGCACTCTTCCGGTCAGCTTCATATTGCAGCTTCTTTCTCTGCTCTTCACAGACCATTTCAATTGCTGTACTATGCTGTTTGAGTAACTGGTGCTCCTTAGTAATGTTCTTCAGAACGGTAACCAGTGTTTCTCCAAACGCACTTTGCTCCTCATTGGGTAGAGATTCTTTAGAAGGAAGAACTGCTTTCGCTAGAGATAAAATTTCGGTCCGCAACCGTTCAATAAGATCTTGTTGTGAGCGAGAGTTGTGTTGCTCTTTCGCTAAGCGAGCATTGGTGGAGATGCTATCTTCCTTTAATGAGCTCATTTCATACGATACCTCTTCAAGTCGCTTAGTCATAGACGTCAAGTTCTCTCGCAGACGCTGCGCATCAGAGCGATAGAGTTGCTCATTCATCTGCAATGTCTCTAGCTCTGCTGTCTGCTCCCCCTTCTCAGTGTACACATCCATTAGCTGCTTTTTCAATGCTGTAATTTCCACGTTTGCTGCTAGAAGTGCATTATTAAGATGGAGGGTTTCATCTGCTTGTTCCTTAGCGCCTTTTTTCATTAGTTCATCGATCGTATGGGATAGTGTGGCGTTCTGGGCCGAAAGTGTATTCAACTCCTCTTGTAGCCTGCCAAGAATATCGTCTGTTTGAGTGTCAGCGTCTGCCAGTGTCAACGGGAGAGATATAGAATTAACCACCTCTTCGCCAGCATTCAGAAGACTGCCTTCGCGTGCCTTTATATGCTCGGAAATGCGACTAAGCAAGACAGAATTCACGTAGCCACTTTCAGAATCATGGCCAGGAGAACTGGATGAGCCAGAAGTGGCTGCGTTAGCCTTGCCCACAACCTTTGAAGCGTACAAAAAGTCTTCAGGAGAGAGTAGAAAGTCTCCACTGGAGCTTGCCATATGTCGTCTATAGCGCTCATTGAGTAGCTCAAAGGATGTAACAATGGCGCTAGAAATAATATATGGTGCCAAAACGTTAGACCCAACAAACATCCGCTGGAAGCTTATTGGTGGAAGGCCCTTGGATCGCATGTAACTGTTCAGCTGCGTCAAGTCAACAGAGTACACCAGCAAGAGCTTGCTAATATTAATTGATGTGAGCTTTCCAGCCCCCTCTGTGTGTGAATTAAGCCACTTACAGAATTTCTGAAGGATACTTTGTCTCTGATTGAAGTGATCGTCTATCTTGCTTAGCATAACTTCAAGAGCAGCGGAGTACTCCGCTGTCGAGAGGGTGTAAAAATGATCAAGTACTCGTCGCGCCCGGTTATAGACGACTCCTGGCTCTTGAAGATTTATCTCCATGATGTTAATATGAAGTATTTCTTTCCTTCCAAATATGGAGAGCGCGTCCCCAAGCTTGTCCAGTAGATCCATGTCGAGGATAAACACTTGAATCATGTCCCAATGAGGGTTATTGGGCCGCCGTACCGAAGCCGGCGCTGTTGATTTTATGTAATGCTCATTTGCTGGGCTCCTTGTCCGCTCAAACTTGTCGAAGGCATGGTTCACCCGCAGTTCTGCTGCAGTAAGCGTCGGAAACATCACGTAGTCCTCTGAGAATTATTAAAAATTAGATGACAGTGACCATAGATCTAACTGCGGAGTTTCAGACCGCACGGTCGCAGGTACACAAAGAGCGCTTGGGGTCTCTAGAGGACGACAACGTTTTTGTAGAACCTGCGGACCCCGTCTGGATGCAGATGGCCAATAAACTGCGTGCTGATATCCTAACGCTTCAGCAGACCCTGACTAAGATAGAAGACAAAGAGAGGCAGAGACAGAGGTCCATCTTTAACGATATTCTCGCAGGCGAGATCAAGACACTGGGCAAGAGTGCAACAGACCAAATTGAAACACTTCAAGCAGGAATTGTTGGACTGAATGCGCAGTCTTTGAATAACCCTGCGGAGGAGGAGCTCCGGCGAGGAGTTGTGGGGTCCCTCTTTGCGAGTCTACGGAGGGAAACCCAGAATCTTCGTGACATACACCAACGGTATGCGGCAGCCTTGGCTCTTCCCGAGACCTACGAAGGTGCTCACCTAACATCTCAAGCCAGGAACATTTCTGCACTTGCAGATCAACGGGCGGAGTTGAGTTCAGAGGAGATCAAAATGCGTCAGCAAGAAATAACGTACATAACCACAGGGATCGCAGAGATAGCAAATATTATCACCCAGATGTCTGAGCTCATCTATGAGCAAGGAACGGTGCTAGATAGAATAGATGCAAATGTGTATACCGCAGTTGGATACGCTGAGGAAGGAAGAGATATACTTAAGCACGCCCGAAAGCGGCAATGGAAGATGCGATGGTGCAAGAAATTAACTTATATCATCATAGGAGTCGATTATGGTCTGCTACTAACATATATTTTTCTGCGACTTATATAGCCTTCTGCGAATGTACTAACCCTGCCTTCTCAGCCTTGCCGGCAATGAGCTGTGCTTAGAAATATTAATATAGCTGAACATATTTCCTGTAAATTTCAAAATCCGCTCCCTCCATGTCCGAGCTTCGGGGAGGGACAGAGCAAGCACATGGAAGTGATGTTCAGCCGAATACTCCACTGAATGTGGACGGTCCGTCGGGGCCTTTATTCACCAATGACCCGATCTTAGAGATGGCGATGCTTGTCGAGCTATACGTGCAAGATCTCACCCTTCTCGGCCTTTTTTGTCAATATATCACTAAGTACAGCTATCGGGTTATCTATTTCAGTCCCGAACTTATCTGCAAGAAGGGTGCAGACGCCTCATCCACAAGCACAGCAATACGTCAACTTTTAAACACAGCCGAGGATCTTAGCCTAGATCAATTAACAGAGTACACTGCTTTGCTCTCTTCTGATCTCAGCAAACATAGGGAGAAGCTGGGAGATGAGTGTAAGAAGCTTAAAGAAACACTTGCTTCTCATCGATCCTACGACGAGTGCCTGGTTCGAGAGCGCATAGCCGTCCGCTACACTAAGGATATTCAGGAGGTTGATGCACTGGTCCGAGAGAGAGGATTTTGCATGGCATGTCCAACACTAATCATCAACTCCAGCGGCAACCTGCAGCCCTACATTATGTCCACCGCCGTGCTGCAATCGCTCTTCTCTTTACTTACTCGGAAACAGCAGTGCATTGGCTCTTACGGTAAAGACCTTTCGATAGAGACAGATTCGCAGGGCGTTGGCACCATCTCCACTACAAACATAAATCAGCACACTGACCACTTTCCACCAAAGGTATGTCTTCACACCAATATGTCCAGGACACACAAGACTAGTGAGGTATCCACGATCTTACTTGCAAAGGGCAAGGAGAGCACATATGCCAACGTTGCAGAGCAATCCATTCAATCATTCAGCTGCGAGACCAATCTACAGCCTGGGAATTCACATGCACCTACCAATAATGATGAGGACGAAGTGGATGACCTTTTAGCCCAGCTTTTATCCGATGATGGTTATACTGCAGTTGGTGCTGAAGCCATCTCCTCAAACCTTTTGAATCTTCAATGTGACCTTATCAAATCGAAGGGGGAGACCTCTGTTCTAACTACGCAGAAAGAGGCAGATTCTCGCAAGATTTTAGAGCTTGCTGACGAGGTGAAGATGCTTTCAGCTAGCTTAGATAAGAAGGATGAACGGCTGGCACTTCTTGAGCAAGAGTTTGCAACTCTTAGTGAGCACGCAAAGAGTCTCGAAAGGAATTTAGTAGAGCAGTCTGCTGAGTTAGTAGTTAAGCGCAAAGAAGCGGGAGATAACGCTCTTCGTGCAGATGAAAAGACTGCCGAACTAGGGCTCGTTTCCAAAGAGCTGGGAATTAAGCTGACGCTACTCAAAAAGGCTGCTGCAGAGATCGCGCGTCTCAAAGAGCTCCTTACACAGAAGTCGGACAGCATTGAGTTCTCAACATCCAAAATAACCGAATTGCAGAACGAGCTAGAGATAAAGGATGCAGAAATACGAAGAAACGAAAACAGGATTGAGCGACTGCACAAGGAATTAGCAGAAAAGACTGACTTGTTACATAATCTTAAATTAATGGACACAAAGATGCGTCACGATTTGGAAGAGGCCAAGGATGGTATGGAGCGAGCCAGCAGTCGGACCACAGAGCTAGAAAATATGCTTGCCCAGAAAACTTTGCAGTTGGATAGAAAATCTAATGATCTCACGCTTCTAATGGAGGAAAACACCAAGTTTTCTGCGCAAATAGTTGCTTTGCTAAATTCCACCAACAGTCTTAAGTTGGAAGTTGAGCAACTTAGACTGGAAAGGAATACAAGCTACGGAGATATCAAGAGACTCTCAGCAGAACTATCTCAGAAGGAAACGGATCTCTGCGACGCGCTCAAGAAGCTGGAGATGGAATCTGAGAAGCTAGCTCACGTGGAAGAGCTGCTTTCTGAGAAGAAGATGCAACTCGAAAAGCTTACATTGGATCTCACAGTGAAGAATAGCGATATTGCAAAGCTGACGGCAGAGTCTATAACGAGGGAGGAAGAATTAAGTTGCAAATCAGAAACTATTCAGCAACTGCGTGGAGAAATATCGACATTGCACGACAAGCTTTTGGACGGCAGTTCTTCAGCTGCCCGGATTGCAGAGGTTAAAGAGCTTCTGACGACTACGAACGACCTCAAGACAAAGATCTATGACCTAGAGTCCCTCAACACTGAGCTACAACAGGACAGTGAGCGATACAAGCTGGAGATCAACCGGCTATCCTTGGCACTAGAGGAAAGAGACAAGCCAAGCACTGTTTGGACAAACACCACAGAAACCAAACTGCGCCAAGAGGCTCCCGTCAATGTCTCCCAGAGCGGTTCGCACATCATAGATATATCGGACTCGTTCACTGAGAAAGTAGAGCATATGCAAACGTCTTGGAGACGTCTCCAAGATGTCTTGGACGAGACAGAGAAGGAGAAACAAGAGCTAGTGGTCCGCCTGCAAGACGCACAGAAATTAATAGAGACTTTGCACGCTCAGCTGAAGAAATCCACCATTCCAGGCAATGGCGGTAGTAGCACTAACCACGAGAATCATATACCTGAGGGAAAGATTCATGCATTACAGGATGAGCTGGCCGCTTCGAAGGCGAAAATAAAAAGTCTCAGGGAGGCACTTGGCTCTCTCAAAATAGCATATAGGAGTCTTCTAGAAAACATGAACGAAACAACAGCCATATTGAACGAACAGAATGTCCGTGAAGAGGACTACAAAAAGAAGCTTGCAGAGCTCACGGCAGAACTAGGAGTGTTGAGAGCAGTACGAGCCTCGGATGATGGCACATTGAGTGTAGAGGCCTTGAGCCATGAGTACACAGTTGTCAATGAGGAGCTTAAACGCACAACAACTGAACTCTCTCAAGTGCAGGCGGCTCTTCAGCAAGCCAATGCACGAGAAGAGGCGCTACTAGAGCGATTGACAGATGCTGCAGCGGCGATTGGTCCATACACTAATCACACCACTGCTGATGAAAGCAAACCGAACGCTGTTGTGACACTAGAAAGGGCAGTGCAGGTTGCAGATATCATCCAAAACCCTCCTCCCCAATCCATAACAGCAGATGCAGCAGTTAATACCGACATACCATGCAATTATCGGGAAACTAGCGACATAGAAAATGAAATTTCGGGATTGCACAGCACAATAGCAACGCTTACCTGTGAGCTGGTTCAGGTTCGAGGGGAGTGTGTACTACTGAAACAGCAGGTCCAGAGTGGAAAAGCAATTGCATAGATTACTTCGCTATACCAGTGAGAATAGAAAACACTGCATCGAATAGGGGGTCTGCTGTAGATGGGTCAGCCTTTGAGCCTAAATCTGGTGTATAGGTGGTGTCTGAAACAACACTCACAGACGTGTTTAGGAAGTATTGGCTGGGAGCCAGCTGTTCCCCAAGTGGATAGGAGTCGGCTGGTGAGTGTGCAATAGAAGAATTTGTTAGTGACGTTGGTGGAGACAAGGCAAACTGTGCAAGCGGTAATGCTTGGACACTAGATAATTCGTGCGTATCGGTCTTCGGAGATTGTAATAACTGCTTGAATATGTGTATATTCTTGCTTGACTGGTCGGATCTCTTTGCAATCTGTGAGGGAGTAGAAGCTACACTCTTTGTTCTACGGACAGGGACTGATTTTGCCTGAGGGAGCACATCCTTGAGGCTTCCTCTTGCTTGTTTCTTTGAAGGTCCCCTAGAAGAACTCTTATCTGCTTTGGCAGCAGGTCCTGATTTACCATTGTTGTCGCCATTTTCCAGTACCCGTTCGCGGACACGACAACGTGGACACAAATTCTCAGTGTTCCATTTAGAGGCTCCCATATGTAACTGGTCTTTCTCTGCTGACAAGTGGTCAGCATGTTGATCTGTTTGCACTGCTATGGCCCTAGTGTCCTCTTTTCGCTTTTGTTCATCGGCTAGAAACTCTATCATCTGGCGCAATTCATTCTCTTTACACCTCAGTTGTTCGGTTAAAGCTGCCACTTTGTCGCTGTCAGATGATGTCTTCAAAAGGTCATTGGACAGAACAACCATCATAAGTTCCTTCATCTCTAGTTCACGCTGCTGGAGCATTTCTTCCAGCTCTGCAATCCTGGCAACATACTCTTCTAATTTGGACTTTTGTTCTTTGCTGTCCTCTGGGTGGGGGTATAGAGGTGATAATGCAATTGACGTTTTCATGGTTTGCTGTGCAGTAATGGAGGTTTCTGTGGCATCGTTTTTCATGGGCGACACTCTGAGGGATTCTGCGGGAAGATATCCTGGTGAAAGCACTCCACTGGCAGTTGAGCGTGGGGATGTAGATAACTCCTCTAATAGCTTTCTAAGCGATTCTTTCTTCATGTTGATCGACGCGTAGTCTGATGTTTCTGGCACATTCTTTTTCAGTATAGATGTGGTCACATTGACCGCGTCTTCGGGTGACGAGATACTCTGGGTCAGCACCATCCGCAGCGGAGAAGCAACAGGCTCACAGAGTTCCATTCTTTTTCTTCTGGACGGCGTTGACCGGTGCCGTTGTGCATAGACAGATGGCATATGACTGTCCTTCTGTCTCCGCATCTTAGAAGATTCGCAGCTCGGAGATCTGGTCGATATCTTAGCGGCCACATAAGACTGCTTCGATTCCGTCTCTGAAGGAACATCCATAATTCTGTCCTTATCTGTTCTTTCCTCTCCCTGTAGTGTGGGTGAAACAACGTCTACTAACTGTATGGGGGTGCAGCTGTCGTCCATGGACTCAAGTAGAGACTTAAAATTTCGATCAAATTTTACTCCTGCTCGTGGTCTATCCTGCTTATGATTGGACCTTTTGATCAGAGAAATACAATTTGAATGCATGAAATTCTATACGTAGATATGCGCGGCTCTACACAACGTATCTCTACTCTGCTTCACATGCTCTAGTGTCTTAGCCTTCTTTCTTTTTCTAAAAGAAATTGCCTGAGATATCCCACGTCAAATAAAGGAAGTGGTAGCGCTAACCAGATAACAACTTACGCAACCCTGGCTAGACTTCAAAGTGAGCTACTATCGGTGCTACTTGTCCCACACGGCTCATCAAATATCATTTTGTGAGCATCAACATCAAAGTTTAACCGTCCTTGCTGATAGGCTTCGAAGTCGAAAGGCTTCTCTGTCGCATCAGCGTCATCTATAACTATGGAAGACATGACAGAACCTGCAGAGATGCTTGCCCCAGCCGTCCTGATATTGACCTCTGGTATCCCAGAAGCTACGCTGTGCTTCCTAGAAATTGCCCCAGAACGAAGACCGTCACGAACGTTTTTAGCCTTGCTCAGACTGTCCCGCCGGGAGCTGCTACTAAGAGAGTTTGTGCAGAGCACAGCCGGGGGCCTCGAATACTCTGGGTCTGTGGCAGAGGTACTGCTTTTATGGAATTCCTTGACACTCTTGACAAATTTGTCCACCATAGAGCCGAGTTGGTCCATCTGGTTGTTACTCTTGATTGCTAGTTCCTGGAAACGGATATTAGAAGAGAAGATTGCTGTATTGGTTGCATTACTATAGTACTCATGTTGCTGTAGGGTGAACTCATTAATGTTTGCCAGCCACGGGCACTCCATAGCCTCGGAAATAGACATTCGTGCCTTCGGATTTGGGTGCAGAAGTCCAGCGATAAGCAGGAAGAGATCCAGGTGAAGGTCTGATGAGAGGGGTCCATTAGGGGATACAGTGAAGGAGTCTGGCAGCGGTACTGGCTTACGGCAAAATTTAGTTATGTTCCTTCGCAGCTGCTGATTGCAGAAGCTCTTCTCCATGAGGCACAATGCACACTTTCCGCACAGATCACAGCTAGCCTTATCGTTTAAGGTCCTCAAGTATAGCCTGTACTTCTCAAAGTTCCCCTGCGAGATCACCTCTAGTGTACTGTCCAGCTGTTGTCTGATAGCCTCTGCCATTAGTTGCACAGATGGGACAATCTCAAAGGTGCTCACATCTCGAAAAGGATAATCACCAATTATACAGATAAGAAGAACTAGGCCGGCGGCCCAACTATCAATGGCTAATTTTGAATTGAAAACATGCAATGTCGTTCCTTTAAGATCTGGAATGCCTAACTTTATTCCTATCTCCAGTAAGTCACTCGCCAACGGAAAAGTGTTAGCCGAAGAGTCTGTGACGGCAGCCTTCGGATCAACAATGTTGTACTTAGCTACGCTGTCATTCAACGCTTCAGATATCTCAATGATGTCTCGGATATCAATTGCGTTGAGCTTCACAGATCCATTTTCAAAGGAAACACAAAAAGGCGGCGTTTGTGGCCGGTCAAACTTTGTGAACATCCGCATTCTAAGAATCGCATCCATCCACAGGCGAAAGCGAGCTCCCGTAGCTTGAACGCGGCCTTTGTCATGATAAAGGGTGCAGTCCTTCAGAAATAGAGTACTGATGTGATGCATTGGGGTATATGAAACCGATACTGACGCAGATCTGGTAGGTGCAGACGTAGATTTCTTGCTGTCTGATGACGATGAGTCCCTTGACTGGCTTACTTGTTTACTGCCTTTGCTCTTAACGTGGGGTGACTTGTGCTGTGGCAGATTTTGCTCTTTTACATCGGTTAGTGTTGGCGTTCTGCGGGGAGTTCTCAAGGCTTGCTGTGATTGAGCAGATTGACAATTGGGAGTAAGAGATGGGTCTAAGGAAAACGATGATACTAGATTCTTTAGGTTCAAATAACTAGTTGTGTAAAGTGTAGACGATGTTAGGACTTCTGGGGGAAGGAACGCCATGGCTCCAATGCGTGAATCCAGCCAAGGGTCGTCTGATACGCCCTCGTGGATAGTATATGACTGCCCGTAATCTACCAGTGTCAAACGCGTGGGGCTCTCTATGTGGATATTGTCCGGTTTTATATCCAGATGAGCGACTCCGCTTTGATGGCAATGATGGATAGCCCGTAGCAATCTCCTCACAAGAAGTTTCAAATAGTAGTATGGTATAGCCGGGAATGCGCCGCTATTGAGAGAGCGATACCGCGTAAGGACATCTGTTAGCGGCGATCCAGAGCTAAATTCCATGACGATGTAGAGGCTTTCATCAACATTAAATGCGTGATGGAACATTGGTATGCTGGAGTGAGGTCTTGTATTGAGGTGTCGCAGAGCGCAGACCTCTGTGTTGGTACTTGCATGCATCTCTCTTTGGCAGGGAGCAGCTTCCTTGCCTCCAGACAATTCTGACAGTGGATTGGTAAACCTCTGAAAACGTATCTGCTTCAAAGCATAGAAACAGCTTCGTGTGTTATCGATGGCTACAAAAACTGCTCCGTAGCATCCAGACCCAATGCAATGCAAGAGAGTATAGTGCTCCTTGCCATGCGGATTTCTAACCACGCTCCCCACGCCCAGCTCACAGCCCTGCTGATAAGGCTCTGGGCTAGGGGGGCACATTTTGGAGATTTGTTTTTTAGAAATTAAGTTGGATAGGCTCAACAATTACGCGTGAATGATTTTAAACATTAAAGAGAACAGAATTATAGAATTATGAATTTAGGCATTAGATACAAAGCTACAAGTTTATATAAATAGAGGGTATAAAAGAGGGTAAAGTACATCCTCGGTCAGGAGACGAATCCTCCTCGCCCATCTATCCGCACACAGACAGGAGTATCGTCGACTGCAGACGATGTCACGGAGTTGGTATTGGCTTTATCGTCTGTAGCCGTGCTGGCAAAGGCGTTCAGCATGCAGTATCTTATTCGTCGAAAAAGGCGCTGAAACTCCCATATGAGTCCTGCCTTCAAATAGAAAGTGAGTTTGAAGACAGTCTCGTGAGTCTGAATGCGGCGTATGTACTCATTCTCTGCTACCGTTCCTCCGGAGGCAGACTGCATTATATCATACAAATACCCCAGTTCAATGTCATCATTGTTAAGCTTGTCGGATGAGTGTATCGTCTCCCCCGAGATGAGGAAGACGACAGACGTTGCTTTGTGAGAACATATAAGTCGTATAGGTTGTTGATTTTGCTTCTTATCCTTGGGTTTCTTCGCTTCAATATTCTCAAGGGACAAAAGCTGTTCTAGATGTTGCTGCACTTTTACAACTGGAGGTGCAGGATCAAGGATCAATATTCCCTTTGCAAGGGCTGGTTTGATCATCTCCTGTTGAAGCCATGGGTGTAGCAGTATCTCGTAGGCGTCTGGTCTCTCCAAAGCGTCATAAGACATCATTCTGGAGCAGAGATCCCGGGCTTCTGCGCTATAATTGAACCCCAAAGCCTCGTAGTTCATGCTACAAATATTGGAGCAGAGCTTCTTGCTAAGTTCGGTGTCTGAGTGACACCCATCCATAGACTTGGCGACAGTAAACGCAGGCTTTGCAGTGAGGAGCTCATAGAGTATCAGCCCACAGCACCAGATGTCCACCTTCCTTGCCGAGTAGTCAGATTGCAGGAGCAGCATTTCGGGCGGCATGTGGGCGAGGGTACCGGCCACCATACCCCTGCGAACAGTGTCTATAGCCTGCTTCGATTCCTCGTCCATACTAAAGGACATTGCATTGCCGAAGTCACAAAGCCGCACACATCCATTATTATCGAGTAGACAGTTCTCCAGTCGGAGATCCATGTGTGCCACCCCGTGCAGGTGCATATAAAGAACGGCAGACATTATTTGCGAAAAGAAGTACCGTGCCATTGGCTCTGTCACCACTGTGTTCGCTCGATATTCTTTGAGCGACCCGCCGCCGCAAAGCGTCAGTGCCATAGCCTCCCACTCGTTACCCTTCATATCAACGTACACGAACTTGTCCATCAGCTCGACGATGTTCTGATGCCCTGTGAGGCGCTCCAGTGCAACTGGTTCCGGACAAGGAACTGCCTCACGAGAGGTGTCGAAGTTAGTAGAGGAATCTTTACACTCGGTAGAACTTCCATCAGTTTCTGTCTTCGTATCCGAGGACACGACTCTATTTTTCCTAGTTGCCGTCTTCTTCCGCATCACAGTTGGGGCTAGAGTGGAAAGCAAGCTAGACACTGGTTTGCTAGGAATGAGCTTTAATGCAACCTGCACTGAGGCTGGCACGTCATCCTGATTGATTGGCTGAGGGGGCTGAGTAGTGACAAACTCGCTAGTGGACACAGTTGGCATCTGGAGATTGGTAGACATAGCCTCTGACTGCGTCTTTTCGACATCTAGTGTCACAGAAGGCACATCAAATACATTTTCGGCAGATGACTTAGCATATGAGTGTGTAGACACGTCCGATTTTCTGTTGCTTTGCTTGCGGCCAGGCTTTGCTCTACTCCGAGGTCGCAGCTCCGCCTCTACCATCCCTGCACTCCTAGTAGGGATGTATGCACTCAAGCTCTTTGCTGATGCATAGTTTTTGCTAATTGTCATCCCTGCCTCTGGACCTAGTGCCCCCTTTCTTGTAGATGGAAAACGTCCGGCCTTATCTGCGGTCAAGAAGCTTCTGTGAATGGCTATCTTAACAATCCCTCCTCTTCCAAATCCCAATGTCTTCCCTGTAATGTATTGACCTACATAACGTATGTTTGTACCCAGAAAGACCTGATGGGCCTCGACCTCTCGACGAATTTCCTGGATGAAATGGCTGAATTCGTGCTCATTCAAGTATCCTGTATTGGTGTAATCATATTCGCGCATGACCAACGAGGCTACATGGTGCTCTTTGTCCTCCTCTTTATCTTTGGTGTCTGCTTCCTTGGGGGTTTGCCCACAGTCGAGCTCAGGGGGATGGATCATGTCTCTGAACGAAGAGCCCAGTGTGAGCCCCACGTCAATGCCTGCCGCAGAGAGGTAATCAATGATCCGGGAGAGATCGTCTCCGGTGGCAAATTGCTTTGTGACTGTTTCAGTAAAGAATTCAGGTCTATAAATGACATGGAGAGAAGACCGAGAGTTTAGCCCAAATTGCGAAAGCATCCCTGCTTCTTTATTAGTTGTATCTGAAGCAACGCTCCTAATGCGGTGGACAATATTAGCTGAGACGCTTCCATTATCTGTGTAGTAAGACCACAAAGAGCTGAGGTCGGTATCAGCATGTGCTGTGGGCCTGGATTTCTTAACGCTGCGATTAAAGTTTTCAGTAAATCGATCGCAGAGGATGGCTCTATTAGACAGCTTTTTCTCACTAGTAGCTTTTGCTACAAATAGCTTCAGAAAGTCTTGTTTCGGAAGCTTATACTCCTTTGTCATGGACTCTGAGTATATGTGCTGCAAGACCTTTTGCAGAAATTTGGCCTTGCGCTTGTTAGCCCCGTGGTGATACAGCATCAGGTCCATGACCGTAATGTAACCGCGATTCTTCACATCGAGGCTGTTATACACCCGCTCTGCCTCGGATAAGATGATTTTCGAAGAGACATGTCCCATTGAAAACTAATTTTAATTTTAACGACTATGGCTAAATAATTAGTAGACAGCTGGAATCGGTCGGTCTCCCGCAATCGGCCTCCATACGGACTTCCGTGCTGCAAATTCGCATTTGGGAACAAGAGCATCGAGTCCATTTACCTGAAGAAAATCTTTAGGAGAATGAAGAGTACGACAATCGCCCCTATGACGATGAAAACGCTGTACTGACGCCAAAAGGCTTCGCGATTCATCTGCTGGGCATCTCCCATTATGTCCTTTGCGCGAGTCAGCAGATCTGCGGCCTGTGTCTCTATGTCACTGAGCTTGTTCCCCCTGTTCAGTATGCTCTCCACTGACTGCATGACCTGTGATTTGATCTCTTGCGTCTCTGTTTGAAGCTGAAGCATAGCAGACCGCGTGTCTGCATCACGGGCAAGCTTCTCGATCTCCGGGATGAAGGAGGAGAAGGGGGCTTCGCTTGTAGCCACGGAGATGGTGTTGGGCGAGAACTTCACCGAGAAAAGCCCGGCCATGCTCTGCAAGAAGCTCATGGCCGCCGTGACAGAGACGCCCTTTCCTGCAGCAGCCATATAAACGACGCCAGATAATATGGAGTAGTGGATGTTTATGCCCTCGTCCGAGTATGACTGCCGCGGCGGAGAACCGGGAGTGAGCTGCTCCAGAACACCCCGCATATGAGCACCGAGATTCGCAGCCGCAGCAGGCTTCAGCTCCTTGTAGCAGAGGACTACTGCCCCGTTCAGGCGACCGATCAGGATGGCATTCATTCTGACAGTTGATGAGCAAGGGGTTATCAGTATTTTTTTGAAACGCAGATTTTTTTTGAAGGTTTTGGTATCGACAGGAAGCATTTCCCCATGGTGCGTAGGAGCGACAGGAAAGCACTCGAGTCACTTTCTGGGGATGCTGTAAAGGTCTCTGCTGGCTCGGCAAAGGTCAAAAAGGAGCAGAGTGACTTTTTGGCCACATATGGCACAGCCCTAACCCTCTCCAATACGATGGTCGGGGCTGCTCTCCTTTCTCTTCCATTTACCATTGTGCGCCTCGGGTGGGTCGTGGCGCTATTCATCATGGCATTTGCATTTACCTACAGTCTTTTTGGATTTTATGCAATCATTGACACAGCCCATTTCACACAATCTCGGACGCTGCGGGGTTGTGTAGTTGCCATGTTTGGGAACAAGATAGCAATGGCGATGGACGTCTGCATTGTCCTAATGTACACCGGGCTCTTAGTCGTCTACATCTCTATTTGCGGAGAATACATCAGCGCGTGTATCACGGGATTCTCACACGGAAAAGCCTCTTTTAGATTGGAGTATATCAAGGTAATCATCGGAGTTCTGTTGATCCCTACAACAATATTGAAGTCTCCCGCCGCTCTCAGCAACATCTCTGGCTTCTGTATCCTCTTTATACTGATCACTGTTCTCTCTGTCTTTGGCTACTTCATCGCTGGATTAGTTAAAAAGGAGGTGGCATGCAACGTTGCAGGAATCACCGAAAGCTCTCTCTACAAGAAAGCTCTGAGCAATGGGTTTGCTGGGCCGTCGCAGGACTCCACCATCGGATCATGGAAACCCTTTCCCAATCCTATGTTCATCTACGCCCCTGCACACACTGTCCCGTGGATGGCGTTTCTCGAAATTGTCAGACGTGTTTCTGTCTTCATGCCACTGTTTGGGTGCCATGCGAGTATTGCCCCGCTCCTCTCTGAGCTTCAGGGTACCCCAAACAAACGTCGTCTTCTCTTGAAGAAGGCAATTACTATCGCTATCACAGTCAGCTTGATCCTATATCTCCTCAATGGGATTGGGTCTGCACTTATGTTTAGTCAAGTCATACAAGCAAACGTACTCATCTCCTTCCCCCCGTCCAATATCTACATGACTGTTATTCGCCTTCTTTACGCTTTCGTGGTTGCTTTATCGTTTGCAATTATCATGTTTCCAATTCGAGTAATCATCATGTCGTGGTGGAACATAGATAAACAGACGCGGAAAGGTCACATTATCTTTATTACAATCGGAGTGTCCCTTACCGTTGTGGCCGTACTAATGTCAACATTCATTCCTTCAATAGACACAGTCTTTAATGCAATAGCTGCGCTATTTGGTATAGCAGTATACTGGCTTGTCCCATTGTTCATCCGGTGGAAGGTTCCTGAAATTGCAGCTCACTCACGCATACCTCACACAGACGACGATGATGAAGTAGGGTACGTAAACCCTGAGGCTCTCCCAGAGCCTCACAGAAGGGACACTGTCCTGAAGAGAGGTAGGACCGACTCTGTTGCCGTTGGCGCCTTTGCATTTTTGGGGATGACCATGGGCCAGGCGCGTACGATGAGCAAGGTTTTCGTTCGAGAACGCTCCATAAACAACAGAGAAAGGTCACGATCTCAAATTAGAACGGAGCAACGGGCTAATGAGACGCGCAACCGTGCGGCAACACTGGCAGCTCCCCAAAAGGCCGAGGTGGCATCCATTTTGTCCATTAAAGGGTACAGTTCGCAAACAAGGACACAGGAGTCATCAGCAAATGAGTTGGCTCCCTGCGTCGTGAGATCTGGGATAGAAGAAGTGGGCGGATCGTCTCATAACATTTGGCAGACGTCTGGTCAGTCTGTAGATCCCAGTATGCCTTCTACATCTGCACCTGCGCCTACACTTGCTCACACAGCTTGCACAGGGCCCCCCAAGCCAGAAGAAAAGCCTAGCCTTCCTGTTCCTAGACGGCTGAGCCAACGTGCTTTCCCAGCACCTGCGCCTACCTCAGAAAGCGCACTGGCAGTAGCCACTGCAAATCGCTACAGGGCAATGTCCATTGCAGACTCTAAGCCAACACATACGTTCGATCTCTTAACTGAACAGACCAATATACACAACGCTTCTTTACTTGCAGATCCTAATTTGCCGGAGGACATGCGTATTGCTTTGGAAGTGGCTGCTGAGCTAGAGCAGAATGGAGGCACATTGGAGGCTCCCAGTGAAGAGTATCCCGAGCCTGACATGACGGATCCGTGGCGTGTCGCGTTGCTGAAGAAGATGACCAAGTGCAGAAAAGTTACCATTATCTGCAGTGCATGCGTGATTGTTGTCATGAACTTGACTGCCTTTTTCCTCTCCACATTTGTCAACACGGATACATTTAAATGGATCTTCTAAATTATCTTCACTAGCCCGTCTCCTAATGCACGCCAGGGACTCAGCCTCACTAGTGAACAGTGTACTTATGCGACTTAGTGCCGTTTGCACATTACCGACAGAAACCTATAAGGCTCCGCGAAGTGCTTCTAAATCCTTCACCATTTTGTCAATGACTTCTGCCTGCTCGGAAATCGTTACACCTTTGTTGCTTATCTCTTCAAGCAAGACGTTAATTCGATCCTCACGAGATTTTGTTAGATCGAGGAGCAAATTCACCTCCTTCTCCTTCACACTGATGCGCTCTTGAAGCGCTACAACTTCCTCAAGACGCTGCTTTGTAAGCGTGATGATGCCGACAACACTTTCACGAATAGACGTCATGGTTGCTTCCAGCCGTGTCATGCGTTCAATAGCTAGTGCAGCCTCTGAATCCTTTTGCTGCATGGTGGTCTCAACTAACAAACGAGCAGGTCCAATAGATTTTGCGGTAGAAAGAGTGGATAGAGCAAGCGACTCTGCGACAGATGCGGCCCGCGACACGCTCCTCGAGCCTACCTTAGAAAGCTCTACCATACTTTGGTTACTATTTTCTGCTAACTCTGTCAGGAGCTCGAATATCCTATTAGCGGCATCGACCAGTTCAAAAAGACGTTGCTCTATGTTAGACAGATCGTTCCTGAGGGTACTGATCCTTGCATCTTGCTGTGATAGCAAAGTCGTTTGCTCTGCTAGTTGATCCTTCTGCAAATCGGAACCATTAATCAGCAGACGCTGCAGCTGATCCTCCTGCTCTGCAGTTATTCTTGTTGTAACTTCAAGCTCGTCTTCTAGCTCACGAACTCGTGTGTTGAGTTCCTGCACAGTACCCAGTAGGCAATCATTTTGTGACGATAAGGCCTCGATAGAGCCATCTCGCTGTGCCAAGTTGGCCTGGAGTTCCTCAATGATGGCCAGTTTGTCCTTGAACGTGGCATCATTTTGTAACAGCAAGACTTCTAGTTCAGCATTCTTTTCATCAAGACGAAGATGTGCTGATTGTAATTCTGATCGGAGATTGGCTAGTCTCTCCTCTAGCTCCACAGAGCCCGCCCTTGCGACCTTAAGATCTTCAAGTGCTTTCAGGTATCTATCTGTGAAAGCATCCTCTGCAGACTTTAAAGCAGTCTGCATATCACTGGTAGCACTGACTAAGCTAAAGTTTGCCTTTTCCAGCTGCAAATCTTTCTGCGCCAGTTCGTCTTCTAGGCTCTCTTTTTGATGGTTTATCCTTTGGAGCTCCTCTGTCGTTGCTGCATGCAAGGCGTCTAATCTGCCAATCTCCTCTTCACAGTTCGCTATCATTTCCTCTCTGATGTGAATATCTGTTGTCAGATTCTCTATTTGTTGCTTAAGAGAGTCCATTTCGGCAGCCATTTCTGACATGATCTGCTCAGTCCGTTCAAGGCGCTCGTGCACCAGTCTTTCATTAGCGGAGGATTGCTCCTTGACTTGTTCCTTTTCTTGAGATATCTCTACGATGTCTGTTTGTAACGCAATGTTAGCCTCGTGCACACGCGCCAACTCTAATTCACAATCCTTTAGATTTTCTGTCAAAATTTGCTCCGTCTCCTCTAACTTCAAAATCCGACTGCTTGCTGCCTTATTTTCTGAGATCGCTTTTTCTGCTTGAGCTTCTGCAGCCTTCAGGGCCTTTGATAACCGCTCTGTGGTCTCTCCTAATTCCTGCTCAAGGGAAACAACACGAGCATGTAGCTCTGCATTTTGCAAAGACAACTCGTCGAGCCTCCGATAAAGCTCCTGTGTAGCGTTTTGTCTTGTGGTGGCATCCTCACATAATTTTGCATCGAGTCTGGATTTGTCTTCAAGAGTGTCATGTAATGTCGCATTCAGCTGTTTAATGGTATCTGTTTGTAGAACCATTGCCTGCTCCATGTCTTGGTGCTCGGTCTTGAGCTTTGCAATGGTCAGCTCGGCAGTACGCAAATCTTTCTGTGCTTGTTCAAGTTGCAGTGAAGCACCACTCATGGCTGAGACTCGTGCTTGTTCTGTAAGAAGGTTGGACCGCGTCTCTGCCAAGACCTTCTGCGTGGAGAGGAGCTCTCTATTAAGATCGGCAGTTTTCACCTCCTCCACTTTGAGCATGTCTGACAGGCTTTTGAGCTCCTTCTGAAGCTCAGATATTTCGGAGTTCTTCGCATATAGCCCCATCTGCAAGTCTGAGATCAAGTTGAGAGCATCACTAGTCTCCCTCTTGAGTTTTTCGCCTTCGGCTACTTGGTTGGACAAACTTTCCAGTGCCTTCTGCTCACTATCTGCTCGCGTTTGTGCCTGTGTCTTGTAAAACAACAACTCGCTCTCTGCCTGCAAGAGCTTGGCACACGTCTGTGCATTGTGTTCTGAGACCACCTTCACTGCACCAGCAAGGTCTGCAAGCACTGTCGAGAGCGCTGCACCGTCATCCATGAAGAAGGTGAGATTGGCCGTGGAAGAACTAAGTTCAGAGGCCTGTGAAGAACTATGGGTCACAGAAGACACTAGCTCCTCTCCGATTGCGCGTAAAGTGGCAGTGACTTCAGCTATGCGTTGCTCTAGAGCTCGATTCTTCGATGACACCGATTCAAACTTCTCCCTCATAGCCTTGGCGTCCTCTGCAAGCTGGAGTTTGTAGGCGCTAACTTTATCTGCAATCATTGCATGCAGCGAGGAGGATAGGTCCTGATTGGGTACATCCAATTCAATGTTCTTCTCTTCCTGAAGTGACAATTCTTTGATCATCGACGTCATGGCTAAAAAGATGGCCTCAGCCGTCCGGGCTTCCACGGCTTGGCCAGTTGATATTGCTTCTTCAAGCCTTAAGCGTAAGTCCTGAACCTCTACTTCCATAGCATCGTTCCTACTTTGCAGATTAGTAACAACCACCTCTTCATAGTGTCCCACCAGCTCAACAAGGTCACTGATGAAGTTTAGCGTCTCCACCCGGCAGTCGAGATGCTCACAAGCTGTCCCCGAGGCCTCCATGTGGCGAGAGTCTCAGGATAGTTTCTACTACAACGTTTTTTGCCGAAAATCTGACAAATGCTCACAAACCGTGTTCAAGAGATGTTCAAGAGAAACTGGCACTATTCACTACTAAGATCTAAGATTAAGCAATTGCAGGATCGTTTGTCGTTTCTATTCGTAACAAAAGGTCATCTATAGTTTTCTGTTTTTCGGCTAACAATTCGTTTAACTTGGTTACTTCATCGCCTTTTTCACGGAGATAGAACGCCATCTTGATCAGCGATTCTTGTGGTATACGGTATTCCTCCTCTTTCAATCGGAGTTTCTCCATAAGCAAGGTTCGTTCCGCAGATTGCTTTTTCATCGTATCAGTTGTCACGTTGAGGGTATTAGTGACTCTATTAACTTCGACCTCCTGTAGCTGCTTTTCATGGAGGACACTTTCAAGCTGGCGCCGCATCTCATCCATTTCGTTTGTGAGCTCTCGAACATTGTCCTCAGCGACCAGTAGCTCATTCTCAAGGTCCTCCATTTGCCTTTCCTTTTCCTTAAGCTCACCCTTATCACGGGCATAGTTGACCTTGAGAACCTCGTGCTCGTCTTCTAGAAGTGACAGTTTGACTGCAAGGCCATCACACTCTGTTATTTTCTCTTTAAGGTTGGTTCTCACCAATTCAGCTTCCTTCTCGGCCTCCTTAAGGTCTTCTCGGGTCTGCTGCAATTGGGAGATAAGCTGGGCCTTCTCCCCCTCGTACTTTTCTGCTAAGTAAGTGGCCTCCGAGAGTTTGTGGGCCATGTTCGTACACTTTTCTGTCTCTAATTGGAGGCTGGCCTGCTTTTCCTCTAGTGAACATTGTAGGGTATAGTAGTCTGTCTCTAGCTCAGCACAGCGTCGAGAGGACTCCTGTTGTGCCTGCTTGGCTTCCAGAAGCTTGTTGCTGAACTCATTGACCTGCCTTTTGAGCCCCTCGATAAGGTCATTGTTGCTGTTCTCTTGAGCCAATAAGCTCGCCAGCCTGGTGCTGGACACCTCTGCTTCATTCTTTAAAGCTTCTAGTTCTAAGTCCCTTTCGCGTGCGCTCCGATCATACTCGGCCACACTACGTTGTAAGGCGTCGAGCTGCTCGGTTTTTGCTGCCACCTGATTTAACGAGTCCTTGGCTGTAGCTTCCAGTGCCTTGTTTTCTTCCTCGAGTGAAGAAAGGCGCTGGCTAGCGTGCAAAAGCTCAGCATCCTTGCTTGAATATAGCTCCGTAGAGCGCTGCAACTCCTTCTCAAGTGTGTCTATCTTTTCATGCTTAGCCGCTTGTGCAATCTCCAATTCACGAATCTGTTGCTCTGCTTGTTCTAATGTTCCTCTACACTCCGTCAGTTCCCGCATTAGCCTGTCATTTTCGACAGTAAGCTCAAGAACTCTGGTCTCGTGGCCATTAGCCTTCTTTTCTAGTGAATCAGTGGTACTCTTCATGGTGGAAATCGTTTCTGCTGCAACCTCCAGATCATGCTCTCGTTGATCAAGCAGCGCAGAGACCCTTTCCAACTCTTGACTCTTTTCTAATGTTATAGCTTTCTCAGCAGTCAGATTATTTTCTAGTTTTTCCACCTGTTCTGTTTTGGCTTGGAGGTCCTCTGTGAGTCCTATGTTGATGCAAGTCAGATGCTCTCCATCAGACAGTGCGGCCTTAAGCTTCTGAGCTTGTTCGGCCAGGTCTGCCTCGCGCTGGGACGCGCTCTCGCTGAGCCTCTTGAGGTCATTTTGGAGTTGGGCCATAGAGTTATTGCGCATTCTAAGATCCTCAAACATTGATTCATTATCATGTTTGTATGCACAAATCTTATTCTTTTTGTCAACAAGTTCCTCTGTGAGACGATCAATAGTGTCAGTGGCCGCCTTTAGTGAATCTGTGGATTTTCGTAGGTCAAGGGCCAGGCCTTCCTTCTCTGCTAGAAGGCTTGGTATTACCTCGACCTGTTTTTGAAGTACCGCTATTTGCTCGTCTTTTTTGTTTAACGAAGAGGAAAGACTGGTAATTTCGTTTCTATTGTCTATTTCTTGGGCTTGAAGACTGTTCAGCTGGGCTTTTACTAGGGCCATTTCTTCATCACTTGCTTGCTTTTCTGCGCTAATCGCTGCAATATGATCCTGTTGAGAATCAAGTCTTGTGAGTGAATCTCTCAACTTCAATTGCAGCTGCTCGTTGTTCTTCCGCAAGACGCTAGTGTCACTTAGAAGAGTGTCGACTTCACTAGCCTGTGTTTTGTTAATCTCCTTAAGAGAGTCTACCTCTTTTCTGAGAAGCTCTAGCTCGCTACACCTCTGTGTGAGCTCTGCAGTAATCGAAGAATTCATGGATGCATAATCATCTTTGGCCTGCGAGAGTTGTAAATCTAGGTTCATGTTCAGCTCTTCTAACTCCTCAACCTTACCCTCGAGGGTTCTGGACGATCGCAAATTATTCTGCGTCGCCTCCGAGAGCTTCACCAATTCAGCCTCTAAAGTCTTGCACTGCTCTGTAAGCTTTGCAATCTCGGTAGATTTACGATCCAAATCATTGGCCATGATCTCTATCGATTGCTTGAAGGCCTCAATTTCGCGATCTTTTTCCAGGAGCTCTCTGGCTTTGCTATCGTCTGCTGCCTGAATCTCCTCTAGCTCACGTCGGTATCGAGCAACACTGGTTGTCAACTGCGCTATTTCCTCGTCTCGGCTAGCGAGATCATCGTTCAGCTTATTGAACTCAAGCGTATTGCCAAAGGACTCTCTAAGTGAGGACCGCTTAATAGAAACAGGTGTAGTTGGGGTTTTGGCCCCGGAGCCTGTCCCGTCTTGTGTCCGCTTAGTCCGTATGTGGTCTGCCCGAAGTCTTGAGAGATCTGCATGCAGCTCTGCAATCTCTAGGTCTTTCTCTTTCACAACGGCTACGAAGTCTATCACCCGGCCCTCCACCTTTGCACTGAGAGCATCTACCAATGCATCCTTTTGAGCCAGTTGCTGTCTCAGAAGCTGGGTCTCTTGCTGAAGCCCACCAAGGAGCTCCATAAGCTCCTTGACCTCATCGTCAGTGGAGGAGCCCCCGGACGAGCTCTTCAAAGTTCTAATCTGGGCGTCTCGGACATCGATGTCTGACTGCAGATGCATGACAGTGAGCGTTAGCGTTGTCACCTCATGTGAGAGACGAGCGATCTCCCGGTCCTTCCGGCTAATATCAGTGGCCATGGGGGCCGCGGGAGAGGAGTCTGCTAAAGGCATTACACTCTTTTATCTTTATAGAACTCGGTCAACGAATATTATATGTTATCGAGAAGGTCTTTCGTGACAACACCATTGTAATAGAAAGGTACACCTGTGAGGAGATACTGCTTGCGGATGAGGTGCTCGCTTTATGACAAACTGTACAGAGTGCATTGTCTTTCATAGTACAACGTAGATACGGAGGAGGTGCCTTGCGTCGATAATACTCTGATTTCCTATACTAATTTACACTAGTCGATTTAAAAAACTAAAGTCATAAAAGAGATTTGAAAAATAAAATTAGAGGTTACACACCGCCTTCAACTTGGCCCTTCTTGGTGAGCGCTGCGATGAAGTCCATGCACCTACCTGCATCTGATCCTAGATTGATCGTGTGCTGGATGCCTAAAGTACATAGTCCAAGTAGTTTAGAGAAGGATTGTATATTTTTATCCATAAAGTTGAGAAGCCATGTGCCAATCTACGTCATAAAAGTTAAGCACATAGCTTCGACAATAATTTGAGAGGTCGGAATCCGAGAGTTCTAAGTGCGTCTAATACTCAGCATCCTCTAAAAGGCGTCGAATCTGTTCATTCTTGCATATTATTATGTCTCTAAGAGATACCAGTTCTCTATCTTTCTCACTAATGACACACAAAAGGCGTTCCAGCTCACTATTGTCTCGGATACAAGGAGAACTGGGAGCCATACTTTGGACGCCCCGCTCCTCTGTGGAGCAGCGTATGGGACAGGTCTGTTGCACAGGGGTGTCGGTTATTGTGTTAACGCAGGCATCAATCTGAGCAACAGATTTAACATCGATAGTGGACAAAGATTGAGAAAACTCTTTCTGAATTCGCTGCACGAACGCTGTTATGGCTGCAGTCAGTTCGTTAATTGGTGCTAGGGCCAACGAAGCACCTGAATTGGGGTTTTCCGTCTCATCCTGGAGGGGCTTCGAGGTCAGAAATGCCTCAGCTGACTGGGAGACCGAAAGGACCCTGGAAATACGAGATATGCGCTCACAAAACAGTTCAGAAATAGTGTTACACCGTCGAACTTCTTCTGCCGCTCCCCTTAAAGCAGCTATTTCGGTCTGGAGTCGTGAAGCCTCGAGCTGGGTCAGCCCATTGTTGGCCACTAACTCTACAATTTCACTATCCTTCTCTAAAACTAATTGCTTTAAACGCTGCACCTCCGCGTCTCGCTCTGCTGCCAGCAGTGCTACATCAGCGTACTTCTTCTCAAAATCAGCTAGAGCTTGAAGCACTGTGGCCAAGTCGTCCTCTTTTCTTTTATATGCCACAATTAATTGTGAAGATTGCTTTAAGCGCTGCTCTTCTAGCTGGTCGATTTCACTAAGCTGTCGCTTAAGGAGCGTATTCTCCTCCTGTTGCTTCCGTAGCTCTTCCTTATATGTCTTGATTTCTTCTACGAGCTTGTCTACATGTTGCTTATACTCTAGGGACTGCTTTTCTGCTGAAACAATTGCAAGGCTAGAGGATGTGGCGGACGAGTGCATAGTTAATAGCCGCTGCTCAAGATCCTTTATGGAGGCGTCTCGCGCATCAACTGTACTCGTCAGCGTGCGGATAAGGTTGTTCTTGGCTAGGATTTGGGCCTCCAAATTGCTGATGCTCTCATCATTTGCCTTCAGCTGCCGCTCTTGGCTAGCTAATGTGAGCTGCATCACCTTAAGTGCTTTGGAATCCCGGGATGCCTTGGACAGCTGTGCCTCCAGCTCTGTAATCTGTTGGTCTTTGGAGGTGAGGGTGGCTGCTATGTTATTTGTATCTCTCTGTATTTCTGAAGCCAGAGACATTGCGACATCAAGCTCATTAGTCTTGCTATTCAACAAAAAAGTTGTTTTCTCTAAAGCGCGAGATCTATCTCTGAAAAGATTTTTATAATTGGCTGCAGCTTCTTTCTGATCCCGTAAGAGATCCTCAGCTGATAAAAGCTGTTCTTTTACCACATCCGCCTCGGCGGTTTTCTGCTGAACAAGGGTGCTAAGCTCGAGTATCTTCTGGTCCTTCTCTTCTATTGAGTCTCGATATAGTTTGAGCTCTGTCTCTGCATTGCGTAGCTGGTCTTCTATCTTACTGGAGTACCGTGTGACTGCTTCTAGCTGCTTGTCTAGAGATGTGGAGTTCAACGAAAGAGCACTAGTAGTCGACATGGACACTGAAGGGCTCTTTTGGATGCCCTTGGAGGTTGCAGATATAAACCTCGAAGCCTCTAGGTTTTCAGCCAGCAGTCTGTGTATTTCCGCGTCTTTATCTAATACGACCTGTTCTAGCATCTTTAGTTTCCCTGTTTCTTTGTTCAGATCGGCAACTGCAAGGCGTCTCTGCTCTTCTGCGCGCACTGCTTTTTGTCTGTATAGATTTGCAGAAGCAGAGAGAGCCTCTAGCTCCTCCTGCAATGCTGCAAGCATGGCGCTCTTCGTCATGCTGGTCTGCAAGGACCTCTTGGATTCTGAGCAATCAGCTAGAGGTCCAGCCTCATTAGACATTGATACTTGAGGCTCAGAGTGCGACTTACATCCATGAAACTCTTGGTGTTGTGAGGCGGCAACTCTAAGAAAGGAATTTTCCCTTCGAAGACATTTTAGAAGGGTAGACTGCGCTTTTCTATGAATTTCTTCAATTACTTCAATATTGCTGAAAATTGCGGGGGCCCTGTTAGCTTCTGAGCGCTCTCCTACGCTATTATTGATACTATTGTTATCACCAGAGCTAGAGTGTATGACTGAAACCTTCTGCTCGGAGTTTAAAATGTGGCCTTCAAGATGCGAAAGAGAGAGGTCGTCACTATCTGGATTGCCATGTTTTGGACTCTTAAGTAAGAGATTTTCTACACTGCGCACTGATCCTGGGAAGCTGTGTTCTGAGGTAGCCTCTTCAGTATTATCGTCTGTGCTAAGGGTAAGAGTCATGCTTGACTTATTGGCCGCATCAACTGCCGCGCGGAGAGGCTCGTTCATGGTATCTAGCCAACTCCCAAAATAGATTTTTGAACTGAATAAATGGTATTTAAAGCATCAGACACAGCTCTCAGCTCTATGCATTTACTTCATCAGCTGCATAAGTTGTTCGTTCTTCTTTTTAATAAGCCCCCTCATGTTATCTAGCTCCACATACTTGACTGAAAGCTCGGACGATACCTCTTCTAGGCGTGCATCCTTCTGCTTCAGCGTGGTTGTGAGATTAGCGATGGTGTCCTTGAGAGATAACACCTCTTCAGAGAGCTGACGCATCCTTATGGTTGCTGAGACGGAGGATGCATCGCTGCCTAGATGGTCTTCACGCTCATGGAAATTTGTAGTTGAATTGACAGGCATCTTGGCCGCCAGTGTCTGAGGCTGGGGCTGTCCAATACTCCCACCCATGCTATGTAGACGGCTTTCCAGGCTTTCATTGGAGATAACAACAAGCTCCAATTCTTGGTTGAGGCGCAGAATTTCTTCTTCAAGGTTCTTGATTGTTGCCTGCATAACCTTACCGGTCGTACCACTTAGTACCCTTCCATCAAGCTCTATTTGCATGTCCTTTATCTGCGAGTTCTTTTCTTCGATTACGCGAATCAATTTAGTGACTTCTGCTGTCTTCCCATTCAGTGCCTCAATGAGTTCTCCCACGCGAGTCTTGTCCAAGGTTATGCGGAGCTCCTCGCGTGTCTGAGCAAGCGTCTTCTCTAACATGGACGCCTGACCTTTGTGATACTCAGCTTCTTGCGATAAGGCTTGCACGTCCTGTTCCAGAGACATGTTGGCCTGGCGGACCGATAGTATTTCCTCCATGATGGTTGCTATTTGCGTACTCATATTGTCCATCTCAGCATCCTTGCGGCGTAGTTCATTTTGCAGGCGTGTAATATCTGAGTTCAATCCCATAACCTGTGATGATATGCTACCAGCACGGCCTGGGGAGTGGCCCCCAGCAATGCTAATGCTTGTGGCGCTGTTCATACTACTCATGGTCTGAGGCTCAACGCTCTGTAGCTCTGTGCGTAGCCTTGAATTCTCTGCATCCAGTGTCACCTTGGCCACAGTGACGGCCTCTAACTGTTCGTTGAGGGATTTTTCCATCAAGTGGTACTTCTGACGTAGTGAGTCCAGCTCTACCTCTAACTTATTGATCATTTTGTTTTTTGCGTCCAGAAGCGCGGCTTGATTCGATGCTGCTTCCGAAGTTTCTGCAGAATCCATAATTGAAAGATGCTCCATTCTGGCGACAAGTTCTGCATTCATCTTCTTTAGCTCTCCATTTGAAGCCTGAAGCTTCTCATTGGCAGCCAGCAATGCCTCTGTTTCTGATGCATTGTCTGTGAGCATATTGAGCATCCTATTGTTGTCAGACAATATTGTTGCAAGCTCATCTGGAGACAGGTTTGGTACCAAGGTTGTTACGTTGTTCATGGCCTTCTCTAGTTGAGCGCGAGTATCGTCCAATTCCAGCTGAAGCGACCTACACTTAAGCTGCAGGGCTTCAATCTCTTCGTCCTTTATTCTAGCGTGTGTCTCCATGTCTTGTATTTGCGTTTCCAGAGAGTTAACAACACCGTGAGAGTGGGAAAGATTGGTAAGTACCTCAGTGTATTCATGCGTTTTCTGCTTGGATGCAAACTTTTCGTGGTCAAGCGCAGCTTGTAAATCAATTACCTTTTGCCGCTCAGCCTCTAGCTCCACGCGGAGGGTCGTGATTTCTTCTGTTGCGGTCTCTATTTCTGCTGTGGCAACATCTGCGGAATGCTGAACGAGAAGCGTAGCATCCTTCATTTCTAGGAGCTGCGTCTTAGAAACTTGCGCCTCAGCGGTCAAGGACTCTATGAGCTGCAGCTTCTCTGCTAGAGTGGTACGAAGAACAGAGATTTCTTCTTCCATTGCTGCTAGTTCTTCTGTCTCGCCTATCTGCTGTTCGCGTAGCATCTGTATTTCATCGGCCTGTGAGGTGATCAGCGTTTGATATTGGGAATTTTCGTCCTTTAAATGCTGGATCTCGTCACGATAAGTTTGATTAGAAATCTCAGTATCTAGGTGCAGACGATCGCGTTGAGTAAGCTGAAACTGAAGTTTGCGTATAGAGTGCCTTAATGCGTCTGCCTCTAGTGGCCCTGCCGAGCGGGCAGAGTGCGGAGTACTGACAGTCAGATCCAGGCTATCACCAAGATTCTGTGTGCCCTGATTGGTGGGGTCCTTCACTCCATCATTTGTATCAAGCATGTCCCAGCCATTAAGTGTAAGACTCTCTGTCAATGCATTATCTGCCTGTACCTCCATTCTTTGGCTAACAGCGAGAGCTAGCTCGCTTATTTGCTCTTCTTTCTTGTCCAATAGCTCTTGCATTTCAGATAATGCCTCCATGTCTCTGTCATGTTGCTCTTCGCGTTCTCTGAGCTGTATGTTGAGCTTCTCTAGAAGCTTGTCCTTTCGCTGTGCCTCCATCTGAAGACTTTCAATAGTATTCAGCTGAGACTCTCCCATGTAGTTCGTCGAGCTGCGTGCCATTGAGTCGTTGGCATTGAGACCACCAACAAGTGTACTGGACGACTGCCTCATAGCCTGATTTTCGGGAGGCTCCTGAGTAGTTGGAAATCGTTCAACAGATCGGGGAGCATCTGCAGAAAGATACGCTAGGTCTGGTGTTCGGGGAAGCGCGCTTGTCATCAAGAGCTCGAATTCTATTTTTTGGATCCGAGCTCTCTAGTATGGAGCATCGTAGTCTAGAGGTAAGTGTTTACCCTACCCTACCCTACATGACCTATACACCATCCTATACTAGAACCAGTAAAAAAAGAAATGCCGGTGACAGGGGTCAAGGTCGCGGTGCGCGTCCGGCCGTTCAACGCGCGCGAGAAGAGGGAGGCGGCGCGGCTCTGCGTCGACATGCCGGGCGGGGGGAAGGTCGTCCTCCGGGACGCAGACGCGAAGAAGCCCGACGCGGCGTTCGTCTACGACCACGCGTACTGGTCCCACGACGCGAGCCGCCCGTGCGCGACCCAGGACACGGTCTACGCAGACATCGGGCCGAGCGTCCTCGACAACGCGTTCGAGGGCTACAACTACACGCTCTTCGCGTACGGCCAGACGGGCTCCGGGAAGTCGTACTCGATGATGGGCGCGCCCGCGAGCGAGGCCGACGCAGGGATCATCCCGCGGGTCGGGCGCGAGCTCTTCCGCCGCGCCGCCGCCTCGCCCGCCGAGACGCAGGTCTCCGTCTCGTTCCTCGAGATCTACAACGAGCGGCTCCGGGACCTCCTCGTCCCCGCCGCGGGCGCCCAGGAGCTCCGGATCCGCCAGGACCCCGCGGCGGGCGTCTTCGTCCAGAACCTCAGCCACCACGCGGTCGCCGACTACGACGCGATCCAGCGCCTGATCGAGCTCGGGGACCGGAACCGGACGGTCGCGGCGACGAACATGAACGCGACGAGCTCGCGCTCGCACTCCGTCTTCGCGATCGAGGTCGTCCAGACGGCGGTCCTCCGGAACGACGCGGGCGAGGAGGTCGGGCGCCACGTCAAGCGCGCCCGGGTGAGCCTCGTCGACCTCGCGGGGTCCGAGCGCCAGGGCAAGACGGGCGCGACGGGCGACCGCCTGACGGAGGGCATCAGCATCAACAAGTCCCTGACGACCCTCGGGCGCGTCATCGAGGCGCTCGCGTACAACACGACCGCGGAGGGCCGCCGGAAGCCCCAGCACGTCCCGTACCGCGACTCCCAGCTGACGTACCTCCTCCAGCCCGCGCTCGGGGGCAACTCGATGACGTGCATGATCGCCGCGATCTCGCCTGCGTCGACGAACTACGACGAGAGCCTCTCGACCCTCCGCTACGCAGACCGCGCCCACCAGATCGAGAACACCGTCACGAAGAACGAGTCTGCCCAGGAGAAGTACATCCGCGAGCTCGAGGACCGCGTCAAGGAGCTCGAGGCCCTCCTCGCCGGGGGCGCCCCCGCCGGGGACGCAGGTGCTGTAGAACCAGGCCTGTCTGATGCTGAGCGCTTAGAATTAGAAGCAAAGATAGCCGAGTATGACAGACTTCTTAAGGAAGGGAATCAATCTCTAGAGGAGAAGCTAGCCAGAGCGGAGCAGAACAGACAAGAGCTACAAGATAAGCTCAAAAAGATGGGCCTCGCGGCAGCTTTTGGGTCAGAAATTACCACTCCGTATATATCCAATTTGAGCTCAAATGCTTCTGATAATGGCCAGCTAATTTATACGTTATGTTCTGAGAATGATCTTAAAGATGCTCGTCCTGTTACTGTTGTCGTTGGTGCAGATGATAGTGGGCCGACAGAGTGCCAGTGCAGGATAGCCCTTGTCAGCAAACTCGGTGTGCTTGGTGAGCACTTTATTATTTCCTTGACAGGCAAAGTCGTTGACTCAACCGCTAATCCTATCTTTCCCAAAGTCACTGAAGCCACTATAAGGCCCCTCAGCGCGAAAGGGGCTCTCTACATCAATGGAAGGCAGATAGCTGCTGGTTCTACTCACCAGCTCCGTCACGGCGACCGTATCAAGTGCGGGTCTGCGGCCCAGTCATCCTTCTATCGTTACTACGATCCTCCTGCACGTGCGGCTGCAGTCAAACAGTCTCTGGAACAGGATTACGACTACGTAGAGCCAGAGATAACGTATGATCTTGCACTACGTGAATACACGTATTATCAGAGCTCTGGGAAGGACACTGCACAGAGACCTATAGGAGATGATCCTGTGTCTAAGGAGAATGTTTCCGTTACCATGGACGATGCATTTGGAATTACGCCTGGCTTAGATAACGTGCAGACAGACATCAATGAAAGCTTTTATGCAGATTTTGGAAACGATGATGAGCGGACCACCTATGAAAAGAAGGTTCACGAGGTGCTGCGTCAGCTCTATCCATTTATCTGCGAGGCGAATTCCATAGCAGAGTACTTTTGTTATGACATTCGCTTTGCTGCACAAGCTCGTACATCTATCAGTCCGACGTCTCTACGCCAGGCTGCTCGATGTCAGACCATTCGCAATATGTCCAAAAATCATCCAATGACGAAGGACTTACGAGCGGATCAGATTGATGACGATCTGAGTGGTATACTCGTAGAGATTTTGGTGACGGCCACGGCTGCCCCCAGCAAAACCAGGGATCGCAAGCTTATCAGACAGGTCTGGGCACTAGAGAAATTTGGGCTGCGACTCTCCGGCATGAGGCGCATGTACGGACTTGCGATGACTCTTGGTAAGGAAGAGGCTGTGCGCAGGGCACATGAGAGTGCAGACAGGGATCTAGAGGATGATGACGAGTTTCCTTTCGATCTGGAGGCAGATATCTATAACCAGACCCTAACTCACCTTATCGGGGTTGGGCGTATCCCTCTGTCGGGTCTTCTCGAGACGTGTGAGACGGATGTCTTTTCCGTTCCGATTTATGACTACTCGGGTAAGGCAGCCACTAGCATTGATGTATCGCTCTCACTTCTGGGCTCGGGGTATTCACACCACGGAGCCGAGTGCCTCGCATGTGATGTTGCAAATTTGGTTCAGAACGAAAGCCCTGTAACGACCATTGCTGCTTACTTCAAGAAGGCGTACAATGTACCCACCCAGTGCTGCAAGAAGGTTCACGCTGTGATTCATATGCCATGGTTTGTCAACCCGGACGCTGGACGTCCGAAGGGAAAACGCCTCTCCGTTTATCAAGAAAATGAGTTTCGCCGAAGGTTACTGGACATGGGCTATACCTTTCAGACAGCCTCTAGTTCAGACCTCTCGCCAAACCCTGCGCTCGACTCAACTATTTACATGGATCTTAAGACGAGCTACTTTAAGCAGGACGATGTCTTGGAATGGCTGCGCACTAGTGGGACCGGCTTAGAGGTCAGTCTTTATGGGTACACCTCGGCCTATGCCGACTCCCTTGTGCCCGAGATCAAAGACAGCGCGCTCCCCGATCCGTCCAAGAAGAAGGTCGCTATTGTTAGCACAAACATCGTCAGGACCCAGACCAAGGAGGATGGATTCAAGGAGATCAACGGAGAGCAAGTTCTTATTATAAAGAAGTTTATTTTCGTGGATCAGACGAAAACAGATACTGGACACTAAGTGAACAAATTTCCCATGTCTGCAGCTGTTGTTCAGCAGCTTGATTCGCAGAGGCGCTTCTGCTCGAAGGACGACGCTCTTAGGTATTACTCGGACCATATCGTCACAAGAGGGTCCCGCTGGCGAGTCCTAAAAGCAGATGCTCGACGTATTCATCTTATCTGCAAATCTGCAGGCTGCTCCGCATCTGTACGAATTTCCATACGAGTAGACGGCTCAGTCATTGCCGACGAGGCTGCTCTGCACCATGTTCTCCACACCGACGAAAGTCCTTTCCCCCTTCTTGCCCATGTGGATAACGTGGCTGCAGCTGTTCTTAGGGAGGCCCCTAATCTCCCGTTAGCCCACTACTACAGCATAGTCTCCACACTTCTTCGTTGCTCGGTCAGCCGCAAAGTTCTTTGGAGGGCTCGCCGGCGACTAGAATCCAAGCTCGAAACAGAGAAAGCATCGAAGACGTCAAATTTACAAGAGTAGTTGTTTGCTCTGAAATCCAGAACAGGGCCTAGTGTTGTTGGGGTGCTTGCTGCGCCGGAATCATGCCTCTTGCTTCTGCAATCGACCCCGCAAGTGTGCGGACTGCAGACCCGTAGCGTTGCAACGTGGAGATCATGTATGGCATCATGTAGTCTGTCATTCTGTTGACCCAGGCCAACTCCATGACTACGTCGGGCCTGATGCAGTGGCCGCAGCGAATGAGAATGACAGCAAAGACCTCCTTTCTGATCTTCGGCGTGGGGAACTGCGAGCTGCAGACTAAGCGTAGCAATGCCTCGCAGTGCTCGATCTGTCCCGAGTCCGCTGCACACTCCGCAGCGTCCTCATAAAACCAATTCTGAAGACCAAATTTGATGCCCTCGTCGTATCGATTCAGGCGTCCATAGAGCCCTACCGCAAGCTTCCGCATGTCATCTGTCTGATCCTCCGATACCAAATTGTCTAAGAGTGCGTGTGCATCATAGGCAGTCGTTGCGGCAATAAGTCTCCTCAGGCCTTCGTCGTCATAGCTCTCAAGGTAAATCTTTATCAAGGTCTCGTTAATTTCCTGGTTGTGCGCACCTACAAACAATTCCAGGTACGACTTAATCATAGGGACGCAATCGTAGGATCTCACCATAGCAATCACTCGAATAGGATCCAAGGCAGCAGGGATCCCTGGAGAGCCGTCGGCATTTGGAACCCCGAGCTGACAAGCCTTTAAGAAGTCGCAGAGATACTCTGGGGAGTACTCAATATAGAAGCTTACGACTTGGGCAACCAACTCAGGATTTGAGACCCGTCCTATCACCTTCTTCATAACATCATGATTGAAAGACGACGGGGGATGGGCTATCATCTCAACGACAGCCTTGTCGAAGTCACGGGACGCTGCCAGCAGATACGCGTACTCTCCCCAGAGCCTTGTCTCACGGGTCCAGTGCAGAAGAGTCGGGATATGGATTTTGTTTCCGTGCGTCTTGATATACGTTTGTAGACGCTGGGGGTCTGTCTTGCGAACAATCCACATGTACTTACAGTAAAGTATTGCCAGGATGGTGAATATATTCGTCTCCATAGAGGTGTATGTGGCTGCTTGCGGCTGTTCGGCGCCTGCCTCCAGGACCTCGAGGAGCTCCTCAATAAAACCATACTCCTCATAATATTGCACTATCGACGGAAGCTCAGACTCTACGAGGACGAGGTTGAGGAAGACTGACTTTGCAAGCTCAAAATCGCGGATCTCCAGGCACTCTGCAGCTACCGCCTTCCAGCACTCAGGATCTGCGGCGCGTGTAGCAGCCTCCACCGCCTCTTTCAAGCAGCGAAGCTTGACCAACGTAAGAGATAGTCGTGACCAGTCACCGACAAACTCAAAGAAGTACTTTGCAGCCTTGTAATGCTCCTCAGCAAAGCACTTCTCTCCGACCTCCTTTATTCCTCCGCGATTCGGTATCACAGTACTATCGCGTGGATTGACTGACTCCAGAAACTCGCTGAGGGCACCATAGTCATCCAGCCTGGCCAGGCAATACATGACTGCGGTATCTATCTCTGCTTGGGAAGACGTCTCCCCCTTCTGTGCCACCACAACACGAGCCATCCTTAAATACTCCAGCAAAGCGGCCAGCTCACTCCGAACCTCAACAGAGTGCGTGTGCATAAACGCCTTTGAAACCTTGAATGACGTGATTATAAGATTACGGTAGTCAGCGGTCCATCTTCCGGTCAAATACGATGCTATTGCGTCACAAGCAAATTTCAACGCGAAGCGCCCATTATCCTCGGATGCATAAGCACTTGCCTTTTCGAGCTGGGCCGATCCAACTAAGGACCACACTTCAGGAAGGCCCACAGAGTTAGCGTAAGTGATCCCACGGTCTATGGAGATGTTGTCCAAAAGTACTCGAATGGCATCAATGGGACGCCCGGCGCGGTGGAAAACCTCAAAGGCGTCCTCGTAGAGAGGCGGGTACTCGTTCTTCTTTGCCGTTTCCACGCAAGCCTTTGCAATTACGTCCTGGTCATAGCACATGTCTGCAGAGCGAATAAGGGCCGACACCTTAGGATAGTCCTTTGTATTTAGGGCGGTAACGATGAGAAGATTCTGCATGCCCGGATTGCTTGCGTGCACAGAGCCCGGAGAAGTGATGATCTTTTCTAGTATCGCCTGTAGATATCTTGGAATTGCATCGCTCTCATTCTTAATGGCAAGAATAGACGAAGATAGAACGAAAATTTGTGCATCGCTGAGCGTGTCGAGAGGAATTGGCGGGCTGTGCGCCAAGACCTGCAAGAGCATGTCCCTGTGCATGCTCATCGGACGCATCCCACCCTGCGTGATTGCTTTGATGACGTCGGAAGCTGGGTCCTCGTTCATAACTCCGACAAGAGCCAGCTGCCAAAGCTCACTACACTTGTGCAAGAGGAGCCTCTCAGCCAGCTCCTTGTAAGCACTCCCTGCGTAGGCAACTAAGACCAGCATCCTGGCGCATTCTCCGTTAATAATGTGGTCAGAAAAATCAGCGCCTGCAGTCGTTGGTCCAAAAGCCCCGATGGTCAGCGATGTCATTGCAAGATCGACTAAAAAGTCATCGGTCCGGTGTGTCGGAGACTCCAGAATGAAGGTTCCTATGAGCGCGTGGTCGATGTAAGGGTCCTCCATGAGGAGGCGCTTAGCATTGCCGTTGCGCTCTTCCATGTGTAGCTTCGCAAACGCAGTGTGGACAAACGTGTCTGTTGTCCCGGATGCTAGACGCTTCTCGAGAAGTGAGCGCCCGACTTTAAGAGTTCGAGAGCTTGTGAAGCAGGCATCCACAACCTTATTGATATCACAACCAGCCTGAACTGCAGGCTTTTCCATCAGCTTGCTGAGCATGTCTGCTGAAAAAACGGCGTCTAGGGCAGGCCTCTCTGGAACTGCCAGCACTCCTCCTTCGAACAGACCGAAGAGGAGGTCATGCGCCTGCGCAACTCCATGTCCACCGATGAACGCCTCTACAATCGTTGCTGCGTTCAGTGTAAAGAACGTGTCTTTCCCTAGAACCTTGTTGGTGATGGAGTCTGTTAGGAACAAACCCAGTTTCTTGCCGAGATGGAACCGCTCGCAAAAAGTAAGGAAAGCCTGGAGGAAGGCGTCCGGGCTTGCAGGGGTCGTGGTAGTCATTATGGTGAAGCACTCATTCGGGTCCAGATACTGATCTTCAGCGACTATGTGTGTGAGTTCAAGAGTCTTTGAATCCAGCTGAAGAATTGTGCGGAGAAGGAAGTTGTGGATGGACGAATCCAGGCACGTGGGCGCAATCATGGACAAGAAAAGGTAGAGGGCTTCGGAGTTACCCATTCCATATTTCTCAAAGACCTTGACAACAGTAACACACAGACTGACGTTAGAAACAACGATCGGAGAGAGAGCAAAGCCCATGGCAACATGGTCAGCGTAGATGCGCTCCCCGCCTATTGTTATTTCAAGCATTTGCTGCTGAAAGGCAAAAAGACTCTTAATAACATCGTCGGTTGGATTTGAAAAGCGCGATGCACGTTTGATATACGCGCCATACCACCGTGGTGACGAGAAGATTGACTTCCCTAGCTTTGCAGCATAGGTTGATGCGATGCGCCGACATTCTGCGTCGGAATCACAGAATTCAAACGCCCGCTGATAAAGTCCGCTCTCCTCGCTGCGTTTAGTTATCTCTGCCCGGTTAATTCTTGCAAGCACGCCCTTAGCCTGTATGGCATCCACGACTGCCTGGTTCACCCCTCTGTTGAGCTCAATAACCATCGACTGGTAGATAACGGTATCGTCGGAGTAGTTGTAGCGCTTGCAAACTTCCAGGAGGATTGTTGTAGCCTCGTTCACCCTCCCTATGTCAGCGAAGCAATCTGCAATATCTAGAATCTTATCTCCGTCTGTGGTCGCATCAAGTGCCTGGGTGATGCTAAGCGAAAACTGGTATATGCTCTCTATGGTGGATGCGCCATCAGGTCTCTGCTCCGCCTGCTTTAGTGCCTGGCTTATAATACGTGGATAGTCTGGCGTGTACTCTGGGAACTTCTGTGCATACTGTGGGATGATAGCGTATTGGTTGTGCGCAATGAGCCAGGCAATGGCCTTCTCGTGGCACCCAGCGTTAGCATACGTGGTGAACGACGGTTGCTCGAGACCCACAGACGCCAAGTAGTCGCCCAACCCTTCGGTTGCAAAAAAGCGCTTCTCCTTAATGTACGTCTCGATGGTACTCACATTAGAAGTCTGAACAAGGAACTTCGCCAACTCCATCGACTCCTCTTCAATAGCTAGCTTGCCATCGTTCTCCAGCATCCGCGTAAGATAGATCATGATTGGCGTTGGTGCGCCTGGTGCAGTGAACGCAGCACCAGCTAGAAAACGATCTATTGTGGCCTTTGTGCGAAGGACACCTGCTGGAGCTATCTTAACAAGCTCAGCAGCCTCGCTCCACTGGTACTGACCAAGATAGCCATCTAGCTTCTGTTGGAATAAAGAGTCGGCGCCCCGGATCCCCGTGCGCAAGGCGATGGCGTAGGCAACGTCCGGCTGGCCACGCTTAGTCATGACATAGTTCACCAGATTGATCTTATCCACCCCAATCCCATAGCACCGGCCATCGGTGGTGATGCCTATAAAGTCATGGGTATCAGAAAAAGTCCCACCTTCGTAACACGTTCCGATAGCAAAGACCATCTCCCCCGAAATGGGGCCCTGATAGATCAAGAGGCCGCTGTAGATATCCACCAAGGTAACGTTGCCCTGCTTGGAAAACATGTAAAGAAAACCGTATTTCTCCTTTCCCCTCAAGAACAGAGGATGATCCACGCCTACAAGCGCGGCGCTCACGGTGGCCTGAACGGCCTTCGTTGTGAAGCCAGAGATAGAGGCGCCGTCAGCCCCAACCTGTGGTGCAGGTTCCATTATGTTAATTGTGATCTCCTGCGACCCAGTAGGCTTGTGTGCATACGCCAGAAGAGTGGTTTTCGGCCTTGTCGCATCGAGCTGCCAGTCAACAAAAGTCACGCACTGCCCTGAAAGCATACGGGTATATGCCCTGCTAAAGCAGTAGAGCTGGATCATTCCCTGTGTGTGGTTTGCCTGGTCCGTGCCCAGCGCAGTGATTGCGACCCAGTCTGCGTCAGACGAGACGGCTAGGTCAGTGATGCGCGAGTTACTGTAGGTGCTCGTCAAGCTCACGTCCCGCGCGAACCCTGGGGAAAACTCTCCCGTCATGCAATTCCAGAAGTAGACGGCATCGGGGCAGACGAGTGCCAGCTTCTCGTCCGTGGCCCAGCCCCAGTAGTCCACTCCAATGGGGTTCGGAAAGTCAAAACGTCCATAAGGGGTCATAGTGGAAACATCGAGGGTCTGGAGCAGGACTGGCGTGCGCAAGACCACGATGTTGGGGTTCTTCCTGTGCTGGATCGCGTGCTGTGCTTGAATGGGGAAAGTCTTTGTGGCCTGTGGGTTAACCGTGTTAACAACAGTTAAATTTGCTGCCTCCCCAGTGGTCACGCATACACAGATCCCAGAAGACGACGACACAGTCAAGTGCTCAGGGGAGCAGGACCCCTCGGGAACCTGCGCGTCACGCAAGGTGAACAGCTCATTAATAGACAAGGCGCTGGCCATAGGTTTTTAATTTATTTTAATTTTGAGATCGTCTTATTATGGCGGACATGGACAGGCTCTGGGACATCTAAAACCAGGTTCACTACCGAAATTATGGAGCAGGGTATTGCCAGGCCACTTTTCATTGTTTGTCCTCAATAGCACAGGCCGACCACACGTCCGGCAGCTCTCTTCCAATGAAACTTACTATTTCTTCAAGAGACAGCAGCTTTCGTCGCTCCTCCTGATTCTGCATTGCTCCCTTTATCTCTTTGTCATAGAATTGCAGAAATAAAGCGCTTGTGCCCTGGTCAAAGTGTGTATCCGCATGGTCCAGAAACATCTCCGACTCGGCTAAGACGGCTAGGAACTCTGCCAGTGTTATGATACAGTCTTCCGAAAGATTCACATTACCGTCAGTGTATAAATTCAGTGCTGTTGCAACACATCTGTGGGTATCCATCAGCTTGAAGAGCTTATCGGAGACGCCCATCTGCATGTGATCTGCGTGGCGGGCAGCATTGTAAATACAGTATATGTAAAGTATTGCACATAAGGACGCGAAGTCGCTAATGGAGCTATCCAGCTTTGCCAGCTCAGTGACGATGCTAACATACGAAAGGACTGTAAAGAAAGATTGATAGTTGAAGATCTCGAACACATCCAATGTATCTGAACAGCACTTCACCAGAATCAGAAGACTCTTGATGGCGCTGCACAGAAGCACCCGGCTATTGGACTCTGCAGGCACCGTAGGGAGTTCACGAAGAGTGTCTCCCAGAAGCTCAAGGATCAATCCTATCTTGTTATTAGCGACTATGGCCTGCACAACGTGCTCTGATGAATCGAACACTCCATCATTGGTACCTGTGGATGCAGCAACCTCTTGGTCCCTGGCAGCAACCTGAGCCAGCTCCTGAAGAGCCATGACCTGTTCTGAATGCTTCGGCAGCCCTAGCTCGCATGGCCTTAGCTTGCCGACCAGCTGCTCGATCCTTTCTTTGGAGCATTCGCCATCCTGAATGACTTGTTCTGCGTACGTGGACACGGTCTGATTCAAATTCCCGTCCTTCCGCCTTTTCTGCATAAGAATCCTGTATTATTAAATTTACTTCCACCATGCTCGTCTCCAAGGAAGCAAGACGGACAGCCCCGGTCTTTGGAGTTATCATACCCATGCCTACAGAATTCCATGCATTTAAGCTGCAACTTGGCGACAAAGAATCGTATAAAGAGGAGGTTATTGCCGGAAGGAAATACTTTACCAAGCTTTTCGAAAAGTACACTCTCGTCCTGTGCGAGTGTGGAATAGGGAAAGTCTGCAGTGGCACTGCGGCGGTAGTGCTCCTTGACCACTTCAACGCCGATGTTATCGTCGCAGCCGGGGTTGCGGGCGGCCTCAAGGAGGGTATCGCTATAGGAGATGTTATTGTCGTCGATTCCGTGATGCAACACGATTTCAACTGCTACCCGTTTGTCCCGCGCCATACTATCGTCAACATAGGCGTAGACGTCATGCATGCAGACAAAGCCCTCACAACAACCTTGCAAGGAATTGCAGAGGAATTTCTAAAGAAGAATTACTCTACCATTGTCCCCCCGTGTGTGCGCGAGACCCACGGTCTTTCCTGGCCACGCCTCCACGTTGGGTGTAGTATTTCCGGCGATAAGTTCCTTGAAAATGTAGACGAGAAGATGGAGCTTATCAAAAGGATTCCTGCAGCACTCGTTATTGAGATGGAGGGCGGAGCTGTGGGGCAGGTCTGCTACGAAGCGTCTAAGCCCTTTGTGTCTCTCAGGATAGTGTCAGACCTTTGTGACGGTAATGGTTTGGACAACTATGATGCATACTGCACACACGTAGCTAGTAAGGTACTCTATGCTATCCTGTCCTCATTCTTTGCGCAGGTGGCATAGAGGTCCGTATCTTTTGTAAACTAAAGATATCCGTATTAGTGGTCGGTCAGAAGAGAAAGGAACTCTGGCACTGCGGCGGGGATTACGTTGGGTAAAGGAAACGGTGTGCTATATATGTTTGCAATAGAGTCTCCATAGGCTTCAAGGATCCCAGCGATTGATCGCGTTTTTTGCAGGATGACTGGGCGAAGTACGCTGTTGATAAATGCACCGGTGCGGCTGCTTGCAAAGATATGGGGCCAGTCAAGGAGCTCCGCAAGTCTGAGGCCAAAGCAAAGCGTCTTTATTGAGCCGTTTATCACCAGATTGTCGCATTTGTTACATACTATAATGCCAGGAACTGTCGCCCCAATGGCAGAGAGCCTCTGGTAAATGGAAGACATGGTGATCACTTGATCAGAATATACGCTTTCGGGTACGTAGCGATAGAGTGGTGTGCATGTTTGAGATAAGGATGAAGAGGCGAGGCTCTCCACTACTTGCTGATCCACACCGAACTGGTGGATGGATGATGTACAATCATAGACATAAATAAAGAGTTCTGCATTCGATATGAGTGTGCCAATCTGCTCCAGATGCACTGGATTGATCTGGTTCGCAGTGTCCCTTGTCACAGATTGCATAGCTCTTGCTTGAGCAATCTTCTGCTTGCTTGCTTGAATCTCCGTGTCAACCGACAAAATAGTTGAACTCAGTGCCTTGATTCTTTGCAATGTGATCAGTTCCTTATTCAGATTGTCGACGAGATTCCTGATCGAGATTCCCACTGTTCTCCGGGTCTCAAGAAGCTGGCGCTGACGATTATATTCATCCACAAGGTGCTGCTGAGGAGGGTTTTCGAGACTCAATTTGTCGTATTGTACTTTCAGAGTGGCAACAAACTGCTCTATGACAGTATTTTCCGCAACGAACTGTTGGCTGGCTCGTGTATGCTGTTCAGAAACTATTGCGATGAGCCTTTCGAGGGCTGTTGCCTGTATTTGACGAGTTTGTGGGTTGACTAGCGCTGTTGCCGTTTCTCTTTGAGCCGCAAGAAACTCTGGTGAAATAAAGATCTGATTTGCGCTAGGCACATAACTTGGTCCTGGAGGCATAAACATGGAATGGATGGCTTGAACAGCAGTCAACAGCTCTGCATGCATACTGCTTTGCCTTGCTACGGATGTCTCCAGATTCTTTTCTAGTTTTTCAAGATCCTCGCGTGTTTGTTCCTCGGTGGTGCAGCCATTTGTCGCATTTAACCTAGCTCCTGGAAAAGCATATAGAGGAGGCACATCTATAAAATTAAGTTTTATTCCAGAATAGAATGGAAGAAGATCAATAGAGTGTTCCATGGGCTCGAGAGTAGATGCATGCCGAATCATTTTGAAGTCAATGAGCGGAAGCTTTTTCCTCAAAACTTGTGTTGCTTCCTTGCCGGTAGCATAGCTGTGGACATCCTTCTCTGCCTGCTTGTTGCCTGCGCGCTCTATTTCCTTGAAAATATCTGCGTGAAGCACGGTTGGTAAGGATGCAACAGCTTGGTCAAAACGGTCACTAAGTTTAATAGCCTGGGCATTGGCAGAAAAGGAATCTGCTGCTTCATCTCCAACATAGCGATTGTGAAACACATAGTCAGAAGACGAGTCATAGTCGATGAGCCCCTTAGGGCGAAAATCTGTGGCCTCAGTATTGAACAAGCTCATGAAGTTGCTATATCCACCACACGTTTCTAGGCCATTACTTTGAGAGTAGGAGACCTGCTTTGGGGGTGTAGCAACAAAGAGGCTGTTATCATTAATAGCCACGTGGTTGTAGGTAACAATAGCCGTGCCATTCTCATCATATTCATATATATTCTTTCCGCCTTCCATTGCCACCTTCAGCTCGTCATCCAGTCCAATGTTAAAAAGATCCAGAGCACCAGAGACCAGAGAAATGCCTTTGATCTCCTGCAGCAGCTGGCAAATTACTGTGTCGGTTCTATCTTTAGCTGAAACTTCCTCCTTCTCGACTTGCTTCTGAACGCTTTCGGTCTTCTCGGCAGAGGAAGTGCTTCTACAGCCACTATCGCAGGACAACCAGGAGCCTATTGACAGGGAGTCTTTTGTGGAATTTCGCTTGGCAAGTATCCTTCTTGCATGCTGCTCGGCATTGAAATACCATGGAAGCCGGTCTGCGTTGTTGTCAGTTGACACCATGTGACTTTCCATGAAGAGGATTGGCTCTCCTGCTGCCGACGAAAGCGGCTCTATATACTGGAACAATGGAGAAAGTGTGAGATATTTGATCAACGTTGTGACCCCAGATCCGGGGGTTCCTGAAACAACTATGTTGAATTTTAGCTGGTTTAAATCAGAAAGGAGAGCTGGAACAATAGACTGCTTATCCAACAACTCTCTGCCCTTAACGCAAAAGGATTCCTGTAGAGGGAAAGCGCTCATGTAACTGGTAGTCGTGGAAGGGTGTAGCTTGAGTTTTAAAAGCTCTGTACAGGCTATAGATGCAGATAGAATCTTGGGAATGTTGAGAACCGCTTGAGAATATAGCTGGCAGATAAGAATAGACCGTGATAGAGAAATAGGAAGGTGTTTGAACATAAAGATTAAAAGAGACAGATCGTTATAGATAGTAAACTTTAAATTTGAAGCCATTTGAACCATGGCTAGGGAAAAGGTGCGAAGGGGCAGGTACCCGGCCTCGTGGTAAAGGACTCGTCCTCTATGCCCTTTGAAGTACTCATTCTCCTGTGTCTTCCGATGTAAATGAAACTCAGGACCGCCCCCCAAATAGGGGCTGTCACACTCTTTTCGCCCTGAGCATGTTGCTAGGAGCTCGTCCCGGAACCTTGACGAATGGTAGTTCAAGCGAGAATCGTCCTTCTTGCAAATGCTTGGAAGGATCAACTCGGGTGATGTGATCGCAGATTGCTTAATGTGCAGACCTCTATACACCAAAATACGATCCAAGGCCCCGGAAGAATAGCCTGTTTTGGCCGCTACTATTTCCCAAAGCGACGAGATCGCCCCCATAACTCCTTCCGTGAGATGCTCTGAGATAGAGCTATATCTGTTATAAAGCTTATTCAGATAGCTCATAGTCAACCTACAAGATAGGCCACCAAACGGAAGTATGCACCCAGTAATCTTTGTCAGTTCTTTGTCAAACTCGCTCCCGCAAATTATGGCTGTATTCAAGCATATGGTTATCATCTTGGAAACGATAAACGAAACATGATCGTTTAGCTTGTTGAGTTTGTCTGGCTCAGTTGGCTTTTCATCCCCGATAGACTTCTCTTTAGTGAGCATTTCATAGCCCTCAATCTCGCTTGCACTAAAAAGTTCTTGGATTATATCCTCCTTGGTCATGTGCTTGTACGTCGTGTTGTGCGTCTTAATAGAGTCCACACAATCGCTAATGACAGAGTCAATTGACTGCTTGACCAGAAGATGCACTTGGTGTAGCTTCATTGCAGTGAGCTTGATCTTATTAGAAAGCATGGCCTTCTTGCATTCTCGCTCCATATACCGTTGGATCAATATTGGAGTCCCGTTGACCGTGCGTAACAACGTTTGCGATAATTCGTAGTCCCTTCCCGAGTTACTTGGTACGACATTTGTGCGGAGATGCTCATCTGCGTGCAAGTCTATGTGCAGGCCTTTATGCGGGTGTATTTGGTTGAGACAGAAAAGGAGGTATTCGATGGTGTCCTTTTGCGGTGGCCGTGTACCCACAGATGGTGCTGTATCCGAGAAGACCCGCGTACCACACACGTGTGTTACGAAGTCTGCCGGGATCCCAATCGGGCTTTCTGTAGGAGACTTGTGCCTCAAGATGTGGAAGAGATACTCCGCCAAATACGGAACAGAGATGATCCCCAGGTCCAGTATCGGGACCGGAAGCCTAGAAGTGTAGTACGAGAGATGCTCATGCTTCAAGTCTGATGGAAGATAGCAAAAACTGAGCTGCCTCAGTATTATCAAGTTGGCCAGATACCTGTCCTGAATAGAAGAGATGTTAGTCGCATCTACACCATTAAGCTTTTGCGTTATAGAAGCATAAAGATCCTGAAGCTTTGTAGCACGATCTGTATAGACCTTGGAGAGCGTGCTATCGTGGGCATCGTCAATTGGCTTCAGCTTCAGCTTAAGCTTTTGCACCAGGACATGACAATTAGATATCTTAATGTATTCTTCATTCAGCAACACACTTTCCTCGCTAAACCGCACGGTGTCTTTAATAAACTCGGGCCGGGGAAAGGCGATTGCGAGGGGCAAGCTTGATTTTGAATATGCAGACAGATCAAACTGGAGCCAAAAGGTGTCGAACGAAGGTAGGTTATAGCAGGGATTGATGTATGACTGATTCGTCACGTTGGTGAGTGGCAGAATACCGGGGAAAACATTATCCATAAACGTCAATCTGGCCTCCTTAACCAATTCGTAGAGGTGACTCTCCAGAGATACTCCTGGTAGATTGGTGCAAAGGCTTTCATAGAGAAAATAGTTGAAGATGTGCGCATAACAAAAGAGGTCATTCGGGGTGACAGCGCTGTTCGGCACGGCGCCAGTGATATCTGCGAGGAAGCTGTCTCTACTCTTCTCTGTCTTATTGATGGACGTGCTTTTGTCATAGTAGCCTCTTGCGTCCAGCCAATTGAGAAGAGACGAGAGGACTTCGGACGCCGGCGCTGTGGGCCTGTAGCCGATAGTGTTCTCCCAGAATATGCAAATGATGATGTAGAGGGAGTTAACCGTGAGAGAGGTGCTCAGAGGCAAGGTGCTATATATGTGCTTAAATCTTGCTGCATTAACGGCAAGCACGGTCTGGACATACGCTGAGTGAAGTACTTCGTAGATGTGATCGTTCCATTGCCATGTTGGAGTAATGGCAGAGAGACATGACTCTCCTATTGTGACAGTGGCCTCTATAACTCGTTTGAGGCAGGCAAGAACAGAGGAAACGCAACAGGCAACAACTCCATCCATTGCCAGCGGAACAGTGGAGCTGAGGGCACTGATTTGTGCAACTACAGAACGTATATCTTGTAATAGAGGAAACAACACATGGAAGTCGCAAAGAGCCTTAAAGTATAGAGTGGTGAGCTCCTGCGCATGCGCAACTAGACCAGTGATCTCCTGGATAGTTTCCTGAAGCACAAAGCTTCGGGGAGGGATAAGATTAAGCATGGAAGAGTATGGTTTTTATGTTTACTTGGTTCTCAAGAAGGCTCGTCAGGAACGCTCTCTGTCAGCAAAGAACCGTCGCTATCGCTATCGTGATCGAAAATCATTTGACCTCGTAGGTTATTGTGCGTCAGAAAATGAGTGCTGGACCCATCTTGCAAGACGTGCCGCACAGTAAAGGGGTGCCCAAGAATATTGCTTGAGCGCGCAGCTGCTTCATCTGCTGAACGCTGCACAAGACCGTCGTCGGACATTATGAAATTCGTTTGGGGCTTGTTGTTTTCAGCACTCTGCTGTCCTTCAGTTGTTAAAAGGCTATTACTAAGATTGCTATTGGTTGGCAATGAATCTACATATAGGGGGAAACTATCATCTCTATTCTCTGTTTCTTGCGTTCTGTTATGATGATCACTCGGGTCTATAGAGCGAATCCTGTGGTTAAACGAAGCATTTGGGCCATGCATTAGGCTCTCCGGAATATTACCGGTCGACATTGTTGAGGTGTTGAAGGCATCGGTGGATTGCATACTCTGGTTGTCACAATCAACCAGCAGAATATCGTTCTCGCAAATAAGGGTTTGCATATAAGGGTTGAGTGTATTTTGCTTTATCGAGTACAGCGAAGCATCGTCTGGCTCTTGTGGGCCCTGGTTCGCATTAACCTGCAATATAGACTCCTGTGCATTTAGGAACGACACGGTGTCATTTAAAGCGGAGCTGTTAGTGATACCACTAGAGGCCTGTCCAATATTTGGTGCTGAAGGCGGCACTGGTGGAGCATGTGAAATACGTCGTGGACTGCTTGGCCTCTCCGTACCATCCTTTTTCTTCAGTGGAATAGCATATTCCACGTTAGTCAGCGTCGTGCTTATCTTCCTCTTGAGGATATCCATGAAAGTCTCTTCATTCTGCTGCTCCTTCTGTTGAGGAAGTCCCGAGAACTGGCCAGGCTGACGGCTTTGGGAGTCTGTTGTACGGTTAGTGCCGACGTGCAAAGGAGGCCTGATACCAGGAGAATTGTGGATAGGCATGCTCGAGCTCTTCCCGGGCGACTCTATAGGGCGCTCCATTTGCACTGCAGAGGAGGATGTGGATACAACTTGGTTTGCACTTCTGGCCTTTTCTAGTTCCCTACGCAAGCTCTCGACAGTGGCAGACAAGGCATCCTTTTGTTCCCGCTCCTTGCGTACTTCGATCTCTAAACGTTCAATTTCATCTAGAGCCTTTGATAGCTGTGACTTCGTAGATAAGAGCTCGGTTTGCATCTTATCTAGAAGTGCACTACTAGCTGCCGGCATCTGCTCGTCCTGAGGAATGTATCTAGTCCTGGGAGCAGGCTCAGCCGGGACAAACTCACTTTCATCGAAATGACCTGCGCGCGCGTGCAACACTTTATCTAGTTTTGCTTGCTTGGCGTTCAGTTCCATCTGTATTCTTTCGGCAATCTGACGCTCTTCCTCCGCCTTTGCACGTCGTCGTGTCTCCTCCTCTTCTCGGTCAGCCTCTTGCTTCATTTGGAGATACTGAGCACGGAACTCCTTGTCTATCTTGACCAGGTCATCAATCTCTTGCTTGTCTATTGCTGTGCACGTCTTTGTGACAAATAGCTTGTGCAAAAGGCTTGCTTGATACTTCTTCATGTTTTGGTTAGAATACTCAGCGTACTCGGCATCTGTCATTTCGTTTATGCTCTTCTTGACCGTCGGCTTGGCAGGCTCGGTGAATGGGGGATTGGATCTTGTATGCGTAACATCTGTAGCAGGCGTTTTAGAGACACGCATCGGCTCCCTGCCCATTCCCGGAATATTGCAGTTTGACGGGTCAGACATGGAAGTAATTGCAGAGGAATACCTATTATCCACAGGGGGTAGCTGTACCTGCCGGGGTGGTAACTGTTGTTGCTGCTGTAATTGCCCTTGATGTGCTGCTTGATGAGACAACGTAGGTGGCTGAAGATTAAGCTGTGCTAATGTAGCTGCGGTCTGCTCGCTCATTTGGAGCCTTGCTGGCTGGTCATCTTTCTGGTCCACGAGAGAAACACTCTCTCCATACTCATTTGGGTCGACGGCCCGAGCCTGAGAAACTACGCCGGTGTCAACGTTTCTATTATTACCAAGCATACTATTAAGAAAAGATGACTTGATCACATGCATTCCTTGTGCCTGGGTCGGGGAGCGCCTAGATGCAGGACCAGAGTCACCCCTTGCTTGTGGAGTATTTGCCACCCGTGGAGCTGCACCAGAGGAAGGCGCGGCGTTGACGATTTTCTTTTGCCCAGCATTGACAACGACGACCTTTCTGGCCTCAGGTTTTGTCGGTTGACTAAAGGTTTTCTGCGGGGCTTTCTCGGATTTACTGTTTTTAATCGCCGCCAGAGCAGCCGCTCGGTCTGCCCGCTTAGCCTCTATCGCAGATCCTTGCCTCGTTGCCTTTTGATGAAGAAGGTTTTATTTTGAAAGGAAGATTGAACTGAAACGTTCAAGAAAGTTACTACTTATAAGGAGCTGCCCTATCTTATCGGCGTTTTCATCATCCACTTTGGCCAATAGTCTTTTCAAGTCTGCAAGGTTCTTAGGAAGTTGGTCTGACTTGCCTTCAGCCTCCCAGGCGTATTGCGATCCAAATGTTGCAATCTTCATCACCTGTCGAAGAAAAAATACTAGGTGGCAGGTAAAGCTACAATGCATCTTATCGGTTGGTAGACGCTGCTGTTGCCTATGTAAGTATTGGCCGGACATCGCCTCGTAGAATCCAAACAAACGAGACCGCTTGAGACCATTATCTAGTACTCTGAAGTCTATGCGTCCGTACTCAAAAACTAGATGCATTATCTTAACAAACCGAACATGGTATATTGTGAATGATGGATTGGCTGCCGCATGCTGTGCAAAGAGATAGAGGAGATTGGTTTCTGTTAGTTTCTTGCAAATTGTGTATATCGAAACAGAGATAACAGTATTGGCATCCAGCAGAAAGGTGTCATCAAGGCCAACGGTGTTCCTTACTCCAGAAGCGCCGGTGCGCGCCACAGAGTTGGGCCCCAGGAGCATACCATATCCTATGGGCTTAAGCCCGTATGCATAGGGCACGTTGAAGCTAGCACTGTCGATCCCATCATTGGGAAGGCAGTTGTTTTGGTACTTATAGATCTCTGTTCTTACGTCGTTAGTAATTTGTAAGGACCGAGCTACAAAATCAATCCACAAATAGTTAATCATTGGATTGGACACCGTAGAGAGCAGGTCTTCAATCCTCGCAAAAAGGCCTTCAATAGCCGAAAATGTGCCTAAAAAGAGCTGCATCTCTGCCCGGTCGTTAGCCTCCAAGCACGATAGCAGCATAGCGCTGTCAATCCCGACGGCATTAGTGTCCATAAGCAGATCATTGATTTTTTGCCGAGACCTTAAGCATATGACTGTGCTCTTGCAGATAACAACGCTGGTAACGCAAACTATGAAATCTAAAAGGATGAGCAATCTCGGATAGGCCTCCGGTGTGTTCATGGTGGGGGACAAAACCCGCTCTATTACTGCTTCTGTTCCCGCAAGCACCCGAAGATTTAAAAAAGGAACCCTAGCTGTTAATATTTGCAGGAGAATGTGGGCTGCAGATTCAAGATTAGCATATGCCTCAATAGAATCACTGGTGATCAGATGCTTTAGCAGACGCCCAATTAGATCTAATTCCCCTACAAAGGCGTCTAGCTTCTTGTATGTTAGATTGCGACGACACTCCTGATCAAGCAGAAGTTTCCGCAGCGCTTCATTTATATGCGGATTGACTATGCCCTGGATCCAGAGACTCATCCATGACGTGTTTTCATTAGAAAGTGCGCTGAACAGTCCCGGCAATCGGCTCGGAGAAGAAATGATAGAGAGAATTAGCTTGTTAAACGATGACAGAATAATATCGTACTTGCTATACACTAGCCGCCGAGGCAGCACACCTGCTTCATATTCTTCAATAAACTTGGAGAGCATGCTAAAAGGGATGTTTAGCAAGTAGGGGTGTAGCAGTAGAGACTCCAGAACAACGGCTCCGTACCCACATTCTTGTATAACAGAGATAGCCTCTCCTTGAAGCTGGTGCATCACCAGAGCCGTCATTTTCTCAGCAGATTTTTCTGAACACTGTTCTATTGGCACAAAAGCTAAGGTAAGTAATCTGCATATGACATCTGGTGTCTTTAAATAGGTTGTCACACGCTCATGTTGAGCGAAGCAATCATTGTTGAATTGTTGGCAAACAAGCAACTTCTCTAGGTTATCGTTAGCAATAAGTTCTAACAGCTGAGCAATCTCGTCTGTCCTGTCTTCGGGTTCTGGTGCTAGAGATAGATGTTTGGACATCAGGTTCTCAGGTATGGCCAAGGAAATGTCACTCTGCTCCGTATTCTGTAAATCTTCTTGTGTAATAATAGTTTCGAGACTGCAGTGTCGACTGGTAGAAACTCTATTGAGGCCCTCAATTATGCCAGGATGGTTGGCTGCTTCCGCTGCAGTCATTCTACAACTAGGGTCCACTTGTAAAAGCTTCTTGATGAACTCTAGCAAATCAATAGAGTAGCCGCTAATTGAAAGTGGAAGTTGCAAGTTGTTCAGTACATCTAGTGCATCCTCCCTACGCTGACACGAAGCAGGTGTTCCAGTGCACATCTCTAACAGGATAAGACCAAGGGAAAACATATCACTATGGGGCATATAATCACCTGAGGACTGACTGGAAAGAACCTCCGGGGCAGCATACTGCCAGTCGGGTTCACAGAGATGCTTAATCCGTGGGTCATTGAGCGAAAAACCATATGCTGTTAGAACAAGCTTATTGCTATCTGTCACCAAGATGTTGCTTGGCCGAAGATTGCCATGGGTGTAGGGGAGGCCTCTATTTGCCGCAGAAGAGTGGCTGTGCAAATACCGCAGCGCACTGATGATTTGTGCACTGATTTCCCAGACCATGTTTTCATTGATCGGTATCTTCTGCTCAGTGTAGCTTGACATCACCTGTGAAATGGACCCATGATCATGAAGATCGTAAATAGCACATAGCTTTATTCCGCTATCAAGAGAAATGCTATCAACTAAGGAGTCTAAGTAGATGTGATCTAATTCCTGCATAGCGGCTAGATGGGCATGAAGCTCATCAGAGTACTTTGCACCCTGTAGGGTATATTCATGCATCAGAAGCTGCATATCAAGCTCTCTGTAAAAGACACGATACACACAAGCCAGTTCGCTAGTTAGAATCAGATCCTGGCGCGTATATTTCGCGCCTAGCTGCTCGTCAGACATGTTTTTGAATTTCGTCCAAGGATTGCCGAAGATGCCCCAAATTAATCACCAATAATTTACAAGCGCCTGATTCAGCTCCTCGATTGGGTTGATATCCTTGGTGGCCTTTGGAGCAGATGCGGCGATACTGAAGTTTCTCTCTATCAATACACGCCGTACAGGTTCTGCGAACTTTGGCGCATGAAGAGTAACCCGTGAGTATAGAACGTCATAGTCTTCCACGTCTTCCGTAGTACTTGCACGTGGTTGAGCACTGAGAGACCTTGAGAGCGTGGGCTGATGCGCTACAGATACCGGATTGCGCGTATATTGATATGGTACCTTTGGGCCTAGGGCTTTAGAAATGCTTTCGGTAACCTCAGTTTGTGAGAGAGGTGGAGCTGCGCTATGAGAATGTCTTCGAAAGGCTTGTCCTGAAGCTGACGGGAACGCAGGGGGCGCCACTGTTGTCAATCCAGCTATACCTTTTGCCTGAGGCTCAGGCCGGGCTTCTATAGGAATAGATTGTTTCAGAGGAAGGAATTGCGCTGGTTTGCGTGCTGGTGCCTCTGTTCCAATGTTCAGTGTGTAGATTGTTCTCGAAATCGGCGCTATAGCCGGAGTAGGCTGACTTTTGCTTCTATGCTCACCACGTGAGATCTTCGTTGTCAGTACACTCCCTCCAAACGATGCCTTTCTGCCTTTCCCAGGGGGTACATTGGTAGGCACATGAGACCAACTTATGGGACTGGTGTTTGGATTTGCAATCTGGAGTCTTGTGATCGTGTTGGAAGGTGGTGGATTCGAGGCGGCTCGTTGATGCAGAGGTTGAGGCTGAGGAGACGGTGCCTGAATGATCGATATGGCAGATACGGGGAATTGGGGCACTGCTACCGGAAAAAGCTTCCCTGGTGGTAGGCACTGTTCACTAGTCTTAGCGCAACAGTGTATATTGTGCGGCCCTTCTCTGTTTTCTTCTACGTTGGTCTTTGTAGTTTCCCTCTTAAGTCTTTCTACAGTTCTCCAACTGTGCGTATAGCGATCACTGATTCGCATTGCTGTCGAGAGAATAGGGGGAGGCGGTCCTACTTGTAACTCGAGATTCAGACGAGGCTCAGGCGATAGTCCGGTAGTTGATGACTCAATAGTTGATGACGTGCTCTCGAAATGTACCGGGCTGTCACCAAGCATCTCTATTTCTAAAGACTCAGGGCCCTGTGTACGTGACCGCGTGGCTGGTGTAGCAGCAGCGTTACTTCCCAGAAGCATGGCGCCTATAGGTGGCAGAGGTTGATAAGAGGCAGTAGTAAACCAGTTATCAAAATCATGCTGACTTCCTGGTGACCGTGACAGGGAAGCATCTGCCCTAGGGGTGCTATCTGCTAAAGGATAGATAGAATCGGCAGTTTCATCAATTGAGGCAACCTGCATTTCCTTACTGAGCTCTTGCGCAGTAGTAAAGACCGCCACTACGTCCGTGTTAATAATAGAGATCGAAGGATACGCGTTACTAAAGAACACAGGGTGCTGAGCTAGACATTTGGCGACATCAGATAGATTAGGAATCACAAGGAACTGATCACTGTGATCTTGGCTTACTGATTGATGTATGGAATAGGCAATCTGGAGTAACTGCTTTTGCACATCGGATATGGGATAAAGCGTAGAGTCATGGGTGTATCGAAGAATTAGGTTGGCAACGGCACGCAGATCCTCTTCTACTCCAGCATGATAACTACGAGGTATTGGGACAGAATACGTACACAGGTTAAGCTTTATTCTCCCAGAGAGTCTATCAACGCATAGATGAGATAGATCCCCGCTGAGCACAATCTCATGCTCATGAAAAAGCGCCATCACATCCAAGAGATCTTTGATAAAGAAGCAGAACAGATTTGCAAAGAGGTGGTAGCGTGCGATTGCAAAGTTCTCTAGAATAACTTCTAACGGTAAAAGAACCATGTAATCCCGTAAAGAAAGAAACATATGGACAGTGTCCTCGTGTTGGCTATAGAAAAACCGATAAGGAAGTAGAAAGCGCCGTCCGTAGCGTCTTCTTAGTGAGACAGACTTGCCCAGAAGATGCAGGACGTACTCTGATCTGTAGTGTGTTACGCCATTGCGTAAGCATCTAAACATAACGTATTGGTTTGCTACACTCAAAGAGACGTCCGAGAAAGAGTCGTTGCTCGAGGAAAGGTCGCTCGGCTCCCTACTTGTGCTTGCTTCGATACTGCTCTTAGCAAGGTTATTATAAGCATAGATAGGAAGTGCCGTTGAGACAGAGGAATCGGCTGTCGATAAGCCAAGAAGGAAATCAAGTAGTCGAAACTGTCGAAGCCTGTGTCTTTGTAGTTCATCGATCTGGATTGTGATTGCTGTACGTTGATACGGAGTCAGGCCATCGTGAACTGCATCCATTAGCCGTTTTCGGCCTGTAGATATGTACTCTCTGATCTGGTGTGGCCGCATCTCTGCGAGTGCAATGAGGGATTCCAGAAGCTCCATTTAGTCACAGTATATTGTGATAACGACTAACTTCCTCAAAATCCTAAGTGTGTCCTTAAACAGCCACGCACGGAACGACTCCTTGGCAAAAAATGAAGCGTGAGTGTGTTCTCTACCGACCAGGCAAGACCCCCGGGAGCGTTCAGTGCACTTGTTGTTCTCATTATTGTACCATTGGAGAAGGAAAATCGGGGATCTGCGGTGTCCGTTATAACGATAATGGAAAACTGTACTTGGCCGTCTGGGGGAAGCCTAGCGCCCTCCACGTTGACCCAATGGAAAAGAAACCCCTCTATCACTATTATCCCGGAGAGGCGATACTAAGTATAGGCACCATAGGCTGTAACTTTTCATGCAAGTTTTGCCAGAATTGGAGCATCAGTATGGACAAGCCTAACGTGCAGGATATCGAAGACTATTGTCTGGAGAGATCTGACGGGCGCATTCTAACGCCGGATGAGATCATACTTATTTGCAAGAGGAGACGCATCAGACATATTGCAGCCACTTACAACGAGCCCAGCATATGGTTTGAGTATTCTTATGACATTGCTTGCTTAGCAGCCAAAGAAGGCATATCATACGTCTATGTGTCGAATGGGTTTGAAAGCAAGGAGCAACTGGATGCGTTGGTGGGAATGATCTCGGCAATCAACGTCGATCTGAAGACATTTCGACAGGAAACGTACAGAAAGATCATGGGCGGTAGTCTTGAGCCAGTCAAGAACACAATTAAATTCCTCTATAGCACGAAAAAAGTCATAGTTGAAGTCACGACTCTGATTGTTCCCGGCATGAATGATTCAGGCGAGGAGCTGCAGGATATAGCTAATTTCATCGCATCTGTTGGAAAGGACATTCCGTGGCATGTTTCTGCGTTTCATCCTGACTACAAAATGCTGGACAAAGAACGAACTCCGACAGAAACGCTAGAGCGTGCCTTGGCCTTCGGCAAGGAGGCCGGGCTCCTCTATCTTTATGCTGGCAATGTGCGGGATACATCGTACTTGAATACGAGCTGCCCCCAGTGTGGCGAACTGCTTATTTCTCGCATGACAGGCTTTGACGGTAAGGTTTGCAATCTTAAGGATGGTTGTTGTGGAAAGTGTGGAACACCTATCTATGGGAAGTTCGCATAAAGTTCGCATAACCAAGGAGGAGATTGCATTTACAGATTGTTTAATAGAATATAAAACTAAAGACTGCTTTCAACAAATACTTGTGTCCAGTTTTCAATCTCTGCTCTACAGATTGGGCAGCGATTGCGTTTAGTGTTTCCTGCACGCGTTGCCTCCAGAATATCTCGCACGCAGGACGGGCATGCAACATCATGACTGCATGGAAGACACCGGACAGTACACAGTTCATCGAGGCATATGTGGCATCGGCCGATCTGCGCCTCATAATCCTTGTAGTATGTCCTATACAGACTCACAACCCGCTTAATCGAGACAACTTCTGCACACGCCTTTGAGTGCTGTATCCCCAAACTGAACGGCAGCATAGAGGAGGTTCCAGATAGCCAATACTCTCTACATAGAAGGACATCTGCACACTCTGTCATATCGTTGGCCACTGCAAGAGTTAGAGCCGTTTCGCGGGTTATCGTCTTAACGCCTGCTTCTATGAGTAGCAGATGGACGCATTCAAGGTGCCCATTCTGTGCTGCAAGCATCAGCGCAGTGCGGCCATTTTCATCTCGAAACCCCACCTCACCTAGAAGTAGCCTTACACAAGAAGCGTAGCCCCGTGCTGCGGCCTCCATCAGGGCGGTCCTACCGTTGTACACTTGGACAATATGGGCATTTGCTTTAGAGCCTGAACGCTGATTACAGATCAGCGCGCAAAGTTCTGCCTCGTTTCCTTCTCTGGCTGCCAGCATAGTGGGGGATAGACTGTCGAGCACGGAGACTTGTGTAGATGGAAGTTGGACCCTGAAAGGCTTAGTACGGAGAAGGGCACTCATATTTTCAAGTATACGGATGCTATTGTTCCGCAGTATGGATAAGATCAACGTCTTGAACGGCGCTCCGATGGCCTCTCGCGTTCCAATGACAGCGCGGGCCTCATATTCATACATGGTTTTGAAACATTGCCAGCAATCTTGTTCTACAGCAATGTTGATCGCATAAAGCCCAGCGTCATTTGGGCGATTATTGGCAACCTCGGCAAGCCGGGCTAGATAGAGATGCTTGTTGTTTCTGATAGTGTAAAAGAGTGCATTTTCCCCTAAGGCATTGCACAGGGTTGCTTCTCTTTCTGGGAGGCTCCCCAATGAACGCAGGGGCGCATTTAGTTCCATCGCTATCATAAGTGCGCTCTTTCCTTCCTTGGTGCGCTGCCCTGAGACTTCTAGGAGAGAAGGGACAATGCTATAAAATCGCTTCTGAATCGCTAGAATCAAGGGGGTGACTCCGTCGGGCATGCTACAACCGAGTTCTCCTGGCACTGTCACGAGTATCTTCGCGCAGGCCACCCGCTGGTGTAGTATTGAAAGTATTAGTGCGCTACGCCCTTCACGATCAACTTTCCCTAGTTCCTCGTGCATGCTTGGTGTGCTCACAATTTTCTCTACAAAGGCCTGATTGCCATTGATGGCAGCTATCATTAGAGCGGTGTAGCCATCTCTATCTGTTTTACCTGCAAGGGAGCGGAAGCAGCTGAAGTCGAGTTCATCAACAGAAACATCGCCGGAGAGCAGTGCAAAAAGAGTGTCGTGCTGATGCTTATCGAGTAGTTCTTTGGATAAGGAAGGCTGGGCTGATGCAAGTGAATTGTTGACCGCTTGTAGCCTCTCAGCCAACGTTTGGTGTGTCTGCTGAGGCGTGTGTTGAACAGATCCTTGCTGAGCTGTGTCTTCGCTGGGGTTTTCTAGTTTAATAACCGACCCTGACTGCTGAACATTCTGTATGTTTGCAGAACGCGCACCTGAACGGAGATATTTTGACGCAGACATGTCCTCGGCATTGAGTAGATAAATAAGGTTTTCTGAACCACTTTTGATTGCTGCAGTGAAAAGCGTGGTCCCATCGTTTGCAACCAGCCCTATGTCACGCTCCGACGACTGCTTCTGAATGCGAAGCATGGCCTTGACATATGTTACATTCTTGTTCTGAATAGCACGTAGAAGCGCCGTTCTCCCTTCTATGTCCTGGATTCCTCCTTCGTACTTGCTTAGGAACTCGACAACCTGCATGCTTGGGCCATCGACTGCTTTCATGAGTGCTGACTCGCCAAGGTTATCGGTGATCCGACACTCATCCACCAAATATGGTATGCAGGCATCCAGCTCGCCCAGTACAGCATACATCAGACTTGTTGCTCCATTGCTTGCTTGTCGCTTAAGAAGATATTGGAATTCATGAATGCAGTGTCTCTGGCCGCTTCGAATAGATGCCATAAGGGGCGTCAATCCAGAGACGAGTGCGCCGTCAGAAAACTTATCATACTCCGAGTAGGTTAGATTTCCTTCTGCGTGCAAGAGAGAGATGCAATCAACGTACCCCTTCTTAGCTGCGAGAACAAGAGCCGTCTCCCCCATTGAATTTTGTATCGCCAACTCTCCCAGCAATAGCTTGATGCACTCAACAGAGCCATGTTCTGCAGCGAGCATTAGAGCTGTCCGATTTTTGTAGATTTGCCCCATGTCACGAAGGCTGGCACGAACCAATCCCGCGTCACCTTTTTGCGCGGCAATCATCAGCTCGCTGGGAAAATCTACATCCACGCCCTGTCGCGATTCTAGTCCAAAGCCGGTCTTGATCTTTATTCCAGCTGCTAAGAGATTCTCTGCTAGAATTGGAAGCACCAAGTGAGCAGAGAAAGCTATAGCTTGCTTGAAACAAGACTCAAGAAGTTCCTGGGATAAAAGGTCACCATAGAGCTTTTGCAAAACGATCGAAAAGTAGTTGCAGTCATTTGAGAGAATTGCCCGGGATAGTTCGTCATCGGAGGCCCCCGAAACTTGAGGTGCGGACAAAGATTCTTTCAGAGATGGCTGCTGAACTATAGACGACTCCGTAGTCGACATATGCTTGGGCACACGTTTTACACTGCGACTATCTGCGCGAGACGCAGAGCGCGAATTTTGTGCGGCCATAAGTAGGCTATCTACAATAGGACTCAGTGGAACGTCCTGCTCAGGTAAAGTGTGGGGCAGGTCGTTAACTTCAGCACGCGGCTCGTTTGAAGCAGCAGGAGGAATGGCAGCTCCACTCGTGTAGAGAGCGTCTTCTTCGCCTCGGAGTCCATCTTCAATTGGCTCAGACACAGGACAAGAGGGAGATGGCGTAGTACTATAAACAGTAGGTACGGGTCTGCCAACACCTGGTTGAAGCGGTCGCTCTCGAGCAACAGGAAATGCGCCTTGAAAGCGCAAGGATTCAGCCAGGTTTTTATTCCGAGACTGAATCACTGTCTCACTAGCCTCAGCAGTAGAGGATACCATGGCTTGCATGCCCGACTTATCATGATTGCCTCGAGGGGCCTGAGAGCGGCTCATGATGTTGAGAGAAGCTGGCCCGTTGGGTGTAGCTACTGGGAGCTGGTCCTGTTTTAACAGAGCCGAGCATTCGACCTGCTGTGAGACAGATAAATCTGTGTTGCTTCTGGAAAATGTGGAGGCGCGACCACTCATGGGCCGAATGGAAGTTAGCTTCTGCTCTGGGCCAGTAACAGGGGTAGAGATGGATTGGTCAGTCGGATCATCAGCAAAAACGCGGCTCTTCTTGGCCATAGTTGCGGAGCGTGGCCTACTACTCATTAGGTAGGTAGCGTTAGACACTATTTCATTTGTGATTTCAGGTTGTAGATTGTTGGTGTTTTTATATTGAAAGGCAGTCCGTGTATCAGCCCGTGCAGTAGAGCTGGATCTAGAGTGTGAAGTTGGCACGTTAGCGCGTATGCGCGAAACCACTTCGGTAATTGTAAGTCTACTAGTAGGGTTGATACGAAGGCAACCCTCGATTAAATCATTGAGTACTTGGGAATATGTTGGGAGACGAATAGAAGGCTCCTCTGTCACTTCATCCAGATTAAATAGAGGGTGGCGGAGTGTACACATTGTCCAAAGAAGCAAACCAAACGACCATATATCTGATCGTATCGACGGTGCGCTGGCTCCGTCCCGCAGTTCCGGTGCACGATACAGCGCCGATCCTGATTGGCTTGTGGGGATGGTTCTGCTAAATGGCACGTGCTGTAAACCGAAATCAGTCAACTTAAAGACGCCTTGACTGCCTATAAGAATGTTAGAGGGCTTTATATTACAGTGAGGTACAACCCCCACCCCATTGAATGGGCTGTGGAGCCATGAAAGCCCGGCGGCAATCTGTGAGGCTATGCTCCAAACAGTTTCCTCATCAAACGACGTCCCATCGGACCGCATCTTTTTGATTACATCCTGAAGAGAGCCACCGTTACATAGTTCCATTTCCAAAAGAAGTTGTTGGAAGGGCTGCTCTATGGTTACGCTATAGTATCTTACTAGGTTCGGATGAATAAGATTGGTGTAGGGCTTACAAATGGTGGAAAGCTCTGCCCAGGCTTCTTTGGATAGCTTGGATATATCCACCCTCCGTACCGCGACCTTCACACCAGAACTGGCGCTTGTTGCCCGATATACATCGCCAAGTCCCCCACTACCTATGTAGGAGGAGTCATTATAGCGACACGTCTTGAGAACGTCCATTTCCGTATTCGCGTTTTTTAGATTTCGTTCACTTCCCATATTAATGTTACAAGAAACTCCGACCACAACTCACTCAGCTGGATATCAAAGGTTTACTCGGCCCCACAGGGTCCATTGATGTCGATGAAATAAAATTCTGCCTTGGTCTTGATCTCTTTTCCGTCGCGGACCTCGGTGGTCACAGGACCCATTTTCGTTGCAATAATGTTGCGTTTATGGATGTGAAGAGTGTTTTCCTTTGTGTTATAAATAGCAGAATTCTGGATCTGCTTCTTGACCTGGGTGTAGTATCCGTAGAAGGAGATATAGAGAGGCTTTCCGCTGCTGAAGTAGTCATAGCCTTCTTGACTGATAGGAGGTAGATCTAGAGTAACCCACGAGCGAACGTGCGGATTTATCGACACCTCTCCCGAACAGTTTGAAGCTACGGCTCGGTTTGTGCTCAGGATGAAATTACGATACCTGTCCTCTTCCTGGGGCGTCATCGTTCGGTTTGGACGGGTGGAGTTAGGAATACCCAAGTACGCCGGCTTGTGAACTACGGCATGGACATTGGCGTTATACAAAGGCTTGATGCCATAGAGCCTGTGAACATAGATTGATATGGAGCATGGTTCCCCAACTTTAAGGACCCTATCGGCGAAGGCCTCACATTCATATCCATCATGCTTGCAAGGATTAGGGATACAGGCCTCTAATTCTACATCGCTGATGACCTCGCGGGTAGTAGGGTTCAAGATTGGCAGGCGTCTACGAGAAATGGTGTAAGTCTTGCACAGGTCTGCTATATTCAGCTGAAGCTCTCCAATGAAGTGTGTCCATTCATCATACTCCGGAAGGGCTGATTCATCCATCCTAAATGGATGATCAAGACCAAGACACGGGTCATTCGCGAGCTCACGCTCCATGTCTTCAATAGCCTTGGCCTTATCGTTGATTTCCACTGCGTGGGAGAAGAGAGCACGTAGTGCCGAATACTTGCGCAGGAACTTAGTGACCGACCACGTGTGGATATCACTTGTGTACTCTTCAAACCCAGGATTATACACCCGCACGGAGGCCTGGACTGATATCTCGTAGTTCAAACTAGGAAATCCAGACTTTGTTTGTTCAATGGTAGTGGCGTAGTCCATGGAATACTCAATCTGCTGGCCGAAATAGCGAGCCAACTGGGATGCCTCACAAAGCTTGGGGAATAGATCAAGCATCTCATCACGTATCTGTAGATACTTCTCTTTTTCCTTGAGGCGCTGCTTATTGCGCTCTATATCGATGGAGCTGGAAGGCGGTGAAACCTGTTCATCTTGTGCAGGCTGGCCATCTGTAGAGTGTTGCTCCTCCTCTGTGTATTGATCAGGAAGCTTGTTCAATGGATTAATAGTCCCATTCTTTGAAACAAACTGGGAGACCGCCTCATCATAGAGCAGAGATATCTGAAGAGGATTGGCCTCTTGTTGCTTAGGATCGACAAACACGTAGTATGCTCCGTTACCATCTCCGCACTTAAGGAAGTCTCCGTGGAAGAGAGTAGCAGGCTCCATGTCATGAAGCTGATAATCACCATTAAGCATGACAGGTTCTGTCTCAGAAAGGCACGCAAGGACATACTTATTGTCAGTAGCTGTATATGTGATGGTGAAATGCTCGAATTCAAGGCCAAGCTTGTTGGCAAGCACGATGGAATCATCAAACTTCGGGTTTTCAGTCTCTTGATTTCCGAACACAGCAACGTAATGACTCTTGTCTGTCTCTTTTCCTACGATTCTGTAACGCAGCAAGCCAGAAAGCAAAGGATCTTCATTAAGAGAGAGAAGGTAGGAGTGAGTTGGAGAGTCTTTTAACAGACCAAATTGGTTGAGGCTTTCTTCCAAAGCCTTGTTTTCTCTTTCTGCGTCCTCGAGGCGTTTTGCATTATCAACGTTTGCCTCGTCAAGCATGCGCTTATACTCTTCAAGGATATCCTGCATTTGGGAAACGTTAGTGCTTGACGCATCATTGCCGGCACCTGCGTCCCCGGCGGGGGCGCCCCCGGCGAGGAGGGCCTCGAGCTCCTTGACGCGGTCCTCGAGCTCGCGGATGTACTTCTCCTGGGCAGACTCGTTCTTCGTGACGGTGTTCTCGATCTGGTGGGCGCGGTCTGCGTAGCGGAGGGTCGAGAGGCTCTCGTCGTAGTTCGTCGACGCAGGCGAGATCGCGGCGATCATGCACGTCATCGAGTTGCCCCCGAGCGCGGGCTGGAGGAGGTACGTCAGCTGGGAGTCGCGGTACGGGACGTGCTGGGGCTTCCGGCGGCCCTCCGCGGTCGTGTTGTACGCGAGCGCCTCGATGACGCGCCCGAGGGTCGTCAGGGACTTGTTGATGCTGATGCCCTCCGTCAGGCGGTCGCCCGTCGCGCCCGTCTTGCCCTGGCGCTCGGACCCCGCGAGGTCGACGAGGCTCACCCGGGCGCGCTTGACGTGGCGCCCGACCTCCTCGCCCGCGTCGTTCCGGAGGACCGCCGTCTGGACGACCTCGATCGCGAAGACGGAGTGCGAGCGCGAGCTCGTCGCGTTCATGTTCGTCGCCGCGACCGTCCGGTTCCGGTCCCCGAGCTCGATCAGGCGCTGGATCGCGTCGTAGTCGGCGACCGCGTGGTGGCTGAGGTTCTGGACGAAGACGCCCGCCGCGGGGTCCTGGCGGATCCGGAGCTCCTGGGCGCCCGCGGCGGGGACGAGGAGGTCCCGGAGCCGCTCGTTGTAGATCTCGAGGAACGAGACGGAGACCTGCGTCTCGGCGGGCGAGGCGGCGGCGCGGCGGAAGAGCTCGCGCCCGACCCGCGGGATGATCCCTGCGTCGGCCTCGCTCGCGGGCGCGCCCATCATCGAGTACGACTTCCCGGAGCCCGTCTGGCCGTACGCGAAGAGCGTGTAGTTGTAGCCCTCGAACGCGTTGTCGAGGACGCTCGGCCCGATGTCTGCGTAGACCGTGTCCTGGGTCGCGCACGGGCGGCTCGCGTCGTGGGACCAGTACGCGTGGTCGTAGACGAACGCCGCGTCGGGCTTCTTCGCGTCTGCGTCCCGGAGGACGACCTTCCCCCCGCCCGGCATGTCGACGCAGAGCCGCGCCGCCTCCTTCTTCTCGCGCGCGTTGAACGGCCGGACGCGCACCGCGACCTTGACCCCTGTCACCGGCATTTCTTTTTTGTCAAAGCTCCAGCCTGTGCCATTTAAGACATGTTCAAATGAGAGTGTCTACTCCACTTATGTCTAAAGGGGACGATGGCTTAATAGATGTGGTGAAAAATATTGCTGATCTGCGCCTTCATATAAAATGTCAAATTTGTAGGGAAGTAAACAGCATTTGTGTAAATAGTGATTGTGCTATTCACAATATGGCAACTACGAAGAAGATAGCAGCGTAACAAATACTAGTTGAAATGTCCATGTACTCCGCCATTTATGGTAGACATGAACACATGCCTCTTGACTTAGTGGAGTGCGATAGTGCCGTAGCCCCTCCCACATGACTAAAAGCTTTATGTAAAAGATCATTTCACAAAAAGCAATTTCCCATGACATCGCTACCATCCAATGTTAAGATCTTTGCCGAGCAGCCAGAGGACGGCACGATTGCAATGTTGAAAGAACTGGCGAAACTCCCCTTTTTTGTCAACCAACCGATAAGGGTCATGCCGGATTGTCATTCAGGCAAAGGAACAATTGTGGGATTCTCCGCGCCTTACGATACCTGTATTATTCCTAGCATCATAGGCGTCGATATAGGGTGTGGAATGTTTGTCATACGGCTCCCCAATAAACTATTAGAACCATATGAGGGGAAGATCAGTGACCAATCGTTCTTGAAGAACTTAGATGAGATTGTACACAAAGAAGTCCCAGCAGGATATTATGGAAAACATGCCGTTCCTGGGGGTCCCACTGGATTCCATCAAGACGTTTCGGAAGCCCGGTTTAAGCGAATGCTATCACATCTCTTGCCGTGCCTGTCCAAATACTGTCCAGAGGCATCTGGACTACTTAGCTATGACGACTTTGTTGCCGAATTCGAATACTGGCATGACTATCTGGACTTGAGGTTTACGTTCCATAGTTTGATGAAGTGCTGTGGGACTTTAGGCTCTGGGAACCACTTTGTCGAGCTTGATTCGGCAAAGAGCGGTGAAGGTTACATAGTTGTCCACTCTGGCAGTAGAGGTCTTGGCGGGGCCATCGCGTCCAAGTTCATATCTGCAGCGGAGATTGTCACAAAGGTTCTTTTGGGGATAGAGCCAGCTGAGCTCCTGGTGAATGATACATCCCCTTTCTTTAAGCTCCTGTTCAACAATCTTCAGGCATTGAAGAAGATGCCTACTGAGTTATCGGCCGAGAATCCCGGTCTCACCTTACCTATTTCTGCTGAGGATAAAAAGGCATTCTATTTGAAGTTGCGGGATGAGATCCAAGAGGAGCTAAAACAGGATGCTTCCGCCCAAGCGTTGCCTGTCAAAGAGTACAAGGCCGAGCTCACGCGCCGAATCAATGCCCGAGCTGTGGAGTATCTAAGCCGCTGCAAACTCGTTGCGTCTTCATACGACTACCTTAGTGTCTTTCCTTTAGGCACTACTGAAGAAGACATAGAAGCGTACAAAGCGATACTAGTGAAGAACCCTAATGTCGCGTGTCTTTACCAGTCTTTAGGAGCCGAGGACTATCTTCGCGCCATGAAGTTTTGCCAATTGTTTGCGAAGCTGAACCGTCTAGTCATAGCCTTTAACATATATTGCTCTCTTTCTGGTATACCCGTCCAGGCGCGTGGAATTTGGGACGACGACTTTGATCCTGGCATCCGTGCTCAGGCAATTGCTACATTCATGGATTCGCTATTTTACACAGATTGCATTCATAATTACATTGACTTACAATCTAAAATAATGCGCAAGGGGTCCATTCGAGCAAACAAGGACGACATTCTTATTATCCCCATGAATATGCGAGATGGTATCCTCGTTTGCAAGGGTTTAGGAAACCCAGATTGGAACTGTACGGCACCCCACGGCGCAGGTCGAATAATGTCACGCATAGCAGCAAAGCGGAGCATCAAGCTGGAAACGGTCATCGAGCAAATGAAGGGCATTTACTCAACATGCCTGCAGCAAGAGGTTATTGATGAGGCCCCGGATGCATATAAGCCCGTGGCCCACATCACAAAGCATATTCAAGGAACATGTACAATCATCGACCAGTGGAAGCCCCTTTGGAACTTCAAGGGGATGGATTGTGTCTTTGAGTCCAAGAAGGAGGGGAACGATAACATGCACTAAGACAACCTGTTGTTCTACCTCTTATTGATGTCTATGAAGAATATCTGCCGACGAACTATTATCTTTGAGCCATCCTCTGCCTCCTCTTCCTTGTCGGGCATCTGCTGCGTTTTAATTACATTCCGGGCGTTGATGGTTACCTTCCCTTTTTGGGCTGAATCGGCGTCATTTTGAATTGGGATCTCATGGATTGGTGTAGGAGCTTCAATGTGTGAAACAGGCGTTGATGTGTCGTAAATGTTGCTGTTGTATCCATACAAGGATAGAAGAATCCCATTCTTAGAGTCTAGGAGCCATTCCTTGACAGCGGGGTCGGCGAAATACTTAGCGGGTATATCTATGTAGACTATGCTGTCAAGAAGGGGATTGATACTGATCTCCACGCTAGGCTTCGATGCTATCCCGCAGTCGTTTGCCAGAAGCTTCCGGCGAAATGTGTTTTCCTGGGCCTCTGTAAGCCTGCAATCCGGCCTCTCAGAGTTCGCCATGAACGAGGGATAATGGACCACTACATGCACATTCTTGGTGTAAATAACGGGGACCCCGTAAGCCTTGTGAAAGTGGAAGCGAATGGAGACGTTGGATACATCGTCCAGCGCAATGTCGTCGTAGTGATCTGCATTTGAAATAGCTCTGTCCACTTCTGAATCGACTTCTGACATTGGGCGTCCACGATAATCCGAGAACTGGAGACGACCTTGAACGTGAACATCCTTGAAGATGATATCTTTCAAGCAGAGACGGCATGTACCTATGAGGTGAGCAGTGAAGCGGATCTCGTCAACCGCGTCAAAGTCAAAGGGGAACTCGTCTGCAGTGTAGTCATCGCTATTACAGCGCTCCCGTGCATACTCAAGGGCAATCTCCTTGCTGTCGCACTGGATGGCGTGTTCATACATATTTTTCATAATTGTAAAGCGCTGAATAAACTTATTGACACTCCACGTCTGCTTGATAGCAGAAACCTCCCCCGTGTTGGGATTTTCATCTATATCTGTTACCACAACCTCTATAGCGTTCTTCCTGATGGGGCGCATATTGGATTCCTGATCTGGCTCAATTAAACTGCGGATCTCCAGAGAAAAACGAGTATGATAGTCAAAAAAGTCTGCAAGCGCATTGGCCTCGCAGATATACGGGTACATTTTCTTGATAGCTCTGTGCACATTCTTCTCGCCCTCTGTACGGAGGTCATCCTTTGAAGCATGATCCTCTGCTCCACGCCTAGCCTCTGGCACCTTGCCTAGATCTGCACCGTCCTCCTGGTGTGTCTGTGGAGATGCTAAAAAGCTTCCCTCGACGCGCAACGGGTTCTCCTCCTCTACGTCGTCTCCACCTGTTTGGTGCTTCATATACTCCTCGTGAGCCATGTCCCACGTGATCTCCGGCGGAACAAACGTAAGGCTTGATGCTTTCGCCTTGTCATTGGCATACTTAACTGCTATAGGGTCATTGTAGCAGAAGAAGGAGGATTCCAGACAAGCCCCACAGAGGATTCGATCCCCGTGCTGAAGCAACCGCTCAGTGCCTACTGTGAGCTCTACTCCGTTGATGAAAATGGGGTACTTGCTATCCAGAACACTCACATAGACAGCAATCATCTTCGGATACAGGCAATAGCCTTGCTGGTTATCCATAGCTATTACCTTATTTGTGTTACGAACCTTAAAGTGGCTCGGGGCAACCCCCAAAACAGACGGCAACTTGATTCGGTAGGTACTTGGAATGGTATCCTGCATTTTGAAGCCACAAACAGTGGTCACTTCGGTGTGAGCCATGAGATCTTCTGTGGTCCCCAATTTAAATAGCAACGTGTGCGACATGGCTGAATCAGCGTTCAGATTTGAGATATACGGTACATTAACTTTAGCACCGTACGTGAGCTCTATTCCCATCTCAATTAGTCTCTTTTCAAGATCCTTTTGAATGCGAGCAGACTGTTCGAGCTGCTTCTCATAATTGATGTTCGTCACCTGAAGTAGCCGCTCATACTCCTCTATTTTGGCCCGTATGTCTGCCTCCCCCTCTGTTGATCCAGCAGCGTCGGCGGTGTTAGCTGGGTGCGTGCCATTAATGAGCATCTTCTCCAACTCCTTTACACGGTCTTCCAGTTCTTTAATGTAACGCTCTTGTGCCGTCTCGTTCTTCTGGACGACATTCTTAATGTGCTTTGCTCTGTCTGCATACCGTAGGGTGGAGATAGATTCATCATAATTTATATTTGCTGGAGAGATGGTAGCAACCATGCAGGTCATGGCGTTCCCACCCAGCGCATCCTGAAGAAGATATGTGAGTTGTGAATCTCTATATGGAATGAACTTGTGCTTCTTCTTCGACTCACAGCTGGAATTGTAGGCCAACCCTTCAATGACCATGCCAAGGGTCGTTAAAGATTGGTTGATAGACACTCCCTCGACAAATTGGGCGCCCACAGAACCCGTTGAAGCAAGCCTTTCAGATCCAGCCAGGTCGACAAGACTTATGGTGGAGGAGAGCTGCGACTTTCCACATATCTTACCCGAACTATTGTGTTTAATAGTTATCTTCTTGAACATGATTGTAAAAACTGAGTGAGAGCGGGAGCTGGTAGCATTCATATTAGTTGATGCAACCGTTCTATTTTTATCGCCTATGTCCAGCAGCCTCTGTATCTCAAAGGCACTGCGAACTGCGTGGTGGCTGAGGTCCTGCACAAAGACCCCGGTCTTGGGATCCTGCCGGATCTTTAGCTCACGCTGCTTACTCTTTGAGGTCAGCAGATCTTTTAGTTTCTCATTGTAAATTTCGAGGTAGGAAACGGAGACCTGGAACTCTGTCGTGTGGGCAGGATCTGCCTCCTCGTATGCTTCTATTCGTTGAAATAGCTCCCTGCAGGCTCGAGGAATTAGGCCAGCTTCGGTCTCATTCTGCAGCGATCCCATCATGGTGTATGATTTCCCAGAGCCTGTCTGACCATATGCAAAAATCGTATAGTTGTAGCCTTCGAAGGCGTTATTTAGAATATTAGCCCCTAGGTCTCTATAGACAACGTCCTGAGTAGCTTTTTCATACCGACCATCCAATGACCAGTACGCATAATCGTAAATGAACGTGTGTGCCTTCTTATCACCATTAGGGTCAAAGATGACTACCCTGTTTGCTGTCGGGGTGTCCACGCACACCTTGGACTTCATATCCTTCTCCCGTGAGTTGAGCGGTCGAATGCGCACGGCCACCTTGACGCCAGTGACGGGCATTTCACTTTATTTTAATAAACTATGGCTCTTTCCCTGGGTGAATTACCCTTCCAGGACGGGCCTGCTGAAACGCTAACGACGGAAGTCGAGCCTGAAGCGATAAATATCCGAAACATCCCACCGAAGCTTATTACCCTTCGAGCAGGATCCATCTATGTCTTGGACGAGACAATGGCTAAGGCTCTGTGGAGAGCTGGATACGGGCAATATGTCAGTAGGGACGCAGGCAACACAGAGCTTATTCTCCGGCCCTCCGAGGCGAGCTTTGCAGTCGAACACGATGGCTTTCTGCTTCAGTGTGACCTGAATGCCCCCGTGCAGGTCAAAGATTGGAACACCGTCCTCGCTGATTACATCATCTTCAAGCAACTTCGCCTCAACCATGGTCTGTACCCCCGTAATGGGATTAAATTTGGCTGTGACTATACCGTTTATAGAGTACCAACTCCCGAGCAAGCTCACTCAGATTTCCTTCTCCAAGTTGTGACGGGGACGTCTACCGGTGTAGCGTCTCTCTGCGAGCTTGCACACCGGTATCATAAGAGTGTGATGCTCGCAAGTCTTGTTGATGGCGAGCCCGTCGTTCAAGTCTTGGATGTCTATCTTGTCTGACAAAAAATGACCCTCGCCAGTCGCCGTGAATTAGATAACAGGGAGCAGCATACAGTTTCCTTGTTCCTTTCCTATATCTCTAGCTCTAATATAGCTGAAATACAGCGGCTCCTAAGCTTTCCCCTCACAGCTTTATCATCATATCAATATGAAGTTCCGCCAATTCACATTTGTGCAGCCTCCAAAAACTCCACAGTGCTGGACTTTCTGCTGCGAAATGGGTTCTCAGTTGGAACTCCTGATATCTCGTGCAACGGGGGCACCATTTTACACCGCGCTGCAATCGATGGATCCGAAGAAATAGCACGTATAGCCTTGCAGCATGGAATTGATGTCAATGCCACCGATGCTTCTGGAAATACTGCGCTTCATCAAGCAATCCAACATGGTCATGGTGACATCGTACAGATCATTCTCAAGTACAATCCAGATATGCGGATCCTTAATGACGCCGGGTTGTCTGCTTATCAGGTAGCGGTCTCGAAACGCTCTGACGAAATAGCGAAGCTGTTGGTGCCCCTCAAGTATGATTGGCATGCGGCCAAGCAAACTCGAGAGGATCACATACGAAGCAATCTACTTTTTAGTGCCGAGGATCTCACGTCCAAGTTGAAAAAGGTAAAGGCCAAGAAGAGCTCCAAGAATGCAAAAACCAAGTCTAAGAAGTGAGGCCTTCATCTTAAGTAAAATTTACTGATGGCTGGTGTTTGTCGAATGGATCCCCGGGTTCTACTCATCCATGTGGAGCTTCAGAACTCCAATGTGCTGTGGGATCCCGTGTCAGCACAGATAGCGTCTGGCTATGTCCCGCGGCTCTACTCTTTAAACTATCCCACTCTAGCAAGGGATCTTCCTCCAGAGCTGAAGCCTGCAAGTCTTGGGCACTTGCAGCTTGGCGACCCTGTCGCTAATACTGCGACTGATAAGCTTCTATTTCTGCGGGATTTCTGTGCCCTTGTGTCTCAACGGTCTTCACCTGATACCAAGAAACAAGGAAAGCAGACTATCAATCCACTCCCAGACACCGCACTTGTTGCGGAGTACATTGTGGTTCTTGTTGCTAACTTTCACTTTTACTCTCACTATGCTGTCGCAAATGCTTCGCAGACAGACATCGCTGACTCTCAGCTGACCACAGACAACACCCCGGACGGTGACGCTCCAGGCGTTATCCTCCAAAGAAAAGGGCCTCCAAAGGTGCAGCCCCATGAACAATTTGCTCTTGACTGTGCCCGTGCTGGCGTATGCTTCGGCGGAGTCCTTATTCTTCACGAAGACATGAACACCACGTGGATCACTGACTCTAATTTTAGAGATCTTCTTCTAAAGCTAGGCATCCCACTCAATTATACAAAGGGCGTGTCTCCCTTTACTACAAACTATAATCTGTTTTCATACCGTTACCAACATTGCGACGCTGACCTTCGAATCAGGACTATTCCATTCTTTCATATCAGGAATCAAGGCAAATACACGCAGTTTTATATCGCTTATATGAAGCATGACAAGATTTCTACCATACCGGCTAAGGATGAAAAAGCTTTTCTGGGGAGAGTGAAGGATAGTTTCAGCGAGCAGTTGATAGCGTGCTCCATCATCCAGAAGGACCTTCTACGCATAATTAACACGCTCCTGCTTTCACCAAAGTTCTATCAACACTGGCTTACAAGTAACCACGTTTCATACCTGTCGGATCTCGACTTCTGTAGTGAAGGGTACTATCGTCAGAAGCATGCCCAGGGCCTGAAGCACATACGCTATCGTAGAATAAGTAAGGCCCTTCTTCCCGTAGAAGGCATATACACATTTCCAGTTCCTGCTGATGGAGCAAAAGCCCAACAAAAGCCAGGAAAAGATCAGAAGGAGGTCTCTGACACAGTGATCTTGCCCACACTTGAAAACTTCTTTGAAGACAAGCTTTTGGTCTTGTCTCGAATGCATAATGGTTCATTTATGAATGAGTTTTTCTCTCATGATCTGCATTCACGACTGGGTGTTGATCTACTGGCCCACGAAGCAGTTTGCAAGCCCTGGCCTCTCCAAGGACAGTATACTAGCTCATCGGCTGACGAAGGATCTGCAGCACATATCTACTCAAACATACTCTCTGTTGACTTGCCTGAGGAAACATTAGGACCGCCTCAAGGAAAGACTAAACAAAGTGCCCTGATTTCGTTTCTACTCTCCGGATATCTCGATGATGTGTCTAGAATGCCCGCTACTGATCAGAATAGAGTTTCCGTTATTATGGAGTGTATGCTCCGGCAGTTTAGTGCCTTAGATGATCTGATTCAAAAGGGTCATGAACAGAAGCGTCGAGCACAGGAAGCACTCGTGGAAGAGCAAGCAGTAATCTCTACAAGACCAAAAAGCAATCATGCCCAGCGATCTGGCAGCAAGGCCAGCAGCTCCGCGGGAGCTACCACGGCTACTGCCAATCAACCACCCGATGCTCCGGCGGTGACCGAAGCGGGGCACTCAGACCTCAGTGCTCTTGTCCAACATCTTAGTACACAGAGCTTAGCGGAGAATCACTTTGATATTAGTGCCATTGATACTATGCTTCTCAGCACAGAGTTAGGAGATAAGATTGCTACTTCTGAAGAAGGCAACCCGAAGGATGAACCTCATGCCAATGACCAACAATGTTCGGCAGATAGCTTCAGCGAGAAAGATGCCCACTCATCCAAGCAATTGGGTACTTACTTTTCAGCTAGAATTAATCGTCCGGTATCTCTTTATACAGAACCACTCATGGCGCTACTCGAAACCTCTACTTCGAATCGGCAGGAGCTCATTTCAATATCATCTGCAATAATATCTGCAGCAACGGGGGCCACCTCTCTCACTATCCACACGCTCCAGAACTCCGAAGCTGAGCACACAATTAACTCAAACAAATTAGCACCGTCGTTGCTGAATGCATTCTTCGGGGTAATGCCGCACAAGATAACCACAACATATGAATCTACGGTTAGAGTCTCGAGCGGATTTACCTTTCGGGTAGAAAATTACGTAGAAGCAGAGGCCGTCGAGAGGGAAAAGCACATCAATGATATCCGTCTTAAGGCAGCCAGTTACGACCTTTTGGCACTTATGTCTCTTTTGAATAAACTAAGGAGATCACAGCCAGTACCATCTGACCATGGGTCGTGCAAGGAAGAGAATGGTAACTCTACAGGAGAAAATGGAGCTACGTTTTGCTCTAAGGAAGCAAGTAATGAATCCGGAGAGAAAGCAAACCAAATCGATTACTACCAGATGCATGTCAAGGAGTCTGCAATTACCTCTGCCATCCAAGGGGTGAAGGGTTCATCTTTCGATCATGCGGCTCAAGCTGACCGATCATATGGCATCCATCCTGATGCAGTTGTCAACATCTCACTTGGAGCTGTAGTGATGGAGTTTTCCCACAAGGACTTAGACTATGCCACGATGCTGGACACCCTTGCTAGTATGTCGACGTATAGTATCTCCGTTGACGTCGATAATAAGTCTGTCAATCTGGTGGTCACTTCAGACGTAGTTCCGCTGCAACACAGCAAAGCACATCTTCTAGCTCAATTCAAAGACGATCTGTTTTCCCTTTTCAATACTGTCCCTATGTTTGGAGTCTGGATCAACACGCCTCTTATTCAATCCATACTCACTGATGAGTCGTTTTTATCGAATAATTACCCTCAGATATGGAGTCAGTATTATACAGAGGCGCAGGTGGAGCAGCGATCAAAGTCTACGCAGCAGGGAAAGTCTAAGGAAGAGAAGCAGACCCTGGTGCAAAGGGAGGAACCGCCTGAGCCTTCCAAGAACCAACCAAATCTAACTGAGTATGTTCCTCTTTTACCTTCGATTATTCCTTTAACCCGGCGCTACCGCATTCCTGGAGATAAGTCCTCTTCTTTCCAGACGGGAAACTCTATATTGTATGACCCAGCATCTGCAACCGAACAAAGCATCACAGAAGCACATGTCTCCAGCCTTAAGAATGTGGTGCTATCCAGAGATGTCAGAGCAGATAAGCCGGGTGCAAGAAAGGAGAAAGACCCTGCTACTAAAGCTACTTCATCACTCCGCGATGTCTCCTGTGCAAACTCCTTCAGCCTTGCAGACGATCGCCAAGAACTACCATCTCTTAGCGAGTACACTAGGCCCATCTTTCCCCTTGCCTCCGAATTCATTGACACCAGCCCAATTTCTCCCCCCACTCACATGTTTCTAAGCTCCACTGGCAACTTTTTGAATAGTAATTTGGTGCTCAGTGAGTGTTTCGGAAGTGTGGGACTGGCATCTAACTACTGGACCAAACAAGTTGGGTCTCCACAAGCAGATGAGGTAGAACCAGAGGCAGAATCACCAGTACATGAACAGCCAGCTGCACCCGACCCTGTCCTTTATGTTCCTAACCGGCTCTTGGCTGCGTACATACAAGAGCCAGAGCAACTACAACTCCATGAAGATGACGATAAGAAGAAGGCGTTACCCTTATTGTTAGATACAACAGTTTTGCCAGATTTTGATATTAGTATTGACACTCTTGCAACACAGTTCGACTTGCGCAGTGCAGACACCTCTGCATATGTTGCCCATTACAGCAGAGGCGGTGCCATGCATTGTGTAGAATCCATACCTGCCTCAGGCGTTATTCTTCACAAGATTGTTAACGGTTCTGGTTTGAGCATACGAGTTTCTCTTCGTCCTGTCAACCTCTCAACTGTGGTTGTTGGACAGGTCTCAACACCGTTTTCTCCGACACCAGAAGTAGACTTGCAGTATGCTGAGCGTTACATAGAACGGATATTTTACGAGGCTTCAAAACCTTGCACAGCGGATAGCTCTATGCAGCGATCGGTTGGCGCTGCCAAAACCAAAAAAGATCGGGAGCGTGAATCCTTGCAGCAAATAGAGTGGAGGCGTCGAAAGCGAAAGCTTACTGAACTAAAAACCCTTGTAGATGAGGAGAAGACCCGGCGCGAACGTGCGCTACCGGCTCCAGGGACCTCTGTGCTTGGCACTCGGCCTACCTCAAGCTACCTGCACTTGTTCTTAGCATCACGAGGCATTCATATCACCTATATGGGAAGTAAGGTCCTCATCAAGTATAGACATGATCTTCTAATGTTCTTGTACATAGGGCAGCAGCGCTTGAAGCTTACCAAGATCTTTCTTGACGTTGACTTCAATGTGCTCGAGGTTACTGCCGACAGCGACCCCTGGCTCTCTCTTCTTCACGAATTTAAGCAGCACTACACGGGGAAGACAACCCGTTTCCCCATAGTACGACTGTCATATGAGTTGCGGAGAGATATGGTGCGTATCTATGCCGAATTTCCTGCTAGTCATTACGCAATGTATGTAGACCTAGATGAGGCAGGAAACCTCGAGGAGGATGCTGCTAGCATCTTGTCAGTAGTCAAGCAGGACTCAGCCGCATCCTCTATGCTTCACCCTACTGAGAAGACATTTTCGATCCCAGATGCTTTGGAAGGGATAGATACAGCTAAGGCGGGTGTTTCCGACTTACAAGCTACATCTCCACCCCAGCTCGAAGATCCAAGCTCGAAGGCTTCCATTCAGAATGCTCAGGACGTTTCTCTGGGTGACGAAACTAACTTGTATGATGACATCGCTCGCAAAGGGGTGTTTATTTCTCAGACAGATAGGCTCTCTAGACAATTCTCTACATCGTTTCTTGTCATTTTCACATGCCCAACCAGCATATTCTATGAACCATTTAGAGCCGAGACGCTTAAAGAGCCACCAATGCCATGCACTGGTACCAAACCTCTTAATAAGGGCAACATCTACTATGCAAAAGGAATCCACGCCCGGGTGGTTGACCCCGATGATTTCGTTGCAAGTCATGAGCTTACAACGATCGATCTTCCTACCATCATTCCTTACATCTTCACGTCAGATCGCGTCATGCTTCACTATTGCTCTTTCAAGAATATCATGACAATTGCTCACCTTTCTGACAGTCTAATCCACAAGGACGCCGTCGAAATTCTTCGCACATCCAAAGACTTAACAGATTTAGACAATAAATATTGGTTCGAGAATATCATTTCTAACATATTTACTATAGACAAACAAATCATTCACGAGGACCCATCTCGGTTTGTAAGGGCGCTGAAGAAGCTCTGTACAGAGGACACCCGCATATCTGTACAGACACCAACCGTATTTGTCCAGCTTCCTATTGGTCTCATGGCAGTCTTTGATGAGTGCGGTAAGATGAATGTCATGTACGATTCTAAGTCGGGGCTGGACACTATCTCCATATCCCCCGATGGCTCTGTCCAAGCCACTCTTGGTGATACTCTTCGGCTGCACTTCTTCTCCCACAAAGCTGATTATTATATGAGCATGACCACAGAAGCAGATAAGCCACTTAACGAAAACGTGGCGCTTAACGCTGTTAATCCTGATCTGTTTACTTATCGATTAACGACTCAGCCAGAGCTTATTAGTGCAACGGTAAGTGTGCTTGCAGGATATCCTCGGCCAGGATTACAATTTCGAACGATAGGCCGAGACCCGTACCAATTTCTTCCCAGCATTTGGAATATCTTCCGCAAGGATGAAAAGCTTCCACGCTCGCTAGCACACTTCACTCCAGGAATTGCTCAGCTTGTCCCTACCGGAGATAACACGGAGATAGATAAAGAGTCCGTCTTACATCTGGGCTCTCCTCTACCAGGGCCGTATTCACTAGGCTTTCAGCTTGTGATAAATGTTAATGAAAGTCCGGGCTGCTGTGTTGACTCTATCACCGCCTCGCTGCGTCTTCTCCAAACTGACCAGAAGCAAGAGCTGGCAGTTGATCTGTACAGAGCAGTAGCTGATAGCATATACCTAGACTTTGTTCAGCCACTAATGTCCTGCACTAATCCATTGCAGCGGGCTGTTGCCAACTATTCTCTTCCTGGTTATGCTAAACACATCGTCTTTAGTAAGTACGATATCGCCAATCAGCAGATTACAAGAGAAAGCTGTCATAGTACAAAAAGCAACTCAGAAGAGCCCCTCTTCAATTCACAGAAAGCTGTCTCAAGAAGTGAGAGTACGTCAGTCTCCAAGGATCCTGAGAGAGAGTCATCCGACAATTCAGAGGAGCAGGAGTCCAAAGGGATTGGCAGGAGCAAGAGTGAGAAGTTTGGCACGGATATTGGACATTCTAGCTTTGTAGATGAAAGCAAGGGTGTACTTGAAGACGGACAATCGACTATTCCATATTTGGATGTGGACAAGTCCTCCTCCACTTTAGCTGGAGACACAACCACAGAAGATCTCATAGAGAGCGTCGAAGATGATAACAATGGAATAGCCGGCTCTCAAATGAAAGTGGACTTTTTACGTAAGGGCCTAACAGATTTCTTCTGGGATTCTGAGGAGGGACAGGCCTATCTTACAGGTGGGCCAGAGGGATACAAGGAGTGCGTCAGCAGATATCATGACCTTGCGGCAACCGTGTTAGGGAAGGAGCGAGTAGCTGAACAAGAGCACCTTCCTAATCGTAGCATTCATCGCTGTGTTGAAAACCACCTCAAGACCATCACGCTTCCTCGCTCTCTTCCTCCACCCTACTCCAGAAGAGAGGAGCAAGAGGTATCTACCTTGCCTACCAAGGAAGAGCTTGTGGAGCACAGTCTATTCACACGGCCACTAACCCAGGTTGAGACTAACAAGTCAATAAGAAACCAATTGCAGACCGTTGCCACAGAGACAATGCATGCGGCAGCATGTAGAAATATCACCTTCGCGGCTCGAGAAGACCTAAGGAAGGTCACTATTCCAACGACCTACAAGATACCATATACACGGCATGTACTTGTTACCCCGACAAAGATAAGGATAGGGAGTATGCTCGCCCCTGCAGACCTTACAACCGCTCGTGTCTGCTTCAAAAACATAGGGCACATGCCCGTTCGCCTGAGATACGACCTCGTGCATACAGAGAAGGACGTGCCGAGGGAAGAAAGGATCATAGTGGACATCTGCATGACGCAACACAAAGGTGGAATACCCCCTGGAATGACTGCTACTGTGGTGATGAAAATAAAAACCCCCATCCAAGCCGGCTATTTCAATACAGTCGCCTTCTTTAAAACAGAAGAAGAGGTAATCGCTATTCCTATCGAGGGCGTGGTCCAAAGTGGGAGTCCCAGATCGACGCTAACCGGCCTGCATACGCGCGGTAGACAGCACCAAGTACACCACGCTAATACGCTGAGTAACCTCAATAACAACACTAGTGACAGGTCACATGCCTTACAAGGAACCGCACCAACTGGAATACACCAGGATGACGATAACTCAGATGAAGAGTAAAAGCTGGTGACATTAGCACTCCATAGACGAGTCTGGTCTACACCCGTCTGGATTTGCATTATAGAATTCGGTATACATCTCCTGAACCATGCGCTGTATAAACTGCTCAGCATGTAGCTTCCCTCCAAAATTCGCCATACAGTTTGCCAAAGCTGGTTGCAAATAGGGAGCGACGGTGTCCCTTAAGTAGTTCAGGTTCCCTATAGCAGTGTTAGGATATTCTTCCTCATCAGAGCACTCGTTCCCGCTTTCCTGTCTTGTTGACCGTGGCGTCAGCATGCTCTCTGTGGTTTCTTTTACGTCAGATTTATTGTATCCGGAGGGAAGGGGGTCCTCCGGAATATCGACATCTTCGTAGGTATTGAGGTCACCCTTCTCCTCTACACTAGGCAGCATACGGCTTAACTCGCTGAGTGAGCTAAACACATCCCTTACACCAGCTTCGGGCCTCTGTTCTGGAGTACTGCTTCCTGCGTGTAGAACAGGCGCAGTATTAGATTGCCTAGACAATTCCCTCAATACAAGCACATCATAAAGATTCGAATTAGAGTCGCAGGGAGCACTAGGAGCTAAGGCTGCAGCCGAAAGCCCTGTCATTAGCCTTCCCTCAGAACCTAGATTTGGAAGTAGATTTATGACCCGTAACTCTGGATGGATGTTTGTAAATCGCATAAGATTGTTCAGCTGGATTTTGGACTGTGGTATGGTATTATCGCCAGTCCGTACTAGCACTTGTATGGACGTGTTTGTGGAAGGGTCAAGGTGTTTACGTATCTCGGATAAAATGGCTTCAGGACCATAGATGCTCTTCATCTGAGCCATGCTGACCAAAATCGAGGTAGGAGTGGGACGTTCTCCCAAATATTCAAAATAGCCGTCGCTAACGGCGTGGATTTGCCTTAAGACAGCCAGCTGCCTCATGGCAGTGGAACGCCAATTTGAACCGTTAAGCTCAAGTAAGCAAGAGTTCAGATAGCTCATTGTGGATACCAACTGCGAGTCAGAGTGATTCTGTTGCTTTAATAGGTTAAGCCTTGCGCGGCCTGCAGTTAAGAGATATGCTCTTTTCAGCGCCTCAATGGATATATTAAGGGACGAGACGTCAATAAAGATAGGTGCAAAGCGAAGCTCCCCGGATAAACACGGGCGGCAAGAAGCAATAACGCGATCCTCAATTACCTCTATGCCTTGCTGAATTGATTTTATAAGAAGCTTATCTAAAGACGCTGCTAGCAACTTGTATGTGTTATAGCTGTCCTGCCTTTTCAGAGAAGTCTCAGGATTGGTGATCACCTCGGCCAAAAGCGGATTGACAGCCACTCGCTGAAGACTAAAGGTGTGTGTGGCAGGGACATACGCTGGCAAGGCTTTGATATCTTCTTGCATCAGTAGAGCCACTCCGAATGGAAGCTCACCTTTGGACGGGGCTTTCTTCGAGTCCCCTGCTAGGGCAGGGTCTATATTCATCTGATCGAGAAAGATCTCCAAAGGTGTCACCAAGAGGCTACCCAAATCAGCAGCAGACATCATACCAGGAACGAGGAGATAACCGTTGGCAACGAGGGCGCGTGCCCGAATGTGCAGCATGAATATCGCCGCAATGAAGCCCTTGACGTTCAGCGAATAGGCCGCTGCCGAGGCAGTGGAAAGAAGGAGCTCGCTAGTAGAACCATTGGCAGGAAGGTTGTGAACAATTTTGACAAGTAGGGCTGCCTTATCTTCAATGGAAACAAGCTCTGCACTAGCTTTTCCAGGCTTGGCCGAAGTAAGCAATTGATCAGTTTTTGTCGGAAGTAAATCCTTGTTTAAGAGAGGAACCCAGAATGCGGAACTCTTGGCAGCTTCTCCCAATTGTACAAGGTCTCGTAATGCGAGAGATAGATCGAGAATTGGCGTATTTAGAGAAGAGGCTAAAAGCTTGGCCTTATCGTCGACGCAGAAACAGGCTTGGGTTCCCAAAAGAACAACAGTGTAACGTGGACGCCGAAGTAAAATGCTTGCTGTAATGTAGCCCCGTGCAGACTCGACAATGTGTGGCGTCTCTGTGATAGCGCTTGCAGTGAGAATCTGCTGTACAGAGTCCAGAACATAGTCTTCGTCACGTTTATATGTCATATACATTTGACTATTGGAGTAGCTAAAGTCATCTACTGGATTGGGTTCTGGCACACAAGCTAGGGAAAGCAGAGATATAAGACGCGAGGATAATCCCTTAGAGAGCAGCTCCAACTTAGACATAGGAGAAGGACTTAACTTCCTGTATCCGTACACACCCTCATTGACACAATCCAGCAGGGTGTCCAGAGGAACCATCTCATCAGTAACAAACCTGAACGGGCAGACATGCTGAAGATTGACCCCCTGTTCCACTGTATTTTGAAGGAAGTTCCGAAGCTCAATAGCGACCCTGGAGCATGACGTTATCGAAACGGTATATGAGGTTTGGGGCAGAAAGGCTGGTAGCACGCCCGTCTCGACAACAAAATCAACAAGTTCCATCAGCTCATTGCCCTCCGCAGTGTACGAGTCATAGAGAAGCCCGTGAGATATGATGGCACCTCTAATGCACGGCTGGAGAGAATCGTCATCAGTATACTGCTTAGTCAGCATGTTGGCGAGCCTGTCCTCTAAGAGCTTTACTCCTTGCGCTTCTGGTAGTGCTCTTCTCCGTGCATACTGCTCTGGATTTACGTGCCTGAGACCGTTATTTGTAGAGTTATTTTCACCAGTACCCGCAAGAACGATAGGAGAGTGCCCCCAAGTAAGGTATGTCGAGACGAGAAAGACATGGCCCACGAAGAAGCGCTCTTCCAGAAGGTCTAAGATAATCTGTCCCTCAGTAGGGTCTTTATCAGAAAGCACGACTACGTTACATGCTGATAGATAAAATTTGAAGTGCGTTGGATGCGTGCGATAGGGTGGCACGATAGCAACGCCTTTGGGGACACTTGATTTGTAGTTCACCAGTGTCGCATAGACTGGTATACCCAGTGCAGTAAAGGTCGCTGCAATAGCACTCTGAGCACCATAATCGGAGTGTTCGACGAAAATTCTGAATATCATTTTGTTGATTCAAAAATTGCTTTATGTGATTCTATATGACTCTGTAGGCACAGGCAGATGGCAGGCAGCAAGTCAGGTGAACAGCAGAGGAACTGGCCGACGAGGTTGGTTGGGAGCTGTCTTTTTAAGTTATTCTCTTTCGTGAAAAAAATTTAAAAAGATCGCTTTCGAGAATTTCTGACAGCTTATGCAAAAAGCGTTGCTAACCTCGCACCCCCCTGACGAGGCTCCGCACACGGAAACGATAGAAGCAATGGTGGCCTCGGATGACATAGAGGGACTATTGGCTCATACAGACTTGTTTTTTGAGGTTCGATGCAGGACTGAGGAACTAATTCAATATCTGAAACAGAAAAAGACTCTTCACCGCCTCCTTGACTTTATTTTTTTTGCTAGTAGTACGGAAACAGCTGAGCAAGCATTGCAGCTGATTCGATCTTGTGAAAACATTAATGAGGTCATGGCGCCCATCGTGGACGACCCCTCCATCCTGGACCTACCATTTCATGCATTGCAATCGTTTTCGGATCAGATTCGAGCTGAATTGCGGAGACCTAATACCCTACTCTACTCTCCAACTATACTCCCAAAGCATCTCATATCTCGCAGCGCTCATGTTTGCGAGGCCTTCTCCAAGGTTATAAAGTCTATTATGTGGACTGGGAGGCGATTCTGTGCCGTACTATCATTTCTAAAGACCAATTCAAAGTATCTACACACATGGTTGCAATTCCTTTACGATGCGTCGATGGCAGACGCATTTCGTTATCTTTTTTATGATAGTACTACGCGCTGTCAGTCCGCCATCGATGCTATTCGGGATCTAGCGACATGCAGCAATATCTTCGATCTACTGGTGGAGTACATCCTACACCCGGACTCACCTCAGGACTATCTACTATCAGCTAGCGACATTCTATGCAAGGTGCTTGTCAGAGAGATACCGGGCGTTTCGCAACCTGTCTTGGCTCACGTTCCCAGGATTGCGACACATATAATACGTCATCGATTCATTGACGATACAACCCATTGGCAGATTCAACCACTCAGCGAAATTGTTCTTTGCGCCATGAGCTACATGTCTGTTAAAATGCTGCAGTGTTATAGAGCTACTAGCCCTGATGCTTTGGCTTCAGTGCCGGCCGCTACTCTTAATGAGCGACACTCGCAATTTAACTCTTTGCTGGGGGTTGAGTTGGATCGTAATGTACTAATTTCGACAATCCCTGATTCTGACTACATGCTGGACACAGCCAACCCCGGTGTTACTCTCACACCCTTGGGTCTGCCTACCATAGATGACTACGAACAGGGCATCTACAAGATCTACTTTTGTATTCTTAGCGCTTTTAATAATTGGGACGCACAGCTAGAGCTACTTCAAAAGAACAATGGTCGCGAAATCCCACTAGGAGCTGTCCTTCTCTTTAGGCTGGCTGCACGTATTCTCTCTATTTCTGCAGACGTGCGGAACTCTCTTGTTCCCGACGAGCCACCCAAATACTATACGTCTAATAATGTGCAAATAACCTCGCCGTATTCGTACTCCGTCGATAACTTTTCACGTCTCCCCGAATCCGGTCACCATGTCAGTAGCGGAAACATCAAGGTGCCACTCAGGGATATCATTTACTGTGGAGGTATTCCTGTCCATGTTGGGGTCCTTTCCATAGTGAAAAAGGTTGTCGCATTGAAGCTGCATGTCATCTCTATTTCCTGCATTAGCAAGTTTCCTGCAAGCACCGTGGTACATTTCTGCGCATTGCAGATTCTTCAGTCAACGCTGCAGTATGGCCGAGAGATGCCAGAGGTGACAATAGCAGTGGCTACAGAGCCCTCCATTATGCTGCGCTTCGAGACAGCCAGTTATGGAGTGTACTCAGAGCTCAATAAGAGGAGCAGCAGTCTGTCACATTTAGTGCAATTGGCGCGGTACCTTCTCCGACTATGCTTTGGAATTTCTGACCAAATGGACCTGAAGTATAAAATGCAGTATTTAGAAAACGGAAAACTGAGCAATCTCCCCTGTGACATGCACGAAATGCCCGAATTGGTATGGAAACACGGTATATATCCAACTTCTCTGAGTGCGGCATTAAGGCTGGCTCAGGAACTCTCTACTAGCGGAGAGGACGGGAAAATAGTATACAATGAGCTTCTGGATGCACTGAGCAGTTCACCGGGGTTTGTGAAGTTTAGTGAAGTATTCCTTGAGAAGGATGAAACGACTCCTACGGTATTCTCCGACGGTACTAAACATGTCTCTACAATAAGCAACACGGACTCCATTCTTAGCTAGCTTAGTCAGTTAGCCTTATCATTTATGACTGCTACACGGTTCTCCCACTTATCGGTGCAGCGAATTACTTGAGGATCAGTACTACTGAAGGTAACGGAAATGGGAATCGGTGGCACGCCCAGCAGGGCCATGTACTTGTCCAGAAACAAGTCCATGGAATAGGGCTCGCAGGCGCTTACGATAGCGCTAATCTTATCGTGCGATAAAGGAGATGGTGCACTTTGGTTATTCTTCCCGTGAAACGCTGTGAGCTCGCTTAAGCGAAAGCTCTTGTACTTCTGCATAAAGCTGCATGAATCAGCCAGTGCGCTGAAGGACGAGTTGACTTGCATCCGACATTGGCGGCAGAGCACAGAGTACATAGGCCCATGGTCCGTGGAGCTGTTCGAAAAATAGATCAGTTGAAAGATAGGATGTGAGTTGTTGCACTTGAGATGAGCAGTTTTGAGGCAGCGTGCACATGTAAGCATAAAGCTCTCACTTGGCCGGCGTCCACGACTTTTAGAAAATGCACCCTGCGATCCTGTGCTGCAAATAGCGCATGTGTGGAGGGGGCACTGATCCGATATAGCATTTCGCTTGCAAAAGTTCATTAGACATATATAGTGTGCAGAAGTGCTACAACCATTATGTTTGCAGACAAAGTCTTTTTGAGACGTTGGGCGGAAGCAGTAGCAGCAGATCCTTTGTCCTCTTGAACAATAGAGACAGAGAAATGTTGCCGGTGTGGTGCCTTCCGCAGGGCTTTGAACGGAAGTCAAATCATGTTGAAGAAAACTATGGACCTCAGGAGATGTGAAGCAACTTTTACAGAAGCATCTTTGGCATTTTCCAGAGCATCTAAAGTCCGGATGTTCTAGGCAGATGGAGCAGCCAGTGTGAGAATACATTTTTAACTCAGACCAAATTTCAAGAGTTCATGGTTTGTAAACAGGTTAAATCGAAGCACCTTTATAAGTCCAGCCTTCCTGGACTAACTATTGAAGGGAACAGACCGAGCTGGGATGTTTTCCTCCGCTAATAAAAACCAAAAACCTCCTGTTCATGCGCGATGATGTGACTCTTCAAGATCTTATTCAACACTCGTCACTGTATGTTACAGGAGGCTGTTCTACTGAAACAGCGCTGGCAATCATTAGAAGGCTGACACCATTCGAGCAACAAGAGCTTCAGACCAGAAGAGCATACCTATCCCGCATTGTCTCCCTCAATCTCACAGCCTTGGGCCTTAAGCACGCGCATACCTACGTAGGCAACTGCACTTCACTGGCCTTTCTCTATCTTCCGCACAACGAGCTCTACGACATCTGGAAAATTGCTTTAACGCCATCAATCCTTCGGCTAGACCTTCGGTTCAACAAACTCGACAACCTGGGAAATTATCATTATTGGAGCCTTGCTTCACAGCTACGCTCCCTCCATCTGGACCATAACAACCTTTCTCTAGCTGCATTTGAGGCCCTTTCCCCACTTTCAAACTTGGTTATTTTAACATGCACCAACAACCCAGCGCTTGAAAACCCACATTTTCGTCACTACATCGTAAATCTTCTCCCGTCACTCCAGTTTCTAAATGGCTCCGTGATTTCACTCGCCGAGCGGATTTCGTATCTAAATCTGAGCGATAGCTTATTGCAGGGGCTTTCTCTCAACATCAAATACATGGAATCTTGTCCGTCTCTGTCATCTCTTGATGCTTCATCTCTGGGGCACCTAAAGGATTGCTACGCCCGTTACTGTGGGATCATCTATGATTCGGAAAAGCCTATCAAGGACCTTGTCGACCCATTTGCATTTGATGCCTATAATGTTGAGGTCTTTCGTGATGACTTGCGAGCTATTGCTTCTGTGTACCAACGTATGTGTCCGATTGTGACTCTGCAACGCATCTGTAAAGGGTTTGTTGTACGAGCCAGATGCAAGACGATAATGTGCCACAGATCCCATGCAGCCACAACAATTCAGGCCTTTTATCGCATGTTCAAGGTCTATGCACACTATTCATCGGAAATAAAGTTGCGTGTTTTGGCTGTCAAACGTGCTACGCTAACCATACAACGAACGTATAGATGCATGGCAGACAGATGGAATATGGAGCAGAAGGACAGGGAAGAATCTCACCGTGAGCGTGCCGCTACGCTGATTGCTCGCGCCTATCGTCAAATGGCAAGTCTGCAATCGCAATGTCATTCATTAAGTGACGCGTCTCGACGTAATGATGAACTCAGGAGTCTCCGACTGTACGTCGCAAGAGCAGGAGATAAATATTCTAATCTGATAGCCATTTTCGAGCAACTTATTCAAATCATCCTTTCGGAACTACAAATAAGCATTTTTGCTTACCCAGACGCCCGTCCAGAAGAGCTCTCTCTTTATACTCATCACAAGGCAGGTGCATTTTCTGCTACGCCTACAGATTATCAGCTTCTCAAGGCAGTGCCTTCGACTTCCATGAGAGCTGGAGAAGTCTTTGATATGTGCATCAAGAAACGTAACTTTAAAACATTTGCAGCTGCATACTCAATCATTGCTAGTAGTCCATATGAAGCACCAAAAGACATTCTTCACAGCAAGGCCTTGGCCCGTGCAACTAGCTTTGCGACAAAGGATTTACACAACAGCCTCTATCAGCGTGTTATGAGGAGCTTGGAGTCGGTCAGCCTCCCGGAGAGCACCCAGAAAGCCCATTGGGATGCTGCCGATGGCACAGATATGCCATTCATCTTACAACTCGACTTTAACCTGTATTGTATCTCTAGTCTCTTTAGATATCTCTTGTCGGAATTTCAACTCATCTCTTTTGCAAGCTTTTATCCAGAGGACATGATCAGTGATGTTGAAAGGTCTATTACCGTTGGGAAAACAATAGCGACAAAGCACTTATCTCATAGCCTTTACCAGGAGTTGATTTCTCTTGTCACCGCAGGCTGTTTCTCTAACAGTATCAGCATTCCTTCATACAGAAAGCGTGCGAAAGAAAAGCGATCAGTCATACTGCTGCTAACAGAGCACACATTGGTACAGACAAGTGCCGCCTGCAGTATTCAATCCCTCTTTAGAATGTGGCGCAGTAACATGATACTTACGCCGCTAGAGTTGTTCGGCTACCATGTCGAAGAGTACAGTGTGAGTCCTGAACATAGGAACACGCTGACAGACCAATCTAGACGTGACTCAGCTCTTGCCAACGCTAGTGCTAACTTAATTGCTGCATTAAATCCACGGCAGTCAACCAATGTGATCCCCCGATCTACCTCTCGTTTATCGGTATTTACATCTGCTCCATCCGTCGACGATTGGAAAGCACGACTCAACGAGCATGATGACGGGCTTAGATCTTCTTCTAGTACCGTTAATACTTCTGTCTTATCTGAGCCACTAGTTAATTTGCAGAATACCAGGGACTCTGACTACGGGAAGTCCTCGGATTGTTATTTGCCAGATGACAAGACTACCGTCTCAAAGACTACACTGTATCAAAGTGACTCAGTATCTATCCTACCTCAACACACAATTCCACCGAAAAGCGTAGATTCAGAGCAGGGTATGTACTCTGGCACACCACTTTGTATGCATTCCTATCCAATTATCCGCCTAGCTATTCGAGTATCAAGAGCGGCTCAGATCATTCAGCGGAACTTCCGGCGTATCTTGGCCAGGATGAGACTTTTAGTAACGCTAAAGGCCCGAACTGTCTTTGTAGATATTGTTAAAAATGGTTTCTTTTTGATTTCCCAGACAGTCGCTGGTCATCTATTTGACAACTGCTTATTGAACCCGCAATCTACACGCAAGCTTCCTCACGTGACTTCCTATTTGGGAGAACATTCTTATATCACTCTTTTACCGCCTCTATCAGAAAAATTTAAGCAACACATCCAACAACTGGACACTTCACACTATAGTGATTCGTCTAGCAGGCCGAAAACAAATAGTAAGGAAGAACTAGCAGCTCAAAAGCAAAAGCGTGCCAAGGCGTTAGCTGAAGCCTGCGACTGGTCTCTTAGCACTGACTGGGTCTTCAGAGGTTACTACGGCTCTGATATCGTTACCGCTATAGGCTTTGAATACCAGCTTGACGCGGCCTCTTCACACCTCTTCACGAAGGACCTCGAGACTCTCAACCGCAGACCAAAAAGTAAGCTAGAAAGACGATCAACCCAATTAAACATGAATGTACTGCAGAACCTGAATTATAATCGCATTTTCGGCCATCCGTTTTTAAAGCAGTGGGGGGCCGTTGAAGTCTATTCGAGTAGGTGTTACATCAATTCTGTCCTTTCTGCCAATAGTCTTTATTGTCACTACCTACGGTCCTTTCCTCAGGATAGTCAGAAAGGAGTTGTTCAAGGTATGCAAGGAACTGGTGACAGGGAGCAACTTTATAACCAATCGGACTTCAACTTCTTTGCCCTCCCTATGGTAGCTGGAGAATCAAAGAAAGCCTCTCAATCGATTTCTGCACAAATAATTTGCGGCTTGCGGTCGATTTCCTCTCTCGCAGTAGGGATTAACGGTGACGACACTGAAAATCGGTTTGAAATGATATTAGACTGTGATCCGTTTCGCACTTTCTGTAGTGACAGCAGACTCTCTTACTTCCCGCATAAAGAGCATGATGAGGCAATGCTAGAAGATGTAACGCCATATATACGCTACAACATGAAGGCGACTATACTCAGCAATCTTCGCATAATCAAAGAAGGCCTTGTATTCTCGCTTCCATCTAAGGAGCTATTTTCTACGACTCTATTTGATGATTTTCAGTACGTTACTGGCGGATTATATTGTGTCACACATAGACCTGGTTGCAGCATACCAGACCTTGCATTTAAGGCCGCACTTTTGGAGATATGGTTCTGCGATCCATTCAGATACAACTATAGTACAGTATCTCTATCTTCTATGTGTAGAACCTTCCTTGGCAGCCCCGGAATTATATTGACACCCAATTCTGTAATCATGACACTGGCTACACTATCGATTCAACGAGTTATGCGTGGCCATCTTGTCAGAAAGCAATTAAATATAATTAGAAACGTGCATGCACTGGTAAAGCTACAAGATTATGTAGATGCTCCGGTTCGAAACGCTTTTCGTGAAAAGTACGCTGTACAGATGATTAAGTCCATCGTGGAGCCCCCCAAAAAGCCACTTAGCGTCCTACAACTGGGAAGTTTCTGCAGGCAGCCTGCCCACACTCTGTCGACGTCTGCCCTACCCCCAACTCCACGCAAATTAACGCCCAGAAACACCGACTCCAGCATGACATACCTTCAGCCAGCGCAAATTAAGACTAAGCCCAGGTTTTCCTATAATACCGTAGAAATTGTTCGAGAGGGGCAGCGGGCTGGTGTATTACCGCTTGTCCTCAAGTCTAACATACATCCAATAGATGTGCGTACAGATATAGACTCGAAAACATACTCCTTGGATGCTTTGGATGCCTATGCAAAGACAGGAGCAAATCCAGCCTCTAACGAGACCCGCTTAATAGAGGCCTTTTACAAAGCCTCTAGGGAGCTTGGACAGACTATGAACACGCGGACCAACAGAATAGTTGTTGCTGGGATCCGGGAAGCTACGCTCATTGATCCGCGTCCCGCGGAAAACATCCAGAAAGCAACACTTTTGCTCAATGAGTTGAAGGATTTAACAACCAAGCAACCTATTCCTATGCCTGTCCATGATAGGCTACGTCTGCAGGATTATTACAGAAACAAGATCATGCTTCCTATGGAGCTGCACCGATTTGTGGCTCAGCATACGGTGAAAGGTGGATACAATGACCATAGATCCTCTAGAAAATCTACTGCATCGTCTGTACATCGTGATATTGAGTCTACGTCGAGCAATTCTTCAGTGGTTCTAGGAGGAACTTTGAAGGAATTGACAGCGTTGAACAGAGAGGTGGAGCGTTTTAGCCTGGAAGAAGACCGACTTACTGAACTTCGCAACGACTATAGTTTTTCTGATACCGAAGACGACAATCTTGCATGCACAGATCACTGTTCGTCGTCCAACAACCAATTCGGGCGTCTTCATACCCAGTTCACAGAGGCGGAAGAACTTGCCATTCAAACACAATTACGCAGAACCATTTTGGAGAAGGATACTTCAGCTGCAAAAGAGCATTGTGCTCAGCATAAAATTGCGCTAGCTAAGGAGGTGAGTGCTTATTCTTCCAAACTTAGGGAAGAGGCAGAGGTTCGTCGCACCTATAAGCACGCAGAACAGATGAACCTACGAGCAAAGGTGCATAATTCTAAAGCAATTGCAAAATGTGGCACTGTTGGAAAGCACTTAGCTGGAGACTTGATTGCACGTATGAGAAAGCTAGACTCCGTCTTACGCTCAGATTGTGCTAGCTGCAGGAAAATCCTTGATAATTAGGGGAACTAATTGAATTACTCTTGCCTTGGAAACAAATCCTTTACTCGCTTTGACGTAAAAACCTGTGCGCCGGTGGCCGCGTGGGAGGAGTGTGTGAAAATACCAATGGCATCTACACCACAGAAGACAGGGAGTGTGAGGCATACTTTCTGAAATCTGTGAGGTGCGGCTTTATGGCGGCTTTAACGGTACACAAGCCACGCCCGCCTGCAACAGATGGCCTCGATAGGATGCTCTTGAGTAGGGCACCAGTCAGCTGTCAGTCCTTGGGTACCGCAGAAAAGCACCAGTGCCTTCTTGTTCTACACTGCGGCGTGCTCACAGCGATACGCTGAAGGATGCGTGCGGCCCGGTGGAGGCGGCTTCCACTACTATCTGATCGCCCCTTAGTGTGAGCGTGATTCGACGGGCAATGTTGTACTTGGTAGGTTTAGCATTCGCTTACTTGGCGCTTGCCGATCCAAAATCGTGCACCAACTCTCAAAATTGTGCATCTGGAGATAACTGTCTAGATGTCAATATGAATGGTTCTCCTACAGAGGTTTGCACAAAATGCGAGCCAAACAACGTCCCGATCAACGGGGCGTGCCAGTTGTGTGGGGAGGGGCACTACCTCTACAGCGGAGGATGCTACGCCGCGTGCCCTCAGGGAACCCCAAATCCTGAGACTAACACGTGCGACGGAGTCCCCACCCCTGATTGCAATCTCCCTAACTGCAAGTCATGTCCCGACGGTACGTGCACAGAGTGTAACGACGGATTTGTTCCAAGTAATGGTAGCGAGTGCGTGTCTTCTAGCGTCAACAAGAGCGAGCTCTCCACCGGCGCCATCGCGGGGATTGCTGTGGCTGTGATTGTTGTTGTAGGTGGTCTTGTCGGATTCCTTTGCTGGTGGTTCCTCTGCCGTGGAAAGGCGTAGACTTAGGTAGTAAACGCGTCACCGTATATTGCTTATTGTACTATGCTGCTGGGGCTATCTGAGCGTGGTCCAGAGATCGTGCGGGTGGACCCGCTCCTTCCTGGTCAGTCCGGAGACGACTGTTGGTCATGGATAGCATAACGAGAGAGTCCTTTTCAGTGATACATCCAGACTCTGGTGCCTTCTTCGGTCGCTCTGTGGGCGTGTGCTCAGACTGTGCGTGCGCGTCGTTCAGTCTAGGAGTCAGCTTACTCACCAGCACATGTAGTCTGTGAGTAGTGCCTCGCTTCATGGTCTTTCTTCATGGTGGATGGTAGATATGGGTTGTTACTATCTTTTTAACAATGCTTTCATTTGTCTCGACGACAGCAGCTATTAGGTCTCTGGCTCGCTATAAGGAGCATCGTTATTTGTTCTCGGTCGCTGCTTCCCCTGTGAGTAAGCAGATCTTCTCTCGCCATCTCTCTGGCTCCACTGGCTGGGCCCTCGGTGTCCGTCCGGCTGTGGTTCTGGGTCAGCGCTCCCACAGTCGCGGTCACGCAGGTCTCAGTGGGCCAGCTAGTGGGTGAGGCGGGGTTGGTGGGGCGGTGAGGCTGGTGGGACCGGGGGGCGGTGTTGTATGTGTCCCTGGTCCGGTGGGCCATTGGGGCGGTGGGTGATCCCCGCTCTGTTTGCTAAGGTGGATGTGTCTGATCTCCAGCCTTCGTTGCACTCCTGAGACAAAGGCACCGACGATCGTGTCGTGTCCCCTGACTGAGTGGTGTGCTGCTGGGGCCCTCGCCTGCGGGCGCTGTCCGCAAATCTCGCGAGTAAATTCCCGCTCAATTTTTGGCGATGTCCGGAGACGAGGGTTGGCTATGGAATATGATAATGACCACAGTAGTGGAAGGGAGGAGCTAACTGCGTTCCTCGGCTGTTCTGCGGGTGTGTGCTCGGTCTAGGTGTGCACATCGGTTCTTTCAGAGACCAAGCCGTCCTGCAGGCTCGCTGGTCTACTAGGGTGCCTCTTCTTGTTCTCCCTTCACGGTGAGTGAAGCTCAGGTCTTTGTTGTCATTCTCAATACTGTCCATACAGATCAGCAGCAGCTAACGGGGCGTTCTCTCCTGGTTGGGATTCCACTCGACTGCGTGTCCAGTCTTGGGCCCCTTCTCGATCGTTGTCGTCGGGTCCCGGGGATGGACTCATTCGGTTGTCAGAAGTAGGATGACAGGAGACGGTCGCTCTGGGTGACCAGGCTTTCGGCCCGGCCCGTCTGATCAGCTTCGTCAGGTGCTCGTTCGCCTCTGCAGCCATGTGGGCGATGGCGAAGGCAGCCCGGACGGAGAGCTTCTCGACGTCCACGTGGAGCTCCTCGAGGCGCCTCTTGGACTGGGGTGGAGGGATCCGTCTGTCTCGTCCCTGTACTTCTTGACCTTCTCGTTGTAGTAGGCATCCATCTGGCGGGGCTGGATGACGCCCACATCTATCGCCTTGCACTTGTCGACGAGCCAGATGTCGGGCTTCTGGTTCTGGTCGCTGAGGTGGCTGTGGGTCTTGACCTCCAGGTCTGCGTTGAACTTCCCCGAGACGCGGAGGTACAGGCACGTGACGATCATGTCGTGCCTCGTGGTCCTGGTCCACGCCGCTTTCGGGCAGTTCATGTCGCGGTCGAGGGTCTGCCGTGTGGCAGCCCGGGCAGGTGCCTCTTGTCTGCGCCATGATCGAGCCATCTCTCTGCTTCAGGGCCCTTTCCTCCTCGGTCAGCACGCCGCACATCTGCAGACAGTACGCCGCCGCTCTGTCCGGAAGCTGGTGTGTGCGCGTGAGGAGGCGGTTGAAGTAGGTCCCCTTCCCCTGCAGTGCCTGGCCGTCCACCGGCAGCTCCACCGGGTCTCTGGTCCCCTTGTTGACGTCCAGGGAGGCCCATGCCCTCCGCAGCTCGTCGTGGTAGAGCCCCGGCATGAGCAGGCCCGGGCCGCCCTTCTCCTTCGGGTACGCCAGGAAGTCGACCAGGCGATCGCAGCTTCTGCTGGTTAGTGCTGAAGCCTTGTGCGATGTCTGTCGAGCTCCTCGTAGTCCGCCTTGTCCGATGCTATCTCGACCAGGGGGGCGTGGTTCACCATCGGGACCACACAGAGTGACATCAGGATGAGCTTCTGGTGGATGGTTATGGGGGCAGTCTCAGCACCTGCGATGGCCTTTGGGGCAAGGCTTGCTGGAGTGGGGGACGCCGGGTGGTTGAGAAAGGTCACCTCCTCGCCCGCCATGGTGGACTTGCAGTTGTCGCTCCTGATCGTCAGGCCCATGGCGGCGGCCTCCACCGTGGCCTGCTTATTCCTTTCATAACAAACAGTCACTGATAATAGCGTACCTCTAGCTGCATACTTACTCTCATCTGAGCTCCTCCACTTTCCTCTCTGCACCAAATACTGTAGATGACAGCATGTGATTCTATTATTCTCCTGAACACTGATCTAGGCACCCTTTGTCGATGAAAGCCACACTCCTGGTATCGACAACAAATATCATACCATCTTCATCATTTCATGGCGTAATTCTCAAGAAACTTGCTTTCTAAATGGCTATTGCCCGAGCGCTGGCCCAATGTTCGATAAGCTTATTTTTGTAAGCTTGGCCCTGCAAATGGCCTTGGCGTCGCAAACAGCAAGTAAAGCAAAGACAAACCCAACGCCGTGCGCCGCCGCAAACCCCGGCGCGACAAACTGCGCCGCCGACAGCTGCAACGTGGAAATCGGGGGCCAGACCTTCTGCTCCAAGTGCACAGGGGACAAGGTCCCGGTGAATGGGGAGTGCAAGGCGAAGACGGACGCGGGCATGTGCACGGTCGGTACAAACGATAAGGCAGGGACGTGCACGGCCTGTACGAACGCGCACTACCTCTACAAGGGCGGCTGCTACGCCGAGTGCCCCGACGGGACCCAGAAGAACGAGGGCCGGAACACGTGCGACGAGGTCGCGCCTGCTGGCCCAACGCCGTGCGCCGCCGCAAACCCCGGCGCGACAAACTGCGCCGCCGACAGCTGCAACGTGGAAATCGGGGGCCAGACCTTCTGCTCCAAGTGCACAGGGGACAAGGTCCCGGTGAATGGGGAGTGCAAGGCGAAGACGGACGCGGGCATGTGCACGGTCGGTACAAACGATAAGGCAGGGACGTGCACGGCCTGTACGAACGCGCACTACCTCTACAAGGGCGGCTGCTACGCCGAGTGCCCCGACGGGACCCAGAAGAACGAGGGCCGGAACACGTGCGACGAGGTCGCGCCTGCTGGCCCAACGCCGTGCGCCGCCGCAAACCCCGGCGCGACAAACTGCGCCGCCGACAGCTGCAACGTGGAAATCGGGGGCCAGACCTTCTGCTCCAAGTGCACAGGGGACAAGGTCCCGGTGAATGGGGAGTGCAAGGCGAAGACGGACGCGGGCATGTGCACGGTCGGTACAAACGATAAGGCAGGGACGTGCACGGCCTGTACGAACGCGCACTACCTCTACAAGGGCGGCTGCTACGCCGAGTGCCCCGACGGGACCCAGAAGAACGAGGGCCGGAACACGTGCGACGAGGTCGCGCCTGCTGGCCCAACGCCGTGCGCCGCCGCAAACCCCGGCGCGACAAACTGCGCCGCCGACAGCTGCAACGTGGAAATCGGGGGCCAGACCTTCTGCTCCAAGTGCACAGGGGACAAGGTCCCGGTGAATGGGGAGTGCAAGGCGAAGACGGACGCGGGCATGTGCACGGTCGGTACAAACGATAAGGCAGGGACGTGCACGGCCTGTACGAACGCGCACTACCTCTACAAGGGCGGCTGCTACGCCGAGTGCCCCGACGGGACCCAGAAGAACGAGGGCCGGAACACGTGCGACGAGGTCGCGCCTGCTGGCCCAACGCCGTGCGCCGCCGCAAACCCCGGCGCGACAAACTGCGCCGCCGACAGCTGCAACGTGGAAATCGGGGGCCAGACCTTCTGCTCCAAGTGCACAGGGGACAAGGTCCCGGTGAATGGGGAGTGCAAGGCGAAGACGGACGCGGGCATGTGCACGGTCGGTACAAACGATAAGGCAGGGACGTGCACGGCCTGTACGAACGCGCACTACCTCTACAAGGGCGGCTGCTACGCCGAGTGCCCCGACGGGACCCAGAAGAACGAGGGCCGGAACACGTGCGACGAGGTCGCGCCTGCTGGCTGCAATCTCCCCAACTGCGAGGTGTGCTCGGAGGACAAGCAGAAGTGCACAAAGTGCCAAAGTAACTACTTCCTCACTCCAGAGAAGAACGCTTGCTTGGGGTCTTGTCCGGCCGGAACGTATCTATCCGGGCAAACGTGCGCGCCCTGCGACCCCTCCTGTGCGGAGTGCAGCGGGGCCGGCGCTTCCAAGTGCACGGCCTGCCCCGCCGGGAAGATGCTGAGGTACGCCGACGAGACCAAGCTTAATGAGGGCGGCCAGTGCGTGGAGCAATGCGTGGAGGGCCCGGAGTGCGAGACGTGCGGCCTAACAATTGGAGGTACCAAGTACTGCTCGAAGTGCAAGGGGAGCAACGTGCCGCTCAATGGCGTCTGCACAAGCAATGCGGCCAGGACTCGGTTCTGCACCACTGCCGCTAACGGTGCTTGCACGGTCTGCGCCGCCGGATACTTCATCCAGGAGGGCGGGTGCTATGAAACAACGAGACAGCCTGGCAAGCAGGTATGTGCACTAACTGATAACAAAGGAAAATGCCAGACATGCACCAATAGTCTTGGTCCGGACGGTGCTGGAACCTGTCCCTCGTGCGATCCTACTTGCAAGACATGCTCAGCCGCCAATACTGCAAACACCTGCACGACGTGTGCCACAGGATACTACAAGACCGCATTAGAAGGCGCCTGCACATCTTGCGAAAACAGCAACGGTGATATTACCGGTGTCAAGGACTGCTTAAACTGCGCCCCTCCGCCCAACAATAAAGGTTCCGTCCTCTGCTATCTCATGAAAGATGGCGACAGTACCGGCGGAAGCGTCAACAAGAGCGGCCTCAGCACAGGCGCCATAGCGGGCATCTCTGTGGCTGTCATCGTTGTAGTCGGGGGTCTTGTGGGCTTCCTCTGCTGGTGGTTCCTCTGTAGAGGAAAAGCATAGATACTTAGGTAGTAAACGCATCCACTACGTGTAGCCTGTGATACTCAGCCCACCACGCAGGGAAACAGAAAGTCCATGAATAGGCACGGGACCACCCGCGTGCCTGCAGCCTCTAGCTAGCCCCTCTTCCGGTGTCTCTACATCCTCGGAGAGCTGGGCCTTGTGCCTTCCCTGCGCGGGTCGACCCCTTGCAAACCCCTGTGCGCCGGTGTTCTCTCTGTCCCTGTGGCGTCCTCCCTCAGACGACACCTACTGGCCCGGCTACCCGGCAGATAGCACCCAAAAGCGGATCCTCGCAGTTTTTGGAGGAGATACCGGATCCGTGGAAGTGTGGACCAACGGAGGCAAGCCCATGAGACGCTCTCGCCTGGTGTGTGCATAGCTCTGATCTCGCGTACTAAATGCTACTAAGGTTCCCCATCGCATAACAAGGTGCCAGGTGGGGTTCAGAAGGCAGCCAGCCCTCCCATCACCCCAGATCATCATAGTGCTACCGCTGTCCACTATGGAGGCGCTCTGACCCACAGTGCCTGAGGTTGTTGGTGCAGGCGACAAAGGAGTCTCTTATTAGATACCATCAGTGGAAGGAACGGGGCCTGGGTGTCTTGTCCTTCTGCCAGTGATCGGCACCCTTTGCTGTGGGCACTAGGGTGGCTGGATCTCCCACCTGCTGACAAGGAGCCAGGTGATGCTCGCTTGTCATCCTCAACCCGGGCTGCGGCTGGTCCTGGGCAGATAGACATGAGCACAGGGATCTCGTCCCCCGTTGTAAACCACGCCACACAGAGAGGGCGTAGTAGCTCGATGCATTTTCCTACGTTACACGACGCAAAGAAGAACGGCCTTTTGATGCGTAGCTCTGGAAGCCTGCAGAGCCCAACCGAGGGGACTACATCCTGGTGTTGACTTCTGATACGGTTCGGTAGAGGCCAGCTCGATGCTCGCAAGCTTGTGGGAAGCACCAGGGCCGGCACATGCACCTGGACAGCAACGCAGGCACACATCTCGGATGCAACTCCGCTAAGGATCTTGCGAGGGGTAGGCTTGGGTCAGTGGTGGAAGGACTTTGCGCAAGCGCTCCATGCATCAGGGGCCCCTCGAGACCACGAAAGCTCGGTGGCACTGGCGCACATGTGAACGCGTGACAGCTTACGGGTGGAACGGCTGGGACGCGCATAGCAACACGCCTATGAGAGCTATGCACGGCGCAGTGATCCGGCTGGCTCCTCTCGTAATACGGAGCATCGGTTGCGGGCATGTGCTCTTGAAGAGTGGGGGCATCCAGATGAGTAGTGCAGACGTGAGTGCAACTGGCGGCGCTCAGAGTAAGCATCGGGTGGACACGTAGGGGACAAGAGCTTATGGCACCACCTGGTCGATGGACGACTCAAGATATGTGACGTACAGCAATCCTTCGGCTGGAGGTGATGATTGTCCGACAGATGCCAGAGCAGCTGTGTAGATTGGGTCCTGGTGGTGGTCTGCCACAGGAGGACGCAGGCAGTATCTGTTTGGATAGTAGATACGCTGACCGCCACCGGTTTGCACAGCACACCTCTACAATCGATCCCAGCCTGTATAAGGAAAGAAAGCGAATGTTCTCGGTTTCAGACAGAGCAGACCCCGATAAATACTATGCTGCTACAAACACATAAAATCAAAAGGCAGCGTCCGTCTCATCTGCAGACCCCACAGCCCTTCCATGCTCAGAAGCCGGGGAGGCACTACAGGCGTCCTTTGTGCAACCCGGGCCGATGGCTGGACTCGCTAGTGCTAATCCTATCTCCCAGGCCCGCCGGCCACCCCTGCCTTCTCTCCGGGAACTGCCGCGTACGGATAGCCTCCTCGGCTGAGGCGTATCACCATGGACCAAACACTAAGGCGAGCGCGGCCGGAGACGGACACCTCGCAGTTGTCCAACGCTAGCGGCGAGTATGCAAATGAGTGTGCGGCCTTGACAAGTGCGCTGTGATCCAGGTTCCCGGCAGGTTAGGCCCATAGCAGCTGGTGCGCAGGTCGCTGGTCTATCTTGGAGGGCGGCGGGCGTCCCTGCTGCAACCAGCACTTGCCTTGCCAGTAGCGATGGCCCAGGTCGTGGTATCTGGTCCACGCTGGACGTCACGCAGGGATGCGCATATTGCTCGAGAGGACCAGCACGGCATCTGCCGGTCTACGGGCGCACGTGCCCTCCCATTGTGGCAAGCACAGGGCGGGAGTGGTCGTCGGTGGGGCAGCTGCCCCTTCCATGAATACGCTACCCTGCCCACATACGCCGCTGTCCCCTGTGCTGCTCGTGGCCATGGGTACCTGTAACACAGCAAAGGGTGGAGGGCGTCGCAAGGACCCCCGTGCTCCTTGTCGAGCGAGCTGGCGCGGCATAGCCGGCCCTGTGCGGGGGCGCTGCTCCGGGAGACGGCGTCCGCTATCACGGCTTCCATCTGCACGTCGAGTCTAGCTGCTGTCTGTCCAGCCGAGGGGATGCGGCCCCAGGCACGTGTTCCAATGCGCTGCGCATTAGTGGCAGAGATACCCCGATGGCAACATGCCCCTCTGGCGCCCGGTCCTACCAAGCAAGCAGGCGCTGGGCAGAGTGCTTCTCCCATGCTCGCGACCCCGTGCCCTTACCATGGCCCTGTGGCGCTCCGTTCCTGGTGCTGCTGACAGAGCCCAGTTGGCCTGGCGATGCTGATGCAAAGCGCCTCCGCTGTCTTCCGGCGTCAGCCCTCCCTGGCTCCTGGCCTCCTTCGTGGAGGGGGGCCGGGAGTCTTGCTGCTTCCACTCTCCCCTATTTGCAGCTCTTATGAGAGCTGTGACACAAGTATGGTTTGTCTTTGCAGAAAGTGTCAAAGTAATATTTCTACCACCGCTCTTTTCGTCCTTATTGGGAGAGCCTTCTAGCTTGTCCGATATCCTGAGCTAGTAGTCACACTACTATAGTCCAGGAAGAGGCAGTTACAGGTGCAGAGGAAAGGTATTATAGCCTACGTTGATAGTTACTGGGTCATAAAGGCAGCCTTAAGAGCTAAACTCGAGCTTCCCGAGGGTGCCCAGTACGGTTGATAAGGGCTTCGAATCATACGCTGTTGGCCATGACTAACGAGTCCAATAAAGTCAATTTCAAAAAATGTTGATGGACATCAAGGACCGCCTCAAAGACCACGTTACTTGTCTTGTGGATACATGGAGGGCAGTGGGTGTAGACGTAGACGGTCTCCCAGATGTTGCAAAGCTAGTGGATGAACTTCTATCCTCTGCTCGGATAACTACAGAAGAACTCACGCCCTTAGAGTTACACGAGAACTTATCACGATTTCTGCTTGAGTATAGTAATCCCATTCTGCTCTCTATTATGGCTCCTTTCATAGAATTTCGTGACAACACCCCACTTCTAACCATCAATCAATGGAGCAGTCGTATCAAGCCGTCAGAGCCAGCTACCGACATGTTCACGGACTCATTTATGCAGGAATATAAAAACACCCAACTTCTCGCAGATAACTTGCGACGGAAGTTTCATGCCAAGGATATAGAGGACATAGAGGCTTGGGAGGGGTGCCACGATCTATACGATCCTGGCACAGTTAAGTCACGTCTTCCGTATCCAAAAACAGTGCCTATTTATTGTACGCCCGGAGAAAACTTGGAGCTGTCAACAGTTGTCCCTCAAGAGAAATTCTTCTCAAATTGGCACTTGTTGACAAACGGAATCCTTGACGGCATGGACTGGTCGAACGTGGTGGCTGCAGGTGGTGCTGTTCTTGCGTGTGTGCTGCCAGGATTCAGTCCAGAGGAGTATGGGGATGAGGGACGCAAATTTGAGGCTCTAATTAATGACAAACTTACGCTACATACAGGACATCGTACAGAAGTAGCTCCCCACTATATCTGCGGACTCAACGGGTTCTGGACTTCCGATATCGACCTTTTCATTCATAGTTGTTCTGTTGAAGAAGCTAGGAAGGTTATCGACCGAATTATCGATACGGTAACTAAGAACAATGCATCCGCAACCATCATGCGATCCTCCTTTGCTGTAACCATTTTTGGACTTAATCCCCATAGAGATGTCCAGATAGTCTTCAGGCTTTATTCACGTCCATGTGAGGTAATATATGGCTTCGACATTGACTGTTCCGGAGTTGCTTTCGATGGCACCTCTGTCTATGTAACCCCCCGCTGTCTTCAATCGTTACGCTGCCGTCTTAATGTCGTTAACATGACCTACAGAAGCACAACGTATAGCTCGCGTCTCATAAAATACGCGTATCGTGACTTTGCTATCGCTGTTCCAGGATACGATAGAAATATGGGAATACCACACCTTATTCCTTCAAAGGCGGATTTCTCCCACATTAAGATATGGAATAGCACTGCGGTTTCAAAGCACACTCGTGCAGATGTCGAACAGCGCTATATTCGTTGTCTAGCGGATATCAGAACGTCGGGTGCAACATCTTGTTTGCGGACCAAGGCCGCACCAGAGCTTTCTGCAATTATCGCTGAGGACATAACGATCCATCACATGCTCTACTGTTCGACATCTCGCGACCCAGTCGGCAAGAATCCTCGTCCGCTCTGCATAGGAGGCTTTCGAGGCTCCTCCTGCCAATGCAAAATAGCTAAGTCGTTGAAGGACGATCTCATTTCGTTTATTATCACTGTAGCTGTGCGAGGCGACATTGCCAATGCAGTAACATCCAGGACCTTAGCCAGTGAGCGTAGGAGCTTTGCACAGGGGCGCCGACACTATATTGATAGGGAGGATGTGACACATGGTCTCGTTGAAAATGCTCCTTTGGAAGACAATAGTGTCGAGGCTGTTTATCGAATTATTAATGCCGATTCTCGTGGTCTTGATCCTCTTTCTATTGCCTATCATCATCAGCACGACTATGCGACCCCATCGTCCACAGGCTTCCATACAAAGTCCTCTCTGCAGTGGGCCGACAAGCACCCACGGTGCGTCAATGGAATCTTTATCGGGCTTCTAGACTACGTTATGGGAGCATCCCCTGTCACCTTACTGGTGGACAATCCTGGGCGCCAGGGGCTTTTGACATCTAGCTTCCATCCCTTGCTCACCAATGGGTTCTATGGGGATATGCGATGGCTGGTGGGGCCACACACATACATCGATCTTTCAGCGCCGTCGCGCCCCAACGTTTCATACAATCCTGAAAGCCCCCATTTATTAGACTTGCTCTTCCGTATTACTCATTTCTACTCGCATCCTTCATATTTTGCAAGAATACTGGAAGCATCCGCTGAAGAACAAAGCTGTCGAAAATTGGCAGATGCAGCACTACAATGCACCTCTACAGAGTTCACTTCGTTTGCCAATATCTACAACATCTTACAAGATGGAAAGAAAGCTGCTGAACGCGGGCTTTCGGTCTGTGAAGAGAGCGTAAAGCAGCTTAGCGATCTTGAAAGCGCTTCTCAATCGTATGTAGGATCTCGCTGTGTGTTCAATGGCCTGAGCTTAACCCTTTTAGATGTCTTTGACATGATTAACAACAAACAGCTGGAAGCCAAAAGCAGCGCGGACGCCGTTTTCGGCACGCAGTATGACATTTTCAAATCTGTGGTACGCTTCTTCACATGCATTAACGATAGGAGGCATGCCTTAGCTACCTGGAAAAAGGACTATGACAGGCTTTCCTCCTTGCTGATAGAGTTCAATAGCCTTATGAATAACGTTAGAGTTTCGCTCTTGAAGGGCGTCCCATTCAAGAGCGAATGTTTTCGGATTGATAGTTCTGTGGCATTTTCGCAGGATTGGCTTTCTTTGCGTCAGCAGCTCGCATCTAAGTTTTATTCTTACGCAGCTGATAATTCCTTTGTGTCTCTGAAGATAGACTTTGTGGTGCCCAGCTTATTTGATGCCGTTCCCTCACTAAGGTCTATGAAGGACAATGCAAATCTCGATGTGTCTGAGGGATTACTTAAACGTTCAGGCGATGGGCTTCCTCATAAGTATGCCTACGCAGTCCCGGTACTAGATAGTTTAGTTCACATGGATAACTTCTTTTGTATTGTTCACGCAGATACAGAGCCTACGTTGACGAGGCGTGTCGACGAGCTTTCTAGCTATTTATCTCAAGCACTTACAATGGCTCCAGACTTCTCTGCAGGCTATGCAGAGGTCTCTATAGTCGGCGAACCCCTGCTCTCCGTCTTAACGGCTGCATATTCTTTAGACGAAGTTCTGCATTTGTTTAAGAGTATCTTATCCGTGCTGAGGATGTCCAAGCATGCAATTCTGGATTCCTTGCTGCGCAATGCTTATGTTGTGGATAGAAGTCATGTAGTTGTTGTGTCTGCCCCATCAACTCACGTAGACAGGTATGCGGCAAATCTCCTCTGCTGTCTCAAAGTCATTCAACGAATATGCGCTTCTCTTCTGCCGTTCAATCACCCCACCCTAGAATGTTTGCAACACGCGGTCTCTGCCGAGGATACCCCCGGTATAATCGATTCACTTGTCGAGTCTATTTTTGCATCTGCAGCCGTCTCAATGCACGGTGTTTTCCAGGCAATCCCCTTGCCACGTTGCGATATCATCAATATCATTTATAAAGGAATCACAAAGGAATCTAGTGCGAATACAGTTACTCATTTACTAAAAGGAGAACTGACGGCTCTGAATCTTCTCTCTGTCTTCAAACCTGGTGCAACGTTCGCATCTCTGGCATCTCATGCGTATACCTTCTCGACAGAAGCTGGGGATCTTACCGATGCTGAATATAGCTCTCTCCTTTTAAAAGCTTGTGCAGAAGAACATGTTCTTATCTATGATGGTAACACTAAACGGTACACCCTTCCAGCAGGGGAGATTTCAGCAGTAACAGTGGAGATTCTGCGTAGGCTTGGACGCCTTCTTAGCTGGGCCTTTTTGCACAGAAGATGTCTGCCCTTGCACTTATCAAATTTGATGGTAGCTCTTTTGAAGTTTGGGTCCACCTATACATACGCAGAAGAAACTCTACATGCTGTGCTTGCTGATGCTGATAATTCTGATGCTATCGCCTCGTCTATAAAATGCTTTGTAGATTCATCTGTCAATTGCATAACTGAGTTTGTTTCCAATTCTACTGGAATTAGATATGTCTTGAAAACCGACGGAGATGCACCCATAGAAGCCATACCAACAATACACATTTCGTCTAAGAAGAGGTTCGCTGCCCTCTACTACACCAACGAATTAATACATAACAAAATGATGTCAATCCGTGCCTTTTTGGAGTGTTGGGATAGTATTGATGTATTAGGAAGAGTGGGAGAAATGGTTGGGATCAATCTTAGGTCAGCGCTTAACGTGGGGCAATTGCGGCTTTTGCTAATGGATGACACAGACCCTACTCTGTAAATTCAATACATGTACGCATTACGTTTGCATAGAATTTCCGCTTTGGCTTCTTGAGGAATGGTACGGTGGGGAAGATGTCATCGTACATGACCTCCATGAGCCGGGTTGAGCTCGGCAAAGGGGCCAAGAATCTAGCGAAGATTAGCACATTCATGTGATGAGCTGCCGGTTTGCTAGTTTTGCTCTCATCGCGAACCTGTCTACTTCTTGAGCGACCCACTTTCTCTGTTGAAGCCGAGGAGGCACAGCAAGCACAGTCATAAACGGTGTTCTCGGCGAGCCACGTGTCTACATCAAAAAGGTGCACGGAGTCTAGGCTATCTATCTGCACTGTGACGTGTCGCTCCCCCGTGGGTTGTGCCAGATGGCTTTTTGCCTTAACCCAGGAGATACGTGCATGGAAGCGGTTCTCCCGAGTGGGACTGTCATGAACATATGCAACTCTGAATCTCTTCTGAAGCTTATTGTATGCCAGACAATAACTGTTAGAAAGCGGGCAGAAGACCATCTGGTCCACATATGGATCTAGAAGTGGGCTCAGATCAGCAAGCGTAGCAGTCTGCGCATCAATGACATAGCGTTTCCCATAAGAGAGACGAAGAGGAGCTTTGAGCCACGGCATGGAAGAGTGGATGGATGCATCAATATCCTGTAGTGACTCTAGAGGTGCGTGTGGGCTAAAACAGGAGGGAGCGGGATTCGCAGGGCCAGAGTCTGCGTCTGGGGGTAGCTCTGAGTCATGAATGTCCAGAAGTTCTAGTCTGAAACGAGTTATAAGCCTCAAAAGGCCTCTATCCATTTGAGTGCGTGTATATTTGTCATTACGGACAACCTTTTGGGGGATATCTTTTGCCTGTGCAATTATCTTTGCCTTGAGGTCGCTGGGCATGCTGGCCTCAAGATCACTGCCGGTAAATGGTAACTGCTCTTTGCTTGTATATCGTTTCTTGAAGAGGAGATCTAATTTAGTAACAGGCTCTGAGATCAACGCATCTGGCCCATATATAGCGAGGACATCTTCTTCAGAAATATCTCCAAGAGTCTCAGCTCCTGAATCTAAGAAGAACGGATTCCTTTGACGCCGAATAGGAACCGTCATTAAGAAAGCTTCTGCATCCTCTGGAAGAATAGAGTTTTCAAACCAAATACGAGTGACGACACAAAGGCGATGCTGAAGAGGCTTAGACGATATTGAAAGTGTGTTAGCCTTGGCCTTAAGATAATTTGTGCAAATATCATTCAATAGCCAGGTTGGTGTAGGCCCCCGTGACATACAAACCAGCGAACCTGGACGAAGGGACATATAGTTGAGTACATCGAAGCTTACTTGATTGACAATAACCAAAGTAAGAGGAAGTTGAAGAGCCGCGGGTAGGATGCAAGACGAGGCATAGTCTATGGTGGTCTTGTTGCCCTGGTTAAGCGCCCCAGAAAATGCTGCCTTCATGACTCGGTAAATATCTATCTTTTGCATAATTGCTTCCAAGCTTTGTCTGAGCAGCTCTCCAGCCTCTGTAGAAGACGTTATAGTCTCACATACAGAGTCAATAAAACGTGATGTTTTCTTTCGTAGCTCTGAGAGAGATGAAACGGCACTGGTGTTCAAGCCCTGAACCCGTTGATGCTCAACTACCTCATTCATATAGTGTGCATACTGAAGAAGTATCCCTTCAATGTGGCACTTCAGAAAGCCAGGAATTTCATGTGCAGCTACTGGCAAATCCGGGGACGTCATTTTGCAGAGGAAGTTTTAAGAAAAGGAGCCAAAGAGATGACTGCGGTTTACATGCCGGCAGAAGCGCCCTTCACAGCCCCGCGATTCCGGGCTATCTGCATGCGCTCCTTGTTGATTTCACGCAGTTGACCCTCAAGGTCCTGGAGCTGCTTGTTAGCTACTTCCAATTGCTTCCTTATGAAGCCTACTTTCTCTGTCAACGCGCTCCTTACTTCGTCATGTGAACGCGGAAGAAGTGTGGGCCCTACAGTCTGGTAGACGCTGCACTCAGGCTTCAGGGTCTTCATGTCCTCCAGCACCAGTTCGTTCTCGTGGAGCAAATCAACAAGCTTGCTCTTGCTTTGCTGAAGCTTCAAGTACTGGTGCTGAAGACCCTCAAAGCGCTTCTGGACCGCAATAATGTCGTTTGTCATTTGCCTTTCAAAAATTGAAGTTAAATTATTGAGAGATTAATAAAGTGGCATGCTTGCTGTCTCACTGCTTCTGGGTTTGGCGCTTGCCAAAGAGAGTCTAGTGAACTCGACAGCTTATGGAGCAAGCTTCAGATCCTTTTTAACGAAGAACTACGCAGAGCACACGCATCTGGGATACAAGAGAGCGCGTCTAGAGATGTACGGATTCATTTATAACAACCCTTTGACTAATGCTGTCACGTGCGTATACACTGGGAGAGAGCTAGACTGTCCCTACATGACGGAGGAGACCAATTGTAATGAAGACCTGAACTGTGAGCATGTGGTTCCCCAATCCCTTTTTGATAGTTTAGAACCCATGAAGAGCGACCTCCACCACCTCTACCCAGCACTAGCAGCAGCAAACAGCGCCCGCTCCAATTACCCCTTCGATAACATCCCGACAGAAAACGTGTCTGCGTGGTATGGCAAAAATAACATCACAGAAGAGCCTCCCCGATTCCCTAATAGATACAGCAAAGTAGAAAAGGGTGTGTGCTTCGAACCGAGAGATGCGGTTAAGGGAAAAATCGCACGAGCAGTTGCATATTTCTTCGTAGCCTATCCAGACTACTTTGACCGGCTCGGAGACGTCATGGATGTTGACACTCTGCTTCACTGGAACGTCCTGCATCCTCCAACTGCCGAAGAGCTAGACGAACACGACCGTATTGTCACAGTCCAGGGGAATAAAAATCCATTTGTAGTGGATCACCTATGGATGGTTAGGGCGTACTGTGACGTTAGTTCGTGGGGCTGTCAAGATTTCGAGGGCGTTAGTGCGGAGTCCTCGGAGTACACGGACGTCGAGCAAGCGCTCTGTGGTTGAGCTTTATAAGTGAATTCTTTTGACAACACAAAAGAAAAATGGCAGGTCTGCTTCTCTGCGCCATCTTTATCTGGCTTGCCAGTGCAGACACTCCTTGCTGGTGCGCTAATGACCAAGTTCTCGGGACATGGAAGATAGAATCCACTGGCTTTAAGTACACAATAACGAATGATAGAACAAGTTGTCCTGCAAGTATACGTGTAAAAGAGACCAGAATGATAACGCTCTTGTCACCCAACGTTGCAGTCGATGAGGACACAGGAGCCAGCGGGACCTGGTCGCAAGTTTACTCTCAGGCCATACAGATTAACATTGGCGACTTGAAGTATCTCTACTTTTTGGCCTGGGAGGATGTGCCAGACTCTTCTACTGTTCATTCCATGTGCTACAAGTCCCAGCCAGAGATGGGGTGGGCCGTGAAACAGGGCATGATGCGGCGCTACAGGGCCTGCATACGCGCCACCAATGTCAAGCCTCTCCTGACCACAGTTGACAATTATTATGAGCCGTCTGGCCCGGGGCCGGTCAACCCCACTCTTATTAGAAGAAAACTAGACGTGTCCGTCCCAACGGGAGACATGTACATCCAAATGAAAAAGAACGGTGACGTCACTAATATACCAGCAGGCTTCCGACAGTCCTTTTCACATAGCTTGTTCCCCACGGGTGCAGCTGCCGAGAATAGTAACTCATCGTACAGAGGAGATAAGCTCCCCAAGAACTTCGATTGGAGATCTGTCAATGGTAAGTCATATGTCCCTGAACCATTTGACCAGGGCCACTGCGGGTCGTGCTATACAGCTGCCACCGTCTGGGCCATGACAGCACGTGTCATGGTTGCTAGTGAGGACGAGGACAAGCTCGGGGCGACCAGACGACTCTCTGTTCAGCACGCCCTTGACTGTAACCAGTATGCTCAAGGGTGCAGTGGCGGCTTTGCCGAGATGGTAGTTAAGTTTGCAGAAGAGTTCGGGATCCTTACAGAGAACAGCTATTACATATCGTACCTATCTGGAGACGGTGTAGAGCGACCGTGCAAGGCAGGTAAGTTCCTAGAAGGGGACCGCTACTTCTTCACTGCAGGCCTTCCTCTTGGGGGCTATACAGGCGCCGTTACAGATCCTGAAGAAATCAAGTGGGAAGTCTATCGTCATGGTCCCTTACCAGTCTCCGTTTATGCAGGTAATGATTTGTTTAAGAACTGCTCGCCGTACGGGCCATCATCTAGGGCTGCCTATACTGATGATGATGACGTCAGTGCAAACGATAAGGCCAAGCGTCACTACTTTGCGGAGTATCTTGACCATCTTATCTTTATCATAGGTTGGGAGGAAGACGAGAACGGTGTTGCTTACTGGAGAATTCAAAATTCCTGGGGTGCAGATTGGTGTGACGGCGGTACTTCTCGGATTGCATTGGGCCGAAATGAATATGGGATTGAGACAGCGCCGGTTCCATTTTATTGGTGGCGAAATGGAAGGGTCTATTACGACGAGGGATTGGTGGCTGTGTCACTAGCAGAGATCATCATTCTTCCAGTAGCCATTGTCGTCCTGGCTGGACTGATTATTGGCCTATCCTTCGTCATTGCCATAATGAAGAAGAATAGACGCCTTAAGTATCAGAGGCTGCGGGATGAGCAGACCACTCACTATGAGTTCACATCAACAGCTCTAGACTCAACGGTTCCAGAATCAACGACTGATCCATCCTCTTATCAGTGACCTCGCCACGCTGGGTGCCAGGGGCCAAGAGCTAGTATCTACATTTATGTGGAATCCAGGATTGTGCTTATTCTAAAGTAAATTGATACAAACAAAAGCATGGAGACTAGTCTCGTTGTGGACAAAGACGGGTTTTTCACAAGTAGTTATCACCGTATCTTTGATCCTAAGAACTTGGAGTTATCCTACGAGAGCTCCAATCTTGTGTTAGAAGATGTCGACTCTGCCTTTGATGAGGCGGTCGAAAGGCATAACTACATTCGTTCTCGCCGTCACTGCATCAGGCAGCGTGAAGATAAGCCATACAAGGCCACAAAGGATCCCATCTTTGCACCGTCACAGGAGGCATTTTCGGAGGTATGCGATGATTATATTCGTCGCTCTCCAAGTCGTTACAGCTGTAGTCCGCGTAGAAGAGGTAGATATATAATGGCACAGCAAGGCATTACAATTTCAGAAAGTAGCGACCCTGTTCAGCGAGACATCTCTGCCCAGTACAGTTCACCCAGTAATTCCAGTTTCAGTAGCTATAATATTAACACAGATGTTATTCATTCGTTGACCCATCAATTAGCTGGAGTCGCACTTAGCAGGTCTGAGAGTATACTCAGTGACAGTATGTGCAACTCAACTCTATCCAAATCTGCGTATAGGGCTCCACTTTCTATCTCCATTAGTAAGTGCTTCAAACAGACCTCAAACAACATCTCTAGCTCTGCTTCCACTGGTGCACGGCGGGGTTGCTTGCAGCTTCTTTCTAGTCAGGTGGCGGTACCAAGTAATCAGACTAGTGTACACTCGCCTATAAAGTCAGCGTCTTCCTTGCTAGAGCTCCCCAGTACCAGGACTAGTTATCTAACACTGTCACGAGCCGGTCCAAGATTCCGAAAGACCAAGAGTCCAGACAAGCCGTCTCTGACTATTACTGTGAGAAGTTTAAATCCCCTGTTATCTACATAGACATGCTCAATTGCATTAGTATTCACTACGTATTCGGTTTTCGGTGCAGCTGTTGCTAAGTATAACAAGAAATACTCATTATTCGTGTAAAAGCTATATCTAGTAATGCAGTACGGACAGCAACACATGTCTATGCAATCCAGTTCCGCTTCTCTGATGATTTATTCAACCGAATTCAAAACCCAAAAATTAGAATGACGAGTACGGACCTTGGAGAGTCTCAAATTAGAAAGCTGCAGAGTGCTGCAGAGTGGTTTGATGCTGTGGATAGTAACAGCGTAGACGTGGTCAAGGCGTCCGTCAGTAAGTTCAAGGGGAGCAGGACTCAGTCAGGAGACACCGCCTTGATGATAGCGGCCCACAAAGGTTACTTCACCATTGCTAAGCTTCTACACAACCATGAAGCAAGACTTCAAAATAATGATGGGCTTTCAGCTCTCATGTTTGCTACATTGGCCGAACAGCTAGAGATAGCAGACCTTCTCATTAGTGATGAGAAGGACTGTGTTACGCCAGAGGGCCGTGATGCTCTAATGCTTGGCTCTGAGGCGGGGTGCTCTGACATGGTCTCCTTTCTAGTTAATCACGTCCCCGTCCGCACAGACAAATACTCGCGCGGAGCACTGTTTTATGCTGCCTCAAACCTGCATATCACGACAATCCGCATTTTATTAGAATCTGGCAAAATGCCACAGTCTCATGTTAGAGACGCGCTGACTGCCACAACAGACACAGAAGTGATCGGTATCATTTCTGAGTATTTGATTCCAGATGTTTCCTACACATCTGTTAGCAGAATAAGCACACCAGGGACGCCACAAAACGTTTCATATCAAATAGTGGACAATAGCTCTTCGACTTCGAGATCATCATCTGTTAATTCAGCCGCCAACTCGTCTGACATAAGCACGTCCTCTGACTTGGGGAACTCTTCTGAGAAGTCTCCATCCATCAGTAGATCTGCAATTCACAGCTCGTCTGTATTGTCACCATCGGCAAATCCCACAACTCAGGCAGACAACCTGACCCAAGCGTCGGTATCTTCCTCATCTTCTAACTCATTAAGCAACCAACCAACCGATACTAAAGGCAGTAGTTCGTCTGACGCCGTGTCAAGCAAGAGCACTGCCTCAATTGAAGGTTCTCTCTCATCATCTTCTGGTCCGACTGACACCACTAGTGTTTCTGTTACTGTTTCCGTGACAACTAAAGAGCAAGATTCCATCATCTCTATGCCACAGGAGGACATATCACGACAAACGATATCCTCACCCGTACCCAGGGCAATTAGTGCAACTCCGGCTGCCTTGCAGAACGAAGGAGATGTGGACCACGGTAAGGAAAGCGCAGAGATTATTCTTCTAAATGCTACTCTTCAAGAACTAAGGGAGCAGCTCCAGCAGAAGGATCTCCGGATTGCTGAGCTTCAAGTGGATCTCACAGATGCAAATACCAAAAAGAAGATGGCCGTTGACGCAGCAGCACTCGCCAAAGAGGCCTTGGCAGCGATGAGCGAGCAGGTCAACTCCCAGCAGCAACAGCAGCACACCGAGCAACGACAAGCTGATGAGAGTTCAACAAAGCTTGCAGAGAGAACTGAAAAGCTCGAGCGAGAGCTGAGTATCATGCACAAAGGATATAACGCTCTTGCATCGAGCAAGGCAGAGCTTGCAGAGATAATCGAGACACTTAAGCGTAAGCTTGCTGAGTACGAAAAAGGAGGCACGCTAGGCAGTACCTTGGGTTCACCGGGCAGCAGCACTAACAGCGCTCTTCTCTACGACTTGCAGCAACAGCTCCAGTGTCTGATGAACGCCAACTCCCAGCTTAATGACCTTCTTAATGATAAAAGTAATCTCATTGACAGAATGAGTAATGAGTTAGCTGCTGCTATGCAGAGTCACGCCCTTGAAATTGCCTTTTACCAAGACCGTATACACGCACTTACGGGTCAGTCAGATAAAAGTATCACTCGCTCCGAGTTTGCAGATCCGGCGCCCTGTCTCCTGGAAGACGTAGAAAAAACCGTCCCTAGTAGTCGAGAATACAAACCGTTTACGCCTATCGACACAATGACGTCGGACTTTGGCAACCGGCTCCGTTTACCTAACAATTTATTTACAAAGACCCACTCTCCATCCTCATCTATTCCTGATGGATCAGAACAATTTGCCGCTCTTCAAGCTGAGCTGGATGTAATGCGTAAGGTTAACGGCTCTCTGAGTGAAGCTCAGGCCAATAACCAGGCTGAAATCACCAGGCTGCGTATGAAAGTTGATGCATTACTTGGCACAGGGAATCAGTCCTTGAATACACTCCAAAGAGATACTTTGGGATCTCAGACGGATTTCTTAAGTGCAGAATCCATGGGTTCAAAAGACTCACTTGTAAAGTCTCCATCGCAAAATCCTCAACTTTCCCCAGCTGCTCTGGCAGAACTCGCACATATGCGTGAAAAGGTACAAGAGAAAGATGCTCTTCTTAAGGTTCTTAAGAGGATTGGCTCTAATGGAGATCTGGAGCAAACTAAACCAATATTCTCGCTTTTAGAGAGGAACCTTAACTCAGGAAGAAAGGAAGACCTCATGATAATTAAGTATTTGCTATCATTAGAAGAAGAGAACCAACGCCTTAGACAAAAGCTTACTTTCGTTAATAGCAGAGACCATTTCAGCCAGAGTTTAGAAGACAACAAAAGTGGCCATTCTCCGTATTCTGTATTGACGGAAGAAGACACAGACATTAAGGTAGCAATGCACAGAGCTGCTAATATCCAGCGATCGTTAGATACGGTGACTGGCGTAGCTGACGCTATTTCGGACAATATCACCAAGATAAGATCCCGTGAAATATCGCCTTTAGATGCACGAGGCCCGCACACAGCTTTGCGGGGGCCCGACAATATCGTCCAATCAGATTTTACACCTCTAATGATGGCGATCATGCATAAGGATATAGATGCAGTGAAAGCTAATTTGAAGTATGCTGGTTTATCGTGCGCAGATGGAACCACAGGATTGATGCTTGCTGCGCAGTATGGACTCTCTGAGGCTGTCCCTCTTCTAGTGCCCACAGAAGCCACAATGCGCCGCTATGACAATGCTACTGCATTGTCCCTGGCATTGAAAATGCAAAATTGGGAGTTAGCTGAGTTGCTGCGCACAACAGAGGGACTAAGCATAAAGGGGCTATCCTGTGCAGGAGGGCGAGTCACTGAACTGATGCAAGCAGCGAGGCAGAATGATGTTGTGGCTTTATGGTCATTCCTACCTGTTCAGAGTGGCTTACAAGACGCGCAGGGGCGCACAGCGCTTGCGCATGCTGTAGATGCTGGAGCCGTTGAGGCAGCACGTTTACTGGCTCCCAGTGAGGCACAGTTAGTAGATTTTGAAGGGTACAATGTAATAGATCGGATTGTTGCCTCCACAACGATCTCTACGACCATCAAAGAGCGTCTGACGCGAGAGGTGGCGCCTTATATCAGAGCAGATCAGCTGTAGTGTTTACAAGTGAACTACTACTGATATTACAAAATCCCATGTGCGCATTTCATAGAACCGTGAGGCTAGAGGGGAGGCCGGGAGAGTGTGCAGTGGCATACCTCAGCATGTCTTGGATTGTCGATAGATATGAAATTAAACGCCTTTGTCAGTGGCATAGATTGGAATGCATGGTCGACGGCACTTTTGTGGATGACTTAGAGTCGCCCCTCTGGAAAGTAGAGCAGGCGCTTAATGCTTCAGGTCACCCCAATTCTATTGGCCTAATCACCATCGTTACAGCAGAATGTCCATTGGTGCAAAGCACACAGCCTATGTACCATTACCACTCTCCCATTAGTGGCGATTGTGAGCCTGCGTTTCAGTTGGATCTTCCTGTGCATCTGAGATATGGCGCGCAGGGCATGCACCATATTGCTCCCTCTCCAGTCCTCTCTCTACTGTCTGCTGTCATTCTATGTCTACTATACCTCACAATCACAATCATACGCAAAGGCATAAGCAAAAATAAAAAGTGCTCTGCCTAGGCACAGAACGCGAGAGGCGATTCGGTCCAGTAGTGGATTTTGAAGAAGTTCCATCGAAGTATCCTCATAAGTAACCGGTTCGTTGTGTGGCTATTTATAAATGTGGCTTTTCTGTCTTGCTATTTTATTGTACGCCGCACAGATTAACATCTCAGACTATTGGGCGTGGTCCCAAAAGCTAGACAACTTCTTGTACGATGCATGGGATGCTTTTCCCTACGTGGATACAATTGCGTCCTTGACCAATCAAGATTTTGTCTACGATCCGCCCATTTCCCTTTTCCCTATCTATCATCAAGTGGGGTACCTGTTTCTTCCAAAAACAACCCCCTTTTCTAAGGCCATTGCAGTTTTCAGAGCAATCGATGCTTTAAGCCCTTCATCCAGTCAAATACCACCAAAGTTTAAATCTAGCGGACAGTGTGATTTGCTTGATACGCTCCGAAAGTTCCTCGATAAACTTGATCCCAACAAGTCGGACTATCAGCTTGAAAGCCTACAGTATGTTAACCTAGTTTCAGACGTTTTCACTGCGGTCAGTAATATGAGCTACGATAGCATATCCAGTGCATATAAGATATCCCGCACTACTTGTGACAGTGTTTTAGCCAACGCATACAACGTGGTGCCAGAAAGCATCGATGACCCAACCGCTCTACCAGAGCTATGTGACCTACTGGAGTTTGATAACAAGAAATGTCTCTTCTTGATGCTGAAATCGGTTGAGGATAAAGGTACTGGACACAACAGCATCCTCCTTGCTAAGCTTTACACAGACCATGTAAAGCCTCTCTTTTCTTCACTCAAAATCGATTCACTTGCTAGCGGGGACATATATAGACCTGAGTTTCTAAAGATCTATAATGATCTGACTATGGACCATGGTGTACCATATGACTTAAAGGACGTACTTATAGAACTGGCCTGCACCTACCTCTTGCAAGCTAAGCTGATTGACGCTGACATTTCAGATTGCAAGACATTCATCAGCTCCATCGTAGTCATGGATAACACGCCCTTCTCTATATCTTATAGATTACGTGATCTGATTGCTATTGCCCTTAGCTACAAGCACCTATGTGGAAGACGCAGAGTGACATACTTTCACGACTCCAACAGCGCACATGCTCTCAAGTTAGAGTCGGGCCTCCTGGTTCCTCTCGATGTCTCACAGCCTCTCACAAATTCCGTAAAGCAACTTGCTATAGATGATATCATTGCGTCAAGTAGTACAGCTCTGACCAGTCGGTATATAAAGAGAGATATAGTATTCATAGTCCACCCTTCAAAGCTACGCACTCAATCTGCTAGGGAGCTCCAATACTATGTCAACAACATTGTTAGGCACCAACTTGCGATCATTACATCTATGTGCACCATCATGGACCGGATCTGGATTTATATCTACAATCCTTGGACACAAAAGTATGAAATACCTTCCTTCACCAGGCTGCAAGGCGACGCACGCTTAAGAACTCAGTATCCAGGTGCTCCTTTCTTCGGTGGGTACTCTACAAACGACACCGAGTATCCATACAGAGGATCACTTAACAGCTACTACCAGATTTATCGCTACTATTCGAATCAGGATTTGAATTACCGTACGTTTTCGGTAGCCAAGAACCCGTATTATAACAGCAAAACAGCCGTCTTAAACAACAAGGAGGAGTACAAAAAGTTCATTCTAGACACTTTTCTACACGACACACAAGATCCGTTTTCGTCTTGGGACTCTGCGTTTGGGCGGTATGCCAGACCTTCAAAGAATCTTTTCAGTCAGAGAGCAATTCATGCTGAAATGATAACTCATATGACTGACTTGCTTAAAGAGCTTGTTTTGGGGGTCTATAACAACTATTATGCGTGCGATTCTGAATGCGACATTTCTGACGAGGCACGTGCTTTCACATCTATGCAGTATCAAAATGTCTATGTATTTTCTTATTCAGACAGTAATTTCTATGACATCATGCAAGTTTCGGCGCACAGTTTTAAATCCCTTAAGGCATCCAGGCTTCACTTTTTCCCCGTGCTGGTCACTTCCTGCTCAATACTTACTGATTTTGATGTGGATTATCCACTGGAATATGACATGTCGTTCTTCATGAAGCGCTTGCTGAAGATCTCCTGTGATGAGCTCTCGTATATCGATTCATTGGCAATGGCCAGAAACACCCGGAAGGGTGTCCTCCAGGCCTCAAACTGGTTCTCTGCTGTTTTGAGCGGCGCCACCCTCTTCCTCTATTCCGACCTATCCGATGCTGAACTCCGCCGTCAACTGTTGCCTCTATTTACCTACATTGCTAATTATGAAGGTAAGAAGCTGTTTGCAGATAACGTTCCCTCTTTGGCTATCTATAAAGAGCACAGCTACATGGGCTACAATCTGCCTGTCGTGGCACAGACAGATCCTTGCTATCTAAAGTACGATGGAGTTCTTTCCCAAAGCGGGAAAACACTGGCGAAATGCCATAGAGATAATATTCTGGCGCATCTACGGCCTAATTCCCAGCAAACTAGCTACTCAAATAGGGCAGGCAACAATCCCTTATTTACATACAGGGGCTCATTAATTCACAAGCTAGACGTGTCGAGTGTCCATTTCTCCCCATTGAGCCTCGATTACGACGCTCTAAGCTACATGCGCATATACCATCAAGACAATAATACGAGACGGTACTTCTTAGACCCCTACTCTCAGATCTTGATGTTTGAGAACATCGGACTTGAGACCTATGTCAGCGATCCTCTGGATGGTAATTCCACTGGCTCATATCATCTTTACAAGCATTCTTTTCTCACAGAAGTTCTTGGTCTGCGCTCCATCATGACGGTTAACAATGAGCTTCAATACATCCCGCAGTCTGCGTATATCTATGCAGGCGTCGTTAATAAGTTTATTCGCCGACAGGTAGGAATTTTTGGATATATCCGTGTAGGGATACCGGACGAATCCAACAATAGCATTGGATTTGATATGCGTATTAGTGAGGCTACATTTGCATATAGACGCTATAGGGTTCCGCAAGGGCAAGCCTGTACTCTAGAGGAAATCAAAAAGATGTACACTCTCAGCACATCCAGATTACCACTTAATTATGCACAAGTCTCTAACCCCATTAACAAGCTGTTACTCTCACCGCCCCACTCTGTTCTAGAAACAGATTGCATACCTTTTAATGGAACTAAAATATGCTTCCAATCTAGAGCATTCGACCAGTACATTAATGTAACTAAGTTTGGCAACAGAATAGCATTGGTGTACCTGGAGGACATCGTTAAGAAGGCATCTGTCACCACAAAGACCGCCCTTGGCACTGAGTGCGTTCCCACACCCGTCACTCTAAAGACATACTTTGAGGACAGGACACTCTTTCCAGATCTGAAGTCAGAGTATCGGTACCCATCGAATATCTTTGTTCCCGCGTACGCTATCTTTCTTGAGGAGTTTGTGAAGCTGAAGGACCTTTTTACTTCCGTCTTGGATACCTCCGATATCACAGCACTACTTACCATATCTAAGTTTCGTGACGTTCTGGAGAAGACTATTAACAGCTATCTATCTGGAGCTTCTACTTATGACGCTATTCTGAAAATATTAGACAATTTTACTGTAGCATCATTCTATCCCGATAGTTCAGTCAATATGGACAATAACGAGATGATACTTAATTACACTGCTGTCCTAAATGATCCGGGTTCCCATCTTAAGATGGAGAACCTCCTTAGGATTTACCCCGACTACAGCAGCCCAAGCAGCTCTCCTCTGCCGTTCAGAAAAGGCTGTTATTTAGCTGAAGATCTTCTGGGTAACATTCTCTCGGATGCTAACATTATGAATCAGGAGTTTTCTACCTGCTTCTACGCCAACCACACATCGGCTTATGTCAATCTCTCATCTCAAGTGGGCTATGAAGCCGCCAAGCTGTATTGCTTAGAGAGGCCAAAGTACTTCCTTGACCCAGCAACAGAGGTTGTCAGCTGGATTGCGCCGGCCTCTATTGGATTTACCCCTGCTAGCATCCCCACTCCTATCGAGAATCTTGGGCTCTATAGTCCTCTTCTCGTTAGCTATATTTTGGCCATTCTTCCAGAGGCCTTTCGAACAAGGAGGCTCGACGGAGTCTTTCATTTATTTATCAACCAGCAGCCACTGCCGAGTGCCATGACACCAAATTCCTTCAATCTTGATGATTCTCCTCTAGAGCACAGAAGCCTTTATGAGGACGACATGGAGCACCATCGCCGAACATCCCGAACATCGTTTCATGATTATGATGATGTTGGCTCCAGCGATGATTTTTCTCAGGGATCAGACGTTGCACAGAGCATCTATGCTTCTGCAAAAGCGCCACCCGGGACCATCCAAAGGGTATACTATACTAGCATATATGAAAACGACCTCAAAAACATCTATGTCGACATTCAGGCGATCAATCGCGACATTCTACGCTATGCTATGCACGTTGACAAGCATCCGCTTGTTAGTATCATGAATGCTTTATCATTGCCGATGTTTATGCGTGTCTATCCACCATTTGACGAGTCTGCGGAGTTCATCACAAAGTCGAGTCCTCTAGACCCTACCAACAGCGACAGTCCCTCGACGTATGACTACTTACTGAAGGTTCTGGGCTATCAACTAAATACAATCACATCGAGCCTCACTGGAAAGCTGCACCCCAATTTTATGTACAACCCTCTTAACCTTGCAGAGTCAGAGGACTGGGACTATGGGTATCAGCCCCTGCAGAACTATGTTCAGGGCGATCCCACTGATGAGTATTCATATCTCCTGTACTTTGCCAGCTTTCCCATATATACTAGTTCTCAGAGTCGGATAGACAACAATACAAAGGCACTAGCTGCCGTCTACACCATTGAGTACAACATATCTATCAGCACGCTTGACTCAATACATAACTTTGGACTCTTGCCTTCCAAGATCTTGCCCTCTGGTACATCTGCTCCTACCTTGGTTGACCTCCGCGTCCCAGTATTCTATGCCTTGCTGAATAATATGGGGGACTTCGTGCTAACGCGGTCTACAAATGCCACTCTTTCTGGCATGAAGTCGGTCCTTTCGTCCATTCTCGACACTCTAGTTGACATAGAATACTTTGTCCTTCGTAAAGTGCCTGTCTCGAATGAGCGCTACACTAATGTATTAGAATACAATAATCAGTTCTGGATCAACATACAATACAAGACCACGAAGCGGCTTATCACAACAAGAAGATTTAATGTCATCATGGTAACTGATGGAGTGGCGACTCAGATCTTTAGTTCTGAAGCTGGGATTGATTCAGTTGCATATGAGCAATCGTCGATTTCTGACCGCCTTATTGTGCTGGATCTTGCCTCAACGTGCATAAAGCGAGGTATTGCTATTATTCGGAATCTCGTTACGGTTGATCTAATGTCCATTGCAGTGTTCAATATGGAATATTACCCTGTGAAGGCGTGTACACGGGTTCCTGGGGCAAACGCATACACAGACATGACAAGCAAGTTTAGCACTAGCATTTATTCTCATCTGAACATCGAGGAAGACCCGGCTATTTGGAAGCCGAGTATCACGTACATGACCGGCTATCCTCCTGGCGCACACATGCGCCTTCTTCTACAGCTGTTTGGACAGGCAATGCACACGTACATTTCATCTGCAGAAACCTTTCTGATCGTTGTTATCTCTGTTTTCACACTGGTGGGAGCAGTTGTCCTAAAGATATACTGCACGGTTATGTCTAAGCGAGATGTTTCCTCTCTATCTACGTGCCGTACAAACCGTAATCATTCTACTTCAAACAAGATGTGCCTAACTCGCCCCTGCGCTGAGGCCATTACACCGGAGTCAGAACTAGAAGTATCATGTACCTCATTGACATGTCAGAATACCTGCGAATCGTCACCGATATCTAGAACTAAGTCTTCGACTTTTCTCTCACAAAAGGAAAGCCAGGCCAAAGAGAAAGTAATTGAGCTTCCGTCCGAGGGCTCAACGACAGCCCGTGCTGATGTAGGTGATATTACTTGGTCATATGCAGACGCTACGTATGACAGTGGAATCTTGGGAAGGAACTCGGTCACGGGTCTCCTCAACTTCTTGACGCGTCCATTGAGACAGTCATCTACCTTTTCGGCCTCCTCTTTAAAGCGACTTTCGCTGGGGTCTACACTTAGCAAAAGGCAGTTGGAATTATCAGCACATAAGTCCCATAAGCACAATACTCCAGACATAAATCTCGTGCTTAGCGATTCTCCTCTGGTTACGGATAGCCAGCCACTCTTGAATCCGGGCATCATGACCAGCATAGCCACCGTCGGTACCTCAATCTCTGCTTCATCATATCTTAATAATTCTGATATCGGATATGCCACTTCGAAGTCTGTTACTGTTAAAGGGGCCCTTCACAATTGGCTATCGAAGATACTGTCTAATGGGGTGTACCTTACATTTACTTCTCTCTTCACTATTTTTCAGTCAAATCGGCCTTCTCAGAAGAACTTTGCTGACCAGGACATCTCACCAAACGAACACGAGCTTCCCGGCCACTCTGTTAGTGCTCGAAAGTTAAGACACTGGGACAAGGCATTTGAATTTCTCAAGTCTGCTCTAGAGTCGAAGGCGGTTAGGCTGAGAGAAAATATTAATTTATTTAATCTCTATAAGATAACACCTAGCCATAAGCTGAGCATTCTCTTTGTTCTGCAACAGCTTTACCCATCATACCTTAAGAAGCTGCGTGTAGAGTCTCAAAGCAATAGCAAACTACTCTCAGCAAGTATCTTCTCAGAAAGAAATCAGGAGTCAAGTTCGTTAGCGCTTTCTGTGAAGCAATTGACGGGATTTTCTTCTCAAGTGTTCGAGCATGCTTCTCTCTTCAAGGTCATCTTTAATCAGCTGGCGTCAAGAAACTTTGCTAGCAAGCTACCAGACGTGAAGACTGGTCTTTCACTTCTGAGCACGGTTCAGCTCCTTGTTGACCCTGCTACAACAAACCTGCAGTTTTCTGAATCATCTTCTGAGACTTTCTCATCTACTGAGCAGTCAGTCTTTTCCTTTTCATCCAGTGCCATGTCTTTTCAGTCTACAATTGAGGCTGTCAGGGTCTTTCCAAAACATAGACAGTACCGTGGTAGATTGACGAAAAAATGTACTGGTTATATTAACAGCATTGTCCAATCTACTATATCTTTGCAATCCTGTGCTAATACTAAAGGACTTGATATCATGGATGAAGCTAGCAGCGACTTGGATAAGCACTCCTACGACCTTCAGTCTTCAAGCATTACTAATGAGTACTCTATCGAAACTGACATGTACTTGCCATATTATGCTCACGGATATTCGATACGTAACAAAGCTGGGGCCAACAGTTTGCTCAAAGGCCCCGTGAAGCAGCATTATGAGCCCATTAGCAACTTGTCTCTGAGAGAAGCCGCTGAAGAGACGGACAAAGATTCATCTCCTATCATCATCAGAGGGGCTATACCCCAGCAACTTGCTTTTTCACGTGTCTGTAATGCATCTGCTGAAAGTGATATTCTATTCATTAAGAAGAGCATGTCAGAAAGCAACCTATCACAATTGGAAAGCAGATTTAATCCATTTATTTCTAGATCGTTCCAAAAGGCTGTCCTGGCCTCTTGCCTTGACACAGAGTGTTACCAATTTGTCAGCACCATTTCTAAAAGAGTTTGCATAAAGGATACTATCTTGACTGGATATCTGGACAACCTAAATGCATCAGTGATTGAGGCCTTTGATAACCCTTTTAAATACAAGAAATTATTGGATTATGGCTATGACTATCATGGAATAGTGCGCTACGTAGACCCACTCCTAAACCAAATTTCACCCGAGCACATAAACATAAGTAGCAAACCACGTATTTTGCATACTGATCTGAAGGCAACTATCATAGGAGCCAGCAAGCTATCTGCCTCCGCCATGAAGTCAGGCATGAACTCACATACCAACTTATTTCATCGAACTACGGGATCATTGTCTCCTCAATTCACATTAAAAACACCGAGTTCATTTGCGCTTTACAAGCACGAGTCGCATCCGAATATGGATCTGAGGATTAATCCACTGATTCCGTCGATTGTTCGGTGGACATCTGGCGTTCCCTACGTACCACCGTACACAATTTTTGCAAAGGAAAACTTTAGCTTTACGGCGGCGAAGCTTCGTGCCAAATATGCACGCAAGCTGATGAACTACAATACAGCGTTTTCAACGATGCTCAGAAAGGAAGGAATGGAAGACGTGCCACCTCTCTTTATCCCCATTAAAGATAGGGATATACACAGATTAATTAACGCGATAAAACTACAGACTATTCCGTCAGTGCCAATTGACCTGGAAGATATATCTGAAGACAATAAGCTATTTGAGGAAATAACATATAGAAAGCTTGGAATTCTTCAGAAACGATCAACTAATTACCGTGCAAACGCTATAGCCAAGTACTTATTCTATAGAGACTGCGACTTTGCTGCATATTATCGATTCTATTCACCTCGGATCCAAAAGACCGTTTCGTATTTATTTTGGCGGTACTACCTCCGGACTCAAATGCAGCTGTTGAACATTACACCTTCCTCTCCATGCATTGTGAAGAAGGGTAGAGAAGGCCAGATCGAATGGGCAGTCCTGTCTGACATCTTCTCGTCTCCCAAGCTGGGTTATTTGCAGGGCTCTAGCCCAAGACAATTTACCAATAAAAGATATACAAACGCATTATCAACTGCACCTTATAAGGTAGAACCAAGTGCTGTCGAGACTCAATTATCTAAGATGTCTCTTATTGCAGCAGCAATTAAAGAAATTAAGAGCATGTCCACTGGCGTTCTCTTTGCAGAGGACAGTGTATGCTTACATCATATTTTAGTAATAAGAGCGCTTTACACCAAGAAGATTGCAGAGTGCTTTTATGCACCTCTTTCGGTCGTCAGCTTAGCAGGACTTGCCTTGCCTCAATCAGCGTACACCTCTCTCTCTTCCGATGTTACAATTCAGTTCCCAGTATACGCACTTTTGGAACGCTTTTACTCCTCCATAATTGTCCCTGAGCTCAGCATTTGGAATCTTAAGGAAGCCGGTGCAGAAACATTCAGTGTATGCGATAGTGCGGCCTATGGACAATTTATGATTGCACGAAAGCGTGCTCAGGCACGAACATCGGCCATGTATGCATTGTTGGACCGGAACCTATTCTATAGAACTCAACCTGAATATGCCGCCCGTATGCCTTTTAGCGATTACAGCAATGCTGAGAGTTCATTGGAAAATTCTATAGAAGCAGAAGCAAGCGTTATTATTCCACACATTATAAAAGGCTTAATAGAAGACTCTGATGACAAGAATAATGACTTAAATCATGGAGAGCAGCAGTACGAGTATTATTTGTCTAACTCATCCGGATACAAGATAGATATGGATGATCTTTTTAATTACACTTCCAATACTGACGGTACTGAATTATTGCCTATCCTACCACCGCAGGGGATAGACGCTCCTCAATCACTCGGGATCCTACCACCGCAGGGGATAGATGCTCCTCAATCACTCGGGATCCTACCACCGCAGGGGATAGATGCTCCTCAATCACTCGGGATCCTACCACTGCAGGGGATAGACGCTCCTCAATCACTCGGGATCCTACCACTGCAGGGGATAGATGCTCCTCAATCACTCGGGATCCTACCACCGCAGGGGATAGATGCTCCTCAATCACTCGGGATCCTACCACCGCAGGGGATAGATGCTCCTCAATCACTCGGGATCCTACCACTGCAGGGGATAGACGCTCCTCAATCACTCGGGATCCTACCACTGCAGGGGATAGATGCTCCTCAATCACTCGGGATCCTACCACTGCAGGGGATAGACGCTCCTCAATCACTCGGGATCCTACCACTGCAGGGGATAGACGCTCCTCAATCACTCGGGATCCTACCACTGCAGGGGATAGACGCTCCTCAATCACTCGGGATCCTACCACCGCAGGGGATAGATGCTCCTCAATCACTCGGGATCCTACCACCGCAGGGGATAGATGCTCCTCAAACATTTGATTCTCCTCGTGGTTTAATGTTTCAGGATAAGAATTTGGGGATGTACCCTCTCACCCCCAATCTGGACTGCCTCGCTATCACCAATAGTAAGTTAAATAACTCAATTACCTCGTCGATAGTAAGAGATTCTACTCTTGTTACACCGATAACAGAGATAGATCAAATTTCTACAGACAGCCTTAAGGTTACAAATAGGTTCTGTGCCTATGATTCCAAGCAAGTGGTTTATCAAAGGATTAGCATGTCGTTGGAAGCTGATCTTTCGACTAACTTCCTTATTGAGGTAATACCGGGCAAAGATACTTTATTATCGAACAGAATAGACACCGGCTGTATTCCTCCCCCAGAAGATATTGAAATTGTCATACCGGATATTCGATATAAGCTCAGGCTCAAAACAAACTACGATTCTTACTTAAACGGAAGTGTTCTTGTTTCAAAGATTGCTCTTCATTATCAAATCCCATGGTTAGTGCCTCGTAGACAAAAAAGTAAGCCGCGTAACGCACATCTAAGAATATCTAGTAGCCCACCTACCTTGTGCTTTATGTCTAAACGGAAGGATAAAGCCTCGCCCATAGATAACCCTAGGCCGGTGCAAACCAATCCGAACCACAGTGATACGGCGCAATCTTCTACACCTTCATTCTACGGAACTAGCAGCGGAGCCAATACAATAACACCAATATCTCTTGACTTTCCTGCACAAAGGGTAATGGATACTATGAATTCTAGGCAAAAGCAGGAAAGCGTAACTTCAACCAATACCTTATCGACTTTTTCAGATGGTGTACAAAGCGGGACTGTAGCTGCAATAAGACAGAGTATCCCAACCTGCCCTGGCTTACAATATATGTACAATCTATCCAATCCCCAACCATGGGACTCCACACCTTCAACAGCTACAACAATTACAACACTTCCCAAAAGCTTCTCTTCAGACCCAACTGAGTTCGATGCTACGCCCGTGATGACTCTAGTCCTTGATTTGTATAGCTTTAGGAAGTCTTGTCTTCGCTTACGATCGTTCTTTTCTGACAATCTACTCATTGTGGACCCAGATGAGCAAAAGACGTATATCTTAAATGCTGATCATAGGCCTCCTCGAGTTCCAATAAAGGTCAGCGATCTAATATGCCACAATCCAATCGAGTTAGCCGTACACAAGATCCGTCTGTCTCTCACCGCTCTCAACTTTTTATACATGAAATCAATGTATTTAGAGTTAGGTTCGGTGCTATTTTATAGAACCCTTGCAAACATGACCATTGATGACGTGCTAAGGAATGGCCTAGAATCAATGTACAAGTCTCTTCCCTGGTATAACAAGAAAACTAATCTTCAGGCTACTAAGAATAACATGACTGCGTATGCACCAATAACATTAGATTGTCACAAGACAGGAATGCCTCCTTGGCTCCCCTCTCCAGACCTGACAACCAAGCAACACATTCAGCTTCTCTACAACTTCTTCATCAGACAGAATAACCTAGCGTTCGCTCCGCTTATGCACAACTTCGTAATATGGAATGAGTGGGGGTTAAATTACAATGATAAAGGATACATACGGGTGGATTTTAAAGGTGTCCACACCAACACTATCAGGGACTTTATGTTGCAACTGATATGGCTTGAGCCCTACTATTGAATGCAGAGTAGATATGTATGTCCCATACTATATGTGCTGAAAACTCTCTTGAGTGATTGCCTTGCAGAGCAAGTAGATTTCTGATGTCACATTGTTGTCCACAGGACATCCTGGAACGGACAAGGCAGAGCGAACGGCCATTACAGAGGACATTTCTTGACGGGTGAGCGTTTCGGTGAGCTCCACGAATCGCAACAGCGCACGCTTTGCCTCGCCGTCATAGAGCTCAGTAAGAGTTCTTTTCTTGTCGAGCAGTGGCGCAAGGACTTTAGTAAATTCTAGCAAGATCTGCCGAGCTTTTGGTGGATCTAAGCTAGGTTGCTTAACGCACTTGTACTGCATAAATTCTTTGCACAGTCGGCGGTATTCTGAAAGTATCTCTTTCCCTTGTTCCTCGTAGGCCTGCGCGAGTGACTTAAGAGCGCAGGTGACATCAGCTGTGATCATCTTGGAGTAGACCTGGTGACTTTCTGATAGAAGGCTGTGTTCGTTCTGGATGGCAGCAATCGCAGGAATGGCTTTATTGTATATCGAGTTCGGCGACGATATGGAAGGCCATTGCCTTCCTGCTGCCGCCTTCTGAATCCCAGACGCCAGTGTGGTAAGGGCATCTAATCGATCCTTGAATTGCTCCTTGAAGACTTCCAATTCGTAGACCTCCGCAGACATTTATTTCTGGCCTGATGAAGACAGGATTAGTAAGCTCCTTGGCCATAAAAAACGATGTCTGACAGCGAGCTTCGCTATGGTTGGTACCTTGCAGGCACCAAACTATTTATTGACATCTATACCCCAGAGCTAACTGAGGGAGAGATTAGTGCTGCTGTCGATGAACTGGATCCCCACAAGCTCACAATCACATTGAGGGGCAAAAAGCATATTTTGGATCTCTGTGGAGGTGTCTCAGACCCCTGCGTCAATATTAAGCCCTCCAAAGCCGAAATATCGCTTCAGGCAAGTAGCAAGGTTGCTTTTACGCATCTTCTAAAATCCGAGAAAGCAGCGGCTAAGAAACACGATAAGGCAGAGAAGTACCGCACCATGGATGTCGCTGGTGAAGACGACGCTCCCAGCGACTTGATGGCTGTAATCCGTAACATCTATCAGAATGGAAGTGATGACACAAAGCGCGCTATGCTAAAGAGCTATCAGGAGTCTTGCGGAACTGTCTTGTCGACAAACTGGGCTGAAGTGAGTGCAGGAACCGTTGCTCCCCAGCTTCCCGAGTAAACGAGCATGCTTTAAAATTCCAAGAATGAACACAAATGGAGTGGACACAGATGAGGCCTGGTTTAATTCTGCTCGGGATGGAAATGTCCAGATGCTAAAATATATGGGTAGTAAGCTTCGTACACGTGACGATGAGGGTCGTACTGCGCTGATGCTTTATGTGGGAAATGGGTACAGCAGGGATCTATCTTTCTTTGCACCAGAGGTCGGCCTAGTTGATAACCAAGGGTTTCCTGCACTAAAGTATGCCGTGGACTCCAGAAATACCACTGCCATATCATATTTGAAGGATGAACTTGATATATCTATCTCCTGTGGCAAGACCCTGGTCACATGCGAGACATATTTGCGCCAGCACTTTACTGGCAAGCCTTCACCACATGAACGAAAACGTGGGCAAGAAGTCTCTCTAATGTCAGAGTCTGCATTGGAGTTGACGCGGAGGAGCGTTGCTGGACACACAGACGGGTCTCCAACTAGATCGAGGACTCCTCAAATTTCCCCAGAAGCTGTCGAGCTAGATGTTCTACAGACCGCCGAGCCCACCAACCCCAGACTAGCGTTCTATGTCCAGCTAGCACGGCAAAGGACAGACATTGTCAACGCTATACTGCTCAACAAACCTTTCTACGACGCATTGGAGGACTTTTTACCCAAACAGTTAGAGAGTATACTTGCAACCCGCTCAGATCCAAGGTCCAAAATGGGCCTAAGTCCTATTCAACGCTTTAAGCAAACCTATCTTTCGCTTTATGAGCGATATGTCGCCTTGCAAAGCACGGTGCCACCAGATCTTTATGCCCAGTTCACTAACTCTTTCAAACCCCGTATCCTTACCAACTACAACCTATTCATTGCCATCTTTGAGAGCCGGTCCCTAGCTACGGTAGGTATCAATTCCCCATATCGCGCTGCCCCGCTTACTCCTGCTTGGCTGGCTCCCTTGCACTCTCAAAAGGACTGTCTACATTTCGATGCCCCTGGTGTGACACCCCTCACTGCATATCCTGCTCTCTCGGGGACAGGAGCATGTCACAATGCAAGCACCTGTCCTCCTCAAGAAGCCAAGGACAGTGTGCTGACTGGAGCGCTCATTGAAAGAGTATTGCCAGAACTCGGGAATCAACTTCTAGGAGAGCTCCTGGATTGCTTGAACAGTACATTTACAAAGGGCCTTGCATTCGTAAGAGACGACTCCGTCTTTATTCAACAACTATCCAAGATGAGAATGATAGACTCATCGGGGTCACAAGACTCGCTGGAGCTGCGAGTGTGTCAACAGAAACTGCGTTTTTATAAGACCCTCTACTCCAAGCTTACAACCATGTACTCTGCAATACTGGGACACCCCGTCTTACCGCTATTCATTGTTAATTGCAGCGTTCTGCACTCTTCCGTGGATCGGCTGTCTTGTGCACCAGCAGTGAAAGAATTTCTAAGAAACCTTACTAATAGGATATCATCTATGCTGCAGAGCAGCGGTGTATATGCATCTCAAACAGAGGCGTATGACGAACCCTTGGTGGATCCGCTCTACAGACCAAAAATGGATGCCTTGGCAACCCAAATCAAGAGGGAAGAGATGCGGGTGTCTAAACTTATAGACATTCTCATAAATTTAGAATCTTTAATATCCGAGCACGTACACCTGCAGTCCTTTATGGAGAAATTAAGGGGGCAGGACGGTTGGGCCAACGATGCCAGCAGAGAGATGTATGAGTCTATTGATGCGAGATCTCAGGAGTTGCGAGCGATAATAAGCACATTCTGGTATGCAAAGACCCTTAGCTAAGGGTAGGACCTGACAGCTTGAGAATACGGCTTAAGAACGGCTAATAGATAAAAGGACCTTTTGGCGCGACCATAAGCATATGATGCGCAGATTAGCTTTCTTTACAGCGGCTATTCTCGCGCTATCTAGCATTTCTCCAGCCTTTCTATCATTTGAATTTCAGCTTTAGTAAAGAAAATTTAGGTCAGAATAAAAAATCTGTATTTGGATTTTGGCCTTGGCATGCCTCTAAATGTGGATTCAATTCTTTACCGTTTGTTATCAGTGCGGGGAATGAAGCCCGGCTCGCAAGTTGACCTGCCAGAGCACGAAATTGAAGAGCTGGTGAACAAGGCGTTTGAGATATTCATTTCTCACCCCGTTCTTCTAGAGCTTGAGGCTCCAATCAAGATCTGCGGTGACATACATGGCCAATTTTACGATCTCCTCCGCCTTTTTGAATACGGAGGGTTTCCCCCTGCCACAAATTACATTTTCCTCGGAGATTATGTAGATCGTGGGAAGCAGAGCTTGGAGTGCATTATTCTTCTTCTGTGCTATAAGATCAAATATCCAGAGAACTTCTTCATGCTTCGTGGGAACCACGAGTGCTCGTCCATCAACAGGATATACGGCTTTTACCAAGAGTGCAAAACGAGATACTCTATTAATTTATGGAAGACATTCAAGCGCTGCTTTGATGCGCTGCCGATCGCGGCTGTCATAGATGATAAAATATTCTGCACCCATGGGGGCCTGAGCCCGGAGCTTTCGTCTCTCAACGCCATTCAAAAGATAGTACGTCCCACAGAAGTCCCTGACTCGGGTCTCCTCTGTGACCTTCTGTGGTCCGACCCTGAGCCGGGGATAACTGGATGGCATGAAAATGACAGAGGTGTGTCGTTTACATTTGGGCACGATATTGTGATGAAGTTCCTCAAGAAGCATGACTTTGATCTCATCTGTCGCGCACACCAGGTCGTCCAAGATGGGTATGAATTCTTTGCCAAACGTAGACTAGTTACTATCTTTTCGGCTCCGAACTATTGCGATGAATACGATAATGCCGGTGCCATGATGAGCGTGGATGACACACTTATGTGCTCGTTCCAGATACTCAAGGCAATGAACAAAGATAGCTATAACTCCTTAGGCTATAGTGGATACAATCAGAACCGTCCTGGATCGCCGCAAAAGAGCAGTGGAAGAGCAAATTACTGATCGCTGTTTCTGTGAAGATACTACAGCGATGCGAAGCGAGAAGGACCGAGCGGTACGAGCTTGTCCGGATGTAAACCTATCATGTGAGCCGTGTTTTCACCGTTTGTCATGCAGGTGAGTTCACGGCTTGGGTGTAGGACCAAGCTCGGTGTGAGAAGCACCGGTTGGTTCATGACTTTTCCTTCTTTGGAGGACGTTCTGATCGTGGTGGACTGGGTCGTGCAGGAGATTGTTGTGGAAATGCAGTAGACCCTGCTACTGCGTCAGACCTCTGTAAATTAGAATCTGCTCCTAGTGCATTGATCTGTGCAGTAAGGTCGTCATGCTCTGGTTCTGCAGCAACGTGATGAAGGTGACTTGTTGCCTCCCGACGGATCTGTCTACTGGCCCGATCCAGGTTCATGCTGAAGTTTTCTTGCCACTGCTTGATTACATATTCTAAAAGTGCTTGCCGCTGTTCTGTTGTTGTCAAGAACGGAAATAGCATGGGCCAACCGTTAATGTGCTTCTTCAGAATCTCTACGTAGCATCCTGGACAATAAAACTCGACGCTCTCTAACTTGCTCATCACATCTGTTTCATTAGAGTGGCTCCGCAATCCAAGACAATCAACGTGAAACCATCCTTCGTTGGCAAACTTGCAATTGTTGCTTTCGCAGCATATCATATCGTCACTACAAACCTTCTTATTGCTCTTGGAGCAGAAGCAATATCCTGCTTCGGTGGCATCTGTGTTTGTTGAGACAGCGTCATAAGTACAGCTTACCTCCATTTTCACACCTGTGACACTGTGCTCACTGACAGAACTGCTGAGCATACTAGGTTCTTGAGAAGAGCGTCGGTGCCCCTGCTTGCGTACGGAAGAGCGTGGAGGCTTGCTAGCAGTCGGTTGAGTCTGCTCATAGAGAACGGTGACTTCATCAGACAACTCTATACGATCAGAGGACGACAGCTCAGCTTGCGACTTCAGAAAGAGGGGGTATGATTGTTTGTTTCCCGAAACAAGCTGTACATCTTGCCTAGAGGCATGTTCCATTGTGGTTAGAATTACCTTCGTATTCTTTATGGAGTTGGTCTGGCGCATAGAGGCATGCGGCCCATTAGCGGCAGAAGCACTCCCAGGGGTCATGTCGCCGTTCGTTCCTGCTTCCAGTCTATTGGAGTTAGCGCTAGTAATATCATTAGAAATGCTAACGCCAGTCCAGCGTATACTACCGCTCCCGATAATTGAGGATAGCGTGAGCACAGGTGTTGCCAGTACTCCATGACCTTGATCCTTGGGGGGCTCCTTGCTCGACTCTTTAAGTGGCTCTGATGTAACTTTCTGCTTAAGCAATCCGTTATACCATTGCAAAGCTTTCTTCAGCATCTGCTGAATTTCCCTGAGCAATCTGATAGGGTCGCGCAACACCTTCATAAAAAAATTGGGTGGAAACTGGTAGCTATTGTTAGTCGATGTTCTGGTAAGTTTGAGTCGAGGCTCATCAAGCTCCGTACTTAGAGGCTGAAACATGATCCAGGCAAAACCATTGTAGTGGCATAGCTGGCATTCCTCGCCAAGTGCAACAAGCACCTGGCAATTGGGGCAGTAGCGATACTTACTGTTCTCCTCTAGCTGACGCAGCTTGAAGTAAGTGAACTCATCTATGGGAACGCTTTCTGATAAAATTTTTAGTGTATTGTAGCTATGTGACCAGTACTGAAAGAGGTCCGCAGACTGCTGTGGATCGCACTCATTGAGCTTGCAGAAGTCCTCGAAGGTAACATCAAAATCCATCATAGACACAAGCCCGAGAAAGGACGAGCAAGACTTATAAAAGGTGTGTGCAGCATAGCTATTATCTAGTAAGATAGACCAGGCCCGGGCCTTCTCTGACTCGTCTATGTTGAATCCTCGTTGCTGCTCTGGCGTCAGCCAGGCTGTATAGGGAAAGTTCGACTTGACAATCTCTGGCGGAGAAAACCCCGACGTGGTTTTCCCACCGGCAGTCTTCATCTGTAAGTCGTTAAAGTCTGGCATGTAGCACGGTTCAAGAATGTGTGGGTTAAGTGGGAGGTAGGGGGACGGGCCCAAAAGGCCAGACGCGCTGAAGTTCCGGTAACACGCAAACAGGTCGGAGGCACCAAACTGTGCTTCTGCCGCATCCGCAGTCTGGCCTTGTTGGAAGAGAGATTGTTGAAAACTGTGAACACTGGTCAACACCTGGGCAACAGATGCATCGTCTGCATGCTTTAGATTACAATAGGCAATGGAGTTCTGGGCCTGCCTAAGCTCCAGGAGTGCTGCGCTGGCATGTGCCACCTTCTCTCTTTGGTAAGCTATTAGCTGTCTACAAAGATAGACTAGGCGGTCAGCTGTGGCGGGGTTATCCGCGCTAGGCACTGCTGCTCGTCTATTAGATAGTGTATGTATCTCCTTACTTATCCGTTCGGTTGTTTCGTGAAGTGCCAATATTGTTTTGTAACGCTTCAGAGACGAATGGGGCAGAAAACCGTACTCTTGACGTATCTCAGTAAGCACATTACTGTACTGGCACCAAAAGAGAGAGTTTTCGATGATGCTAAGGATGTTGCGACTCCTGGCCTTCATGAGATCGGACTAATTAATTTTATGACACAGGCAGGTCGTCAGCATGCGTATAGATCCCCAGTTTACTTAGATATAAAAGTCAAAACGCAGTCATAAGCCAGTTCTCATCAATAGGGATGTCCAGTTCATTGCATAATAGTTTGTACAGTCCAACAAGCTCCTGTCGTTTTGCTGGATTTGTTTCTCTCATGCTCTTTTTAAAAGCCTCCATCCCCATTTGTTCAATCTCAATCCTTTCCATTTGCTCTTGAGCATCAGCTGACTTTTCAGAGCTCTTCAACAGGGCAGCAATCCTCTCCTCTATCTCACCGAGGTCTCCGTCTTTCGAAGAGGACTTTTTCTTGTGCTTGTCTTTTCTCTGAGACTCAATCTTTTCTTGTAGATATTGCTTCTCCATATTGAGCTCATAGATGTCGTATTTCAGGTTCTGTGTGTCTTCTTTTATAAAGGTTAGATCGATTTTAAGTTGCTCCACCTCGTCTTCCTTCCCTTGAGATAAAAGCGTTTTTATCCCCAGGAAGACTGTGGCGCACTTCTTGCGCAAGTGCTCAATTTTCTTCTGCTTCTCAGCGATGGCCGCGTCAAGTGCTTTGATTCTTTTAGCATCTGCTGCCGCACTCATAGAAAATAAAATGCCGAGGGCCTCTCTTAAAAAATCTCCTGATTGTCCGAATAAATAAGCCATAGACTGCACATAAGAAAGAGTATTATCCCTTACGCAACACGGCTACACGACGACGCCTGTCCCAGCGATTTGCGTTCAGCCCTTTGCTTAACAAGCAAACCAAAAAATTAGTTAATTGCTCTCAAAGACAAGTATTTAAAAAAGAAAATGTTCAAGAGAAAGACAAAGGATGGCAATGACGACAAGAAGACAAAGGAAGCGCTCGATACCGTCAAGAAGGAGATCGAGAAGATGACCAAGGGGATAGCCGACAAAGAGGCTGAAATTGCCCTGCAGCAAGCCAAAGTCACATCCTTGAGGGAGGAGGCCAAGGAGCTTCTCAAGAAAAATGATAAAGATGGAGCCGAGAGAAAGTTGAAGCTTATGCAAAACGTCAATAGCCAGATAAAGACTTCGTCGCAAGTCGTGAACCAACTTTCTACCGTCCTTGCTTCTCTTGAAACACGCAGAGAGCAGATAGAGCTTAAGATGTCTGCTACAGTGGCAACTAAGATGCTTGACAACACTGCTGCCATGGGAGACCAGGCCGCAGATCTGCTGAGCAATATTCGTGAGCATGAACAAATGAGCGCAGATTTCCTTACACAGCTTAATGAAGGCGATAGAGACAAGGCCTCAGCAATTGCTAATGACCTAGCGAACCTAATGGCGGAGATTGATGAAGAAAACTTCGCAGACATACCCGTTTCGCTTCCGGGGCAGGTAGCTGCTTCTAATGATCTTGACATAATGGTCGAAATATGAGCCATCTGCAAGTAAATCTAGCTCTACACTTTTCTGACCTACCGGCTCAACTTCGCGGGAAAGTGTGTGTGTGTGTGTTTACAACGTGCGAACGGGAATCTTGCTTGGTGAAAATAGATGTCTAGGATGCTCAGAAGAGCGATAGACAAGGGCAAGTGTTGAGATGGAAGTGATTTTATGCAATTATTGGACGGTATTTTGTCCCGCGGGACTTAACTACGCAAATAGCGATCAGGAGCCCGATGACTGAAAGTCCACATAACCCAGCGACAAGGAACAAAAGGGCGCGCAGAATAAATCTTATGTGCACCTGGGGCTGGCTGCTAACTGGATTATGAGGAATCCAGTACAGCGTTGTCGGCGATGACTCTATTCCATATGCATTTGTGCCCATTGCTATCTTCATTGTCCCCCGGTCATTCCATGATTCACCCCATGAATTCAGGATGATCCAGTACTTTGTTCCGTTTGCAAATGTGCCCCAGCCTATGAGCAGAACACAATGGTTCACCTCACTGATGAAGTAGTGGCGTTCGGGGTCGTCTGAATCAACCGTTTCGTGATTGTCCGCTGGACCGTAAAGATCCCCTCTGGAGAAGTATCCATCAGAATCGACATATATGCTAACAGGGTAGGGACCGTGCCTGTAGAGCTCCCATTGCATCTCAACCGGATCGGTGACAGCTCCATAGTAGCCACCCAACTGCTGGCCTGCCGTGAAGTAGTAGCGCCTGGAGCCAGGAGATGTCTTGCACTCTCGCGTTACTCCGTCCGTCCCCGAAGTATATGGTATGTAGTAATCGTCCTCTGTCATTATCCCGTTGGTCTCTGCAAACCTCAGGACATGCTCTGGAAAGCCCCCGTCGCAGCCCTGACTGTATACATTGCAATCTAAAGCGTGCTCAGTGGACAGGATTGTCTTCGTACCTACAGGATCTGTTCTATTGGTGGCTATCATGATGCGACTATTCATAGCCTGCACTGCGCCAAAGGTGAAGCAAGAGCCACAAGCGCCTTGGTCCAAGACCCCAGGAATGTAGCTGACACCATTGACATCTCGCCAGTCGAAGTCATCCGGAAGAGTATCGCCTTTATACGGTACATTACGTGTCTCAGATTCAGACCCAAATCCGAAAAGATTGTGCGAGAATTCCCTGCGAAATTCACGCTTGGCATATCTGAGCTTGTTAGCAGAGAGAAGCTTCCGATAGTGAGCCCCTGTAGGTAGTGGAACTGGAAGCTTCCTCGAAGGTAGGGTCGCGTGGCGCGATAATAAGGCTTCTCCCTGACTTGTCTGGTCTGTCGGGTTCACTGGTCCCGGTGCATTCTCGTCCCTAATGTTGTAAAGCGTGCTGGAGTCCGCGCTAATAAGCTCCGCATAGAGACAAGCCTGGGATGCATTCCCTATTCCGTCCTTCTTGACCCACCCCATGCCTGGCGCTGATAGCCAGCAAGAAGAATTGACCATCACCCTACCCTCCAGCGGATACTCCTTCCATGCAAAGTAGAACAGATAATTAAGACCGTTAAGGCGTATCTCGAGGCCCTCCGTGTACGCCATGGTCCAAGTGCCCGTGGCGCCCGTTTGCTCGTTGATTGCAATGTTGGGAGCCAGCAGTCGTATCCTCTTCGTAGTAGTAGCTGCTATATTGGCTGGGCACTCAAATCTGTCTGTCCCGTTCCCTCCTGAGTACTTAAAGTCAGTAAACTGCAGGCTCCATACGCCCAGAACTTGGTCCCCAAGACACCATGCTGGAGTATCTGATAATAAGAGTCCCAGGAGCGCCAAGATGAAAAGCATGATTTTTTTCTGGCCGGCTTCTTATTGTTAGAGGTGAAGATGCTCAGACCTTCGTACAGAGTCCTTGCCAATCAGTAACATAAGCATAGGGTGGTAAGAGAATAGTAGGGAATGGATACTTCACACGGCTTTCTCAAAGCCCGGTTTAAAAACGAAATGACTGACGATCTCGAGGCCTGGCTAACGGCCTGCCAGCTCGGAGACTTGCAGTTTGTACGAGACAATATTGCAAAATGCAAGGCAAAGGTGAATAGCCTGAGTGAGTCGGGTCTTATGCTTGCGGCCTACTTCAATCAACTAGACATTGTCAAAGCACTGCTCTACTTTGAGTACACGCTGGGAAACTCGGATGGATACACAGCCCTGATGTATGCCGCATGTGCCAATAACTTGAAGGTGTGCGAACTTCTTATTGAGAGAGAATGTTGCTATGTTCTCCGAGACGGAACCACGGCGCTAATGCTAGCAGTACAGTGCGGCCATCTTCAAATAGTAGAGTTTCTCTGCCCATATATGGATTTCATGAAGGATAACAATAACGAGACGGCGCTCTTTCATGCCATCCGGGCAGGGCGCCTTGTGGTGGTGAAAAAGCTGATAGAGAAGAGTCAGAGTGTAGTAGCAGATGATGTAAGGGCAGCTGCAGCATATGCACAGAAGCAAAATCAACAAACCATACACCTTTTCCTCAAAGGGATAGAGAATGCTGTCCCTGAGACTCGGCCCGTACCTTCCATTACTCCTCGCCATCCTAAGATTATGAGACCAGCCGCAAGTGCCCCTGTTGTCAAGCGAACAAAAATAGAGGAATACTTTGCTAAAAAAGCAGGTGTGCTGGGTCAACTTACTCAAGGACTGCAGGTGCCACAGTCAATAGTTAAGCGTGCAGCATCTAAGTCGGCCACGAGGACAGTTTCTAAGAAGCCCGAGGGGTGTACTACCAATTGCACAGAGGAAGTCCAACATGCTCCACAAGTAAGTCTAGAGCATAATAGTAAGGATATAACCACAAACACGTCTCCCTCATCGTCTGGCGAAGCACAGGGATGGCTTCAAAGGTCGTGGGGGGCGACGGTTAGTATGTTCTATCGTGGATTGTCTAAAACACGACGAGCACTTCTGAGAGTCTTTTCCAGAAGGGCAGCTGAGACAGCCGCTACAGCCATTAGCTCCAGTGTTTCCAATACCTTGTCAGTTTAAATTAAAGCCTTGAAAGTGCCTTACCTTCTTAATATCACGGCACTTGTAAATGCGCGCTACTTAATAAGCTCATGCAAATCTCTAGCAGCTCTGCGTTCGTTCTCGGTTTGTCACCTTTTCTTACGCTAAAATTTGATAATGCCATCAGAGACAAACATTACTCGGCTCATCGAGTGCTCTTGTCTATTGGGAGGTCGCATTATGTCAGTAGGTGATGCAATGGGTACAGCAGGTGACCTATCATTGTTTAGAGTTGCACTTCGAGATGTGGAAGTATGGCGAGGCGACCCTCCTGTAGATGGAGTTGTTATCATGGCAGCAGACAAGAAGCCTGGTCTAGGCTCGGGGCAATATGCCTTACTGGGCGGAAATCTCACGCCCTTACACGTCGCTGACAACACGCCGCTATACACCGTTTACACCATTTGCCAAAGTATGGCAGATATACGTGAACTGGCAGCTACGATCAACAAGGGAGTCCCCGGATGGGTGACCGAGAATGACAAGTTCATATCGCCATTCAAGGCCCCCTTTCCTGGGCTTCATTCAGGACCCCGATGCGCTGTGACAGGTAGACCTGTGCTGCGTTTTTCCTCTAATATAATACTTACTGTGACTAGAGTAATCCCACCAACAGTTTTGGAGGCACGAAATCCCCTAGGTGATGGCGTGTTCTCTTTGCAGGTCCGAAATGAGGGCAATGTACAAGAATTAATCCCTCTACTCGTTAGCAGAGGCACCCTCCTCTGGGACCAGAGTGTAGTTTGTATTAACCGGGGAACGTCTTATATCTTTCAAGAATCTGTCCCTAAAGATGTTCAGTTCCATGTCTTGGGACAGGGGGAGTCTGTTACTGGAAACATAAACACTTTGCATCTTGTCAACTTTCCTTGGCCACAGATGGACGAGCGCATATATTTCACCTTTGCCTTGGGAACGCTTTGTGCGAGTTCATTCTTTGACTTCTCACCGTGCTATCACAAAGGGATGATCAAGGGTACTCCCAGGCACAATGATCTTACTCGCTGCTTCAGTCCTCCGTGAGGGGCTTTTTGTAGACTTCGATAATGGTTTCGTCGAATATCCTGCCCACCACATCCGCGATTCGCTCTCTTGAGGAGATCTGTCGTTGCCTAAAACTTATTCCAATGTCTCTGAGCTTGTTGCTAATGCGCGTGACTCCATCCATAAGCGAGTTAATCGTTTTCACTTCCATATCAAGAAATGTGTCAAGCGTGAGTGGCATGTGGAGCTGTTGTCCAGTGGACAGAGCAACGGAGGGTGCGCATGACAGGGGGTCTGGCTCTCTACTGTACTGGGTACTCGCATACCTTGCGTTGATGGAGCCAAGTGTGGAAAGGTTAGAAGGAGCTCCCATAACCATGTTATTCTGGAACGTAGTCGAGGTTGTCGGGGGAGGCAGTCTTGAGGCACTTGAAGCAAAGCCGACTGTGTGTCTGTTAGAATGAGAGACAGTCGCAGGTGAGGAGGACGCGCTAGCACCAAAAGCTATCCTAGTAGAACCGTCCCCAGGAACAGGAAGCGCTAGGTTGTCTAGTACGCCGAAGGACCCTCGATCTACTCGCTCCTTGGATAGAGAGCGCTCTATTGCAGCTTGATTGGGGCTAGCCTCTACCACTTGGCTTATTTCTTGAATTACATCCAGCGAATGGTCACTCACCATCAAAGAAGGCCAGTGGCAAAACGCCTAATTTTTTAATTCGCTTCTGTCAAAGAGGGAAATTTACAAGGAAAACAGGGCTGCAACTTCGCTAGCAACGTCATCTAGAACCCTATCTGCGATTTCACGAGATAGCTGTACAGCATCCATTTCATCAAAGAAGATCTGTTCTGTTTGCTTAACACCCGCAGTTACTGCAGCTGTATATGAAGGTTGAACAGTAGCAGCCGCTTTAAGCTGCTGAGCTAAATACGCATGAAGCCGGGTCATGTCCTTTGCATATCCCTCAGCCAGTGCAGCTCGAAATCTGTCTTTAATAAGAAATACATCAACGAAGTGATCGATAGGTTCCAGGGTAAACTTGTAAAACCCATTGTTGTCCAAATAGTCTGCTTCCAAGGCGTCGCAGTCTGTGATGACCGCCTTGCTCAACTGTGATACGACGCAAAGCCCAACACTAGATAGCGCCATTATGCAGCAATCAAAGAGCGCAGATAGATGCGTTGTCTTATTATCTACATCAATGAGTGCGTCCAAGGAGACGGAAACGTCGGTAGCGTTTTCGATAAAAGTACAAAAGACGTCAACGTACTGCTCGACTTCTTTGCTAGTGACATTTGGATCTGGTTCGTAAAGTATCGGCTGGCGCGGCTCCGGTTCTAACTCTAGCTCTTCTGGATGCTGTATCATCTGCGAATTGGAAGGCTCAGGGTGCGTCGCTGGCACTAGATCGGATTTAAATCCGCTATCTTTTTCGTTGGTAAGCTCGTTGTACTGTGCTTCTTCTCGATGATCTACTATATATTCTGGGTGCTCAATATTAACGGTATCTGTTGTTTTAGAACCCAAAGGAGGGTTTTCTAGAGACTCGTCAGGCGCTCCAGGTATACTAGGTGCCTCATTATAATCTGAATTGTTACCAGAAGAGATTGCATGATGGTGCAGATTTAATATTGATTCATCAATGCCAAAACTTTTGCTCGCCGAAATAAGCTCTTGAGGGAGGACGGTAGTATTAGTAGTAGTGGCAGGTGCAGCATCCGCCAAAGCAGGCTCCACAGAGGCTCCCTGTTGCAGGTCGACCGGCTCGCTGTCGCTCTCTTCGTCGACAAAGTCCAGCTGCTCATTTATCTGCGTGTCCCAGTCCTTTGATTCGTCATCCATAACCCTTTTTACAAGAGTGTCATGATCAGGCTGATCTACCTCTGTTGTTATTACTGGCAGACCAGCCGCTCCATCAAAAAAATTCTGCCGAGAGAGCTTTTCCTTTTGAGTCATATATCGGTCGTATCCATCTGTTGGCTCCTCTGCTTGTAGTGTGTTGCCAAGATTGAGTTCATGTTCAATGTCTATTACAGGCTTGTTTTGTAGCTGGCTGGGGTCTAAGTCGTCAAATTTGTAGTTGTCTGGAATTAACGGTATCACCGTTGTATCAATTCCTTGAGTTGTACTGTCGAGCTCCTCGCACAAGTCATTGAACTCATACTCGTTTGTGTTATCGGCTGGAGGAGGGGAGGCCTTGATGTGTTGCTGCGGTAGATACGTGGGATTAGTGATAGTGGGGACGACCTTTATAGGCTGAAGATCAGCATGCTGAAGATTTTTGAAGTCAGATGACTCGCGCTCCAGGTATTCGTCCTGCGGAGAATATCTATACCTTTCTGGAGACAGCTGACGGGTGCCCTGCGCGTGTGTAAATGGATTGGGAATACTGTGGGGTGTAGTGCCCTCGTAAGGGATCTCCCTATCGAAGTTTGTCCTCTGTATAACATAGTCAACGCTGGTTTCTGACGCATATGAAGAGGCTGGCTTGATCTTTTCTATTTTCGGAACAGGTATATTAGTATAGTCTGATAGACTCATCTGGGTGAGATCCGTTGCTGAAGATGATCTGTTGGATTCCATGACACCTGCATGATCTGTTTCTGTGGTTGTTGGATGGGTCCTGACAGACGTCAAATGAGACCGCTGATATCTAGTGGGATGCGCCCCCGTGTTATAAGGAGCATAGTGCGGATCATTTTGCTCAGGAAGTGTCATCGACGGCGCACTGTCCTCGTCAGCAAGGCCTGGTGGAGCCACTTTCTTTCCTGAGTCACCGGATATTAACCCGACCTTAGATGACGCCATATTGCTGTACGCTAACGCCAGCTCAACTTTGTCACCCTTTTCTGCAGCAGCTTTTATCAAGAAGCTGTCTATCTCCTCCTTGAAAAGCTGCTTGGCCATCTCCTCAGTAATATTGGGGTCCCGATCAACCTGAGAGGCAACGCGCTGTATCATCTTGGTCATGACCTTTTCAGGAATTTCTGGGTATTCAAATATGGCGTCATCCAGTGCCTTTTTAATACCGACAGGATCTTTATAGCTAGGGACATGGTCCTGAGTATCAGAGACCTCATTGCGCGCGATAGCGTGCTGAGCATGCTGATATAACGGCCCCTCAAAAGGAGATGACTTCTTGGAGTTCCCTATTCTGCGTGTATCAGGAGAAGAAATCACCGGAGTGTGCTTGTCCTCTTTATAGGCATGATATATAGTATTGATGGCTGTGCTAAGATTTGTTACCATTTGAGAAATGTTCTTGTCTTCCTTGGTGTTGTTGGGCACCAACGGGGCAAGCTTTGTAATCATCTCGACGGCATTATGGAGCTCTTTGGTGACCACTGACTGCTCGCTATCGCTTCCGTCATAGTTCTCAGTTAGAGGATCTGGAGGTTGCCCCTCAGCAAGATTGTTGGTACGCTTTGCTTGCTTGCCTTCACGAGAAGGCCAGTCCATGTTGACACGGTCATATAGTGCTGGGACGTGTGCGTCTGACTTTACCGGAGCCGTCAAATCAATTACGTCGTCTGCTGAAGATGGATTGACAGTGTACTCGTCGACTGTCGTTCCAGGAATATAAGTGCTGTTCATTAGCTCGTTTAGCTCTTTTTCGTAAAGGTCATTATCCTGAAAATCATCATAGGCTGACTGCACTGGTGGCTCTGCCTTAGTCTTTTGCTGTATAGCGTTTAGTCTATTAGGAAGCTGAACCGATGTCTTTGTAACCTGAGTCGCCCCTGGGTCAGCCTTCTTGCGTTTACGCACATCTTTTGCTACTCTATCATCGCTCCTGTCCCGAGGTCTGTCTGTCTCTGTCCCAAAATTCCTCGTCGAAGTCAAGCTATTTCGAAGCACCTTAGGTGAATCTTCATGCCTGCTTATCCCTTCTTCATGGAGCGTGTCAACAACAGCTTGCTTTAGCTTCTTGATAAGTTCGTCCTCCATAGAGGTGGTAGTAAAGATAGATTGCTGAGGGGCCGGGGCGACCCCACTCGGCGTGATGGATCGGGAAACAGAAGCTCCAAACAGCGGTCCCTCAGCGCGCATGCGAGCTAACAACGCGGTAACCAAAGTATCCTTAAGACTGGTATCTTTATGCCGCACTGGAGGCTGAAGCTGTGGCGGCTCTGGAATCCGCTGCTTCTTTGGCGTGCCGCTGCGCATCTTCTTCTTACCTGTCTGCTTAGGAGTATTCTTGGCGTGCGCTTGCTTACTGCTGGAGGATTTCTTTCTGCCTGGACCAGAATAAGCGGTACTAGGCGGAGCAGCCCGTCTGTCCATAGCATAATGTGCGGAACCTGACCGAATAGGACGCGGCTCCTGCTCCTTGACAACTATTATTTTCCCAGGCGTTGCGGACGATAGCTGCCTGACAACCTGGGGTTGCATGTTTTTTGATTTTTAATTGGCGGTCGCGATTCCCAGCGCAAGAAAATGGCCGTTTACAAGTCTACTGTCCGCGATCCAAGTGCTACACTATGATCACTACTATGCACTTATACGCCTACCAGCCTGGCATGTCGCAAACACTGGTTTCTTGACACTTTGGAACTGAAAAGTCATTTGGCTTAAAAAGCCCTTCCTCTAGATTGTTAGGATTAAAGGGATGTTTGAGAACAGGCTTATACTTATAAGTGTCAGCTGGAAGGGCAGAATTGTCACTCTTCATCTCACTCACTGTCTTTAGGAAACGCGCATCCGATTCGTCAAACCAATTTCCGTAAGTCTTTTGCCACTTACAGCGAGATTCTATGTTCTTCTTCTCCAGTTCTCTGTGTATAACATCGTAGTTCTGGACATTTTCTGGCTTAAGCCCCAATGGCATAAGATTTGAAATTTACAATTAAAACATCGAACTTGCTCTGCTTCAGCGGGTGATTCTGCAACTACTCATTGGTATTGCTTAGCACAAGTTGCTACTCAAATTTACAATCGGCTGTTCTACATCTAAAGTCCTCTAGTGTCTAGTTCTGATGAAGCATCCTTTTCTCCTTAAGTCTATCTTGCTACCCTGTGCCCACCTTAGTGTTCATCTCTTCCTGAAGCTTTTTGTAAAGGGCTATCTACTACTAGGGAAATGTGAGCCCACAACTACTGAGCTTGTATTTGTTTATTGTCCCGCAGTACTGTGCAATCAAGAATTACACTCGGGCAGCCCCCAGCGGAATCCGTTGATATAATACGTTTACTACCTAAGTGTACAGTTAAATCTACGCTTTGCCCCGGCAGAGGAACCACCAGCAGAGGAAGCCGACGAGGCCCCCGACGACAATAACAGCAGCCACAGCAATGCCTGCAATGGCGCCGGTAGAAAGGCCACTACTCTTGTTTGTGTTGGCAACCGCCTCGCACGCGTCTTTTCTATCGTTCAGGTTGAATCCCGGGTTGCACTCGCAGACGTTTTGGTTGGGGGAGGAGTTCTGCGGGCAGGTGGGGCCGCAGCTTCTTTTATCGAGCTGCACGTTCTCGCCAGGAGTCTTGCAGTCCAGGCACGTCTGGTCGTTGGGGCCGCACGTCTTGCAGCCCGCATTCTGCAGCTCTTGTGCGCAGTTTGTGTTGGCAACCGCCTCGCACGCGTCTTTTCTATCGTTCAGGTTGAATCCCGGGTTGCACTCGCAGACGTTTTGGTTGGGGGAGGAGTTCTGCGGGCAGGTGGGGCCGCAGCTTCTTTTATCGAGCTGCACGTTCTCGCCAGGAGTCTTGCAGTCCAGGCACGTCTGGTCGTTGGGGCCGCACGTCTTGCAGCCCGCATTCTGCAGCTCTTGTGCGCAGTTTGTGTTGGCAACCGCCTCGCACGCGTCTTTTCTATCGTTCAGGTTGAATCCCGGGTTGCACTCGCAGACGTTTTGGTTGGGGGAGGAGTTCTGCGGGCAGGTGGGGCCGCAGCTTCTTTTATCGAGCTGCACGTTCTCGCCAGGAGTCTTGCAGTCCAGGCACGTCTGGTCGTTGGGGCCGCACGTCTTGCAGCCCGCATTCTGCAGCTCTTGTGCGCAGTTTGTGTTGGCAACCGCCTCGCACGCGTCTTTTCTATCGTTCAGGTTGAATCCCGGGTTGCACTCGCAGACGTTTTGGTTGGGGGAGGAGTTCTGCGGGCAGGTGGGGCCGCAGCTTCTTTTATCGAGCTGCACGTTCTCGCCAGGAGTCTTGCAGTCCAGGCACGTCTGGTCGTTGGGGCCGCACGTCTTGCAGCCCGCATTCTGCAGCTCTTGTGCGCAGTTTGTGTTGGCAACCGCCTCGCACGCGTCTTTTCTATCGTTCAGGTTGAATCCCGGGTTGCACTCGCAGACGTTTTGGTTGGGGGAGGAGTTCTGCGGGCAGGTGGGGCCGCAGCTTCTTTTATCGAGCTGCACGTTCTCGCCAGGAGTCTTGCAGTCCAGGCACGTCTGGTCGTTGGGGCCGCACGTCTTGCAGCCCGCATTCTGCAGCTCTTGTGCGCAGTTTGTGTTGGCAACCGCCTCGCACGCGTCTTTTCTATCGTTCAGGTTGAATCCCGGGTTGCACTCGCAGACGTTTTGGTTGGGGGAGGAGTTCTGCGGGCAGGTGGGGCCGCAGCTTCTTTTATCGAGCTGCACGTTCTCGCCAGGAGTCTTGCAGTCCAGGCACGTCTGGTCGTTGGGGCCGCACGTCTTGCAGCCCGCATTCTGCAGCTCTTGTGCGCAGTTTGTGTTGGCAACCGCCTCGCACGCGTCTTTTCTATCGTTCAGGTTGAATCCCGGGTTGCACTCGCAGACGTTTTGGTTGGGGGAGGAGTTCTGCGGGCAGGTGGGGCCGCAGCTTCTTTTATCGAGCTGCACGTTCTCGCCAGGAGTCTTGCAGTCCAGGCACGTCTGGTCGTTGGGGCCGCACGTCTTGCAGCCCGCATTCTGCAGCTCTTGTGCGCAGTTTGTGTTGGCAACCGCCTCGCACGCGTCTTTTCTATCGTTCAGGTTGAATCCCGGGTTGCACTCGCAGACGTTTTGGTTGGGGGAGGAGTTCTGCGGGCAGGTGGGGCCGCAGCTTCTTTTATCGAGCTGCACGTTCTCGCCAGGAGTCTTGCAGTCCAGGCACGTCTGGTCGTTGGGGCCGCACGTCTTGCAGCCCGCATTCTGCAGCTCTTGTGCGCAGTTTGTGTTGGCAACCGCCTCGCACGCGTCTTTTCTATCGTTCAGGTTGAATCCCGGGTTGCACTCGCAGACGTTTTGGTTGGGGGAGGAGTTCTGCGGGCAGGTGGGGCCGCAGCTTCTTTTATCGAGCTGCACGTTCTCGCCAGGAGTCTTGCAGTCCAGGCACGTCTGGTCGTTGGGGCCGCACGTCTTGCAGCCCGCATTCTGCAGCTCTTGTGCGCAGTTTGTGTTGGCAACCGCCTCGCACGCGTCTTTTCTATCGTTCAGGTTGAATCCCGGGTTGCACTCGCAGACGTTTTGGTTGGGGGAGGAGTTCTGCGGGCAGGTGGGGCCGCAGCTTCTTTTATCGAGCTGCACGTTCTCGCCAGGAGTCTTGCAGTCCAGGCACGTCTGGTCGTTGGGGCCGCACGTCTTGCAGCCCGCATTCTGCAGCTCTTGTGCGCAGTTTGTGTTGGCAACCGCCTCGCACGCGTCTTTTCTATCGTTCAGGTTGAATCCCGGGTTGCACTCGCAGACGTTTTGGTTGGGGGAGGAGTTCTGCGGGCAGGTGGGGCCGCAGCTTCTTTTATCGAGCTGCACGTTCTCGCCAGGAGTCTTGCAGTCCAGGCACGTCTGGTCGTTGGGGCCGCACGTCTTGCAGCCCGCATTCTGCAGCTCTTGTGCGCAGTTTGTGTTGGCAACCGCCTCGCACGCGTCTTTTCTATCGTTCAGGTTGAATCCCGGGTTGCACTCGCAGACGTTTTGGTTGGGGGAGGAGTTCTGCGGGCAGGTGGGGCCGCAGCTTCTTTTATCGAGCTGCACGTTCTCGCCAGGAGTCTTGCAGTCCAGGCACGTCTGGTCGTTGGGGCCGCACGTCTTGCAGCCCGCATTCTGCAGCTCTTGTGCGCAGTTTGTGTTGGCAACCGCCTCGCACGCGTCTTTTCTATCGTTCAGGTTGAATCCCGGGTTGCACTCGCAGACGTTTTGGTTGGGGGAGGAGTTCTGCGGGCAGGTGGGGCCGCAGCTTCTTTTATCGAGCTGCACGTTCTCGCCAGGAGTCTTGCAGTCCAGGCACGTCTGGTCGTTGGGGCCGCACGTCTTGCAGCCCGCATTCTGCAGCTCTTGTGCGCAGTTTGTGTTGGCAACCGCCTCGCTGCTGGTCTTCCCGCTGTACTTGGCCAGCACTGTTGCACAAACTAGGAGAAATCCTACCAACATTAGCGGGAGTTCGTATGCCACTGCTCTTCTGTCAGGCTGGTGTGTTGCCGCGAGCAGTGAGAGGCAGCCGCTCTTGCTCCCTTGATCAGTTGGACTGGAGAAGAACGAGATAGGAGCACGCCCACCGGAGGCCGGCTGACAGTGCGGTTCCCCCTGACTTCGATAGGAACAGGATGAGTGATGGCCAGACTCAGAACGCACCTCTCTTGTGGAATGATTGTTTGGGTGCACTCCTGTACATTGCTGTCACTGTATCACTGGGCCCGCCTGCAGGGGCAGGGCGTCTCGGTAGTAAATGCGTCATACTGCATCTGCTCGCTCCATGGCATCTGGGGCGCTATTCTATGAAGTCATTGAGTCACCTGTCTCCGAGCATCCACTGGATCCTGCGGCGGGACCGCGCCTCCGTGCCCGCTCTACCCACGAGGAAGTAGGCACCGCATAGGGATCCTCGGGAAGTGGCAGTGCGTTGCAGCGCAGGGTTCTCTCGAGGGCAGCAGCCGAAGCCGACAACCAAGACAGCCCGCAGGCACCTGCCTGGACTACTCTCCCCTGGAGGGCTGTGCTATCCGGCCGAGTGCGTCGTCGGGAAGCGGCTTCGTGGCAAACCTGACGAGCTCCCTGCTCTGCCGGCTGGACCACTCCACGATGAGGCACCGGCGTCTGTACGCCAGCGTGTGCACAGGACACGGGGAGTGCTACAAGGACGCCTGTGTCTGTGCCGAGGGCTACCACGGGAGTCTGTGTGACTGTCGTGTGAGGAACATCGGGGCCGTGGCGGGGGTGACGGCGAGCACGGCCGTCTTCTTCGGGCTCCTCTTCCTGTCTGCGACTCGGTAGGGTGTACAAGTCCCGCACACGGCTAACCTATCCGCGGCCCAAAAAAGGATCGGATGTTGCTGCTTACTTTGTCTTTCCTCTGCGCGGCGTCGGCCGAGCGGGACCCGTTCAGCATCCATATGGCGTGCGAGCATGCCTTCGAGCGCTTCGTCGGCCTCTACGGGAAGGCCTACGACACGCCCGGGGACCGGCTGGAGGCGGAGCGGAACTTCTGCATGCACCTCGAGCACCTCCGCAGGCTCCGCCGGGAGGGCCACGAGCACGTCACCTTCGGGATCACGTCCCGGATGGACCGCCACCCGCGCGCCGGCCTCCTCCCGCCCCGGTCGCTGGGGGGTGGCGAGTGGAGCGCAGCCACGAGTACGTGCACACGAGATAGCAAATCGAATAAGTACACCAACTGCAACGTCGATGCCTACGAGCTGGGGCCGGACCTGAAGGGAGACACTCAAGCTAATTCACAGAGTGCCAACGCTGACGATAAGAGCAAGAAGCAGGACAGCTTCTTCCTCGTCGACGTGCGGGACATGAACGTCAACGGCAGGCAGCGGACGCTCCCCCACTCCGTCGACCTCCGCGAGGTGGGCCTCGTGACCCGCGCGAAGGACCAGGGCCTGTGCGGCTCCTGCTACGAGTTCACGACCATCGAGGTCCTCGAGAACCTGATGCTCGTCGACGCAGACCTCTACACGAGGGGGAAGTACCTCGATCCCCAGCCCTTTCCGTCGAACTACTTCTGCAACTGCTCGGCCCCTGCGAGTCAGGACGGGGACCAGAAGAGTACTGACTGCACCACAGGACTAATAACTGTTACAAATCGCACCGAACAGGACTATACCGACATCCCCGAGAACTGGAAGTCCTACAGCGCGTCCACCCTGCGCCTCTCCGTCCAGTTCCTCCTCGACAACCTCATCGGCGGGAACTACTGCAACGGGGGGAACTACTTCCGCGCCATCGCAGACTTCGTTAACAAGCTGAGCAAGCTCGCGAAGGAGTCCGAGTGCATCTACAGGGAGTACGCGACGCCCGAGAAGGCCGCCCCAGACGATGGTACTAAGTGTCAGGACACCAACATAGGAGACTTCAACCCTGCCTTCGTCTCCATGCCGATGAAGAAGAAGGGCAGCTCTTCTAATTCTGGGGCTGCAGGTAGCGATGAATACGAGTATGATGTCAATGGTGGCTCAGGCACCCCCAAGAAGTTCGGCGTCTACCAGATCCTGCGGAACGAGGGCGTGCCGGCCTCGGGGCTCATCATCGAGGAGATGGACAAGGGGAAGTTCGCCGAGTGGGAGCGGAACGTCATGAACGTCCTGGCCCGCGGGGTCGGGGTCGCGGCGGCCATGCACACAGAGTCCGGCGTCGACACGTCGATCGACAAGGACTACGAGTCCGTCGTCGCCTCTGCGCTGACGTTCAACCTCTACAAGGGCGGCGTCTTCCCCGACGTCAAGTGCGTGCGCGCGACCACGAACCACCAGGTCATGCTCGTCGGCTACGGGGCCTACAAGGGCCGGCCCGTCTGGATCCTGCGCAACTCGTGGGGGACCGGCTGGGGCGTCTCGGGCTACTACTACATCGGCCGCGGCTCCAACTCGCTCTGCCACGAGCTGACCGTCGAGTACACGATGCCCCGCTTCTACGGGCCCGACCGCGACGGCGTCCACCCGCTCTTCCTCTCCGCGCCCGACGAGGCCCAGAAGGTCGCCATCGCAGACGCCGTCCGCGCCTCCCCGTTCAACAACAAGGTCAAGCGGTGCGTGAACGGGCTGGACACGGTCGACGCGCACGGAGGCACGATGTGCGAGGCTCTCGAGGTCAGCGCGTGGAACTACGTCCTGGTGGGGGCCCTGGCCATCGTCATCTTCTTCCTCGGCCGGTACTGCATGCAGTACTACTTCTGCGCGCCGGAGTACATCTTCCACAGCCCGCTCAACCTGAACCTTCCGCACAAGGGCGTGTAGCGCCTAGCGCCCGAACTCCCCGTCGTAGAGGGTGGTCAGGTAGATGTCCATGTTCTCGCTGAACCTCCGTGAGATCTCCCGCACGTCGCTGTCCTCGACGGAGAAGTCGGACAGCCGCGGCCCCTCTGTGCTCCGGTAGTCGCAGAGGCTCTCCTCGTCTATGGAGACGACCCGGCTCGGATCGAAGTTGGCCAGCGTGTCGAACTTGTACTCGACCTCGCTCCGCCGCACTGAGATAGCGACCCCGCTGTTCAGGCCGCGCGCGCACCTTCCCACGCGGTGGGTGAGGGTGGCCAGCGACTCTGGAAGCTCGAAGTTGACCACCGAGCGAACCGCAGGAAGGTCGAGTCCGCGGGCGAAGTTATCAGTTGCCAGGACGATAATTGCAAAAGGCTCTGCCTCCGAAGTAAATTTAATTCTTAGTCGTACAGATGGCCTGGGTGAGGGGGCCGTTGACAGAGTAGCACCCGCCCCTGTAGAAGAGAAAGTCCCGAATGCAGCCTCCGTTGACGGGCACCCGTGCTTCATCACACCTAGAGCAGTATAAGATAAAGCCATGATTATACATCAGAAGGAGCTTTTCACTGATTGTTGCAGTATATCTGTAAACATCTTCATGTGAATATCATCCTTAGTAGTAACAGAGTAAGAATTAGGTACAGATGGCTTGTAAGGGGGAAGACAATCACCGCAAAGAATATGTAGATGGCTTTTTGAGTGCATGTATACGTTCCATCGCGTACCACTCTTTTGGCCACATCTAAGCCAAAAGCCTTCCACACGCCCACAAACGGAGCAGATTGCTGGATGGCATGCACCTGTTGTTTCTCCATAGCATAAAGAGACGCTAAAAGAATCCCACACACTACCAGCAAACAACTGCAGATTTTCTCCCGGCAGGTTGAGAACCTGGTTCTGCAAAAGATGCGTTGCAAGACAAATAAGTAAGTGGGTAGGATGGACATCATAGCGGATAGGTTACAATAGATATCTATGGAGGGAATGCTTTCTGTCGTGCATTTAATCAGCCAGGGCAGCATGAGCATAAAGTACGGCAACCACGTAGCGGTTCTTCTTGACTGAGTCGTTACCCATGCCAAAGGCATGACAAAGTATAAAACGATGCGAGCAGTCACCGTGAAAATCTCTGTCCAGGGCTGCAGATGATGAAGAGCCATGGATAAAAAGAGGGCATGCGTAGGTATCACATATCCATCAAAGTCGGCATCGCTCAGCGGATCGATAGTCGCCATTTTTAAAAACTAGTTTTTCTCACTAGCGTGGTCAGAGAGACTCTTGAAACACAGAAACTAAGCCCTTACCGCTACTGCGCAGCTTCGTCTTTACCTCAGCATAAAAATTAATTGTCCCAACCCAGACTATGCAGCCCCGGATGATTAGGTATGTGCTGGGACGGCATGACATCCACAGAGTTCATAACAATTGTGATCCCATTCGACACATTACTTCACACGGGATGCGTGCTGAGCCCAGTCTTATAGCTCGTCGAATTGAGGATGCATGCGAAAAGAGCTTTATTAGCTTTGAGGATAACGAAACCCATGTACCGATAGTTCTTGCACCATCAAAGTACTACCATGTAAGTGGAATCATCCAAGAACTAACTCCCGAATTGACACCGGTGAATTTGACACCTAGCGAAGAAGACGCGAGATCCAACGAATCAACTTACGCGACTGATAATAGTGACGATACCTCTCCCACCTCCAATCACAATTCTTCACAGAACTCTATACAACAGACTCTACATGATGATCTAGACCTGATAGAGGACAGTGCTGACGTCGCTCCTATTGACTTATTGGCAGGATCTAAGAACGCTGAAAACAATCAGTTGATCAGCGCTGAGCAATCTGGCTTACATCTGCAAGCTTCAGACAATGGCACCTCGTCAGTTGGAGCACCCTTTTCCTATGCTAGAGCATCTTTCAAGGTTGACTATGAAGAGTCCGCTGAGCTATGTCTGATAGGGCGGCTAATGGTCCCTTCGGTCTTTGTGAAACTATTAGATCTAGGCAAATCATATGCCAAAAGTTCGTTGCAAAGCGCAGGAATCCACAGGCCGCAAGACATTCCACTTCGCATTGTGCTGGAGTTGGTTCCAATTATCGTAAGCCTATTGCTAGCTGATTCTAGGTACTTTTCAGATTTGCTACACGATGTTAATCCGGCATCTAGTTATCAACCAGAGCAGTGTCAGACAAAATTTGTAAGGTTGCTGACCAATGGTATCGCTGATGTGAGAAGCACTGGAGAAGCAAAGTTTTGCCACGCGCTGTTAACCCCTCCTTCATCTGCTGTGCTTGTTAACCATACCATTAGGCTTCTATCAGCTTTAGTCTGCGACTCAATAAGTAACGAGCGTCACGCAAACATTTATTCTGCGCTTAAAAAGATCTATCCACGGTCCGATGAATTGGTGAGTTCTCGCCCTGCTCCCTTTACCATCGTTCCGCTGGAACCGTGTTATAAATTCTTAGAAGATAGAAGGCTGATGGCACAATACACTGAAAGCATACCGTGGATCGTCCGGGGTATTGTCGAGGTTATATTCTTGGAATTCTATGCTGTACACACCATACGGCTTCCTGTCTTGGAGCAACCGTTCCGCTTACCGAGCCTTGACCGGATGTACAATGTTTGCACTTTCACCATGGCCTGTCTTTTCATACGTCAATACTGTGAGGCACAAAGCGGCACTTTGACAACGAACCAGCATGCTTCCTCATCAACCATGTCAACACATCATGGCATCCTCCTCTCATTAGGTGCTTCTCTCCTTGGGCACACTAAAACTTGGCTGAAGGAGTCCTTAGGTGAGTGTCACGCATCTGCCTATCAGTCATCTATCTTGGAAAAACTGGACAAGTACATAGGGGACTGGGGTACCGTGAACCTCTTTTTACGTAGCTCACTTCTGCAGTTAGCTACTATGGGTTTAGTCTCTAGAAACGAAGTGCCATTTAAACTAGAGCCGGCGTTCCTTCTGAAGCAATCTATCAATTTGACGAAGGCTGATCCCGGCCTTGCTAATTATTATCCTGGAGACTACTTGGACTCGAGTAATTTGATTGGATACTTGCTTGGACTGGTAACAAGACCCCTTGCAATTGATTCTCAGAGAATAATGTCTATTTACCTGGAGCTTCTAAGCTATTTTGGGATCAATTCCAAATGCACTAGTGTATTTACTGATATGATTAATACGCTTTCAAGATTTAGGCATCGACAAGACTCTAGTGAAGCAACGAAGGTAAAAGATAAGCTTGGAAAAGAGATAACCCATCTTTATGAAAAAATAAGGAAACCGTTGATGGAAAGCAAGGGTATTGCAGAAGTAAAGGCGCGAAGAAAGACATCCAACCAGTCACCGCCTATATTTATCTGTTTCCTGCTAATGTTTATTTTCCACGTCTTGCTGCGCAGTAACTCAGTGATAAGACATCCGGTGCACGTTTTCCTTCAATCACCGACTGACGCAGCTATCCTCCTCTACCCTCTTGCACTGTACAGGCTTGCTTCTAAACACTACGGAAGCAACGCAATGAGGCTTATAATTCCTCAGTCGTCCAAGCTCTCGTGTCTTACATCCATTTTTAACGACCTGATCAATTACCTTGAGAGCCCTTCGGAAACGGAACCAGAGGTCAAGAAGAGGGCTGAAACTACCTCGAAACTTCTGATCATCTCGCTGGAAGAAGCAAAAGAGGCTTTAAACTTGGTAGATATCGCAGATGCATCCGATGATCAAAGAGAGGTCAAAATATATGTGCACACAGACCTATCTAATCACGTGCTCTTGTCACGTGCATCTCTTGTTACTAACATTCCTTGTCAGTTTGCACTTTTTGACCAGCTAATCACATCTTGCGATAAACTTTCAACTCTGGTTTTTTAACGAATGACAATCAATTTAAAAAACATAAACCCTGTAGATTGTGTTCGCATTTACTAATAGTACATATTATGGGAGCACCTATGAAGAAGTGATTTGCCAGATGTATAACAAGAAGCTGGGAGAGTTACTAGTCCATTGGAGTAGTGCACAAGGTGCAAAGTAATGTCTAGATAGGCGGATGGCTATCACTTAGTAAGTTATTAATCAACCAGAAGAAGTAAATGGCGACGCAACAATTTACAAGCTAATGCCCAACTGACCGTGTTGAATCTTGCATTTAAGCCGACATCGGTGCCTTTCCATTATGGCGTCAGGTCTGTTGAGGAGTAGCTAAACTGGATCTTCAGAGAGTAGAGATTTTGCCAAGTGCATACCTAAAGCACGCATGCCTTCCACGCCTGCAGTGCACAAGTCTTAGTATGTAGAGCAAAACCACAGTATACCTTGCCTTACTTCGCCAATACAATCCACTCAAACGAAATGTCAGACAAAAAATGTCCAGGGCGAAGTCATCAACATCAACCCACGTACGCGTTATAGGCATTCCGCCACACGCCGGAGACGAAATATATGACGAGATAGTACACAGATTATCCAAGCTGGGAGGCGCAACAATCCACAAGAACAAGACGCTATACTACGTAGATGCCCACTTCAATAGTTCAGACATGGCCCAGCTTGCAGTAGAGCAGTTTTCTGCTGTGAACATTCCGTCAGGAGAAAATCTACAATGCAAAATGGTCGAGACAGATAACGAAAGGGAGAAGAAGCGACAGTTACAAGCTGTTTATTCTGCCGTGAAAGCTTTGCGCCCAGACCAACAGGATGCCATCATTCTTTCCTTTCGGCACTTTATCGGGGCACACCCTGAAGACGCAGAGGCCCTTCTTCTTGCATATCCAGCTGCGCTTCTAGGATTGAAAATGCTGGTCACAGATGTGGCTGACATAAGGACGGAAAATTAGCACATCGGTAACTAGTTCTGATATCCACCGCGTGAGCTGGAGTCAGGTAAACCGTAAATCTATGAGCATTCAAAATAATGCAGCGACGGACTATCTTTTTGGATGATTCTCGTGCTATGAAAGACTGCAGCTCCCGCGTAAAGCTGTCTTCCTCTCTAGTGAATGCTGCAGACCTTAACGGGAAAGAGAGGCTCGATCAAGTTCTGGAGTACTTCCTAACGCAAGACCTCAAGAAACACAGTTTGGACACCATGGCTGATAGCTTAGAATCGCAGCTACTAGCTCTGTATTCTTGCGTAAAGGGAGATGCCGTAACAGAGCTAGTTCGTGACCCCCGTCTTGCAAAGTTAATTGATGCCCTTGCACAGCACTTGCAACCGTATACGTCCACACAAATTGCATTCCTTATCTTCTCTATGCTTGATCAATTTGCTGATGCAGGTGCAGAAATGACTGAGCTGTCAGTGCGGGCTGGCCTTCCCTATCTATCCAATATCACATCCATGATCGCAGAAAGTCCTGAGCTTCTCATAGGGGTACTAATGTTTTATACTCACTCCGCCAGCTATGAGCTTCACGGGCGGCAACAGCTCTTACTCTATGCGTCTGCAGACGAGCTTCTGAGACCGATATCTCTGTTACTTCAGCTTGATTCTTGTGAAGAAGAGCGTGAAGACGCGATGCTTCATGATGCATCTAACTATTTCTCTCTATTGAGCATTGTCCCTGCTCCCATCTTACAGCCACTGGGTAGTTTTCTCGGTGCATTCTTGGCCAATTGTAGCTATGACTTTGATGGAGAGGTTTTCGCCTATCTACGTCAAATGCTATTTTTCTTCTTTGCTATCACCCCACTGTTTTCCAGATCTGACGAATGGCGGAGAGTCGGGAATGATCTGCTTTTAGGGCTGAACAATTTCTGTATGCATCAAGACTTTGGAACGCTGCTTGGAGGCTTCCACGCATGGAGGCTATGCATTCAGCTAATCAAGATTTACAGAGACATGACCAAGCAATTACTTTGCTTCATCGCTAATGTTGCTTCTACCTCCGTTAATAATGATGTCTTTAATGACATAGCCACACTAGAGTTTTCTGACATTCTCTCATCTATTCTTGCAACCGGTATCCACAATGCATATGTTGATGTTGCGCTCACTATTGAGGTACTATTCGCTCAGTGGCCGCCATATCGAAAAACCTTTAGAGAAAGCAGTCTCATTAAGGTCCTCGTCGACAATCTGTATTCAGTAACACATATTGTGGTTAACTCGTCTATCAATATTATTTCCATCACCGTCGCCGAAGCGTGGGAAGAGTTTTTTGCCGCCGGCCTCGTGGCCGCGCTCGCCCACTATCTTCAAAATGCCTTGATTAAGCGGACAGTGTCGTGCACAACCAAGTTCACTGGGAGATGCTTTCGAATCTTGCACCAAATGATGGAGCTATCTCGTGGCACTACACTCGAAGAGCCCGTAATGAGCACGCTTTCTACTGACGTCCTTTATGAGTGTTATCTCTCTGCCCACGACTTCCCTAATATGGCTGTCTATGCGAGCGTATCGACATTAATTGAACTGGTGAGGATGCGTCACGAGAGTATGTGATAATGCCGGAACACAATGATTAGGCACTTGCTCTGCCCATTATTTGTCAATATGTAGCGTTCTCCATAGGCTTGCAGTACGATTTCTTCCAGTTAATGTAGTCTATCAGGCCATCCTTCCCCAAAGACATGTCATACCTCAACCTGGCCCCAATCAGAAGACTCATAGACGCAACCATTTTGTTGCTCGACATACCCTTCTCAATCGTCGCTGGATTGCATGTTGTGACCAGCGAATTAAAGGCTGCCTTGTGAGCACTGCGCTGGATTGCATCATATAGCCGCTTCCATATCGTGGGGTCGCATCCTAAATATAGATATGGACCATAGACACGCTCGTCTGCTGCCGCATCTGTACTTTTTGTGGGGCCAAAGTTTTTACCGAATACCTCGTTCACCGTATTCCTGACATGCTCCTCAATTATTGACATATCAAAGAGGGAGTACGTGGTCTCAGCTAGTCTGTTTTGCTTCTCGATTTCGGCCTGCTGTTTAATTTTCTCGCTGACTTCTAAAGAGTCATTAGAAAATTGGAGGCTGAACTTATCTACCAAGAGTATGGGCACTAGTGCTAAGAGAATTTTGCCCGTATTATCTTTGTCTATCATCTGTACAAGCTTCTCGAGAGGCTCCGTTTTTAGCAATTTGATTATGAACACAAGTGGTGAGATAGATTCTGGCAGTATGCATTCCTCTGGTCCAAGAAGCATCAGATTGATAGGAATATGCTTTCTATTTGTATTGTCTGGCTTCTTCTGGAACCGGATCTTCTCTTGATTAGTGAGGTAGAGGGCGTAATTTATGCTGATTGGGAGGACATTTGCAGCAAAGAGAGAGGACGCAAGAGTTTCCGTGAAGCTAAGCATGGATGCTGTCTCAACGTATTTTTTGGTACTGAATTGACCGAGGGAGAAGGACATAGGAAGGAGGGACACGTCAATCTCGCCCCCCAGACGTCTCTGTATGTCACTGCAGCTATACCTCAGGGCCTGGAGCCTTGCAGGCAGTGCCTGGATGGATTCAGCAATTGAGGAAAGCACTCTAGACTCCAAGTATCTAAGCTGAGAGATCGTTCCGTCTACATTGGCTATGGGGTACGATAGCTCCGCAGTGATGCTTTCGTTAGCCTTTCTGATGTCTTCCTGTGAAATAGAGACGTAGAAGGTCGTATTTTCAATAAATGAGGGACTAGACGTGACAACAACGGGGGCGTTAATGAGGCAGCGGCTCTTGTCGAATAGCTCAGGGGCAGTACAGTCAAAGTTATCGGGAATAATAATGCACATCAAGATCGGAGTGTCAATAACGAACACGTCGCTAATGCTTTTATCCACTATGTAACCAAATCCTATACAATAGCCATTGTCTAGTGGTACCTTTGTAAAGAGTGTTATACTGTAGTGAGAAAGAGGCTTTTCCGCCAAGAACGTGTTCAGCATCACAAACCGATCTTGACTCGTCTGTGACAGAGCGCGCACACGTTTATAGATATCTCTGTTAGCTTTAGACGTGCCTATGTTGAAGCACACCCTGCCACTGACCGGGTTCCTGTTTTCCTTTCCAGCACAAACAAGTGCTTCAGTTTTCGCTTCAGATCCAATGACCAAAAAAGGGCAGGAGTTGATGGTGCGGATCAAGTGGCGCCTTGTTGACGCACTCAGATCTGGGATATTTGTAAACTCTGCTCGTAGCACACTAATACACACCTTGGCAAACAAATCTAGAGAGTCGTGGGCATTTAGAGCAAATACAGAAGGCACTTCTAGTTCCACCTCAGCTGAGTTTCTATTTGTTAAAGCATACTGAGTGTTCCGTAAGAAGGTGATGACTGGCAGTAAAGTATGAAGCTTTAGCTTGGTGCAGATGTGGCCAAAAAGAGCTTCAACCGAAAGTATCCTAAAGGTAAACAGGGAATGGAATGGATTTGTGTAGCGAGCCGAGCGTGGGAGACCAGGGGATTCTGAATCACCCATCAACGACATGATTTCGCAGACGAGGCCGGGCGTTAGGACTTCGGAGATGACGAGAGAGATCTCTGGGGAGCAATTGAGAGGTGCATTAACAGTATCATTATCTTCTCGTATCGACCGGGTATCTGGCAAGCCAAGCAGTTTATCTGAATCAACGTGACTGAAGGACACTTCAATACAGCGGAGTATCAAACACTTTTCATCTCTATCGAGGGGCGCGATGGACACTACGGGCTCGTTGTATGCTGCTGATGTTATTAGGATGCGAGATATGTTGAAAATATGGTGCAGAATAGATGAAAGCCAAATCCCACCTAGCTCATAGCTCTTAGGGAGCTGGTTTTTCTTGTATGTACTCGGCTCTCCACAGGGATAGAAGGGGTGCTCAATGCTATCAACAGATGGCTGTATGAGCACATTAACATACTTGTTTCGAAGCTGGGAAATGTAGCTAGGAAGGATGGACATATAGAAGGCCATCAGAGAGGCGCGTCCGTGATGCGGCACAAACCCAAGATCCAGTGTGATCATGTCCGCCACCTCTTTGTTAACTGGTACATGGATACCGGCATTCGGTATGGAAATAAATTCTGGGTACATGCTCCGCAAGGTTGTCCAAGGAACCTTAACCCCTCGAACAGAGTGGATGAGGTCTGGGGATACATAGCGCCGGCTGGGCAGGCGCGCGTTGCTATCAAAATCGTATCTGAAAAGATGCATGATCCCATTATCTATCACGCAATTGTATGCGGTTTTCAGCAAACCCTCAAGCGTTTTCTCAAATAATTTGACATTGGTAGTAGCACTATATGTATGATCGCTCCTCTTAACGTATTTGAGCATTTCTTCGTTGATATATTTGGAGAGTAGCTTGTCGATTTCCACATCGTTGAGACGCTCTGGGGCGTTCTGATGATCAAATACATATTTAGAAATACCAAGCATGATGCGATAGTGCGGTACGATGAGGAGACGGGGGTTTTCGTAAAAGCTATCCCGATTTTCAATCCCATATTGCACATCAAAAAATATTGATTGCTTTTTTAGTAGATCGATATCAAGATTGAATGTTGAAGAAATCTGCTTGGTGAGCAGATTGGGCTTAAGATCATCGCCCTTGGAGGCATTAAAGATTTCGCTTTGGCGACGTGAAACGGGCACATTTGTGTCCTTGAAATTAATGCGTCCCTGTACCAAAGCAAAGACATCATGACTGAGAGAATCTAGATAGTCCTGGGGAAGGGCATCCGGGGCAACCGATGCAAAGTAGCTGGCCGCAAAGCGTAGAGTTTTTTCGACGTCTATCAGCGGATGAAGGCTAAGAGACTGCAGCTTGAGGTAGAAGACGTTGAGGGTTAAAGAGATAAAGTATCGTGCAAACCCAGTAAGATGCTGGAGAATCGATCTGAGTAAGCCTGCAACGGTAATGACTTCCAGAACATTGGCAAAGGATGTCTCAGTAAGAGATAGGGAGGGAATGATGGGTCTAAGCAGGGAGTTGGCCTGAGTAGCTGTGTCTTGTTGGTCAGTGAGGCTCATCGACAGGGGAGCCTGGTCCCGTACAGAATCTGCAGGTGTCTGCACTTCTATATCTGTGCCCAAATATCGCCCCGTGGTGTCTAGCACGCCTATGTTGCTGTGGATGTCTATCTCTGAGATATAAGCTGCTGCTTCAGTAAAATGTATAAGATCATGAGACACCTTGTGCAGGACCGGTGTGAACTTCTGCTTAAGATCCGTGCCGTCAGCGCTGGATGGAGCAGCAAGCTGAGCAGAATCTGCGTTTAAAGAAGAGATGTCACAAAGTGCCCCTCTCTTCAACACGTCATCAATAGAATTGGTTTGAATGAAATAATAGAACATGTCAGATATGTTGATAAGATCCTCAATGGATTCCTCTCTGCGGGTATCTGCGTGCTTTGCATAATATTCTTTGATGCAGCGCTCATTCTCCGTTCGAATTGACGTCATGTCCTGCCCGAGGTTTATGAAGGCTTGTCTGCTGCTGGGTAGGACATTAATGTCGAGCAAGATAACTGGAGCGGGCGGTACATACCTATATGCCGAATCTTCTTCAACGGTAGAAGAGAAGCTGACCATCTGGTTAATATCATCAAGAAGATTCTGTGTCTGTTGAAGGTAGTTCCTCTGTGCTGCTTGTGCAAAGAAATCCGGAGCCAGGGCCACTGCAGGAGGATAGCCCTTGATACCAATCCGCGTCCAATACTCAAAAACGCTTAACAACCCATACTCCTCGTTGATATTCTGAGAAGCGACGAGGAAGTGCAGAAGGGGGCAGAGAGTTCCAGGAGCGTCCAGGAACAAGGATGCATCCCCTCCACCGGAATTATCGGGTGAGAGAACAAATTCTGTTAATATATTGTCGTGACCACTGGCTGTTTCAGATGGCTGGCCGTAGTTTATTCGAACAGAGACAGTCGCCTTGGCCAGTAACATCTTAACTGCATCAGGCACATTTGGCGACGGCGACATTATGATCTCTGCCACTGCCTTAATAATAAAATAAAGAATGGATCCCTTGATGAGCGGCGACAGCGGAATGCCATCTAGTATGTCGCTCGATGTCTTGGTCATATCAAGGCGATATGGGTCTGAGAGCGTCCCGTCGGGATTTATATATTTAATGATAGAGGGTAGTAGTGGGGCTTTTCTGTAATATACCGGCATCTCCTTTTGGTGTGAGGGTAGGAACAGCGAACTTAGAATGTGCTGAAGGACAAGTGCCTTGGAGTACTCGTCGCTGATAATAAGGTGCGAGATGTCTCCCTCGTACAGGCCGGGAGTGAAGACGATAGAAATGCGGCCCTCCTCGTGGTCGTCAAGCCCACCACTGGGCGGTGAGGTATGTTCCGTGTGGCCTGTCAGTTTCATATAGCGTGAAGTCAAGGTGTTCAAGATTGTCTCCATAACCTGCAGGATATTCGAAAGGCATAGAGAGGGGATCTTGTCGGGGACAAGAGTAAACCCACGCAGTACTGAGGATCGTATGAGAATAGAGAGTGGCTCCAATGCTGCCAAATACGCAGGAATAGTATCAGATAATTCTGTGAGTATGTCACTGAGCCTACCCTTGAGGGAGCAAAACACGCCTTTTGTGTATAAAGAAAATAGAGACGATTCTTGGACATCCACTCTGTTCCTTGCAAATAGCGGTACTGATAGAAGGTCGGGGACTCTGTAGCTTGGCGGGAAGCGTGACAATTCCTTAAACTGGAGCATGTAGTTAATTACATACGACATATTAAGGTGTAATACAATGGCCTGATCCTTGTAAAGAGAAGAGCTTTGTATGACTTCGATATAGCCCAGTGTCTCATCAGGTGCAGTGTAAAATACTATTGTATTGATGTGAGATAGAAGAAAGTTAAAGTTCTGGGTTCTCATCGACAAAAGGTGCAGGATGGTGTAAGATTGATTTGAATAGGGACCCGTGGCGAGCAGGACCAGGCAGCTTGCCATGAAGATGGCAATAACGGGCCAATAGGAGATGTATTTCAGGGCTTGTGCAGTGGGTTGCCCAGATCCATACTGATAGACAATCTGTTGAAAATAAAAGCTTTGCTTAAACGAGCTTATTAGTTGACTATATCCCTGTGTTGGCGACATGGAAACGTCGGGCAGACGCTGTGGATCGTAGATATCTGAAACGCCTGGTGAAAGATTTCTAATAGCTGCTTCAAACAAGGCTCGGGGGAGGCCGGGGTAAGGAAGGGTATGAAGTAGTTGCAGAAGCTCAATGAGGAAATTGATGTCATCGTGGCTGTTTGAAATAATATAATGTAAAGCATCAGAATCCGTCGAAAGCGTAAAGAAGAACAACGGAGTATTTTCGCGCGCTTTATAGTATGGCTGGACAGACTCAGTGTCTTCTGAAAGCAATAGGTGAGTGACACGAGCATATGGAATGGCTCGCCACAGCGTATTGGCCTTGATGATTTCAATAAAAAGTGAATCATCAAGATGCGTGACCAGCTTAAAGGTTGTATCGATCACCTTATTCTCTCTTTCTACGAACAACGGAAGAGTACGAGACAGTAGGACAACGCTTTCGGTCATTTTTTAACTTTCAAGTTTAACAGCTGCAGAAGCAAAAACACTTCTGACCAGCTAAAGACGCTTGCAGAAACAGGAGCATCTGTCATGGAAATATTTTAGCAACGCTTATTCCTAGCTTTAAATCTGGCTTCAATTAACGAAAGTTAGAGGCCCAAATTAAAATGGACAACGATCTCAATGCTGACCAATATCGCCATTACGAGGCGCGTATGGAGCGGCGCAGACAACTCTACATAGCAGCACAACGTCGCGCAGAGTTGGAGCGGTCTCTTGCCACCCCCTTTGCCCGCACCAAAATGATGGAAGAAGAGCAGAGGAAGGCAATGGACGTCATCGCCCTAAGTACACCAGTTCGCTATGATGTAGATCGGGCCTCTTTTTCCAACGAGGAGCTCCTGCTTTTTCAAGAGCGAATGAACACTCATGATAAAACAATTCGTAAGCAGCACACCTCCAGCGAGAGCAGTGATTAAATGTTTGTGCCAATTAGACATGGAATATTAAAGTTCCATGTAATTATTCCAACCATAAAGTCTAGTCCTAAATTCTCAATGGCGTCGAAGCCGAAACCGAGGTCGAAGCCCACGCAAAAACCCGAAACTGCCACTGAAGACGTGGACGTCGATGAAAATCCTGTCACAGATGGAACAGAAGCAGACCAAGATGGAATTTACTCCACCAACTACGCCTCTGAGGAGATGCGCAAATTTGATAAGCAGCACGGAGACGGCGAGTCTAGCGACTAATGACTCTGGCGCATTCCTTATCTGGCTTCCCGCTACACAGGTCTGGCACGTTGGCACAACCAGACGATCTTAGCTGCTCAGCAACCTCACTTCAGCCTGTCCAGGGCTGTTTGAAGTAAATGCTCCTGTCCTTGATGGGGTAATGGGTGTAAGGAGGAGGGCTTAGGCCTTCACAAAGGTGCCAAGCTCGCAGACAGGGCAACTGGCCTTTAGATATTGATCGCATGCACACGTCTTACAGGCGCTACAAATACAGTGGGGTCCCTTGATGCTTTTGTATGAAACGGCGCAGAGCATGACCGTGTCCTGATCGGCAGCACTGAAGCTCAGTTGCACCACATCCTCATCCTCTAATGCAGCCATCTTCTTTGCCTTGGGTAAGTAGGATTGGCAGACATCCAGAGAACGCGCCTCAGGAAGCTGGCTTAATTGAATGAATCGTTGGGCTAGCTGTTTGCAGTGCGAATACGCGCCGTACCGCTTTGTACCGCTTATAGCCAAGCGCAATGCCAACAGCGCGTGGTTTGTCTTCATATTCTGAAGGGAGAAAAGCACATAAAGTTCGCACACACGCTCCGGAGTAGCAACCTTCTCGGTTGCGCGCCGCTCCAGCTCACAGGATAACGCCAATATATACAGCGTGCTATTGAGCACAAGGGTAGAAAGGTCATCGTGGTCATTTGGCCCTGCAAAGGTGCAGGCTAGAAGAGCTCGTTGTAGGAGCGACCTCAGAGGAGCCAGTGCATCTGCGAATGCACCTGTATCAACCTTTTCCATTATCGAGCTAAATTCTCGCTGCATAGTATCTATCGTGTCTACACTACTCAATGAATCTGAGATGGGAACAACTATAGATAGTCCCTTCATGGGGGTGACCTCTTGCAGCCTCTTGTTATGCGAAGCAAGCTTGTCAATATGAGGCTTTAGAATGGATAGCGACTTCTCTGACAAAATGCCATTGGAGGCAAGGAATTCCTCCTTTTCACTATTGCTGCCAAGAAGAGGATGCTTTGAAACTACGTTGACTCCATGAGAAGGAACTACAATTGCAGAATCGGCAGCTGCCTCAGATGCCTGAGTTGCATCCAGTGGCTCAGATGGTCCCGAAGTCATCTGTACGGAGCCCTTAACCGGCTCAGCCGGCAACACGCAGTCAACGTCGTCATCGTCACTGCCCCATCCTTGGTAGCGCTTTCCTTCAGCTGGAAGTTCATGCTCGGCGGCAGAGGCAATCTCTCGCATAAGAGACTCGTATGTATTAAGTAAAGAGGTGGTGGGGTAGTTTCGCAAGCTTCCCTTGCGTAAGGGCACGGTGATCTTTTTGCCTATAGAAATCGTCTTTGTTGGGGAAACAGGTGGTGCGCTCGCCTGCTCCACGGGAGTGTCTATCCCATTAGCCTCCCCAAATATCTTAGCAGGAATTGAGAGCCCGGCGCGAAGCAGAGTCGAGTGGAACAGGGATTTGTCCCCTACTAATACTGCAGCGTTCAGACATTCTTGAATGCTCGAAGAAGTAGATAGGCGACTATAGTCCAGCTTGCTTAGCGACCCAGATAGCGTAGTATTATATAGAGACAGCAGAAAGCCTAAGAGGTCTATGCGAGCTATTTTTAGAAGGGCGTCCCTGGCGATGAGGCCCTGTCCTTGGGCAAGAGACTCTGCAAAAATACGAAGCCAAATGTGGTAGCTATTGGCAGATTGAGACTTTGTGTCATGACAGACATGGTCCAGAAGACCCAAGTTAAGAGCAAGCTCGTCACGGATCTGTATCTCATCTTTAGGGAGCGCGGCGAGAGCCAAGTCAGGCCTATTCATATCCAGCAAAGTCTTTGAGAGAGACAGCCCCAGGGGAGTGTTCTGTAACCGAGCCAGCATGATCGAGGCGTCGTCCGCTCTGCCAGACGCAACAGCCTGGACCAGTCCTGCAACCCTGGAGTCAAACTCAATGCACTTTAGCCCTTCGTGCCTATCCAAGTAAACAATGACCTGGCCGGATGCAGAGACTATGCAAATAGGCCTATTGAGCGACGTCAGAATCCCAGCAATAGGCTTAGTCACCCTAGATATCTTTTGAGTATGGGCGGCTAGTCGATTTGCTTCCGAAGCAGTTGGTGAGATGAATGGCAACATATAACATATGTGCGTATAGGTGGAGTAGATAAAAGCATTGGCGGTGCGCTGCTCAGACTCCTCCAGTCCACGGCCAATAAGCCCCCATACCCCGCGACTTATCGCAGTATGCGACATTTGAGACGTATTAATAGTAAACGTATCCATATTGATAAGAGCCACGAACTCGTGAGCTACCACTGCGAGATATTGTTGGTCATTAGAGTAGTAAGCGTGCTGAATTAACTGAGGAACAGATAGCGACTTGAGTAGGACAATAGGCTGGTTTGTCGAAAGATTGCTCAAGGTGTAAAGAGATAGCTTCGTTGGAGAGGAAATGATAACTTCAGACTCCGTTCTTCCTGGGAAGACAGAGAGGACTGTGGAAGAAACAGGGTGCATAGTCTTAATTGTCAGCCCCCCTGTACCCACAAAGGCAACAGCGAGAACTAGGCCTTCACTAGACCGTTGTATCCACGCCACGTGTGAGGCAGATAGTCTGGCCACATTGCTAGAGACTTCTATAACATTTTTCGGATCATAGCTGCTTGGAGAGCAGTCTTTCAAGGTTGCGTACGGCACAATGAACCTGTTCTTTCCGTCCCAGTACGAGACTATGAAGGGAAACGGGTTTCCCATAACTATGATATCCACTGGCTCTACCACAACGACAGATGAGCCGAATGCACCGCTCCTGGCAGTTTGTTTGATAAGAGAAGCCTCAACCTTGACAGTTGGCTTTGTGCTAGCATCAGCGACAATGGCTTTCAGATTTGTCGAGATGAGCTTATGAGAATCGATGAAGTAACATGTGTCCCCCTCCACTGTTCCTACTGACTCTTCCAGTTGTGTGGAGAATATGCATAAGCCACCGTCATGTCCTGCGGCCCACATATTGATGGTCGGATGTTCTCGAAGGGACCACCAGCGTAACATCTTATGATCAGATGGGGCGAGGCTTGATACGGTTGCTGTCGGATCCAGGTCGTGCACCGTAATGCTACCTATATAAGCACGATTGGACAATGAGAAGAGACAAAGCCTACCATCGACACCGGCAGTAAGAATGACGTTCCTTACTGATGGTTCAACTACAGAAACGTTACCCGTGTGCTTTTCTATGGTAGAGGAGCAATAAAGAAGAGCATCAGGTCCCAGCAATGAAAGGCCAGTAGAGCTGCCACGAGTCAGATGCCAAAGCTTGCACTTAGTATCGTCAGACCCCGAAAGGAAGTAGTTGCCGGCGTCTGGCATCCATGAGACCCAGTTAACGCCTCTGCCATGGCCTGTGCCTACCACAGAACTACTAATTATGGTATGAGGCAAGGAGAGAGCTTGCATTGCTAGCTGCTGGAATCTGCCTGTAGCCCCCTTCGTTCGAATAGAGCTAATGTCCCACACACGGACGGTGGCATCCATAGACGCAGTAACAATTAGGTCTTCTGTGGGATGCCAGCGGGCGCACATGACCAAGTCGCGGTGACCAACTAGGTCTGCAACTCTTTGGCGACTCTGCCAGTTCCAAATTCGCGCAGTGTTGTCGTCTGATGCAGAGAGAATGTACGGATGGATGTCTGGGTGGAAAAACACGCTGCGAACGTAGTCTGTGTGACCCGTGAAGACATAGAGAAGCTTACGATCGCTCAACGACCAGAGCTTAATCGTCGCATCATCTCCTCCCGTAACAAAGAGTGGTTGAGTTGGGTGAAAGTCGATGCAGCGAACAGGAGAGTTGTGGGCACGGAACTTGTCGATGAGAGCCTTGGTCACATAATCCCAAAGCTCGACAACGCCGTTTTGGCACGAAAAAATAACCCATGGACGCTTTGGGTGAAAAACCACGCACTTGACGCGCTCTGTCTGTAGGTTAAGCTGCGCGTAGACCATCAGGGACTCCCTCCTTTAAAATTATTTTGAATAACCGACTCTCCCAGACTTCAATTGATAATCCTCAACTTGCATGCTATCCGGCTTTGCCTATGTAACTTGTGTTCTTGACGGGCCCATTGACGAGTGGAACGTAACTCATATATTGAATGTCTTTGCGTCCATTGCAGAGACTATTGGCTACGGAGAATTCCCCAGTCACCGTATAGAAATCCATCAAGCGCTTAGGCAGCTAATAGAGGCAGCAAAAGACTCTTCTGGCACCCGGTATTCCCGTACGGCCCTGCTCGTTTTAATGTCATTACTTGGTGTTTTATTGTTAGGTGCACGGTCAGTAATTAGCCCTTTAAATTTGCGAATGGTTGGATTGGAGGATTGCATCTTTATTGACATGATTAAAATAAAAGTACTTTGGTCCAATCCATATGCTCTTGGACTCATTTTTCTCTTACGGTTGCACGCAGCACTTATACACAGACAGGATCATGTCTCGCTTGCTTCTTCTCTGATGTCCTCTCCTGGTCCTACTTGCAGTGAAGGTAGCACTGACGACAGTGACCTGAAATCCATTGTAGATCTGTTATCCGTGATCATTGACCGTGTTGCAGATGTTCACCGGACAGATTCTACTCCAACTCCCGATGATGAGTATTTCACATGGCTAGCTTTTTGCGCGTTTCATAGATATTCTTCACGACTCGCTGAGACTATAAAAAGCTACACATATGCTCAGGACCCAGATTCTTGCTCTGAACTAGCACCTACTTCTGCTTCTTTGCCTACTGAAACTACTCGCATGCAATCCCTCAGTTCTTGTTTTCAAAATCCCCTTTTTTCGCACAAGCTCCTGCCTACTAAGAGTCTCCTATTAATGGCCAGCATGTGTACAGATGCTTCTGATGACCTCCTAAACACAGAGAGTCTTGTCTTCCCAGAAGTCCAATGCCAGGTAGATCAAGACTGCTCTAATCCGCCATCGACTAACGATGCATCGTATGTTATATTTCTTATTGAGTCATACTTTCTTTTATTCCCAGACAAATCTGCCTACATGGCTGATGTACTCTGCTATACTCCTTACCTCCCTCAAAGGTTCATTTCGCCGATCATGGGGCTTTTAGCACCTCCTATTCTAACAGAAATGTCTCTTGACCTTCAGACAACAAATAGAAACCGCTGTATTCTAGGCCTAATTTTCGTCAACGCTGTGCTGGCCCAAACAGTCAGCGCATACCAATATGCAATAACCTCACGCTGTCTCCTCAAGCAGATGAAGTTCTCGTGGATCCGTGCGTATATACCTCTTTCTGTTCTCTCTTCTAACGTCTACTTCTTTGGTGCACGTAGCAAGGTCTTTCAGATAACGATACTGGATGACGACGAATATATAAGTGAAGTACGTCTCTTACTGAACAATCAACCTTACAAGACCGAGTCTCTAAAGAATGGATCTCAGAAGAACAGCATTCGGCGATCCAAAAAACAATGACTGATGGACGTGCTCCACAGCGTTCACGGTCGACCCCATATACGTCGTCCCCGAATTATTCGTGTGGCGGAAGCGTCTATCAGTATGGAATTCATGGACACTCACGCGCCGGAGGAGCCATCTGCAGCCATGGCCGGTCAAATGTGGACTATTTGCATGTCAGAGTGTCAAAGATGATAGGCGCTAGCAGAATATCTGCTAAGCAATCCGACAACCCCTATAGCTTATCCTCGAACTGCTCCATTAGCAGGGGAACGGATTATATCTCGCAACAGAGGCATATAAATACTTACTCCTTAGGTTCGTATAGGTCTCTGCCCGGTCCACCCAAATCTGCGCCCCCGAGGTGCATTAGTAATGGCCCCGGGACAGGTGTGAAGCGGACTTGACGGACTTTTTTGCTGTTGGTGACCGATTTAGCCTAATCTGATCATTGACATCTGAGAATCCGTAGCCGGCGTTCAGTTGACGAGTGTGCCATGTCCGTTAGTAACGAAAAAGCGGCACGGTTTACTTGAACCACGAGATTACCACGAGTGACGGCCACGGGCACCTCTGCGGCCCTTGTGCTCTCCCTTGGGCTTGACATGGGAGTTTGGCCTACCTGGGGAGCCGAACTTCTTGCAGACTGCGCGGCACGAGCGACGGCCCTGTAGAAGGACGCAGTTGTCCCCAGTGGGCTTCTCTGCGAGAAGCTCATCGAAGGACATGCATCTTCCACCCGCCTTTTCTATGCGAGAGCGCGCGGTCGCAGAGAACTTCAGGGCGCAGATGGTCATCCTCGGGATTGTGACAAGGCGCTCGTCGTTAGTGACTGTGGACGCAACTACGGCGATCTTGTCTTCTCTCTTATGCATCAGGTGTGCAAGGCGGCTCACCGAAAGGACGGGCCTGTTTGTCTTGGAAAGACAGAGGCGCTTCGTCAGGACCTTGGTGAAATCCTCTCCCGTGTTCTCGTACACAACTTTGAATGCGTTATGCAGTAGACGGATGTATGGGTTCGGCGATTTCGGCTCCTTACGCTCCACCTTGCGCTTCTTGATCCCCGTCTTTAGATCGATACCCATGCTTCTCGGAGGGTGCTCTTAAATCCAGTGAGATTCCAAATTAAAATTGTTTTTATTTTAACTTGATTGCGGGAAGCACTTACTTTTGGGCATTCTCACCTTCCGAGAAAGAGGACGGATGAAACGCATCAATATCAATTTTACCGATGATCCCAATTATCGTTACAAGATGCCGGTCATGGAGGTCCGCTCCCAGGGTCGTGGCAATGGAGCACAGTTTGTCATCGAAAACTTGAAGGATGTCGCTCTCGCCCTTCATCGGTCCCCAGAGGAAATAACCAAGTTTTTTCAGCTAGGGTTTGGAAACTTCGGGCGCTACAACCCAAGTGAGGGATCCGTGACTTTTACTGGCAGCGCCACCATTGCTGAGGCAAGCAGGGTTCTCAAGGATTACGTGTTCACACATGTCTTATGCCAGGCCTGTTCTAACCCTGAGACATCATACATTCTTAAGGAGAAGGGCCTTTCCATGGTCTGCGCCGCGTGTGGGCAGGCAAGGCCTCTTGCAGCCGACAGGTTCACAAAATACGTTACAAAGGTCATGGAGCAAAAAGTCCGTGCAGAGCAGGGAAAGACAGGGGCATCAGATCGCCCCGATGCCAGCCGTGTAAAGTCTCCTGTCATCCTCTATCCGCGGATTAGGAAGGTTATGAGGTATGACATCGCACCATCTGCAAAGGCCGGAGAGCTACAGGAGATCGCTGATGAAGCGATGAAGAACCGTATACTCCGGGAAGATGAGATTGTTTTCTTCTATATGGCTGCCCTCTTCGACGTGGACAAGCCTGCCCTCAGCTATGTAAAAGAGTGCGTACCCGTTCTGCGAGAAATCCTCACGAAAGACGACGGGCTTAGCATTCTTCATTCACTGGACTGCATTACGAGGAAGTACGAAGAGGAGATGCTGAACTCTAAAACAAACCTTCTGTCTGCTATCTTGTTAGAGCTGTATAGATCCGAGCTCATTGATAAGAACGCCGTCAACGCCTGGATCACTGACGTAACAATTCCAGTGGTTCCAGTTGAGTACCACGAACGCGTTGTAGAGGCTGCGGGGCCTTTCCTAGATTGGCTCGAAAAACAAGGTGACGAGGAGTACGATGAAGAGGAATACGAGGAGGAGAGCGACTAGCCGAGCCGATCTAGCAACCCACGATGCTCAGATTTGGTTGCCGCAAACGCACAGTGTCCCCCGTTGCTTGTAATTTATCACTATGTTCACCTGCGATGAGGCGAGCTCCCTTTTATATAATAGTAAACGTCGGCAGATAAACTTCGATATCTGCTCGGATCGAAAGGGGTCGTCGATGCCGATTATGGTGAGCTGCACGAAGACCTGGCTTTGGGGAAGGAGGCCGACAATGAGGTTTTCTCGGGACGCAGTAACCAGTATGTATGCCTCCGGCTTTCCGGTTGCATCGCATATTGCTTGGGTTGTGCATTTAACAAAGTCCTCCATCTCTACGGCTGGGAACTCATGACTCAGAGTGATGTGTGCGTACGCCATCCAGTTTGATAGGGGGTTCTTTTCTTTTTGCCAAGTTAAAAATGCCAGCTGAGTTACGTCTGTGTGCACAGGCGCGTCAGAGGCCGGCTAGAGCGCGACTGGTTGAGTTCCCAGAGCGATCTGGGTGATTAGCAGTCATACAGTCCTTTACTTAAGCCTACTTCTCGTTACTTGCCTGTCAGTTTATCCTGTGATCCGAATCGCTTCTTTGCTTCTGTGTGAGTGTGGGTAACAGCCTCTCCTGAATGCTCGGCTCATCAATGATGCTCACATCTCTTTTCGCAGGCTCGAGCCAATAATTGTGCGGCGTAAAAGTGTGTCCCGGGATGATTTAAAGAAGACGTATTTGTAGCCACAGTGAGCAAGGCCTGCTGATTGAGTAGTGAGAATACCTCGCAGGCACACGATGTACAGTGCTCTAGAAGCTGAACAAAAGACTGCCTGGATATGGGCCATTGATAGACAGATATGGTGTTGAGCACTACCGCGAGGAGCTCTATTTGACTGAGTGAGTACTTCAATCGTGTCTTGGACTCCTTAGTGAACAGAGTTATAGTGTGCAATAGCTGGAGAAGAGGGTTTTTCCTGGTATGCTCTGTGGTCTTGATAATGTATGAAGTAGTACCGGAGTAAGTATTAGTGTTCGACTTAAACCACTGTCGCCGAAAGCTATCTCGTGTGGCTGTGTAGAGCTTATTCCAGGTTGATTTTCGGCGCCATTTGCCGACATTAGGATATGAAATGGGCCAGTCTGTGTTGTGGGGGTGAGTCTGACCTTCTCGGCTGACCCTGGTAATTACAGGAAAGTCTATTGCAATACTGCTGTAGGGTCCGTTGCTCAGTTGGTTGAGAAGACGATTGATGAAAAGGTCAACGTCTGCCTGCCACTGCTCTGCCGAAAGAATCTCTAGGGTTGAAAAGTATGGCTTGCGTGAACGCTGGTCGAAGTCTCCGTCACAGAAGAGATTGGTAGTTCCTAATTTAACACTGCGTGTGTCTTCGCTGACAGATTGTAATTGACAGATGCTACCTCCGAAATTAAGATCAACTGGTGCGGCGTCCAAATTACTCGGAGCAAGAATATTTGTCAGTAGTGGTGGGAGCGCAGGAAGCTGAACTCCTGTCATTTCGTATATCTTCTTCGTTGTTGCTGGAGCTGCTAGAAGCAAAAGGTGAACTTGCTGAATTGGAAGGCTTGCTAAAAATACGGCACAGTAGGCCTTGTTCGTTGCCCATAACCAGGAGAGGACTCTCAAGAGGCTTTTCGATTGAAGCATGACGCGTAAACGAACAGTTTTAGGGATAAATTTTACCAGATAGAGCTCAAATACTTTCATGCCAACTATACTACTAGACAATGGGTCTCACACCCTCAAGATGGGGCTAGCTGGAGAGCCTCCACGAATTTTCCCTAACTATGCCCTCCGTATCGGTGATTCAAATATCCCTCTGTACGGGAGCTATCTCCACGGACTTCCACTCATTACAGAGGGATATAAGACGTCTGTGTGTAAAGCTGGTGAAATATATGAGTGGAGCCTGGAAGGTTCTATTTGGAGAGACGCTCTTCTGCAATTATATCAAGACTCGGATTGCAAGCTGTCCAATTGTTTACACAGCCTTGTTCCTGCTTGTTCTGATCTCGATCTGATCACAACGACGTCTATCGATGCACACCCAGCCGCACGGAGGCAGCTCTTGGAATATTGCTTCGAGACTATGCAGTTTGCTTCTGTGGTTGCACAGCCCCCACAAGCTTACCTAACCAGGCATCCCCTACTCGCCAATGCCACTACTGGAATCATGCTGGACATGGGGTACGCGGGGGTGTACACCACTGCCTTTTTGTACACCAATCCAATCTTGTACAGTCACACCTTCGTAGATTGCGGGGGCAGTCTATTAGATAATTTATTTACTGAACTGTTACAGGAGACAATAGATCCAGGGTTTCTGGTTGACATCAGAAAGCGCTGCTTGCTGGTAGAGTCTTTGCGAAATTGCTTCTTCGATGCAGCTGGAAACTCACAGATCGAAATTACGTTTTGCCCCGAGAAGAAGAACTACTCTGTCAAGCCCATTCTAGATTCACTGCCAGCACCGGGCGGCGATGAAGACAGATACGTCCTAGATATCAGAAACACTGAAGATGTCATGCAGAACATACTAGAGCAAATCGTAGCCCATATCCCTAACGTAATTACCACATGCATCCAAAGCCTGCCAACTGAGTTACAAGCCCTTTCACAAGCGAACGTTTTTCTATGTGGAGGACTAGCCAAGATTTCACCACTGACAGAAATATTGAAAGATGCCTTATTGACGAATACTACTGTTGACAATGTAGTCGTACTACCCAATCCGCAAACATCTGTCTACGATGGAATGCAAGCTTATGCTGAAACTACAGAGTACTTCCGTTCTAGAATAACGAGACAACTATATGAAGAATATGGATGTGCTGGACTGGAACACAACTGATTAAAAGGATTAGAATAACCGTGGAAGATTCTGCTTGCTATTTTTGGCTTTGCTGGCACGAGCGGTGTCCTTTAGTACAGGAAGGGGACACCGGATACTCTGAATAAGGGCCTCCGAGTCGCAATCCTCAGTTCCAGACACGCTCCACTGGCGGTGTCTCTGCCTTTGTCTCATAGTTGTGGCAAGAAAGTATTGAGAGTCCTCACACATGGCGTTTGCATCGCATGAATGGGCCATTGAGGTAGTGATAGATTCAGAAGCCTCTGGGGACAGATAAATGCCCTCCTGCAGGGACCTTTCCGGGGAAACACTTCTTGTTTGCGTGAAGCGACGAGAGGTCTTTGTATTCAGGGCGGGGAGTGAGAGGTCCTTGGGCTGATGATGTACCGCTGGTAGCTGTCGTATAGCAGACGTTCCCAGGCTTAATCGGACAGCATTCTCGTGCCGAATTTTCGTTTCCTTGTTGATAGACTGGGAAAGAAGACTCGTGACGGCAAGGCTGCTCTTTTGGCCGTCCCTAAGGAATTTCCCGGAATATACGTAGTGCCTTGGAAGCAAGGGATCCTGCTCTGACAAGGCCAAGCCCCCCAGCACGGGGAGAGCTGGCGGTGGAGCACAGAGGTGCTTGTATATTTGTATGTCTCTGTTTTTAAATCACTGTTTTTCAAAGATATAACTTTTCAAAGATATAACCGGAGCATGGACGGGATTCAGCATGCATCCGACAACGTCATCCGTGCATCCGACGCATCCTGCATTGAGGAAAAGCTTGAGATTCATGGGCTAGATCTTAACAAGCCCGAAAATCAAAGCCTTGATGCTATCCTGAGCAACTACGCTAGAATAGGATTTTCGTCAACGGGGTTTTCTAAGCTCTGTACTGAAGTCAACAGAATGTACTCATGGCGTCTGAGCGATGATCCCTATGATCCTAATCGAAGTTATCCCGAGTGTCCTATTGCGCGCTCCAAGATACGCTGCAAAGTCTTCTTGGGGTATACGTCAAACTTGGTTTCTTCGGGCCTTCGTGAGTACATTCGCTTTCTAGTGCAGCACTCCTTGGTGGACGTGATAGTCACATCTGCAGGAGGGGTTGAGGAGGACATCATTAAGTGTCTTGCGCCGACTTATCTAGGGGACTGGAAAACTGATGGGGCAATGCTCCGAAAGAACTCCATTAACCGAATCGGGAATCTCCTAGTACCCAATGACAACTATTGCCTCTTTGAAGACTGGATTATCCCCATCTTCGATGAGTGCGTGGAGCAGCAGCGTAAGGGATATCACTGGACGCCGTCGCGACTTATCTGGAAACTCGGAAAGCGGATCAATGATGAACGTTCCATTGCATACTGGGCATACAGGAATAAGATCCCTATATTCTGTCCTGCCATAACGGACGGTAGTCTCGGGGACATGCTCTTCTTCCACTCCTATAAAAACCCTGGACTGATCATAGATGTAGTCGGGGACATTCGTGCAATGAATATGCAGGCCATCAACTCTCCAAAGAATGGCTGCATAATTTTGGGAAGTGGAACCATCAAGCACCACATACTTAACGCAAATCTGTTTGCAGGCGACGGTGCCGACTTTGCTGTGTACATAAACACGGCACAGGAATACGACGGCTCTGATGCTGGAGCAACGTGTGATGAGGCAGTCAGCTGGGGAAAGATTTCTCCGACAGCCAGGCCTGTAAAGCTCTGCGCGGATGCTACTCTCGTCTTTCCTCTTCTACTCCACGAGACCATTTTGAAGAAATACAAGGAAGATCCAGAATATTGGGACTCAAAGAAGGGAGGAGATCCCCATGAGTGCTATTGGACTCAAATGGAGAATGAAGTACGCGAGTCAAAGAGGTCATAATGCCTGGCTCCATTCACTACCCAAAGTCTCGTCTCTGTAAACTAATTTGTGTTCTCTTAGTAGGTTTGCTCATAGGGCGTTTGTAGTCTGTAACCAAAAATATCAACAGTAAAGAGGTATAGCAATCAGTACTAGTTATATCTATGAGAGATTTGAATTGTAACATACTGGCTCTAATTATTTAGATATCATCCACAAATGTAGTAGGAGCTACTTGCCTTATGAAGATGTAGTCCAGGCATGGTGAGTTTATCCCCAGTTCTGCACTATCGCGGCTAACCCGCTTATGCTCCCGCATATGTTCTGGGGCATTAGCGACGTTGCCCAGTACATCGACGTCCTCTTTGCCGGGAACATTTATTCAGGCAACGACAACTATATGTACTGGAGCGGAATTGTCCCCAATTCTTATGTAACCATATCGCAGTATCCTCCGAGCGCCGCGTCTCGGTGGGTTCTCAACTCGTTCCTCCCTGATGTCAGAGGAACCGAGTCGTTTGTCATTGTCTTCGCCCTGGGGACCTTCCTCATCCTCCTCCTCGTCACAATCAGCCTCCACTGCTGCGAGCTGAAGCGCGACAAGCAGCTAGAAAGACAGTACTCCCACAGTCTCTACCGATCAGAGCTTTAGCGCTCTGTACCGACATCAGTCGGCCTTGCAATTTCAATCCCTATGAGCAGATCGCTTAGTTCACTTGAAGGGAATTCGAGAGTATAGAAATAGACATAGGGACACAGTGCCACTGAAGACCGGGCTACTCCTGATCTACCTTGAGGGTCTCCTCAGGCACGTCAACCTCTGACGGGTCGTTGGTTGGCTCTGCAGTGAGGGCGTCTGGCTGAGTAAGGGCGGTGGCCTTGGTGCGGTCGTACAGCTTCTTGACGGCGGCGCAAGGGCAGCACTTGAGCACGCTGATGGCAACCGTGACCAGGATACCCACGGTAACCGTCAGGGCAAGGGGCCAAACTGTCCAGCCAATATCGTAATCCATTGCGACAGTGAACGTGCACGTGGGCGACTCTGCAGTAGTGCTACCGTCTGACTTTAAGGTGACGCCACTCACTATATTGCCATAGTTCTTCTCGAGTACGTCTTTAAGAGAAGAGACAGTCATGGTGGTAACAGTAGTTGTTGATGAACTTGTCGATAGGTTCGATAGTTTAACAGTTGCCATGAGGCGCTCGGCGGGGGGAGGGCCTGTGGGCACTCCATTGAGCTTGGGCCAGTGTCGCCTAACCTTCTCTGTGACAAGATCGGCCCACGGCTTTGTTTCTGAGGTGGTAAACTTGCTGTTGACGAAGTTGAAGTCCATTAGGCAGCTGGCACCTTCTCCGCTTGTGCATGTGAATTTCTGGCCCGACTGCGTGTATACAAAGCTTGAGGCCTTTCCGCCGAAGACCGTGCTGGAAAATGCAGTGATAGCGTAGCTCTTGCTGTCTCCGGTTTCTGTGGTAATGGATGCGCCAGGAGGATTGGCCAGTTCGATTCCGAAGTGGCTCGTGTCATCGAATCCGGCCTTTAGTATGTTGATCGAGTGCTTGCTTACCTTGACCGAGAATGTCAGGAGAACCGTCCGGGCACCGTTTGTCGTGGAGGTGCACGAGCCAGTGTATACCGTGTTGTAGCCTACCCGCTCACGGGGCTTGTGTGCTGGAAACGCCCCTGCCAGCAGGGCCTGGAGGAGGATGAGAGCAAAGACCCCGGCCATTTGTTAATATTTGCGTCTAATTTACACCGTCCAAATCCGGCTCGGCAATGATGCCCTCGATGACCGTCAGCAGCGAGTCGGCCAGATAGCAGCGGTCTCCCAGCGACTCCACAATGCTCAAGTGTAGCTCCCGTAGAAGGGGATAGGCTCCCAGGTCCTGCAGGCTTTTCTTTCCGTGATCGGTGTGGCAATACAGGAGCAAGCAATCGCTAAGGTTGGCACGCGTCTCCTCGCTGGGAAACCTAAGCGACGAAAGGCTGGCCATGTGCGTCTGAACCCTCTCTGGCAGGGCAGCATGCTCTTCTGGAGTCAGCCCGGCTCCACGTGGCTCCGCTTTGGTCTCAAGGCTTCTCTCGCAAACAAGAGCTAGCAAGATGTGCTCTACCAACGGCTCAAGCATCTCGGCGGTCTGAGTCTGGTTCTCTGCTTGATCGGACCCAGTAGCGGACTGGTCAGCAGGTCGGAGCATCAAAAACATGTTGTGGAGGAGCTGGCTGTACTGAAAGGATATCCCTGGATAATCAGCGGCGGTATCAACAATGTGAGCTCCAACAAGGTTCGCCGCAAGAGAGTCGACAAAGAGGTGCGCGACGGATGGCGCGTCCCCTGCGGCTGTGGCAATGTTGATCAGCAGGTAGAGCGATCGCTGAATGAGCGGAGCAGTGCCAGCCGTTGCTTTGGTGAACGATATGTTAAACATGAGCCCTGCAGCATTTGGCAAGCTAGGAGACGTCAGCAGAGTCCTAGTTATCCCCAGACATCGAGTAAAATTTATCAGAATGGCAGCAAACACCGTGTGGATTCTATTCTCCGGTGCCAGACGCAGGAGGGCCATTAGAAGGTACTCTAAAAGAGGAGATAAAGACGGAGAGGCGGCGAGGGTGTCTAGAAACTCCTGGGCTCTGCTTGCCGCCAGAAAGACTTGCTGCGAGAGGAGAACCTCCGTGAGCTCCTCCTCCCGCTCTGGCGTGGACCTGGCCTTTGCAGACAGGGCATCGATGACAGCAGGGGACGACAGGGCGGAGATTACGTCAGGGTCATCCGAGGCCCGTACCAGCGTCGTGAGCGTCTCTGCAGTTAACGACGGCGGCGTCCTTTTCAGCGCAGAAAGACAGGGATCCATGTTCAGGGAAATGTCCTCAGTTGCCGGGGGCTGGCTCTTTGCCCACAACAGTGGGGGATTTTTTGCTACCCCCAACCTGGGGTGTAAAGCAGCCGGACTTCACCGTGCACAGAATAGAGCCTATCTTGGCTGGGACTACTTCCGAGTCCACACCGGTGGCTTTCTGCCGTACAACACACCACATCATTGGAACAAGAAGGCGTTGTGACTGAGGGGCTCTGGGCGGCTTATCCAATGAAGGGGCGGCTTCCAAGCTCACTGGCGGGATATACCTACGCTAGTGCACATTGTAGGCTACGCCAATGGAGCAGAGCTACGACTCCGTCTGAACGGCCGCACATCCCGCTGTGCACCCCTGGATTAGCACTCGTGGCTACACGTACTGAACAGAACATCCCCGCCAGCTCGCCTGTTCTGCTGATACTGTCAGGATCACCGATTCCTCCAACGTCCCAGTAAGCCGGCCATCCGATACCGGCTAGAACACACTCAGAAGCGCTACAGTATCGCCAATCCAATGTGTATTGGCTACAATGATGGGGGCTGAAACGAGGGACCCCAAGTAACAAGTGTTACAGCAAGACAACGGTGTAATTCAAGTCATTCACTGTAGAAAGACACCGAATACGATGCTTAATCATAGCCTTATTGTGGGTATGTGCGCTAATAAGCTATCGAGATCATTATGTAGACTTAGATAAAGAGCGCAGCAGCACTAACGGTAGTATCGACGCTTTCCTCTGCAGATGAACCACCAGCAAAGGAAGCCAATCAGGGCACTGATTACGAGCACAGCTGATGCTGCACTGGCCGTAACTACTACCATCTTCCTTCCGGTAAGAGTATTGACAGGAATGCAGACACCTTTGTCAAGAATCGTACTGGTCTCGCACATGCACACCCCCTGGTTCGATGAGGCCCTGGCGCCGCACCCTTCTGCACACGTCCGCTGGTCTACTTGGACGTTGTGGCCCGAGGTGACACACGAGAGACACCTACCCGACATATCACATGATGCACACCACGACATGTCAGGGGGACACTCGGGTGCGGGCACACATCCAGACTTGTCCGGCGCCGGCAGGAAACCCCGCTCGCACCAGCACCTCCGCACGCCGCCGGGCACCTCTCCCACCACCTTGTCCCCGGTGCACTCCTCCAAGCACGACTGCCCGTCCAGGCTCACGAAGAGCTCCCCCGCGCACTCTGTGCAGAAGGAGGCATGCCCGCAGGTCTTGCACCCCGGAGTGGCGCAGGGCAGGCACGCGTCTCCGTCTGCGTAGTACCCGTCCACACAGGCGCCGGGGTCGACGCAACTCCCGGTGGCGGCACCCGAGGCCCTCTTCAGGAGCTTGTCAGAGGGGCACCTGGTGCAGCGGCCGGGGCCAGGGGCGGTGCACGCCAGACATGTCGGATCGCACTCCAGCAGCTTTCCATCGGGCGATATCCAGTACCCCTTCTTGGTCGTTGTGCACTTTCCGTTTGACTGCTTATCACAGATAGTGCTTCCTGGATAGTACTCTGTTGTGTAGCAGCCCCCGTTCATCAGGAAGGCCGCTTCAGAGCAGGCAGTGCAAGCACCGTTCGCCTTGCTGGTACAGTACGCGTCTTTTTGTGTGTTCGGAATACACACCCCGTTGAGAGGGTACATATTCGAGTCCTTGCAGCGCGTGCAGTACCTGCTGCCGTCGATGGTGATGCCGCATTCTGCACAATTGTCACCAACAGTGCACTCATCTACGCACTTTGCATTACCGTTCGTGACGACTGACGGCTCCAGGACTTTGCCCGGTTTGCATATCTGACAGCCATCTGGCGTGCCATCCTTGCAGACAGCGCACGAGTCCGTACATGGTGTGCAGGTCCCAGAGCTGCTGTAGAACGTCGGCATGCAGACGCATCGACACGATGTTTCAATTGACTCGCTCCCTTCTGTTACCTTCGTGCACACTCCCCGAGTGTCTCCACTACAACTTTTACTGCAGGACTTCCCGTCCACTCCGAGATACCCTTTTGAGCAGCTCGTACAAGTGACAGCACCGCTTTCGTAGCTGCACGTGGCACAGTCAGAAACGCCCCCATTTGTAGCGTCGCCGCACAGATAGCCGCCATCATTGTCATTCTTATTAAAGATGAAATCAAACTGAGTTTTCCACTCTGTGCAGACGCCTGAGACCACCGCTGAGCAGAGTCTCGAACCGATTCCAGACTTCTTGTAATAACAGCCGCCATAAAAAAGGAAATACTCCGCAGAATTAGCACAGTTTATGCACAGACCCTTATCATTATCTTTTGTACAATCAGAAAATCCCATAACAGGAATATCTCCATCGACAGGAACACACACTCCACTTTTTGGTGCGTAGAGCGTATTCACACACTCCTTACAGATAGTGACATTATCCAGCACATACTGGTTTTTCGCTGCGCATATCGCTAACCCTGTGTCACTGCCCCGGCTGTAGCATCCAGAGTGATAAAGTAAGTGCGTTTTGTAGCACGATACGCATAGACCAGAAAAACAGGTATGGAGACCCTTAGCTCGACATTCGTGGTCAATTGGATTTTGTTCAGGAGAACGACACTTAGTGCACAATGCCGTAGTTTTTCCGCCAGTAACCGGCTGTGTGCAACTATAGCATTCAAGAACGCCTCCGTATCCGCTAAATCCAATTGAGTCAGAGCACGCAATGCACCTTTCTTCTGCAGTCTCGTTTGGATTAGTAAAGACATAGGCCCCATGAGTACTCACATTGCATTCGACGCACCTGCCATTTGACGCACGAGAACAGATTTGGCCACCAACGGCAGACCGATCCACCGTGTAGCAGCCACCGTAAAATAGGAACACGTTCTCGTTTGGTTTGCATTTGATGCAACGAATTGAGGATTCAGCTTCTTCCGGAATACACACAGAGGAAGCACTTCCTGGATACGGCTGGCATACCCCATTTATCGGAACATAGCCGGACACGCATCGAGTGCACACTTTTGTCGAACCTATTAAGAGACACCTACCCGAAAAGCAATGCTCATGCCCCTGCCCACATTCTATGCCGAAACCATTGCAGTATGTACCTGTTGGAAGTCCACAGAAAGAACCGACGAAAAATAACAAGAGCAGCTTGAGCATCGGATTTTTTAATGGTAAAAGACTTACTACATTTCCAAAGAATTTTCACGCGCATAAACGCACGCCTCTAATAATACTTTGGACATATCACTTTAAACCAATCAACCTGAAGCTTTATAAAGTCTTGACCTCCTGCAGTTCTTGCGCCTTTTATTCTTATATTTACAAGCGTATATTTTTCCGAGTAATGCTACTATAAAAGTATCTAACATCCAGACAACCATTCGGCGGTCATCTTAACAGCAAAGGCTCACCATAGGCCTATTCATTTGATAAATCTGCTATATGTGATAAACTATCTATAAATGATTTAGTTAGGTGGACTAGCAGCAGGCCGCATTAGCGCAGTGAGTAGGAAAAGGCCAATGAATAGCCGTGCTTTTATCAGTAAATCTTGGTAATAATACATAGATTGTTATGCGAGTAAAGTCTGTAATGAAAGGGTTTATAGAACTATAAGAGACTGCATTGATCCCCAAGCTGGATAGTCGTGGAAGACACACACAAAGGGATCCATGTGAGGGTGCTGCAAGTGTCCCAGCAGAGCCCACCAATATTGGCTCGCGAAACCCTCTTGTGCTGACATCTGAGTATCCAGCGAGTGCAGCTGAGGCGGAATAAGTCGACACACAACGACCATCCACGGGCACGTAGCCTATTTTGCACTGTGTGCAGAGGGTGGGCTTCACGTCTGCGTCCGTGAGCACGTTCATCCGGCAGCGCTCGCAGAAGAGGGTCCCGTCCAGCCCGTAGCACGCGAGGCAGGAGGTGGCAGACGAGCTCGCACTGAGGTTCTTGAGGAACTTCGATCCGCAAGAGCCACAGACAGAGCCAATAGTATCAGTAGTGTCAGAGCAAATGCTGGCGCCCGGGGACCCTCCGAACTTGTAGCACGACCCGTAGTGGAAGAAGTAGCCATTGCCACATGTCGTGCAGACGCCCTTGTCGCACGTGTTTCCTGCAGCACTCCCAGCCGGCACGCACACCCCGTCGATCGGGACGTCCTCCTCGATGGCGCACTCTAAGAAAGTACCTTACAGAGAAGAAAGATGAGGATCCTCATGAGGCTTTGCTTGAACAAAGTCCTGGTTTACAAGTCTGCTCTATCTCAAGAATTAAATACTACCCGACTGAGTTGCTTCCTGCAATCTGCAATGCTAAATCATACATCTTCCTTCTTATACACAGCAGTTAATATTGCTCAAAATCGAGAGAAAACTTCCTACCATTTGCGTTTTCGACACCGTCACCCTTTTGTTTCGCACCAGTCTTTGCATCTGCAGTACAGGAATGTTACTCCAATTACTCCAAAACGCTGAGTTGCCCTGGCTCAGCAATCGTTTTATCACAGAGAGCAAACCACTCATCGAGCGATGCTGGACAATGCACAGGTCGCAGACAGCCTCCTGTGTTATGTCAGTAGTATGAGTGTGTTTCTCTTAAGCAGGGTCCTTATTTGTCAAAGAAAATATAACCGATGATGGCGAATCAACCAGTCGACAGAATTGAGAACATATCCATTGAGAGGAAGTTAAGGCGCTAGGTTATCAAGAATCAGAGATAGGGTGGTCAGATATAAGTGGTGCTTCGTATTAGCTGATTTATCCACTCTTTAACTCCTTGGGACACCTGATATCGCTCTACCTAGTATCCCGGAAAGCTTTGAATAGTTTCCCTAAAGAAGCTATCAGTAAAGGAACTCTTAAACTATATAGACTAATTGTTGAAATTAGAGGCCAAGAGTGTACATTTTTCATTGTGAAATGTATGCTGGCAAGAGCTAGGGAACGTCTTTGACAAGAGTTGCAACTAATTCGTAAAGGCATCCAGACACCTCATTCAGATGAAGTTCGTTACATCGTAGCTTTACCAAAATCTCTTCTATATATGCTAGAATTCGAGGTTCGTTAAGCTTATAAACGCGTAAGGCTTCGCTGCGATCCGACCTTGTAAAGTACATCAGGACAGTATACAAAAGCCCGATTACACTTTCAAAGGATTCGTCGCCAATATTTGCAGCCAGTATTGGGGTGCCATTTGTTCGAATGCTCTCTTTCATGCTACTAATATCTAGGTCAGTCGTCCTAGACACATCGGATGAGCCGTTTTGATACCGCGATTCGTGTGAAGTGGGGTGGTCCCCGATAATGCTATCTACACTCCTTAAGAGTTCATCATTGGTGAGAGTAGCCGTTGAATATGCGGACCACTTCGATGTCCCAGATGCTGACATTTTACTGAGAGCTAGCTTTTCTGCCAGGTTCTTAGGTTGATACTGGGTCGGACGAGACGGGCTATTGTTCACCAGCAGTTGGTCTACTACTTGCATATCCACTTGCTTAGGCTCCACTTGGTCTAAATGAGCGCTACCATTCTCTTTGACCTTCTTTGTAGTAGAACCATAAACGTCTTGCATAGTCTCCATGTACAAGCTATTAATTCTTTTATATGATCTATCCAGTTCTTCACCCATGCTCTGCGCTTTTGTCAATAACTGGTCTATTTCTTTAAGTTCAATGTCTGCGGAATCTAGTCGTCTAGATCGAGATTGCGAAAGTCCGGATGCCGCTGTGTTTGATAATTCATCTATATGAAGCTCATCGACCTCACCACCCTCCCTCTTGTGGGAGTAGAAGTTGTATTTCGGAACGCTAGGTGTATCTTCTTTTCTCAAACGAGAATTTTTTATTATGCTTTGTGCTTTGGCCGAAAGCTCACGCAGCTCTGCACTGGTATCATCATACTCACTGCTAGCTTGTTGAGAAGACGCCATGTCTTGTAGTAGCCGTATATATAACTTATTTTTGTCTTCCTGAGTTATATATACAGACGATGGTTCAGTGAGAACGGGGGGAGCGTAGTGCTCCAGTCGTATCGTGTCTATATTATCGTGCAGTGCCTTACTAAACGAATCACGCGAGCCTTCAGTGTTGCGATTAAGGGCAATATCGTTAACATCGGATTGCTCTATACCACTCCCGTGGTTATCCGGTTTGTTGATCGGGCTATTGCTTGATCGTACGGGTTCTATTTCTGAAAGAGCAGATGCGTCAACCGGGGCATAAACAGGTAGCTCTTGTCGAGAAGTCTTCTTCTTTGTGTGTGGAGATGTGCGCAGAGGTTCAGTCGATGGAATTCCCTGGCTTAGACGAACCAGGGACGTACTTTTGCTTGTTGAAATAGGTCTCCGCGGAGAGTGAATAACGCTGTACCTTGCCTCATCATCACTACTCACCGACGCATGGTCGTTATGTCGGGATAAAACAGGAGATTCCCACCGTGTAGATGTGGCTGGACGATGAGTCTGCTGTTGATTGGGGCGTGTCTGTCGCGGAATCGCTACATTCTGCTTGGTTGAGGTCAGTTTTTCCACGCTGATTTGCTTTTTCAGGGAACGTCCTGTCTCCTTCCCAGGTGTAAAAGCTATTGCATTCTTGGTGGTATTGCCTACCTTGCCCTGTGATACAGATCGTTGCTGTGTCTGCCTACTGGCAAATGGATCGGGCTTGTTTCTTCTGAATGCAGGCACATCATCTGAGTCTTCTTTACAAGCATTTTTCCCGGCAGATAACGCACGCTGACGAGGCTTCCTTGCAACATCAAATGGAAGTGGTCCTTTAGAATAGTTAGAAAAGCCAGAAGATGCGTTAGAGTAATATATATTCTCTTTTTGATTTTCCTTGAGGCGCTGAGTCGCCTGTGCTTCAGCGGAAATGGGTCGCTTGGCTGTGCGCCGTGTAGTCTTAGCTTGCTGTACTTTACTAGCACTTTGCGGACGTGACTGGGTGTAGTTAGATGCTTTTTCTCGAGACGAGCAGAGAGGATACACATCTTTGTCAAGTGGTGGGGTGGTCTGTCCTGAAATATCATTATCAAGCTGTTCTAGGTCTTTAAGTTTGTGCTTTGTGTTTATTATCCGTGAGATAGACTTCCCTCGACGGCTGCGGCGCCTAGGTGTTAAATTATCGTATTCTAAAGCAACAGGTTTTTCAGCTGCAAGAAAATTGATTGGGTCTGCAGCTAGTTTGAGCTTTTTAATCATGCCTTGGAGATTTTCCTGCTCGCGCAGCTCTTCTACAGCCTCCTCAAGATCCCGCTCATGTGTTAGAACTTTATCAGCATTCTCTAGTAGATGCTTATTCGCCAGTTTCCGGTTTGCTGATAAACGACTATGAACAAACCTTAACAGCGTCGGGGTTGTGGAGCTGTCCAGTAACAGGTGTAGTATAGTGGTGTTCTGTAACAGCAATTGCACAAGAGGGTGTGCTTTAAGAGTCATCAAAGTTTTCAGGTCGTCTGTGCTACGTGCATATGAGGCTAGATATGAAATTACGTTAGATTTGGTGGAGGGCTCGTAGTCAGGACAGATAGATTGGAGCACTATCTGCTCGGCTCTCGACCGCGCGGTACATGCACGAGAGTCCCCATTCTCTATCTCTGAAATGCGCTCTGCCATTCGAATAGGCAAATTCTTGTTCTTGAACTCTGCATCGTGACTACAATGAAAATTCTCCGCAGAATTGTCCTCGTTGTTCTTCACTATGGTAATGAGGTTATCATAGATATAGTCTAAGTCTCCATTGTCATATGTAGGTATCATAATAGATGTGGAGAGCTTCACACCCTTGTTTCCATCTAGGCTGATAGAATGAACATAAGTGTCGTCCTTCAAACTGTCTAGAAGCTCTGTGCATAGTTCATTTCCAAAGCTATTATACCCTAAGTCAAGATATGTTAATCCTTTTAGCTCGTGCATACATCTGATCTTCTGCAACTGTGCAAACGTAAAGTGACCTTCTCGGACTGCAGAATTGCCAGATTCCCTTAGTGTTGGCCCATATTTCCTTAAACATAGCTCCCATAACCTGTTATCTCTTGCATTCTTGTGTGCAGTAAGTATTGCCCCGAGGACGCCAGCCAACTCATCTGTCAGGCCACAGGTGTGTAAAACAAGCAGCCTGATAGATAGTGCCGTAGAAAGGTTGAGAATTGCCGATTTCAACATATCATCGCCCAGAGGACAGTTTCTGACTATTATTCCGTCTAGCTGTTTATACATCCCAGAGTTCCGTGCCATTGCACTGAATAAACTAGTTATTGTTGACTTGCTCAGAAACCCTGGGCAAATGCCGTAAAAAGAGATCAGCTTCAGATGCTGCATGAGAGGACAGTACCTAATTAACAACCGAAACAATGTCGCCATGCTTTGCAGCCGCTTCTTGCTCTCAACTGTCATGTCCAGCGCTCGCTCATCAACGCCCTTAGTTGTATCTTTGGGGTAGTTGTCACGACTCGAAAGACTGGTGCCTGCAGAGAGCCTGTCGTAGACAGATTTCTTTTCAGAATCAGGGCGTGAAAGACTGGTGGTCATACCAAGCCACTGCAGATACGTTGAGTGACAACCTTCGGAAGAAAATGGATCCTGCCGCTCTGTACCCTTATCTGTAGAATAGTCACTACAGAAATGTACTGATAGCTCAGTGATATGCTCATAGCCCAGTTCAATGGCATAAATGATTGCTCTTATGTGTCTGTCCTTGAGGCACGAAGTGGATAGCCGTAAGGTGCCCGTCGGTTTTCCTCTGTCCAACTCACGACCCCAGGACACTACGTCGAATTTCTGAGCCGCAAGGTCCAATGCATGTGACCATGACGTGCACGCATGTGTCATTAATTTACGTCGTGGCCTTTTTGGGAATTTTGGCTGAGGATTTTACGTGCAGTCTAGCGGCAAAATTGTGCCAAAATGTTTACATGCATCAAGATGGTTCATCTGTTGATTGGCTCAGCTTATAAAGCTCATCGTGCGCGGCATTTTAAAAATGTCATACCTCTCCTTTCTTGATGACGATGCGCACAGTGATGCCATCTCACACTATGATTTTCTTCAGCTCATTGACAGGATGTCAGAAAGGGAGTTTCAGAATTTCTTCGTTTGCATTCTGGACGTCCTTCTGAAGGTGAAGTACCAGCGCTCACACCTCCTCACCGATGACAGCCTTGTAAAGCGTCTTCGTCTCCTGATCGCGTCTTGCAAAGAAGAGCGTGTTATTCTAATTGCCGCCCTGATGTACTATGAACGGATGCTGGCGTATAAGTTATTTTCTGAGACGACCTACTACACCCTCGGGCCGATGATAGCCTCCTTGGCTCTGGGGTGTAAGATGTATGGTGAGAGCATGCTACATCTCGGTGATGCATGTGCAGTAGCAAATACGGGAGTGTCGGCGCAAAATATCATGCAATACGAACTTGCTTTAATGGGTGCCATGAAAAACAATCTGACATTAAAAAGCAAAAAGTTCTATCACTTCCTTTATCTTGCTATTAAAAATGCTAATTTAAATGTCCCAGAGCTTAGCCTTGGGAAAGTATCTCTCAAGCTGCTAGATATGGCGGCATTCATCGATACCGCAGATGCAAAGTATTGCGACGTCCTTCCCACTGATTTGCCCGTTGTGATTAGGAATGTTATGTAGCCGTCATCAGCAGTAAACAGTGTCGGTAAAAATAAATGAGCGCCAAGTTCAATACCATATTAGACCTATACACCATTGACAAGGATATAAGGTGTAACATCTGGGCTTCACCAGAGTCAACCCCAGACATAACTAAGTGGCAGCAGTTCCTCACACACTATGTAAAGGTGATTACTGCAGGTGCCCCTGAGGACATCCCAAAGGAGTGCTATCCACAGTTTATAGATTGGATAGAGCTGCTGACAACACACCGCTTCCACAGGCTATGGAATCAGCAGAAGAAGTTTAGTGAAGCACTGAAGGTGTACCACATACTCTACAACACTCTACCCAACAAACTGGTGCTCTGCTCTTGTCGCCTGATGCTGTTTCAAAGCATTTTATCGCAGCTTTTGGCAGACCTGAATGCCATAGGCCTTCCAATAACTATAACCGTCAGTCCATACTATAAGTATATCTACGACGAAACACAAACTTTTAATAATCAAATACTCTACTTGATAACACGAAACAATAAATATTCAGCTAAAACCTCTAAATTGTTATTTCATCCGTGCCTAAATGTACGCGCTATTTTATCCTCTAGCCCACTCAAGTCTGCTTCCCCTCTTATCCTCGTGGTTGGCCCTCAACTGATAAAGAGGCTTCTATCTCCAACACTCTATTCCATATTTTCCAAACAGCATTCTGTTAACTTCAATCAATATGATCTCAAACATGCTCGACGTCTCCTCAAACAAGCCCTTACTCGCAGTATAGAACTACAGCTAGATGATCACGAGACATTCTTCTGCTTAGCGAAGACATTGGATACTGCAAGGCACATTCTTCCTATAGAATGCCTGATGATTAAGATTGGATTCATTCCCGAAACACAACGGGCCATATATACGTATAAGCAGCCCATCGAAGTGGATGGTAGGACGCTTGTCAATGCTCCAGACACAGTTTTCCTTTCGTTGACGGAGATGCTCATTCGGGATGCACATACACATCCTGCGATTTTCTGTTGGATTGCACGAGTCATCAATATGGTTCTGGACACTCCTCCAATGCTACTTGCAGCAACAGAAGAAATAAGAGTCAGTAACCTCAGGACGATTCCAATGGTTTGCCACTTTTTTACTCACCAAAATAAGAACACCCTTAATTTAAACTCCATCTGCTTCGTGGCTGAGAAACGCCGCGGTCTGAGCTCTCAAGGGATTTGCAACGAGTTCAAGTCAAGAGATAGTTCTAAACTATTTTGCGATCAATCTATCTACAGACTGCATCTAACCAATAGTCTCCCCTACGCCACCATCATCAAATACTCTGCTGCATTTACTAAGGCTTACTTATACCTCCGCCTAATTGACGGCTGCGCTCTCGACGACATCTCATTCAATGACATTGACGATCTCTACGCCACTGTTGACAATCCTGAAGAGTTTTACTCACGGATTGCCACTGAGCAGTACACCCCAGAGAAGTTCATAAGCTTAGTTAAACAACGGCATCCACAGGTTGAATTCACCAAAATAAACAGACTCTTCATCAGTATAGAGCTTCAGTTAATCAGAGGCATCAGCCAAGCACAGGGACTATCAGAGGAGCAGTTCCTCAAAGGCACAGTATCAGAAGAACAAGCCACAAATATGTCAAGAGAATACGTCAGCTTGGAAGACCCGATAAGCAGAGCCAGAATCAGGATCCCAGTGCGAGGATGCACCTGTAAGCACCCGGCTTGCTTTGATCTGGAGACGTTTGTTACTTATGCTTGTGAAACAGACAAGTGGAATTGTCCAATATGTGCAGAAACAATCGGCTTGAGTACAATGTACATTGATGCATATCAATACTCGATTCTTAATTACTTGAAAATTTCTGGATGCTCAGATAGAAAGATACCTATTGACTCTGTGACACAAATGCCTGTCTTTCCAAAAGCAAAAGTAGAAAAAAGCGAAAGTAGTATCCTCTCGGATTGGGCGGACGAGTAGGGTTCCATCTACTGGTCAAAATATGGGCGCTTGAACGTGTTAGGAAAGAGCAGGACAATCACGTAGACGATCATGAAGACGGTGCCGGTGAATAACATGCTATACATTGTATACTTAATCTTATTCCTTCCCTCAGCATGCCCAAGAACTTCAAGGACTTCTTTGCAAGCAGATACACATTTGCGATACTCATACGGGAGGTTGCGCATGGGAATAGAAGACCTGTGCTCATTGGTCAGATCTGTATATGGGTCCTCCGCCTTTTTAACGCATGTCTTCATGAAAGTGGGCGTAAACGAGAGAACCTTCGGGATCAGCACCAAGAGTTCATCTGCACTTGGAGTCTTTACGCGGAGTAACTTGGCAAGGGCGTGCATGCACCGTGTTTTTACCGCAATGACTAGCTTGTCAGATGAACAAGAATCGAGTAGAAGCTGCGAGACATTGGCTGCAAGCATAGCATGGCGAACAAAGTCATAGGCTACAGATCCGGAGGTATATAGTTGCACAAACTCAGCAAAATAGAGAACAGATTCATCATCATCAACGTAGTGACTGAAGGAATCTACTAACTTATTAACTAAATCAGTGATATCGGTACACGGAGGAACTGTATGTGCTTGCAGATCCTCGATCAAAGGCTTCATTCTGGAGAATCCAAATGTCCCCCGAAGTGTGTTGGAAAGATCAACAAGAGAGGACATAGCAGAGCGGAAAACGACCACCAGTTCATCTATAACACAGATTGAAATGACGTCCACTAGTAATGAAAGAACATGCATCTGGTACATTCTTTCTGCAAATTGCTTGGAAAAAGCAGAAAGCGACGATAGCAACATACATGAAAACGAACAGATTTCATTAGATATGATCGACTCGTGCTCATCATGGCTATAAAGTCTCAATAGTTCGACCACGAGAGGGAGAAAATCATAGTGCCTCATGACCTTCAGATTGTGCTTGGAACGAAGCAATGAAATTACAACTGCAAGCGCTCCAGCCAGCGTTTTATTCAGTGAGTGCAAAGGCCCTGCCAATTCTTTGCTGACTTGCATGACGCCAAGCGAAGATATCTCTATAATCTTGCTCACCAGTTCAAAAGAAAGCGCCGGGATGCGTGTACTAGCAATTATATTTGCAACTTTATCAGAAGAAAGAGAAACGACATATGCACATCCACACAAGCGTTGATATGTCAGAAGCTTGTATTGTGCATCTGTGTTGTGCAGAAACACAGATTGGAAATCAGCCAAATCACGGGAGTCTTGGGGATCTTTGGATTGCTCTTCAAAGAGCAGATCTACGAATGTATTTGTTGTCGATATCTCCTCAATAATAGAAGCTGAGACATAGTTTATAAAGCGAGTAAATCGTGAGTCAGAAAAGACTCTCTTTCGCGCAGTCTCCACGTGTGATAGCTTAGCTAGCAAGTCGAGAAGATCTAGCATGACAACCGTTCCTGCAATTGTGTCAATAAAGTCAACATTAGATAGAACTAAGTTTAGGAGTAACGCCTCCAGTGATGTAGTTAAACATATGGTAAGAGAAGCAACAGACGTGGCTGTCACATTAAGGACAGTAATAAGCTCTGCCATCAGAGCGTCGTGTTTCGGAAATCTTTCGTAAATAATCGACACAGCTGCCTGAGGAAAGCCAAGCAGAAAGGGTTCAGAAAGTTGAGTAGTCTGCTCTGAAGCAGTTACAGAGGAGTACATTTTCCGTATTACTTGGAGAAGCAGGGTAACATCATCTGAGGTCGAATCGTTGCTCCCCACGGCACCACACCAGACAAGGGCATCATCCCTGGAGGGTGTCCTTCCATCTGCGGACTCAATGAACGCTTTCATTGATGCGCGTACCTCATCGATAGAAGTATGCTCCATCGGCTTCTGGATTACAATTAAAATGTTTTCCTCCATGGCATGGGTGCCGCGTGGGCGCTTGCTGCACAATCCACTTAAGTATCAGCCAACAGAAGCTGACGAGAAGGCGGCGCGAGCGCTTATGGAGGAACTAAAGGCAGGAGTGGTGCCGGATGAGCCAGAGGAATACGATTCCCAGTCAGATGAAGAGCAGCCAGAAGGGTGCCCTGAAGAACCTCAGAGGGAAGCCCCTGCTATTCAGGAGGGGGCACACGCTCCAGAGAATATCGTAGATGATGACGATGAGGAGCAGCGAGACCAATTCCAACTAGTTAATAGTGACAATATGCTTATATGCGCGCGCTCTGCAGAGCTAGGGTTTGTTGACTGTCTTGTTTATAATGGACAAACGGACGATTTCTTTTTCCACCACAATATACTCATCACCTCTATCCCCCTTTGTACCGTATATCTAGACTTTTCTCCGCTTGGAAACGGTGCCTCTGGCAACTATTGTGCAGTATCAACTTGCTCCACAGAGATTGAAATATGGGATTTAGACACTCTTGATACCATTTCACCAGTGCTTACATTGGGTGGCTTCCAAGAGGTGGGTCTAAAGCCAAAGAAGTCAGCACCGTACAATCATTACTTAAAGAACAAACGAACTAAGCAGGTCCCTCTACCGGGCTCCCACAAAGATCATGTGCTCACGCTTTCATGGTCATCTTTGCATCGTAACATACTTGCCTCAGGCTCTGCAGACGAGACAATCAAGCTTTGGGATCTTAACACAGCCAAATGCATTGCTACATTCTCTAATGTACATAGTGGCGGGCCTGTTTCCTGTGTACTTTTCAATCCATTTTGTCCAGGCCTACTGGCATCTACCTGTATTGGAGATCGGAAGGTTGCTGTGATATCTGTGATGGATCCCTCTCCGGCCCCTAAGATCCTTACCGTTCTGAAGGCAGATCCGGAGCAATTAGATTGGTTAACAGAAGACTTGCTGTGCTGCACTACCGAAATGGGCGAACTACTTGTGTTGGATATTAAAAAAGATCCTCAGTCAGCAGTTGTGGGATCTATTTTCCCCCTAGCAGAATATGCTGTATCCATCGACCTCTCTCCTGGCAAGGCGCCGTTAACGGGCCTCTCAGTGCATCCCGCAGTCAAGGGTCTTATTGCAGTCGGTGGCCCAGAGATTCCTGGAATAGCCTTGTGCGCATATGTAGCGGACTCATTAACGGTGCTGCATGTGGAGCCAGTTGAGTTTTCCGTGTTCTCTCTTGCTTGGTGCACTGGGGAGGACTCCCTCAGTTTGGCCGTTGGAAGCTCTAACTCGACTGCATATATATTACAGCCATTTGGCTGGTCTCTTGCCACACCCATCCAGGATGTCTTTAACATACGTCTGGATGTTCCCTCCCGCAAGCAGCACAAGCTCACAGTGGACGATGACGAAAAAGATGTGGAGGATGACTAAGAGACATTGCATTTACATAGCGTCCGAGCAGCCCATAGGACCTACTACCGAAATATTGCGGTCCTTAAGAAATGCATGAAGATCTTTTTGAGACATTGGAACCATGGACTCAAAGGATTTATTGATGGTTCTACATCTCAATTTAACAGAATAAAGAATACTATTGATGTTTTCAACTAGATTAGGGGTAATCTGCTGAGTAATACCCAATAGCTCTGCCGCTTCGTGAGGCTGGCTGCCGGGGGCGAAAAGACTAATCACATACTTAACAATACGTAAGCAGCATGTCTTCACTTCTCCTGTTGCAACCTCTGCTATCTTCTCTACTACAAAGCATCCGTGCTGGTCAATTATTAGGCCATAAAAATATGGTTGAGTGAACAGCCAGTATGCAGCGGCATCAAGCTTAGATCTTGCAGAAAGGGTCTTGATGAGACACTCTGCCACGTGAGAACCGTACTTACAGCCGCATATAGATTGAAAGCTTAGCAGGAGATGTTCGGACAAAGTATCAAAAAACTGAAACTGTGGGCACTCTATAGCCCTTTGAAGGACAAAGTTTCCATACTCACTTTTTGCAATCTCCTCGTGATGCTTGATCAGTAAATCCTCAAAAGTCTTGTCGTGAACGTATCCACAACTAAATATAGCCTGTAAAACCCAGCAGCTACATTTCCCCTTAATAATCATCCTGAAGATGTCCTCATTATATGTTGTACTGTTGAGTATAATGGACCCTACAACATCTGGAGAAAGCTTAACGAGGGCCTGGAGCAGATGATTTCCACAAGGAGACATCATAAGCACCTCTATGTGCTTTTCATTTTCCCTCATATATGCTATTGCAGCCCGTGGGCCTGCTTGCATCAGTTCGGCTTTCTTTGCCTCAGCAGCGTCCTTGGAGGACACCTCAGGGGGTTCACCCCGTCTCGTAGATACGCTTACCCTCGCTCGCTCTTGGAAGATAGATGGACGGTCCTTGCCACCGGTCCTACGAACAGCTATTGTAGTTGCCGCTGTGGTTGCAGCTACGGCTGTCAAAGAGCTCTGTCCACCACTGGGGACGGGTACAGGGGGTACTGTAAGTGGTGCAAAAGTCTGAGTAGAGAGTACTGGTTGTGAATAAGCCAGCTGAGGTGCAGTATGAGGTGTAAAGTAGAACGGAACTGGCCCTGCAACGGGAGAGTGCGAATGTACGGGTGGCTGACTGTGCAAGGAGCCTGCCGAGTAGGGGAATGGAGGACAGGAGAAGTAGTATGGATGGCCAGGGTTACCATGGGCTAGGGACGGAAAACTGCTAGGATACTGATGCTGAGTAGGATACTGCATGGCACATAGTAGCGATGGAGAGGAAGCAACGGGTGCCATCTGTACGGGTATCGACATAGGAACAGTGACCGGGTTAGGGTTTAAGGAGAGGTTGTGTGGAGGAGACACGCCAGAGGTCACTGACGACACTGGAGTTGCTGTGCAAGCAGGGCGATGCGCCATATCTGGAGGCGGGAAGTCTAAACCGACGCTAGACGGCATAGAGCCATCAAGGGGTGCAGTGGCCAGCGCTGCAGTACTACTAGTCAACGAGCCCGTCACAGGAGACAGAGCATGTGCGTGAGAGGGGGAGTAGTACGGCACAGCTTGATGAATAGGCGAGGGATCGAGACCAGACTGGCCATTGATAGGAATAAGCCCCGGAGGCACAAAATGCACAGACTGAGTAGAACTAATAGGGTGGCCAGAAAGCAAGTAGTCTGCACCTGGATAAATAGGCGGTACTTCCTCTTGATGCATCCGAGAGAACTTGATCTCTGGGAGATCTTCTATGCCATCCGCCATTTTTTTTGAACACTTTTTTTTGATTGAAAAGTGTTTGCCCAGAACGCAAAACATTAGTTGCAGCACCATAGCTAGAGACTACTACCCTGAGCGTGATAAGGTAGAGCGGAGTAATATTACTGATCACAACACTTGTTAAAATAAGTAATATTACTTTAACAGTAAACAGTAAAAGTATGTACTTTTAACTACCCCGATTAACTAAGGCTCTGCACTAAGGACATGGTTGTCTACCACTTCGAAACAAGAAGTATGTTTTCTATTTACTGCAAGGTGATGACCACAGGCGATAGTGAGCCGTGGCTGCTCACTGGTCTAGGTCTTCAATACCAACATTATCCACGTCACGGACAGCATTCCCCAGCGAATGGACCCTGATCTACGATAAGTAATTGAAATAGAAGGTCGTGGATCTAAAATTTAGGGTTTCGTAAACCGTTTATAATGGCAGATCTCAATGAAATCGAAGAGTTTAACCTGCGGCGCACAGCTATACAAAACATCATAACATGGAGCTTTGAGATGTGGAGACGAGAACGGCAAGCCCAGTGGGAAGGGGAGATGACAGATGCTGAGCTAGACTTGCGAGCCAAGTTAGAGGGAGACCTTCTTAAGGAAAGAGAAGCACTTGACAAAGATCAGCATACGGCGAAGGTGCGCCTGCGAGAAAAGCAGACAAGACTTGCAGATGCCATCTCTACTGCGCAGCAGGAAGCGTCCGTGACGGAAAAGCTAATGGCTGCGGTCCAAGAGGCTCACGAGAAGGCTAAGGACGAATATGATAAGGCAACTGAGGGAATAAAAGCCTCGTTAGAGAGGCGAAGATCGCTAATTCTCCAAAAGCTTGCAGGCGCACAAGCACGAACGGCAGAAATGGAGCAGAGAGCACAATTCTTCAAAGCACAGTGGGTCTCTGAAGAGGAGAGACTTAAGAGAGAAATTGCTACGCTAGATGAACGTAGGAGAGAGATCATAAGTAATAATGGCGAGAAGACAAGGCGGGCTCTCGAGGACCTGCGCATTAAGCTTCAAGATGTGCAAGGAGAAATCCGGGAGCTTGAACTAGCAAAGGTTGAATTGGCTGAACAGTACCAGCGTGCTCTTAGGCTGGAGGCGCAGTTTGCAGCCCGAAATAGAATGTAGTGTACTGTAGGGTAGGTATACTAAACTTGACTTTTCTGCCAGGGTATTTCCCTGTAGTGATGTCTGATGACATAAAGAGTGTGACAAGTGATTTATCGACTAGGTCTGGCTGTACTGGAGCCGCCAGGCCTCCTCGTGACCCCAACGAAACGTCTATTTCGTCTATCTCGAATCCTACGATTCAAAAGGGGCGCCACCACCCAGATGTCTACAGTATCACATCTACTCCGCAATCACACACATGCTCTGATTTAAGTACAGATAGGAGTCAAAGTGAGCTGTTTTCAGGATCTGTATGCACACAGGATCCCATTCAGTTATGTGCGCTAACATCGTCTCCAAGCTCGAACAGTGATCATGGTCACCAGTCGTGCGGTTTCCTCACTAAAAAGGATGAGATGCAAGGTGAGGAGCCCTCTGACTGCTTTGATTTACAAAGCTCTTCATTATCCTCCGCCCATATGAGAAGGAAGGCCGTGACTGGGTGCCCTGAAAAAGCAGAAGAAGATTCTGACTTACAATTGTCCGACTTGAAAGCCGGGGAGTCATCACGTATTGGACTGCATTCATCTTTATGTAGTGCCAATCCATTGCAGAGCAAAGTAATGAGAGAACTATCGTTATCGTGGAAAAAGAAGGTTGAGAACGAAGAAAGAATAGCAAGAGCCCTTACTATACCGTGCACAGGACCATACCACAGATTGTACGGGATGAGTCGCATTACCGCACAGGACAATACACAAAGGAAGATATTGGTTGTAGAGTCTCGCACTTCTCTGCCGCCATTTACACTGTATCTTTGCAACGACCATGACTCAGAAGGTTCTAAAATTATTGTTGTGGCAAAACATGCGACGGCAGCTGACAATAACGCGATAGAGCTGTGGGGACCGTGGAGTACATTTGCTTGTGGTGTATACTTCCGTCAGTACTTTAATTTATCTAGTACTCAAGAGCCCCCACGTGTAATGTTTAACCCTGTCTCTGTAACTGGGATGAACATAAAGTCTCCTGGGAAAACGGTAACTCTGGTAGCCTAGGTAGCTAGCGGACATGGGTCTAGCTTAATCATGACCGCCCTGGCAGTAGCAGCACTCTGCTCCTCTGTAGGAGCCCTTTCCTTCTCCTCTGGTGGTAGATTTTCATAATCAATTAACCTGTAGCTTTGAATCGGCAGGGTCGCTGCCAATGCCTGGGCATAGTCGTATCGCAATAGCCCGATGGCCAGGAATCCGCGATTAGTGTAGCAAGTCTTCAGTAGCCAAGGGAAGCGTTCCAAAGAATCATTGATCTCGATCAACTTCAATCGTATTGGCAAGTAAATTACCACCGACAGGGTGTTAGGGGTGACATCATCGCTGCTATCAGGGCTGCGAACACGAGCGAGGGTAACTGTCAATAGCGGGGCCGGTGGAAAGAGAACCCCCGCCCCCTTCTTCCGTCTGCCAGACATTGTAACCAAGGCTTGGTGCGCACCATCAGAATAGCTAGCCTTGGTGATGACCCAGTCATCGGGGAGAGACAGAAGAGGATGGTCCGGGCCTAAGCAGAGTAAACCGACTGAGTTGGCATGAAGTCTGAGACTGTAAAGGTGCTTCTCATCTTTGACCAATTTCAGTACTGTGAAAACTGCAGTGTAGTATGGCAAAGGATTCTTTATGGCCATGTTATAGTACTACAGGTTAGTTACCAAGATCTAGATCCTGTGTGGCTGCAAGGCTCCTTGTGTCCTTGGCAATGGACCGTGTAGTAACTTTATTTTGACGGAAAATTTAAAATGCTTGAGGCGGGATGTGCCATCACCTCTCCCAACACTGGAAAGACATATCGTTTAATTGAAGACATTGGGTCGGGGACATACGCTCGGTGCTGGAGCGCAAATCTAGAAGGAAGCACTGAAAAGGTTTGTATAAAGGAAATCTTCTATGAGCAATACACAGCTAAAGAGAAGAAGCACGCGGCCAAAGAGGTGGAGCTACATTCTACTTTCAAGAACAATTATATCATCAAGTTCAGAGAGTCCTTTATGCATGCCCCTAACGATATGGGTCTCGGCAATGGGTCGGATACCATGATCATAGTGATGGATCTTGCTGATAGTTCATTAGATCAAATTATAATGCACCGTAAAGAAAAGGGAGCATATTTTCGCATAGAGGAGGCCTTTAGTTTATTTGTACAAATAGTCTCAGGGGTTGCATATCTCCATGCGTTCAACCTCATCCATAGGGATATCTCCGCAAAGAATATTCTAGTGATGCTGAAGTCTCCCAGGGACCCCTTGAGCCAAATTATGATGGTCAAACTAGCGGATTTTGGCACATGCAAGCACATCGATCCCAAACTCGTCAACATGGATCATACAGCAATTGGCACCATTCAGACCATGGCGCCAGAGGTTTTCAATGAGGAGGGATATGACAACAAGATAGACATCTGGTCGTTAGGGTGTGTTCTTTACGAAATATTAACTTTCAATCCGCTTTTTTCTGGTGGCAACTTTTTCGCTATAATGAATAAGATTCAGAAATACGAGTCTTTTACCGATAGTCGTAACATAATTAAACAATACCATGAGCACGAGCACTCTGTTGTGTTGACAGCGATTTTAGAACGAACCTTATCAAAGCTTCCCAATAAGCGTCCTAGCTGTGATGACATCCTTAAGGGGTTATTGAATGTAGCTAGCTTTGTGCGCTCACCGCCACATATGTTTGCTGGCGCTACTGGTGGCAACACTATTAGGTGGGGAGACGCTGAAAAGCAGCGTAGTGGTGCATCCAGAGATCGCATTACCATCAATGAGAAAGGCAGCAGGGATCGTGAATCTGTTCTCACTTTAGCTATGAACAATGTCGGCACACCGACACGAAGTGTCTCTGAGCCGCGGCTTCCGACCAAGTCTCTTCGTCGCTCTGACAGCACAAAGTCGTCTCTAGCATCCATTACAGCCATGTCTGAGTTGGAGCGGGAGAGGGGGAGGAGTGCACCGCGACCAGCCTCATCACTGGCAGAGGTAGGATTGATTGGAGCTGGCGTCGGCATGAGACTTCAGAAGGAATTTGAAGAGCGGAAGGGGTTGCGACGGCCTCGTTCTCCCAGTGAGTTATTTAGTAATCCTGAGAGTAGGAGCGTAAGCACCAATGCAAGAGAAGATAAGAGGGACCCTAACGTTCGTGTTATGCGAAAGATATCACGCTCATTACTTACTCAGTTTGTGTTCATTGACTTCCACGACGGGGTTTACAAGATAGGTCTAGATAGTCTTTCTCGCCACTCCTCTCGAGGCCATTCACGCATAGAGTCTCGCTCTTCTGAGCCTGGCCAGGACCACGAATACGATACAACTGACGGGGCAAAGCAAATCCTTCAGCCGCCTTTAACTGATGTTTTAAACAGTGGTATACCTGCTCCAGCTCCATCAGTTAATCAACGGTCGCACGTAAGTCGCGGTCGCGAATATAAGGAACAATATGCGACTTCCAGCAACAACCACCGTGATAGACAAGAAGATACCCGCCAGAAGCGGAAGACTAATCCCTCTCTCAAGAAAGTAGAATCAAACTCAGCTGCCGCTAAGGTGGCTGCTATCTTAAGCGAGCAGAGACCAACGGCCGCCAGCTCTGGGAGTCAATCAAAGCCTGCAGCTATCGGCAGCAGTGGCAACAGTAACAATGGTCAGGCCCTGGGCTTAGCGGCTGGGGCAGGAAAATGTGGAGATGCTCTTCATGGAGGTCTGAATGCAGAGGCAATTGCCAGGGAAAAGGCGGCACATGATGCACGAATAAGGGTGGCACGAAACACTGGTTCTGATGTCTCCCAATATCAGCGGGACGCACGGCGAGCAGCAAAACTAGATGGAAAGTCTTCCCTAGAGGCAGATGCTACGCATGAGCAAAGGAAGGTTACCCCTGTTGCTCACTCACACGCTTCGAGCGCATCCTCCTTCAAAAACGTACCAGGACACGCTGAAGAAATAGGGAAGTTTAAAAAGACCATGCTTCATCAGAAAAGTCTCAAGAATATCAAGGAACCCGAAGTTCAGATATTCACCGGTCTTCCAGATGAGACGCTTAAGGCAATGGAAGCAAACTAGGCACTACCATCTGGTAACTGATGTCTATGTCATATCTAGCCTAGTGAATAAAGTACTTTGTTCCTGCAGTCTTGAACAAATTAAAAACAGGCCCTTTCTATGGATCCAGTCGTTCAGAAGCTGAAGGCACTGGGATGTGATGGGTCCAGAGATAGTGTGAACGACCAGCTTAACCAACTGAAGCAGAAGAAGCGAGGCAACGCAGAAGAGGCAGCCCGAGATGTTCAGGAGAAATTCGTTGACTTCTCCTCTCTCCTCACGTGCATTAACAGAATGATATCTCTTACGAAGTCCATCGACTTTCATAGCGAGAAGTTTAGTGCTCTCACGGAAAAGTCAATGGGAGTTTTTTCGGATGTGATTGCGCGCTGCAAGGCTAGAGACCAGCTTCAACTCAAGTACGATCAGGCTATGCAGCACGCCGATTTCTTTAAACTATCAGACGAAATGGCGAGCTGCATATCCCTGGTTGATTATATCGCTTCTGCTAACCAAGAGGACTTGAGGATGTACTTGCAATATCTCATCTCCCTCAAGAATAAGTACTTCTATCTCGATATGAAGGCAGCTAGCAAGGTAGAACTTCTCTCAACGGTATTGACTCAATTGGGACAACAGAATGCTATTCTTGGAGAAAATCTAAATATGTTCTTGACACGGATAGATATAAAGAAGCTAGAAGACTCCAACATATCTTCGATCTTTGGTCAAAACGCAGTTGCGACGAAGCTCGTTCCAGAAAACTCTCAAATCCTGAATAAGAAGCTAATGGACTTTGCTCCACGATTCGAGACCTTACTCTACAAATTTATAGTTACGGAAGAAATAGCGTTTGATCCAAAGATTTCTTTAAGCACCTTTGGAAAGCTATGTAGCTATGGTTATACATTCTCCGGAAACTTTAAGGATGTCTTTAGTGACGCGATTGTCTCTGATGTCTTTCCCTTTTCTCTGTCTCTGACAACTGCGCTACCTTGGGACGTAAGGTATGGCTTGGTGCAACGTATTTCCTTTACAGGAATGGCCGGTCTTTTGAGCGAGGAAATACTGCGTCTCATCCTTCTTATTATCTACAACCAGATTGTGTTTGTTTTTTCCCTTAATTACATATGCATTGAGTGCACTCTTGATGACGTAGAGCCTACCCTCCGTTCACCACCAGACTCTGCTCAATCGACTCTTGACTCTCCACAGCGCCCTCCAATGTCTCCCCTATCGAATGCAGGATCTTCCATTTCCGCTATTAAGTCAGGCCTAATCTCTAGCGAGCCAAGCCCGATACCGAAACAACTCTCTAGTTCTCTTGTCTCGCCAGGTGGGACACAGCAGAATATATATTGTTGGTCCGATTTTTTACTGTACGTCGGACTAAGGCCAAAAGAGCTCATCCGTACCCAGAACATGTGTTATATTGGACCGATCTTAGATCAGAAGCAGATCCAGATTCCATTTGCAAAGGAGCTTCCATTATTCGAGCAAATTGGGGACTCTTCATTCTCTAGTCTTATTTTGCAATTGCTTCATATGAGCTCACCCATCTCAACCTTACTAGCAAGCAAGCTTCAAAAGCCCGTCGACTTTTATTTTGCAACAATGCGGTATTTCATCGATGGATTGGGATTTCTTGTCCGAACAATCCCCGGACTGACCCAAGGCATTGTAGCATACATCGTCAATCTGCTTCTGAAGCAGATTGCTCAATTTGTTACTACACGCAGAACAGACATAATAATCTTCAATTCCATTTGCCTTGATGCGCTAAATGCTGGATATCATCTTCTAGATGTTCTCGGTACACTGGGAGCAGGGTATTCGAGAATCAGCAAAGGAGCTTTTCAATTTATCTCTAGCCTAGAGGCATCTGTATTGAAGTCCTATCTATTCACTGCGCAATCTGTTGCTAGATCTATCGGGACATGTTCAGTCGTCAATCCGTCGACAATTCTTCGTGAGGGTACGCTTCCAGTATGCTCTGTAGATTCTCCCGAGCAGACCCCCCAGATGATGAGTCTTTCTCCTACTCTAAAAATGGCTAAAGGACAGTCTTTCTCAGCAGATGTAGCCTCAGACATTAAAGGCAATGCATTTATTCCCTTAGCAACAACTGTACGCAATGATGCAGCCTACTTAGCATATGATTATGGAATTCTTAGGCATGTCTATTCCATTTATACTGGAGCTATAATAAAGCAATGGGATCAACGTGCCTCTAATAACCATATATCTGAACAGTCCATTTCGCTGTGCATACTCGCGATTCTATCTCTTTTGGAACATGCTACGCTCTTTGTGTCCAGAATGAAAAGCTCAACCGTGGAAGATCTGATAAGGGCCTTTTTGACTATAATCCAGGGATATATGGGTGGGGCTATCTTTAGCCTCCATCTACTGAACGAATACCAGTCGAAGACCTCCAGTTTTGAGCTGGGCAAGACTCGGATAGGTGTACTTTCCGATGCACAGCAGCCTAATCAGTCTAACAATTCGCTTCACTCGTTGAACTTTGAGGCACTTGATAAGTCTTTTTATAGAAAGCTATTTGCCCAGCATACGGCTCAAAGTATAGAAGCTTCTCTTCAGCAGCTCATTACTGATAGTTTTATTGTCCAAAGAAATCTTCTCCCTCTTCTAGCATCGAAGTTTGATATCAATATAGAGCTTTCCGCCAGCGCGTCTCTTCTAGGCCAGTTATTCCTAGGGGTTTCGCTTCTTGACGAGCTACAATATTCCATTGAAACCGCTAGCTCATACTATTCTGCAGACGCTATCATGGAGATTCGCTCAGAGCTAGACACGTCGCAGCTTGTAGATTTCTCTTTGCACAAGACACGCCAGTCCTATGCTTTTGCTAGAAATTGTTTTTCAGCAGAAAACAAGCCTGCAGACTATGCAAATCTATATTCGTTTGATGAATCTGGTGCATTTTTCAGAGCTTGTCAGTCGACCTTTTTGGTTCTTAACACAGCCACAGAGTGTTACCTAGAGTTTCTACTGTATAGTGTTTTCAGTGAAATTGATGAGTTGGTGCTTGATATACGGAAGCCTAAAAGTATTGCTCTCTCTGGCGTGACATACTCTTCTCTAAATCAAAGAGTGGCGGCTGCTCTTCACAAAGAAGCAACTGAAACGATAGTTAATCCGGGGTCTATTGAATTCACTCCTCTTATAAATCAAATCTTCTCAGTTGGATGCTTACATAATGTTCTGGTGGCCGTTTCTAGAATCAAGAATAAGTTGGTACAGAACAAACTCATCGACTGCTCCTCTATGTGGTTGGGCGTCCGAGAGCGCATGGTTTCATACTTGAAGTATTGTACGTGTGATGTTCTGCCACTCTTGAAGGAAACAAATTATATTAGCTTCGTGTTAATCTTCAACTTTTTGTTCAAGGTCTTCTCCAACAGGGAGATGCTAGAGTCATGTAATGAAGTTTCTGAGATTCAAAGCACTCTTGAGCTTGTTAGTCAAACCTTACAATTGAAATTCAAACGGCTTCTGGAAGCTTAAGCGGCAGCAGACTTTGTGGTTAGTAAATTAGCACTACTAGGAGGTGACTTTATAAGGTATTCACTGACTGCTGATTCGGCGGTTTTGGTTGGTCTTATTTGTCTTTGCCACCAGGCGTGCTTTGTTTCTACGGATCCCCCTTTGCATCAAGAGTTGCATGGGAGAAGCCTGGGGTAACACCTGCGCTGCTACAGCCACAGTTACTCACAAGGTCAGAGATATCCTGGCCTGCATCCTTCAGATATTGGCTTTCGGCAACGAACCAGTCGTACGAGCCTGACTCTACCACGCGCGCTCCACTGCCATCTGGATTATCTAGGACATAAATCAGGTCGACATACCGGAGAGTGGAGAGTCTGTGACTGATAATGACGACGCTCTGGTTGGGGTCCAGTGAGCGGAATAGCTGTTGGAGGACCCGCTTCTCTGTCTCTTCGTCGAGTGCCGACGTCGCCTCGTCGAGCACAAGAACGCTGCCTCCACGTGCGACAGCTCTGGCAATTCCTACCCGTTGGCGTTGTCCCCCAGAAAGGCCCTGCAGGGTTCCACTGTACGGTGCGTCTCCCAGGAGCTCTTCAGCAGTAGCAACACGGGAAGCCTCGTAGCATAGCCGAATGACTTCTCGGATGTAGCGCCTCTGCTCCTTTTCTGCGTGGGAGCCCAGGAGCTTGCGGGGCTGTCCATAGGCGATGTTGTCCGTGGCAGAGCCCCTGATGAGTATGTTATCCTGCGGGACGACTGTTATAAGCCGCCGCAGCTCCTCGCGTGGAATGGACCCTATAGCCCTGCCATTGAGATAGATTCCGGGCGACGAAGTGTCCTGAGGCTGGGGTGTGGTGTATAGCCGCGTCAAGAGGTTGATGATCGTGGACTTGCCGATCCCAGACCTCCCACGATAGCAACCTTCTGACCGGGATGAACAAACAGGGTCAAGCCATGTAGAATATCGCAGCCCGTCTTGTAGGAAAAGCAGACGTCTCGGAATTCTATAGAGGTGGGAGTGCATGGCTGAATGCGCCGAGTTAAAGGGAAAGGCTCTTGCAGGGCAACATATCGTGGGCTGTGCTTCCAAGCGGTTTCCTAGAACATTCGATACTTCCCTAGTCGTTGGCAATGCGGATTCTAGGCTTAGAAGAGTGCTGGACAAAGTCCCAATAAAGTTTTGTCATGTTCTTTCCTTTGCGAAGCACTCTTCATAGATGGTTGCAAAGACTAAGCTAAAACATCCTTGATCTTCTAATGTGACGGATTGCACTATGGGAATGGGTAACACTGAAGTGTGGACCGAGGCCTGCGCTCCTACTCTACAGTGCAGCGGGCGGACGAGGCAGAGCCTGAATGGTATCGGAATTCCGGGACAAGGGCTGAGCCGCGACTGAGAGAGCAGCCTGCAGAGGGTGGAGCATAGCTCTCTGCTAACTCGAGGCGGCACAACCTGGCAATAGGACGGCTAATCCAGCCGTATTGACGTCTGATAGACGCACCGAATACGCACTTCATGACCTCCGAATATCGTATGATGTGTGCTGGACAAGGGCCTACCGGTGCACCCTCATGACAGGACTGCTTGACTCTCCTTGGTCACCCTCTCTGTCCCGGTGTACACAGCTCTTTCAGGTGGCTGTCCCGGGTGCGGGGTGCGCGCCTGGCTACAGCGGGGGCACGGGGGAGCAGGAGGCCACAGGAGAGACCGGAGTGCTCGAGGGATCCTCGGTGGCTGCCCCCGTGTCCCCTGCAGGGCTCCGTCCACGCGCCCCTCCGCGCCCTCTCTGCGCCCCTCCCCCGTGTGCCCCCTGCCTCCACCCTCTGGCAGGGTGACACAGCCACCCTGCACCGCCTCTGGGGCCTCCTGGCTGCTCTGCTGCCCTCTCCGCAGCGGTCTCCCCCGACGGCCTCCCAGCGGTGCTGTGCGGCACACACGGGCGTCCCTCTGCACGAGGAAGACCCGGCCGTGGGCGTGCACGTGTCCTCCGGCGGCCCCTCGGACCTTCCTGCACGACCTCACTCTTCTCTTTCCGCGCTCCCTGTCTGTCTGCCACACACACCAGCAAAGCAGTTTCTCGGCGCGCCCCGCCCTGCGCTCTGCAGGTGCGTCCCACAGGCCCGGGCTGGAGTCAAGCTCAAAAGGGTCTTCTTGCCCCGCTGGCCGGCCCTCGCCCGTTCCCGAGGCTGGAGGCTCGCGGAGGCGCGGCTCGGGACAGTGGGATCCTCGTTGGTCCATTCATGCACGTCGGAAATTGCCCGACGAGGCATTTGGCTACCTTAAGAGAGTCATAGTTACTCCCGCCGTTTACCAGGGCTTCGGCGGATCGCTTCACAGTGACGGTCGTGGCACTGGGCAGAAATCACGTCGCGCCAGCGCCGGGTGCGGCCCTCGCGACGCTGTGTTTCTAGTAAACAGTCGGGATCCCCGCGTCCGTTCCAGTTCTGACCCGGCGCGCCGTCAGAGCCACTCCTTTTCCCGAGGTTACGGAGCCGGCTTGCCGACTTCCCTGAGCCGCGTTCGCTCTCGCGCTAGAGGCTGCTGGCCCCGGAGTCCTGCTGCGTGGTGGGGCTGTGAGATGTAAAGTCTGATGTAGAGACGATCGCTGTTTACTCTGGCTACTTCGAGAGGATCGCTAGTATCTCTTCATTTCCCTCGGCTGTGTTCAAGAGCTTCCTCCTGTCTATGTTCTTCTCCTTCTCTAGGAGTAGCTTAACACACTCTAGGTGGCCATACCTTACTGCGAACATGAGGGCTGTCGAACCACCATTGTTCTGCATCCCACCCTCCTTCTCTAGCAATATTCTAGTGCAGTCTGTATGACCATACTGTGTTGCACTCATGAGGGCTGTCTGGCCGTCACTCCTTTGCATACCCCCTTCCTTTTCCAGGAGTACTTCCACTATCCTTGTATAGCCATTCTGTGCTGCACTCATGAGAGCTGTCCATCCATACTTATTCTGTACCCCGCCCTCCTTCTTTACTAGTAGTCTAACACAGTCTGTGTGACCATTCTCCGCTGCCCTTATGAGGGCTGTCGAACCATAACTTGTCTGCATCCCGCCCTCCTTCTCCACGAGCAGTTCCACTATCCTTGTGTGACCACGTGCTGCTGCTATCATCAGCGCCGTTCCACCGTATATAATCAGCTTGCCTATCCTGACATCCCCCGTCGCTTTCTGTCCCCCCTGGAGAGGAAGGAGGGCCTTCACAGCCATCAGATCGTTTCTGTCAACAGCTCGCATGAGCGCTGTGACGCCATTCTCATCTGTGGGATCGAGGAGCTCGACGATTTCCCTGTATCCTTTCCTTGCAGCAATCACCAGCGCAGTCTCGCCGTCGCTGTTCTTCACGTCTCTCTCATGGAAGTGCCTCCTCACCATGGTAACGTCTCCAGTGAAGGCCGCGCACATGAGCGGGGTCCACGAGGGGGCCTCATGCTCGCGAAGAAGCAGAGCTATGTCTGCGTGCTGATTCTTGAGGGCGTGCATGAACGCTGTGTCCCCATTGCTATCCTTTATTCCTTTCTGAACTGGTATAAGCAGCCTTACCATCCCAGTGTCCCCTCTGGCTGCGGCTCTCATGAGTGCCGTGACGCCCTTCTCATCTGTGGGGTCCTCGTAGGGAATGATCATCTCGGCAACCCCTAAGTGGCCATTCTCGAGAGCATGGTATAGGGCGTTGTGATGTTGCTTATCTTTCAGCCCCTTCTCATGATCAAGAAGGAGCTTTACCACTTCAAGGCTCCCTTGCTGTGTGGCCATCATCAGGGCGGTGCGGCCGTTGTTGTCTCTCCTCCAGTACTCGTAAGGAGCGAGGATCCTAGCCGCCCCAGGGTGGCCGTTGTGTGCGGCGTGCATGAGCGCAGTCCAGCCGTTCCTATCCTGGAGGCCATTCCCCCTCTCAACAAGCAGCCTGACAGGGCCAACGTGCCCTTGCTGGGCCGCGTGCATAAGGGCCGTCATCCCCTGCTCGTCGCGCTGGCCGATGCCAATCCCTTCGCTGACCAGCATCCGGACAGTCTCCATGTCATTCGTGTGTGCAGCACGGATCAGTTGAGGCAGCGCAGAGAGGTTGATCTGGGAGCTACTCGTGTTCATCCCACCACTAAATTCTGTGAATCTATTCTCTAGTGCCTTAATCATGGCCAGATGCTCCTTGCACTGATCTTCAAGTGCGTCCTTGAGAGAGGCAGTCTCGGTTGACTGAGACACCATCTCAGTAGACCTGGCGTCGAGGGCTGCCTCAAGAGTAGCAATCCTAGCGTTAGCACTGTTCAGAGCGGCCTTCAGGGATCCGCATTCGTACTTCAGCATCGCGTACTGAGCCCCCAGCTCACCAACTGGGATGTCAGCCGCAGTGAGCGTCTCGTGCAGCTCCCTGGCTGTCAGTCTTTCCTCTGGCTCCAGCACGAATATCCTCTCCAGAACACTCTTTATGAAGCCATCGGTGACACTGCTCAGGTCCGGCCTCCACCTGTCGACGAAGACGTCTTTTGGGTCTTTACCTTTCAGGAAGTCCGGTCTCCTCAGAGTGGCCATCTCGTAGAGGATGACCCCGAGGCTCCACACATCGGAGGCGGGGCTGGGCTCGTTGTGGAGGAGCATCTCGGGGGCCATGTATACTGCCATGCCTGCAATGGTGCTCTCACTCCACAATGTGTTTCTGCAGAGGCCGAAGTCGGCGATGACGAAGCGCTCCCCGTCTGCGCTGATGAGGACGTTGGCAGGCCTGAGGTCGCAGTGGACAAGCCCATTAGCACCTACCCCGCTGAGACCATGAAGATAGGCGAGGGCGGCGGCGAGCTGTTTCATGACGGAGAGGATCACGCCGGCAGACACGGGGATCTTCCTTCGTTTGTGCTCGGTGAGGAGGCGCTCGAGGGTCCTGTCGTGCCGGTCCGTGACGACGTAGATGAGGCCCTCGTCCTCGACTACTTGGTGGTGCTTGAGGACCCCCGGGTGGGAGAGGGTAAGGATGACGGTCAATCTTGTCTTGATGGCGTCCAGATCCCCCTTGTCCAGGCCATCGAGGAGGATCTCCTGCACAGCGAGGTTTGGATAGCCCTCGAGGGAGTAGACTACAGCTGCGGCGTCTCTTCTTAACACACTGCCCAGCCGCTCGCGAAGGTCCTCAAAGGTGAACTGTGGGATGGCGAGGGCCGCCGCTGAGGGGCTGACTGTGTGGTCATCACCGTCGGTCATGATAGCTTTATTTCAAAAACAGGGTCAAGTATTGGGCTGAACGAGTGATTGGGCCACACTGGATTCGTCGACGCATTTACTACCTAAGTCACGCCTTCCCTCTACAGAGGAACCACCAGCAGAGGAAGCCCACGAGGCCCCCCACGACAGCGATGACAGCGACGGAGATGCCAGCTATGGCCCCCGTGGAGAGCCCGCTCCTATTACTGCTAGAAGACACACAGGAGGCCCCACTGCTGTCTAGACTGTATCCATCACTGCACTCCCCACACACATCATCCACCACACAGTGCTTGCAATCACCCACATAGCACTATCACCCCATCACTGTGCAGCATTCACTACCTAAGTGTACAGTTAAATCTACGCCTTGCCCCGGCAGAGGAACCACCAACACAAGAATCCCACGAGGCCCCCAACGACAATGACAGCGGCCACAGCAATGCCTGCAATAGCGCCGGTAGAAAGGCCGCTACTCTTGTTTGTGTTAGAAGGGACACACGTCTGCCCGTCCGGCGAGGGCTGGTGCGTGCTCTTGCACTCGCAGAACTCACCGCTCTCTGTGCTCACGTCAGGAGGGCACTGCGGGATGCAGCCCTTCTTGTCCGGCCTGACCTTCTCTCCGCCCGTCGCACAGCTTGTGCAGGTCTGCTCGCTCCCAGTCGTTGTGCACGTCGCACAGCCGGGTATCTCTGGATTGCAGGCCCCTGTCTTCGGGACACACGTCTGCCCGTCCGGCGAGGGCTGGTGCGTGCTCTTGCACTCGCAGAACTCACCGCTCTCTGTGCTCACGTCAGGAGGGCACTGCGGGATGCAGCCCTTCTTGTCCGGCCTGACCTTCTCTCCGCCCGTCGCACAGCTTGTGCAGGTCTGCTCGCTCCCAGTCGTTGTGCACGTCGCACAGCCGGGTATCTCTGGATTGCAGGCCCCTGTCTTCGGGACACACGTCTGCCCGTCCGGCGAGGGCTGGTGCGTGCTCTTGCACTCGCAGAACTCACCGCTCTCTGTGCTCACGTCAGGAGGGCACTGCGGGATGCAGCCCTTCTTGTCCGGCCTGACCTTCTCTCCGCCCGTCGCACAGCTTGTGCAGGTCTGCTCGCTCCCAGTCGTTGTGCACGTCGCACAGCCGGGTATCTCTGGATTGCAGGCCCCTGTCTTCGGGACACACGTCTGCCCGTCCGGCGAGGGCTGGTGCGTGCTCTTGCACTCGCAGAACTCACCGCTCTCTGTGCTCACGTCAGGAGGGCACTGCGGGATGCAGCCCTTCTTGTCCGGCCTGACCTTCTCTCCGCCCGTCGCACAGCTTGTGCAGGTCTGCTCGCTCCCAGTCGTTGTGCACGTCGCACAGCCGGGTATCTCTGGATTGCAGGCCCCTGTCTTCGGGACACACGTCTGCCCGTCCGGCGAGGGCTGGTGCGTGCTCTTGCACTCGCAGAACTCACCGCTCTCTGTGCTCACGTCAGGAGGGCACTGCGGGATGCAGCCCTTCTTGTCCGGCCTGACCTTCTCTCCGCCCGTCGCACAGCTTGTGCAGGTCTGCTCGCTCCCAGTCGTTGTGCACGTCGCACAGCCGGGTATCTCTGGATTGCAGGCCCCTGTCTTCGGGACACACGTCTGCCCGTCCGGCGAGGGCTGGTGCGTGCTCTTGCACTCGCAGAACTCACCGCTCTCTGTGCTCACGTCAGGAGGGCACTGCGGGATGCAGCCCTTCTTGTCCGGCCTGACCTTCTCTCCGCCCGTCGCACAGCTTGTGCAGGTCTGCTCGCTCCCAGTCGTTGTGCACGTCGCACAGCCGGGTATCTCTGGATTGCAGGCCCCTGTCTTCGGGACACACGTCTGCCCGTCCGGCGAGGGCTGGTGCGTGCTCTTGCACTCGCAGAACTCACCGCTCTCTGTGCTCACGTCAGGAGGGCACTGCGGGATGCAGCCCTTCTTGTCCGGCCTGACCTTCTCTCCGCCCGTCGCACAGCTTGTGCAGGTCTGCTCGCTCCCAGTCGTTGTGCACGTCGCACAGCCGGGTATCTCTGGATTGCAGGCCCCTGTCTTCGGGACACACGTCTGCCCGTCCGGCGAGGGCTGGTGCGTGCTCTTGCACTCGCAGAACTCACCGCTCTCTGTGCTCACGTCAGGAGGGCACTGCGGGATGCAGCCCTTCTTGTCCGGCCTGACCTTCTCTCCGCCCGTCGCACAGCTTGTGCAGGTCTGCTCGCTCCCAGTCGTTGTGCACGTCGCACAGCCGGGTATCTCTGGATTGCAGGCCCCTGTCTTCGGGACACACGTCTGCCCGTCCGGCGAGGGCTGGTGCGTGCTCTTGCACTCGCAGAACTCACCGCTCTCTGTGCTCACGTCAGGAGGGCACTGCGGGATGCAGCCCTTCTTGTCCGGCCTGACCTTCTCTCCGCCCGTCGCACAGCTTGTGCAGGTCTGCTCGCTCCCAGTCGTTGTGCACGTCGCACAGCCGGGTATCTCTGGATTGCAGGCCCCTGTCTTCGGGACACACGTCTGCCCGTCCGGCGAGGGCTGGTGCGTGCTCTTGCACTCGCAGAACTCACCGCTCTCTGTGCTCACGTCAGGAGGGCACTGCGGGATGCAGCCCTTCTTGTCCGGCCTGACCTTCTCTCCGCCCGTCGCACAGCTTGTGCAGGTCTGCTCGCTCCCAGTCGTTGTGCACGTCGCACAGCCGGGTATCTCTGGATTGCAGGCCCCTGTCTTCGGGACACACGTCTGCCCGTCCGGCGAGGGCTGGTGCGTGCTCTTGCACTCGCAGAACTCACCGCTCTCTGTGCTCACGTCAGGAGGGCACTGCGGGATGCAGCCCTTCTTGTCCGGCCTGACCTTCTCTCCGCCCGTCGCACAGCTTGTGCAGGTCTGCTCGCTCCCAGTCGTTGTGCACGTCGCACAGCCGGGTATCTCTGGATTGCAGGCCCCTGTCTTCGGGACACACGTCTGCCCGTCCGGCGAGGGCTGGTGCGTGCTCTTGCACTCGCAGAACTCACCGCTCTCTGTGCTCACGTCAGGAGGGCACTGCGGGATGCAGCCCTTCTTGTCCGGCCTGACCTTCTCTCCGCCCGTCGCACAGCTTGTGCAGGTCTGCTCGCTCCCAGTCGTTGTGCACGTCGCACAGCCGGGTATCTCTGGATTGCAGGCCCCTGTCTTCGGGACACACGTCTGCCCGTCCGGCGAGGGCTGGTGCGTGCTCTTGCACTCGCAGAACTCACCGCTCTCTGTGCTCACGTCAGGAGGGCACTGCGGGATGCAGCCCTTCTTGTCCGGCCTGACCTTCTCTCCGCCCGTCGCACAGCTTGTGCAGGTCTGCTCGCTCCCAGTCGTTGTGCACGTCGCACAGCCGGGTATCTCTGGATTGCAGGCCCCTGTCTTCGGGACACACGTCTGCCCGTCCGGCGAGGGCTGGTGCGTGCTCTTGCACTCGCAGAACTCACCGCTCTCTGTGCTCACGTCAGGAGGGCACTGCGGGATGCAGCCCTTCTTGTCCGGCCTGACCTTCTCTCCGCCCGTCGCACAGCTTGTGCAGGTCTGCTCGCTCCCAGTCGTTGTGCACGTCGCACAGCCGGGTATCTCTGGATTGCAGGCCCCTGTCTTCGGGACACACGTCTGCCCGTCCGGCGAGGGCTGGTGCGTGCTCTTGCACTCGCAGAACTCACCGCTCTCTGTGCTCACGTCAGGAGGGCACTGCGGGATGCAGCCCTTCTTGTCCGGCCTGACCTTCTCTCCGCCCGTCGCACAGCTTGTGCAGGTCTGCTCGCTCCCAGTCGTTGTGCACGTCGCACAGCCGGGTATCTCTGGATTGCAGGCCCCTGTCTTCGGGACACACGTCTGCCCGTCCGGCGAGGGCTGGTGCGTGCTCTTGCACTCGCAGAACTCACCGCTCTCTGTGCTCACGTCAGGAGGGCACTGCGGGATGCAGCCCTTCTTGTCCGGCCTGACCTTCTCTCCGCCCGTCGCACAGCTTGTGCAGGTCTGCTCGCTCCCAGTCGTTGTGCACGTCGCACAGCCGGGTATCTCTGGATTGCAGGCCCCTGTCTTCGGGACACACGTCTGCCCGTCCGGCGAGGGCTGGTGCGTGCTCTTGCACTCGCAGAACTCACCGCTCTCTGTGCTCACGTCAGGAGGGCACTGCGGGATGCAGCCCTTCTTGTCCGGCCTGACCTTCTCTCCGCCCGTCGCACAGCTTGTGCAGGTCTGCTCGCTCCCAGTCGTTGTGCACGTCGCACAGCCGGGTATCTCTGGATTGCAGGCCCCTGTCTTCGGGACACACGTCTGCCCGTCCGGCGAGGGCTGGTGCGTGCTCTTGCACTCGCAGAACTCACCGCTCTCTGTGCTCACGTCAGGAGGGCACTGCGGGATGCAGCCCTTCTTGTCCGGCCTGACCTTCTCTCCGCCCGTCGCACAGCTTGTGCAGGTCTGCTCGCTCCCAGTCGTTGTGCACGTCGCACAGCCGGGTATCTCTGGATTGCAGGCCCCTGTCTTCGGGACACACGTCTGCCCGTCCGGCGAGGGCTGGTGCGTGCTCTTGCACTCGCAGAACTCACCGCTCTCTGTGCTCACGTCAGGAGGGCACTGCGGGATGCAGCCCTTCTTGTCCGGCCTGACCTTCTCTCCGCCCGTCGCACAGCTTGTGCAGGTCTGCTCGCTCCCAGTCGTTGTGCACGTCGCACAGCCGGGTATCTCTGGATTGCAGGCCCCTGTCTTCGGGACACACGTCTGCCCGTCCGGCGAGGGCTGGTGCGTGCTCTTGCACTCGCAGAACTCACCGCTCTCTGTGCTCACGTCAGGAGGGCACTGCGGGATGCAGCCCTTCTTGTCCGGCCTGACCTTCTCTCCGCCCGTCGCACAGCTTGTGCAGGTCTGCTCGCTCCCAGTCGTTGTGCACGTCGCACAGCCGGGTATCTCTGGATTGCAGGCCCCTGTCTTCGGGACACACGTCTGCCCGTCCGGCGAGGGCTGGTGCGTGCTCTTGCACTCGCAGAACTCACCGCTCTCTGTGCTCACGTCAGGAGGGCACTGCGGGATGCAGCCCTTCTTGTCCGGCCTGACCTTCTCTCCGCCCGTCGCACAGCTTGTGCAGGTCTGCTCGCTCCCAGTCGTTGTGCACGTCGCACAGCCGGGTATCTCTGGATTGCAGGCCCCTGTCTTCGGGACACACGTCTGCCCGTCCGGCGAGGGCTGGTGCGTGCTCTTGCACTCGCAGAACTCACCGCTCTCTGTGCTCACGTCAGGAGGGCACTGCGGGATGCAGCCCTTCTTGTCCGGCCTGACCTTCTCTCCGCCCGTCGCACAGCTTGTGCAGGTCTGCTCGCTCCCAGTCGTTGTGCACGTCGCACAGCCGGGTATCTCTGGATTGCAGGCCCCTGTCTTCGGGACACACGTCTGCCCGTCCGGCGAGGGCTGGTGCGTGCTCTTGCACTCGCAGAACTCACCGCTCTCTGTGCTCACGTCAGGAGGGCACTGCGGGATGCAGCCCTTCTTGTCCGGCCTGACCTTCTCTCCGCCCGTCGCACAGCTTGTGCAGGTCTGCTCGCTCCCAGTCGTTGTGCACGTCGCACAGCCGGGTATCTCTGGATTGCAGGCCCCTGTCTTCGGGACACACGTCTGCCCGTCCGGCGAGGGCTGGTGCGTGCTCTTGCACTCGCAGAACTCACCGCTCTCTGTGCTCACGTCAGGAGGGCACTGCGGGATGCAGCCCTTCTTGTCCGGCCTGACCTTCTCTCCGCCCGTCGCACAGCTTGTGCAGGTCTGCTCGCTCCCAGTCGTTGTGCACGTCGCACAGCCGGGTATCTCTGGATTGCAGGCCCCTGTCTTCGGGACACACGTCTGCCCGTCCGGCGAGGGCTGGTGCGTGCTCTTGCACTCGCAGAACTCACCGCTCTCTGTGCTCACGTCAGGAGGGCACTGCGGGATGCAGCCCTTCTTGTCCGGCCTGACCTTCTCTCCGCCCGTCGCACAGCTTGTGCAGGTCTGCTCGCTCCCAGTCGTTGTGCACGTCGCACAGCCGGGTATCTCTGGATTGCAGGCCCCTGTCTTCGGGACACACGTCTGCCCGTCCGGCGAGGGCTGGTGCGTGCTCTTGCACTCGCAGAACTCACCGCTCTCTGTGCTCACGTCAGGAGGGCACTGCGGGATGCAGCCCTTCTTGTCCGGCCTGACCTTCTCTCCGCCCGTCGCACAGCTTGTGCAGGTCTGCTCGCTCCCAGTCGTTGTGCACGTCGCACAGCCGGGTATCTCTGGATTGCAGGCCGTTTTCGGGACGATTCCTGCTAGAACCGTTGTGCACGCTAAAAGAATTACTGCTAACATTAAGTTTAAGCTTACACTCGATTATCATTCTCTTCAATTAAGCTTGTAATCAATCCAGAAGTTGTAGACAAACCACTGTTACCTTTTGATAAATCAATTAGATGGAAAAGAATAAAATCAGGAGCACGCCAACCGGAGGCCAGCTGATAGCGCAGTTCCCCCTGGCTTCAGTAGGAACAGGACCAGTGAGGGCCAGGCTCAGATCGCACCTCTCCTGTGGAATGATTGGTCGGGGTGCACTCTTGTACATTGCTGTGGAGTATTCGTTGGCTTCCTCTGCAGAGGCAAGGTGTAGATTTAGATAGCAAACGCGTCCCTTGTACAACCTGCTCTCCCAGCCAGGCACCGACTCCGAGATCTCTGTGCATGCGGAACCAGGAAATCCTAAGTGAGCAGCGATGCTCCTCCTGCTCCAGTAGCACAGCTGCTAGCATCTCCTCTCCAGGGGCTTTTGCTCCCTGGCCACAGCCTTCTGTGCTCTCTTGCGGTCCCTGGAGGAGATACCGGGTCCGTGGAAGCGTGGACCAACGGAGGCAAGCCCATGAGACTCTCTAGCCTGGTGTGTGCATAGCTCTGATCTCGTGTACTAAATACTACTAAAGTTCCCACCGCATAACAAGGTGCCAGGGGGTTCAGAAGGCAGCCAGCCCTCCCAGATCTGGACAAGAGGGAAGAACCACCCAAAGCGTGCTGCCTCCTGAGCCAGTGAACTAGGACTCCTATCATCCCAGATCATCATAGTGCTACCACTGTCCACTATGGAAGTACTTGGACCCACAGTGCCTGAGGTTGTTGGTGCAGGCGGCAAAGGGCTCTTCATAGTGGGCTACCATCAGTGGAAGGAACGGGAGCCTGGGTGTCTTGTCCTTCTGCCAGTGATTGGCACCCTTTGTTGTGGGCACTAGGGTGGCGGGATCTCCCACCTGCTGACAAGGAGCCAGGTGATGCTCGCTTGTCATCGTCAACCCGGGCTGCGGCTGGCCCTGGGCAGATAGACAGTGAGCACAGGGATCCCGTCCCCCACCGTAAAACACGCCACACAGAGAGGGTGTGGTAGTTCGATGCATCTCCCCACGCTGCACAACCAAAGAAAAACGGCCTTTTGGTGTGTAGCTCTGGGAGCCTGCAGAGCCCAACCGAGGGGACTACATCCTGGTGCTGACTTCTGATACGGTTCGGTAGAGGCCAGCTCGATGCTCGCAAGCTTGTGAGAAGCACCAGGGCCGGCACATGCACCTGGACAGCAACGCAGACACACATCTCGGATGCAACTCCGCTAAGGATCTTGCGAGGGGTCGGCCTGGGTCAGTGGTGGAAGGACTTTGCGCAAGCGCTCCATGCATCAGGGCCACTCGAGACCACAAAAGCTCGGTGGTGCCGGCACACGTGTGAACGCGAGACGGTGGGAAAGAGCCGCGTGGTGACTTATGGATGGAAAGGCTGGGCGCGCATAACAATACGCCCATGAGAGCTATGCACAGCGCAGTGGCCCGGCTGGCTCCTCTCGTAATACGGAGCATCGGCTGCGGGCATGTGCTCTTGAAGAGTGGGGGGCATCCAGATGAGTAGTGCAGACGTGAGTGCAACTGGCGGCGCTCAGAGTCTGCATTGAGTGGACAAGTAGGGGACAAGAGCTTATGGCACCACCTGGTCGATGGACGACTCAGGATGTGTGACGTACAGCAATCCTTCGACAGGAGGTGATGATTGCCCGACAGGTGCCCCAGGGTAGCTGTGTAGATTGGGTCCTGGTGGTGGTCTGCCACAGGAGGACGCAGGCAGTATCTGTTTGGATAGTAGATACGCTGACCGCCACCGGTTTGCACAGTACACCTCTACAATCGATCCCAGCCTGTATAAGGAAAGAAAGCGAATGTTCTCGGTTTCAGACAGAGCAGACCCCGATAAATACTATGCTGCTACAAACACATAAAATCAAAATGCAGCGTCCGTCTCATCTGCAGACCCCACAGCCCTTCCATGCTCAGAAGCCGGGGAGGCACTACAGGCGTCCTTTGTGCAACCCGGGCCGATGGCTGGACTCGCTAGTGCTAATCCTATCTCCCAGGCCCGCCGGCCACCCCTGCCTTCTCTCCGGGAACTGCCGCGTACGGATAGCCTCCTCGGCTGAGGCGTATCACCATGGACCAAACACTAAGGCGAGCGCGGCCGGAGACGGACACCTCGCAGTTGTCCAACGCTAGCGGCGAGTATGCAAATGAGTGTGCGGCCTTGACAAGTGCGCTGTGATCCAGGTTCCCGGCAGGTTAGGCCCATAGCAGCTGGTGCGCAGGTCGCTGGTCTATCTTGGAGGGCGGCGGGCGTCCCTGCTGCAACCAGCACTTGCCTTGCCAGTAGCGATGGCCCAGGTCGTGGTATCTGGTCCACGCTGGATGTCACGCAAGGATGCGCATATTGCTCGAGAGGACCAGCACGGCATCTGCCGGTCTACGGGCGCACGTGCCCTCCCATTGTGGCAAGCACAGGGAAGGAGTGGTCGCCAGTGGGGCAGCTAGACGTGCTGGCCGGCGCCGCCATGCACAGGTGAAGCAGCTGCCCCTCCATGAATACGCTACCCTGCCCACATAGCCGCGTCCCCTGTGCTGCTCGTGGCCATGGGTACCTGTGACACGGCAGATGCCGAAGGGCGTCGTAAGGGACCCCCATGCCCCTTATCGAGCGAGCTAGCGCGGCATAGCCGGCTCTGTGCGGGGGCGCTGCTCCGGGAGACGGCGTCCGCTATCACGGCTTCCATCTTCACGCCGAGCCTAGCGGCTGTCTGCCCGGCCGAAGGGATGCGGCCCCAGGCACGTGTTCCAATGCGCTGCGCATTAGTGACAGAGATACCCCGATGGCAACATGCCCCTCTGGCGCCCGGTCCTACCAAGCAAGCAGGCGCTGGGCAGAGTGCTTCTCCCATGCTCGCGACCCCGTGCCCTTACCATGGCCCTGTGGCGCTCCGTTCCTGGTGCTGCTGACAGAGCCCAGTTGGCCTGGCGATGCTGATGCAAAGCGCCTCCGCTGTCTTCCGGCGTCAGCCCTCCCTGGCTCCTGGCCTCCTTCGTGGAGGGGGGCCGGGAGTCTTGCTGTTTCCACTCTCCCCTATTTGCAGCTCTTATGAGAGCTGTGACACCGTTCTCATACGTGGAATCAGGATATTCTGTGACACTCCCACGCTTTGCAATTGCGGTAAGAGTAAGTACCACAATATTTTCCTCATATGATATCCTATGATTATTCACCTCATTCACAGCCGGGTTAGACGCCTTATTGAAAGGTAATGGTATTGCGGAGTAAAGGGAATAAAATAATTGCTATTTCATGCAAACGTACTACATCTTCGTTACCGGAGGAGTTATTTCCGGTATAGGAAAGGGTCTCTTTGCTGCCTCATTGGGGATGCTCATCAAGAGTTATGGATATGACGTTGTGATGCAAAAGTGCGATCCATACATAAACGTTGATCCCGGACTAATGTCCCCATATCAGCATGGTGAGGTCTTTGTTACCGACGATGGCGCAGAGACAGACTTGGACTTAGGCCACTACGAACGTTTTTTGGATACAAATCTCACCAGACTGTCTAGCGTCACTACCGGGTCTATCTATTCTACTGTGATCCAGAGGGAACGTGAGGGTGGCTACAATGGCATGACAGTGCAGGTAGTTCCTCAGATAGTTGACGAAATCAAAGCGCGGATGCGGTGCTTTGAACTGATATCTACCGTACCGGGAGAAAATTCAGAGCCTCAACGTAAGCATTCTGCTCCACTGGCCTCCACTCAAAAGCGGTTTGTGATAATAGAGATAGGGGGAACTGTCGGTGATATGGAATCAACGGCATTTCTTGAGGCTATGCGCCAGCTTATTGATGATGTGGGAAGATGCAATGCTTGTAGCTTCCATGTTAGCTACATCCCGGTACTGTCAAATGGAAAAGAACTTAAGACTAAGCCCACACAGCACTCAGTTCGGACTCTTCTGTCTGTTGGCATAAAACCAGACTTTCTTGTGTGCCGTACAGACACCCATTTGCCAAAGGAGACTATAGCTAAGTTAGCGCATTCCTGTGGTCTTTCGAAGGACCATGTTATTGAAAATTTTACCGTACAATCAATCTATCAGCTCCCATTACTTATTAAGCACGTTCCTGCACTTGTTTTTAATCTCTTTAACGTAATACCCATTAGGGCTACAGCAGAGAAAGAAGCTGAAGCAAGTCTTGATAAGTGGAGCGAGATAGTTGAAAGATTTATTCACCCGGCCACTTTATCAACAGGTGATGCTCTGGCATGCAAGGAATATGATAAGAAATCACATATCCGCATAGGCTTGGTAGGTAAGTACGTAGAGCTTCGTGACGCGTACATTTCGGTATATGAAGCGATACATCATGCAGCTGCTCACAGTAACTGCTATGTGGATATCCTTTCAATAGTGAGCGACACCTGTGAAGGAGCGGACAGAGCCTCCTCTTCTACGCCCGCACCAAAAGCACAATCCGCTGAGCCTGCTAAGTTTGAGGAGAAACTACACACCGAGACCAGTAATTTTGTTCCAGCGACGGTCACTTTGGAAAACGTAGATGCCATCATTATTCCTGGTGGATTTGGGAGCAGGGGAGTTAGCGGGAAGCTTGAAGCCATCAAATACTGTCGACAAAATAATAAGCCCATTCTTGGAATATGTCTTGGAATGCAATGCATGGCTATAGAATTTGCTAACAATGTGCTGAATCTCAAAGACGCCACCTCTACCGAATTTGATCCCGAAACCACCAATCCCGTCATAGCCACAATCATATCAGAAGATGTCAAGGCTGCAAACCCCTTGGCGGCAACACTTATTCGGGGGTCGGGAGGAAGCATGCGCTTAGGGGCATGCAATTGTACCTTGCTAAACGGAACTCTAGCGCAGAAGTGTTATCAGTGTAAGAACATTCGTGAACGGCACAGGCATAGGTATGAGTTTAATGGCAGGTACAAGACTCTATTCGAAGAAGCAGGGGTAGTGTTCAGCGGACTTTCTACGGAGAGCTCGTTAGTGGAGATCATGGAAATCCCTTCTTTGGACTTCTTTTTGGGGGTGCAATTTCATCCAGAGCTATTATCTAGGCCGCTAAAGCCTCATCCCTTGTTTGTAGGTCTTATTGGCGCTGCTTTAGCCAAAAAGAGGGGAATGTGATTAAGTAAATTGGTGACCCCTGTATTGAAATGGCCCTGAGCATAGTGTATGCAACGGTGGGTGGGACGGCCAGAAATCTAGCACACAAGATAGCAGCGCTTCTGGATTCACGAGGAATAGCCACCCAGTTGTATGACGTCAAGAATATCAGGACGCTCGAAGACTTGCCGACGGGCGACCTTCTCTACCTTACATCTACGCATGGACTCGGACAGCATCCGCAGAGTGCACACGCTTTAATGAAAAGCCTTAAGCAGCAGTCAAAACCCGGACCACGTCACTGGCTCAATAAACGCGAAGCAAATCCTCAACTTTTGGGGTCTAGTAGACGAATAGCTGTTTTAGGCATAGGATCTATCAAGTATCACCAATTCTGTGCAGCATCGCAAGATGCTGTAGCCGTGTTTAAGAGTCACAGCATTCCTACCCTTGTCGAACCCATCCACTTAGACACATCAGAGTTGGAGACAGGGTTACAGCTTTGGGTTAAAAAGTTTCTCACTGCAATTGGCACTACTGACTCCCATGTTCTGGATGTGCCGGTAAGGAAACTCGGCGAAGAAAATCTCGCCGATTTATCAGAAAACACTCTATTTGATCCCCGGATCACTGAATCTACGTTATTGTCTGCCACCATGCTCAGCAGCTTTGGATGGATTTATCATTTGCACGTTCCTAGCACTCTTTCGCCTATGCTTGTTCCAGGAGCACACATTGCAGTATACCCACGTATAGAGGAATCCATGATAAATCGTCTGCTCGATTTGGGAGTACTTACATTGCATGACACATCGATAGACTCTACTGCCTTTATACAGATCGATTCCCCTCATGATCCAGACCTTCCCGCTGATCCTATCTCGATTGTTGACTTGCTGAGTCGCGTATGTAACGTGAATGCAAAGCCATCGTACAACCTCATTTCGTTTTTAGCCCCATATGCTACTACTTCAGAGGACAAGTTCAAATTAAAGTATCTCACGGAAGACGCAGTTCTATTTGACATTCTGTCTTACCAATGGCCTACCATCTATGATTTTCTGTTGGATTTTAGCAGTCTACGGATACCTCTGGGCAAGTTTTTGCGTGTGTGTCCTCGTATCGACCCTAGACTTTACAGTGTTGCATCCTTACCTCATCCGGATGAAGATTCTAACACTGTATGCACTGTGGACCTTTTAGTAGGCAATCCAAAGCCAAGAAATGGACATTCTATCCAGAATAGTTTGGGCCCCTCGTATCTTCAACGAGCTCTTATCTCTAACGAGCCCATCCGTATTGCAATACTACAGAACCAATTTCTCAGCGATTCTGGGCTTACTATGTTACTTGGTGGAAAGACGGCACTCATTGGAGTTGCATTTGGCTCGGGTTTTGCTCCATTCCGTGCATATCATGAACTCCGTTCAGCCATAGCTAGTATGGATGGTGTGGAGACTTTAGCTCCTTACTTACTCTTATTAAGCATACCGCATGCAGAGCCGCAGCTTTTAGAGGAGCTCCGTCGAGATGTGGAGAATGGGGTCATAAACGTAGTTCTTTGCCTCACTAGAGATGATGGGACAGATAATCAAGGCAAGGGCTTAGACATAGATAGCTTCACATCAGCACACGGAACATTTTTGCACATTTACAAAGGGAAGCGTATGGGGGACGTTATCCATTCGTCATCCATTCCTGATAGATTGTTGAGAGATCTGAATAGACCGGACTTGAGTGTATATTATTGCGGGCCTGCAAATGATGCGGTTGATACATCTAATAAAGTGATTGAAAACATGGTGGGAGCAGAGAAATACCGTACAATGCGCTCTGAGAATAGAGTTCACGTTGAGGCATATTAGTACTAGAATAAGAAAGTAGGTGATCATATCCCAGTCATATCCAGAAGAAGACGGGCTATCTCAGTGTGGCCTGCTTCCTGTGCATATTGGGATGCACTTTTCCCATGATAGTCCACGATTCCTCCTTCGACAGAAGCCAGAATCCGGGTACATTCTAAGTGTCCATTAAACGCAGCACTCATCAAAGCTGTCCACCCATCATTTGCTTGGGCGCCAGCTTCGTGATCGATAAGTTGAGTCACCAAATGGATATTCCCGCGTTGGGCCGCCAGCATAAGGGCTGTCCAGCCTTCATTGTCGACAATACCAAACTCGAGGGGTATCAGTAATTCAGCGACCTTCTGGTGATCATATTGAATTGCGATCATTAAAGCCGTATGCCCCGTCTTGTTTCGGCGAGCAGCCTCAGTGTCCATTAGGGCCTCCACAACAGCCACGTGGCCAAGGTATGCTGCCCCCATCATTGCAGTCATGCAGTCATCGCTCTCATACATTCGAGTTAGGGAGGCGGTCATGAGTGCGTTTTGGTAAGGCTGGGGGACGTCCCGTAGAAGCCTCTCAAGATTGGCAGCCCTCCCCATACCAATAATGGAGCCAGGGGAGTTGCCTGGACCCCCACTATCAAATAAGCCCGTTCTAGTGACAAGAGAGCTTGACAGTCTAGATGCCTCGCTAAGAGACTGGTTTGCACTGCGAGCGTCTGTTGTATCGGCCTCCACTAGAAGAGAGTTCATATTTAGAAGCGCTAGATCCTTAGCAGCTGCCTCTTCCTTGTACAGCTTAAGTAGCTTTCTTAATTCTGCAAAATCTGACTGCACGTCCACCACGATGTTCGACGTATCCATACTAAGCAGATTGGAGTCGTCCTTTTCGCCTACCGGCGCATGCTCCTGCAGTAAATTTGGTTGAGCCTCGGAAATATAATCCGCAAGAAGCTTAGCCAGCTCCTCATAATGCTTCTCGGCTGCTATGATCAAGGCCATCCTAGAATCATAGCAGTATCGCCCATGAACGCCATCTAGGAGCTCTATAACACAATCAATCCGATTATTTTCCGCGGCTATTGTCAATGCTGTTCGTCCTCGCTTGTCAAAACTGAATCTATTATAACGTACCAACACCTGTACTGATTCCAGCGAGCCCGCCTCTGCTGCTAACATAAGGGCAGTCCTGCCATCTGGAAGTGTGTCGCGAGCCTCAAAGGGAGCCAATATCTTACATATCTCGTAGTGGTTTCCGGCCGCCGCAAGCATAATAGATGTGTAGCCCTCGCTGTTGACCATTGCATGCTCGGCTGGGGCCAGTATGTGGACAAGCTCCAAGTCGCCGTGGCGCGCCGCCCACATAAGCGCAGTCTCTCCCTTGCTGTCTCGAGACTGCTTATACTGGAATAGGTTGGTGGAAACAAGGCGGTACTCCCTGTTCGATACGGCCCTAAACCAATCCTCGACGCTGGCCAGCTGCATGCCCTCTCTTTATAATTTATAAAAAGCATTTACCTTCTTCTTTCATACCCGGACATGTAATCAAAGAGTGCGTCGTGACCATTTAGCTTAGCATAGGTGCGTGCGTCATTTCCCGACTTATCTTTTATAGGGACCTCATTGACTAACAGATCGACCACTTTGCGGTGGTTGTTGCTTGCGGCGCTCATAACGGCGCACCAGCCAGAGATAGTCTTCATTCCTTCCTCAGAACCTAGACATCGGACAACACCTAAGTGCCCATTCTGTGCAGCACACATCAAGGCCGTCCAGCCGTCACCCATTGTCATTCCAGCCTCTTCAGGAACCAATAGCTCAGCAGAAGCCAGATGTCCATGGTACGCAGCACTCATGAGGGCGGTGTATCCGTCTTTACGTTGCATCCCACCTTCGTGGGGCACCAATAGTGCGACAATGTTGGAGTGCCCGTTGGACGCGGCCCTCATAAGTGCAGAGCCACCCTGGTTATCATTCATACCCGCCTCCTTTGAAATGAGGAGCTTTACCACGTCTCCATGTCCCTCTTCGGCAGCTATCATAAGGGCAGTATACCCATCGTGGTCCTGATAGCAGGCCTCGTGAGGCAAAAGCTCGTTGACCAAGCGGATGTTTCCCATTTCTGCTGCAAGCATGAGCGATGTCCAACCGTTGTCAGTAGTCAAGCCAACCTCGTAAGGAATCAGGATTTGTGCACATTCTAGCTGGTCCATTATACTGGCATACATCAGGGCACTATAGCCATCTTTATTTTGCCTTCCCGATTCCGATTTGATAAGTTCCTTAACGCGAGAAACGTTTCCGAGGCGTGCCGCTTCCATAAGGGCAGTGTGGTCATTATTGTCCAGTTTCATCGTTGAAGAGTGATTCTTAGTAGCGTTTAGATCTATACCGGAGACAACGGAGGCTTTTCCGAGATTATCCTCCCCGAAACACAGTGGGCGCCTTTGGCGGGCGATTGAAAATGCGCGCTTCGATGCAGTGATGCTCGTCACTCCACGAGTAGTGCTAGCAAGCTTGCTCTGAGTAAAAGAAGAAGTAATGCCCGACTGTTTCCCTACCGTCGACTCCCTAGCACCCCTCATCCGTCTGGTGTCAGTTATCCCAGGGCCAGTAGGAGTGTTAGCAGCCGAGTTTAGTTCAGACGAAGGTGTGCTAATGAGCTTGCCTGACTTTGTTACATATGGCTTGCCAGTATTGCCGATAGACCGGAAACTGGCTTTGAGCGTGTTAATCTCAGTTTCTATTGGGTTGATACGCATTATGGAATCTAGGCCATCGTTGCCACCGTTGGGCGCAGGATAAAGAGAAGAACTGTCATTGTTATTTTGGGACGTGCCACGCACGGGAGACACAATATCTGCTTTGTATCTAAAACTATTTGTAAGAGGGCTCGTTGTGTTCATGCTACCCTTATCTGGGCTAGTACTAGAAAGACGTCGCTCCTCTGCTAGCACTGCCTCTACATCGATAGGATTGGCAGATTTCTGAATTGCGCTAAGAATGCTCTTCACTTCATCAAGATCTTCCATAACACCGGTAATACGATTGAGACTATTAGTAGTGTCTCCAGAGTTGGGCACAAGTGGTCCCTGATCGACTTCCTGCCCGAGATACTCATGCTTGGAAATATAATCGGTCAATATCCTGGCAGCAAGGTCTTGGTTTGTGCTCTTTGCAATGTCCAGCGCAGACCTAGCATCCGCCATGAACGATGCTCCTCCCTTGGACAGGATCAACTTCATTGCTTCCGTGTTCTTGTGCTCCACAGCATAGATAAGTGCGGTGCGATTTGAGCTATCAACGAGGCCCAGGTTATACCCAAGGAGTCTCTCCACAGCTGGGACGTATCCTACCTGTGCAGCATACATCAGCGCAGTGGTTCCCAGAGGCGTTATATACTCAGCTTCATACGGCACAAGGAGATCGATACCCTCGAGGTACTTCCCCTCAATCGCTAACATAAGCGCGGTGCGGCCGTCGGGAGTCAGGAGTGAATGTTCGTGCGCAGCCAGGACCTGGATCATGGCGACGCTCTGCATCTGGACAGCCATGTGCAACGCAGTCTGACCAACATGATTGCGGCAGCCGGCGTAAACAGATACTATTCCCAGAAGCATGGGCACATTGCTATTCTCCACGGCAGTCCACCAATCGAGCTCGTTAACCATAGAAGATTTTTTCTACTCCAGAATTATTCAAATTACGCGCACATCTTATGGTCAAACTCTGTTGTATTTTACTTCATTGCATATGGCAAAAAGCTTAACAAGTCCAGCAACGTTGAGCCGGGACGAGCTGGAGGACGGATGAGCTTGACTCTACTGCGACAAAGACAGGCCGAGAAGAATAAGGGCCAGGGAGAGGACGCAGTAAAGGGTGAAGGCACGAGTATTCCCGACGAATCAACTGTGCAGTTAGTAGAGCCAGATGACCCTGATTATGCATACTTCAAGACCCTTCCCGATAATGGCTTTGTCCTCCTCCACACGTTGCTACAGCTTGCAGACATTCAATCAGCAGAAATAGATCTCGATACCTTGGTCTCAGAGCTTCCAGAGGAGAAGGGCGACGACTCTCTATACATCCAAACTGAGACGGACAAGGTTTCTGTTTTTGTGACAAATATTGCCCGGACGGTTACAGAAGTGATGCTGCGTAACGAATTTGGCGCAATTTGCTCAGTCCAGGCGGTGCATATGGGAAGAAACGGGTTCCGCGGGCTGCGCACAGCTGTGATCAAGTGCTCGACAATCGAGGATGTTAACCGGGTCATCGCCACAAAGCATGGGACGCTCTTTCATGGAGAACAGTTAACCGTCATTCCAAAGCGCACGTACGTTGGTCCACAGAGAGAGCGTCAAGGAGGACCAAGTGGTGGCAGGGCGCAACGTGGAAAGGGAAGAGGAAGATTCGTCAAGTTCCTTAAGAAGTAAAAGTAGGCATCGTTTGGTTAAGAATAAAAATCAAAATCTTAGTTTCAGCTAGCCTTCTAACGTAGCCCACACCTTCCTGCAGGAATGGAGCCCATTTGGTCCACTCAAGATTTCATACGTGATGTTTACTTGTCTATATGCCGTGATAATGAGGAGCTTCCATCAAGGGAGGGTTTGGATTGGATGACCAAAGTCTTTCGGTCCAGTAAAGGCAACGGTATGTCAGTACGTTCCATACGGATTGGTCCTGCAGGTGCCATCACTCTTATGAAGCGTCTAGAATCTGACCAAATTACATATATTGATGCCTATGACAATATGCTTAAAGATACCGGCTTCATGGCTTTGTTGAAGTTTTCAGAGCGGCACTCAACATTTAAGCGCCTCTGTGTGGGCTGTAACAATATTGGTACGGAGGGCTGTATGGCTCTGGCAGAGATTTTGCAGGGAGGCACTGGCTTGGAAGCTATAGAGCTTGGAAAGCCGACCGGATACATTTTTGCAGCTCCACGCAGACAAGGGTTCTCTTCTTCGGGAACTCTCCACAACAACTACGTTGATTCGTCTTCTGCAGCTCGGATTGCGAAAGCGCTGATGTACAACAACACATTGAAGTATCTGGGCCTTAATGGTAACTTTATTGGTTTAGCTGGGATTGATGGGCCGGCTGGATCCAGCACCGCTCGGCGTCGTTTCGGTGCAGCGTCTTTGGACATAGATGGACCGACAAGCATAGGTGCGATGCTCGCTGTTAACACAACACTCACCGCACTTGATCTATCTGCTAACCGACTTGGAAATGCCGGTGTCACGGCAGTTCTGCGCGGCCTGGGGCGCAACGGGTCTCTTCTACGGCTCGACTTGTCGCGGAATCATATGACGTTTATCACAGCGCCGATGGTAGCTTGCATTATTGCTAATCCTAGATGTGTTCTACAAGAATTGTACTTGTCTGGAAACCCCTTGGGGTTGGATGGGGCCATGTCAATTGCACATGGGCTGTCTTGCTCTAGGTCTCTGACGACTCTCGCAATGGAAAACTGCGCACTTGGTGATGATGGTGTGTCCATTATATGTGGTGTACTATCCAACCCACTCATCGACGTCAGCCTTGATAGGGACCACTTCAACGCCTTCCTTAAAAAAGTTATTCACGATGAACAAAAGCCTGAGGAACAAGACGTTCAGATGGCTGAATACGATCATATGCAAGACTTTTTTGACAAAATAATCGAGGGTAAGCGCAATGCCCCTAACAAGCTTGTTATAATAAGAGATACTGCCGGCAAAATAGTTACCAAGGTGGCCATTCCTTCTAGGGACAGAGGGCAACCCACCAAAGAGCCTCAGGAATTCGTCCGCTTTGCAGGCGCGAGTAACACTGAGGATGTTATCGATAGTATGGCAGACAGAACAATGGAGCTGCTGGCCAGGGATAGTGAGACACCCATGGTTAACGACGCGCACACAGCTGACGATGATTCTCATTTTGTCAATATATCGGAGAATAGTATTAACGAAACGACAAAGCAACTGCCACTCTATCATGGCGAATATAACCCCGAAGAGGGGCATGAGGTTAATGAGGATGCTCAAAGTTTGGACGATTTGTACTCACAGATGGAGCAACTGGCCGTCAACATGGGAATAGATAGCACATACATACCGTATGTAGATCTTCAAAACCTTAAATATTCAAATATTACATCTCTCAATCTTTCGTCTAATGGAATCCGCGAGCAAGGGATTGCCTACTTTTGCAAACTGGCCAGTACAAGACCACAGTTCAGACACATAAACCTTTCGTACAACAAGCTCGATAACCACGGAGCAACTCTCTTGGCCAGTGCCCTCCTTTGTGACCAGCTGGACATGAACGAAGTGATTTCGTATTACACAGACTTCGAGCGCGCAAAGCTATATCGGCCTAAACCAAGGCTATTGAACCCTGAACGCGTAAATAAGAGCCTTCGATCGCTCGACTTAGCCACTTGCCACATTTCAGATACGGGATTTATCGCCCTGGCATTCGCTTGTTTGAATTTGCCTAGCCTAGTATGCTTGAACTTAAGAGATAACTTTATCGGGTCTAAGGGTGGCGACATAGGCATAGCGATGCTTATGGAAAACAAGAATCTCACCACGGTGATAATGCGTGGCAACCAGGTTTCGCATGCCAGCGCATTGAAACTTTTAGATATTCTCAAACGAAATCGACGTTCAGTGACAATGAGTGTCCCATCTAAGCTTAGGCAGCAGATTGCAGAGCACAAGATAGAAACGCAGCAATTGAACATCCTTCAGGAAGAGCTCGATTTCATGACTCAGACGGTGGCAGAGGCTGACAGCCATAGACGCTCGATTCAGGCTCTTACAGAGGAAATGGTGGACGCGTTTATCCGGCAAAAGGCCAGTCTAGAGCAGAAGATAAGGCAAACAGAAGATGCATCACACATTGCTGTGGAATCTACCGAAGCACAGACAGAGCGGATACCGTTAATTACAGCCCAAATACAGCAGCAAATAACCAATGCACAAGCCAATTTGGCCGAAGAAGTGCTCGCCGTATCCAAGGCTGACGAGGAATACCAAAATATCATGAAGCAAATGACAGAGGCAGAATTAACTCATCAAGCAGAAATAGATGATCTGGAAGCGAAGGCAGGTGAGCTCCAGCAAAAGATTAAGCAGGTTGAAGAAATTAATAAGAAGGCAGAGAAGTTGGTTGAGCTCCTCAGAAACAGCTACAACCAGATCATCAACCGTGCTTATCAAAGCAGACACCTAAACAGGACAACAGGGGCGATGAACCCAGACATAATGGCCCAGGTGATAGAGCGCATGGCTCCTGTCGCCGCGGGGACATATACCATTGCAAGACCCATCGGCTATGATGTGACCGAGTCTTTGCTCACTCCTCCTGAAACGCCTCCTCGACCTACTAAGAGCACCAAAGGCAAGAAGGGCAAGAAGGGAGCCAAGGGCAAGAAAGGACGACCGAGTACCGGTGCTAAGTCCAACACGGCAAGCAGGCCATCCACAACTCGTAAGCTCACCACTCCACCACAGACTGCCATGCCCGGTAAAAGAAGGCCCCAGTAATGACAGTCTCACTTTTTCAATACCTTTACTGTTTCCTTTTGTTCATTGATCTTTAGGGTCACCCTGTACATGAATTTATTAGTTGAAACAGTCCGGATTTCCTTGACCTCAAATGTCTCATAGCATGCTATTAACAGGTCTATCAACTCTTTATTTTCTGCAACCTTCTCTATGTCCGATAAGGCCTGCTGTATACCGGTACATACCTTAGTATCAAGCAGAGACTCAGAGCATCGAAGCAGCAAATCATAGTATGCAAGGTGTGGAGGGGCTCGTGTGAAGCATTCAAGGAAGCAGTAGATATCAGGGACCCCCTTCATAGCCTGTAACAGATTTATAGAGAGTTCTGGGAGGCTGAAAATAACAGCCTTAAGGTTAGTTTCCGGCAATAATCGCCTAAGAAGGGAGGAAACATCTTCGTTGAAGCATGTAATGGCATTCTCTGCTTTATTTATACGAACATTCATTTTAAGGGATTTGTATGCATCTGGGTTCAAGTCATTGCAAATGAGATTGGTAAAGTTGAAACGTTTAGCTAGAAGTAAGGCGTGAGGACCAATCCCACATGTCCCATCTAACACCAGGTCATTGGGACAGATAGTCTGGTTGATATGCTGAGCAAGTGACAAGTGCTCATGTGAGAGCCGCGAGTTCCAGTAAACCTTAGTGTAATTAAATGAGTAGGTTATTCCGTCTTGCACGAGCTTCACGTCATACCGCGGGACTCCTCCGATCAGCTCAAAGTTGTATGTACGGTACTGCGATTGAACCGTGTCTATCTTGGTGATAACCGTGGTGATGGCAGGCTCCTTTTCACAGGTGACGGCGCCTATGAAGTACCTATACGGGAGGTGAGCCTCTCGAAGATTGTAGTGTGCTATATGGCCTACTGTTTCAAAGGAGGTTGGCGGGTCTTCGATGATGTCCTGAAGGAGACTGATGCGTGAGCGAGCCTCTGGCGTGAGCAGCAACGTATCTGCGTGGATAAACAATTGCTGTGTCACGCTTTCGTCCAGACCAGACAAAAAAGCTGTGGAGAGAACGGTGACCGTCTTCCCTCGAGGGCCATCTCTAACTGCCAAGAATCTGCAGCCAGTTACTAGCGCTATAGAAGCCTCCGGCGGCATATTCTTAATGATGGTGGAAACGAGGGCGCTTGGTGTTTCAATGCAATACACCGATATGGTTACAGATAGGAGTGAGCGCAGATCCTCAGGAATTCGACAAAGTGGCTCCTTCATCTCCAGCACTATTCTCCTAGCTTGGTTTAGATCACGCTGTGGTTCGCCATCAACCGTCATGACCTGTGCGCCAGCAAAATTATCAAATATTTCAGGCCTTTGGTGAGACATATGCCGTCCAATATTGAGCAGGAGATCAAACTCACGCTGTGCGACCCTAATTCGTACGCACAAGTCCTCACGGAACTAGACAAACAAGCAAAATATATAGGCTCGGTGACCCTAACAAGCACTTACTTTGACACTGCAACTCACGAGCTGGCCCATCAGAAGGCATCCATGCGTCTTCGTGAACTGAAGACAGCGACAAGCATTTCTTACACAGCCACCTTGAAGGCAAAGTCGAGCATCACGGCTGCAGGAGTCTTTCGTGCAATAGAGGAGGAGGTCCACATCTCCAAAGAGGACTATAGCGCTCTGATGGGCGATTCGACAGGGGAAAGAGTGTTATCATTTTTCAAGAACAATGTATGTGACCTTCATACGGTTTTAGACAACGCGATTGAAGGAGCACTTATGAAGATTGCTTCCTTTACAACTATGCGACGCAGATACACGTATAAAAAGCATACCCTGGAACTAGATAACGTCATATTCATTGTGCCCAGGCCGGGCCGCATGGTAGAGTTGGAGTGTGAAACTGAGGAGCCTCAAAAGGCAATGGAAGACTTGCGTGCATTCTTTTCCACCATCAACGTTATGTTTACCCACAGTACAACCACAAAGCTCGGGAGGGCTATGTCATTAACTACCAGTCCTGCAACTCCTGGATCTGCTACCGGCACACCACGTCTCAGAGTGAGCCTTACTGGCAGCTTTGCTGGGAGCTTTACTGGGAGCTTTGTTGGCAGTCGACAGTCGAAGTGATCACCACCATCATCATATGCTGTGATCCTTAGACATTCTTAGCGTGTAAATAAAACACATTGTATGTTACAACCATTAGGTTTTAAAGTTAAGTTTTAAAGAATTGGAACTGTCTCAGAGGTGAGCTTGGACCTTGATTTGCCCATGGATCCGAGGTGCAAAGAAGCAATCCAGCCACGAGCAGACTCCAATCCTGATTGGGTTACTTAACTATGTACTATCTTTTGTACTGATTTTCTCTGTAGGACTCTACTTGCAGCTAGCTAGCTGCCGTAAAGCAGAACGCATCACCAGTTCACTCTTTTCATCCATAAGACGCCACAGTCAACTAATCTCAACCAATCCTCAACTTATCTAAGAGCATCAGTGGAACGCATGAAAGGGCCTAAACCACGGAGAAAGCCCGGTAATGCACAGGCGTACTTATCACGCGGAGAAGGACCATTTACTTACCCATTTGAAAACCAAAGAAACAAGAGAGCCTTAATTTATAAAATAACAGCACAATGTCAGGAGCCTCGCTAACCTACTTACAGTCAGAAGGCGCTGGCCGGAAGACTGGAATGGATGTGGATCACAGCAATGAAGAATATATGGAAGCGCCCCTGTTTCACGGTTCAGCTGGCGATAGAGTCACGCCTGAATACACGGAGTTTTCAAACCCTCTTTACCTGTTAAAGACAAGCCTGGAAGACCGTGTTAGCGTTCTGTTGCAAAATAACTCGTCCATAACTGGACTTTTGGCGAGCTTTGATGAACATATGAATCTTATTTTAATTAACGCAGAAGAGACCGGACACTCACTCAACCGCTTCTTTCCTTTGCTGGTCATCCGGGGAGATAGTATTATTTTTGTGACACGCAGGCGATTTACCAGTATTACCTAGTCTTTTCTGTGAGCAACAAGTAGTCCCTCTATAAGTCCGCAGAAAGCATGATATCCTTCTTCGAGCTTGTATTTCCAGTTGTGTGTAGCCTCATCCACAAGTCTCAGCCTGCTCCTCTTCTTTTCCTCAGAATAAAACTGGACCATCAGAGAGCTCTCCTGCGGAGGAACAGCCCGATCATTTGTACCATGAAGTACTGCAAGTCTGTCTGTTTGACTGAGAACACGGCATGCGTCTCCCAGTTGGATGCTCCTGCGTTCCAATATGAATGCTGGTGTCACTAGTAGAGGACACCTGCAACCTGGAAACGCTTTTGTAAATTCGTGGCCGTTCTCTAATTGTAGAACTTCTTCAGGTGTGAGTTGACTGGTTAAGGTTCCGGAGAGATCAAAGCGCCCCGAGACAACCACGACATAAGGTAGCTCAGGCTGCTCAGGACACTGCAACACCAACCTTTGGATGTACAACAGAGATATATTTGCTCCCCGCGAGTGGCCCACAAGCACCGTGCGGCTTAACCCCCACTCCTGTATGTATTCTTTAAGGTGATCAAGGACTGAGGATAGAACGTCAACCTCATCCGCATAAGAGAGGGAGTATGTACCCGGTGCATCCCCTTGTCCTGGAGAGTCAAATCGGACCACATTATGGGGAGACCTTTCAAAGATTGCATCAAAGAAGATTGCGTGCTTGTTCGAGCAATGCCCATGAACTAGGACAAACGTGAATGGACTGCCTCTATCTAGCACATCTATGGCCACAGAGTCTACCCGGTAAATGGCCCTGCTGTGGGGGTATAAAGGAACGCTATGCGTCTGTACCATTTTTAATTCTCACTTCGTGGACTTAAGAAAAGAAGGGCTGATGTCTAGACAATTAATTTACTTTCGAGAAAGGGCAAGCGGGTCTGTTATCTTCCGCATCGTTATCTGACGGTCGCTTCCTCCATGATAGAATACAGGAGCCAATGCATTGACCGCAAAGGCACATGAAAGTAATCGGGATTGATCCCGTTTGTGCTCCAATTTCCTATAAAAGCAATCTCCAACCCACAGCGGGACAGACGACCTAGGATCCCATACGCACAGATCCCCGCCTATAGACCCACTAATGATCATGTTATCCCGAACATCTAAGCATGTTAGGGACGACTTGTGGCCTGTGAACGTTGACACAAGTGGCTTATCCTTCCTAGTGTCATAGAGCCTTAGTAGCTTGTTATTGAAGCCACAGAGGAGCATGTCGTCAGACCTCTTCATGTACTTCAGAACTTGGCAGGAAGAATTTGTGGATATGAGTCCTGCTGGGGCATTCTTTTTGATATTATAGAACCGGATGCAGTTATCCGCACAGCCAGCTGCAATATAAGGGCTATTATGCTCATTGCTGAAGGTCACGCTATTGATATCTGTGGCAACTGTGAAAGGGTCGTGTGCACGGGCCTCCGACGTCTGCACCGAGTGAAACAAAAAGGACAGGCGCTCTGTGGCTGTCTTGATTATTGTATTGCCGTGGATACGCTTGCGTTTAGGTCTAGGCTCTACCTGCATTACCATCGGTTCTGTCGCTCGCTGCGTGTTTGCTATATCATAGAGATAAACCAAACCGTCGACTGTCCCCGCCGCCATGTAGGAGAGTGACGTGTTGCTTGCCAGAGAGAGAATGGGGCTATTCAGATTGGTATATTCGACCTCTTGTGTGAATGATGCATCAGTCTCGGAGATTGTAGAACATAGTATCCGTCCCTCATATCCGCCAGCCGCGACGTGCATTTGATCGTTGATCTTCACAAGACAGGTAGCTTTTATTGGGGTGCTGAATAGCTTGCACACTTGGTGTCGTGTACCAACCAGCTCATCGGCGCTGTCATAATCATCTGCCTGATCTTGGCTGGCAAAGTTGAAGAGCACCAAGGATCCATCATACAGAGATGCTAAAGCAGCATCCTTAATGTCTTTAGGCAGGGTAAAGTAATCATTCATCGATGGAATGATTGTGGAAACCCAGTCGCTCACTTTAAGGGTGTACTTATCAGAGGGAGGAAGCTGTGCCAAGATATATTCTATCGTCAAGGCCTGTTCGGAGCTTATCTCATTTAGGAGCAAGTGGTCACCAAGTGCTGTATGCATAAATGAGCCATTCACCAAGAAGTCAAAGGCAAGGGGGTGTGGGCGCCCTATTAAGGTATTAATAAGCTGAGATAACTCCAGTCGAGTCGCCATGGTAGGAATGGCATACTCATCGTCGTCGATTTGTAGCTCTATGGGAAGCTGGGTGACAAAGCGGCAGGTCACAGAGTCGGCCGTTTTCTCTTCAATCGAGTCCATCCTTTTAATTGCTTTACAAGTAGTGCAATAATAAATTGTATGTCATGTCATAAAAAAGTGAAGATTCGCATGACATTGTTGCACAGAGGCGAATAACTGGTTAGCTACGCTGTCTTAACAAGGCTGTCCTGCTTATTCTGATGGAGGCACTCCTAGCTCCCTCCCTCTGGTACTATCGTTCGTCTGATGCGGGTCTGTCTCTTTTTGAGACCTTCGGCTAGATACTACCCAGTGCTTGGCGAATCAGGACCCAGGAAGCTATCAGCACATCTCTTGATGCGGTTATTATCTAAGTCACGCCTTCCCCCTGCACACGAACCACCAGCAGAGGAAGCCCACGAGGCCCCCCACGACGACGACCACGGCGACGGAGATCCCCGCGATGGCCCCCGTGGAGAGCCCGCCCCTGTTGGCGCCAGAGGACACACAGGAGGCCCCACTGCTGTCTAGACTGTACCCATCACTGCACACACAGACAGAGTCGGTGTCAGTGGAGTTGCTGGGACAGCCATCCACGCATGACTTCCTCCCAGGGCTCACCTTCTTACCATCATTACATGCCTCGCACATGTTGTCTCTGTTGCAGTGCGAGCATCCATCGATAGCACATGTGAAGCACCCACTGCCACCCTTGTTGGGCTTCTTACTGTTATCACAAGAGGTGCATATAGCAGCAGTCATGCCAGCTGTTGTCAGAGCTGTCGGGGCTGTACATGCTGAGCAGCCATCCACCCCCACATATGCCTTAGCGATACCTTGAGGATCTACTAGTGTGCCAAGGGGGTTCTCGCAGACCAGGACAGACCTCGCTGGCCACGTCCTTCCCGCAGTCCTTGCAGAGGACGTAGTGCTTGCACGGCATGCAGACCAGGTTGGGGGCGTTGGCGCGGCACTTCACGCACTTCGTGTACTTCTTCGAGTTGAGGAGCTTGCGGATCTCGCCCAGGCACTTCTCGAGGGACTTGTTCAGTTGCTCCTCCGAGATCTCCGCCCCCTGGTCGATCCCCGAGCAGGAGAGGGAGTAGAACGCCTCGAAGAACGAGCGGAAGATGGCCATGTTGTGGCTCTTGACCTCGGCCTGCTGCGACTTCTTGGCCATCTCGGTGTAGGTGGCCGCGACCCTCTGCCGGAGCTGCTCCAGCATCGCCGCGTCCATCGTCTCGATGGTCTTCAGCCGGAGGACCTTGGCCGCCTCGAACTGCTTCGCCCTGGAGGCGTGGTTGAGGGCGGAGAGCTTGCCGGCGTCCCGCAGCCTCCCCTCCTTCTCGAAAAGGGCCTGGATCAGCTCGAGGTTCCCCCTCTTTGCCGCCGCGATCAGCGCGAAGGACCCGTCGTTCGAGACCAGGCCCGCCTCTGCGTCGACCAGCTCCAGGGCGACGGCGGTGTGCCCGGCCTCGGCGGCCCACATGAGCGCCGTCTTCCCGTCTGCGTCCCTCTGGCCTGCGTCCACGGCCTTGTGGGCCCTGACGTAGTCCAGCCTGTTCTCCAGGGCCTTCTGCTTCTCTTGAGGGAACGACAGATTTACTCGTGAGCCGTAAAGTAATCTAAGAGTAACTGTAGCCATCGGTGCTAGATGTTCTACTGCTGTCCCTAAGGAAAGATACTATCTCAAAGTAGCCCTTAGCCTCAAGCTTACCAAAGAAGGATTTGTCAGATTTGTCTATTAGATACCCCTCGCTTTCAAATAGCAGCTCGACTACCTTCAGATAGCCCCCGAGGGCGGCTTTCATAAGGGCTGTTTCTCCAGAGTCATCATTTTTACCAGCTTCGTATTCTATCAACAGCTCAACTACCTCCAAATGACCATTCGAAGCAGCCTTCATAAGGGCCGTTTCCCCAAAGCTATCCCTCATGCATGCTTCATATTCTATTAACATTATAACTATTTCCAAATGATTCCTAGCCGCCGCTTCCATGAGCGCAGTCCTGTTATAATTGTCCTTCATCCCACTTTCTTTTTTATTAATAACTTTACTGCCTCTAAGTAACCCTTATAGGCAGCTTTCATGAGGGCGGTTGCACCATATCTATCATGCATACCGCTTTCATGTGGCAGTAATAATTTTATCCCATTTATATTGTCGTACGTGACTGCTTGCATTAGCGCCGTCTCACCATGTGCCACTCGTCCTCGTTGAAGAGCCACAAGCGCTTTTGCTGTTGCCATATCACCTCTATCAACGGCTCGCATGAGCGCCGTGACGCCCCTGTCATCGGTTGGGTCGATGGTCTCCATCAGAGCTTCATGTCCTGCCTCTGCCGCAATCACCAAGGCCGTTTTGCCTTCGTCGTCGATCAGGTTCTTCTCATATGAGACTAGAAGGGAGGCAGCTTCTATGTGGCCCTTTTTTACGGCGATCATCAAGGCAGTGTGGTTATTCTTGCTCCTCTTCCTATGTTCATAAGGGATGAGAATCTCAATTACCTCAAGGTGGTTCCCGTGTGCAGCGTGCATGAGCGCGGTCCAACCGCTCTTATCTTTGAGACCCCTCTCTTTTCTAACAAGCAGCTCGACAGGACCGATGTGCCCCTGCTGGGCCGCGTGCATGAGGGCCGTCATCCCCTGCTCGTCGCGCTGGCCGATGTAGTTCCTCTTGTTAGCCAGCATCCGGACAGTCTCCATGTTATTCGTGTGTGCAGCACGGATCAGTTGAGGCAGCGCAGAGAGGTTGATCTGGGAGCTACTCGTGTTCATCCCACCACTAAATTCTGTGAATCTATTCTCTAGTGCCTTAATCATGGCCAGATGCTCCTTGCACTGATCTTCAAGTGCGTCCTTGAGAGAGGCAGTCTCGGTTGACTGAGACACCATCTCAGTAGACCTGGCGTCGAGGGCTGCCTCAAGAGTAGCAATCCTAGCGTTAGCACTGTTCAGAGCGGCCTTCAGGGATCCGCATTCGTACTTCAGCATCGCGTACTGAGCCCCCAGCTCACCAACTGGGATGTCAGCCGCAGTGAGCGTCTCGTGCAGCTCCCTGGCTGTCAGTCTTTCCTCTGGCTCCAGCACGAATATCCTCTCCAGAACACTCTTTATGAAGCCATCGGTGACACTGCTCAGGTCCGGCCTCCACCTGTCGACGAAGACGTCTTTTGGGTCTTTACCTTTCAGGAAGTCCGGTCTCCTCAGAGTGGCCATCTCGTAGAGGATGACCCCGAGGCTCCACACATCGGAGGCGGGGCTGGGCTCGTTGTGGAGGAGCATCTCGGGGGCCATGTATACTGCCATGCCTGCAATGGTGCTCTCACTCCACAATGTGTTTCTGCAGAGGCCGAAGTCGGCGATGACGAAGCGCTCCCCGTCTGCGCTGATGAGGACGTTGGCAGGCCTGAGGTCGCAGTGGACAAGCCCATTAGCACCTACCCCGCTGAGACCATGAAGATAGGCGAGGGCGGCGGCGAGCTGTTTCATGACGGAGAGGATCACGCCGGCAGACACGGGGATCTTCCTTCGTTTGTGCTCGGTGAGGAGGCGCTCGAGGGTCCTGTCGTGCCGGTCCGTGACGACGTAGATGAGGCCCTCGTCCTCGACTACTTGGTGGTGCTTGAGGACCCTCGGATGGGAGAGGTCGAGAAGGGTGGCCAGCTCTAGTCTGATGGTGTCCAGATCCCCCTTGTCCAGGCCATCGAGGAGGATCTCCTGCACAGCGAGGTTTGGATAGCCCTTGAGAGAGTAGACTGTCCCCATGGTGTTTTCATTAAGCCCATCACCTAACCGCTCATGAAGCTCCCTAGGGGTGAACAGTGGGACCCTGAGAGCCACAGTTGCAGGCTCAGACGAGGAAGTGTCCATCCTGGTATTATTTTGGTAATCTACCGTTTTGGAAACGATCCGTTTCCACAGAGGTTTGTGTCTACAGATCTGTAGTGGTCCAATGCTTACGAAGGGCTTCTGCATAAGAGATGAGAAGACCACCTGTGCGACCGTTTCACCCACCCCTAGTATTGCAGTGCTGACCGAGGGTGAGAAGGCCTGCTCCCCTGGCCTCTGAGGAAATGGGTGGCTGTGTGCCCCACTGACAGCCACCACTTCATTGAGGTGTCTGTTTGCTGCACAGCTGGAGGGGAATCCGATCTATCATCAAACTCGATCAACAGTTAAGCGCGTTCACTCACGGCCTTTCTGGACAACATTTGTAAGTATGGATCTACAATACCCTTACTTTTGAGAAAAGACACCACCTCGGAGTTACCCCATGTACTAGCCATGTAGAGGGCAACCTCGCCGCCTACGTCCTTCTCCTTCTCTAGCAGTAATTTAACACACTCCAAATGGCCAAAGGATGCTGCACCGACGAGAGCAGTCCAGCCCTCGCTCCTCTTCATGCCGCCCTCAACCTCCACGAGTAGCCTCACAACCTCAGTATGACCGTTGACTGCCGCCCACATAAGGGCGGTGTGCTTATCGCTGCTCATCATTCCACTCTCGTGCTTCATCAGCAGCTTCACCACCTCGGCGTGTCCAAGCACCGCGGCGACCATCAGGGCTGTCCCTTCATATATATTTACGCCTCCCGCCTTGAAAAACTTCGCCACCATTCCCGCCTGCTGAGGAATATAGCGCTTCACTGCATCTACGTCGTTTCGTCTGGCCGCCTTCATGAGCTCAGTGACGCCGTCCTCGTCCATGCCATCTTCACCATCCATCTCTGAAGACTCGGTGGGAATGTCTTCACTCATATACTCATCGTCTGTGTCATTCTCGGGCGTAGGAGGCAAGGTACGGTCGCACTCCTGAGAGCAGTGATCCGAATCATCTGTAGACGACATTTTTATTCCATGGTCACAAAGGAAACGCGTGTACTGGTAAACTTGCGATTCACGGTATTGTTTACAGATCATCCAGATAGCGCACCAAACACAGATTGTACGCCCTGGGTTCCCTCTGCCCTTCTTGCCTTGTGTGGCAAGTGCCCAACGAGAGATGACTTCAATTGTGGGGTTGTAGCCGGCTGGGCACCAGTGCAGGGTGGGCACTAGGGCTTCGGACTTCTTCACTCCATCTACCAGTCACCTTCAGCGTTGTGCTGCTAGGACCCTTGCCTACGAGCACACCCCAAGGATCCCGTGAGTAACTTCAGTCAATGCTCGATTGTGTCCGGAAACAGAAGCGAGTCGTCGCTGATAGAGCAAGGGTCTTCTCTGTTGCACTGCTGGAAACCTGGCTATCTTATCACCACCCTCTTCCTGCCGGGCCTCTGCTTCAAAAATCTCGTGATGTCGGGGAAGAAGCCTGACAGCCTGTAGTAAAACAGCTCCTGTGAACTGTATACGTTGGGGATCCTCTTGCCCACCGCCCATGCACATCGGCAAGGCCCTCCGACGTTCTCAGGGCCCAGCAGCTCGCCATGACTGGAGAGGAGGGCCTACGGGGTCCTGAGCAGCAGTGATTATGAATTCCTACTATCAAGCTTCCCTCTCCACAGTCTTGGAACCTTTGAGATAGCCTCAGCAGATCATCGAAGAAGAGCATAAGCTCTGGCACTGCATCAACAAGCTCTAGGGACTTCGCCTTTCCTCGCTGCAGGTCTCCAAGAGCAGTCTAAGACAGTGGCTAGCTGATTGCGTTGTTACTGCCTGGAGTGCCTACTCAATGGGCCTCTGCAAAGCCAAGTTGCCAGACAGCATCAGTGGCAAGTGTCGATCACAGATACTCTGTCCGCCACTTGTGGAGGCTTATCTCCATTTAGGTTCCCTTCTCACCCTTGCAGTGCTCACTCGAGCGAACCAGAGCCTGAGATTGATAAGCCCAGCGAGCCTAGTACAAACCTCAGAGGGCTCAGGAGGTCATGGCTCCTTTGGTGTCTGCCATGTCGTTCTCCTCGCTCGGTTGACATGCGCGCTGCTAAGAGGGCCCTCATTCACTCGAGCTCATGCCCCCCTGTGGTGACTCTGCTCGACCATCAGCGAGGGCCCTGGTTCTCCTCCCAACAGACCGGCCTCAGACCCCTCGTGATCTGCCAGACCGGGCAGAGTGATCGCGGCGCCCGTCAGAGACCGGCCCGACGGGGCCCGCAGTGCAGTGCGCCTGGACCCACTGAGATCGTTCACTCCCCCAGTGGGCCACAGCTTCCCCCGCCCTGCTGACAGTCCTCCAGCGAGGGCATGTCGTTGTGGGACAGTCTTCTCGTCTGTTGCTGTCACACAGGGCCCAACCGGTGACCGTCGGACAGTCCCGATGGCATGCCTGAAGCCCCGCCACGGCAAGAGGGCAGCACACGGGGCGACCCTTACGCTGCTACAGATTGCAGTGGCAGAGAGACCCCCTGCCCGAGAGGCCCGTGCAGTGGCTGTGGGGCCATCCACTCCATGCGGGCCCAGTCCAACGCTCCTGGAGAGTCCTTGCCTTCGGTGGTGCTGACAGGGCTCCCGAGGGGCCAAGGCGTCAGCCGAGGGACGGGCCGAGCAGGACTCCTGGCCCGCATGCAGATGTCCCTGCCGTGTGTCCTGTCCTGTAGAGACCCGAGACTCTGGAGGTGCCCCTCGGCATCCAGCCCCCCTGCTGTGCCAGTCGGTGCAGGGGAGCAGCGTACAGGGCCCTCAGGGCAGTCTCCGCTCCAGACAGAGCACCAGGGGTCTCAGCAACCGACCGACCGATGCAAGGGGCATGCTCTCCTGCCGCGACGGCGCTCTGCTGCTAGGAGGGTCTGGCGGACAAGCTATCAGCACACGCACTCTCCTGGGCCGCCTCGGGGCACTCCAGCGTGGCCGGCGGCCTATGGAGCAGTCTGGTGTCCCGGAGCGTGTGAGGAAAATGAGGGGTTTACTCTGGGCTGCTGGGTTCCGCCGGCAGCACAGCCCGGAAGAGCACTGGAAGTAACCAGCGGGTGGAGTAAATCGCTCTTCTAGAACGGTTCGGACGTCCTTGGAAACGTCAGGATTTCTCCAAAGGGCATTTATTTTAAGTTGGCTCTGCTTGTGATGCCCACAGACGTCGCATTTGCGTTAGACATGGACGGTGTTCTACGTCGAGACAGGCATCCCATACCCGGCGCGAGAGAGGCACTGGACACACTGGATAAGAATGGCATCCCATACGTCCTTCTTTCCAATGGCGGCGTTCTTCCAGAACTGCTTGTCCGCGAAGTGGAAGATATCCTCGGGTACAAGGTTGCGCCATCGCAGGTCGTGAATACTGCAAGCATGGCACTGGACTACCTCTCTAGTCGCTCCGAGGACACCGTTGTCCTGATCGTCGGAGCCGCCAAACTGTCCCTCCCAATTATAAAGAAGTCCGGGCATAGGAACTGTGTTTTTACAATGCAAGTTGTTAGGCGCTTTAACACTGGGATTATTCAGGGGTACTGTGACATCGAAGGTCAATATGCCCAGTGGCTCAAGGAGAGCCAAGTGACCGACGCAGACTTCCCTGTGAGCACCTTTGCTGATGACTTCCCCACTCACGTGGATGAGGTTTTCTTCTGTAACGATAGCAATACTTGGTATCTCGACATGCAAGTGGTGTTGGAAGCGCTTCTTCGAAATGGGTCTGTTTCGGGTGATGTCTCCAATGGCTCTCTGCTGCCTCCCATTTATGTGGGCAACCCAGACATAACATACGGAGGAAGCTACGTTATTCCACGACTTACTCTTGGAAGCCTTCTGGTTTCGACTTGCGAGGTCTACAAGCAGATCAGGAACGTGAATGATCTAGAAATTCACTATTTGGGCAAACCGCATAGCCCAATCTTTAATGAAGCTCACAAGCGGCTCAACTCAGGAACCATTTATATGATTGGAGACAGCCTTACGTCAGATGTTACCGGAGCAAACAGGAGGAAAATGGATGGGTGGGTGTCTGTTCTTGTCCTCACTGGGCAAGCACACGAAGGAGACCTGAAGGATATCAAAAAGGGTGCAGAAAATATGCCAATGATGGTCTTTTCAGACGTGAAGGAAGCTGTTACCCAAATACTATATCGACACGGTCACCACTTTCAGTAGGTGCTTAAGGATCAGTGTGCTCATTTAGTATTCTTAAGCAGTCTGCCGTTATTTTGCTGTTTTGTGGGTTATTTTCTAAAGCTGCAATGATCTTCTTTGCAACTGCACACTCTAAAGAGGAGTGAACCAAACATCGAGTTATAGTGACAAGTCCGTTTTTGATGGCAATAGATAGGGCACTGTTTCCGTGCTCATCCACTGAGCCTTCACCATGCGGACATAGCTCTCTTATATATCTTTTTCTATTTCTCTCGGTAGCAAAAATAAGTGCTGTTCTTGAAGCGCTGTCTCGCTCGGTCCCTTCTATTGGTCCAAGTAACGTTACAGCAAGATCACGCTTATGCTTAATTGCTAATATAAGAGCTGTTTCCTTTTTGTTGTTCCGGTGCTTGACTTCAGCCTGGCATGTTATAAGAAGTTCGTAGCATTCCTTGCAGCCGTAGCGAACTGCATACATAAGCGCCGTCATTCCAACATTATCTTGCAAGCCACCCTCTACTCCAAGTAGCATGCGGACAAGGAGGCGCTTTCTTGATATGGTGGCGTACATCAAAGCGGTCTTACCATCGGAGTCACGTCTTACATGTCCAAGGGCTTGTACAGTACCGTTACCAATCAATGCATCAGCTTTATTATTAGGATAGTAAAGAGAAAAGAGCGCCTCGGCGGAGCTATAGCACCCATACTTACACGCGACCATAAGAGCAGACATACCATTTGCTTGCGATAAAGAAAGCTCGTCAGTAAGAATAGGGATGACTGACATCTGATCTCGTTGGGCTGCTATGCCTAGCGCAGTATAGCCCAGTGAATCTGTCATCCCAATCTGTTCAGTAAGCTCTGCCACAACTTTGTCTTGTCCACATGCTGCGGCGCACATAAGAGGAGTTCTGAATAGGACAGTGGATCTATATACGGATTTAATATGCCTCTTGATCCAGTCATAGTCTCCAATGGCCGCATGATACAAGGGTTTCCCTAACATCAATGAATACTCTGGAGACAGCTGCTCTATGCATCCTAGGTATCCATGTTCACACGCATAGTCAAGAGCTGTTAATTCATTGCTGCCTACTATTCCTAACTCGCATAGTAGGAGCTTGACGCATTCGTGATGCCCGCCGGCTGCTGCTATCATCAGAGCGGTTTTATCTTCGTAAATACAGTTCATCTTGTGCAGATTAGCCAGAACACCATGCGTGTTACCCTTAGCAGCACTCTTCATTAGATCTGTTGGTGATAGAACATGGACCCCAGTGCGTCTCTGCACAGACACGCGTCCTAGCAAGTTGTACTTGATAACATGTGCAGTAAGAATAGGGAGCGCGAGACGACATATGTGTTTGATAGCGGCGTCTATAGCAGTACTCAAGATGACGGGATCCAGATGAATAGGTGAAGACTCCGTATCATCGTTCTCTTTGAGGTCAAGCAGTTCTACAAGAGAGTCACACCAGCAATAGCGTGCAGCTACAGATAAAGGGTAGTCTCCTGTGTTATCAGGAATCACGAGCTGATGGCGTAGACGTTTCAAATAGTCCGAGAGGCCGCGTCTCACAGCAATGTGAACGGGAAGTGAGCCATCCGCCGTCGGGATGTTCTCTTCTTTCGCTAATAAGGGAACACATGTATCAATGGGTATGCCTGCCTCCATAGCATAGGTTAGAGCTGTGCGTCCTTGGTTATCCTGGCGACCCATTAGAGCGATGGCTTTTCGCTCCTTGAGAAACTGGGATAGCGTGGACGCATCTCCTAAGGAAGCAGTATACATTAGAGAAGTTACGCCCGCGATCCCTATTTCTCCTTCTAGCAGTTTGACACAGCTACGCTCTCTTGCTCTCATTGCAAGCAACAACGCAGTGTCACCATTTGTATTTACCTCTCCTAGCTCTGTAAGTAGCTGCTCCACACATGCCGCGTGACCGTTCGTTGCTGCTAGCATCAAGGCTGTGTTTTCATCGTCGTCTGTTTCGCCGAGATAGGCTGTGAAATTGTTTAGCCACGTAGAAACCCCCATAGATGCAGTTAGATGAAGCATTGTGCGGCCATATATTCCACGAATCCCGCGTTCCGGGAGTAAATATACAAAGAGCGCTGAATGCCCGTTTATCAAAGCCAACTGAAGAGCAGTGCGTCTTGCCATATCTCCTGAGACACAGCCTAGCTGAGACAGAAATAGCTTGGTTAGATCCACATGTCCATGTTCCGCTGCACACATGAGCGGAGTCCTTCCTTGCCAGGAGCAGATAAGCGCACCGCTCTGTTGCTTGCATGCCTCATAATTTCCCGCTGCAATATTAGTAAACAAGATCCTCAGTTCCTCTGGAGAAGGCTTGGACGTTGCGTTCTCAGTGACTATGCGTTCGGGAGCCTTAAGACAGACCTTGGATTTCGCTGCCTCCTCGCATATCTGAGTTAACTCCTTAGAATTTCCACTAGCCAAGGAGTTTCGAAACCGCTCCATCAAAGCGCCTTCCTCGGACATTCCAAAAAGTCAAATTCTAAAGACGGGACGACAGACGGCCAATTTAACATTCACTCCAAATTACTTAATCAGAAGCAGGCGGTGTCTGAGGAACGTCCGAAAGATCTAGATATACCACTGAGGGAAGAACCGGGCTTGTAGAAATGTTTGTCTTTTTGCACACTTCCACAAAGCTAGATGCTAATTGCGGGGTGGTTGGCTCAGGCACAGAGTCAGGAATTGGAGCAAGTGAGCTACTATTATCCTGTGCAAACCCAGAGACCATCTGTTTGAATAGAGGCGTGATGGACGTGTTTTGCATGCTCAGGACCAAATTAGTTTTATGAAAAAACTATGCAGTGGCACAACTATGCCCGCGAGTACACCTCATCTCAACGCGAGATAAAGTCGGGAAGTTGGCGAGATAGCACCCCTCGCCTTCTCCAGGTTCTCGTCCACTCCATTTACTTTTCACCGAAGACACTCAGGAGTTTTTCTGGGCTGGGGTTATCCATCGGGGTAAAGATACCCCGGAAGACAGCCACACTTTATTCAGACGTCATCTCTCCCGAGCTAGTCCAAGAGGAAACGCTAACAGAAAGTTTAATTGAACAGGACCAAGGTAGGAAGGTACAGATCACGATGAGGAGTCTATTTTCCTTACTGTACCCCCACTCTTGTTACCGGAATGTTTCTGAGTGCAAAATATTCCTAGCAGTGGTCGATAGAAAGCAAAAGATGCACAAGGTTTATGAAGCTCTTCTAGACCTCGACTACTTACTGGGACCTGGGCAGAGTTATCTAGCTGTGTTGTCACCCATCAGAGCTGACACATCGCAAGCTGTTTATGCTCCTCTATCCCTTATCACAGATATAGGTAGAGCCCCGTCTATAGCACAGTCCCATGCAGCGACTTTAGCTTTGTCCATTAGATCTGTTTACCCTACACAAGAGACTCTCAGTCGGTTTCCGAAGGATTTGATGGTCAGACTCGATAAGCTAATCGACTTCTCACCTGTATCCAAGCAAGATCTATTCAGCAGGCCAGAGAAACGTGCAATTACAGAAAAACCTGAGCCAAACGTTGGTATGGAAACGCTGCATAGTACACACCTTAGAGGACAAGTCGACTCCGGTGCACATTCGGCTATTCTGCCCACACTATCTGCATATACAAAGCCACATGGCTCAGAACTTGCCCCTGCATCTCCATACCTTAATGTCCCAGAAGCTGCTCTGTCTTTACCACCTAGCCTACCATACTCTTCGACCCCTCTTTCATACACAAATATTGGAGCTAATCCCTTGGCTGCACTGCAAGGCACTACATTACGGCAGTCTAGCTTACCTTCTAGCGTTCTTCAGCGCGCTCAAGCTCCACCTTTGATACCAAAAATAGATCCTGCCAGTCTTACACAACTACTGGAACAAGAGTATCTTGCCCGCGAGACTACAATCTATTTATCAATAGTGTCAGCATTTAAAACAAAAAACATAGAGAGGCTGCTGTTTATTTTCGGCTTTGCTCCGACTTTTGTTCCTCGAGATAATATTTCCTCTCACACGATCTCTCAGTATATTAACTTCCCTCTGGATATTAACAGTGTTTCCTACTCAGCCCCCTTGTGTGCGTCCATGAGCGATGCGCCAATGCTAATGCAGCAGAGTGTCCGCATGGTCCTTACGCAGACAGACCAACACTGCAATACTATACTACACCTCCTGATGCAAACATTCCCGAGCACTATGATTATGGCCGACATGAATCCGCTGCGCTTGTTCCCGTCATTGGGGAATCTTACTATCGTTGAGCGCTCGGAGCTTGTTACAGAAAGACCGAGGCAAAAGACACTAGATCAAGATAAAGATAACGACAGTAGCGAATCAAATAGGTCCAGCGTGAGCACAGAGAACAATCCAGCCATGACACTAACTGAAGTTCTAGACTATATTCTGGGCACGTTCTTAGATAGGCTGTCAGATCTCCTTATTCCTGTAAAAGGGAAAGGGGGATCTCCACATGATGTAGGTTTATTCAGTTACAGCTCTAATATTTATGGCTCTATGGGGGATCCAACTTCGGGGTCCTATACCATGTCGCCGGAGGCTTTTAAGCTGCTCTGCGAGCTCCTTGATATTCGTAATAATGTGTTCTTTCAAAGAACTGTTGTATTCGCGTTGTTTAATAGCGAACTCGAGTACCCCTCATTAATAGCGTCCGGTTTGCAAAGTGATGACAGCATTCTTTATTTTCCTCTGCCTTATAACAACAATGAACAGTCACACATTGAGATAGAAAACACACTACGCTTTATGGGTCTTTATTTAGCCTTTTTATATAAAGCATTGCACCTAACCAATCTATTCTCCAACTGCAAGACTGAAGACGGCGGTTTTGAACAGTTCGCAGCATTTTGCGATGGAAGGAAGGGCACCACCTCTGTATTTGAAGAAGATATTGGCCTCAAAAACCCTTTTGGTGAGGGGAATCAGCTGCTGCAGGCATCTACCGATAACAATACAGAATTGCTCATAGAAGGAGTTAAAAACCAAAAGGTATCGTTGACGTCTGTTCTTTTTAACCTTAAGAACATCGAAGGGCATGTCTTTCAAGAAGAACTGTCAAACCACAATAGATACCAAAACGTTCACAGCGTCACACGTGCAGCTAATTCTCTTTCCTTACAGAACGTTCTAGACGAGTTAGGATATGGTCCTGACCCGGCGTCGATCGAGGAAGGTGGGAACATCTATATTTCTGAGTCGGGGGACCTCAATGCATATAAGATTCCGGCCATTGCATCTGTTATGCAGAAGGGTATTCATGTTTTATTGCTAACGAGTCCTGACGATGCTCACAGTTCAAGCATATACAAGATATTCTCTTCCTACAATCAAAACGTCTTCCCGTGCAGTAACACTGAGGAGCTGTCCGTGTTTATCAGTGAAAAAACACCCTTAGGAGCAGTTCTTTCAAAGGGTGTCAAGCTATTGCGGGCATGCGCCACCCTTGCGGATATTACTCTGACAACTTTGCACCCCATGGTACTTTACCCCGTGCCGGTACCTTCTGCTGCACACGCAGAAGTTTTTGATGAGGTCTGTAAGGACGGAGCGCGGGCTACGTCTCTGGGTCTTGTTGCCCAGATTGTAACCTGTATCGCAAAGGGGTCTATAGATGACATTCTATCGACTAAGGATGCGTTGTACGAAAAGCTATTCGGTACACCAGCATGGCTAGCTATCACCCAGTGCTATTGTAGCGGTATGCTATCATGGTTATGTCTTTTTACAGGCTCTATGTCCACTCAACAGAGTGCCCATACCACCACTGTATTGAATAGCAAAAGACTCCAAGGCACTCCTGTACATGGGAACACTGCAGTCTCACTTGCATTTGGCCCACTAACCGTGTCAACACCAGTCCAAGAACATCTCACACTTACATTGAATTCAGGTGCTGCAACTACTATAGACAGCCCCTCACAGACAGATTTAACCTCTAGCGTCACCTTGCGATCCATAAAGACGTTCGAGTTAGTGATAAATCAAGCCATTAAGACATATCTTAGAGCGCAATCCGTTATTCCATTGGCTGCCATGGTGGTCCATACAGAAGTACTACCATCTGAGAGGATATTGCGCGCACCACTTTATCTCATCTACCCTTCAAGTGAGGACAGAAGCAGACTTCAAGAAATATCTCGGATGCTGCTATCAGAGACACCCTCAATTACTCCATCTATAGATGCCCTAAAGGTAGATGAAAGGAGGAACTTATTCTCAATTAAGCACGCCAGCAACAGATCTATTCTATCTCAGGAGAATCACGCAACAAAGGACTTACTCTTGTCACGCCACATCCTGACAGAGCATAATACAGAGCCAAAGACTCCCAAGAAGGCGAATAGAAAGAATAAGAATCTCAAGATTGACACAGACAAGAAGCATAGAACAGCTACATGCTGGGGATCTATATCTATTGGACAATACATATCAGATTCATATGTGGAGGCTAGCAACCTCTTAGACGTACAACTGCAAATAGTTGTTGGCGGAATTCCAATTAAGGACAGTAAAAAAGGCAAAACATTGACCCTCAGAAACTTGCACATACTGAACACTTGGCGTACTATAGAGATAGCTTCTACAAACCCTTTTCTGTGTGCATTAAAGGCCTGCAAATGCGTATACAACTACATGTATTATCACTTTTACAAGCAGGGCAATATCCCAATGCCAAAAATAGAGTACTGTGCATCCCCTTCTGGAGATGACTATAAATGGTACACAAATCCCTCGCTAGCTCAAGAGAATCCCACGACAGATCGAAACGAAAAGCTTTCACACCGCCGTAGTACATCTACAAAACACTCCTCTAGACTCACTGAGCAGGCATCAATCTCTACTACTGCAAACCAAAGTTCTATTACCAAGAAAAATAGGCCATGTGAGCTAAAAATAGACCTAGGTACTAGACAGATAAAGCCTACAACTGTTGTACTAGCCGAATCGTCTACGATGGAAGATTGTGAGATATCGCATAAGGACTCTGAGTCCCAAAATGTCAAGGGTTGGAGAAGCACGTTTCCCGAGGAAAAAACGCAATCAGAGGTCCAGTCATGCACTAGTATAAGCACGTCGACCACCGACGTTCATAACATGGCTACTTGTACAGGAACAAGTGCCGTGCCCGAAGCGACACTCCTGCAACACCTCGAGAGTGCTAGGACAACCTTAGAAAACAAGCCTTCTCTTAACTCTGCACAGGGGGCTACTAGCCCTACAAAAACACCTAAGTCCAAGCGATTGAACATCCAACTATCAATAAGAAGGAGCAACGCTAAGATAACCCGCGAGACCAGGCAAAGAGCTAATTCTACCACTTTCAGCGGACACTCAAAAACAAATAGTAACACAAGCCTTGTCCCTGCACATAATCCCGAGCAACCGTGCCAGATACCTGTTTCAGACGAGTACGTTCAGGAGCAGTATCTTCATACCTTTATCGGAATAAAGGCCAAGACGAGCGACATAATACTAAGACCAGAAGTCTCTCTCCAGCCATATATTCGTCTTCCATCTGCCAGGGTTGATGGAGACTTTGAGGAAACATTGAAATACATTCCCAGCGAACTTGTTAAGAAGTGCGTGCTTCCAGGCGCTTTAAAAGCCGCAAATGATTGCCTTCAGCGTGAAATACGGATTACCAGCAAAAAGCCACTTGTTGTCCAGCTGGACCAACTTTCAGAGCCTATTGTTGCCCAAACTATGACCATAAAAAAGAGCACTAACGATGTTATTCTTTTCGGAGTTTTCGGTTATTCCTTTAATAATTGACTGGCTTAGCCATAACTTTTGGTGTTCGGTCGATAAGATCTATTGCATGCAAGCCGGAATATCTACTGAACTGTGTTAGGTTGAGGTCATATTGCACTTCTCCATTTTTACTGATGATTTGCTTGGCCATTTTGATGAGCTCATTAGTGTCAATCCCTTCAGATTCTTTTTGTGTTAGTGACCGCATCCTCAACATCAGCTGAGCAGTGGCCTCTCGCCTCAATTCTGCGCGACGCCGCTTCTTTTCTTCCTCTGACATGGTATCTGCTTCCTCTCGAGACTTGAACACCAAGCGGCTGCTTCGTGCAATTGCCGCCACCTCCTCGACTAGCGAAGGGTGAATGTCACTGGCCTTCTTCAAGCCGATTGGCCGAGACTTTTCCAGTAACGCGGCATAGTCTCCTTTGGCGGGGTCTGTCCATGGCTCTTGAGTGAGCGTAGCAGGTATTTTGCTGAGGCTTCCTGAACCATTAACAATCTTCAGTGAGTATTTCCTGGGCTCATCTTGTAGTATTGGATGCGAGATACTCGACCTTAGACGCCCCTGGGTATCTGTTCTGTTAACCTTAGGCAAATTAATGTGCGTGTGATCAACCACTATCTTTTCCTTCCACTCTTGCCGCTCCTTTTTCTTTAAATATTCTCTATAGTCAGCATCGTCGCGAATCACTGAGCCCATGCGCTCCTTGTCCTGGTCAAAATATTTGATTGGTTTTGAATGGGTATAAAAGACAGGCTTTCCTTCCGGTGGCTTCATGTCTGCGGCTACATGCTGTGTTAGAAGCATCCTCTGCACAGTGTCCTCGTCCCAGGGCACGGCCAGGTCGTCCTTCTTGTAGTCATCTATTGCTGTCTTCATGTCTGAGCGCCAACTTTGACCGCTGTGCTCAAAGGGTTTGCACTTTAAATTGGGCGTGAGTACGTAGCCCTTTTCAAGCTCATACTCTTTTGAGCCCCTTGTTGAATACCGAGACAAGTGCGGCAACTTGGGGTCACGGTACCCTTCCCATAGAGGAATCTTGTGACCCTTACCTTTGCCAGATGCTACTATAAGGTCCCTAGCCTTGCTCTGAAGGTTCTTGATCCCCAGTGTTTGATTAGAATACGAAAACTTCACCCTCCCAGCCACAGCATCTGAAACTGCTGTCCGCGAGCGCTCTGGGAGAAGACTGTTGTTCATTATTTGATTAACAATCTGCTCCTCATTAGTGTTAAGAGGTTGTACATTGCCATGCAGGCCAGATTCGTCGTCCCCATTCAGTTCATACTTCATGCGTTTGGTGAGGCTCAATAGAGTGCTTGACGCCAAATTAGCATCTGTAGATGATGCGGCACGCCTATGTTCCTTCATTCCATGGGCATCTTTCTGACGAAGGAGATCTGAGGCCTCGTGGGCGGTGGCTGCAAGTGTTGCACTGTAATTGGCAATCTCATCCAAGCCTGTTCCCATTATTGACATATTTATTGATACAGTATCACACATGCCGTGAGGCCTGATCCTTTGAGACACAGATCTGGTACCAACGCCCCATGAACCGCTTTTGGCCATCATGTCATCTGGTGCATTAACCAAGGGAACAACAGGACCATCTTTATAAGAAAGAAGGCTGATGGTTCTCATATGCTGTGGGAGAACTCCTCCAATCCACGTCTTCAAGCTCTGAATGTCACGGTCATTCAAAAATGCCTTTAGCGCAGCAATCTGTCTCATATTCATTGGGACAGGAGTATACTCTATTCTGAAACATCGTTTTACAACTTTTCCCAGGAGGTCATGCATAGGCTCCCCTTCAATCTTCAATGAAGTGAATAGAGACAGCATAGTGGCCAGCGCGCGTCTGTTTTGCGCGGTCGCTGTGGTTGCTGTCCAAGAGGATGATTTCTCAGCGAGGGCCTGTATCTCGTTAACAAAGCAAAACCTCTCTAAAAGCAGAGATGACGTTGGCATAAGTCTACTATCGAACTTGACGTTTGGACCGCACTTAGTGCATGGAGAGATAAGGCTGTCCGTTGGCATATCAACTTGTAACTTGGTCAAGCTGTCAACCTTCTGCGCAAGAGGCATTATCAAACCGTAGCATGCGGGGGCTTCTAAACATATAAGCTGAAAGCTTGGATCTGAGAAGTGCCAGCCCGTAATAAAGGGCGCTTTAATGCTATCGCAGGTGTTTGTTGAGCCTATTTTTTCCCGTACGTCTTTAATTGCTAAGACTTTTAACGAGGATGCACACTGGGAGAGCCACTCCTGTGTATCTTCTCTGGACAGAACGGATGATGCAGCGATTTCTTCTACAGATGTGCTATCTGTAACTGCTATCGCTTTCTCTGCGCTCGTGTGTTTCGCGCTCTGCCCCACTCGAGTATCCGGGTGCTCAAATTGTTCTGCTAGTTTCGGATTGAAGAGCCTAATTGCATTAATGTTCTTTTGAGCTACATACGAAAGAACAATGCTCGCTATGTACAGGTCATTCGGTTTGAGATAGAAGTATGCCCGTTCAAAGTGTTGCATAGAAGTGCTTTGCTGCTCGGCTAGTCTTGGTTCTGAAGTTTTAATGACAGGGTTCTTCTTTAAAAGGCTAGCAGTGGCGGCTTGCACCTTAATGCTGGCATCGTTCCATGATCCCAAAGCCAGAGTTTGAGGTATGGGACATGCCTGATTTATGGTGGAGGAGCACTCCATGTGGCGGAGAGCTACTTTAGACAAATCGGGAACCTGTGTTATTTTATACTTAAATACGGGCTTGAGGCTAACAACTGTGTCAAGAACTCTATCATCCTCGGTTAGAGGAACCAGATTGATCTCAGCTATCACTGAGAACGAAAAGAAATCATCTTCTCGAGTGTCTTCATCGTCCTCTTTGGGCTTGGACGGTAGTTTCTTGGTGGTAGTGGCAGGAGTGGCTTTGGCCTCCTTTCCAGAGTTGGGTTGTTGGTTGACTGGGGTTTCTCGTTTAGGTTTGGCTTTGTAAAAAAGCTCAACAGTTGCCGGAGTAGTGGCAAGTTCGGCATATAGTTGTGCAATTTCATCCGTGGTGGTAAATGCCTTTGCAACGCACAGGTTTACGGCTGTTTCATCCGATTGCAGGTACTGCATGCTTATCCCCTGACTTGTATTCGTAGTTAGCTGGTTCTGTGTTCCTCCTAAAAGCTCATGTGATATTGAATCAGAGTAGTATGTCGTGCCGAAGATAGTAAGAGAGAGCTTTATTGGTTCAAAGAATGCTGTGCGATAGTTCAGATCTCCCACCAGGGGTATACCTTTAAAAGAGAGGATACGAATCACGAATACGTTTAGCGTTGTCTCTGTAATGGCACGGGGAAGAAAGGATATGAATCTTTGTGTAGAATCCTTGGAAACATGAGATGCTCGTAAGATTGAAAGCCGGAGGAAGCCATCCAGACGCAGATCTGGTAAAGTAGATGATAGGAGGCAAAAGGAAGTCTTTAGTGGTAGATCAACGAGAAGTATAGATGCTGGAAGCAAGAGAGACGATGACGTTTTATCTTGGTCTTTTTCTTTATCTGAAGCGAGGGGACTGCTGAGCATAAGCTTTATGGGGTTAGTTAAAAACTGCTGAACAAGCCCAAGTGGATTAGGTATGTCTATTTCTTTGAAAATGGCCTCTACCAACTTGATGTCAGCACCCTGATCGACGGGCACAGGCTCTTTCTTACTGGGCTCTTTTTTGGCAACTGGCTCAGGAGGAAATTCTCCGTTGATGGTATAGTAGGGTAGGGAAATAGGTGAGACCCCTGGGACTATGAGCTGCAGGACTGGCAGAGTACTTGAGAAGGGAAGAAACGAGGCCTCAAGATTAAAAGAGATCGACAGCTGGAGAGTTGCCGTCGATTTAATATCAGAACCTTGTTTGTCTTGTTTCTCTTTGCTCATTTCGATAAGGAATTTCGGGCTCTGTATAAATTTTTAATTTTGATGGCCGATCTGACGGCTAAATGGTTTCAAGCAGTTGCCAAAGGCTATACCAAGGTCATAGAAATGAATATTGACAAGTATGCGCACACTCAGGATGAGCTGGGAGAGACAGCCTTGATGAAGGCAGCACGCATGGGCAACAGAGAGCTAGCGGAGATACTCGCTCCTCATGAATCTGGTGACACAAATATTAAAATGGAAACAGCACTCATGATCGCCGCGGCATCTCAGTCAGCAGAGATCGTCCGGTTACTTGCAGAACTAGAACCTTGTTGTAGATTGAAGGATGGATGTACAGCTTTGATGATTGCCACAATGAGCAGCAATGTGGAGGCAGTGAAGATACTTGTCAATCTGGAAGGGGGGCTTCAGCGCCTTGACGGAGCCACCGCCCTCATGCTAGCAGCAAAGAAGAACATTCACTCTGTAATCCCTATACTTCTTCCGGTTGAGAATAAGATCCAGGACAAGACGGGATGGACTGCGCTCATGTATGCAGCGAAGAGTAACGCACTTGATGCATTGAGATTGTTGTGTGCAGAGGAAGCCAACATCTCAGAGGAGAACGGCAAGACAGCCCTCATGATCGCCGTTCAGGCTGGCAACTTCGATGTTATTGAGGATCTGTCCAGGCACGAAGCTGGCAACCGCAATAAGCTGGGGTGGACTGCGTTGATGCAGGCTGTCCAAGATAACAATATAGATGCAGCAAAGCTTCTTGCAGCCGTGGAAAATGGGCTACAATCGAACAACGGCATGACAGCACTAATGATTGCAGCCCAATCAAACTTCCTGGAGATTGTTTTGCTACTCTGCGATGTTGAAGACATGTACCAGGACTCCCGTGGGCGGACAGCGCTCATGCATGCAGCATACGCAGGTCATGTGGATATAGTTAAGATTTTGGCAGACCGGGAAGCCCTTGTCGTGGACACAAATGGCATGACTGCGATGATGGTAGCGGCCTTTGCAGGTCACCTTGAAGTTGTCGAGTTTCTCTCAGCCAAAGAGGCAAAAATAAAGTGCAAAAACGGCAAAAGTGCATACGATTATGCAGCATCTAAGAACCATAAGGCGATATGCGAATACTTGCGCCCACTAGAGAGCTTTTAATCAGTAAGATCACACAGCCTTTCAAACCCATCCCAGTCTAATGACAAATATGCAATGACATCAAGGCTTAACAAGAGCTCTAAACCACTTAAACCCAAAGAGGATACTTGAGAAATATTTTCTTGAGTCTTGAAATTAGCATAGAAAGGGCTCGCAAGTAAAGGTGGACACATGAACCTAACAACTTCTGAAGGTCTAGGACCCAGAGAGCAAGTAGCAAGTGCACAAAGCAAAGAAGCTCTTTTTTAGAGTTGAGCGATGTCCGAATCATTGGATTTAGAAGATGGCGGAATACACACTTGAATGACAGCGTCCACTGAGCTTCTTTTAGATAGGACTAGGCAGCAACACCCTAGGTGACATATAAATGTGCGTGTTTATACATCTTTTGAAGGGTAGGTCGTCCTATGCTAAGAGAAACCCACCATTATGGTGTTGGACGAACATACAAGTAAGGAGTGAAAATGCTTCCACAACTACTCCACATCCCACAGATCAATTAGTTTTGCGCCTGGCCTTAAGTAAAAAGCTAATGGGACCCCAGAGATAAGTACAAACAGATAAAAAGAGAACCATATGGTAAACCGAAGTAAAGTAAAACGTGAACAGACTGCTTCCTAACAAGATAAAAATAGGATATGTCTTCCCGATGTCAGCATTAAGACCAAACTTAGAGTATGCCCTGTACGCATCAACAACGCGTTTGAAAGCTTTCCCAAAGCGCCTACCAACGCTTGCAGCCAGCATATGATGACGCTTAATATCGTCGTCAGTTATCTCGCACCCATCATTGACCCCAAAAAGCCTCATGATTTGCTCACTTCTTGACCAGTTTGTCCTCAGAACAACGTAGTATATTCCCGTGAGTGCCATCGCACCCAGCGAATTGGGGACGAAAGTGTAACTGTACAAGACCAGCACTGTAAGAAGCACTGAAACAAGATACATGCCCTTGTCATGAAACGTCACGCCGCGTAGCCAAAGCGTGACCACGCGCTTGTTGGACTGAATCATCTGCAGCACAAATCTTTCGAGAGTTTCCTCAGCCTCCCTGATTGTGTCGACCTTGAGCATTTATTTGCAAAATTAAAACCCGTCGATGAGTTCTCAGAATCGAGTCACCGAATTTCTTCAGGTACGCAATCAACTAGAGTCCAATTATAAAGATAGCAAAGAAAGACTAAAGGAATTAGTTGACGAGCTTTCTAATCTTAAGCAAAAGGCTAAGGATTGTCTCAGAAAACACGACAGAGAAGGGGCTAAGCGGCACCTTTATCGTATGCAAGGTATACGAGGGCAAGTAGACCTCATCGTGATAGTGATTAAAAAGCAGCAAGCCCTCATCTCAGAACTCGATGTCAAGCTAAGCCACATACAGAGTTAATATTACTTCTTTTTGATGCTTGTTACTGCAGATAATCTTATGGGGCGATTTTATTTCTGGCCAGTTCGTAGTTCGTATTTTCAGTTGCAGTTTTTTCTAACGTTAAAAAAATTTGTCATCTGAGGACAGGCTTGATATGCCTCTCTCACATGGGCATGAGCCCTCTCTCCTCACTTGGTCTTCACTCCTGCACTCCCTGCCAGATTCTGTCCGCCAACGGGTTCAACAGAACCGTGACGCTGAAGAACTTAAAATTACTTTTTTTGACAGGATTGATATTTTTTTGGATATAGTTTTACGCAATGGCTATTTGCAGTCATCGGAGCTTCAGCACATGATCAAGGCATCGGAAGATGCCACGACTCGCTCCCTTCCTTCCGTTGACACTCTGATTGAGTCTCTCTGTAGGAGGTACGATTTGGTTACTCAGCACCTGATAAGGCACCTCTGGACCCAGAGGGACATAAATGATCAACTTGAAGCACGCCTAAATGCCAAATGCTATGCTTACCGTGAGATTGTGCGAACCATGGGCGTCATCACGGGAGGTTCAAACGGAAAAGGGCTACTGTACCGCATAAATAAGCGGCTTTCTGCACTAAAACAGGAGCTCATCAGCCTTCATTCTTCTCGAGAAGCCTTTGTCAACGCTACGAGGCAGAGTCCACTTCTACAGCACATCTCTCGGTTTGAAGCAACTTGTGCAGATGCACGCATACACCTAGAAGCACTTTTCGAGAAAGTTGAAGCGCTTGCCCAAACCTCTCTTTCTACAGTTGTTGTGTCTTCAGCTGTAGATGCTAATAGTTAGAATTTAGAATAGAGGATATGAGATCCTCGCGGCTTAATAAGAGTGACATTGCTTCCTTCTACTTCAACTCGTTGCATGTGCAGTTTTTTTTCTTGCTGATTCTTCGTCACTTTTTAACGCTTCGAGGCTGCGGCGTGCTCTGTCTATCTTTCTTCTTCTTTGTGGACGCTATGGTCTTTCAGCTTTTTAATCCAATACTTGTATATCTAGATTTATTGTCCACTGCAATCTTGTTTCATAAGGTTCGTCGTTACAATAAGCCCATCTTACCCTTTGTCTCTCAGGATCCCATCGTCTCTTTAATATTGACTCTAGTACTGCTACTACCCTACTTCTGTCTTTGTTCTGTTATCGGAATGTTCGTCAATGCCATGCATAGAAAGATGCACTCAACTAGCTTTTCGTACTTTTTACGTCAGTTTTTACTTCTTTGTACCAAAACCGTCCCACTTATTTGTCTCCTTTCTCTCTATCTAGCTTCATTCTTCAATGTTCCGCAGACTGTTCACAGCACAGATGTTGTCGCTGTTGATGAGTTAGTAATTAGCATTTTCGCATTTATGGGTCTCATCTCATATTATGGCGTCACGCGTGGCCTGGTGAATTTCGATGCAACAATGGCACTGACTTGTAGCCAGTCTGGACGCGTTCTTCCGCGCGAGCTTAATATTTCCACTCTCCTTGTTCAGCATCTAGGGTACTCACTGTACCAGCAATCTGACTTTTCTTTTTCGCACATGTTAAGGCTTAGCTATGCTGACCTGTCAACTGTGCTGCGTAGGCTCGTGAGGTATGCCGCCAATTGTACCACCGGGGGGACGTGTTCTCGTATTATCTACATACTAACGTCTCTGTTGCATAAGATGCACCAACAACAACATGATATTATCACATTTATCATACAGTTGTTCAGCATAGGATTAGCAGGGGCTGTTTTGTTCTTTGTTCCCAACCTACTGTCACTTGCCTCTTCGGCTGCTCCTCCTCACCTGCAGAGTTGTTCATTACCACAGCAGCTGTGTGTGCTTTTTCAAAGTATGAACTTGGAGGTTATTGTAGCGTTTCTTCTCTCGTTTGGACTGGACTATGCACTGGTTCAGTTCCTCTATTCACTATTTGCAACCATCTACTCTGGATCTTCTCTGTTGGTCCTCGTTCGTTTGGGATTTTGGTTCAGAATCCTTGAAGTGTTGAAAATCACAAGAGTTATCTCTCTTTATTTAGATCACCGTCACTCCCTAAGTGCCCGCTCGGTCCTTTCAGTTTTCATTAGAATGCAGCTATGCTCTATCACGTTCTCACGATTTATAGTTATCACCATTCAGTACAAAATGATGTCAGACCATATCTTTATCAATATTCTCACGAATACGCACAAGCGTCTGGTAAAGCACAGAGCTATCTATGGTCTCAGTGGATTTAGTCAGTTGGATTTTAAAACAGCCCATCTTCCACGTGCTCTAAGAACACTGGAGACAGCGGGTGTAATGGCTCACATTTCCAACGCTGCTTCTAATACTATAGAAAAATATGCGTCACTATTTAAAGCATTCTGGTGTCTGCTCTATTCTAATTTTTTCAGAAACTGGGGCTATAGCTTGCGACAGCAATCTCAGTGTATATTTTCATCACAGACCTCAGATACTTACTTAGACATCTTAGATCCATCGCACACGTTTTTAGCTAACAACATACCCCTCTTCGTTATCGAGGCAGAGCGGTTTATAAGAGTCTATCAAGCAGAGGTTAACGACAGCAGCATGATACAGCTATACAAACACATTCTTGAGTATCAGGAGTCTTGCTTAACGTGTGCGGACTCACTGTTCTTGGTAAAATCTACGTTAGAGACGGTTGCCATATTCTTCAACAATACCGTCAGAGCTCTTCTAGGTAAAGTTATTCTATCAGACAGAAGTAAGTCCACTGCACAGGGTGCTACCTCCGCTCACCATGTTATCAACTATAGGTCTCTCATTTCCGCCATCACATCGTCCTCCAGTGCAGGTGACACCCACAACGGCGTTCATCTCTATAATAGTACGGGGGCAAATGGGAGTTCTCTCTGTAAGAAGGATGCTTCTACCAAAGAGTCAGGGATCTCACATAGTAGCCTTTCTCACCAATGTGGTAACCGTGATAAGCGCCCCGCGAATTCGTCACTGGCTCACGCCATCAAAGACTGCTCCTTGTCAGATCCATACCCCACAGACCAAATAATAGATTCAGCGAAAGTAACTCCAGCGACTTTGAACCGGAGCAAAAGATCTATTCTCCGGTCCTTAGATTATATCAAGACCCACCCCTTTCAAGTCACACCTCGACTGATCCACAAATTCACCGATGTGTATTCCCAAAGTTCTGAACTGGCCTCTCTCCAGACCCCACTAATGAACATTGACTTTCTAGACCCGTTTGATGACTCTCACGCATCGATCGGCCAGCAGACCATGGAAGAGAGCAGCTCTCTTTCTGTGACAGGCCAGAAGCTTTTAGAGTACCAACAGCTTGAGAGAGCCCTTCATGACTTATCGTATCCCACTTCTACTGGCGAGTCGCTTTCGCCGTTTGGTGACAGGACCAGAAAGAAGAATTCCAGCAGTGAGCTTGCTGTCTCCATTAACGTTCAAAAGACGGCTGTGACATTCCCCATCCCGTTCTCCCAGCAGTGCAGCTTCAATAGCACGCCAACTTCTTCGTGTAGCACCCCCATCAGCACTCCGGCATTCTTCTTTTCAAATGTCAAGCCCCTACCTCACAATACACTGAATACGCTGCCGTACCCCGGAGCAAGTCGTAAGTACAGACTTAAAGAGCTTGAGATTCTAAACTACTTAGCTGTCGATGATAATGCTGCATTGATGGATCCGTTAAAAGATCGGAGCCTCTACTTTGCCCTCCTAGAGGATTTAGAGAAGGCTCTCTCGACTACCTTCTTTGACTGGGTCTTCGTTTTTGGCTTCACCATTAGTGCTGGCTACCAAGAGGCTATCTATTCTGATGTTATTGAAAGAGCATCGAAGGCACAGTTCATGCTTCAATACGCGCGAATGGCAAACTCGACCATCCGGGTGATTCCAAAGCTTTTTCTGTCCCTGCTGTCGTCTTCTCTTGGGGTAACATTGTTAGTGGCTCGGTGCCGGAAGGGCCAGAGCCCCCTCGTGCACGTCATACAGTGTGACGTGTCATTAGATATCTGTCCTTCGCCCAGCTGTACGTCCACAAATACGTCACAGATCTCAGATTCCATCATCTTTTCTTCCATAGCAAGTGTAGCAATTCTGGATCCGCAAAAGCTACTACTCCTCTGTAAAACAATGCAGGTGTTCACAATTACCTTAGAACGCCTCCAGAATCACTATAAGATGCACAAACTAGCAAGCATGATGTACACAAGAAAGAAGAGGGAGAAATCGCAGTATCTAGCGTACATAACACACTGCTTAAACTGTGCCGTGGTTTTCCATTCCATATCAAGCCGTGTAATGGCACAATCGCAGGTCTTCTCGAAGGAGCAGCGCAGGCTGCTGGTTAGTCTTCACCGCTTTGCAGAGCTGAACGTGTATAACTTGGAGGTGATCCTCTCAATTATAAGGTTCAAAACAATCAATCTCGATGGTTTCACCAAGCGCATACAAAACTGTCTTCTTTCTTCACACGACATAAGCATCACGTTGGCCAGCAAGGGGTCGTCTTGGAATCTATTTGATATTCTCGATAGAGTTCTTATTGAGCAGAACCTTGCGCTCGTTGCCGATCTTCAGCCCATATACACGATTGCCTTGTCGAATCGTCGCTGGCGCAGCCCAAGGACGTGCTCTATCCAAGCGTACTCGCTTCTCTCCCCGCACAATGTTCACTACTCCGATGAGAGGGCCGCCACTGGTGGGCAATCCACTATGGAACTCGTTAATTACGTTCTTTACACTAATGTGCAAATGACTTACAACTTCAAGCTCGCCTTTCTCATAATCTCATCACTCCACCGATACCTATACGCACACGAGGTGGATGTGCATATATCTGATGGGTTAGCCGAGAGAGTGGACTCTGGGATAAGTAATGACGTTGTCTACGGGTCTTCTGACCTCATTGCGCGATATCAATACGCATCCGATAGCTCTTACTTAAAACAGTGTAGCAGGAGCAGGAGTAGGAGTAGGAAGGGCAATCCTGTCTTTGCTGGGGCAACCCTGACGAGCTTAGCGACAAATTACCTAACGGTGGACTTTGTCATCGAGAAGATTCCACCCCAACTGTATGACGTCTTCGCAGTAGCTATTTGTAACTGTTGGGCGGCCTTATGCTCTGATATGCCATATATTTATCTGCAAAAGGCACTGGGGTCATACCTATCGAGACGGCACGGGGGCACAGCCCCCATTGTTCGGCGTGCTTGCAGTTGTCCAGCAGCTGGTGCCACTTTTAACTTTATTCCTAATCCTGGTACACCACGATCTGGTGTCTATAGTCACAATGACTGGTCCGTCGAGTCAATGTATCTTCTAGACGCAACTAAGATACTTTCACACATACTAGCGTTGAAGGCTCTGCTGTTTGAGCAGTGCTCCTTTTCTATTGATGATTCCCGTATCCATCTGCGCGTGCACATGAAGCGGGCAGGAGATCCTGGTCTCTCCGAACTCGTGTTACCAGATACGGACTCCTGTGCATCGAGCATGTACGGTGAGCAAGGGGTAATATACACTCCGCCACACTGTGCGGAAAAAAAGCTATACCAGCAGAAAACGACAGAGGCCCCTCGTCTCACCGCGGATTTAAATCATGAAGGGATAGTGGGACTGGGACGCATGTATCCAAATCTTCTAGACCCAGTGAGTGAAGAGACGTCAAAGAGCGAGGTATCCCGCGGGTATCCCGACATGCAACCGTCCATCGTGTCCACAAAGTTTGGATTTGTGCTTCTAAATAGGTTACCTTTAGTGACACTATTTACTAAACCTGCGAGGATATTGCGCGCAGTCTCTTCAGCAGCTGCATCGCTGAACATGGACCTGCTTCAGTGTGCTTCTGAGGACGAACTCAGTCACAGCACTTATCCAGCATATGTGCTGTGCCAATTGGACATTATAGATGACGCTCATGGCCATACCTCAAGGGATGACAAAGTGATACTCACTTTCAAAGGCTTCATGCCGCAGACAGATGCCGAGACTAGTGCCATGCACCCAATTGTCTTAAAGAAAGTGACTGTCCAGACCTCATTCTATTCCTTTTGCATTGCACTGGGCAGCCTGCTTAAGGACTTTCTTGCTGCAGCAAGGGCTGGCGTAAATTAAGGTGTAATACAAGGCTGGGTGTTAATAAAAACCAGTTGTGTTCTGTTCGTCAAACCTGTGGAATGAGTACTAACCCAAGCAGGCAGGGCCAGAAGCAGCAGGAGGCGGTGATAGTATGTTCCGACTCGTTAGATTTTACCGACGAAAACAACGAGGCAATTCTAAAGGAGGTGAAGCGGCGGCGTGCCAGGAGAGCTGCAATGGCGTTCTGTCATTGCATGAATACAGACAGTCACGCTAAGAGAGGCTCCTCCGGCATTCCATTATTAATTGAGCCGTCCGGGAGAACCTTTAAGCGAGGGCAGATGACCTACACTTCTTCGCAGAAGAGGTATCTAGAGCATGGGGACAGACGCTTCGTGAATAAAGAAGATGACGTTGGAAGTGACATAGAAAACGAAATCCCTCTTGCCTTGACATCCATATCAGATTTCTCTAAATCGTCGTGGATGCTTCCAGATTAAGCTGAGTGGAGTCTTTCTCGAAGGGCACATAAAGCACAGTAGTCACTCATGCTTGTTCGTAATTAGTGAATACTTTTTGCAACATATTGTTTACTTGTCCTTCGACGCGTTTAGTGCGCAGTGGTGGAGGTAGTCTTTAGAAACTTTTCACACGAGACTGAAAGGATGAGAAAGTGAGTGTATTGCTTAACGTACTCTCTCATAAAGCCACGAGTGAAGATTGCACCTGTTTTAGAGGCTGCTTTGACGACATCATCTAACCCATTCTTGTACTTTGCCAAGTAAGAGTTAGACGCCTCCCCAGCCTCTTCCCTAGTATAGGTATTGTTCTTCAGAGCGAGATACGGACGTACAATCAGACGAATTCCCCTGGCAAGGCTAGCCACAGTGTTTATCACTTTCAAACTCGAGAAATTAAATTCCCGGCAAACCCGATTGGCCTCAATCAAAATGTCTTGGTTGGATTTGCCCGTCAAATATTCAGCGTATATGTAGAAAAAGTCTACAAGCTTCTGGATGTAGGGCACAGCGCACTCCAGAGATCCCGGGACCATAAGGGCGGGGACAAGCTTGCATATTGTTGATCCTTGGAGAGAGACAGTTTTGAACAAACCGATATCACTGACCTCCGGCAAGACCGTGATGGAATAGTAGCACACGCTGTACGTGTTGGGTATATCGATAACGTGACGACGATCAATAGTGATGGTGTATTGTGGCCGTACCCCTGAAAGAACGATAGTGGTTATGTTACTACGATCGGTTTTGTTCTCTTGGACATAGGCCCCCTTCAAGCCTTGCATTTTAATTTTTATGAGAGATTGCCCTGAGGTACAGAAAATGGGTAGAGTGTGCTGCCTCGGCATTTCAGGAATCGGTTCTTTGCTGCTTGAAATCACAAATATTAAAGGAATCCCCACGCAGTAGAATCAAATTTAAAATGAAGCCTGAGGAGGTCATGCGATCATTCCGAGATACAGAAGTCGCAGCCTTTTACCTTATGATGCGGGCCTTCAAGCTAGACCATAACGACTTTTTAACTAAAATGTCACTAGTGGCTCCTGTAGCACGCGCCTTACGGATTTCGGATGAACAAGCCACCGAAATAATGCACTATCTGCACGACGATCCAGACATGGACGCCCTCGGAGCCATTGTGTCGCAGCATATTGAAACAATGCACGTCCCAGAGCCTTCTGTGGACGCATTCTCCAAACTCCTATTGCCCAATTTTGAATATTCTTCTTTGGAGCCTAATGCCACCGCAATCCAAAGACAGCAAGTAGAGATTCCTGGCTGGAAGAAGTTAGATTTGCGTTACTTTGAGAACCTTTCTGGAACACGGGATAATGGAATGGCTAGATTTCTTCGCATTCTGACAAATCGCAAATTCAGCCGTTCTCGAAAGTCTGATATCACAGTGGGCTTCCTGAAGGAAATACGCCGGGAACTTGTGCGCGATCTAAAGCAGATTCTCTTTAGCGCCAAGGGCAAGTAATTTTAAATTTGGAGCATCTTGCCTGCGTGATTCCCTGAGTCAATGCCAAATTCGAGTATCAAATAAATGTAAATTTAATGGAGCCAGATCAGACATATGGGATTCTTTGCTGCTCCTGCGGGGTCCCCATTGAGCCTAACCCCACCTCTATGTGCCTTCCCTGCCTGCGTGCGCGGGTAAATATAACAAAAGGGATTGACACAGAGCAGACCCTAATCCACTGCCACCAGTGCAATAGATACAACGTGGGGAACGAAAAGTATGTTGCTGCAGAGCTAGAATCTCCACAGCTGCTTGGAATCTGCCTCAAGAAGATACGTGGATTACAGCATGTGCGGGTTGTCGATGCTGGCTTCATTTGGACGGAGGAGCACTCAAAGCGCATCAAGGTGCGCTTGCTCATTCAGGCGGAGGTGCAGCAGGGCGCAGTTTTACAGCAAGAGCACATCTGTACCTTCACGGTTGTGTCTACTCTGTGTGTACCGTGTCAATACACTCACACGGAGCACACATGGAGTACTCGGGTTCAGGTGCGACAAACGGTTAACCACAAGCGCACGTTTCTTTACCTGGAACAGATTATCCTTCACAACAGAGCTAAGCTAAACATTAGTAACATTAAGGAATATCCCCATGGATTAGACTTTTACTTCACGTCACGATCAGATGCAGGTAGATTTGTTGATCTTCTTCACAACTCTGTTCCCGGAAGACATTCTGAAAGCCAAAAGCTTATTTCTGCAGATTTAAAGTCTAATACGGCGACCATAGAGTATTCTGTTATGTTTGAGATTGCCCAGCTATGCAAGGACGATCTCGTGTATCTGCCGCGACGCTTCTATAACCAGCTTGGCGGTCTGGGCCCTCTTTGTATCGTCAGCAAGGTCAACTCTCGAATTCATTTCGTTGACCCTCTCACGGGAAACACAGGGTCACTAACGGCAGCGCAATATTTTGAAAAGCCATTCACAGCGTTTCGTGATCGACGGCACAAAGTTGAAGGAATAGTGCTTGTATCTGAAGAAGAAAACAGTAGTGGAAAGCGGGGCCAAGGATCTCCGATTGCATATGTCGAGCTCCAGCGTGAAAACGACATGTACGAGGGGGTGACCGTGCATACCAAGACGTATCTCTCCTCCCTTTGCAAGCCCGGGCGCTCTGTGGCTGTGTATAGCTTGGACAACCTTGACTTTCAAGCCTACGGAATCACTCCTTCGGACATATATTTAAATCTCAGAGTGGTCATTGCGGGCAAGTGGAAGGGCACTAAGCAACACTCTAAGCACAAGCTAGCTCGATATGAAACGGAAGAAGGCGTGGCCATCGTAAATGCTCCAGACGACGATATAAACGCACTACTGGAAGAGATGTACGACGATGAGACGAGAGACAGGGAGCTTGACGCTCTCATGAACAACCTCGGGCAACTAAACCTGATGCAGCCCCCGTCCTCAGGTTGCATGCACTCGGCCCCAGCTGCATCAAACACACTTACTTATATGCCGTTTACCTCCGTTAGTGGTATACAGTATCAAGGATTTTGCCCTCAGTGACAGAAACTCCAGAAATGTCAGCAATTAGGGCTGGAATACCACTTGCTAAATCTGCTGACTACATAGTTAGTGCACCCACGTTAAGTTGCGGGAGATGCTGGAGTCCTGCTATTGCTCTCACAAAGTCCTCTATGGCGGCACGCTGGGCCGCAAATGCATTTACGATGTCACTCCTGTCTGCTGTTCGAGGAAGTGGTGCCTTGAAGAATAGGGACATGACCGGCATTAGATTGTTGACTGGCTTAAAGTTTAGCTTGGAAACTAGTTCTTTAGTTACGCACTTAACGGGGGCTTGCGACTCGGCAATATGCGCAACCTCCACATTTGCCAAAAGTGCTGCAAAGCATATCATGTCAACCATTATTGGAACAGCTAAGAGCGTGTCCTCGCATGTGTTATAAATGGAAATAGTGCTGGAGCCATTCATGAAGATGTCGCTCACGTACTCATCGAGAGCTCGCTTGCTGTCACCCACGTGCGGAACATACTTAATCACCACCGTATGATCTATCGAGGGGTCTACCTGTCCCTGCCGATCTCTAGAATATAGAAGCGGTGCCTTGTCGATGATATCGTCAATGACAGCCGTTTTTGAAATTTCCTTGGATCTGAATTGCTTTTCCTGGCTTAGATTACGGCCGTCATTGTTTCCTAGATGATTATACGACGTTATAGCACGCACGCGAAGACCAGAGCCGACAAGCATGTCGGTAAGGAAGGACTTGAACTTCGTTTGACCCGTTTTAAAGTCATCACCGGCCAGCAAGCAGCCCAGGGAGCGGGCGTACTCTTGAAGACCGGGTACCAATGTGTTCTGGGGCGCCCCATTTAGATAAGTGCACCCCTCTTCCACAGCAGCGACTGCGTAGAGTAAGGATGGAGCCAAGTACTCAGACGAGTCAGGATTGACTACACTACTCAGCTCCTTCAGAAGCTTGTCCTTGGTGGGAAGATGCTTCACAATGAGTTCCTCGTCGCAGCACCTCTCTGTGCTAGCTGTCCATAAAACGAGGGTTTGCGCGGGTCCATCTGAGCTGGTTAGACCGTTGATACGCTTGAACTCCCTAATGTGGCTTCGGAGAGTATCGACTATATTGCGGTAAGTTGTCTCCTTATCAACCGGTACAAGGTTGTCTGCGCGCTCCTCCTGCGTGGACGCTAGCCAGGAGCCGTAGGAGACTGCGGGATAGGGCTTGCGTGTTTCAAGGTCCGGCTTCAGCTGATCAAGAAGCTCTGGCTGGAGTACACAGGCCTCCACTTGTGCCTCGTACAGGTTTTTTGAGGAAATATCCCACCCGGACAAGTAAATCTCTGTTGGATCCGGAAATGGGGCCAAAGACCTGAACGGGACGTAAACTGTATCGATCGCAGACATACCTACAGCGCCGACAGCCGTGCAGGCGTTGGCCACAACGGATCCGAGCAGGTTGGCCGTCTTTAAGCCTGTCTTTTCACGCCATGCAAGTTTGTGCTTGTTGGCAACCAGCCCGGCCACAAGGGTGGACCCGTTGCTACCGCCGAGCCCGACAAGCATAACTCCGACACGCTGAGGCAAGATATTTGTTTTGAAGACGAACGATTCATTCTTTGCGGCGACACGTGTAACGCCCTCTCGTCGTGAAACAGAGGTGGACGCCGTATTATATGCTGCGTAGCGGGTCCCTGCCTCAACATAGACCCCATCAACGTCGATGCACTCAACAAGCATTGCAAAGGACAGTCAAGGATATTCTGAGAGGCCCGAAATAACAGTTCAATGTTATATTGCATTTTTTCTAATCTTTCAATTTATTTTTCCATTATTAGGTGAAATAAAACAAGCTGAGCCCCGATGAGCGTTAATTCGGAACCGACCCGAAAGCGCCTGGCTACGACACTCCCACTTATCTTCCGACAGACATCCTTAGCAAATTTATTGATTGAAGCATACGATGTAACACCTATACCATGTCACTTCTATACCCCAATCTTGCGTGAAAATGATGACACTGTCCTCAGAGAAGCAGCGCGGGTTGGAGACATGGATACCGTGGTTAAGAAATTGGGTTATCTTGGCTTGTGTTCAACCGATGGTCGCACCGCACTTATGGAGGCAGCCATGCGTGGCCATCTCGAAATAGCGCAGCTCTGCATGCTTGAAGCCGGTTCTACCACCATTCCCACCAGCAAATATAATCTGCCAATAATTTATCGTGACGACACCAACTTTTCTTGGAGCTCCGAATCAGGAGAGACCACAGATTATTTGCACCCCAACGCGTCAAGTTTCGACAACTTTTCCTTCTATGACTCTCGCGGGGAATTTACTGATAATATAAATGATTTTATGAACCGATTGAACCCTGCTAATTCTCGACCCAATATCATTGCAAGTAATACTGAACTGAGTGAGTCCACTGACGACATCGGCACCGGTGACTCTGCTCTTTATCATGTTACTGAGTCGATGGACACGCCCTCACGAGCGCTATCAGCATCATTTGACATCTATGAGGCAAGACCAACACACAACACTAGCACAACCCACACAGATCCTGCTTCACCACGGAGTAGCATGGAGTATTCCGCATCATCAAACAGTATTGTATCTTCATACTCCTCTGCGCCAAGCTCCTCCTCAAGTACATCCGTTAGTTCTCGTACAATATCATCTATGAACTCAACCATAGTCCTGAAGAAGGACGCTACCAAGATTGACACTACATTTTATATCTCATCTAACGAGGACCGGTCCCTTTTGCTCTCTCCTTGGTCCTCCGCATACAGTCATTGTTTGCGGCGATTACTGACGGATGATGAGATGCTGACGACGCCAAAGTCTTATCGACAAGCTTGCGAGTATTCGTACTTCAAGGTCGCTGCCAACACCGCTCTGACCCTAGCAATTAGCAATCATCAGCGGAGCACTATCCTCCTACTCATCGACAAGGAGATAGGAATGGCTGGTGTGACTCACTTAATGGCCTCTGCCATTAAGGATGATATTCCAGGAATGCTGCGTTCTATGGACTACATCAATGCCCGCGACGCAAATAGGTTCACTGCACTGTCGCTGGCTACCATGTTCGGGCATCTCAAGGCAGCAGAGCTCATAGCCAATGAATTTATAGATATGCCCGATTACCCTACGTGGGCAGATCCTCTTGTGATAGCAGCTAGGTACAATTTTCTGCAGCATCTGAACCTCTTTCTCGAGATAGTTCCTAAGCCGATCACTTCTGTTATCTCTATGGACAGGATCAGAATGGCTCTGATCGAGGCAGCGAAGGCAGGGCACCTGGATTTTTTGAGGATACTCTTGTCCATCTGTGGGCGTACTAAAAACATTTCAGCAAACATCATCATTGCAGCGGCAGAGCACGGCCATCTTGAGTGTGTAAAATACTTCGCAACAGCTTACCCGAAAAGATTCACTGCATATGCTGACCTTATCCTCATATCAGCTATCAAAGCGTATAAGCAAGAAGTTGTCGAGTTTATTTGCAAGAGATTTGTTATAGGGTCATGGCCCAGGCCGTCTCCCCTATTCTTTGCAGCAATATCTGGTAACACGTACATATTAGATGTAGTGCGTAGATCTAATAGGATACGTGATGGTATCACTCCGCTCATGATTGCGGCTGCTACGGGGGACGCACCAGGATTGGTGCAGCACATAGGAGATGCTCGGAAAAGGGATATCCACGGACTAACTGCACTGATGTATGCCGCTATAGCAGGCCATGCAGACGATCCTCTAATTTATAAGGACCTAATCAGGCTGGAGGCAGGACTAAATTGTGTCGGGGGCCTCTTTGCAATAGCACATGCCATCAAGACCAACAACCTAGGGTTAATGGAGCAGCTCTTGGACTATGAGGCTATCATGACCTTTTCTAATGACCTAAGCATTCTCGACGTCGCCATAGAGCATGGAAGCTCCGAGGCGATTCTTCGAATTGTGGAGTATTTGTCTCTTAAGAAACTGCCTATCTTTGTGAAGCGACGACAAATATCTAATTACTCGCAGTGCTCCAGTCCCTTATTGGAAGCTGTTGAGGATTTTGATAACGACGGTGTAAGAAAATACCTCTATCAAGCCAATCACTGCACAGACCTCTGGAGCCCCCTTCAAAAAGCTGTCTACGTGCGCAACCAAGAAGCTGTAAAGCTGCTGTTGTGCGAGCTCGGATACGTTAATACAATGGGGTACACTGCTCTTTTGTATGCAATAACTGAAAACAACATCGAGGCTGCGCAGTTACTGCTTCCAGAAATAAACTGTGTGAGGTATAACGAAAGGACGTGCCTGATGGTTGCTGCCTCACTGGGCTTTGTAGAACTAGTGAAGCTTCTGATCCCCTATGAGGCAGGAAAAGTGGCCAGCAACGGAGACACAGCGCTCATGTATGCAGCCATTGAGGGCCATCAGGACTGCGTTAAGCTTCTCCTGCCCTACGAATCTGGCCTCGTCTCTAATGACGGTAGCAGCGCACTTATGTGTGCGGCTGGCAACAAGAGTATCGACTGTGTCAGACTTCTGCTAGAGGAGGAGAAGATGATGATCTCGCATAAAGGGTATAGTGCTCTCGCACTAAGTATGCAAGAGAACTGTCTTGAGGCTGCAACTATGCTATATAAATACGAAAAGGATATATCTCAGATAACAGATCTCATGTGGGGAGCATTTATCAATGATGTAGATGCCGTACATAAGTACATCAATCAAGCAGGGACTCGGTCAGCGACGCAGGCCACAGCGCTAATGTATGCTGCCACAGCCAACAATGTCAGAATAGTAGAGATCCTATTACCGTACGAGAAGCAGTTGGTGGATGATACCGGACACAGTGCTCTTATGTATGCCATAGAGGCCAAGGCAATTGACTGTGTGAAGGTACTGCTTCCGTACGAAAGTAACATTAAAACATTTAAAGAAAAGGATGTTATAGACATAGCTAAAAGCACCAAGTCGCAGGAAATAATAAATGTTGTCAAGGCACATATGGATAATATTGAACATGTCACCAGCCGGAAATAGCATACAGAGCTAAAAGGAAAGCAGAGCAGGTTGGATTATAGACTCATAGATGATTACTCTTAGTCTGCTGCACCTGCGCATGTGCTTCTTACATAAATTAGTGGATTGTTTTCCTGAACGTTTGGAATGTTGTTTTAAAATGGGAAGAGTGGACATAGCGTATTTCTACAATCTCCCACGGGCCGAGCTGCTGCGGCACATTCAGCAGATGCTAGCTGTGCTGACAGACGAACAAATAGAGACGTGTTTTGCAAAGGAGACCAAGAAGCTCGGTAAGCCCAGCTCTCGCTCTCTGATGGACTGGTCAACCATTCCGCTGCGTCACATAGCCATTCAAGTATGCTATGATGGAACAGAGTACGCAGGACTTGCTCAGCAACCTAATAGGGAATACACCATCGAGGAACTGCTTTTAAATGCGTTGCGTGGCGCAGCACTGATACCGCAACACGCAGAAGCCAGTGACGTCCACTTTGAAAGATCCGGCCGAACAGATAGGGGTGTGAGCGCAGCAGGGCAGGTGTTCAGCTTCTATGTAAGGACAAACAACAAGGGTATGGGGCCGCAGCCAATACCGGCACCCGATCCCCGCTTTTATCGCGACCGGCGCGATGGACTGACACCACCCGCAAAGCCCAGTGATAGCGCGACTGACGACAGAGGGGCAGATGGAGATCTTGTGAATGCTGAGAAGGAGCCTGAGCTTAAGCAAGTTCCTCAAGAGCAGGAGATAGACTACGTCTCAGCCATTAACATGCGTCTTCCAGAAACAATACGGGTCCTTGGCTGGGCACCAGTTGATGAGAATTTTTCAGCCCGGCATTCTACGTCTTCGCGACGTTACGTTTACATGTTCGGGGAAGTAGGATCACTCAACATTCGACGAATGGCAGAGGCGTGCACAAAGTTGGTGGGCTTTCATGACTTTAGAAATATCTGCAAACCGTCGCTGGATAGCATAAAGACATTTGAGCGAGTGATTTTTTCTTGTTTCTTAGAGATTGATGGCCAACCCTACGACTGTGAGAATGATAGGATGGCTATGAAAGAAAATAGCACTCTATCTCTGGTGGTGTGCGGATCTGCTTTCTTATACCACCAGATTCGATGTATTGCTAGCTTGCTCCTGCATATAGGCGCTGAATTAGAACCCCCATCCCTCATCTCTGACCTTCTGAATGTTGAGCAGTTTCCTGGAAAGCCAGACTACCCAATAGCACCAGGGGAATTGTTGCTTTTTGAGAGGGCAGAGTATACCTCAACACGATTGCCCAAGTTTTACCTGTCAGGCCCTTCCTATCGGTTTCTTACTAAAAATATTAGATTTCTGCAATCCAAGGCCCTAGCCAGGGCCAGAGTATATGGTGTTGCATTAAGCTTGCTCTCAGAAGCCAGAACATGTCAATCGGTGTCCAGTGGCGGGCCACCTCGTGCGTGTGACCACCCCCTCGTTGGCATAACAATGACACATAAGATCACAGACCTATGCGAAGTTTATATAGAGGGCGGGTTATCGCTGTTTAAGCTAGAAAAGTATCGCCGAATCACAAACAGACCATTTGACGGCACACTTGAGCATCGGTTGAGGGAACGGCAAAAAGAATTGGCAATGTACAAGGAGAATAAGAAACATGGCGAGCAGTAAATGCAGCTGGACGATTTGCTTTGTACCTTGGCAAGCGCTAGTTATAACTAACGGATTTTAGGCGTGCCTTCTCTCGTCGTAAATGGTTTGTATACTTTAGTCGAAGCTCTGCAACGCATGTATCGAAGTGTGTACAGATGGAGTCGGCTTCTTTGCTGAGCTTTTTATCAAGGCATGCTAGTTCTTCCACCATCTGCTGGATGCTTTGGCGGTGAGCACGTATTTCTGATAACGCACTGTCCCGAGACGAGAGAAGCTCCTCCATTTCTTCCTGTAACTTCCGGAGGACGCGGGCCTCCAGCAGCTGATACTCCATATACCCTGCTCTCTCCAAAGCATGATTAATTGCTTTTTCTGCGTCCCCGCCGAGATCCATCTTTTCTTTTTCTGGACACCAAGGATGGAGAATAAAGAATGAGCACGTAGATGCTAATTTACCTCTTGGATACGTGCTCACGGACATAGGCTATAACCCAATCCTTAATCTTGGCTCCAGATACGTCCAGAACCGTACGACCTTTCGGGTGACCGTCACTCGGTGGCAGCCGCATGGTCATCTCGTGCTGAATCAGAAACTTGACGCACTCAAGATTGTTTCTCTTCGCAGCCAGAAGAAGAGCAGTCCATCCTGCTCCATCATAATACATGGCATTGGTGGCCTTGCCAGCCTCCTCTTTGAGAAGAAGCTGGACAAGCTCAGGGCTGTTGGAGTAAGCGGCACCCATTAGCGCTGTCCAGCCATCAACCGTGACCATGCCTATCTCGAGGCTGACAAGATGCTTGGCTACCTCCACCTTACCAAACATACTTGCTATCATGAGTGCTGTCCAGCCAGAGGAGTTCTGCATCTTTGCCTCTTTGTTGATGACCAGCGAGGCGCAGGAAAGGTGTCCCTTTTCTGCTGCTGCCATTAAGGCTGTTTTACCGCGGTTGTTCTGAAGCCCTGCCTGGACCAGGTTGGCCTTCATGGCCTCGATGTCATTTGCTTCTGCTGCTAAAATAAGTTCCGTGTTAAGAGACTCATCTCGCGTAACACTGAGCTCCAACTTAAGGAATTGCATAGTAGGATGGTAGTCCTTCACTGTGAGGTCTGGGCGCGCTGCATTAAAGACCCTTGGATCGATTAATTCATACACACTTTGATTAATGTACACTTTCGAAATGATATCATAGGCGGTTAACTTATCCACAGGCCGCCTCAGACCAGCTTCCCGACGGTGCAGCTTAATGACTAGATCTCGGAGGTTTAATTGTGCTGCAAGCATCATAGCAGATACCGCCCGGATAGTGTAGATGTTCTTAAGCAACTTATACCGATATGCCTCCTTGTCGCTGAAGACAGAAACCTCTGTTGAACTGCTCTTTCCGGTAAACGGTCTAACAAGACACTGAATATCCTTCTCAAAGTATGGACTAAGCTCTGGTAACGCAGAACTCGTGAATATTCCTCCTTCATTCTCAACCAGTATGGAGACAACATCGTCGTTTCGTGTTAGCACAGCAAGCATCATCGCGCTTCCCCCTGGAAGGATTCCATTGTCATTGAGAGTAAGACGGACCTCTCTGCGCTTGAGGATCTTCACTGCTGCCACATGACCGTTCTCTGCTGCGTACATGAGGGCCGTTTTATTATCGTAGTCCAAGGCCATGGACCCCTCCAATTTGAGAAGGAGTTGACAGACCTGGGCATGACCACTCTCTGCTGCTATCATAAGCGCTGTTTTCCCTTTTTCTCTACCGAAACTGATGGTCTTCCCGGAGAGTTTTTCTACGAGGAGTGGAACGCAATCGAGGCTGTTGGCCATAGCGGCCACCATTAATGCGTTATACCCGTGATCTGTGCACATATCTGCTTCTACGTCAATTAGCATTCCTATCACCGCCTTCTGATTTCCATGTGCGGCAAAGTGCAGTGCAGAAGCGCCAGCGTACCACCTATCCTTAATGTCCCAACCCTGCTTAGGAATCGCTCGTTGCCGAATCTCGCTACTCAATATCTTCATGAAATCAGTCAATCCTCGTTCCGCAGCCAACATAAGAGCCGTTATTCCTTCTTCGGTCGTCTGGCCACGTTGATCTAAGTACTTAGCTGCCTCTGTCATGTTGTTGTTAATTACGCACTGCATGAGATTGGTGTATGTTGGCTCTCGAGGAAGTTTGGGCTGGGTCGACTGAACCGGCGGAGCCGGGGCCGGCACCGGTGCAGGGACTGCCGGAGGGGACTCAACCTGGGGATTAGTTGTGGTCTTAAAAGTAGATGAAGAACTGGCCAAATAGCTTGATTTTGTTTGGGGGACAGACGGGACAGATGGTATAGATGGCACTTGGGCGGAAGTAGGAGCCGAAATTGAGGCCGGAGCAGGAGGTGCGGTAGATGCATGTGGGAGAAACACAGCAGGTGGGGGCGGTGGAATAACTGACGGTGTCACTTTGGCAGCAGCCGGAGCAGGTTTGACGGGCCCAGGTATCGTTGGAGTAGATAAATTTCCAACGACGGGGAAGGCAGCGCTTGTCGTAGGAACTACAGTAGTCTGTGGCTTCTGCGCCGTTTTGGGGGAGATGGAAACTTTTGTGGGAACCCCTGCTATGGGAGAATTGGTTGCACTTAGTTTCGTAGGCGTACTTCGCGGTACGTACTTATATCCAGGCAAAACAACGAAGTTGTTATCCTGCAGGCATTTAAAGGCAGCTGATATCCGTGGGTGAAGGACAAGCTCTGAAATACTTATACGTTTTTCTGGACAAACAACAAGCAGCTTGCGAATAACTGTCACAAGCTCATCTGAATACCGCGATGTGTCTAGCGTTACCTTGGGATCTGTGGCAAAATATTTGGCTGCATCGTCATCTACAGATAGGTTGATTGCTGGATCAAGACAGCAGAGCTCATAGAGAATACAGCCAAGGCTCCACGCGTCGCTTTTTGAGGTAAATTCTTTGCGGAGAACTGTCTCTGGTGCAGCGTAAAGGGAAGTATTCTCTATAGGTAACGTGCAGGATGCTTTTCCAATGAGTCTAAAGTACTCCAGGTGACCCAGTTTCACCTGGCCCTCGTGTGTAATAAATAAAGCCGCTGGACACAGATGCCCATGAATAAATTCGCTTGTATCATTCTTCTTCTTGAGATTTGATGACGTAAGGGCGTTGGCCACCACAGCAGCGACCTTCCAGACGGTGTCCTCCTCAGGATGCTTGTGCATATCGTAACAATGATCCAAGTAGTCGATTAGCCGGCCGTTTCGAGCGTATTCGTGTGTCACAAATATCTTGTTGGGGATTTCCGTATAAACGTCATAGAGACGCAGGATATGCTGATTATTGATACGCATCAAAGCCGTAGCGGTGGGACTGATGCTCTGCTTGATCTCCGGATCAACTCGTGATAGAAATATCTCAAGCAAAAACTTCCGCTTTCGCTTGCTGGAGGCTGTGTCTAGGGCGTCGTACAGATTACAGTAGTTGTCGCCATATACATGGATGAGGTCATCGTAGCCGCTGGGAACCTCAAACGTGTCACTCACCGCCATATCCTAAATGCTTAACTTAAAATTTTGAAATTTAGTTGTAAAGCTTGAACGTGCTATCCAGGAGCTTTTTATTTATCTATTTCTGTTCATGCGAGGATTTGCGAACCTTAATTAACAGATATTTCTTTACCCATCGTTCCTGTGTTTTTCTGTTGTACTCTTCCTTCGTTCGAACCAAGGCTTCATGAACCACCCCAAGCTCTGAGCAAAGTTCCTTGAGTGCTTCCAAATAAAAGAAAGTTGCCCGTGTGCCTTCGCCGCGCAGATATGTAGTTCCTAGGTAGTGGTTCTTTCGGTCCATAGGAGAGCGGTCAAGGGAGCTCTGCTCTCTTGCAGAGAACTTTCCCTCACGGTAGTCTCCTTCCGCATAATCATAGATTAGCAACACGCCGTTGTCCGTTAACACCGATAAGACGTTAGAGATGGCTGTTTTGACGGTGTTGCTGTCCTTCAGCGCACTCAAAACAAAGACCATCGTTGCATAGTAGAAGACCGGGGAAGGAGTGAATCGCGTAGCCAATTGTGCACATGCGGCGGACAAGTTCTGAAGACTTGTGATGTCACAGATCTCTCCAACGATCACCTCTTCGTTGTAACGCTCTCTCAGTTTGAGGACTTTAATGGCCTCTTCTGAGTAATCTAGTGAGAGTAGACGAACCTGTGAGTTCTTTTCGAGGAGTGGAAACGCTAGACTCCCGGTTCCACACCCTATGTCGAGGACCCAGACGTGTCCTGTTCGAGGAGGGAACGGAACTTCTTCTCCACGTGTAGGTCTTCCGGGAGCGTATACGTATGTTGATTGGTACACAACTCTATATTCGCAGACTGGACAGCAACAGGCTCTCAAAGCTAGGCCATGCATATTCACTTCGTTAACCAATGCACTGCTAATGGCTGTCGCCTTTCCACAGTGGCATGCAAATGTTTCAGTGTCCAAGTCTCCCTTGTAGTGTGGAGGGAGAGGGAAAAGCTCCGGGAAAACAGCCCATAGCCAGTGTCTATCTCGATACAACGATCCCTTGTGCTGTGTGTAGACATGATTCCATTCGTTCGCAGCCTCAGTAGAGCCTCTTTCACAAGGATTCGCAGAGAAGTCCATAAGAAATTAATTTCATTGGAGCATGCGCAAGGAGGGCCCCAATAGGTGCCTCAACTGCCTGGGATTTCGCTGTCTCCGACGGGCTGGTGTCTGTGCCATGCACGGATTTGTCATAGGAACCTGTCTGTGTTTGTCTGCAGTTTGCATTTTGGTTCCAATGTGCATTGCAGCCATCTCCTATAGATCTTGGGTTGCTCAGGTGTTTGTTTACACATTGATGGGGTACATATCTGTGGTCTACCTTTCCAGTTACTGCCTAGCAATCTTCACTCCTCCGGGATTTACAATACCAGACGAGGCATTTACGTCTTGCGGAAAATGCCACAATGCTCGTCCCATGCGGACTCATCACTGCAGCATCTGCGGTAGATGTGTGCTAAAGTATGATCACCATTGCCCCTGGATTGGAAACTGTGTTGGGCTTCGTAATCATGGCTACTTCCTCCGCTTCTTACTCTTTGGTGTCCTCGGCTCACTGACAAGCTGCCTTATAAACATCATAAGCTTCATCACGAACTCCTTTCTTCCAGAGACTGATAAAAGGATACGCATAGGGATATTTGTTCTTGGCACAGGAATTGATTGCTTGAACATTTTAGCATGCATGGTCATTATTGTTTCTCAGCTTCCTGCAATCTTGCATAATGAGATTGGGGCTGAAGAGTGTGATTATCACTGGGTGAAGGAGAGGTGCAAGCGCCTTGGGATCCCCTTTCCGTACCCTTACTCTAGCGGCCTCCGTACTAATCTCTCCGAGCTTTTTGGGGAGCGTATGATAGCAGCTCTCCTTCTGCCCGCTCGAATACGGCCCACACGAAGTGGCTACGACTATGAGATGTCTCCAAAATACGTTCGACTAATTGAGGCATACAATGCAGTCGCTTCCGGGACAGCAGATGAAAGCGTCATATTTAGCGCCCTGAAAAATAGAGCCATAGATTTATCGGGTGAAGAGATGAATTGAAGAGATAAATTAAAAAATGAACGCCCGATCTTGGCTCCGCGAGGACGCAGATATCGTTGCTCAGAGGCTACAATTAATAAAGAAACACCCCAAGCGGTTAACTAGTTCCCCTAAGTCATCACTACTTACTTCCCCAGCAGGTACATGCTTGAAGAACTCCTCTGCCTCTGAGGCCAGCCACGAGGGGTCAACTTACATTCTTTATAGGCCGCAGGAGAGTAGTGCTGCAACTGATCAGGTTAGCATTATATACAATAATTGCATGTGCTGGAAGGCAGTGAAGAAGGAGGGCACGCGGACATTGGTGCTCCGCAATCTTGCTCTTGATGACACTGACAATTTCTCGGCCACTAGACATAGAGTGAGGCCCAGATCAAGTAGTTCATATTCAGATTTTCAGCAACCTAATTACTCCATCGCCAACTTACAACTAACTGTACAGGACTGCTCCGTCTCTGATAAAGAAACAGAGTGCCTTTCAGGTCTGGACCGTGTGCATGCATCAGCCACGGCGGCAAGACACGCAAGACATCTCGTTGCTTCCCTAAGCGGCTGAGCTATCTCAAGAACCCCAAGGTTGACCCTACTCTCCTCATAATCACACCGCTTAAACTCAGAATAGCCGTCACGATCCCCATTATTAGCCTCGAAACGCAGATGGAGTTGTAGAGGGGGTGCCATCGAAATAGCAGAGAGGAGAATATCAGAGTAGCAAGACTGGTGAAGTCATATATGCTTCCGCTGATCATTGTAGGCAGTCCATCGGCTAAGAAAATATAAGCTGCACAACTCCAAGGATTGGCCGAGTTTTTGGGTCTATTTGACAGATATATGGATGGAAGTCTATATGAAAAGAGTTCTGTGTGCCCCATACCGTTGAGTAGCAGGCGCAGCAATATATGCCGCAGCTCTGCTCGGGCATTGAAGGTTTGGATCACCAACATCAAGGCTGCTGGTGTTACTGAGTACACGCTCCTTGTAATATATGCAAGAGACGCTATCCAGGCACCATAAGATACAATTAGGAGAGCCCGATACATGCTATGTCTTCTCGCAGGATTCTTTCCACCGTATCTTACGTTGATTTCATTGCTATCAGACCTAGTCTTCCAAATAAGTTCCATTGCAAGGCTAATTACCAAAGGCACCGTTTCGTTGTGCGCAAACCGTGCAGCTACAGCGCACAGAAACTGACACATTAGAATTGCTGAGCTTATAGGACGCTTACGGGCGATAATTATTGTCGAAAGTATCGCTAATAAGATAGTGTAAGCGATGATAATACAGACGTCTATGGACGAAACAGCACTGGAAGGCGCTCCATCTGTCGCTTCTATCTCAATTTCGGCTCCTGTCTCTGCGAGAAATAACTTCGAGAGAACGTGAAGTAGGATGTGTCGCTGTGGAATCAGTTGACCGACTCGCGTTTCAAGGCCTTCTCTAAGCGATTCTGAGGACGTGAATAGCAGAAAGGGAGTGTGAGTCTCTGCTGCACTGAAGCCGCCGTGGGTACCCTTGTCTGTCATCCCGTGGTCCGAGAGAATGATGACAACATAGCTATCAAGATCGCCTTTGGTCCACATATTGTGAAGAAAATTCAGGTGAGTGTCTATCAGATTATCATACCTGTTATACCTCTCACGTAGTGTAGCGGACAGTAGGCCTTCGCTGTGTGCAACATGGTCTGCTCCGAGAAAGTGGTATACCGAGAACTGATTGGTTACAGCTGCACCACTTGCCCAAAGATCTTGCAGGCTCTGGAGTACTATGTTATCTACTGTGTCATAGTCACCTATGCTGAAGGAGTATGCTGTCTGCGATTGACTGAAGTAGCTAGGGAACATCTTGGCTAATGTGTCATCCCCACTGACACTCAAACTATACCCCCTCTGCAGCAGAAGCTTGAGAACGCGAGGTTTTTCTCTTGGTCCTCCAGTGATGGTATACATTGATGGAGCCAGTGCCAGCAGGACGCAAAGCGGATGAGTGACCCTACCTGTATACATGGCATGAAGACAGTTGGTTGTGTACGTTGGTGTTTCGGTGAGCACTGTTTTCTTTACAGATGGAAAGGCAGAGACAGTAAGACGAGGGAAATATGTTTTATTGATGACTTCCCCGTCGAGAAAAAAGTCTTCTCGCATGCCATCCAGCAAGAACACGTCAATGCGCGTGCACATCAATATGGAGAGAAAGAATCCTATGACCAGCACCACCATGCCTTTTTCTGTCAATTGTTACTTGTTAATTGTCAATTGTCAATTGTCAATTGTCAACTGCCAACAGTCAACAGTTTTATGGGGATGCTCTAAGCTGCTCTTTGGAAGACAGAGGGGATTCATCTGTTGGACTGCTGTGTCCCAAGAAGATTGCAGTCAGATCTGCACTAATAATCATCTTGTTATCTTCCGTGGATTGTTCGTGAGTGCTTAGTTCTTTGTTATGCTTTTCAACTTCTTTTGTAAGTTTTAAATCTCCAATCCGATTGGTCAACTCATTTTCCAAATCTTTTAGGGTAAGGATTGACTTAGTACTTTTTTGTGTATGCATACTAGGCGGATCTTGTCGTGTACTACCTACGACAGCCCTTCTGGTAAAACGCGGTCTTGTTGGGACGGATTTTGAAGAGCCAGGCAGCACAGCGGTAGTGTGTATTGATGGTGGTGGCGGAGGTGATTCACTGTGCTGACTCAGATTTTTTTTGCAGCTATGAGGGGCTTTCTTTTTCTTTGCTTGGGGTTTATTTTCTTTTGGAGATCTAGCGGGTAAACTTTTAGATCTGCGTTCAATGCTGTTAGCGATGAGCCTCTTCATTAGTTTGCTTGCTCCTTCCACTAGAAACGGTGTGATGTGTACCCTGGGCCAGTTCAAAACCCCTAGCAAGTCATACTCCTCCTCTCCAAGTAACTGCATGGGATTGAGCCCTGTTGTGCCTTCTATGCTGCGATCGTAGGCATTGCCAATCGAGAACTCTGTATAGTTAGGCGTGTTTACCCAGATACTCTCCACCCCAAAAGGCGACGGAACAGACATGTCGATGAGCGTAGCATCTGGGCTCTTTGTGGAGGTGTTTGGAAATTGGTTTGGATTGATAACTCGATAGATTTCAACCAAGGTTTCTTTAGGCTCCACAGGAATGAGTGGAAGGCTATACCCTAAGTCGTTGCAGAATAACAAAAACTCATCATCAATCTCTGTGAGGAACCTATCGGTTAATATTGCGTGAAAAGCCTCGCTGGGTGTAAGCAAAATGGTCTCTGCCACATCGTTGTTGACAATAGGGTGATGGGGCGTGGGTTCTGGTTCAGAAAGGCTCGTTTTGCAATTTTTTAAACCAATGAGAGGTTGCAAAGGAATATTAACATATGGCTGATTGACTTCCTTTGTAGGCAAGGATACAAGGTCCATACTACTGCATTGTGAGAGCAGCTCATTCCTGAACGCGATTAGATCCCTTCCCTTGATAGAAATCAGGTGAGTCATGAAAAGAGCTGGGAGGATGTTTCCCTCAAACTGTGCATCTGCTACTAAACCCAGCAGAAAGCAGAGAGAGACAATTTTACGAGCCTTCTTTTCATAGTCAATGAGCTGATCGCTGGGAGAGTCCGCAGGAGTGTACCAGTTGATGCACCTGTCAAAGAACATGTTGATTAGGGTTTGGAGCTGAATAAGGCTCATTGTTCTGATAAACTGGGTTGCTAGCATCATGGTAGCGACGGTTTCTTCTGTGAATAAGCATTCATCAAAGAAGAAAGCTTCCGAACTGGGGCAATCCCTACCTAGCACCTTTGCTAAAGAGATTGGTCGGCCCAATATCGTGCTTGCCTCATTATCAAAAGAGACTATGAAAAGAGTGAGCTCCCGTAGCTCCAGTAGGTCTACTATGATGCTATCTCGACAAGTAGAACCATATAGGTTTGCACGGAAGCGGCCTAGCAATCCTATGCGGACCTTGCTGCAATGATCATAAGCACGCAGAAGAGTGGAAAACTTAGTTAGCCTCTTGAGATACGGAAAAAGTAGAGATTCATTGGCTATGAAAGACTGCATGGCATATCGCTGTTCCGGAAAGGGGAGTCTAAGGTAATTCCACAGCCTTATTATATTGGTGGCTATGTCATTGTTATGTGGCAATAGAAAGTGATGATTTGTTAACGAGTAGCTGGAAAGTGTGCGAGGGCTTAGTCTTCTTGCTTCCATTTGCTCGATCCTTGTCAAATCTGGGGAAATCAGCGTTAGGGGTGAAACAAGAGGTGGGACGAGGGTGTATACTTTTGCACTGGCTGGTACACTTGGTTTCCGTGAGGTTTTGCTAGGATTTCTGTTTGATTGGATATGTAGCCCTGTATCTTCATTCTGGTGTACTACACGCCGCCTTCTATTATATTTAGCTCGAGGAGCGGTCATTTGAGGCGGCAGTTGGTCTCGTGGAGACCTTTGACGGGACGATGTTGACATTGACGGCGGACCCCTCTCAATTTTTTGTTTCCTGAAGTAAATGCTCGCCACTAAGAACTAATTCATCCGTGAAATCCTGGCCATTAAGGATAGAGTGGAAGAACAAGAACAGATTTTCAATAAGGTGACGAAAGACTCTAGAGGTAAACCTATGTTTAATTAGTTCAGAGATATTAGGCGACCGACAGAGAACTCGTCTTCTATGGTGTAGATGAATGGGTGGCTCTGTGGCCCAGCTTGAGGCATCATTTATTCTGCTTTGCAATTAATTATAACTTTATGAACGAGGGCATCTCAGTTTCGGGAGCCTTCTCCAATCCATTCCTCCTCACGTATCCTAGCTTTGCAGAGCCTCTCACAATCTTTTGCAATAATGCATTTTCAGCTGTGCGGAGCCGCATTTCTAAGGACACGGAACCTAAAAGAGAACACGTACTCGCATTTATTCTAACCTTTATCGCCGACTGGAAGAATCTCACTCCCATGGAAACTCTTGTGCCGCCATTTATTCTGGCTAAAAGTATGCTCTCTGACATCTCAGTTGCATCGTCTCTTGCTATCCTTCCACGCATAGAGTCCTTTACACTGGAGTTTCTTAGCGCTCCTAACATACCGACCTTTATCACAGTTCTCTACCTGGAGATGCTGAGGCAGTTTGCTTCTAATTTAACAGATGGTGGCACCTTTCCACCTCAAAGCAAACTGCCTGGCTTTCTGGCTCTAATGCTGGGAGATGGGCGTCGCAAAGTGGCGTCTCTGGTGCACGATATTTTGAGTATCATCGTGCGATATGAAGTTGAGCTGATCAAGGAGAATATAAAAGTAGCTACCGATACGTTAGACTCTGATGCTGATACGGATGTTGATGAGTCCACAAGACAAAATCTTGACAATTCAACAAATTCGCGAACACCAGGCTACTGCAGCATACAGATAATTTCTTCCATCCTCTCCATGCTTCTTACAGAAGGTACCACAGCAGTGACCAAGGTTGTTCTATATAATCTCCGTACACATGACTCATCTCTATCTGATGGGCAGCTTTCTCTCCCCGCAAACCTTGTCTATGCTGCCTCGGGAGGCCCGGCAGTGTACCATTCGAATAAAGATACGGAAATGTCAGCAGGGTGCATGTTGGTTATTAGACTACTGCAGCTGTTATTTGCTCCGGATATGTCTGCGAGTGCGCTAAACGTGTTGGGAGGAATCTTATCATCGGATTTGGTGATTGATGCATCCCTTTTGTCGCTTATTGAATCGTCGTTCCGTGAACTGCCCATAGATAGGGATATCGTGAACCGCATGCTTCTAATATATGAGACTGTTGCATTTCATCTTTCAAGGAGAATCTTAGAGGCAGCATCAGGCGCTGGCACATTTCAGGTTATCGAGCAACTGTTCGACTACTTCGTCATCTTCTTGAAACAGCTAAAACTGTTCTATAAAATGGGAGCCAACCCAGAGGTTGTTCAAAAGTCTCTTTCATTGATCTGCATGTCCGTCTTCACACATTACGCCATTGTAACAGGTCGCTTGCTCCCTGCGTTTGAGAAGGCAATAGGTGCCATTACTAGTACGATAGACCCCGTTAACGCAGAGTCATTTTTCGCAAAGGTTGGTGCAGGATTTACTGGAATCGCAGATGGATGCTTCCTTGTAAAGCAAAATGAACAACAAGAGTGTGAGGAGGTTATTGCTGGTCTCAAAGGACTCTTTACGGCGCTAGTTGCAGGTGCTCGCCATACGGAGAATCACACTTGCATCCTCATCATTACCTCATTCATCAAGCACATGGATCTGCAGTTGGCATTTAAAGCATTCAACTGCGGACTAGTAAGTGACGACGGCACCAGTAAGCTGATGGACCTAGTTCAGACTCCCTCAAGTGCCACTGATCTGTGGCTTCTTTCCTACTATTCTAAATGCAAGTCAGCCTCCCTCTCCTTCATTTATACACATCTGTTTGAAGCAATCCTCAACCAATCAGCGTTTAAAAAACTGCAGGCAGGAACGCGTTCAATTCTTCTTGATCAGGTCTGGGCCATAGTCTCAGAGGTAACACGCAATCCAGTAGTAGACGATCTTCTTGGATATTCACAGGACACCTCAATAGCTTTGGCTGAAGCCCCTACTAAAACCTCTGTTGATATTTTCTGCAGCATATTAATCGATAACCTATTCGGATCAACTGAAGCAGAGCAGCGCGCTCTTCATGCGTGTGGCTCTGCTATAGGCAACCTTCTCCGGTTCTTTTCTACGCTACGAGCTAATGTCACGAAGCTTGTTGAGTCCATTATCAAAACATCATCCACCTCTCAAGGAGCTGGTCCTACTAGTGAGCTTTCTTCAACTGGCGATACATGCACTTTGCTTATGGAGCTCATTGCCAAGCCGGAGCCCTTTCAGCTTTCTGCCGCTGTTATTAAAAACTTGCGTCTCTTTGAGGCTAGTCTTTCATTTGTTGGAGGATTCCTGGTTCCAAAGCTGTTATCTCCTCTTCTGGACCGCATGCTGGCTGCAGACTCTCCTCCTAACAATCCCTATGTAACTTTGTTACCGCTAGCAGTGTCTTTAGCAAAGAAGCCCTTAATATCCACCGCCTGTGCTAATGTCATCAAGCGAATTATTGATGGCACAGGACCACAGGCCAGCCTTTTTGATGTCTTCAATGGTATTCTCTCTGGATGTATTACGGCTACAAACTTCTCTCCTCTCGGTCCCCAGACAGTCCCTGTGTTTCTCGAGCTGGATTCCAAGCTTTCCACTATACACACTATTTCTGCGCAGAAACTGCACTATAAAATCTTACGGTTTCTTGTGAATGCGTCCTCTAAAGACAACCCCGAGCTTTCACAGGCGATTATCTCGTCCATAGAGTCAGCTGGCGCAGAAACCTTCCGGGGTGGTGCATTGCAGCGCCATCGCTTTGGACTTTATGCTGACATAGTCCGCTCTTCAGAGGTATTTAATTTGGAGCCGTCTCACATTCTTTCGGAGTTTGCACGTGATATATATCTCTGTCTGAGTGATAATAACATGCGTGTCAGGCACATGGCATCAGAAATGATTAAGGCAGCGACAGTAAAGGCCTGTAGACAATGCTGCAACAATGAGTCGCTTGGCTCGCTGAAGCTGGATATTTATGAGGCTGTTCAGAAGATCACTGATTGCCTGCAGCCACCGCAGAACTCTTCTGTTGACGTGTGGGCAAACTATGCATATCTCCTCCAGATAATTATGATTGGAATGACAGAAGTTATCAAAAAGCTTCTTGTTGAAGACTTAAACATTCTTCTGGAAAAGGGCGTCAACATCTCTGACTTCAACTGTACCCACCCGCTCTTTATCACAATCGCCACTCAGTTACTGGCAGACATTAGGACTAACCTATTCCTAGAAAAGCGAAAGGTTGCCTCAACAGACGCGGAGACTGGTGAAGAAACAACAGAATTCTCTTACAGATATACTCTTTCTCTTCCCACTCACTCTGCCAAACGATTACTGAATTTCTTCTCCGCCTTTATATCAGCAGCAGGACCGTCCGAACTTCTTTCCATAGCCGAGGAGATCCCGCGGGTGTTGCTTCGCCTTGTCATTGGCTCGCTGACTTCTCCATATCGGTCCGTCGTCAAAAACATCCTCTTTCAACTTGGCCTCGCCATGGGATACAGTTATTCCAAGGACCTCTATGAGGAGGCCTTCAACTTAATCATCAAGGACATGATGGAGTATATAGTTGCTAATAGTGAAACTCCTATCCATAACCTAGACCCAGAAATACTAGTGGCTATCCGCGATGCTGCCGCTGAGGCATGCGTGTCTGCTAGGCGCATGGTCTCGGCTGTTCTTTCCAAGCTGAGACACAAGGCCTCTGACCAGATGATAGGGAGGTTCACGTTGCCGAATTACCTGGATGTTGCTCTATCAATTCCTGAGGACATGCATGGGCGAATCAGGTCTTATGGCGACGATGATGCCGACTTCGCGGACATTTATAAGCATATAATTGACGGAACCGAAGAGGTAATAGACCTAGAGGAAAAGCAGCCGTGTCCAGACTCTTCGAATGATGCTGACGATCCTTTCAAAAACAATAAGAAGTTTGGCAAATCACTCAACTCGGCGATGGCGATGCTTCTTGACGAGACCGTTGAGAGGGATAGTCTGAGGCCAGAACATATACAAAAGCTTACCCAGATTAAAGAGAACGACGCCATCTTAAACAGAACATTATCTGAAATTAAGAAGATTAATCAGAGAAAGCAGTACAGCAGTGGAAGACTCAAGGTTGTGCACACAGGTCACGAGTTCAGTTCAAAGCGTGCTGGAGGTGATGTACAAACCGCTAATAAAGCAGATCCTTATGCCTATCTTCCTCTTCTTACTGGGAAGCATATCAGCAAACAAGATAGAACCCGTCTAAAGGCAGGCATGACACTCGTTACTCAAAAGCGGACGAGAGACGAGCGTATTGCAAAGAAGCAGATGCTCAGTCACGCAGAGAAACGGGCGATGATGAAGCATGGGCACATCCCGCCAAATCTTAAAAATAGAAGACATAACAGAAAGAAGTAGGCAGAAAAGGTTTATAGCGGATTGGCTCAGTAAACTGTATATAGGCTGAGTTCTGCAAAGGACATAAGGAGTACAGGTTGGATTGTACTCGATGACGGATTGCTATCAATAAGTGCTGCTTATGGCTTGTACCACAATTATACACTACTTTAATGGAGTATGTGTGAGTCTAACCAGCTAAACAAGTAAAATGGTCCTGTCATTACTTTTGTCAGGTAGGTTGTTAAGTAGGAGATGCCACGTAGAGTTACACTTTCTAATTTTAGATCCAGTAATCTGGTCCTCTCTACTCTATCACCAAGCGTATTGTAGCCTTGTTCTTCCATCACTCTCCGTTATATTCCTTCCCAGTAGATATATTCGTACCAGAGGCGTGACGTGGCTACACGTTGGCCATGTAATTGGTTCGTTCCACGTAGGAACGCACTGAGATCCACAGCAGCAGACTAGCGACGCCCGAGAATGGCTTTTCCTTCTAACGCTGAACGGTTTGACCCACTGGTCCCGATGGCTAGACCGGACGACTTTGGTCCTTTCAGAAGAGGCGTGGGCTTCCTTCCAGCTACTATGATCAAGCGGCTGTTTGACCCCATCGGCCTAGGAGACCTGGGGGCGCTGGAAGTGACCCCTGTGACCTTCGACCCAAAGATACCCGGCTTCATCCTGGACACGATACGGAGCCTCTGCCCGTGTGCGCTATCGATCGACGACGCCGCAGAGGGAGCCATGACGTTCGAGCAGCAGGTGGTTGGGATGGACGTCTCGGCCAAGATCGCCCGCCTGGATGCATCGGGGCAGGAGGCCAGGAAGGCGTCTGCGTGCAGCGTCTGCTCTCGCTGCCGCCGCGGAACACTGGCGAGCTTTGTGTCCGCCGGCGGCTACGACGCCCTGGCCCTCGGCCACCACCTGCTGGACGACCTGGAGACCCTGGCGATCACCGGGGTCCACGGGGCCTCCTTCTTCGGGCTCCGGGGGTACTACAACTGCGAGGTCAGGGACTTTGCCAGCAGGGCCAGGCATCGAGTGTGCATCCTGCGGCCCATGCTGTCCGTCCACGTCAGCGAGATCTCCCGGGTGGTGCTCCACAACGGCCTCTCCTGCGTCGCGTCGGATGCCGCAGAGTGCAGCGTGTCGATCTCGAAGACGGCGGACACCGAGCCCTTTCCGGGGGAGCGCTTGCGGGCGCGGAGGCTCCTCGGCTCCGTCGACATCTCCGGGATATGCGCGTTCAGAGACAGGCACCGGCAGGCGATAGCTCCGTTTACTGGGGAATCATATTAGAGACTGGCGGTAGTCGTAGGACTCGCCCCGCATGAGCGATGTGTACTTCGCCCCGCGCTTGGGCCGGCCGCCCCTCCTGAAGACGAACCACCAGACGAGGAAGCCGGCGACGGCCAGGACGAGGAGGACGACGATGACGATGGCGGCGATTGCTCCCCCGCCGAGCCCGCCCCGCCGGTAGTAGCCGGGGTCGAGGCAGTTGACGCTCCCGCCGCCCTTGTCGGTCAGCTCGCAGGTCGTGCACCCCGCGAGGCCCACCCAGCCGTCCATGCCCCCGGTGTCGCTGCAGCCCATGCACGCCGTGTGGTAGACGTCCGGGGAGATGGGGACGGCGCTCTCCGCGCAGCTCTCGCACTTGAGCCCCGTCGCGCAGACCCGGCAGTTCGCGATGTCGCACGGCTGGCACTCCCCGAGGTCATCGTCGGGGTACATCGAGCCGCCGCAGCTGGCGCAGTCCTTCGTGCACGTCGCCGTCCGCGGGCAGAGGTACGCGCCGGTCGTGCAGTGCTCACAACGATCTGGGTTATTTTCAACACAAACCGAGCACATTGCGGCATTGCATTCTGGAGTCGGAAGGTTACAAACGACTGTATTACCTGTGTGCTGTTTAATGTATCCATCATCACATGTATTACATACAACGTTTTTATTTCCGCTTTCCCCTGTAGTACTATAGCAAACGGCACAGTTTGCGACGCCAGTATATCCATCCCCACTGGCATTACATAGAATGCATTTTCCCGTTTCCCCGCGCCGTGGAGCAAATGCAGCATAATATCCCACAGCACACGTAGAGCAAAGGTTATCACCGGCACTGGCGCACGTCGAGCATCCAGTAGCACACGCCTTACAGGTTCCTGTCGTTGAGCCGGCACCAGACACTTCGAGATAGTACCCTTCGGCGCACTGGGAGCACGTGGCCCCGTCTGTACAAAGGAGACAGTTCTCTATGCATGGGCTGCATATCCCAGAGTTGTTGTAGTAGCCCGGGCCCAGCGCCAGGCAACTCCCGAAGCACTTCGTCTTGTCCTCCTTCATGATGAGAGGCTCGAAGCAGGCGTCGCACGTCGTAGCGGAGTCCTTCGAGCACGCCTGGCAGCCCTGGACGGCGCATCCTTCAGGCGTTGTGGGCGGGAGGGCCTGAGGGCACGTGTTGTCTTTGGGCTCCGTCGAGTCGGTGCACTTGCTACAGACGATCTTGGAATCGCCGTCTGTGCCGGCCGCACACCCTCCGCAGTTGGCCACCCCAGTAGCTGCCTCGTCCCAACATCCAAGACATTTTGGTTGGCCATCTGCAGAATTAGGATTAGCTATTATATTCGATGTCTCGTTTGTATTGCAAGTTGAACACGCTCCATTAGACGCCTCCTGGCATATTAGCTTTCCGATTGCAGAGTTTGCATCATAGCAGCCGTTGTAGAACAGGAAAACCTTGGAGGTGTCGACAGAGGTCATGCTGGTGTCGCATGCTGTGCAGATGCCCGCCTCGCACGTATGTGATCCCTTATCAGCAATGCATAAGCCGTTGATGGGGTAGTGGTCTGTCTGGGCGCACCTCTTGCAGAAGACCCTTCCCCCAAGGTAGATCTGGTTCTCGGTCTTGCAGATGGCCTGGGCGAGGGGGCCGTTGACAGAGTAGCAGCTCCCGTAGAAGAGCATGTAGCCGGAGGAGCACGTTTCGCAAAGTCCCTTTGTATTCTCATTACCGCTATAGGTAGAGCACCCTGCAAGAGCCGAGGTGGCAGAGTAAGTTGACACACAACGACCATCCACGGGCACGTAGCCTATTTTGCACTGTGTGCACAGAGTGGGCTTCACGTCTGCGCTCGTGAGCACGTTCATCCGGCAGCGCTCGCAGAAGAGGGTCCCGTCCAGCCCGTAGCACGCGAGGCAGGAGGTGGCAGACGAGCTCGCACTGGGGTTCTTGACGAACTTCGACCCGCAAGAATCACAGACAGAGCCAGTAGTGCTAGTTGGCTTAGGACACACAGTGCTGCCTGGAGATCCTCCGAATTTGTAGCATGACCCGTAGTGGAAGAAGTATCCGCTTGCGCATGTCGTGCACACGCCCTTGTCGCACGTGTTTCCAGAGCTATCTGTGCTTGCTGATACGCACACCCCGTCGATCGGGACGTCGCCCTCGATGGCGCACGCCCCGCAGTACATCCCCTCCTCGACGATGTGCTTCTCCTTGCATATGGCGTTGATCAGGGATGCCGTGCGGTAGCACCCGCCCCTGTAGAAGAGGAAGTCACGGATGCAGCCTGTACAAGAGCCAGTACCCGCGCTATTCAATGGAACTTGGCATATACTACGAGATACATTCAACAATCTGCAAACTCCGTTGACGGGGACCCGCGCTCCGTCGCACTTGGAGCAGTACTTCTTACCGCCGATCGTGACATCACAAGTACCCCCGGCGCCGCCACACTCGCTATCCTGGGTGCATTCTGAGAAAATACCGCATAGGAGAAGCGAGACGAAACCGATCATGAGACTCCTGGAGAAAGCAAGTTTTTAATGCATCCATATTTAATAGAGAATCCTATCACACTACTTTTGTTATAGAAATACTCGGAAACATAAGACTCGCATAGATTCTTGCGTAGTCAACCGGTACAGTTAACGTCAAGCATGGGAACTGTCACGTAGAGCGGCATTCTCGCTGTTTTTTGATTCAAGAAATCGGATACTACTTGGACGATGATGATTCACTTCACCCAACATAAAAGAAGATCAAAAAGTGAGGCAGGTCGACACACACTCAGTCTGAGCACATACTACACAAAACGACCGATGAATACAAGCAACTCCTGGTATACAAATAAAGAGAGATCCCTGATGATATCATCAGGGACTAACGTTTGTCTCCGGACACGACCACAAGAGTGAAACTTACTCGTGGGATTTCTGGGTGCGCTTACAGGCAATCCCAACAGCACAGCGCTTCTTCCCGTCCAGGCAGCTCTTGTGAAGAGCATCGGTCCAGTTTCATAGCAGTGGACGTATTCACTATCTGAGCGGACCATTCGTGGGGTGGTGGCTACTGTCGCAGGTACCGGTGATGTGCGAGGGGCCGTTCTTGAGATGTCACAACGCCCATTCTCTCCTTGGTACCTAGAGACGCCACACACAGGAGAGGCCGCTAGGACACCAGAGATCCGCTACACCGGGGCATGCCTGTGAGGTGCACATTATCCTCACTCACCACGTGGCAGCGTCGCCTGGTGTTGCGTGCTCTATGGGCTGCCGGCAATGTTCGAGAAAATCATCTTCGGAATCGCCATCCTGCAAGTGGTATGGGCTGCGGCAGAAACATGCACAGTGGCTACCAGCGACCCGGAATCAAAGAAATGCAAACAGGACAAGTGCGACGTCTGGATTGGGGGCTCAAACTTCTGCTCCCAGTGCTCGACAGCAGCAGAGCATCTTGTCAATGGAAAGTGCATAACTACAGGCGAGGATGCTGAAGGAGCATGTACAACAAAGAATGATGGCACATGTACATCTTGTAAAGCCGGCTTCTTCCTGCACAGGGGAGGATGTTACAAGATAGGGACGGAGCCGGGGAATCTCATTTGCGAGGACACGCAGGCGTCACAAACTCAAGGGGTCTGCGAGGCGTGCAGCCCGGGATATTTCAAGAATCCGACAGAATCTCTCGATAAAACGAAGGAGTCCTGTATTGCATGCAATCAAACCACAGCTATAGATGAAAACAAGGGGGTTCAGAACTGTGCGACGTGCACAATAGAGAATCCTGCTGGTGCTCTTCGTTTGGGGAAAACCGCCACATGCAAGACGTGCTTTGAAGGATTCTTTGTTGCCTCTGGCGGAACAGCATGCACTGCCTGCAACGATGATAACTGCGCTACATGTGTTGGAGCAGGAAACAGCAAATGCACACGATGCAAGCTGAAATCAGCTGGTGGCAACGACAAGGAATATCTTAAAGTGACAGATGCTTCTAGTAATTCAGGAGAATGTGTTGATACAGCTGGTTGTCCGGCAACCCACTACGTTGATGAAGAAGCAAAGGAGTGCAACACCTGCGTTTCAGGAGGGACGGTGGACTGCACCACTTGTGAGAAAGGCGCCAACGGAGTGGTTTGCAAGACATGTACGACTGGCAAGAAGACCATCTTTGGTCTCAACAGAAAGTCGTGCGTTGCTAGTTGCCCTGCTAACTCTACCCCCAAGGCCACCGGGCAGGGTAGCCAAATGTGCGAGTGCAACGAAGGACTCCAACCTAATACTGAATCGACTGAATGCCAACCAATCAGTAACTGTAACACAGAGCACTGTTTGGAGTGCACCGGTGAAGGTGCCGATAAGGAGGTCTGTACAAAGTGTCTGTCTGAGTACTACCTCACCCCAACCAGTCAATGCGTATCTGACTGCACGACCCTCAAGGGCTACTACGGAAATGACACTGACAGAAAGTGCAAGAAGTGCAACGATGCGTGCATAGAGTGCAAGGGTGAGGGCGCTGATAAGTGTACGGCTTGTCCTGCTGGGAGGATGCTTCAGTATACAGATGCTGATACTCCTGCCAATGGGGGCACGTGCATGAACCAGTGCAGCGTGAGCCCTGCAAACGATGGATGCGCAGAGTGTGGGGCCCAAATAGGAGGAACTGCATACTGCTCAAAGTGCAAGAACACTCAACAGGCACCACTGGATGGCAACTGTGCGGCCAATACGCGAACACGATTTTGCACTACGGTGAGTAATGGAGCATGCACTCAATGTGAAAATAACTACTTCCTCAAAGATGGTGGTTGCTATCAGACAGATAGACAGCCTGGCAAGCAGGTGTGTACTACAGTGCAGGGAGGAAAATGTACAAAATGTGCCAGTGGTCTAACGGCTGATAATGGCGATTGTTCCAATAAAAGGTGCCATCTTAGCTGCGAGACATGCACGGCTGCTAACGACGCTAACGCCTGTGCTACATGCAGCACTGGATATTACAAACCGCAGAGTGCTGGGACAAAGTGTAATCCGTGCTCTGAGGGGCTCGCTGGGTGCAGGCAGTGCACGGTGTCATCCACCGGTGCGTTCATGTGCCTCGAGATGGGCGACGGCACTGGCGACAACACCGGCGGAAGCGTCAACAGGGGCGGGCTCTCCACGGGGGCCATCGCGGGGATCTCCGTCGCTGTGGTCGCTGTCGTGGGGGGCCTCGTGGGCTTCCTCTGCTGGTGGTTCCTCTGCAGGGGGAAGGCGTGACTTAGGTAGTGAATGCTGTACAATGTGTGATAGAAGGTGATAGTGTGTGATAGAGGGTGATGATAGAGGGTGATAGTGGAGTGAGATATGCACAAAGGCCAGTAGTGGAGTGTGCACTGCTTGTAACACAGCTAACGGCCTGTTCAAGAACCCGGCTGCAACAGTGACTCCTGGTAATGAGTGCATCCTCTGCTGGGACACGGTGGGAGATGGCGCGACGAAGGGAGTCGAGGGCTGTGCCACATGTACGGCACCAACTAATAATAAGGGGGCAGCCACGTGCACTGCCTGTCAAGAGGGGTACTATAAAGAGAATAACGAATGCAATCAGTGTGATCAGTCCTGTCTGACTTGCAGTGGAAGTGGTCCGAATCATTGCACATCCTGTAAGGAGGGGAAGTATCTGAAAAGCGATAATACCTGTTCACCTACATGTGAAGGAAACACTTATGCTGACCCTGTGACAAGGACATGCAAGGAGTCTGGTATAGCAGATTGCACCGCGTGTGAGTACAACACGACTGTCAGCAAGCCCCAGTGCACCGCCTGTAACAATAAGAAGGTGAAGACAGAGCTGGATGGGACAACCACTTGCGTCGATGATGCTGGGTGCGCAACAGATAACGTCGACGGATCCCACTTTCTGAGTGATGATAGCACCAAGTGCATATTATGCAGTGATACAACAACAGGAACAGAAGCAAACGACAAGGGGATTGCTAATTGTAAAACGTGTAAGAAGAACGGAGCCAAGCCGACCTGCTCAGCTTGCCTCGACGGATACTTTGGTTCTGATACATGCACAGCTTGCGGTGCCAACTGTGCTACATGCTCTGCTGCTGGCAATGATCAGTGCACTAAATGCAAGCCTGGATTCTTCATGAAACAACCCGGCTCTGCTGGTAAGTGCTTCGCCTGCGACAGTAAAGCCGACAATGGCATCGAGGGGTGCTCCCAATGTAACAGCGGCCTAACCCCTACATGCACCGATTGCAAGTCCAACTATCGCAAGGAGGGAACCAATCCGGTGAAGTGCACAAAGGCCTGCGAGGACCCCACGGCCTGCGGGGGGACGTCTGGGGCCTGCGGGGCGGTCGTCGTTGACAGCGCCGGGGCGTTCTCCCAGTACTGCTCGCTGTGCGGAGACCCCGCCACGTTCCCCATCGATGGGATCTGCACAGGAACTAAAGGTGACAACACCTGCGAGAACGGCGTCTGCACCCGGTGTGCTGCCGGGTACTTCCTGTACATGGGCGGCTGCTATGATGTGTCGAAGGCTCCTGGTAGCTATATGTGCAAGACTGCCGAGGGAGGGAGGTGCACCGCCCCCAGCGAGAACGGCCGGTACTTCCTGGTCCCGGGGGCATCCAGTACTGATCAGTCTGTCCTGGCCTGCGAGAACCCCCTTGGCACAGTGATAGGGGCTGGCAGCACCGCTAAGGCATATGTGGGGGTATATGGCTGCACAGCATGCACGGCCCCAGCAGCGCTAGAGGCTCCTGGCATGGCCCCCGCCACGTGCACAGCGTGTAGCGGCAACAACAAGCCCAACCTGGCTGGGAGCGGGTGCTTCGCATGTACCGTTGACGGATGCTCGCACTGTGGAGCAGGCGGCAAGTGCGAGGCCTGTACCAGTAAAGACCAGAGACCGGACACAGACGGAACGAAGTGCATCGCCTGCAATATCGACGGGTGTATCAGGTGCAGCGAGGAGAACAAGTGCGGCCAGTGCGGGGACGACTACAAGCTGGAGGGTGGCAGGTGTGTGTCCTCTGGCGCCAACAGGGGCGGGCTCTCCACGGGGGCCATCGCGGGGATCTCCGTCGCTGTGATTGTTGTCGTTGGGGGCCTCGTGGGCTTCTTGTGTTGGTGGTTCATCTGCCGCGGAAAGGCGTAGACTTAGATAGTAAACGCATCATCGATGAATCCGCTGGTGGATATCTGGCCATAGATCTTCAAGCGACACGCAGTATCTGAATAGGGACCCGGAGAAGATCCAAAATCACGGCAGATAAGTGGTGGCAAGGCGTAGGTTTGAGAGGTGAGCAAGTAGTGAGTTACTCAATTAAAAGCTGATGACATTACATCGATAACACATAGATTAAGATACTAATACAGTTAGTTACTAGGATTTGTGGCAAAAACCGCCTGATACAGTATAGATGATAGCAGCGATCTAAGCGGAGCCAATCGCAGTGTCGCTAACTGGCAAAGCCCGCTCACAGCAGTCAGAGAGATAATGACCAGCATCCCTGTCTCAGACTTCTCAAAGACATATGGCATACAATGTGGGCTCGACTTGAAACTTTTAAACCAAAATGAACACGGCCACCATGGCGTACTCCATGCTCACAGAGTCGTATAATAAGATCCGGGCCATCTGTGAACGATACAATGTAGTGGTAGAAACAGAAGAGGCGTACACGAGGCCTGCAGGCGCTGCATTCCAGCGTGACGCGTTCCCTACCCCCGATTTAGAGAACGTTACTGGCTATGGATTAATTGCAGACACCAACATCAATATGACTGGTGGGCTCAGTAATATCCTCGAGGAGCCTGCTCCCGAGCCAAAGGACCTCTCTGTCGCAAGGTCCCTCCTTTATACAGCCGATCTACCAGCCCCGCCTCCTATTGAAGAGCCTCCCAGTGATTTCCACGATCTGGCGGACCCAGCTGAACATGAGATAGTGGAGGCACAAGAATCGACTCGCATAAGTGCAAATGAACAAGTGCTGATTCATAATCCAGACCTAGTGGCGTCTTTGCAAGATGGCGCTATGATTCCTGAAGACATGCACTCTCTTGTAAGCTCTAATCCCGGCTTATTTTCAAACTATGCTGAGCACGAAAACATAGATTCCTCTCAGACAGTTCATTTGAAATCCCAATGTAGGGAGCTAACAACCGACCCCCCAGGGCAGCGGTTGGGAACGCCGGTACGCGCACCCATGTCCTCCATATAAGCTCGTGTGAACATGGATTTGATTGCATTACTGCGTTACCTTAGTCAGCCCTGGCCCCGTAGCACATACTAGTTTGCCGGAACATGGCTTATATCGCAATTTTCGTGTGCCACAAGAGTTACAAACAAATTCTGCCAGCACTAAGGTCAATTTGAGACGCGGAAATTAGGTTTCTGTGCCTGCTGCAACGACTGGGAGGCAGACGATGCTACTGTAATCACTGCTACTGGGTCCCAGCCAGCCAGCATGAAAGTTTCTACTGTTCCAGAAACAGCACCTGGAAAGCCAGGTGGCGACAGGTATCAACCTCTGAGCCATGCACCTGGATGTAAGCAGAGCAAGAGAAAGGCTTCCAGTTGTGTAATAGCTTCTGCGAGGCCGCTTTCTCCCCTGTCCTTGGCGGTTCAGATGCTTACAGAAAATACTAGCAAACGCAAGGATCGCACGGTCAGAGAGAAAAGGAAGCCATTAGCTGATGAGCCATCAACCACAGACAAGCTGAGCATGAGCTACGGCCTCTCACAAGAGGGATCTGACGCTCTCTCGAAGCCTGTTTACTCCTTCATCTATACAAATCCCAACTTGGTTTCCTCCGCCTGGAAGGGGCACAAGTACAACGGGAAGGATAAGTCACGACACCGATCCAACAAGCATGGGAAAAGATCATCCGGAAGCCGGTCTTCTAATGCAGAGTATGACCTCGGACCCTTCGTAGCAGCCATGTGTGTCGCAGGAGAAGAAAATCGAAAGCAGAGGGTTGCAGAATCTATATCCAATATCGTCTCCCTGTCCGGTACCGTTTTCAGTGCTGAGGTTCCGGCAGATTTTTCGGGAACGGTGTCTCCACGGTACATAGTTCCAGGTTCAATGACCTATAAAGAGGATGCGACCAATCCGTCCTTGCTGGTGTCCCGCTTTAAGGTAGACCCTGCTCACTTGTTCCGTGGCTCTTTTGAGAGCGTTGAAACAGTTCCGTCTGTTCGGTCCTTGGCGTCACCTGTGCAAGCTTCCTTTGTGAACATTCACGGCACCCAAGATGAGATAGAAATAGATCCAGCCGTGTGCAGCAATATGTCCGACTCACATGCCGAGTTTGCCATACACCTGAGATCCTTTGCCAGTACTACGAGCAATCGTAGCTCAAATATTAGTGAAGTTGCCGAGGATTAGAGACGGCCTTCTGACGATGATGATTCCACAGGTATAAAGGACAGCGCTGTATGCTTGTTGTGTACTATTCAGTTCCATGTTTCTACTCAGAGATCTGACCTGCTGGGATCTCAAAATTACAATAAAATCCAAAAATTAATGGATAGAGGTATACCCGTTGCATCCAAGTACCTCCAAAAGATCTGGGTCGAGAGGGATAAGCAAGCGCACGAGAAGAAGAAGGCGTCCATGAAGGCGGCTGTGGACAACAAGACACCGCCGAGACAGCCGCATCTTGAGTGTCGTTCTAAGAAGCTCTACGAAGCAAACGAACGTCTTGAACAGATAAACCGCGAAAATCATATTCTTTTGAGACGAATTGACTATCATAACGAACTACGCCACCCGGCGCGCATCGACTGCCATCTGAAGCAGCAAGGTCCGAAGTCCCTCAATATTCTCATGCGCGAGAAGAGGGTGCGCGAAATAGAAGCAGAGAACCAAAGGATCCACCGCCAGATCTCTAGCGTCAAGCCCACTCATTCTGTTCAGAAGCTCGAGGCCGACTACATTCGTTCCAGAAAGGATCTTGAGCATCTGTCCGAATACCCTCCTGCGTCCGCCGGGATGTCTAGCTACAACTATGACCGGTCGTCTCGCAATTCATCTTTGCCTTCTGTCAGGGCCCACCGACAAAGGTACACCCCCAAGGAGGACTCCTACAGAACCGAGGACTTTTTGAATCGTACTTCTAATAATGACTACACTGCACCGACCGATGATGACGACACCTTTGATACTGAGTGCTTTAAGGAACAGGTAGAAGCACCCCAGCCGCCGCCAGTCTCGAAGCCACAGGAAGCTGAGTACAAGGAAGACTACGATGATTACAACGATGACGATTTTGCACAGGATATCATAAATAACCAGCGTGAAGTTCGAGGCAACACCTTCTTGACGGATGACATTGCCGGAAACGATAATAACGACATCTTCTGAATTCCAGTAAATTATAGAGCCCTGTGTAAGGTGGACCACATGTTTACTCCATATGCGACGTTTCTTTGTTCATAAAGTAGTCTGCTAATACCCGAATGGCGGCGGATGGGGTCTTGCAGTGGCTGAGTTGGCTCCCTAGCGCAGAGAGGCACGTCATAGGCGACAGTTGGAGAGAGGTAGATAGTTGTGATAATATAGAGTTGAATGCACTAGTGTCCATATTGCTTTGGTCATTCGCAGAAGACGCACTCATCAGCTCAATCAACTTCTCAATGTACAGCTCATAAACTATTATTATTTCACGGAGAAGAGTGAAGTCATTATTCAATGATGATAGATTGGTGTCCATGAGCTTTGAAAACTCGAGATTCCTCGTCAAGCAGTTTGTCCCCGTTTCAAACGCGGATAAATTGGCCTTGGTGGCATTTGTTGAAGTGCTCACCGAATTGACGATGTCTGCAAAAAGGCGTACGGACTGAATCGCCAGACTCTCCACGATAGTGTGCGGTATATCCGCCTGGGTCTTTGCGGAGGACAGGTTGTTACACATCTTATTTATTTCGTATAAGTTCATCTTATCAAACTGCTGTATTGACGTCTTGGGCGCATTGTCTCTGAAGGTTATCGGGTTCGATGATCTAGGACTTAAAGCCTGGCTACTCAAAACGGCAAAACCATCACCTGTGTGTACCGTCTGTGTGCCCACAGATGCAGCATCTACATCCCCCTGCAGTGAAGATCCAGCTCGGCTGCCTGTCTTCGAAGGGTCGCGCAAATTTGTGTTGCTATGAGAGCGTACAGTTATTTGAGAGCCAACCAGGGTTGATGACTGGGGTACATTAGATTGAACGGCGTCTGCCAGCTTACACTTGCTCTTGTCTAAAAGTGAATTCTCGTCTATATCCTTGATCCATGCAAAGAGATCCTCAGAAATAAAACTGTCTACCGGAAGGGGGTTGTTAGGGTTTGAGCAGGTGGAAAGAATGGAGGTAGAGATCTGCCGCCCTGGAAGATCGCTTGGGGCTAGGTGGGCTGTATTGGCGATGGCGGCTGACATTATATCCTTCATTTGAACCTTATTGTCTGATGCAATCAATAATAATACCTCTAGCTTAAGCAACTCCTTAATAATGCTGATTAGTGCATTAGATGTAGTTCCCTTAAACTGTAGTAGCAAATTGTTTAGCTTTGCTGTGTGAACAGATGAGACCCCATAGCTTTCCGCGTAATTAATGAACTTCACCACTGCAAGGCGCTGAATGTATGAGCTAAGGTCTTCAGAGACGCCAAGATTGTTGTCGACAACAGAGCCGTCCCGTGTACCTTCCAGTTTCGTTTGGAGTAGTTGATACTTGGCAAGGAGGGCATGGTACTCTGCGCGGAACTGATTAATATCCCAGTCTGCATCTGCTTTATGACTACTGATTGATTGACGAAGCAGATTGGGTCGGTTGTTACGAAAGCTCCCAGATCCTGCGACAGGGGACATTGCTGTAGATGCAAAACTCTCATCCTGCATAGCGGTCGAAGATGTAGAATCACGGAAGTTGTGAGGGGCACGCTTCCTAGGCTGAGAATGTCTGCCTGGAGAGCACAATCCTGAGATAGCAGAGGCGTAGTCCAGATCATTTTGATCGACACTGCTGTATCTGGGGACCCCATCGTATACATTTCTGCTTGTTAGAAGAGCCTTGGTAGCTACCGACGTTGATATGCTGTCAACAGTTACACCCTTAGCAACACCAGGATGATCGGCAGCACTCGCATCGCAATCGGAAAGGCGCTTTGATGCCCCCGTACTGAACCTCTCCATAAACCCACTGTCTGCAGGACTTCTCGTGTGATGATCTGCCAACAGAGGGCCATCGTCAGACTGTCTGTGATGAGGGGATATGGAAATCTCGTTCTTAAAAAGAGGGTGCATTGTAGGAGAGTCCACAGAACCAGACGCATCAGTTACGCATGACGTGCGACTAGACTTAGGCCGCAATTTTGCTAAGACCTCTTTATAGTAATTTTCTGTCTCCACTAGGTCTCTGTTCTTCTCATCCAACTGATCGTTAAGGGTTGTTATCGTCCGTTCTAGCTCAACGACAAACGTCTTCAGTTTTGTATTTTCATCCTCCTTCCTCGTAAGGGTCTCCTTCAATTCTATCATCTCGGCCTGCATCTGCTCTGAAAGGGCCTTCATGGAGCCTGCGACATTCACCTTAGGTGCCTGCACGATACTCATCGCCCGGCGACCGAAAAGGAGAGAAGTAACTGTCTCCTGGATCATGTCGTTGGACGGAGAGATGTTTATCATTAGAGTAGCGCGAGAATTCCCTCCCAACACGTTCTTGAGGAGCCTAGTCAGCTTCGAGTCTCGCCACGGAATGTGTGTCTTAATGGAATCGTCCAAAAGACTGTCACGTGATGCACTCTTCATCGAGTTAACGCTTGGAGAGTGCGACCTTGTCGATGCGTTGCTGCTCCGGCTACTGAAGCAGCCAGACGAATTGATGTCATCGTCGCTGAAGTCATCGCAGTATAGCGGATCTTTGGTAATGCTCGGGGTCTGGCTGGCCGACGACACGGAGCGCTGCTTAGGGGTTTGGCTCCCTTGCACAGAGTCTGCACTTTTCATTTCTGCAGTTCCCTTACTAGAAAGTGCAGCGACTATCTTACCTAGTGCAGACAAGCTCTTGTTAATAAATTTAGCCTCCTCCAAACGACGCCCAGCGGCTTCCGTCTTAGATTGCCGCTCAGATCCAGCTAAGTCGACAAATAGGAAGTTGCTGGTGTACTTCTCCGTTGTAAATCGAGAATGTGAGCCGGACATGCCGCTATTTATCGTGATTTTTAAGTCTAGAATAACGTGAGAGCGGGAGCTAGCCTGGTTCATCTGCGTTGCCGCAAAAATCTTATTGTTTTCTCCTATTGCTAGTAGCTGCTGAAGCTCACTCATTGACCTACAAATGTGCGAGGAAAGAGACTCCACAAAAACTGTTCCGTCCCTATTTTCCCGGACAGGAAGCCCAGGAATGAACTGCTTTGGATCCGAGAGCTTCTTTGTGCGCTGCTCTATCGACTTAACCTGGGGTCCAGTTTCTCCTGCCTCAAAGGCCAACAGATCATAGACCTGCTCAAGATAAATTTGGTAATAGCTGACCGAAATAGATATGTCTGTGTTCTCTTCCGCAGCCTTGTTGAAAAGATGAGAGCAGCAACGGACTACTAGGCCCTCGTGGTTTGGGGTCAGGTTAGACAGGGAATACGTTTTGCCAGAACCCGTGACACCGTAGCACATGAGGGCTGCATTGATTCCAGAAAGGGCTGCATCGACAAGATCTTGCCCAATCGAATAGTAAACCTCCGCCTGAGTGGAGGAAGGCTCGAAGAGGTGATCGAAAGTGAATCTCCTCTCTCGGGTCTGTGTGTTATCAGCGATGACAGGTTCATCTATAACCTGAGATTGCCGCTTTGTTGCATTGGCTTTTACCTGTATAGAGTTTTCAAGGAACGTGAGGTTCCCGACACCAGATTCCAGCTCTGTCTTCGTAGGTGGCCGCACTCTCACCACAACCTGCATACGTGTGGGCTGTGCAATTCTAGACGATCTTGTCAGTCCCTGTTTTGGGGGAAGCATAGATTAGGTGACAACGAAAGCACGAAATTCGAGTTTTGGTTTTGGTCAGAATAAATATTTTATTGTCAAGTGTATTTCGGCAAGTATAGATTAGTAGCTGCCAACCACCAGCCGCCATTGCTCGCATAGATGTTTTGGCATCAAATCGCACAATTCACGAAGTTCTTCATGGCCATCCAGGGACCCAATGGGGCATCTCTGGAGGAGATAGAGACTTTTCTTCGTCTAGAGCAGCCAAAATTCTCGGCTGCTAACGATGTTTCAGAGGCTTCCCGCCGCCTCTTTGAGTTTTTCAGGAAGTACCCTGGCTTTACTGACTTCGGCGAGCGAATTTATCCATCTCCTAGTTGGTCTGCGGAAGTATTAGGGACCAAGAACACGCGACTCTCGGAAGATGGTGAGCCTGTGTTTCGTGCCGTCGCTGCATCCTTTTCTCACGGAATTCTTGCCACGGAAATTTCTTCAAAGACTAAGCTGGACAGTCGGCAGGTGTCTCGCTTCATTAAGATCTTATCAGGAAACAGACTGGTGTATTCACTTTCTGTGACACTTACAGGGGCAATCAAGGACTACTGGGGAACTAACACATCCAACATCGTGTGGGCCACCATCTTTCTTGGTAGGAGATCTGATGAAGAGTTGCGTGAAGCATTTATAGAGTATACTCGGGGGTTAAGCAGCTTTGGGGCTCATTCTCACCAGCCAGAAGGCCAAAAGGCTCCCACTGCCATGATGGTGTGTCAGTATCTAGCCTCTACTGGAAGAGAGCAAGCATACGAGGACATCCTAGATCACTTTATTAAGGAACTAGGCGTAGATTCCGCAAAGGCTCGTAAAACTCTCAATGTTCAGCTTGACACTATTACGACTGCCCTCGATAAGGCAGGTGTTCTAGGAAGCTATGTAAAATTGGGGGATACACTGGTATACTCTCGCTTTTTGACACCCCAAAGTCTCAGTTTCAAGCCTCTTAGTGCAATCCGCCGTGAAAACAAGGGCTCGCAGAACATCTTTCATATGAGCCCCATGTCTCCTATGACATTTAGCCCCAACTTTCTTTTTCTTACTTCCGCGCAAACCCTTGCATCAGCGCAGCAAGTCTTACCATCACTGACCTTGTATCCCATTGATGGATTTACTCCTATCGAAGTAAGTCTTTTAATTCCACTCACTTATGGAAATAGGGTATCTACTGTGACAGAGCTCCTACTTATAAAGATTTTTCAGGCTGGAGAAGAAGGCATTCAGCTTACTAATTTGAGAGACCAATTCTGTCTAGCACGAAAGGTCATGGAATGGATTTCAGACGTCCTAGTCTCCTCTTTTCCCGTTGTAAAGTCCGAGGAATCGGGGGCGTTCAAATATTGGTACTTTCCTCATGGACCTCAAGCTCTTTACACGCCTCTTTTCGACTCCCCTGCGAAGACATCCTCTGGGTCTGGCTCTAGACGATCATTTGAGCGCAAAATCAGGTATGGTTATTCCCGCCTTGCTGGCTTTCTTTCAACTAATCATAGTGGCCCCACTAGCTCTGCCCTCAGTGTCAGCTTATCTACAAATAGTATAACTGTTCATGAGATGCATCAGGAGGAAGACTCTCCTCTTAAGCAGACGCTTCTGTGCGCCACACCAACAGATAATGCTCCTCAGAAGCCCAGCACACCTATTCTAACACCTTTGGGCTGCTTCTTTCCTGATGCTCTCGAGTGTGCCCTTATAACATATGATACTCAGAGAAATATTGCAATGAGTGCCAAAGCACAGCTTATTCTCAGCTTCTTTCGGCTCACACCGCTATACATCCAGCAAGATCTTGTCCAACTTGCTTCACTGCTTCCTGCAGAGGTATATACCTCCTTTCCACTCTCTTATGGATTCAAAGACCTAACAAAGAAAAAGACAGACAGAAAGGTTGTGCAGCGGTCAATTGATTACCTTCTGGAGACAGGGTACATACTCGAGTCTTCTGTGTCAATAGGCGCAAAGACATGTACTGTTTACTATCGTTCAGATATATTTGTAATGGATACGCACGAACTTGGTGACTCTCCTACCTCTGGGTTTCTTCAGAATATGCCGAATCTTTTAGATCGTCTCAAGGTCTACCTATCCACTCTTCCAACTTTGCTAGCTCGTGACGAGACAGACGCAGGCATAGGTGCTGACCTCGAACAAGACTACCTTAATGATCCTGGCCGAGAAGGTAGTGCAGAGCTGTCCTCTGGGTCTGAGTCATCTACTCTATCCTGGATGACCTCTTGCATGCCAGAATTGACTGGTTATGAAAGCACAGATGTATTTCTCCATGATTTGAATAGTCATGTGAAGCGCTCCAACGTAAAAGTTGTAGTCTTAGCAGGGTCCACACGGAGCGAACAGTCAATGGCTCAAGTCTCTGCATATCTTTCTTCTTGTTCTGAGACGCTTATGGCTATTAAGGCTGATATCTCTCGCACAAAGAGAAAGTACACTCTGCGCAAGCTCATGCTCCTGCACATCGTACTCTTGCAATCAATCAAGGACATGGCTCATTCATCTGTGTCTGACATATCTCTTTGCGAGGCTCTTACCTTCTCAGAATATGCATACCTGTTTCCTTTCCCAGAATCTTCTCCCCTCTACCATCTTTTCTTGCCCTATCTGCTTTCTTTTCCCAATACTTTTATTTATAAAGTGAGCAATCCGGCACTTTATTTATTGGTGCTTAATAATTTTTTTGTTCTAAGAATGGGAAAATATCGTGAGTGGCTCCAGCATATAGATGTTCTTCACTGGTCCATTGAACAGCCAGATGCTAAGATCAAGAATCATATTCATAGGACGGTTTCGCATCTTCCTTCGCTAAAGCTTAGTGATCTTAAGAGACACCCCATTATACTGAATAACGTTTTGTCAGCTCTGTACTCCTCGCTTTACGTATCTGGCATTGGGGCCACAATCAGAGCAGTTCATGAAGCTGACACCATAAGCATAGAGCTTCTGGAGCCCATCTCTGTTTCTACAGAACAGGAGCTAGTGCTGTTCTGGTCGCTTCTAGAGGACTTTTCTTTGCGCGTGTACATGGCTTTAAAGCTGTGCACAGATGAGGGACCAATAAGCTTATCCTGCTTGTGCAATGAGCTAGCTATCTATACCCTGATACGTTCGTGGATAGTCAATTCAGAAACACTGGCATTTTTGAAGGAACGACTGGGTGATTTAGATTTTGCCTCCACTATCCAATCGTCTGTGTCCAAAGCCCAGGAAGCAGCCATGTCTCTTTGCGATACTATAGGCCAACAAGGTGTCATTGTTCACATCAATGCATTTATGGGTGCAGTGCAGAAGGAGCTGCAAAGGCTCTTTGAGGCCGAGGAGTGTAGCTACGCAAGAGCAAGTCTGCAGCACTCTGTCACGAATCTGCTTATACTGGACTATCACAGCTTAGCCACTGCAGCTGTGAGCGATCTGCCTTTAAAGTACCTAGATCTTCACTTTGATGGCTCGCTGGATAAAGCCTTTGAGTACTATCGCTCTTCCCAGTGGAACACTTTGCACTTTATTCTGCACTCTATGAAGATCGTCACATTGGCCTTTTATGATTTCCTGAGCCAATCCGAACCTAATGACCACAATCCTCAACATTGTGTTTACATTCCCAGTGTTTCTTTGAAGCCCGAAGACATAGATAAGAATATCCTCATTCAGTGCGTACCAGATACCAGGCATAAAGTACATAAGGTTCAGCTTTCTCAGGCCCTTGTGGCTCGAGCTTCTGCTCCAGTTTCATACTGGGTTGATAAGGTGCTACTGAACATGAGGCCCAGAGGGGGTAATTCGTCGTCTCTCTCCATTAACATGCAGCCTACTGACAGTAGGGGAACCGAGTACTGCTCCATGTCCTTGTTTACAAATAGTCCTTGGCTATTGGCATTCAGCACCGAATCAATTGCTGCAATGAAGGCTACAGGAGCATCAATCTTTCAAAAGTATAACAGAGACATCCAGCGAATGCGGTCTGCTCGCTCTTCACGTCTCACACCTGCATTGCAAAGGCAAAGACATAAGCAGAAACAAGAGCTGCATCTTCGTGAAGAATTTGCACTCTTGCTATGCGAGGAATCAGAACCCAAGAACCATCCCACGGAGCAAGTACGTGCGTTGACAGTAGAGGACCTCACAGAGATGGTAGCACAATACAGAGCATCACGCCGATATATTAGCTTGAGTGATGATGAACTTCGATATTGGGAGCACTGCATGATGCATTATATGTCCCTATTTCGTGTAGTATCACCATGGATGAGAGGATATGCTTCTAGCAAGCCCAACAGTGAAGAGGACGGCGTGGTAGCTTTATTGCAAGAACAATCCAGTTGTACCTTAACAGCTGTGATTGAAAAGTACATAAAAACCAACGCAACAAAGAGGGATTTTATCACGTACGGACGGATATATTCAATGGCCGCGCTTTCTCTTGTAAGCCCAGAGATAGATGTCCTCATAGATCTTCCATCAGCTAAGGAGAGAAGCTTGCTCTTAGGAAAGTTCTCAGATGTAATTACGTCCATTGTCCGTAACACCTATCGAGAAAGGCAACTTTCTGATCCATCTGAAACGGTCAGAGTGGCCAACCTGCTGTACTTATTGACTAATAAAATAAACCAATCTCCGTCTAAAAAATTACAATCTAAGCTACTGATTGAAAAAGACATTCTTATCAACTGCATAAACTCAGATTCCCTTAAGGTGGAATTTGATTTTGAAGGAGCAGCTGACCCTGATTGCATAACATATGTGTACGACAAGAGATTCTTTGATCTTTGGCAGCCCGGTTTTCTCTTGCTGTGCAACGATATCGCCCGTCAATCGTCTGCAAGTCCAGCTACCTGTTATGATTGTTCCCACATGATAGATGCGGAGGAGCATATATCTCTTCTAATACAGTGTATTTTATCGTGCAATATGCTCCACCATGCCAACCCTATCATAACATATAACACAGATCAGCGCGCTCTCAAAGTATGTTATAGTACACACCGTCTTCTTCTAAGAAGAACAGATTATACTGAAAAACAAAGTCTATCACGAAGCGGCGACACCATTCAAAGTCTCATTAGCTTCTTGTGCTTGCCTTACTTGTGCAATGCAATAATACACTCTACAAATGTACTCCTTAACGACACCAGTAACGGGAAAGCATTAGCGTGTCAGAGGTTGCGGGATATTGTGTGCAGTTTTCGCAACAAGGTGATCTTGCAGCAGCACAAGTGGGCCAGAGAAATCAGGATGTTCATGGCATGTACGCTATGGAATCCATCTCAAGTTAACATTACAGCCGATGGAGCCGCCCTTCGCGCCATTGAGTCAATGGCTAGTAATAGCATGAGTGACTTTTCTTTGCAATATCTGTTGGCATCTGGGTATGCTCGACAACAAGAATACGGATCTTTGGGGTACTCAGTTTCCAAAACACTACAGAAGCCTAGCCTAATATCTGCCGATAGCCGAAATAGCTACCTCAGTAATATCGATATGGGTACAATGACTGTACACCATGCCTTTCTCCTCCTACCTTCTATTCTGTTTGGACTACATCGTCAGCGGTACCGCCTATCAGGGAGCACGATAGAAGAGCTCAGGATTATCGATCCCTGCTCTATAATTGATCTGGAATTTGGTGAGGAAGATACATCATTCAACCCCGTAGAAGATATCCTTGAGACGTATGCTGGCATGGACGACGCTGTGAGCGCAATGATAGGTGACGCAATCCAGGGCTTCCAAGAGATTGGGTTGGAGCTTGTCTGTCCCTTAGTCAATTTGACTGAAGATTGTAATTCTACACAAAAACAAGGCATAGACATATTGCTGCAGAAGTATAATGATACTAACTTAAGCCTGACGCTTTTCAACTGCCCAGAGAGTAAAGATATTTTACTAGGCAGCGGTTTCTTCGTCCCTAGACGACTAATAACTGAAACGGTGTTTGTTCCTCTCGAGACCTTCTTAGCAAGTTCCAGCTATGAGCAGTTTGCGACGGAGTTTTCTGCCATCAGCCCTGCAAACTGCTCTATAGATTATGCTGATGGTAATAGATACGAAGCGGAGCTATCTCTTCGCCAAATAATATCTCTCATTTCACTTTGTCCTGGCATAACCTTAGATCGTTTGTGCACCGCATGTGTTCCACTGCTTCCCACAACGGTTTGCTTCCTTCTTAATATTCTCATATGGGACGAAGCTGTCGAGGCAAGGGTAATGGTTTCTTTGCCCGATGGGTACTCTGTTCAAAAAGTCATTTCAGACATTTTAGTAATTGAGTCCACTGAGTTTTCCAGAGTGGTTCTAAGCACAAATGTAGAGCACTTGGCAGACGGACTGTACAATAACATAGTGCAGACTTAGTCCTCGCTATTGATCACATCACTGTGTAATTCTTCTGCATGGGGCAGATCTTCATCGGTAGAATCTGCTCGTGGCGCAAGGTCTAAGAATCGTAATACAGGTCTTCCATGGGGACAGTTAAATGGCTTCTCGCAACGGGCCAGATCTGCAATGATACGTTTGGCAGTTGAGTCTAAGAGCGGGTCTCCGAGGCGTACGGAGGCCTTGCATGATTTTGACGCGAAGATTTTTCTAATTCTGGGCGGAGCTATATTATTATGCAGTAAGCAGAGAAGTGATTTCTCCCTGGGTTTTGATCCAGTACTCTTGGCGCATATGATGCTCTCAACATGTTCCCTGGTGTGTCCATACAGTGACAAAAGGTACTCTCTGAAGTCCTCCTCCGTAAGAGTTTGCCCAAAAAGAGATGGGAAAGAAAAAATAAGCACGTAATTCTCTGACAAGCACAGTTCAAATCCAATAATATCAAATATCGCACTAGAGAGAAACTCCTCAAGACACAGCTTTTCATCTGGTCGAAGCCTTAGCTTCAGGGGTGTGATAGTCTTCTGCCTCGATAAGTAGCAGTGTGGGTTATGCCAGTAGTCGCTAAAATGCTTGGCTTCATGAGCTGCGTGTTGGTCGATCAGGTAGAAGGTGTTGTTAAGCTGAGTTATTAGGAACGATTGGTTATATTGACATATGTACTTTAGATTATTAAAGTCTTGCTGTCTGAATCCCGATGCCGAGCCTCTTCTTCTTACTGGTCCAATCCTCACCTTGCTTTCAGGGTCACATGATTGACTTTCAACTTTTATGGAATCCGAAGCATCAGATGGACCTGGATTGGAGAGTGAGCTTTGTAGCTTTGAAAAGCCAACGATTCCCAGCACTGAAGGTGTGCCTCCAGGGGGTGGTTCGGTATTGGTGTTTGTCTCAGAATGATATGCTTGACGTAATTCAGGCTTCCGCGTATGGAAGAAGGATGCCGCCTTAGTGTGCGATACGCGACTGATGACAATATTATCTGGCACAGTATCTCGTTGCTGAGATCTAACTCCAAAGCTAGATTTAGGACATGGTGAATTAACTGACTTCTCTTTAGCTGCTCTGACTATCAAACTCTTGCTAGTAACGTCGCGTCCCAGATGCCCATTTGTGATTGTCGATTTGTTATATCTCAGGAGCCATGCAAGATACTCCTCTGATAAGAGATCGATAAATACGCTCAGCCCTTGCATTTGAAGAGTGTCATAGGGTGTGCTCCGTGCCAGTGCATAAGTCCCCAACGGAAGCACGAGATTTAACGCGCCAATCGGAACGTTGGTTGCAGAGATCCGTGCATACACTTGCTGAAGGGCCTCAATCAACGAGGGACAAAGTATGGGCCTTCCATTGGTAGAAAGAAAGATCTTACGGGCATGTCCCAGCTTACTTTGCGGAGTAATGCCTGCATCTGGGCACGCAAGACTGGCCTTAACAGTATAGCCCAGACGCGTTTCAAATGAAAAGAAACCAACGAGAGATCGAACATCTCTGCCGAAAAGCTCAACGTAGCGGTCGTGGATGGAATTCTTGGATCCCGAAGAGACATCAATGTGCACAGCTCCATCCACAATTAGTCGAAAACCCAGCGTATAGTTAGCCAGTGCATATGACTGAATCAGATCAGTGATGGACAGAAGCAGCTTCTTGCGAAGAGACGGAGTCGAGAAGTATCTTTGACGAACAGGGATTGATCTATATAGATCTTGAACAACAACAGTGGTCCCCCTGCCTGCTCGTGTGGCGTGCTTTGCGCTGCTTGTATCTTCACTAACAACTCTTTCATAGGGGTCGTCTCCCAATGAGCTGGTGACTAAGACTGTACTTAAGGCAGATATTAAGAAGATAGACTCGCCCTTACGGTTCAAGCTGCCTGGCTGAGAAGTAGCTGTCGTGACCCTACAGCTCCCGAGTGCTTGGAGAGTAGATAAGTCCAGTCCACATCCATTATCATTGACAGTGATACTCTTGAGCCCCATGCCCTCTAAGACAATTGCAATTTCTGAGGCACCTGCATCCAAGGAATTCTCAAGTAATGCGCTAACGACCTTATACGGATCTGGAAATTGCTGGGTTGCCAAGATAAGCCGACTATCGCCGGCCGACAAGCTTCTGATCCTGCCTGCCTCCGCTTTACTTTCTGTGCAGATAACCATTACAAGGTTGCGCTAGGACCAGATGCAATCCAGTGTTTCAACTTTGTTGCACGTGAATTTAAATTATCCCTTTTCCAATTTAGATCCAAATTTAGTATCCAAAATCTTTACATGACATTTTTTTGCTTAAAAACACACTCTTACCACAAAAATGCTCCCGTCCGATTTCCATCACGAGGACTACTTTGCCCTGAGGCATGAGGCTGAGATAGCAAGCATCTTTGAACAGGCTTCCTCGCGCCCTGACGGGCTCCTCTATGAGTACGAGGCGTATGAGCTCTTCGAGCTAATCGGCATCAAGGTTCCCGAGTTCAGATACTTCCCTCTGCATTCGTCCCTGGCTTCCCAGATCAAGACCTTCATGAAGCCCAACCAGAAGTACGTCATCAAGTGCCACATTCCCGGGTGCCTCCACAAGACGGACATCGGCGGGATCATGCTCTTCAAGGACCGCTCGAACATCGAGGCTGACCTGGAACCATTTGTCAACAAGCTCAAGAGCGCTGGCCACAACCTCGAGGGTGTCATTGTCGTCGAGATGGCGAAGTTTTATGACAGTGGGATGTCGAACGGCGAGCTTCTGATCTCTGCCTTTGAAGATACCGGGTTCGGGCCTTGTGTCTGTTTCGGTCTCGGAGGAACTGGAGTGGAATATTACAAGAAGGTTATGCGCCAGGGACACTCTTCCATTTTTCTTCCGAGTTGGATCAATCTAGCGAACTCGACTGCTGCTATGGCCGCTCTGGAGCGCTTGCCTGTTAGTCAATTTCTACTGGGCAAGGTTCGTGGCTCAAAGCGGTTGATTTCCTCTATAGATCAGGTGGTTTCTCCATTGAGCATCTTGCAGGCACTTCTGAGGCACTATTGTAGAAACAATGCGACAACGAAGTATGTCATACGTGAGATAGAGATCAACCCTGCGGTTGTGGAGAGGGAGACAGGCAATCTACTCGCCCTTGATGCTGTTGTTCGCATCTTGCCCAATCCTAGCTACAAAGCATACGCAACAGCAGAGGACGCCATCCCGGTGTATAGTGCGCACAAGCCTCTCTACAAGGTCGGTTCCCTATTTGCTCCGCAATCCGTTGTCATCGTCGGCGCATCGACGAAGAGTCTCACAAATCCGTCAACTGTCGTGTTGCGCAAGCTTATGGAGATCCCTGGAATCGATGTCTTCTGCATCCACCCCACTGCTGATGAAATCTTTGGCAGGCCGTGTTTCAAGACTGTTTCTGACTTGCTGTTATTTAGGGCAGGTAAAGCTATAGATTTGGCCGTTGTAGGCGTCGCTGCAAAGGCTGCAGAGCTTGTTATGAACGATTTGATAGACAGTAACCTCTGTAACAGCATCTTTGTCTTGTCCGGTGGATTTGCCGAGACTGCCAACGGAAAAGAGATAGAAGAACGCTTACGCACGAAACTGAATTCCTATGGTGCTGCTTACAACCGCACCCTTGTTTCAGGCCCCAATACGCTTGGGTTTGTCTGGCAGGATCTTGTTAACACCATTTTTGTCAGTTCCGCAAAGTCCTCAGCCAACGAGTTCTATCTTGAGTCAAAGTCGTCTACTTCTGATGATGTTCTTACAAATCTGCAGACAAATATTGCATTTGATGACCAGGGTGATCTAGAGGTGACGAAGTCGAAGTTGACCATCAAGTCCTCGGACGTGAGAATCCGGTCTATTGCCTCTCCAAACAACAATGTTGCTCTGGTTTGCCAGTCTGGTGCCAGCATGATAACAAGAATGTCGAACTTGGCATACAAGGTTCGTCCTCTCATGTCCGTATCTGTTGGGAATCAGCTTTGCTTATCGGGAACCGACTTCATCGAATGGCTGTTGACGGAAGATTCTGCTAGCACATACGAGAGGAATGCGATTTCTGCAGGTTATACGCTTGATTCCCGTGCCCTTGCCAAGCTTAAGGATCTAGACGCCCAGAAGAGCTTAATCCGCGTTATCGGTGTCTACATGGAGGGCCTCAATATGAACGAAGGCATTCGTCTTATGAAGTTGGTTGCTCAAGCTCGTGATCTCGGAAAGGTTATCGTCATATATAAATCTGGTCGCACACCGCAGGGATCCAGCGCCGCTGCAGGGCACACAGCCTCGTTGGCAGGTGACTACAGCATGTTCAGTGAGCTTCTGGACATGGCTGGTGCCGTGGTCTGTGACTCATTTGATAGTTTCGACGACGTAATTTATCTGGCCTCTGGGATTGCGCCCAGAATCCACAGGCTCCGCGAGGGCTTTGATGCGAAAGGATACGTATCTGTGACCGCTCTTTCCAATGCAGGCTTCGAATGTTGCTGCATTGCAGACCATCTGTTTGAGCTGAGCACACGCTCGATTGATCCATGCGATGAAAGGTCCAGGAGCTACTTTAGACTTCCCACTTATGACTCAGAGACCAAAGAGGCGATTAAAGCAATCTACGAGAAGTACAAGATTGGCGCTGTTGTTGATGTAAGCGACATCATAGACACGACCCCAACCATTCCTGATAGGGCGTACCAGGAGATAGCAGAGATCCTGCTCAAGAGCTTGTCTGTAGATTGTGCGATCTTCAGTGCCGTTCCTGAGACTCACATCATCAAGACCACCGCAGGCAATGTCGGTGCCCTCATAGGGGAGAATTGCGTCGCTGATGAGGACTCCATCTGCAGGCGCTTCATTGCTCTTCATGCTAACCCTGAGTACTCTAAGCCGTGGGTGTTTGTTTGCGACTCAGGATGGAAGTTCCACGAGCTCCGCATGGAAATGATGAAACACGGAGTGGTTGTCTTTGAAAAGGCAGACAGGGCATCGCGGGCCCTGGCCCTCCTTGTCCGTGCATACGTTGGGCGCGACACTATTTACATGAACTAACTGTAAAGGCTTATTCTTCGTCTTCATTCACCTCCACAATAGCTCCATTGACTATGCTGACCTTCACGTGTCCGAAGTTCTCGTCTAGTACGACCTTTTCAACGTACTGTGGATTGTCCAAAAGCAAACCATTGATCGCAGCTTGGAGATCGCCCATGGTGCTTCCCTCTGTCCCGTGAATGCCCTTGGCACAGCGGATTACCTCTAAAAGGCACTCTTCCCCGGGGATGAAGGACATGCAGGCCCCACAGTAGCCTCTGCAAGGGCCCAATATGTATTCGTGTATCTTATCGAGTTGGCCTGCATTCACACGTGCGATATGATTGTATAGTATTCTACTGAGCATATTAATTATATCTGGCTGGAACACTGCTACACCTATCTCCTCATCATTGACAGCAGTGCTAGGGGCAACAGGGAGGATCTTCTTCCCTGTGGTTGGGTCCCGCTTTGTCTTCTTCTTTGACTCAGCACGCATGAATGCCTCTGCCGCCTTGACTTTTTTCTGGCCTAGGAGCTCCTTCGTCACGATCCAATCATAGAGGCGCAGAGAGGCCCGGATATACTCCAAGCGAGCATTCTTTCTTTTCAAATGAAAGCGCAGCCACTGCACAATCGTGGCGGCTCCATGATAGTGCATATACGTCGCAGCCATCCATGTATTTTGTCTGTATGTATCCATGAGGTATCGCTTAATAACAAGCAGCGATGCCCTACGGCGCTGTAGCCGAAGGCTATTGAGAAAGCGGAGCGATGCCAACTGAATGGTGGTGGCCGCTTGGCGCATGCGCTCGAGGTTCCTGCGAGCGGCATAGGCGCGGAACACATACTGAATAGTGATCGCAGCCTTGCTCATCAATGCATTATTGAGATTGATTTCTGAGTAGAGCTTCGAAACTTCGAAGAGAGCCGCAAATCGAGCAGCTAGGTAAATTAGGGGGCATAGTTTGTTGCGTTGAATAATGAATGTCTGAGGCAGAATAATTCCAGGTGCATTTTGTAGCTTGTTGCGATATGCTGAAGAGCTCCTTTCATATTCTTTCATGGTGACTGCGTCGTAGTTGTTTAGTACCATCTCCATCTTAATATTTTCCCGTAAGCCTCTGTATTCATTCCGGAGAGCTGCCACTTCTGGTGTATAGTAGTCTGTGCGTGAAAGAAGCCGATTATGCTTCACAATGTCTGGAATAAGCGGAGGTACTGCCGTCGAGAAAAGCTGCGTATCTTGATAGGATCCTATTTCGAGAGCGGAGCCAGAGGCACCCGCAGCTTTTGGAGTGGAACTAGCGAGGCAAGTACGAATCTTTTGGTTTAGAGAGGCTGATAATTCGGTCGGTATGTTACCAGAGGTTGTAACTCTATCTCCCGTAGTCTTATAACTCGCAGCATAGGGCGTAAACAAATGCCTGTGTTGAAGTGAATCTGTGTAACAGCGGGGATTGCTCTGTGGAACCGTCCCCTGCTCCATGCGAGAGAGAAAAGCTCTGTGTGCTATTCTGTCCTCCAAGTTTTTTGTTCTCTTGGCTAGCACTGCCTTTGCCTTTTCGTTGTTGCAGTCTGCTATTATCTTCTTCAAAATCTCCGGCTTAGCTCTAAGCTCAGCAACCTTCTCCTGCATTGTTTTTCCAGTGAATTCAAAATTGTCCAGATTTGTGGAAGAGTCGTTTTCCTGAGTAACGTCTACTGCGGCAGCAGCCTGACCAGACTGTGGAAGGGCGTTCAGGTCATTTGCCGTTATGGAGCTAAGAGGCTTTGTTTGGGACACTGACTTTGCGGTCAAATCCGATGATTTCTTTATGTCCTGGAAGGTAATGGAGAGTTGATCTATAGCTTTCAGTACGTCCTCAGATGTAACTGTCTTTGAGCCAAGTGAAGGAGTGGGGGCAACTGCTGACGAGTTAGAGGCGCTTTTCTTAGATTCCGGACCTGTTGTACCTCGCGACACGTTACGCACGGCGCACTTCTGACTATAGACTCTATTCAGCATGGCAGTTAGTGGTGTCATGGATACCATAGTCTTTGACACACTAGCATCTTGGTCGAGCTTAATGCACGATGAGTGCTGTGATAGAGGCTGTGGAGGGCGTCTAGACATGTATTTTCCGAATTTTTGAAATTATGGTCCGGGATTCATACGGTACACAAGCCTACATCTGCTTAGACCAGACAAGGCTTTTCACAGTCTTTGTGTCACCTTCATCTATTGCTTTTTTGATGGCCTTGACTGATTCAGCCGAGTAGCGGGAGTCGTGCTCTACTAATATGAGAAATGCCTCACGGAGCATCCTGATGGCGGCCAATTCGATGGGATATGTGCCATTTGATGAAGAAACATTCCATTCTAGTGGTGCCAATATGCGCACCATTTCTACGGTAGTAGAATTGTTGGGTAACTGAAGAGCCGTGTGGAGTGCGGTCTCACCTTTGTTATTGAGAGAGCATGCATACCTTTTGGCGAAACTTTTTACGGAGTCAACATCGCTGTTCAACACAGAGCATGTCAACGGGGTGTTACCGTATTCATTTATGTCTGTGGAAAAAAGGGTTGCTGAAGATGACTGGAGACTCTCGGAGAGATCCTTAAATCCAACCGTACTTGCTGTTAGTAGTGTTTTAGCTTTCTTTCTTTCTGCTGACAAACCAGTCGAGGACGAGGGATCATGCGAATCCCCGTTGATCACAGTAGAGACCTTACTAGCTGGTTTAGAAACGTCATTGACCTGGACAGTAGACGATAGTGCAAGGCTGCTCGAGGAGCGACGACCTAGCCTACTTGGCTTAGATGAAGTGACACTCTTCGCGTCCTTAAAAACGTTAGACGCATACGAAGGTTTGGAGAGCCTTAACCTACTTGTAATGACTTGCTCAGTTAGCTGTGAACTGGTCGATGCCTCTGCATATACACCTGAATTCGATACATTCAAGGCGTTGATGTCCAAATCTGCTTCTCCCAGATGCACTGCAGAGTCTGGAATCAATAGTGGGGTGGATGGACCGACCCAAAGATCGTCATAGTACGTGACTATGGCTCCGGTTTCTACTTGGTGACTAATTATGCTATCAAGATCTTGAATGCAATTTCGTAAGAGATCCTGGTCGTTGGAAACCAAGGCCTCCTCTATCATGGCTCGTAGCTCTATCGCAATCTCACTTAGATTGTCATCAAACTGCAAACACATAAGCATGGCATCAGTGAACAAAGAGTCCAGTGCACACTTGATAAGCTGCCGCGAGCCTGTTAACCCTGCTTGGTACATGAAGAAGTGGCCGGTTTTGTCCGGAAGGTGAAACTCATATGGAAGGAGTACTCGCATGGCATCCACCTGGTTCTTTCGGATGGCCACCATAAGCGCTGTTTCCCCAGATGCATGCCGCATACCTACATGCGAGGGAAGATACCTGTATAGATCGTCAATATCGTTCAAGCCAGCAGCCACCATTAAGGCTGTGTAATCAGAAGGTGCGCTAGATGCTCGCTTGCTAATGGTTAGAAGTCTATCTTTCACTAGTGGACAATTGTAAAGATCACAGTATTCAGAAAGGGTCCTGTATTCTCTATCTAGTACATCACTATTATATTCTAAGAGATATAGCGCTAGATCAATAAATCCATGCTTTATGGCAACGTGTATAGGATATGTTCCTTCTTTGTTTGGAATGCTGTGCTCGTGTACTGCAAGGACCTCTACCGCCTTTTTAAAGTGGCTCATGACTGCATACATCAATGCTGTGTTCCCCTTATCGTCTGTTGTGCCATAGAACTCATCGTAATTAAGGAGTAGCTCGACGGCAACTGCATCCATCTTCTCTATTAAAGAAACCATTAGAGGCAGCTGGCCCTTGCTGTTCCGTTTCTGATATTCTAAGGGAAGGAGCTCCATGGCAATGTCTGTATTACGAAGTTGTAAGGCCCTTATGAGTGCAGTATTCCCCGAAGCATCTGTTCCCCGTGCAAACAGCTCTTTCAAACGGCGCACTTCGCCAATGTCATTAGACTCCACTGCTTCGAAGAGCGGATTGCATTTTCTAGTAACCTTCATGTTCTTACTAACTGGATTGCCTGCTTGTTGTGTTTGCAGACTTGGAGAAGACTGTGGGAAGATGGGTTGCATAGTCCTTGACTGGCTCCTAGTCTTTATTACCTGCTGCAGGACAGATACTGGTCGCTTGATGGGTGCTGTGTGACTGAATTGTTCTGTGGGACTTTGGACACAACGAGAAGTCTTGGGTACCTCTATAGATCGGTGCATAGTTGATGTATATCTCTCATACGTCGGTGACGGAGAGCGCTGATAGTCTGGTATTTGGGTACTTGCACGCCGCATAGCTCGAGGAGGTTGCAGTTCATCTGGTGGTGCCGTAGAACCCTTAGGCTTATATTGAGGATTTTGTTGTAGTTCTACTAGTGATGAGAGAAAAATATATAGATCAGCAAAGTTCGGTCGAGATTGCGGATCTTCATTGAGCATAAGATTGACAATCCGCTTTAGTAGCCCAGAGTAGGACCCAGTTGATTGCATGATGATGTTATTAATCAGCTTCCCTAACACCAGAACATCTTCTTTCTCGCGACTATAAGAAATGGTGGGCATCATGTCTCTAGAATCCTCTGGCTGCAGAAGATTCCAATAGATTCCTACTGCGACGATGGAAGCCATTCTCGTGTGTTCATTAATGAAGATGAAGTCTGGAGAGAGAAAGGAGTGATGCTGTGGAGGAATATTCATCAGCTGAGAGCGAATCGGATTGCAGACAAATCCCAGCGCTGCCGCAGCATGCAATAACAAGCCTATTATGGTTGTCTCTGTGATATGTGCTTTTCCAGAGCTCTTCTCTGCAGAGCGGGCCATGATTTGGGATAGTTGCACCGCGTCTCCAACAAAGTATTTGAGAGAAAGACATGAGCTTTCTTTGGAATAAGTGTGTGATATCAAGGGCGAGATGTGCGTGTGCGCAAGCTTGCTTAACCATCGCAAGTGCTGTGCCATGTTATTGATACCCTTTTCAGTCAATTTTGGCAATATCACTATGACTGTCGCTTCCTGTCCTTCTTGCGTGACAGTTACCCCATTGAATGGCTGGTTAGGCCGCTGGTAGCTGCTAGCCATCGTCGCCTTTGCTTGCAACGACGAATTACGCGACTTTTTGAGTATGAATTCATGATTCAGCAAAAAGGAAGACCAGCCGCTTGATTATACTTTGTGGATGGCGAGTCCTCCATCGAAGCTGGCTTCACTCAACGGCGAGTCCCTGCTCAAGGAGCAGATGAATGCTATAAAGGCCCTTTTGGATGCTGCGGGACGTCATAAGACGTTCCGGACATATCAGCTTCTCCCGCGACACCGGCGCCGAAGGCTCATGAGCTGGTCGGTCAGGTGCCTTCCACGAGTATTCAAAACTCTTGCCAAGCGCGATAAGCTAGCACCACCACCAAAGCTTTCTCGTAAAGCCCGGCGGCGTCGGTCACTCCCTCGGTTGCGTGTCTTCTTTGCCAAGCGCTTTTCTATCAGGATACGCAACGGAGTGCGCATGCCTGTCCACTCCAACCAGAAGCAACTTCGTTATGTAGAGCGTACCCTTCTGTCAGGGGCCGTCTGCTATTGCAATTTGCAGCAGAGATATGCAATCATCCATACAAGCGCGGACTCAACTAATGGTGCACTGGGCTCACCCTCCATCATCGAGGAGCTGATCCACTTGCGAGAACAGAATTCGGCGGCTCCTCTACTTTTAGGAGGGTTTGTGCCTGCATTTCTATCCTATATAGGTGATAACGGAGGCAATGCTAATGAGCACAGGTATCTGGTATCATACAATATGCTGGACGAGGAACTGATTCGTCGACGGTTTCCCGTTATGCAGTCATTACCCGACCTGGTTCATATGACAATCCTTGCTCGGCAGCGAGACTTCAAATCTGGAATGTGCTATGACGTGGATGCTGGCATTAAGCGTATTTGCAATGCTATTTCCAGGAGAGTGTGGGGGCATACAGAGTATTCTAGTCTGCGGGCGGCAAAGGATCTAACCCCTGAGGCTCGCTTTCACACCTGCTACCCTAATTGCTCAGCAGTATCTTGCACAGGTACCACCTCCATGCTTCCGTCTAATTACTTTACTAACGATTTACTTCATAATAATTTTACCAACTCTACGATTCTTCGTGCATTCAGAATTACGAGGCTCACCCTAGCACCCTTAGGAGAACCCCCGGAGTGGAGTCGGGGCTCTCGCAATGCGTTGCGTTATAAAATACAAAGTGCTTCTTTAGAGCTTTTTGATGACCAGACCCTGACACAACTAACGAAAGAAATGGAGACATATTTGTCTAATGATTCTTTACGGAAACTGCGAGTCATGCAAGTCCTTTCCAGTGATGCCCGGAAAGACCTAACGGCCCTATTGGGTCATTACCAGGTGCCACTGGACGAGGGAGAGGTTATACATGATGACAGTATTGATTGCGTTGCAACACAATGCGATTCTAAACCCATTGAACTTGCACATGAGTCTCCGTTAACTGAAGCTCCAAAACCCTTGTCTAGACCAACGCACGTTGACATAATGCCATTGACCAGTCTTGAGTTTGTTACACCGCCCCCAGCAAGTGCTGCTTCTTCTGGACAAACCTCAATCATCTTCCAACCTATTCTAAGTACCTCTCAGTTTGCTTCTCTGTCGTTTGCGGTTTCAAAAGATGAAGCCCAGCCTTTCCTTCTTGGTCTGGTACGCGATGGTATCCCCATCTTGGGGGAGAAAGAGCTTCTAATAACGGTTTCTAACCTCACGCAAGCCCCGTGCATTCCCACTACACTTGCTCCGTCGACGCTCTACTATAATCTGTCTCATGTTCTCGATGCTTTTGGTGCCTGGGCGAGGCGGCCCAGGACCAAGCGGGCTCACTCTTATAGCTCTAGGTCTGTTCTCTGGTATGTGTCGCAGATTGTTGGTTCTACTGAGCTCACAAATGCCTATCTCAGTTCTCCTGTAGCAACATGCTTTGACCTTGTGCTTGAGGAAGTTTGCAAGGAGCTCTACGATCAGTGCTATCCACTGCGAAGGGCCAAAGTCAAGCAGGTCAAGGATGCCTTTATGCAATGGATCACCACACCTGCAATCAAGCTAAGCCAATCCAACCTTGGGTCGCATATGGGGGCTGCGAAGGATAACCTCAATGAGATTGATGTCTCTGCAACAATTGCACGGTTAGAGAGCTTCGTAGAGAGCTTGCCAGCTCGCTCACTTGAGCTAGAGTCTGTGCTCTGCCTAGCAACACGTTATACAAAGATCATCTCTCTCACAGTATTGCACAACTATCCCTATGGGCATATTTTGAAACTGCGACCCGTTGACGGTGTCTCCACAGAGTCACTGAGCGCGGTTGTTCTCCACTGCTCATATAGCACCCTTATGGGTCGCTGCCTGGCAATTCTAATAGTTATATTTACCAATCAACAATTGGCACAGAGGGACGTCATCTGCACAAGCTCGCCCAGCGAATTTTATGTGGAAGGAGAGCAATTTACTAGTCGCTTGCACTGGAACTAGCCTATCGCAAAACTGCGCGTGTTCTGCTTCATGCCGACGCACACTCATCGTTCGCGAGTATCTGAAGATTCCTGAAGTCCATCTTAATTGCTTGAAGAAGCCTTTCAGCCTCAATAAGACTGGTCTTCAGCTTGAGTGCAGCTTCACTGGGGTTTCCATCCGTAGCTGGTCCTGTTTCACATCCCTCCTTGTAGATTGGCGTGTTTATCTCCGCATCACACATCTGTGGTTTCTCCATGCTCAGTTTTATTTCTAGCACACTGCTGATGAAAAGGATGCGAACCTACTCAGGTACGTATGTTACCGTCGCATGGCTCCTATGTTCCTCTGTGACTAAAATAAATTAGTTTGTTCATTCTCCGTAAATAATCGGTTTTTTGTTTATGCCAGAGAAACTGGGCTCTGCCGCAGAGACCCTAAAGATAGTAGGCCCTCGGTTGAGTATTCTGCGGCCTCCGAGGACTTTCTACCTCGAAACAATCATTGATTTACAGTTCTCAAAGCGCGACTTCGCAACAAAGTGCCAAGCAGCTTTGCAAGCGGCTATGGTAGATGCTCGGTTTATTTATGCGTCCACTATCCTTAATGACTTTGCAGACAAACACCCACAGATTAGGCGATGCGCTGAAGCATGGGTCTTCAGGGCTGAGTTTGAAATGGCTATATTTCGCAGAAACGCGGCAATTGATGCGATCACTGAAGGATTAAGGAACCATGCTGAGCCAATGGAGCTTCTCGCAGAGGCCTACCGACTGGTAACACACGGTCAAATATTCAACGTTAAACGAGCTCCAAATGCTTCTATCGCTGTCGATAAATCATATTTAGAGACCCTTACAGTTCTTTGCGAAACCAATAAACGGAATCAGTTCAATACGTCTAGCACATCAAGGAGAAGCAGCGAGTCGGAGCGAGGGGCGAATCACGCCATGCAAAGATCCTCCAGCTCAGGAGCATGGAAGGCTACACAGCATTCTTCTTGGGATGACAGTAGAAATGGTGAGATGCGGCTTGAGCCACGGCCCGGACAGCGTCTCATCTCTGATAGCAGGTCTGGAAGGTCTCAGCGATCAATGACTCCCAGCTCTGTCGGACGGTCTCAGGGAAATACAGTACGCTTGCCCATTCAATATGCTCCTCATGAGCATGTAAATCGGGCTGAAATAACAAACTACTACACACAAATGGCTGAAAAGAAGCGAACTGTAGAGCGGAGAGAAGAATTGGGATTATCAGGAATTAGGTCAAGGTCGAGCATTGTCTCCTTGGCAGCAAGAAGTAGTAGTACGAGTAAAAGTCCGCTAAATGTGCCGGTAGTCAACAAGTATCAAGAAGTGGTGGCAAAATCTTATAGACAGAGAATTGGGGATCATGCAGATAAGCGTCAGCGACTGAACAGAGACAGAAGACAAAGATTAAAGGAGGATGGAGACTTCTTTGATCTCACAGAGGGCGTTCAAAATCCATACATGTCCGAACTTAGTTTTGAGCTTCCAGAAGCGCTGCCATCAATAACTAAAACACTCCGGTATACACATAGCCATGCGACTGCAGCACAGTCTCACTTTCAGTTACAGAATGTATCTACGACATCTACCAAAACCAATGCTTCTCTGGACATAGACAGTCACGAACAAATGTATGGGCGCAGAACAGATGGGCATTCCCGATCCGCATCGTTTTCTTCGGTTTTCTCGGATGAAGAGGACGAGTTGCCGCCAATCTCTAAGCCAGTCCAGTCTAGGCAACCTCATGAGGCAACAGTGTCGTCTCGGCCGTCTGTCTCTGCGTTCGATCTTGATAAGAGGTCTATACCCTTTCTCAGTAGCCAAGTAAACTAAATTCAAAGCAAAATTCCATGCCCAAGGATGGCCACGCTGAGCCAGTGAAGGACGGGTCCGTCCAGTACATTAGCGCATTTGATGATGCTGCCAAGCAAATATCGATAGACGTTCTCACGAAGGCCACACGGCAGGTCGAGTCCAATGATCACGAAGTCCTACTCTCTATGGCCCGCAATGCAGAGCGTCGACGCCTGGACAGTCCGAATAATGTCCCATTTATAGCAATGGTCATGCTCATACTGACTCTATTTTCTATTGCCTTCTACCAAATAGTCTCTATGGATGCAAATAGTACACGCTACATGTGAGTTGTCCGGCTGTTTAGAGCTATCTAGAGGTGTAAATTGGTTGGCTATTTGCTAGTATCCTTGCCAGTGAGAGCATCGAGACACTCGTCAAGATGACGCCGGATCTCGCCCATAATTATGGATTGGACTGCCGGAGTTGCACAATCATCATCCAGTGAAACTCGAAGCATGCCTGCTTTCGTCATGACCCGCGTGTGGAGGCAGCGCTCTTCGGGAGGACGATGCCGTTTGAGGGCGGCAATCGTGCTAAAATCTTTCATGTCATATACATCTTCGTCTTCAAGAAGCCGAACGGTTATAGAGTTTTTCTCCACCTTCTCGTTACAATCTGCGATTAGGTCCTGTAGAGAGGAAAAGAGAGTGAGCTTGTCCAACTTGGGGTTCTTTGCTAAAAGATCTGCAAACGATACCTCAATGTGCTGGTCAACCTCCACTCGTTTCATTTTTTCCATGAGTTTTCAATGCTGCTAACCATACGAACCCAATGATCCTTCGTAAGCTTAGTACTTAGTAATAAAGCTTAGTAGTCGGCGATTTTAAAAAGCAATCTTAGGAAGCGTATTAATTGTTGCTTCAACAAAAAAAGATCATCTGAGTCATAGATGACTTGCCGGGTCTCGAGGCTATAAATCCCAGAGCCAGCCTTTTTAACTTGTACATCCGTGTGTTGATACAATAGATACCAATGTATGTTATTAAGAAATATCAGATTGCCCAATTTGATGGCCATGTTCTTTAGATTGTGTTTGCAAATAAAGTCCTGAAATTGTACCGCTGCTTCCTGCGAAGCACTCATGCTACCCATGTAGAACAATGCGTCCAGGAGGTGAATGAGACGTGACGGAGAAGCTAGCTCTAGAAACGACGCATTTGCGAGACTGTGAGCAAGCAGCCCGTTGCAGGGGCTCAGGATAAATATTCGCCGAGCGAGAGGGCTAACGAGTGCAAGATGCGCAATGATAGCCGCTGAAGCGTCGGACAGCATATCGCAGCCCCAGCAGCTGGCTGGGTCCAGAGTATATCGAGTACTTACAAAGGTTGCAGACAGCAGAGGATCCTGCAGGGTCAGGAGTAGGGACCCATCTGAAGGGTTGGTGTTAGTAAGTGCAGTGGGGCTAAACGTAACCACTTGCATTTGAGCGATGTTGGGATCTGTCTGTGGGTTCTCTGACAAGTGGATGAGGTTTTCAAGGAAGTGATAGTTATCTTTGCAAAATATATGTGCAGTTTCGGGGCAATTTATCGCAAAGAAGAGAACTCGCAGCGCAAGCACGGCCAAGGAACCAGATTTCTTTGAATCAAGAATGGAATTAACGAGGATGGTGAAGATTTGTGGATGATCCTTGCAGATGTTCGAGAAGCTGCTGAGCCCCCGGGAGTCCAAAATATATAGAAGAGATAGGGCGACGGCCATGTAGTGTGCTCGCTCTGGGAGCTGCTTGAGCCCAATGCATGATACCACCAAGTTGTAGGCCGTAACAGCAGTTTCTTTAGAATCAGTCATTTTACACTCTAAGCGATTAGCAGTTAAAATATCAGAGGAAAGCATCAGAAGGATCGGGTTCGTTTATCCTTGAATAACAACCCTTGCTATGTACTTGCACATCATTCGATCTGTATCATCTGTGTCCCTAAAATTCGAGTTGAAAAAGAGTCCCAGTACAACACTACAGACAAAGGAGAGATTTGTGGCTACTTAGTCACTGTTGCTGTACCCTACTCTGTCTAGAATAGCATTCCTTTATGAGATCTCGAGAATGTCAATGCTTTTCACAGAGTCTCCATCACCCTTGATTGTGTGCTGCAGATTGCTCCGTGATCATGCTTTCTAATCCCCAACTAAAAAACTAATTCCATCAATCTTTAGAAAATAATTCACTCATAAACTTAGTACCCATATCCAAGGGCATTAGAGAGGCCCCGCCGCATCTCATCTTCTGTTATCATTGAAGCTAGGTTTTTCTCAGGAACAGATTCACCCAGAAGGTAGTCTAGTGTTGACACAAGGCGTATAGTGTTAAGATCAATGTACGGGTTGGGAGATGGCGCGTAAGGCTCCTGGATATAAAATGCTTGGCATTCAGAAGTGTGCTTATCATAGGTGATATTAGGAGAAGATGACTTGGACTCCTGCTCAGGGGCTTCCTTAAGCTTAAGATTGATTCGAGCAGGTGCTACAGAGGCATCAGTTGACGGTTCGATCGTTACTTGCTCTGCTGCTTGCTCTTTTTTCTGAGCTCCAGTGAGGGCAAGACGGGCTGGCTTGGCATCGTCCTGGTCCGACGACTGCTCTTGGGATACTTCCTGCTCCAACTCTGTGTATCCGAGAGCGGATATTTGAGTATCTGCTTGTATGAACAGCTCATCGTTGATCATGGGGTGCGAGAATAGATCCTCCATAGCCTGTACCGCAAATGCAATTCTGTATAGGAGGAGGAAGTGATTGTATTCGGTCCCAATACGCTTGACTGCATTTGATCTATTATCCATCGCCTGCTTGAGAAACACAGCAGATGAGCTTCCTGGAACGGGTGGAGTACCGTTGGCCACGTGACGGCACCTGTGACTGTATAGGTAGCAATCTTTGAACTTCTGTGCTATAACCGGAATTAGGGTGTCAGTATCAATTAGCTGCTTATCTAATAAGTTATCCCGGTCCAGTGCAAGGAACAAGTTCAAGTTCTTCGTCTCCATCATGATCGAGAGTACTAGCCGCTGAGCAAGCTCAATGTTTCGCTGAAGAGTTACCCGCGCTTGAGCACTCTTAGGTAACGTATTAGTATATCCTGGTCCGGGACTACGAAGCCCAATGCGGTAGGCCTCTAGAAAAGAAAGGTAGTCTGCAGACGTGAACTTCGACGCCTCTCTGTATGATACAGACATCATAACAGCGATAATTTCCTTGATGAGTGAGAGATAGGGCCCAGGATAGGATAGTAAGGAATAGCCTCCGGAGAAGGGATCGTATGCAGGTATTGCGAGAATGCTATCCAAGGGGTCGGTTATAAAGTCTTCACAACCCTTTATATGCTTCGATATCAACTCTCTGCGAATATCGTCTGCAGTGCAGCCAGTTATCTCTGTAGGTACTTCTCTGTTTAGCCATTGATATTTAAGTGGAAGACGGATAGACGATCCTGACGTGATAGCAACGGTACTGTACAATCTACAAATAACGTAGTCTAGAGAATAGCACAAGCCCAGCTCACAGTTTGCAGCCTCCTGCTTATTATCAGGTTCATCAAATTGAATATAGACAGATAGTGACGAGCAGCAGTTCATGTCAATAATTACCCGAAGCCCTTCGAGATAAATACAGTGAGAAGAATAGCGAATAACCTCGTTCCATACAGCTGAATAGGAGTGACCCGAGCGCAACCCCTCTTCGACAAGATAGCAAAGGATGCGGTGTGCTTCCTCAATCGGTAAGTAGCACCCAACTACATCCATGATACATGTTCCCGGATCAATTGCTTCATCGAGAACCAAGTTAGTGCAACCAGATTTCTGTTCTATTTTTAGAGCTAGTCGTGGTGCAATCCTTGTTGGCCCGAGATGAGGTGCACTGATGCCAGGGCTCTGCATGAAGGCGGGTTGGTCAAGATATCGAGGAGGAGCAACAAGAAACTGAAGTTCAGGATGGTGCACAGACATTAGGAAATATTTTTCATATGGATCAAAAACGGGGCCGCACAGTGGTTCGTCAAGAAGCACCAACCGAACAGGTGGGATACCCATGGGGAGCAGATACTTTGTCAAGCGAGCGTAGGGTTGTTCTTGTTGTGCAACTACCGTGGAGGAGGAGTTATAGTAAAGATTAAGCAACGCCTGGCTCACTATTCGCTTACTGAAGAATAAGAGTCGCGAATCACTATCCAAGTTGTGCGCAGCAGGGAGTGGATTTGGAAGTTTAAGTTTTGCTATAATGACGCGTTGCAGGTTTGAGAGAGGCCTGGACGGACTAGAAGACTGCTGAATGTTGAGCCAACGCCTCAGTGATAGGCTAATGTAGATATATGAAAGCAATTCTCCTCTGCTGATGTCGTGTGTGGATGGCTTAATATGGGGTGCAAGAGAGCTGAGCAAGGATTGTATCTCTGCATTATTAGAGGGCTTTGCTGTTTGCACTAAAGTAGAGGCCCAGTCCATTGCGTTATTGAACCGCTGCTTAGAGTGTAAAGTAGATTGTTCGAAAAAGTAAGCGTTTTGATAGTACAAAGAGTACTCTAAGACCTCTTTCATCAAAGTAAACTCTGAAATGGAAGTTGGGGAGTCATCTGGGGCCTGAGACGGCATAGTTAAAGAGATTCCACTGGTAGCTAACAATAATTGAGTCAGTAAGTGGATCACTGGGTCCTTCCTGACTTGAAAAGAACTGGGAGTGGGCAGTGACACTGCTGACTGCCCAGTTGTCCGTGACTTTCCAGAAAGTGGGCAAACCATGCCAGTTGCGCGATACTCTGATGATGTCGATAGGAGTGACGCCAGACTCGCTCGCATGTCAATATCGTTCTTTGGCTGTTCAGGTGGCAGCACAGACGATGTACGCTTGGTTACAAGAGAGGCAGGGATCTGGCTATCAGCAGACTGTGCTTCTAGAACTAGACCAAATACTGAAAGGAACTCGCTACGGCTCAAAAGCTTTTCTAAGGACAAAAACGACTCATAAGAGATACTCTGTAGGCATCCTAACCAGAGATTCGGCATGTATACGTGCGGCACTGCTGTAGCATCCTCCTTCGTGAGAACATTGAAGAGGACAGCGAGATGAGAAACGGACTGCAGAGTCTCGAGCCTGGCCTGCTTCTTGGGGACATGCTTGCGCTTTATTGAGGGCTCGACAGATGGAGCAGTGGCACCGTCCTTTAATTCCAGCTTAATGCGGCTTCTCCTTCTCACCTTGCCTTGGTTCTCCGTAGTGTCTTTGTTCTCGTTAGCTACTGTATTTTTAAGATGCTTGACCTTCTTTTCCGTCTGCTCAGGAGATATGGGCTTTCTGGCTTCATGCTGCTGCGACTGCAAGTATGCAGAGTGTGCCGCAAGGGAATGTTGCAGTTCGGCAGCTCTGCTTGTATTCTTTCTGCGTAGCTGGGTGCTCACTTTTGTCGGCTCACTTTTTGGGCTGGCTCCGTGTTGGACTATCATCTCTGCAATATCTTGATTGGGGGTGGCATAAATGCTACTAAGGATTTCAGAAAGTGTCTGCATAGATGTCTTAGATGCAAGCTCATCAGGCGCAATTGCCTGTAGAGTGGAAATTACCTCGTCAATGGGCGTCAGTTTCTTTGAATCTGAGGACAGCTTCGCCAGCTCTAAGAGTCGCAGCCGCGTCTCCTCGTGCTCCAGCCTCATAATGGAATCGATGGTATCGGCTGCTACAAGAGGCCTGGGCATGGTTTGAAAAGCTGGAGGCTCGAAGTAGAGTTTCTTTTGTTTATAATATTTTACCTAGAGCATCTTGTCTGAATGCCGCCGCTAATGATCGATGATAAATTTGATGCCCAATCGGACGGCTCTGGTGGATCCGTGGAGGCCCTGGCTGTGGACCTCTCAATACAACGTTTATCCACTGACAGCATTAATACTCTCATCTGGAAGACAAGCACTCCCTCCATCATAGTCAACACGCTGGGTGCTCTTGGAGGCCTGGCAGAGTACACTCTACTATTTTACTACTCCGGGTTCAGTGCGGTTGCACTTCATTCCGTGTACCAACCGCTCGAACTCATGCTAAACACGTATGCGCCATATGCATTTGCAACAGCGACATCAACATTTGTATCACGAGCTCTTGCACAGGGACATGCGAACGTGGCCAACATATATCTTTCGCACTTCTTCTTTATCATCTTCATCTGGGGAATCCTTGTGCCAATTTGTTTTGCATCTCCATACAAACACCTAAGCTCGTTCCTCTCTGTCTTCAAAAGATCCGAAGATGCATTTGGCTACGTGTACTACTTGTGGATGTTCATCGGTGGACCGATTTTAACGGCCTTTTCCGCATCCATTCAGCCATTTTTGAGGGTGGAAAATCGTAATTGCATCCATACTATGCGAGGATTGCTTTCTGCACTTCTCCAGCTCTTTTTCACATTCATGTTGCTTTACATTTCATCTATGTACAATCCAGTGGGAACGCCGAGCACTTTATACTATCTAGCTATTGCATATCTAGCAACCAATCTTGTTATAGCCATCTGGATGATCGTAGTCTTCTTCCACAAGTCTTGCCTTATGATCCCCTTGAAGGGGTGTTTGCACTTTAGTCTCCGGCGCCTGTTTCCCATCAACATTAAAATAATATGGAGGATACTGCTCTTTGCAATTCCGCAGTGGTTCTTCCTGGCTCAGATGCAACTTGTTGTAATAATAATGAATCTTCTCTATGGGTACTTCTATTCAGACCAGGAGGTTCTAATCTATAAGCGCGTCGGATATTCTTTGTACACACGATTCTATGCTCTTGCCTCACTTCTTTCTAATTCATTAGTTCAGGGCTTTGCTCAGATCATTGGGTTCAACCTGGCTATCAAGCGTTTTCGTAGGGCGAAACAGTCAATAATATTGACACTAGTGTACATGTGCGTTCTTCCATCCGTCGTTTCCTTCACATTGCTCTCTGTCTCTGATCATCTGACAGAGGGGATTCAGCCACGCTACGCCACTGAACCAGACTGGTCCAATGCCTTCCTTGAGGCCATAAAACCAATCACCAAGTGGGCCTTCATTACACCGCCACTTATGGGACCCTACCACATCGTGAGCACGACCTCCCAACTGGAAGGCAAGGTCCTGCTGGCCATAATAATGCAGCTGTCCCGCACCATTCCAGCACTTCTTTCGTTGATGGTCATGGCACTTGTTATAGGTGACCAGGCCGACTTCACTCTGGCCTACCCCATTGGTGATTTTTGTGGGGCAACGCTCGGAATAGTGCTCTTAGTGCAGTACATAATCAAGTACTCGATGCTGGCGAAGATAGACATCGAGCAAGATAACAATGAGGATGATGGGACAGATGAGCAGGCTGAACAAGGGGATGATGGATCGAACAGCGAGAGCAGCTACGATCGCTCCAGCGAGTACACAGCCACTGTGCACGAGATGTCGACATCGGGAAGATTCCTTGACAAGGACTCTACAATCAACGCTTCATTCACAGATGGCGAGCATGGAGGCGTCCGCCGCAAGGAGGATAGCAGCTGGTACGACGAGTCGTCCCATAACAGAGGCGGTGGTGATCAATATCAAGAGTCATCTGACAACTGGGGTGGACAGGCTCGTGTTGTCGGAAAGAGATAAGAGATAAGAGGTAAGAGAGTAGGAAGGTAGGCAGTGGGTGGTTTAGAAGTACTTGGTCAGTTCTGTCAATCGTAGCTCTTTCCGAACATCTTCAGACACGAAAAAGAAGCTTCCATTATTCTCATATGCGTGTTTTGCACCGTTGGTGTCAAGGATCTCCTTCACAGCCCTGGTCTCTAGGTTGACAACGTGACAGTTAGTGTCCTTGCAGAAGAGAAGAACAATACAGCTGATATTTCCGTGGAAGGCCGGTGTGTTGCCAGTGGCAGAGGTAGATGAAAGCAATGAATAAATCTTAGCGTTGCAGATTGACTTGGCTAAGGATTGATCTATAGGTATAGCAAGGTAGTCTGTTTGAGAAATGAGATAGAGCGTCCCTGTGGTCACAAAAACGGTCTGACGACCGAAATACTTAAAGAATAAGATGGGCTGAGGAACCCTAGGGATAAGAGTACTGGTAGATGCAATGTTGATTGAAAGACTTGCGTTATCTACTATGGAGACAGCAAACCGGTACTCAACACTTTGTAGGTTGCGCAACGCAATACTCAGGAAGAAGTTTGCAGGCGAGGATGACTCTAATTTCATCATCCCAGGAGGATCTGTGAATAGATGTGCCAGCGATGACAAGTCCATGGCATAAAAGGGGGGAGGATGCTCTAGCGCATGCCGTATGGTGTGCACTACACCATTTCTGTCTGTGACAAGAAGCAGCTCAACTTCAGTGAGGAGCACTAAGAGGGCACAAATGCTATTGACCGCAGAATATAGTTGCTTAATAGAACCCGTTTTCGGAATAGTGATTCTCCGAATATTGTCATTTTCATGCCCCATATCGAAAGTATATAGAAATTCCCCATCGCTAAAATATAACACGCTGCTATCAGCCGGAAGGGTGGCTGCGGTTATGGTGAAGGCTGTGTTCACCTCTAAAGTGTTGGGCTGTGCTGTGGAGAAGTATTTAATCCCAGTCGGCTCGATCTTACAGATATATTGGCCATTTGCAATGATCATTTAAATTAGTGGTTTTTTATAATCTGCCGTCAACAAAAATCCAGATTCTCGGTCATGGATCAGTGGTTCAGGGCGGCCAGGACAGGTGACATTTCATACATCAAGGCCTACTGTCGCCAGATGAAGGGTTCACGGACCACAAGCGGGGGCTATACTGCGCTGATGATCGCGGCCCGCTACGGATGCCGTGAAGTGGTGGGCGTATTAAAGGGTCATGAGGCGCGAATCTACTGCGACACGCACTGGACGGCGCTAATGTTTGCGTGCGATTCTGGTCATCAGCCTATTGTCCAGGAGCTAGCTCCTCTTGAGGCAGGTCTCTCAGACTATCGTGGCATCACCGGCCTGATGCGGGCATCTCTTCATGGCTTCACCACCATTATAAAAACTCTCTTCTCCTACGAAGGAGAGCTCAACGCCACACTGAAGGAGCCCGTTTCAGACTTTCCTAAAGGTTGTAATGCCCTGGCCATGGCGATGATGTCCGGCCACAAAGAATCTGTGCAACTGCTCCTCCCATCAGAGTGTTCTAGTCTCACAACAGTCATAGTCCAGGAGTGTACATGTGATCGTGAGTTGACAGATGCCCAGACAGATTGTATCAACTTGGTCACATCGTTTCTTGAGCAACGGGCCATGGTAGAGGATCCGTCTTTCAGAGCAACACATCCGTGGTTCTATGCGGCTGCCACAAACGATGTGCAGTACGTCCAGGACCACATCTCAGACTGTGCCAAACTGACCAATCCTGATGACGGAGATAAATGTGCACTGTTCTATGCCATCATCCATGGTGCGAAGGATGTAGCAGAGCTACTGTTTGAACTAGAAAAGGACTGTATTGACTCCTCTCAACGTGGATTCACATCGTATCTTAGAGATACTGCGTTCAAGGACATCATTATTGGCTCATCTGCCAGCCTCTCTAAGCAACTAGCCTCCGCTGCCCCTGGCCTTCTTGCAACCACTGAACCCTCGGCTACACTTCCGACTACAACGCACGCTGCTGCCCAGGAAACTATAGATACCTGTCAGCAGGATGCCGAGATCAGCAGCTTTCCAGATCAAATGGAAGAAGCCAAGAGGCCTGTCTCTACTGTTAGTTTGCTTCACGCAACCCCTCGCCTGACGATCCCCAATACCAAGCCAATACCGTTGCGTGCTGCCAATACGCGAACCACTCCACAGGAGGCTCGCAGGCCTAAGAGCAAAGAACCCAGGGGCGTGTCACGGGACACCATCTCTCCGGGACCAAATAGAAGTAGGTCTACTGAGAGGTTAGCAATCCACAAGGACGTTGGGCCCATGACTACTCCAATGAAGCAGACACCTTCTAAAGAGTCTATCAGGACAATGCGCTCGGGCAGCAGGTCCTCGTCGGCTTCCAGGTCCGTCCCTCGGCGGGCAGGCTCGTCAGATGTCGGCCGCAATATCTCCCGCAAATCATTCAGTAAGGTAGGGCCCTATGACTCTGAGCCCCATGTTGTACGGCCAAAAATTGCTAATAAAGGACAAATTCCAGCAATCTCAAAGTTGGTAAAGGAATCTGTTCAAAAGGCTAATGCACAGAATATAAGCCAAGAACTGGTGTCTATCTGCACCTCTGATAATTGCCGCACGATCAGTGAGCGGACAGAAGAGAATACTTCGCCGAAGGATCTATCATTACCGTGTGTTTCTATTGGGGTTGCACATGAAAGGGCAGATATCACAGACGAAGCAGCTCATCTCTTCAGCCAAACTAAGGTTTCCAGTGAAGAACTATCGATCCACAATTCCGGCGCAGGTGGCGCACAAGAAGACGTTAACAGTCCTGGGCATGAAGACTGCTTTAAGCTTCTTGCCAAGTGTGCTGTGCCGAATGCAGGGAGTGCAAACATCACACCAGGGGCAACTAATCGCCCGAGCAAGTACTCTCCCAGAGGTGATGGAAGTTTCGAGGGGGTAGAAAAATCCTTATCAACTCTCTTAGCAGGCATAAGCGAAAAAATAGAACGACTTGATGCTCTGACAAAACAAAATACAGAACATTGTGCGTCTCTTTCAAGTGGGTTTGAGAAGATAACGACGCTCATAACTGGACACAATGAACAGATTGAGCATATCATGAAGACCCAACAGACCTTAACCATGTTCATGTTACAAGAGAAAAGCAGCCGGGACCGCTCAGAAACAGGGAACTATTCAGCTGCCACTCCATCTAGCGTTATTGCAGATGGTAGAGTGCAACCATTCGCTCTGCCTCGCAATACCGATGAGCCTGTAGTTGTGTGCGCTGGAGAGCCAAATGCCAAGTTGAATAGCATGTCTGCCAGCGTTTGTGGAGAGGGTCCTCAGCAGCTGTCTATTCTGTCTCCCAATGAAAGCTCTCTCTATGATCAAACACGTTTCGTCACGAAGAGCGTTGCGCCTGCCACCGTATCCGCAATATATACCGGGCCGCTTCAACAGCCTTCTACTCACGTCTTGGACACCAGTAACAACAATTCTACCATTTGCCCCGAGCCGGCTTCGGCTCCAACTCCAGCTCCGTTCGTACTGACATCAGGAGACACCAAGCCCTTCTTTGCAATGAAAAGCTACATGAGCCTATTCTTTGCTGTCCTTGGCTTAGTAATAGTTAATAGTATAGCATACAACGTTATACTCACCATCCAAGCGTGAATAGAACTACTTCCTCTTAGCGACAAGGCACTCAGACTCGTCTATCCAAACGCGCCAGACCTTAATAAGTCCGTCGTTGCCATATGTGTAGAGTAGCCCTGCCTCGTCATCAAGAAAGATTCCATTGATGGGACCGCTGTGTGCAAGCCAGGTGTTAACAATAAGGAGGTTGTTGGCATCAAACACGTTAATAGCCCCGCTTTCGTCTGCACTGAAAAGCACAAGACGCAAAGGTGAAAAGGCCAGTGTTGTGACTTTTTTGTAGTTGAAGTTGCTGGTATCGATTATGTATGATTCACCAGACACAAACAGCGACTCGATGTTCCATATGGCAATGACCTTGTCATCTCCTCCAGTAAATATTAGCCCGTTGACGGGGTCGATCAGAAAGGTTCGGATAGATTTCTTGTGCGCAGATTGCACTAGCCGTCGAGCCGAGTTCATTCCTAACGCAGCAACTAGTTTGGGTACGTAGACGGCGTCCTGCCCAGTGCAGCTTGTCACAATTGAGACAGCTCTGGTACTAGTATCGATAGCATTCTCCCCCAGACCCTCTATTTGCAAAGCACACACACCAAGCTCCGATGACTCTACACGCCTTGCCTGGCTGGTATGCTTAGAAAACCGTTTAAAGAAATTAGAAAGTTTAGCTAAAACTTTCTTGCCACGGTGCTTCTTTGGCTTAAGTGAATAGATAGTGGATGGCGCAGTGGTCTTAGGAACCATTGATATGCTAAAGTTAGTGTTGTTTCTAATCTTGATTGTGGAAAGCTCGTCTGTCGTTTGCTTGTCTGTCGTTTGCTTAGTACTACTTGATTCGTGGAATTTTCTATTAAAAGTCTGTGCTTTAGTAGAGCCCATCCCAGAGGCGAAAATGGAGGTTGTCGGAGTGTATGATGTACCGTCGTACAAAGAAACAAACAAGGACGATCCTCGTACTGCCGCATTCTGATTGATAATTCCTGGATTGCTAAGAGGTATGTTGAAGACCCTCACATAGTCCCGTGAATCAGAAATATAAAGTGCCTCTGTGAGCTCGTCCAGAAAACTATGCGTGAGGGGCTTATTCGAGACCCTTCGGGAGAAAACTTGCCCGAGCAGAGGCACATACATATAAATGTCAGGAGATGCAGCAGTTATCACTAAGATTTTAGCCATAGTTAGCCACTGTAGCTTTCGAATTGCAGCCCTCCCAACATAGAAGAAGTGGTCTAGATGCATCGTTCTCCGTCCGTTCGCTGTCTTCAGGCGAACAACGTTTAGGCACCCAAGGGTGGTGCCCAAGTAGAGAAGCTCAACGCCATAGGCTATACTGTAGGCCATGCAAGAGATAGGGCCTCCAAATTTATCCTTAAAGGTACACTCAATCCCATATGAATCCTCGTCTTCATAGGGTCGTTTGTAGTAGTACACCTGGGCTTCGTCTGCGACTATCAGAAAATTGCTTCCCACATACAAACCACGGATTGGCTTCGTGTGTCCCCCAATAATGGTTATTTGCGTGTGCAGAGTACGCAATTCACTCATATGATTTTTTGTACCTCGTTCATTAGTAGTGATGCAAAGATGCCTCCATCTCTCTATGCACAAAAAGGTTCAGCATATTCAGCAGCCACATGATAGAAGCGATGATTTGCTTCTGAGCTTAATCCCCAAGAAGCCCGAGGAGCCCATCTTGATCATCCTTGATGGCCAACACAGGATCTATCTCTGCCGCATCTTCTATGTTCTTCAGTATTGTCTGCCTGAATAACTCAGCAGTTTTTTCTTCAGCCTCAGTGAGGGGCTCACAAGGATTTCGTCGGACGAGGCGTTTCAGGTTTTCGTTCATTTGGCGAGCTGCGGGCGAGGCAGAGCTAGCTGATTGCTGTGTGACCAGCTCCTCGGTGACTGCAAACTGCTCATTGCTGCAGGAAGCACCACAGAAGAGACACGGCCCCAAGCCCTGTGCTTGGCAGACGATGTTCCCACAGTTGAGACACATGAGTGCCCCTGTCCGCGCGGGGATTAGGGGATGGATGGTTCCGTGGCAGGTGCACATAGTCCTGGAAGCCATTTTGAGGTTGGGGAAACAGCAAAAAAAGGAGGGACCTGCAAACACTAACACACAGTCTACTTAGCGCAACAGAAACTTGGCCAGCACCCCCCATTTGTTCCTCTAGTACGGACGGGACATGGCCTGGCTAACATAAAGAACCTACGCAACACCGGTTTAGCTAGTGAGAATGGCAGAGAAGAGGTACAACCATCACTCCACCCCACTCTCCACATTCTGTCTCCAAACTTCATATACCCGTTGTCGGCCCAGTATTCCTTACCTCCCGAGTATCATTCTGCAGTGCGGACGGCTGCGGCTCTTGGGATCTGCGACCTTCCAGGAGCCCAAGTTGTGCTGGATATAAGCAATCTCTCTGCAAGTGCCAAGCGCCAGTTGCTTAAGGCACAGACAATTGAGTATCTCAGCCAAGCCTTCGATGCTACGGTGCTTCGCCCGGGGGAGAGTAAGGGTGAGAAGCTCCAAATAACCATTATTGCGAAGACAAGGGGTGCCCTAGACAATTGCCTGGCGCATGTGAACAACTTGGTGGCTGAAGCAGACATGTAAATTGCGTCTAAGTATTATTTCCGGGCACGCTCTAAAATTTCTTATGGATGCTCCTTTAGATCCGGCCCAGCACGATTGGTTCAACGCAGTTAAGTGCGGCGACATCTCACTTGTGAGTGAAATGATAAAAATTCATGCTAGAACCCGCACAGAGGCAGGAGAAACCGCACTCATGATTGCGTGCCGAATGAACAATGCCAATCTCGCGAGCATTTTGATACCTTCAGAGGTTGATGTCTGCACGGATAACAATGAAGATGCCCTCATATTTGCTGCTCAATCTGGAGCATGTAAGGCCTTGGCACTTCTGTTGGCTTACACGAGTATTCGACATACCAAAGCAGGGCTAACAGCCCTGGATATCGCTGTCCAACGAGAGGATGTACCGTCCTTAAGGATTCTTCTCCGGCATCCTGGCCTGGCTCTCGAAGATCTTCAATGTGTGTACGACCGCATGATCCCTACAACATCTGAGCCCATCCAGCACCTTATTCTACACGAACTAAGTACTAGAGGGGTACACTGTGAAGTGAAAAAGCAGTCTTTAAAATCAGAAAGCCTGGCCACCAACCAAGAGATCTGTGTGACAGAGTCTAACCAGAACCATGGCTTAGAGCTCTCCTTGACCCCCAATGTTAGCATTTGGGATGCTTCGACTGTAGAGCAGCAGCCTTGCAGGGGCACTGCCCACCCCGACCCCACCTCCACTTGCCAACTTTCGGGGATTGAAGAGGATACTTACTCATTGTCTTTTCTTCAAAGTGCTCAGCTGGTAACCAGCGAATCTAGTAGCAACATTTCTGGTCACGATGCCACTATTCACGAGCCCCACAGGCCCCGCTGTTCTGACAGATTTGCAACACCAGAACCTCGACAAACCAATGCCGACTTACTCGGCTGCATTCGTGACTCTGCAGTACACAACAAAAATGAGCACATCCAAACGCTCTATCCAATATTCACAGAGGCCCAGATGGCGGAGAAGAATAGCAATATCGAAGCCCTCCGAACAGAAGTAGCTGCCCGGCAGCGTGAGCTAGAAGCACAGCAGCGTCAGAATGAAGAGCAAGCGACAATCTTCGTGTCCAAAATAGAGAATTTGGAGGTGAAGATGGCTGAAATCACAAAGGCTCACGGTGTTGAAAGAGAGACACTTCAAAAGGAAAATGCATCTCTCCGAGCTATTAATGCTTCACTAGGAGAAGAGATTGCCGTGCTGTGCCAGTCCGCACCTTTTGAAAACCTTTCCACATTGCTTGCGGCGGCACAGCAACTGGTGAAGTCTGAACTTCCATCAATCCACATCACAGAGAGAGCAGACAGCATCACACCTAATCGAAATAGCAGTGTGTACTCAAGACAGAGCGATGCAGACTCCACAGAGATGTCACTAGAACAAAATAGACTACATGAGATAGACGTGATATCACAAAAATGCGTACAGCAAGCACAGCTTATTAGCTCACTGCAAGCCAATATAACACAAAGGGATGAGCAAATAAAGGCGCTGACACGGCAAAATGAAGAGTTGAAAAGAACTATCCAAAGTTATGAAAACTCTATATCTTTGTGTAACACAACGGTGGATAATTTGATACGGTCTCCACACGTATTGAACCCAGGAATTCTGTTGCAGAATACTCCGCAGAATACGTTGGGAGTGACAACTAGCAAACCAAAATCATCTACTCCGATTCGGAGGTCAATCGCATCACCTCTCTCAGAGAACAGCGTACTCTCCAGAGGCAGAGGGAGCAAGGCAAGTCCAGGCACCCCACAAGTCTCCAGGCCCATAGAAAGGGCCCACACATTGCCAACACCAACACGGTCCGTAGTCCATACCAGTACGAGGCTGAAATCTTCCAACATCAGACCTCCTGCTACTCAATCACCAAAGGTACAGCCCTCACCAGGGCCCAGAGGTACGCGGAGAATGCTGGACACTACTCCCAATCATGAGAGAGAAGACGCCAGGTCGCCTTTAGATGAATGGATGCTGATTGCATCGAAGAATAGGGCATCCTCTAAAAGGTGGTCGACACATACACCCTTGATGGACGCTGTTCTCTTTCGGCATAACCATGACATACCTCGACACATGGAATATGCAGGGTGTGCCTTAACTAACGGCTACACGGCTCTTATGTTTGCCTGTGAAAGAGATAATAAGGGTGCTGTCTCGATACTTGCGCCTCTGGAGTGTGGGATGTGTTTAGACAACGGGGATACAGCTCTAATACTAGCGCTACGGAGTGAGCATTTCGAGACAGCAGAGCTTCTCCGGGGCCTGGAGTCTAGCTACTGTGATGTTCAGAACATAACACAGATGCCCACTAATATTACAGAAAGTGGCACATCTCGGAAAGGCCCGCGCACGGAGATGATGAGGTATGCAATAGAGGGGGATGTACTGAAAATCTTTTGCCTTTTGCCGTACCAAAGCCGTGAAAAGGATGAGGATGGCAACACGTCTCTTATTCACGCAGTTTCCAACAACAACCTCTCCGCAGTAAAACTGCTGTGCACGACAGAGGCAGGCCTCCACAACAAGAAGGGTGAAACAGCGTTGATACGCGCAGCTAAGAACGGCAATGTGGAATGCTGCCTTCTCCTGATAGACCACGAAAAGAGGCGCCAAGATGGCAAGGGGTACACCGCGCTTATGTGGGCAGCGGTAGCAGGAGACGTAACTATGGTGAGGCTGTTAGCTCCATATGAAGCAGGAGTCCAAAACGCACAAGACGACAACTGCACAGCCCTAATCTATGCTGTAGAGTTCCAGAACTTTGAGTGTGCAGAGATCCTAGCACCACGGGAAAAAGCCCTAGAGGACACTCGCGGTCTTTCTGCTTTGGAGAGGCTTAAAAGGTACTCTGGCTCTACCAACCCTCAACTGCGGGACGCATTTATACGTTTATTGTCATAGGCTCGTGGTGGTCATTAAACAAAAATTTAACAGAATTAAAATGAATTCTTTAAGTACGAAAACGCGGCCACCGAGGCTATGGCAGAGAGCGTGTCGACTGGAGGCGTGAATCTTGCAGATCACAAGGATGGAAAGGATATGCACCAGAAGTACACCATCATTGTGGTCGGGAAGGACCTTAAGCTGGTCGAGAGGTACGTCAAGAGCATAGTGAAGGAGGGCAGAGCGTTTGGGATATCTGGCCCGTGCCGCGCCCCAGTCAGGAGGCTGACCATTACAACCCGAAAATCCCCGTGCGGAGAGGGCACCAACACCTGGCACCGTTTTGAGCTACGCATGTACAAGCGCACATTCTGGGTTACCTGCGGAGGGAATGACATTAGCACAATTTTGTCCAAGACAGTGGTCATACCTGGGATCCAGGTAACCGTTGAGGTGGAAGAGCCGGATAATGAGTAAACACGTGGCGGCGAGTCATCTGCACAAAAAATATATGATGGACGCCATTCGCAAAGCCCTCCCCCTGCTCTTCGGCCGCCATACAGCCTTGGATCGGAAGCTTGCCTCCATCGTCCAGGGCCAGGCGGCCATATGTGCGCTATGCTTCCTGTACTGTCTCATTACGCGCTACACACACCACCAGAAGCTTCTTTATGTGCTACTCTGCGCTGTGACTGTTACTACCGTGACGGGGGTTGCTGCTGCAAACTATCATAACTCTCGGAGCGTCATCGCTGGGCTGTTTCTCAGTTGTACGTTTGTCGGATACGCTTTTCTACACATCGCCTCCCGCGAGTGGGTGTTTCCACTCCACATGGACAACATCCACGACTACGAGATCTGAGTGGGGCCTTTTGTAAATGATCATGTTTGCCTGATTTTAAAAAGTATTCAAAATGAATTTTCTTGATGTCCTACCATAGGTTTGTGGAGGCGGGAAGGCTCGTTTATCTCGGCGACGGGCCCGATAAGGGGAAGCTGGCGGTCATAGTGGACATCCTGAGCACAGCGGCAGTCCTGATCGATGGTCCCACAACGGGCGTCAAGCGCCAGGTCGTTTCCCTCCGATGGGCCATGCTCACGGACCAGGTGATAAACATCTCTGAAAAGCCGACGACAGAGCAGCTTAAGAAAGAGATAGAAGCATCTCCTGCCATCGACACGTTCATGAACTCCGTCTGGGGCAAGAAGATTCAGCAGCAGCGTCTCCGTGCTAAGGCGACGTTCGAGGACATGGGCAAGATTGCCAAGCTCAGAAGGGAGCGCAAGATGGCCATGAAGAGGATCGCCATGAGCATAAAGTGAATCTGCTCTGTTATTTACTAGAGTTCTCCTGTCGCAAGGACTGGATGTACACGGTGTCCTCGCGGATCTCGTGCTCAGAGAGCTTGAGGTTGAACTCTGGGCGCTGGGACCGCGAATTTTCACGGGTCCTCTTTCGTGCAGGAAAACGCGTGTCAAGCTTGTCAACTAACTCCTGCTCAACCGAGACCCCGTGCTGAGCTAATTTGTCTATCAGATCCTTGATTTCCTTCCGGCGTCTCCGCAGATCATTGTAGAGCTTGTCTTTTACATCGTCCCTGGCGACGAGGAAATCGGCCTCAATTTGCGCTTTTGTATACTCCATGGTGTGCTTAGCATGCTGAATAGATAGCTGATACTGTATCTCTGCTATGGACAAGAGGCGAAGACGTGTGGCATCCAAAGTCGCAAGTAGGCGCTGAAACTCTGGGTGCTTGTCATTTGCGACTTGCTCCTGCTCCATCTCTAATTGCTTAATCGCCTCTGTCACATAATCCACTGTTTCCTTGAGTGTGTCTGCCTTTTCCGCCGATGGAGTGGCCATTTGGTTTTAAGTAACTTAATTGGCAACGACTGATGAGCATGCCACGCGTCCTGTTGAAGCCTCCACCGATTCCCTTGTTGAGACGACAACACGATGGGTCTGATTACTTGTTTGTTAACTCAATCCAGTTGGTCCAGACAGGTGGCAACCCGTGTTATTAGTATATTGCACGGTATCACGACAGATGTGCGTCTGTAGATAGGTAGTAGCGTGAGAACGACTGGTGCAGGAGCTCATCTAGGACGGCTGTGGGACGCCGCCGCCACGTGCCTCTGCAGAATCAGAGCTTCTATCTTCCACTCACTTATCCATTCATTCTCCAATCAATCCGCAACATGCAACTGGAGGTCATCCAGCCGTAACCTCTCTTATACCAAGCTGTCTACTAGCGCAGATGATCTAGACTCGTCAGTGTGTCTCTGGAATAAGAGGCATGGTTCCTCGTGTTGTACTTACTTCTTCGATGTTCGTCGTGCAATCCATGCTTACGCAGAGCTTACGCAGAAAGAGGTACTGAACCTTACTGTCCAAGACAATGTAGATTTACTCCGTGACGGTATTTCAAGCATTGCCACCAGTTCAGCTGCAACCGAATCCCTGCACTTTGCGTGCAATTCTAGGAGAATCAAGTCATCACCGGTACTCTGTCAGTACTCAGTTGCGAGCAAAATCCAATATAATCTACCTCTGCGCATAGGAAAAGATACTTATGGTGAGACGTTGCTTATGACGGCTGTTCGAAACGAAGAGTTTCAGAGCGTTGAGCAGTATATGGAAGATGCTGGCTTGGGCTTCAGAGGTCGCTCTGCGCTGATGATGGCAGCTTCTGCGGGCTGAGCCGACTATGTTCTTCAGCTTTTGTGTGAAGTAGGGATACAAGACCTATCTGGTGCAACGGCGTTCATGCCCGCTTTGAGCCATGGTCACGTAGGATGTGTATAGCTGCTACTGATTGAGCTCTCCATGCATGACAGTTGAGGCTCAACACCACTTATGTATGCAACCATACTTGACTTCCCAGAAGAGCCTAGACTCTTGCGTGCTTTTGCTCTCAGATTTTGATACCAAAGGCGCTAGATGATAAAGTACAAGGTAGAATAAATTATATCATCATGTTCTGTAGCTTCACTTCATGGCATACCAGATTAACAATTCAAAAAATGGAGATTTTGGGTGTCATTTATTAAACCGGACGGCTCAATGGCTGTTGTGGCAGGCATCTTGAGCAGACGGTCGGAAACTCTTCTCCAAGATATGTATAAGGACATTAAGAAAAGCATATATCTCGTGCAGATTCCGGTGACTGGCAGTGCTACTTATAAGCATCTCCCCTTCATGGCATACTTTTCATCCAATAAGCTATTTCTCAGAGCAGTCACTCCAACTTTAGGTCTTCAGGAAGATGTGTCAAGCGATGCTCGTGCATCTCACACGCCTTCTCCTTCTTCCTCTCTCGTGTTTACACCTCTGTCCGACAGGGACTTTCTCATTGAGCTTCACAATGATCAGTACTCTCTCGGGAGTATAGAGATAGTAGAACTTCTAGGCCTAAACTCATCAGTCATTATTTCTGAGACCATGTATATTCTGGGGACAGATGGCGTCGATCTGTGGTTCTTCAAGGTGCCACTTAACCAATTCTCGGTTGAGGTGAATGTGTCAGACACTAAAAGCGGAAGCAAGATCCCTACTGTCTCCACACAGATGTCTCCTCCAGCAAGGCACCCCAAGAGCGTAACAGTGGAAGGCGTTACGTTTTTGATGGATCAGCATGATATTCTTTCCAAACTATCGCGCCACAAGCTAGACTTTCAGGACTTTTCGCGCATCCACTGCTTGCAAGCAGGCTACATGGTCGGGTATAGCAGGAGGACAAAGAGCGGCGTAATAATTGCGCCAAACCTTAAACCGCACAGTGAGACTCAGCACGTGCTCGTGCACTATAAAATTATAAGAGAGCCAGATATGATTTTAGTCGATCAGCGGAGCATGAAGATGGCCAGTGATCAGTCGCTGATAAATGTTAAGCAGAACTCTTTCATACTATTTGTTCACAAACGGCTGGCAGCAGTCGAGCTCTTTACTCTCTGTTACAAAGACAAGGTACTACGATTACGGGTTCACGCAGAAGAATCAGGAAACTATATAGAAAATGAGTTCTCTTATCTGTACTCTGTGTATCCTATTGGTCTTCTGCTGGAGCAGGACCCGTCCTTTAGGATTGGCGAGCGAAACTTGATCGCTTCTGCCTTGGCAAGGAGTATTCTAGATGAGGAGATGTCCAGCAAGAACCAGAAACAGTATCACTTCTGTGTAATTTATGGAATGAACTTCCTCTCCATGTGCTCCACGGGAGCTTCTGCTCGAAGTGCAAGCGCCAACGCTACCAACAGCACTTTCAGCACTACTAGCACTACTAGCACCAACAGTACGATGATCTCCTCTCTGAATTTTACCATTCTTGAAGAAACAACTGCTCCGCCCCACGTCCGAGGGAAGACACCCACTTCTACAGCGCAACCCCCACGCCCGGAAAAAACTTATCCTTCAGATAAGCGCAAGGCAGCACCCCCTGGGAGTCAATCTTCAGATTGCGTTAGGTCCAACAGCACATCCGGGTCAGCTACGTCTCCAGGGTCATTCACGTCCGCAGTCATTTCAGGGCTCCGCGACGATATGGTCAAGACAGACCATCGAGTTTACAGGCAGAATAATGTATTTCTCTACAATGGAAAGAAGCTTGTTGGCGCATATAACGCACCATTCATCCCTAATGTGCTTGCCATGAGCATGTCGTCAGATTACTTATTCATTGGGTCCACTGAGTCAGCTGAAGTTCACATCTGTGAGCTTGTTCATAGCAAGACATTCAATAAAATGGCGTTGAAGCTCCGTCATAAGATTGTCACCCCCACCCGCGTGGCCGTTGCTGCAATTGCAATTACCTCTCTCTGGGTCATTGTAACCACAGTAGAAGACACCGTCTTTACATTTTCTTACAAGGACCTTGTCTCGTCCGATTCAACCAACATAGTTATTGCTGGACTAGACAAGCTATCTGAAAACGACGCTGCCGTGCCTCTGAGTCTTAAGATGCAGTTCCGACCTGTGGACCTATTTTGCAAGCATCATTACGGATCCTTTTGCATGCCAAACCTACCAGCTAAAGACCCATCCAATGTGGTTGCAACGCTTACTTCTAACATAGAAAACATAGACTCTCGGGTGGAGGATGCTCCTACCGCTGTAGGCACCCTTGTGGGCATCTCCGATGTTATGTCATCTGAACTCCCTGTTGTCGATCTTAGTACAGTATCACTAAAGATGATCAACCACGTAGATCAAGGACAGGATCAGAGCAGTGTTGAACAACTGGAACTAGAGGCAAACAAATTAGCGCCCGATCTGGCTGGTACTGTTGCTGTCACAGAGAGTCATCTTGACAACATGCTCAAGGCGGAGCTGGAGAGCTTACGCACCGAAATTGCACCAAAGGATGGTGCGAGCTCGCTAGATATAGGCTCTGTAGGTACTACACCATTTGATCATCCGCCTGACCCCTCACTCCAAGTCCGCGAGCCCTATCCAGACACATGTACTGCGGAAGCACTTAGTAATACAACACATAGGATAGCGCTGGATTTGGGCTCAGACTACAATAATAACCAATATTATCTTGCCAGTTCTATTATAAATGCTACTGACGGTACCAAGCAATCTACCCCATTTCTACTCGATAATTCAGATATTTCGCCACTTGAGATTAAGAATTTAAAGATTAATGGCTTCGTTTCTAAAGAGCCAACAGATATTGAGTGCAAAGTCCTGGATAAAATCATCAACAACCACATTCGGTCTTCTGGACGGCCCAGAGAGTTCTACCTTGAAGTTGAGCTGCACATTCTCGAACGGCTTTTTAAGTACTGCATCAATTTCTACGCCGCTTTTCTAATACTCGAGCTCTGGTGTTACTACATTACCTCACGAGATGGTCATCTGCCAGGGTACTATCTCACGTCTCATCCTCTCAAGCATAGCGAACATCAAGCAGAACCAGTGTCTTCTATTCTCTACACATTTGAGGTTGATGTTGCCAACAACCACTCCACGATATGCAAGATGTTGGAGGTGTGTATTCTGCCAAGTCCTGACAAGGCCTTTATAGATGAGCTACTGAAGAGCGCGGCTCCTTCTGGGGAGCTCTATGGAACCATGCCAGAAAACGTCGACGATGAAGAGTCAAATGGACGGCGTTGTGAGATGAATAGCGAGGAGTTTAAATTCTACCAGATTGGCCTGATTGCCAGGCTACTATTATCATTGTATCAAGAATTTCAAAAGCAGGTAGCCACTGACATAGTAGACAAAAGTTTTAATAGCAAGTTCGACCTGAAGCTTCTACGAGAAGTAATAGATGAGGCAAGCCAGTTCACAGTTGGATTTAGACCGTCTCAACGTCTAACAGAACTGCAGGATATGCTAGAAGAGCAGCTTTCTAAGGTTCTGGTCTGGACCAGCTCCATACAATCATACTTTCTTCGCACATCAGTGTTTTCCAAGGGTGAAAGCTTTGAGAGGCATGCAGAGGTAGCCGATCTTTCCAACATCTTACGGGACCTTGTTCCTTCCAAGTATTTAGACTGGGATCTGCTGAGCAAGATATACTTTCTTGATTCACGGGTCAAGACTCTTCTAAGTAATATGCACGACATAGCAAACATGCAATCGGAAGCCATACAAAACCTGATGTTGCAGCTCAATGATACGCAACACCAGCACGAACTAGCTTCGCGCTCTCACAGCTCCGTTTTCAGCTCACTAGCAACTAGCCGCTTTATGGGACACTCTATGGTGGCAGGAAGCAGGGCCATCCTGAGCTCTCAGCTGATGGCAAGCCAACAGAACAACACTGTCTATCTTCCAACTGGTGCCACTCTGCAAACAGCAATAGATCATCCACTTACGCTCAGCGATGTGAACCACAGCATCAATACAGCCATAGACAGACCCTTGACTGCATCTGGGGGAAGGAAGATTGCAGTGGATAGAAGAGAACTGAAACGGCTACCAGAGGAGTTTGTCAACGAACTGGATACATTTGAAGATATCACATCGAAGATACCTATTCTGGAGCCTCACTCCTTTGTCGGAACCACTCTTGTCAGCCCAGAAAAATTCTCTGGGGCTAGGTCGGAGAGAGAGAAGATTATGCACTTGAAGTCGCCTGTTATGCCAGCAGGGCGATCGATTACTGACTCCTTGATCATGTCCTTAAAAGGGACGCAGCCATTCTCTCGTCGTTCAACCAAGTCAGTGCCAGTCTTCTCACAGCCGAAGGACGGCGTTCTGCTCCTGTCCAATCTTACGCGCTCAGGAAGCGCTCTGGGGCCTATACATAATTACAATCAGGAAGATAACGTGGATGGTTCCGGCAACGAATTTGTGGCAGCTGCACCTGCAATGGTTTTAACGGCTAACCTGTCTGCAGATTCTATCAATGATTCATGCATCAATCCCCCGGTCAGCATTGAAGAGCGTCTGCGCAAGCTTCTTTTTGATAGAAAGGTAGACCTGAGCCACATGACATATAGGTCTGGAGGAACCTCGGAGAGTGACGGTGAGCCACCACTTCAAAAGCCAGCTCAGCAAGATCCTAGCATACGGACTAGATCTCTAGTGTCTCTTGGTGGGCGCTCCACACGCAGCTCAGGCTCATTTGGCTCGGAGTCCTCTATCTCTCTGGAGGACATGCTTACATACTCCCTTGTTGAGAAGATGAATGCTCAGGAGAAGATGAAGCTCATGGCCACTATCGCCCACAACTCTGGGACCACCATAGAAGATATCAATGAGCTCATCCTGCAGACAATGAATGAAATAGACATCTACTACGCGTCCAATCGCTTCTTGGAAGACATAAGGAATGCAGCGAACGCAATAGTCCCCAACTCGGACCTTGCAACCCTTATCCTTTTGGGAGCAAACCCAGAGCAATTAACCGCAGAGGATGCTGTCCACGGAACACTTCAGGACTTAGCAAAGTTTCGATCGGTCGAGATGGCAAGGCTTGAGGCCGGAAAGGCGAGTGCAGAATCGTCGGAGCAAAGAAAGGAGAGAGGTGGGATGTTCACCCGCATGATATCAGTGATAAGGGGTGCCTTTGGACGGAGAAGTCGGGCAATTCTCTCTGTAGAATCCCAAGGAAAGTCACTCATTCTGTCCTCTACGCGCCCCCAGGCCATCCCCACCACGACCTCCGAAAAGACAGACCGGGTCGCTCACACTCTTGGAATTTCTAGCCTGCGACAGTAGTCGGCTGGGCTCAGTTTACTTTAACTTTGATCTCTGCATGCCCAGCCATTTACCTGAGGCGGCGCGCTTCACGCTCCGACTCCATCAACACAAGGATGTCATCCTTCCTAACCGGCCCTATAACGTTACGGATGATCTGGCGCTTCTCCCCTGTCATGAATTCAACCTTCACCTGTGTTATTCCTCCGCGGGAGCTCGTCCTTCCCAGGACTTCGATCACACGCGCATTTATTGGCTCAGGCATTGCTAGTTCGAGAGGGTGTCTTTTTGAGTTACAAAAGTGAAATTAATATCGTTTATTTTTGCCACTGGGTGTTGATTGTAGTCTCTTCATCCCTCAGCACTGGAGCCTGCCGTAAGTCGCACTGCAGAAGCAAGGGGGGAGACGATCAAAAGAGTCTCTCCTTTGGAGAGCTATGTGCTTATTTTGAGTGGCCCGGAAGAAGGATCGTGCGTCCTCCTCTCTCGGGTGACAGGTGCGCCTATGTGGGGGGAGATAAGCTCTTATCATCACATGACAGACACATCACTGGATGCATTCATGGAGGCTATCTCATGCCTTGGTAGGCTACGATGCTGCCACCTGGTGCCGATTCAAGACGTGCTAGATGACGAGGCTGGGAGTAGCTGTATTGTTGTTTCGTGCATGTGGGGCGGGGAGCAGTCTCTCGCGGAGTATTGTAAAACGTGCATTAACATCTGTGAGCCTCCGGACTCCGCGTTTGTCGAAGACTTGTTTTGTCAACTCGTCATTCTCGCTAATTATCTGGTAGAAAGCGTCCCCGAAGAATGGCAGCATGACGTGTTTACCAGGCTCTTTTGTCTTTCTAAAATGTATGTTACCAGGATAGGGAGAATCGTCTTCCGATTGTGCTTTAGGAATTGGACAGGCCCAGGTGACTGCTCTGCCTCTTTGGCGACTCTCCAAATGCTGACCGAGTTGGGAATTGAGGCAGATAATGCACCTCTCGATGTATCCTCTAGAGATTTTTTCTGTCCAGACACCGTGCCCTGGATTGTAGCTGCAACAGTTTTCAGCGTAGCTCTTTCTGGTCCGTATCCGGAGGTTTACTCATCGGACCGACGAGATAACTACTTAGCCCTTGTTTCCTTCACCAAGCTCCCGAAAGTTGTTGTGCAGGAGATATGTCTAGCAATGGAGCACAGCTCCGCTGAAAGAACTGGTCTGCTTGAGCTTAAAGCAGCAAGGACTGTGGAAGAGCGGTATAAGCGACTCTGTCTGCATCTGCATATGAGCGACTTTCCGCAGAAGCACAAGACACAGTTAATAGAAGCTGCTACAAATGATGATGTTTGTAACGTGCTCCTTCGCAGACTTTTCGATGCTGGAGTTAAGACCGATCGCGGTACTACAGCCCTGATGGAAGCAGTGACCAACGGAAACTATTGTTCTTGCTACGCGCTAGCAGCGTGTGAGGCGGGGCATGTTGATATGCATGGGTGCTGTGCCACTGAGCATGCTCTTTTATCAGGTAGGTTGGAGCTAGTCAGAGCATTGCTACCTCTAGAACGCCTGGCTCTAAGCTTTGCAGGGTACACAGAGCTTATGATGCATATCATGAGATATGACTATGACTCTGCCTACTTTCATAGTCCTGAACGCCGTGACCTACTGCAAAACTTGGTCGACAGTCACCACTTGCGATTGACCCACAGAAACCTTACTGCATTGATGATGGCAGTTATAGTAGGGGACTCGCAGGCGGTGCAGTTGCTAGTGTCCATAGAATCCGGCCTTCGCGACCTCGATGGGCTCGCTGCTATTAACTATGCCATCAAGTTTAACAACCAAGACGCTTACAGGATACTGGTGCCCCTAGAGACAATTTCAGATGATAGCGGCAACACTCCTCTCCATGAGCTAGCTTATCATAACAAATATAAGAGCCTAGGGCTCTTCCATAGATTCTTGGGAAGGCTCAACTGCCAATCCATGTCTGCGTTAATGCTTGCGGCTCGCTGTAATAATGTAGAAAGCGTTCGCTATTTGGCCAAGTATGAGGCCGGAATGCGCATGCAGAGCAGGGTTTTCTATGGACTTAGCTTTGAAAATGCCACTGCAATGATGATTGCGGCATACCATGGATATAAGGAGGTTGTTCAGATTCTCCTGCCGTACGAGGCTCGCTATCGTGACACACACAGCTTTAAAACAGCACTCATGGCAGCAGCCATGGGCGGCCATCCACACGTTGTCCACTGCTTACTGGAGGAAGAGGGAGGAATGGCTAATAAGTCTGGCTATACAGCTCTCATTCTGGCTGCTATACACAACAAGCCGGAGTGTGTGGCAGCTTTGGCGACCAGGGAAGCAGGGATGCGATCAAAGAGCGGTGAACTTGCCATAGAGCTCGCCCTCAAGAAGGGGCACATAGACGTGATCACAAGGCTTCTTCCATACGAGAGAGTTACAGTTGCTCACGCAGAAAAGATTCTGTGCACGTGTAGCTTAAGTGATGAACAGAAACGCAATATTATCGATTCTTTGGCTTCAAACTAGCGTGTCTTTCTTTTCCCCGCGACCAGGAGCGCTTATTTGCATGCCGCCTTCCACGAAGAAGCTTTGCCTTAGCCTCCGCACCCGTTAGATAAAGCTTTTCGTCGTACCAAAACGCGTTAACTATAGCGTCCACCTCTTCATCGTACTGTTTATTTAGGACCTCCCCTAGAAAGCGGGTTGTCTGCTTAGGCTGGTACTCAATCGTCTTGCCCGTTTTTTCATCAAAGTACGGTGCCTGCAATAGCGAGAATGATCCTGTTCCCATACTCATCGGTTTCCCTAGTATGATAGACTCTGTAACACCGTTTGCTTCGTCAACCTTATTCCCTAGTGCAGCATTAAACAGGTGCTCACCAGTCTTTTCGAAGCTTGCAAGCATGATTACGGAATCGGCCTTCATCTTTGTCAAGCCAAACCTTGTAAAGCCTAGCACTCGGCCCCTGAAGCACATAATGTCTGCAAGAAGGCGGATATGTCGCATATCTACGGCCATACCATGGCTATCCATACAGGCCTTTATCTCGTTGGATATTGTGGCCACTGCAGCCTCTATCCCAAGAGTATTTGCTACCTCTACGATATTATTGGACAGAGTGCGTGTAAAGTCAATTCCACTGACATTTAGGATGTTTTGTAACCCAATACCCTCCACAAGGAGATTGTACTTAGTTAGCGGTGCACTGCTTGTGGCGCCTTGGCAGAACTCTTTATACTCATTGATCACCGCGCGACTACAAGTAGATATGCCAGAAACGGGTATCATTGGAAGGAGTAACTTCAAGCTCTGAATGTCGAAGAGCAAGTCGTCTCTGGACTGCGTCAAGGGGCGGACAGAGAACCTTGTGGCACTGTGTATGCTTACCGATCCAGAAGATTGGTCCTGTCCTACTAGCTTTTTCGCCTTATCGTTGTGTAAGATGGACGCTACCACCGTCTCTACCGTTATGATCCCAGCAAGCCCCATGTCTGCGATTATTTTCATATCCAAATTGACTTCAATGTGGCAAACTGATTGGCTGTAGCACTCGATAATGGATGCAGATATCTGGCCAAGGTACGTGCATTCGATGATGTTCTTCATCATGCGCGCTTTTTCAAGATATTTTTCTGTCACCGTTGCTGCCAGTTCCTCCTTATCTACATCTACATGGAGCTCCACGGTTGTGATTGGTGTGGATATCTTTACCACACCATCGACAATTTCTTTCAGCCGTGGGACCCCTTGCGTTATGTTCATGGAAGCTAAGCCTGCGTGGTGAAATGACTTCAGTGTCATCTGAGTGGAGGGCTCCCCGACTGACTGGGCGGCCACCGCACCGCATGGAGATCCCGGTTCCAGATTCAGGCGAATGTACTTTCGCCGAACCTGCCTTAGAAAATCATCTATGTCCTTTTTGGTAAGGGTTGTTTGGAGGAATGATGCTGCAAGTGCTGGGGCCACAGTAGTGGCGATGTGTGTGTTCGTAGTTAATTTTGGCAATATGCTCTGCTGGAAATAGCTAGTGACATTGCTTCTTTCAATCAAACAAGCCTCCTGGCCGTAAAAGTCTTTGTTCAGGAGGACGTCTAGCTCTGCCTCTGCCTTGTACCGATCCAGAAGAACAGGGAAGGCCCCCTCGGCCAGATCTTGTGATCTGTTAAGCAAGATTATATGTCTGAGCAAAGTGTCTAGATCGAAGCACTGCCCAGTCCCAACTTCGAGCTTTATTGGATCAAACCCATCGTGTCCAAACCGGAATTGCACCACGCTCTTCTTGCTGTTGCGCACGGTAAAATCATATGACACACTAAGATCCTCTAGACACTTAACAAGCCGTCGCTGCAAATACCCTGTATCTGCTGTTTTGCAGGCAGAGTCAATGACCCCATCTCGGCCTGCTCGTGCGTGCGCTAAGAATTCAAATGGAAGCAAGCCAGTATAAAAGCTGTTCAGGATAAACCCTTTTGCGTTCGGCTCTTTTGAATAATGATAGAAATATGGAGTTGAGCGAGTGTAGAAGTCATCAGGCGCCCTAGATCCTCCAAAGGATTGTTGTCCAAGAATAATAATCATCTGGGCGATGTTGATGGGGCTTCCCTTGCTCCCACAGAGTGACATGATGAGAGGCTTATTGGTGAAGTGAAGCTCCTTGAGAGCTATTTGGGCGCAGGACTCGCGGACGTTGGACAGGATCTGATTAAGTGTTGCTTCAAGCGTCTCTTGCACAGTAGACCCAGGTATAGCCTCTAGCTTTCCGCTTTCGTAGTCACGGATCTTTTCCTGCGCCTTCTCATAACCTTCCTGAACTATTACCTCCTTCTTACCCAGCACTCGCTGGGATGGCATTACATCATCTATGCCTATGGTGAAGCCATAGTTCATAAGAAATCTAGCAGCCACCTTGGCGAAGCGGAGCATGATGCGAGCTGCTGAAACAGGACCATAGTTCTGTACCAAAAAATAGAATATGCAATTCTTGGACGATGCCAAGAACGTTTTGGTGAGACGCCCTACGAGGTGCTCTGAATTCTGGATGATGATATAGTCATCGTTGACGGAGAGTGCACGCCTGTCACTGTCTTTCTTGTATGTCTTGTCACCGTGCTCTAGATTGATGTTCACAGAGTCAAAATCGTTTCCCTTCATGAGAACAGAGAGCACCTGCTTTCCGCTATAGAGCTGTCGAGGGTACACTATGCATGGCTGTGAAAGACAGGGGACCTTAACAAACCCAACGGTGTCTTCCTCTGTACCTCTCCTGTCATGAATGCTTTTAATGAACTCGCGACCATAGTTGTACAAACTAACACCATATGTGGCATCCCCAAAGCCATCACAGCCATAGGACACATGCTGGCAGTACTCTTGGCGTGTCATGAAGATGCCCTTGCCGCTGAGAAGGTAGATTCCTGTTAGAAAATCCTGCGTGAGCCCAATCATGCATTCTCCATGTCGTGGCGAAATAATGTTTTCGTGAGAGCCCATGAGGATCCCCGCTTCAGCACGCGCCTCCTGGCCTTGCATGTAAAAGATATTCATCTCGTCCCCGTCGAAATCTGCATTAAATGGAGAGCAGACAACTGGATTGAAAGAAAAAGTACGGTTTTCGTGTATAACTGCATTAAATTGCATGATTGACATTCTGTGAAGGGACGGCTGACGGTTAAAGAGTAAAGTATCGTTGGGAAGCAAATGCCGATAAACTATGTCGTTGGGCCTGAGACTATTGGCAATAGCCTGGCGCCCACGGCGATCTTTTTGGAGCAGAGAAACAGTGTTTAATTTGAAGGTCGATAGGTGCTGTGACGACGCGTTGGTAAGCTGCAACGATGCGATTGAGTTCAATTTTAGAACGGTCCTTGACTCCGGTGGCTGCTCGACTGCAACAGTTGAAGCTTGGCCAGCTGACTCACCTACCTGATAATCAGCTGTGTCTTCAAGCTTCAGCTCATCTATCTCACAAACGTTGTTGTCTATATTGTTTGATTCACCTTTCTGTGCTGGATCATACACCTCCTTGGCAAAAAGCGGCTGGTTCTGTGGCAGATCTTCTGCCTTGAGCTCACTATTTATTGCGTTACTGGACTCGCTAACAAGGTGCTGAATGGCAGCCTGGAGCTCTGGGAGGTCTGCACAAAGCGAATTGAGATTAAACGTGTCAACACAGCGCGAAACCAGTTCCATAGCCTTTGCCTCCATATCTCGGCTTTGCTTCACGTCAATTCCGAGCCGCTTGAGTGCTGGATTGTATCTAATGGTGTCGTTCAATAGAAGAACTTCATTGGCTCCCGGATAGGTCTTCCCATTAAGAATAAGCTCACGTAAAAAGCGAATATTCCGAGACGTTACTATCTCTGGAAAGGTAAGGTTTTGGGCGATGAGGCGGGGAATTGCCACCTGCTGCATAGAAAGGTATGGGTTTGGAGAAATGACAGTCCTCCCACTGAAGTTGACCCGTTTTCCGCTGAGGTTAGACCTAAATCTTCCTGCTTTTCCCTTCAGCCTATCAATAATCCCCGTTCCCTCTTTGGTGCCAGAATCCGTCTTATTCTTCACAGGCTGCACGCCGCCTGGGATTTTCCCTATATATAGTAGAGAAACGTCCATATTAAGCTGATCCCATTTTGCATACACTTTTGAGGTTGCTACGGCCCCGGAGACCATCGCTTCCTTCAGTTTGTCGTTAATGGTTAAAATGCGAACAAGGTGGGAAGTGAGGTTGTCTTCTGTTGTTCCAGCACCAGACCCTGATTGTACAGAGGGGCGGAGGCAAGACGGAGGCACAGGGATATGAGTCAAAATAACGTCTTGAGGCCTGGTCAGGAAGGCATGAGATGTTAAACGTGTGGCACGATCGCTTATCCCCTGATGCTGTGCAATAAAGCGACTCGCCGTTCTTGCGAGTAGCTTGGACGAGCCTCTGGAAAATAACTGGCTAGCGTCATTGCTGGCAATAGAATCAGGGGTTTGCTGGGACGCATACACGTTTCTTGACTGCCAGGGTATTCCTAGGTAGGGATAGTCGCACTCGGGAACCTTCTGGAGGATGTGAAGTGCTTGTATTGGATCCACAACGTGATTCCGAAGCCGCTGGTCAAGCTCTTGGATCTTTTCAATATCCTTCTGGTGCTTGATGACGTCTGCAAGAATCTTAGTAGCACGCTCTTCGTAATGCATCTCTCTTAGAACCCGGAATCCCTGTGATTTCTTGCAAATTGTGCTTGGGGCATGGCAGAACGGGCAGTTCACCTGCTTCTTCGCCTGCTCCTGGGCTTCTTTGACAATGGCAAGAGAAAACTTGTGGTTTAGAACCTTGTACTTGAGTCTGTCGGCTTCAGAGATCTTTACGCGGCTGCAAAACGGACAGACAATAGAGAGCATAGTTCTTGCATCGTTGATTAGGCCAGGATGGAAGACAGGAAGGGCCAGGGAAATTGTTCCAAAGTGTCCTATGCACATTTTCGTGTCCTTGCCGCAAGTCGCGCACTTTCCAACTTTGTCCGATAGACCAAGCCTTTTGTCCAGCACCCCGTTGGTTGCTGGGGAGGGGTAGTGCTCGTAAAGAATCGGTGTTGTGATTTGAACCTCGGACAACTTCATGAGGGCATTCGATGACAACACTGAGAAAACAAGCTTCTCCACGCGCTTGGGAAAGCGGTGCTCCGTGACGGGCTGTGGTATTTCAGACCTGAAGTATCGCAAGCGCCTATTCGGCTCCATCTCTAAGTAAGCCGCCTCCAATTGGCTGTTTTAATATAAATTTGAACAATGTTTTTACTATGAAGCCATGTTTTAGATGCAAAAGAAGAGCAGCCTCTGAGTTCGCTTCTGTTAGACAGGACCGCTGGGCAGACAAAGCGCTGCTTATTACAGTCTTCGAAGCAAGGAAGATGGCCGGGGTGGAAAATGCGGTCAGCAGAAGTAACATAAGCCTGCTAGCCAATGAGTACTCACGTAACAACCTAGACCAGAAAGTAACAAGAGTCTTCCAATGCTCATATACATCTTCACATCGGTTGACACTTTGTAGTGTACTAAGGCAATCTGCAATCTGTTCGGATTGGTATATAAAATAATATTCCTCCGCTATCTGGGCTAAGTTGGTTAGTTTGCAGGGAAGGCTACTTAAGCTGCTTGTTATCTCGCTAAGAGTGACAGTGCCTAGCGTGAATGTGCATAACTTGAAGCCGGAAACATATGGAGAGTAGCAATCCAGGATTGAGTCTATCTCATCTATGTAGATTGACAGTATAGTAAAGTAAAAATGCGCCTCTTCTGGCGCTATATTATCGCTGTGGAGCGCTCTGGCACACTTCCGATCCATGGATAGAAAGTCGGGTACAGCACATGGCAGCATGTCGCGAGCGTCACGGAGAATCGAGCGAAGTCTATCAAGGTGGGCATATACATCAAAGGCGCATGCATTCGGTGCGGTCAGCATGCTTTCAAACGGAGCTAACAGCGTTACAAGGCCCTCTATAAAGTGTGCATGTTGGAGCCACTTGGAGTCAGTAAGACTAGGTATGCATTGCTGCGACAGAGGATTAGTCACGGATACGGCCATCATTGTGTGAATGAGTGTTTCTTTATGCTCCCGAATCAATCTTAAGATTGCCTTCAGATCAATCAACGACAAATAATCCAGCTGATGTTGTGCTTCAGAAAACTTAGTGATTAGAGTGCGCATTTCACCCCATAAACGATCCTCTTTGACCTCGCCACTATCAAAGTTAAAGGCATTAGTGGAGCAATCAGCTTCCGCAGCATCAAGATGCCATCCATCTGGTGCAGTGTCAACCAAGCTCTCTAAGAGTACGGTGACGACGGTAAACAAATCACAGTGCACACTTAAAGCGTCTCTAAGAAAGGAAAGTTGAGGAAATAAGATAACCTTAAAGACTGGGAGAGGCACATCTTCCACAACGTCCTGTCTTGCTTTCCTTAATGCTTGCTTAACCTCATCGTATTTCAAATTAGAGCTTTCATAAATAGATATCAAGGTCAGTTTATGAAGAAAAGTATGGTGTCGTTGGGCCATATCTGGCATGCAATCCGCTGCACCTATGCTTTGAAAGAGTGCACGTAATATATCCCTTGATTCCGGACAAGGCGGGAGGCTAGGAAGACCACACAATAGGGTTTGAATTGAGCCAGCTCCTGGCCAAAGACAATTCATTGCTACAAGAAGACGCAGCCCCTCTCCACATGACACTATTCCTAAAATGATACTATATCCGTCTGCACCTTCTACTGCTTTCTGAACCAGTTCCTTATGGAGGGCATATTGCTTCATTCCACGTCGCTGGATGGTGCTTCTAGATATCCGTGCCACAGAAACTGCTCGCAGCAGCTTATCCTGAAGCTCAGGAGAATACCCTTCGATCCTAGCCACAACATTGATAACCTTTGTGAGTAGCTACTTAATGACTGGGCCTTGAGAATAAGCAAGCCCGTGGGCGAGAATTGCATCGCATAAACATCTACCAACTGGATCAGCACTAGAGCCTTTGGGCCATGCACACTGTTTCTTTTGCCTTGCTTCATCTATAAAGTATCTCAACGCCATTTCACGCTCCTTCCGGGACGCCTCATCCACCATTGGATACATCGTTGCAATACTCTTGTGGCATCGAAGAAAGTGCTTCCTTCCAGTGGCCGGGCCTCCCTTAAAAAAGTAAGCACGCCCTTTTTCTGCGCTGCATATTGTGCAGATCAGGTGTCCTGGTTGAGTTGCGGGCTACTCTACAGGCATAATAGGTTTCTAGATCACTATAGCGCCCATCCATGACCCCTCCACAGCGCCGTGCACAGGGGGCCGTGCTAGCATTATCTATTGTTACTACGGAAGCTATGGACCCAAAGATGTCGTGCCACTTTTCAACATTGCTAACTACGCTGCTGGCAGTCTCCTCTGTGACAGAAGTCAAATTATGGAAGAGCATTGTAGAATGCCCTCAGCGTTTGAGCGCCCCAAAAAACGACATTTTCCAACCTATTCAATTATTTTAACAAGACTCATTCAGCGACGCAAAACCAAGAGATAAGCGCAACCCGAGCTTTTTATGCCTATTCATGTTGCTGTTCGTGCAAGACCGTTGTTCTCCACCGAAAAGCGCTCTTGTGAGCTTGTCAGCGAGGGCAGGCAGATAGGACTGGCATATAATGGAGCCAAACTACTGTTTGGTATTCCCCAGTTATTCAGCGAAGAAGTTACTAATGGAGAGGTAGCTGACTCTATTTTACCACCTGTGATTGATAAGGCCATCGGCGGATGCATATCTGCTGTTATTGCTTATGGCCAGACAAACTCTGGCAAAACATATACCATTCTGGGAGATGAGCATCTTTTTCTGAGCGATACTCGGCGCAAACGAGGGTTCTCTGCCAAGAAAAGCTCCCCCATTGAGCCAGGGAATGATTGGGACCCTACTCTGCTCCAGTCTAACAAAGAAGGACTCATCATACAGGGTTTGCGTCGCATTTATAACCTCGGCTTCATGGTAAAGTTAAGCTTCCTTGAAGTCTATTGCGAAAGACTCTATGACTTGCAAACTAGCAATACTCCCTATTCAGTCATGATCGACCACAGTAGCAATCCTGATAGGAGTTTCTACCACACCTCTTCTTTCTCTTCACTACTAGCTCAGCTTAATACGGGCTCCATGCCCCAGCTTCAACAAACAACAGGTACCTTCAAAAATCTCACCGAGACTGTTTGCGACACACTGCAGCAGGCATTCTCCTGTCTTAAAAGTGCCTGCAAGCAGCGGATGACGGCGTCGACGGTCCGTAACGACGTTTCGTCGCGCTCCCACTTTCTCGCCATTATCACAATTCTTTGCAAACCCCCCAATCTTGCTGGCGGCTACTCTCCTCTAGGGAAAATTTATTTTTGTGATCTAGCGGGCTCTGAGCGGTTCAATGCCTTTGGAGCCGTTGGATCCTCTGTCATACATTCACCCGGTCATAAGGCCAGAGAAGAACGACGTTTGGCAGAGGGCATAGACATAAATAAGAGCCTTCTTACTCTCCGTAAAGTATTGGAAGACTTAGCCTCCCGTAAGAACCACGTCCCCTACAGAGCCTCCATGCTCACGAAAATTCTTCGCACACCATTTGAGAATGGATATGTTACCTTTCTTGCCACTGTCAACGCATCTAACACCACGGAGACTAAGCGGACCTTAGACTATGCATGCATAACGAGACGCATCACATTCACTAAGGCTCAATCCGTCGCCTCAAAGACATATCAGAATACGAACTGCATTTGCCAAGACTGCCTCAGAAGGGTATTTCGCGGCTCTTTTGGCGCAGAAAGATATCCCTCCATTCTGTTTTGTAAGTTCTGTGGAAACGAAATAGGCACCTTGTCAGAGACCGATGAGTCTTTTTGTCACAAGAGAGAATCGGACAGTGCCAGTGAAGGTGCATCTGTACCAGATGGGGTGGAGTCTCTTAGAGTCAAGGGCACTCCGCGTCATACCTTGGAGAACATATCTGGACGCGCTTGCGCACAGTGTGATCCTGTCAGCTTTTCAGCGGTTCATAACCTGAATAGGAATATACTTACATCTAATCGTTTGAATCAAGAGGCTTATAGACCGCTTGCAGCCGATGACAGTGCAACTGGTAGTAGTGGCGACAAATCTGAACCTTGTTGGACAAGCAGCAAAGTGGAAAGTACCACCTCAGATGGTGTCCGAGTGCGGCCGATTTCTGCCATAGACATTGTCACCCAAGAGATTCAGCCCGTTGATCCGTCTGCCCAACTTATCTCTGTTGCGTCACTGTTGTATGGCTTGGATGCCCAGATAGGAGACCAGGCCAGAGAGGCACCAGCTGTCGAGGATCGCGGACCCAATGCTGTAGAAACGTCAATGCAAACTGATTCACCAAGGAATGATGTCTCCGATGGGCAACTCGAGAGAGAAGACAGAGACGACTCGCCTAGTATCTGGAGCATCTATGAGTCCTCTTTACGCAAAACACAGATACATCTTCCTCTTGGAGTGGCGAAAGGAATGCAGCTCCACAAGTCATTTCCTGACGTATCGTCCAAAGAGTATACTAAGCCCTTGGCCAAAGAGTCCTCACATAATGTCTTGGATATGCTTGAGGAATCTAATATTCTTCTCCGTAAGTCGTCGCTAAATCTGTCAACGATGGACAAAACAAACAAGAAAACAAATACAACGTATCTGATAGCCGTTGTTTGCAATGAAATACTGGAAACAAAAGGATTTGAGCTGAACACACTGGCCCATAGCACATTGTGCTTAGATACGTTTTACACCATATTGGCGCGCCTTATATGCTTGGGAAACCCTAAGTATAGGAGTATCCAGGTAGAAGATTCCACCGATTACAAGGTTCTTGTCTATAAATTAAAAAAGGAGTCAACGCTAACCTCCTATAACTATGAACAACTAAGAATGGATGCTTTTTCAGAGGCTTACTGCCAGGTAGATACCTGTTTTGAGATGTTTATGTTGACACTAAGAAAGGCAGAACAAGGAAGCATCCCAGAGGAAGCAATGAAGGAAGTTATTCTGATGGCCTCTGAGGCCCTGATATCTAACCTTGTCAGGATAGTGTCTAGTGCGATCTATGAATGCTTCGCTGCGCTACTAGAGGAGGTTGATGGGCATCTGTCTCTATCTGCACTGAGCCAGAGAAGCAAAGTGTCCTCAGATCTTCAGGGAGAGTTTGAAGCAGCAACCTTTGACTCTACATCTACCAATAATATTATAAGCTCGTTTCTAACACAAGTTAAGTAGCTACCTGCTTAGCATTCCCAGAAGAAGCCCTCTGATGCGGGGATTGTGACCATAGACATGTAGAATAATGCGTTTGGATACGTGGATAAATATAGCACGGGATGTAGAATGTCTCCACACGGTCGCCTTAAGAGAACAGAATGTGCTCCTTAAAAGGGTGCGCAAGGACTCAGAGTATCTTATGTTTCGTGTGTAGCAAAGTATGCAAAACGTAACAGCACGTATATACGCATAAAGAATAGAGCCGTCCACTTTTATACGCGGATCGGGTGCCTGTATGCTTCTCTCAATGAAACAGCGGAGATCCCGGATTCTCTTTTTGAAAACCAACCTGAGTCTCTGCATGACAGATATCCCAGATCCAAAAATCATGGGATAGGACGGACTGCCATTGGTTCGCGTTGATGAAAACCACTTCAGTACGTCTATTATGGCAACATTTTCAAGAAATATATATCCACAATATCGTGGAACGTCTAGTTTGTACATATCTTGATTGAGATTGGGTGTGTAAAGACTTTTCTTTGGTATGGGTTCTCTAGAACAGTCTAATGTAGCTATGGGAGCGAATGGGCTGTTTTTGTGTGGCTTCGTGAAGCAGGACAATCTGAAGTAGGCTCCATGATCACGCATGATGTTCAGGTACTCGATATATGCGTCAAGTAATGCTATGGACGTAGTTAATAGCAGCCAGTCGTCAACAAAGGTCCTGTAAAAGAAGAGACGGGACGAAACAATCCCTGTATTTAGTAGTTGCACGTGCAGGAGAGACGAATAGCAATTGAAAAGGACAGTGCTTACGACACTGCCCTGGGGTATCCCAGATGTCAGACGGTATACTCCTCCTTCGTGAATAACGAGGGGATTGAGAAGATGAAGCTCTAGCATCTTGATAATGTCCTCTCGCTTATAGATTCGTGCATGCATGGGACACAGCATAGAATTAGGCTGTTTTTTAGGGGTCTCCTTGCAGAGAAGGTAGCGGGAAATAGAATCCATGGATACACACCCATTATGCTGGCAGGGCAGCGCAACGGTCCTAATCTTAGGCATCTTACTGGGAGCAATCTCCTTGTAAGTCAAGACAACGTAAGCATTCCCAGTAACGATGTAATGGGATATGTAGTAGAGTAAGCGAGGAACGGAGACGCTTTCAAAAGCAGTTATCATATCGGTTGTGACCATGTATATCTGCGCCTCGGGGTTTTCTGTGTACGTCGCATCGAGCCAAGCAGCATAGTCCACTGCTATGTGGCCTAGATTCTTGGCTAGATGTGCTTGCAAGTACCTATTGCGTGGGCGCTCTAGCTCAAATATGATGACCTGGAGCGCGCTTCGAAGAAAGGAATTAAGTGAGACCCTGTGTCGTCGGCTACAAAAACTAAAGTTACATAGGGGCCGCACCCTTCCATTAGATTTATAGACAAACGATAGCCTACCGGGAGAGACTTGCTTCCAAAATATACGGTTCACAGCATCTTCGTTGGTTAGAGGGATAGAGTGCAAATTGGATAATGAGCAGACAAATTCATAAGTGGCCGCTATTTCTAGACGAGCAGACGATTTAATCAAGTAATTCTTGTAGCTGACCCAAAGTGAGCGGGAAAGCAATGCAGGAACCATAGAGTTGGCCGTCTCGATCCGATTGGAAAGCTCCGTGTGCATAGAAACAGCAGAAAACGACTGATAGAGGGCGGGAAGTATGACGAAGTCCATGAGATAGACAACGAAGTACGCTAAAAGGTGATGTCGCACCTCTCCCTCGGCCTTGCTGACTGTGGTTGCTGGGAGAAGGAATTCTTTTGTAGAGATACTAGAGGTGAGCTCTTGCAAGGTCATAAACCCGTTCATTGGCTGAGAAATAAAGCGAAAGAGATGTGAGTGAAATGTTCGAGCGTTCCTTTTGCCAAGAATAGAAAATGCGCTGATGGACTTGCAATATAACATGAGATAAAGAGTTATTTTGTGCACAGATAAGGGCAGAGGGGCGTGACGAAGGGTGCCTGTTTCATCTAAGAATACCCTAAAATGCGTATCAAAGCCAAATGATTGCAAAAGAGATTGGGGTTTCTTGTCTTTCAGAAACGTAAGATTGTGGCTTAACCGTTTCATCTTACTACGAAAAATGGAAATGAGTCTTGTTATTCTAGCTTTAGCATTTGAATTAATAGCATTGTTCGGCATCAGCCGACCACGGGATGTGCATAGCTGTAGCAAAGATGAAAACGAGCGCGTGGAAAAGGCATTGTACGGGAACTTAAATGTGACTAATGGATTGGCTTGATAAAAGGCAGTAAGGCACTGTGAAGGAAGAAGAGAAAGGTGCCAGATGGCCGTTGCTGATCCTAGTAATGCCAAGCTGTGGAATGCTCGGATGTAGGGCCGGGTCTTGCAGAAGAATATGAATCGTACGTTCATGGGGTGCTCTTGAATCATAGAAATGAATTCCTCAAGACAGTTAGAAGCATACTGCACAGTGGAAGCTCGAACCATAGATGATACAGATTTGTCATGGAGGCAAGGTGGGAAAGCAAGAGGCATCTGGGGCTCTGAAAGGAGCACCCGCTTCCCTGAAACAGTCGAAGTGAGAACGATAGGGTACTTGAAAAGCTCGAGCAGAACATCGTGCCCATAACTTAGATACAATGAACAAAATCCCAAACGTCTGAGAAAGGGAATAAAAGCAGCCTCGGTAATCCAGGAGCTAAGTCCCTTGAGGTCTTTGTAAATCAGCGATGCGCAAGAAGCGAAGCTGGACCCCTGGCCGGGGGTTCGCAGTTGAAGGATAAGTGACCATAGGGAGGCTTGCTCGGGCTCCCCTTGAAGCAAGATGAAAATAGCCTTGCTGACATTTGCGTCCAAAAGAGACAGTGGAAAATCCATGCCCCTCTGCTAGCCAACTCTGAGGAGCAGGCTATGAAGTGCAGCGAACAAATTTTAAAATGTCGGAGGACCTGCCATCCTTCACTGCAAATTGTGTTTCTCGTTACATTGACGGAAAGAAAATGTTAGCGATCAAGAGCCTAAGTAGACGACTGAATAAAATCACAATGGAAGAATATCCTGACAAGCGGACAGACAACTTTGATGCAGCAGCCTGTTCACTGATGAATCTTATTACTGGCTATTGCGTCGAGCACCCGTACACTGATAAAGACCCCTCGCAAGCAGAGGCGCTTTCCATGCTTAACTTTCTCAGCCGCTGCTCTTCATATTTTGCCAATCCTCAACTTTTCTTTCGCTGCACTGCTCAGTTCCTAACATATAGGGGATCTCTCAATGCAAGCTCTGGAAATCCGCGTATAGCACTGAAAGACTTCAACACTGCGCTCGTTGCAGAGCAGAGTGTTCTAAGCTCATATGCCTACACGGTGTGTCACCTGTTCCCTACGGAGAAGGGTAGCTGTATTACTAGATACAACAAGATACACGCTATTGCAGCTCTTCACAGTAACATTGCAGCGGCGCAAGCACAGCTGGGTCACTACCATAATGCAATTGAAAACTGCCATCTCGCCCTCAAGGTAATTACCAAGAACGTCGATCACAAGTTCGGCCAAATGACTAAGGACGAAGTCAACGATCGAATCTACTCACTGGCGTGCGTTATCTCCTATAACCTGGGATGTCATTACGAGAGTCTTGGTCAGGACCGCAATGCCTTGAATGCCTACAAGGCCAGCGCCCGGTACTGTCATATCTCAACAGACGATAAGCTACGAGAGATACTTGCCAATAAAATAGACGACGCGCTTAAGCGCGTTGTTCTGCACCTCTATCCTGCCGATTCACCTGGACGACTGGCCCGTAGAACTGCCAACTTAACAGATCCTAGGTCGTCAAGACTAAACTCAATGGCTAGGCGAGCAAGCAACCGGGCTCGAATCGAGCAGCGTGTAAGGCTTCTCAACAACTATATGCCCATCGGCACTTACCCAGATATCGAGCTCCATGAGTTCCTCGATCAAGAATACGCCTTGGGAGACGATGTTGCCTCTTATGATGATGCTGAGTTCTATAACGAAGCAGAGTTCTATCCGATTCCCTTCACTGATCCTCGTAAAATGTCGGCCAGTGGTGCACTTAATAACCCAAGGGATACGTCTCTTTCATCTGGGCTCCAGCAGACCCCAAAGAGTGCCGCTCTCCAGTGGCTGGTGGACACAAGAGCTGAAGTACCTCCAGCCACTGCAGTTGCTCCACAGCACTCTTCTGAAGACAGCTTTGGCAACACCATGGACTACTTAAACGCATTCAATTCAATTAGCTCTACACCAAGGAGCCCTGCCATTACTTCTGCGCAACCCGGGCTTGCAGGTAAGAGCAAACCCGCTCACAGAAAGCCAGTGGTGGCTGCTGACCTACTACCAAATATGGAACCCTTGATGGCTCGGTTTGACTATGCAAATAGGCTAAGATCCCCGAGCCCCATGCGGCAGACAGCTCAACCCATGCGGCAAGAGCGGCAGCGCAACTACAGCTCCAAGCGAGGAGCAAGCGGATCTAGCGTTGGAGGAATGACAGAACCTCGGAATGATCTGGCCCAAGCGGTAAGGTATTCTGCTAGGCTCAAAGATGTTTCTAATTTGCAATCATCTAACCTCCCTATACATACTACTAACGATGCTGATACGGCATTCAGTGTCGTAGACCTCTTGAGCAACACTAAGAAAAAGTCAGATGCGTCCATGCTAGCTCTGAAAAAGAATATGGATAAAATGCACAAGAATACGTTTATGTCCTACGATCAACAGAGGTCCAGAGAGACGTCTGAGAACTACTCTCACGGGCCTTCCGATGCACCACCACACGCCACTGCGATTGCAACTCCCTCGGTCCGTAGTGTCATACATTATGTGGATAGTCAACCTGCAGCAAACAATGCCAGCTTGAGTGGATTCATTAACTTTAGTCCTGAAAAGAGCAATGAAAACGCTATCAATCTAAAACGAGACATATCGGAGATGCTATCTAGAGATAATCTCTTGAGTCAAGAGAACCTCAACAAGATCAATGATGTACCACTGGCCCTTCTATCTGAACCAGAACAAGGAGCTGCACTCAAGAAGCGATTAGATGAGCTGACTGACTACACAGTTGACGAGATCATAGAGCTCTTATCAAAGGATCCTACCTTTAAATTCTTAATGAAGGACTTACTGATTGCAACAGAAAGCTTCTCTAAGGAGCTCGCACTGATGAGATCAAAACAGTCTAATACTGTAATATTTGGTTCTACAAACAGTGATGCAACAGCACTTACGCCCAAGACAGCATGGCTTGATTTTCTACGGAAAACCATTTCCAGAAAGAATAACACTGCATCAAGCTTATATAAGGCTACTCAGGATGCTGATAGGCCCAATATCAAGGAAGAGTTATCTAAACCTGCCTCCGAAAAGATCTTCACACAAAGGCAACAGGAGCACCTGCATCAGCAAATGCTTCAGATGTCCTTAACACAGCAACTCACTCCGTATCAGCAAGAGGCACATCCAGCTCCTGCTGTTGGGCCCCCAACTCTTGAGCCAGCACTTCCAGCTGTACAGCCACCCCAGTTCTTGGGACAATTAGGCGCCAGCCAAGCACCCCAAGGAGACCTCAGATCAGCCAACCTAAAGCCCCCACTTCAAATACTTGAAACCAATCATCCACAAAGGGGACCTTTCCACCAATCAAAGGACATGCTTGCCGATCCTCTACGTTCCATTATCGAGCTCACTACCGCCTCAACTACTGAGAACATGGATGCCACCAACATTTATAGTACGCAGCAGTCGGCATTATTGGGCTCCAGAGTGCAGGACAGTATGCATCCCAAACTGGAAATAGGTGTTGGGGACGATTGTCGGATAAATTTACTGCTCTCCAAATAGTAAAAAATGTAAATTTCCACATAAACCCAAAAAATCGTAATGCGGTCGTATCATCCCCAGATGGACACCTGGTTCGACGCGGTTGTCGGCCGAAATTATGACTTTGTACGCGAGAACGTTAAAAACATGGCCGGCATTTCCAATTTCATGGGGACGACGGGCCTTTGCAAGGCGGCAGCTGCCGGAGACTTAGAAATGGTTAAGATCCTCTTTGAGAGCGAGAAAGACATAGTAGATTCCCGGGGGAAGACCCCTTTAATGTACGCCGCGGAGAACGGCCATACGTCCGTGATATCCTTTCTCATGCCCTATATGGCTAAGAAGCAGACACATGATAAAACAACGGCCTTGATGTACGCAGTGTGGAAGGGGCACAAAGATGCTGTGACCCTTCTGCTCAAGGAGGAGCAGGGACTCACCCAATATCGTGGCATGACCGCGTTGATGCAGGCTGCGCGCTACAAGCACACAGACCTCTGCGAGCTTCTTCTGTCAGAGTGTGGGCGTCAGGACAATTGTGGCTTCACTGCTCTTCTTTTTGCTACTATGTCAGGGTGCATAGATTTCGTCAAGAAGCTGTGGGACAAAGAGGGATCAATTACCGGCTTGAACGGGGAGACTCCGCTCATGACAGCAGCTAGGGAAAATAAGGTTGATCTCATAGATTTCTTCATCTCAAAGGGGCAAGCAGGGAAAAAGGATGTTGAGGGTAAGACTGCGCTGATGAGTGCTGCAGAACGAGGACATATCCAGTCTATTTCCGCGCTGATCAAGTACGAAAAGAACATGCAGGATAACCGGGGGATGACTGCCCTTATGTACGCTGCCTCCCACTCAAAGTTGGATGCAGCAAAGATCCTCAAGGATGAGGTGCCTCTCAAAGACAAGAACGGACGAACAGCTCTCCAGTATGCCAATTTACAATATGCGGACATCGCAACCGCGACTATGAAGCCTGAAAACAAAGACTTGGCTACTCAGCATGTGCAAGAAATAAGCCCTCTGTCCATCTTCCTGTTCAATGAATCTCTCCAGCACGCCTTCATCCCCACGAGCAAGACCTTTAGATCCATTGTCGACTTTCTCGTTCGTGCTTTTCAGTCGTATAAAGATGAGTATCGAGGCTATGACGAGATCGTAGACTTTTGCGACAGACTACTAGATGTAATGACTTCGTTTGTGGTAGACTTCATCACTCCGTTTTATTACGTCAGCCTCACCCTTGGGGTCCCCGTTGCTAAAGACAAGCAAGACGCCGACTTCACGAATAGTGCCAACCGCATGATGGACACTCTTTTCCAGGAGATTGAAGAGTTTCTCAGCGACGACTCTGACTCTCTCGTTTGTTGCATTTGTCTGGACAAACTGCGGAACGTTATACTGTATCCTTGCAAGCATGTTGTGGTATGTCTCGATTGTCTTGAGACACTCAAGGATAGTTGTCCATACTGCCGCACTACCATTAAGGATAAAGATACTGTAGACTATTTGGACTAGGTTGCTGCAAGTTTGTCCAAGAAGGATCCTGACTTTCGATAGCGAACCTAAATCCAATTACTTATAAATTGTAAATACTTAATAACAGTTTGAAGATTGACAAAATAAAATGCCGACAGTGACAGTGGTGTATGGGCACAAGCTATCGACTACCATAGACATTCTTCCCGATGAGACGGTTCTTCAGCTGATAGAAAGGTTTATGAAGATGTGCAGCATGCCTGGCCATGCTGTCAATGCGATTGTTCGGATAAATGGCCAAACATTGACCCATGACAGTAAGTGCAGCAGCATCCAACCTAATTCCACCCTCATTTACATGAACCCTTCTGCCACCTTCTCGGCCCCCATCCAGAAGGCTCTTGCGAGAGGACGTGCAAACCCCCCAGCAGTCCAGCGACTTATTGACGAAGACATCAAACAAGTATATGATCACTATCCTGAGCTTCTTGTTAATAATACCAACAGTGTGTATATTCACATAGAGTTGAACGGACACCCAGACATTGCTGTAATCGATACCGGTGCGGAGTTCTCAACAATCAGCCTAGAAACTGCAATCCGCTGCGGGCTGGAAGACCACATAGACAAACGGCAGGAGGGAAAAGCTCTGGGAATAGGGTCCAGCAAGATAGTAGGCAAGATCCATCTTGTGCAGCTCAAGTATGGTGACGAATACTTTGCCACCAATTTTATGGTAGTAGAGAACGTTGTTGGGACACTGCTGGGCATGCCCTTTCTCCGGATGCACCGGATGGTGATAGACTTAGCGATATACCAGATACGAATTGGTGACGTTTCTCTTCCCATAATGTCAGACGCAGAAGTTGAGGCATACAAAGCAGAGATGATGAGCAGGGCAGATGTAGATGCTCATATGTAAGGTAAACGTAACAAAAAATGACCTTCGTCAATTATCCCGTAAAACCTTTGAGACGGACTCTTGAGGGGGGCCAACCTGAGCTTTCGGATCTCAAGCAGTGCACCAGTGATAGTGATTGTACAAGCATGGCCGCTAATGGCAAGACTCTAACGGGTCGGAAGTGCATCAGTGGGATCTGTAGCTGCCCCTTCAGCTACGGCGGTGATGACTGCCAAACAGATACCTGTGGGCTCACAACGCAGGATGGGGGCTGCGTGGACTCCACCGTAGGAGTTTGCGAGCTGCAAGATGATGGCTCCCATAAGTGCGTTTGCGTTGTCAGCAGGTCGGGAGCAACCTGTCAGTTGTGCAACAAAGCTACTCAGAACGTTTCTGGTTTACTGTGCGTGCACAACAACTGCGTTTATAACTCAACGGCGTGTAGTGGTCATGGAATATGCTATGCAACGCAGGAAAACGCGACGTGCCAGTGCTTTCCAGGATATAATGGAAGGTACTGTGAGATTAATGCATGCGATGTGTACATAGCACCAGATAATACAATTCACTATTGCAAGGACTACGGGATCTGTGAGTACAAGAGGGCTTTCTTGCCCGACGAAAGTTTTTCTGACACATATTCATGTAATTGCTTCCCAGGAGTATCTGGCGATAAGTGTCAAGTGGTGTCCAATTACTCTCAGCAGATAGTTGTCTTTACAGTAATCGTCATAGTAGAAATCGTCGCGTTGGTCATTCTCTTGGTCCTGCTGGTTCTTAGAATCAAGAAGTCAAAGAGAGCAGAGGCCCTCGAGGTAGAAGATATGAGCACTAATTAATTTAGAAGAATGGACTGTTGAGTATGTAACTGTTGCGTGTGGCAGGCGAATTAGACATGTAGGACTTTCCGGAGGTCTCAAGCGTAAACTTGGTATTTAGGAAGTATCCAGCCGGTCCCGGACCATTGCTTGTGTGGTGCACTCCGTTGAATCTGTCGATTGCGTACAGTTTTGGGTTATTAGACAGCGTCCCGAAGCCATACTGGCTACATGCAAAGTGATTCGGTCTATATGATAGTGAACTGACTTGATTCTCCTCATCTTCTGGGCAAGGAAATCTGCTTGTAGTAGAGAAACGGTATTGCGGAGAAGACCTCTTTATCAGATTTGGAAGGTATTTTGGACCAGGACCTGGTGTACCATCCCTCCACCTTCGCCCAACCTTGGACATGGATGCTGTGCTTGTATACCGAGTGCTCAGGGCAGTGGCGCTTCGCGAAGTGTCATAAGCAGCTGGACCTGGACTAGGGCAGATACGATCTAATGCCCTTTGCAACAGCGTATCAGCGCAGCAGGGAGAAGATGATCCTTCCAGGGATTTCCGTGGGCTCTTAGTTGCCAATCTCGATGGGCGTGGAGTCGGAGAAAACTCACCGCCCAAAAAGCGCTGAGAAAGATCGTGATCGTGTGTCTTCCGCTCCTCGCCCCAAGACAGACCGCTCGGAAGGGGCTGAGGGGTCTCTGAACGCGAGACTGTTAGACGTGTTGTCGTTTGTATTTTTTAACTAGCATTTCTAGAAGGTATGGAGGTGTTCTCAGCTCCATTCATTGTGCGCAAACAAACCGGCAGAGGCAGGCCGAGGAAGCAGGCAAACATCGGTGTGACACTCTCCGAAGCAATAAAGCTACCGTATGTTATCAAGCCTGAGAAGAATAACGCCGTGGAGGCGTCCATACAGCAGTATAGCCATTTCCGGATCCCTGCAGACAGTCACAGATATCAGCAGCAACAGCAGATTAATCAGATTCATCGAGCTCTCCTCGCTTCGGCAGAGGCTGGAAGAGATCGTCGAATCTTTCAGGAGGCAGCGTTAGCTAGCGAAGAGTTGGCATCTATTCAAGGCTTGGCATCTAACGGGGAATATGCCAGACTTCGAACAGCTGAAAGAGCAGCCGTTGCTTCTGAACAGGAGCGGAATAGGCTTTTCAAACAAGAACTGCGCAAGTACTTAGACCCTCGGATAGACGAAGACGCGCTATTTGCTACGCCACTGCCATTTACTGAGATTACAAATGTCAGCATAGCTCTTTGCAATGAGCTCTTCTGTGTGTCTAATTAGTCTTGTCCTTACCAGAACCGCCGGCTTGTAAATATGAAACACAAAGAGCGTGCTTTTCCTGCTGTTCACGATCGATGTTATCTTCCTTTAGTTGGGAAGCATAATCTAGGGCAGTCAATCCGCGTTTGTCCACGAGCTGAGCCTCAAGCTCTCGTAGGAGCAAGACGCATCTATCGTGCCCGCTCTGTGCAGCCAACATAAGGGCTGATATTCCTGTCTTCTGTTGCCGTCCTGCTTCGCTCTTCATCAGGACTTTGACAACCCGATGGTGACCTTCTTGAGCAGCGATCATTAGGGCAGTCCACCCATCCGGCTTTGTCATGCATGCCTCTTTGGAAGCTAGCAAGGATGCACAATCCGCATGCCCAGCCTGCGCTGCCAGCATCAAGGCAGTCCAGCCATCACTTTTCTGGTATCCACTCTCTGCCTCCAACAAGAGCTGCACACTATCTGCATGGCCCTTCTGCGCAGCTGCCATTAGTGCTGTCCAGCCGACATTAGTCTTGATCCGCTTTTCTTTTTCCAGAAGAAGCTTGATGCAATCCAGCTGATTGTTACTGGATGCCAGATACAGAGCCGTAATGCCATCTTTGTCCTGCAGACCGCCCTCGTAGTCAACCAGAGCTTCTACACTTTCTTTGTTTCCAAGTTGCGCTGCAATCATAAGAGCTGTGCGGCCGGGGCCTATAGCTGCCTTGGCTTCAGTGAGATAATTAGGGATTTCCTTATGGTTATTAAAGAAGCAGCACCGCATAAGCATTGTGCAGCCACTGATGTCAGACTCCAGAAGCAGGAGTCTGACACATTCATGGTGCCCACCGAGAATGGCATATGTCAGAGAAGTGCACTTACTGTTTAAATATACACCCATTTCGCATAAGAGGTGCTTTGTACACTCGGCGTCTCCTCTTGCCGCTGCAATCATGAGTGCTGTGCAATTACTCAGAATGTATCCCTTGCCCGTTGTGTCTGTATAGCTTAGCCATCCCACGTACTCATTACCAGCCTCCCTTATATGCTCCTTCACGCCCTGGTGGTCGCAATTTATCACCGCTCGCATTAGAGATGTTAACTCTTCGACGGGCGTTGCAACCCTGGTGCGTATTTTTGCCTTGAGGTGTTTTTTTGCAAGATAGCGGCAGAGAGTTGGCAAGACTTTGAACTTTTTCTCTGTGAATACCAAGTCCACATATGGCTGTGGGTTTGCGGCGAAATCATGAAGGTGAAGGACGACAGCAGATGGATTGTTGCGTAGAATCGCATTTTCAAGAGTGTCTCGCTCTTTGCTGTGCGATCTACTGCCGGGCTTAGATGTCTTCTTGTAATCAGAAGATGTCTTCGGGTGAGGTTGACGATTAGCCTGGCTTACAGAGCGAGTTGCCAAAAGTGGCTTTACAACTTCATCTTGAGACTCGCGAGCAAGCGCATGTAGTTCGTTGATTGTATCACTTTTAACTAGTCGTGGCTGCTTAGAGTCTGGAGACTTCATCGGAGATAGTATCGTTGTGATGGGGTCATCCGGGCTCAAAGAGGTCGAAGCTATGAAACGTCCAGTAGAGGCAGTGGTTTTGCTAAGTAAGAGCTGATTGACAGGGCCTGGTTCCACTAACATGGGTTCCGGCTTATGAATTCTGCTTTTTGACTGGGTACACCTAGATGATCTAGAGGCATCCAACACAGGAAGTTCAGGAGCACTTGGCTCGCTACCATCTTCACTCTGCCTAATCGCTGAAAGTTTGCATAGGTCAGTTTTAGAGTGCGCAGTTTCTGACTCGTATTGAGACAGAATAGCTATGCATCCTGCGTGTCCGTTCTTAGTCGCATAAGCATGTGCCGTTAAACCATGGTCATCTTCCTTTCCGACTTCCGGCAGAAGGAGAGATACACAATCAGAGAATCCATACTCAGCTGCATACATCAAGGCACTCTTTCCCGTAGACGATGAAATACCCAGCTCACAAAGGAGATGCATCAAACACCGATACTTTCCCTCTTTGGCCGCAATCATAAGCGCAGTACAATCCTCATACATTGCACATAGACTATCCATGTTTCTTTCAATCATTTCAATGGCCTGTGTCTCAACAGCAAGCATAAGCAGTGTTTTTCTCGTGACCTGATTTCCCTTCCACCACGACAACGTAATAGGAGTCTTTGTTGCAGCGACCAGTCTGCAAAGATGGGGCATTACCTTGTACGCCTTTTTATCACACGCTTCCATTAGTAGCTGTGCTAGCGGAGCTGTGTCACCGAGCGACTGGATTGCCGACTTGAGCATCTCGGGGTCATTTTGTGCAACTGCAGAAAATACGTTTTCTTGTTGTCCGAGGTGAGACATAAACCCTTGAGCAATTCCAGAGGATCTCAGTAATGCGGATGATAACTGAACGCGAGGGACCGCAGAGGGTGCGGCCTGCTCGACGCGGTGGAGGGCCCAGAGGGCGGGCGGGAAGGTCACGAAGGTCGCGGCGGAGATCCGGCGGGCGGGGTCGACGCAGAGGCACGCGGCGGCAGCGGCGCGGAGGGTGTCAGGGCAGCGCTCGAGAGCGGGCACAGGGTCTGCGGCGAGCGCAGCGGGGTCCCAGCAGGGCGCGCGAAGGGTGCAGAGCTCGACGAGGACGCACCCCAGGGCCCAGACGTCTGCTGCAGGTGTCGGGGGGCCGCCCCGAGCGACCTCTGGTGCCGCGTACGGGCCCGGTGGAGACGGGGCACGGAGACAGTCCCCGAGCTTCGCGCGCGGGCCGGCGAGGAGGACGGCGGAGGGTGAGACGCGGCCGTGGGCGAGGACGCCCCGGGCCTTGAGCGGGCTGTGGAGGAACGCCAACGCCTCTGCGAGCTGGGCCGCGAGCTCCCAGATGCGGTCCTCAGAGAAGGGGCCTGCCCGCCGCTGCCGCCGGAGGAGCCCTGCGAGCGACCCGTCGGGGCACCACTCGGTCTCAAGGAGGACCGCGTCAGGCTCCGAGACCGCAGGCCCGCAGGCGAGGAGCCTGGGGTGGGGGAGGGCTGCGGCCGCGGTGTGCTCTCGGGCGAGCTCCTCGCAGCGCGCAACCCCGATCCGCTCCGGGTCGAGGGCCCGCACCGCGACGACGACCCCGTCCTGTACCCGCACTGCGCGGAACAGCGCCCCCGCGGAGCCCCGGTCGACGAAAACCGCGTCTCGGTAGCCATCCGAGATGAGCTCTTGCGCCATTTTTTACTTGAACTGAAGATTTGCACTAGACCATCCTTTGAGAGCCGTTATTATGCCTAGAACACCCAAGAAACCGTGATGTCTTACAACGAGTCCTTTTAAACGCTCTTGGCCATACCAAGACAGAGCCTCTGCATAGTACTCTGTGGTTGCTTCTATGGAGTCCATAAAACCTCCAGACAATAGTATGATTGTTGAATTGGTCAGGCGGGCATTCAAGACAGATATGTGTATAGCGTTTATCACAAGCATTCGTAGAACAGATGCTAGTTTAGAATTAGTATCGATGTCACCGTCTCGCATTTTCCCTCCACATGCAGCTAGAACGTCTGGATCAAGCATATTTAAATACGTTTCGGAGTTACAAATGTCTCCAACCAAAAGGTCTGCAGAGTTAGCAGCCCCCTTTCGTGCTGCTCCAAGTAAGTCCTTGAACTCTTGATTGACTCCACATATGCAGGAACTAAGTCCCATGAATGTGGCACCACCTAGTGCGCTTCCATCAATCCTGGTCGTTTTATTTCCTGTAACCTCCACAATGGATATCCCAGACCCTATCTGCACCAGAAGAAAATGATCGAGAACACCGTTAAACGACTCTAAACCATGTGGTGTGAGTTCCTGCAGTTCGCCCTCTAAGCCAAGCTTCGACAAAAGCTTTAGACCACCCACAATTGTCTGTAGTTCATCATGATACTGCACTCGGTCAGCAAGCGTCGCTGTCTTGATGAGGTCGACATACTTCAGAGCCCCGCCTCCAGTAAAGTGAAGGCAGCTTCCTTTCAACGACTTTCTAGAGCACACATCCGACAGAAAGCTCAAAAAGAGTTCCAGGTTGTGGGTTGTCGGAAACACATAGAAGAATATGGATCCGCCGAGAAGCGGAGAGTCTATAGTGAGGTGAGGGCAAAAGCACCGGTCAAAGCTTCCGTTGGAGCAGACTTTGTGAGGCGGAACTGGAGTCTTCTGAGGGACTTCCGCTTGGGGCACCAGAGTAACCAGTGCAACCTTCACCAAACTGCCGCCAATATCAGCATATACCGTAGGTGAAGTGAGTACGGCAGATCTGCTTTCGCAATCCATTACTTATTTTTTGTGTTCCATATCTCCACTAAACTTATCAACCTTCGACGTCATAAAGCACCTTATATATATTTTGGTAGCGTGTTGCATTGACCAGATCAACAGCTAGCAAGTTATTCTTATTCCGCATGTTGCCTTCCATGTTGCAGAGTTGTCGAACACATCCCAAATGTCCGTTGATAGCTGCAAGCATCAGTGCAGTCATGCCATTGTCATCTTGCAGCCCTATCTCCCAGGCACAAAGAGTCTCCACGCAGCGTGTGTGGCCGTGCTCAGCAGCATGCATAAGCGCCGTCTTGTTTCCTGGAGATCGCAGTCGGCTCTGTTTTACCACTAAGAACTTTACCACATCCAGCTTTCCGTTGATGGCGGCACACATAAGGGGCGTCAAACCGTCTGGATTCTTGTCTGCCCCCTCTACGTCATAAAGTTCCTTAACAAACTCCAGAGACCCTCGTATTGCCGCAATGGTAAGGGCGTTGGGATGTGTGGAGATCACACGCTCGTATTTGTAGATGTTTTTACACCGCTTTCTAGCCTCATACTCAAGTAGTACCTTGAGGCCCTTCATAAACCCCACTTCTACACATATCATCAACGCAGTCCGACCGTCATCGTCAAACCCTCCGGCGAAATCGAGCCTCCGTTCAAGAAGGTCAAAATTGCGCGTTGATGCAGCGTAATGGAGCACATTTGTAGTTGACTTGTACTTCTGGATGTACTTCTTGGGCATTCCTGCCGTCCGTAGAAAGTACAGCTGGTGTCCGTGTGAATTTATGACGCCCTTCTCTGTGATGACAGGATTGATAATCCGGTGCTTTAGTGTAGGAAGACTTTCTGCCTGTTGTTGTTGGGATTCGGTGCTCACGATGTTTAACTCAGTAGTAGACGTTTCATTATGCACCGCTGATTCGGGTCTTATTGGCTCAGCTATTGCTGGCAGATTGTACTGTTGCTGGCCAAGTTGCTTAGCCCTCACCCTATACCGTGCTTCCTCTACCAACTTGTGGCGTGCAATCTTACTAAAGGTTATTCTATCTTTGGGGCTGACTTTGAGCATATCATGCATTAATGTCCGCAACGCCAGAGAGTACTGGATTGGTATCACCAATGACGGGCTCACTCTTGGGGGCACTATTTCTGTCTCCCCAACGTCAAATAAGTGCGGATCAGTGCATGTGCACAATGCATACACTACACAACCAAACGAAAATATTGCTGATCGGAGAGTTGGAGATTGTCCTCGAAATACCTCTGGTGCTACGTAATTGATCCATTTCCCGACGCGAAATACCTCTGTGTGCCGTGTGGGTGGGCTGAAGAAACCATAATCGCCCGTTTTAATACAACCATTCTCGCACAGAAAGATGTTGGATGGCTTGAAAAACCGGTAGAGAAAGAACTGCCCATCCATATTTTCCACGCCAACTTGACTGACAATAAAAAGTGTTATATCAACCAATTGGGCAATGTACTCCCAAATGAGAAGCTCATTGATATATTCCCCATCTTCGCGGCGCTGCACAAGCTCCAATTCTAGAGATCCTAGCTCACAGTACTCGCTGTGAACAAAACACTTATTGGCAATCCCTTGATCAATTTTGAAGTGCCTAAGAAGCACAGGATGCTCCAGCTGGTCCACAAGTTTCCGTAGCTGTGCCAATGCATTCAACTGGGCAGAATTCATGGAGTGCAAATAGATCCCACGGATCACAAACAGCTTGCTGCTCAGCTGAGAACGGACAAGACAAACAAAATCTTCATTCCTTGTAGACATTGTGCGCTTTAGAATGAGAGTTGGGGGTATGTACACGTCCATCTGGAAAGTTTGAAAAGAAATTCAGTTGGACCTGTTTTGCCCTGAATCACTTTTATGAGGTCCCTATTGAAGCTCCATATATTAGGTGATTGCTCTAACGAACATCTGAAAACGATCAGGAGAGCATTCGAGATGAGCATGGCCACCTTTTAAATAAGATGAATTCATCTTCATCAGGGACCCAGTGGCCAGACGGTCGCCAAGCACGGAATCCATCTATACTACGTTTACTACCTAAGTCACATCTAAATCTACGCCTTTCCCCGGCAGAGGAACCACCAGCAGAGGAAGCCCACAAGGCCCCCGACGACGATAACAACGGCCACGGCGATTCCTGCAATAGCACCAGTGGAGAGGCCGCTCTTGTTGACGTTTCCACCAGTACCACTGTTAGATATACATGCATTCGCCGACCCGTCAAGAGCAAACTCAGGCAAGCACGTCTTGCAGGTGGCGGTGCCCGAGTCCGCCGACGGGGCAGTGCACGTCGCGCAGTTAGCAACGCCCTTGTTGTTATTCGAGCCTGTGTCGTCTGAGCACAGAATGCACTCTGTACCGAGCGTTGGGCTGCTATTCTTGTTCTTGAAGACATTCCCGTTCTCAACACAGGCGCTGCACTTCCCAGAGGCTGCGGCCGTGCAGATCAGATTTCCGGGGGCCTCGCCTGTCTTGTAGCAGCCGCCCATAAAGAGGAAGTAGTTGGCCTCGGTGCACTTCTCACACACGGTGGACCCCCCGTCAACAGCCGTGTCCCCTGTCTTTTGGCAGCCGGCGCCGGTCCCAGCGACAACGGCCTGATCGTTGTGCGCAGTGCAGACGCCGCCGATGGGGACATACCCGGCGTTACACTGGGTGCAGATTTCGGTAGCGCCGAGCATTTCGCACTTATTATTTGCGCAGTTATTCTGTGCTCTGCCAGTGCATGTTGCTGTAAGCACGCCCAGTATGAAGTAGAGAGGCACTAACAACATTTAAGTCTCGGTTGGATGTGTTTATTATATCATGATACCGACTATTACAGATAATATTAGATTTTATAACTAATAAAGAGTGTTTTCGTTGAATGCATCTGTTAGCAAAATCAAAAACCAATCTCGAAGCAGAATTCTTTCTATAGAAGAAAACTTCAAACACTCGCTTAATGATAATTACCTAGTTACTAGTATACGGTAGATACTTACAAATGCAACCCTTAAACTTAAATACAGATATCTAAAGAACCAGTCTCAATAGTCATAATAGCAACTAAGGAGAATAAAACTTTGCAAAAAGTCTCAGCCAGTTTTGGAATCCTTACTCCTCACTCATCCACCATGACGATACCACCCAGCAGGGTTCGATGGGAGATACGGCCCCTCGTGCCGCCGGCCATGATAGTTGCCTTGTATGCAGGCTCGTTCTGGACCCATGGACCACCCTCCCAGACTCTACTGCGGGAACCAGAGCCTTAGCGGGGGCACACTCAGGCACACCGCCCGGCCCGTCGCAGAGCGGCAGGGTCTGCAGCTCTGTGGGGACGGCCGTCCTGCACGGGTGCTGTCGAGTGCACACACACCTCGAGACAAGAAGAGGCAGAAACTATTAGTGAGCACTCAGACCCAACGAGGATGCCCTGAAAAAGCGCTGACTGGCTCGCACCTGCTATGCTCATGCAGAGGTTTAGATGACGGCCAGTTCGGTCATCCTACGGCAGAGACTCCTTAATTCGTTCCGAATTGAGAAGAGGGCCCAGGGCTACGATTAGTGTTATGCGAGTACAAGATGCAAACCTCCTTCATCGACGCCTCTCCCTCCTGCCAGACAACGCCCTTTATAGATACAAAATGGACATAGACACCCGTCCAGAGATGGGAGCGTTATTCTTTACCTAAACACCACTTGTTGCTATGCCTTCGCCAGACGCACCAGCCCTAAATAGAGTCTCAGTTCTTGCTACTCAGAGCTAATGATGATTGTCCTCTGGTGCCCTCTAAAGCATTCTAGGCCTCCGACATCCGCGCCTGTGACCTAGATTGTCGCCGTATTGCTGACTAGATTTGTTGACAGAATCTGCGCCAGGTCGGTCCCTCTCGGGATTATCTCTATGTACTCCCCGGGGTCTGCCGAGGGGATAATCCAGTTTGTCGCGGGAATGCTAGTGAACCACTGTGAAACGTTTTCCCCCTGAAGAATGACGGATCTCCTAGGAGCTCGCTTCTGAGTCACTTCGATTCTGTTCCTGTGCAGCAGTATGCAGCTCGCAGTGTTGATGGAGTGGTGGCCTGCATGCTCCTCGACAATGGCAAGGGAGGACACGTTCGAGGCTTGGTAGTCGCATTTGCTCACGAGGATGCAATGGTGCTCCGGCAGCTTCGTTGCGCTCGTGAGGTGAGTGGACTTTGTTAGAACGGGGGACGTCCGAAGAGACAGGGTACCGTACATGGGCTTTCCGGTGGCCTCCCCTGATTGGGACTGCACCACAGATGAGGGCACTGTGTCGAAGACTAGAGATCCCCCAATGATGCTGTCCTCCTCCTGCTCTGCTGGGCTAGGGGCTTCCGGAGCAGGGGCTGCTCTCTGCTCCGACACCCGGTACTTGTAGTTGATGTTCGTGTCTATGGCCGTGTTGGATATGACAAGCCCGCAGACGGAGCTCATCTCGTAGCGCGACAAGTAGAGGGCTGATGTGTTCCTGAGCCTGTGCATCATGACACCAATGCCATTTTCGCTAAACACAGTGTAGACAAACCGCGCATCGTATGCGTCGTTCGCCACAATCGCCCCCACGCAGCAGTTATTGATGAAGCACGTGTTGGCGTGGACGGAGCCATCGGAAGTGTACACCCCCACAAAGGAGTTGAACAGGTGAGTATCACTCATTGCTAGATGGGAGCCCTCCTTGACGACAATGAGGGACCCCTTCACAATCATCTCTCTATCCCTGAGAAACCTGTCTGGCGTGAGCATGAAGGGAAGGTTCTTGGCTGGCTCCTCGGCGGCCTCTAGGCTGCGGGACTCCCTGGGATGTCTGCTGCCTTGTCCGCCAAAGCCCTGTGTGCGACTGATAGCGCTGTTCATCAAGCTTCTTTGCGTGTCGAGTTCTAAGATGGGGGATAACGCCACGGTTCGAAAGCTCGTGGTCATCGCGAGGGGGTTGATTTGTGTGCAGAAGACAGAGGAGCCATGAATGTACAGCTGGGACGCCGAGGATACAAGAACGGGGCACCTTGGCCCAACATACAGGCTGCTTTCGCTCTCGGGAAGCTTGTGCGACAGACTGAATGGAAGGCTCGCCAAACTATTCGAGTTAATCCTGGACTTAATCAGTAGCGTACTCGTAGACCTGTTGGTCACGACGAGACACGGGTTAATGGTAGCAAGATCACGCTCCAAGTGCGCCAGCGAATCCGCAGTTAGAGTCACCCCCACTCTTTCTAGAGCCTGCGAGATGGCTGCCAGCGAGAGGTTGTTGGGAGACGAAGACCTCAGCAGCTTCTGGAGCCGGGGGACAGACGACGCCATGGAGCGGTCCCTTGACGCTATGGGACACCCGGGTAGCCCCGTGTACCGGTCTGTGAAGGACTCTGAAGAGTAGGCGGGCGTGGACTCGATCGTGCAGTTGATGATGTTCGCGTTGCTTCCGATGACGTACACTCTCCCTATTATGTGAAGGTTGAAGATCGTGCTATTGTCTGTGAGTATGACGGTGCCGTACACAACAGAGCGACGCTTCCTGTTAGCGGTAAGGGACTGGGTGACGCGGGACTCAAACCTGCACTGCGCCTTCTGCTCTGCGACGTCTGTCCCGCCCCTGCTGGAAGCCCCGCCCAGGGTTGTTCTGGGGGGAAGTACCAATGCGGCAGGCAAGACGTACAGACCAGTCTTGAGAATGTGGATTTTGAATAGGTCTGCGTGGCCCACGTATATATTCTTTGCTAGGGCGACGGAGTCTAGGATGCCCTTGATGTTGTGGTGAGACTTGAACAGCGGTAAAGACGCCGAGAGCGTATCCATGACATTCTGGCGGATGAGCGAGATAAGAGGGCCAGTGGGAGCATGGGCAGCTGGTGCGGAGCGATCAGTGGAGGAGCTGGCAAGCTGGTGCATGTGTCTGGTGGCGAGATCCTCCATGGACGCGAGAAGCTCAGCCGCAGTCGACATGAAGACCAGGTTTCCAGCCCTCTGGGCAATGAAGTCGACCGTTGCCTGATTGCTTGCTATGCATCCCTGGTAGACGGAGGCCAGGCGGGCCTTCATGTTCCGCACCCACAGCTCGGACGCCAGGAAGTTCTCCTCGGTGATCTTTTCGAGCTTGCTGATCTGGACTTCGAGCGCCTGTTCTATCGTCGTGGCCACTCTGCCAAACCTGTCAAGCTCGTTGCGATCGATCTTCTCCTCGATGCTCGTCTTCTTGCTCTCTGCAAGGTACAGGCTAGCCTCCGCCTTGGTCCGGGCTTGCTCCATTGAGACGTACGCCTTTAAGATGAGGCTCTTGTGGGCCGCGCTATGCTTGTCGTCTGCGAAGTGCTCTGTTAGGATGCACGACTGACATTTTAATTCCTGGCGTTTGTGTGCGTGGGTTTCCAATTCAAGTTTACACAGCGGACACAGGATCCTATGGGCTCCTGGGCGAACAAGGTTGGCGCATGCGACGCAGCATAGAGACGCCATTTGTTTTTTGACGAGCGGCCGACACGGGTCCCTCTAGCTGTTCTCTCTGTCTTGCTCCTGGGTGGATGCGGCCAGGATTCTTCCTATCTCTTCTGCAAACGAGCCTCGGGGCTCACAAACAATTCTCCCGAGCTCTTGTCCATCGCGCAGAAAGACCCAAGTGGGGACCGCCGTGACCCCATACCTTACGGCGTAGCCCTCTCTGTCCCGCAGGTTGTGCATCTGGACGCGCACCTCGGCGATCCGCGGCTGATGTGCTACAACGGCCGCCGAGAACTCCTGCTGCCTCTGGGCCACGAGGAGCCTCTGCGTGCGCTCGTCTGGCATGAACGCAAGCACGTCCAGCCGCCGCGCCCCCGAACCGCAAGGACTCTCCATGAGCGTACAAGCGCCAAAAGAATTCACTCCTGGTGGAAGGCCTAGAGCATGGCGGCCACGTCCTCGTCGAAGGAGACCGTGAAGTTCTCGACGATCCGGCCGATCTCCTTCCCCCCGCGGAGGACGACCCAGGACGGGACCTTCTTGACGCCGTACTTCTCGCAAAGGCCGGCGCTGTCCGTGCGGGTCTCCTTGTCGACGGTGGCGACGGTGACCTTGATCTTGTCGTTCGTCACGTACGTCATGATCCTGTTGAAGACGGGGATGCTGTACTGGCAGTCCTTGCACCACGGCCCGTGGAACGTGATGAGCTCCAGCTCCCCGGCCTCGTTGATCTTCTTCAGCGCAGAGGCGGTCGGCTCATACCAGTCGTTTGTCTCGTACTCGGGCGCGGAAATGGGGCTGAAGGGCATCTGTCGCCGCAGCAGATTTTCCCCGACGATTTTACTTTAAAATGGTACGGACTGTCTCTCTGTTGGCCGCTGGCCTCCCAGTTGCAGACTGAGAGCCAGCACCGCGACCGGCATACCTGACCTACTATCTAGTCAGTAGATACCCCTGTTCGGCAAGCAGAAGCTGTGGGGTTAGCCCTGGACAGGTCAGACTCGTTCTGTCCGCAAAGGCCCTCCGTGGCCGGCTCGTCACTTGTGGCGCCATGACTCAGATCTGCACACGCTTATCGCACAGGGCATCCAACCCGTGCCTTCTAGGCGAGTAGTTAATGTCAAAGGCGATTATCGTGTCTTAGTGTGCCAGTGCGTGGCCAAGGCTACCTTACAAAGTACAGTAGCGTGCTGCCTGACACTAGAAGCATGGGGCGACTTGTCCGAGAGCAGCCCATCCGTTATAGGGCCGCCCCTGTAATGGGTTCGCACAGGCCTCGGTCACCGACCACCCGAGATGTGATCTGCTCCTTGGTGATTGTGTCATGTGCGAGCCTCTTTCATATAATCCGAACACTACTTCCACTGATAACACGATCTAAGATTAAAAATTAATACTTTTAGACAGCTGTTGATGCATGCGTTGGTGGTGCTCGTCGCTCTGGCCACCGCGCCTTCGCGTGGAGGGAAGATGAGCTGCCCCAAAAACCACTACCTGACCGGGAGCATGTGTGTTGAGTGCGCTGCGGCGATAAAGTGGTGCCTGGAGTGCACCGGGGCAGGCGCGTGCACGAGGTGCGCTTCCGGGGCGTATCTCGAGGGAGGGTACTGCAAGCCGTGCGATCCCACCTGTGAGCGCTGCACCGGCCCGGGGAAGTGCACGGCGTGCAGCGAGGCCCACTGCAGAGCACAGGACGGGACATGCAAGGAGCCCAAGGACTTATATACAGGGTGTAGCAAGTGCGTCCATGACACAGGAAAGTGCATGACCTGCGCAGAGGGGTACTTCCACTCGGGCGCGGGATCAACCCCCTGCACAAAGTGTGCTGATAACTGTCTATCCTGCAAGAGCGCCACTGAGTGCACGAGGGCCGCCTCAGGGTACTATGTTAACCCCTCGACGAAGAGTCCAGCTGCCTGTACCGGTACTAACTGTGACACTTGCGCAGATGATGGAGCATGCACTGTCTGCAAGCCAGGTTATAGGCTTTCTACGCCATCAACAACGTCACAATCAGCAACATGTGTAAGTTGTACTGGCAATTGCAGCACGTGCGATTCCAGCAAGTGCACTTTCTGCATGCCCGGCTATGCCCTCACTTCTGACAGTACCTGCCAGGCGTGTCAGCAAGGCTGCGCTATCTGCGCCGATGATGAGCGCCAGTTTCCTGGCAAATGTCTCTCCACTGGCTGCGCACAAGGTTACTATTACCATTCGTACGCAAAGGTGTGTGCCAAGTGTCCAACTAATTGTGCCGACTGCTACTACGACGAGGCACACAGCATTCCTGTTTGTACCCGGTGTACGGACTCGTCCCAACTCACGGTAGGACCAAAGATATATGGCATTTGGTGCTCTGATCTACCGACCAAAAGTTGTAAGAGTAACGAGTTTTTAGAAAACGGCTTTTGCGTCCCCTGCTACGGGGCCATCATGAACTGTATAGGATGCAGCGACCGCTTCCGCTGCACTGAATGCTTGCCTGGCTACTACTTGTACGACAACCTCTGTGTCCGGTGCGACGACAACTGCCTTGCTTGTGAGAACACTGCGACAAACTGCACCAATTGCGATGATGGCTTTGTCCTGCAGAATGGCACATGCGTTAAAGTGGGCTTGGTGATAGAGAACTGTCTCCACGCGGATAATACCACAGATCCAACCAAAGGCTGCAGCACGTGTCGGGGCGGCTTTTACGTAGCTGACGGTGCGTGCAAGAAGTGTGTGGATAACTGTCAGTTGTGCAAGGGACCGGAGATTTCGAACTGCATACTAGGATTCAATGGCTATCGGTATGATAGCTACAAGAATACGTTGGAAAAGTGTGAGGATCCCAACTGTGAGCTGTGCGCAGAAACAGCAAAGTATTGCGGCACTTGCAAACTAGGATTTTACATATCACCTGATGATCAGAAGTGTGCGAAAGGACAAGTAGAGAATTGCAAGGTCTATACATATGACGGCTCTGCATGCAGCGAGTGCCTAGCCGGCTATGGCATTTCAGTTGATGGAGATCGGTGCTCCCCGTGCTTGGAAGGCTGCAAGGGAGAGTGCACAGACACTACTTGTGAGTCTGGCGTGTGTGTGCAGGGATACTATTTCGCTGAAGGGGATACGTGTCTAACGTGTCCGAGCGAATGTGCGTCCTATATGGCAAACAGCAAGAAGCTGGTCTCTTGCGATCGGTGCACGTCTGGCCAGGTTTTCGCCATCAGCTCAGTCATGGGTCTCTACTGCGGTAAGCTGGACTCTAACTTCTCCAGCAGGGGTGCAGGACTCATCTCTACGATTGTTATCTTGGGCCTCATCATCGTCGGTTTCATCGTGGCTACTCCGTTCCTCGTCAAGCTTGCGAAGAAGCGGGGGGTCCGAGTTAGCAAATTACGCAGCATAAATTCCGGGTCAGAGAGCCACAACGAGTTCCTTCTAGAGGAGCCGGATCTTCTGTGACGGCGCAGATCAATGTCTTCTCCTGTCTGCCTTGCTTGTATGCGTACCCAGTTTCTATCGTGCTGGGACAATACAGCCCTTCTCCTAGTAAACAAGGCAGAAGTATGTATGCTGGTGTCACCACGGTCGTTGACTACCTGGGGGCCGGCGACGGCTGTGAGAGCAGCGGGCATAGGAGTGGCGCATTCCGGGACGTGATTAATCTGTCTTGCCATCGGCCGTGGCACTGTATGTGACTCCGAGGAAACAAAGTGCTAACTGCTGGCCGGCTTCTATCGAACATCTGCGGAGATGCTCAAGCTGCGCAGTCAACGATGTGATGGCCACGAGGGGACGCTTATGTTGAACAAGGCAGGGCTGCAGGAGCCAAGGCACAGCGAGAATCCAACACTGGTCTGCCTCATCCTCAAAGTCTGCGTGGCCCATAGAGTTATCTACCTCCACATAGATGTTGGCTACTGACCTAAGCTCACGCAAGCATGACTCGTGATTGAAAGTGTATGGTCTACACTTCACCCGATCCTTAGGATGTCTAAGATCTCTTACAAAGTGAAAGAGAAAGACTGAGAGGGACCTGAAGCATGTATGAGCAAATCTGGAGATCCAGAAGATAGCCATAGTGTTATGCCGTAGATGGGTATACTCGCAGACTGTTATGCCTGTCGATTGCCGCAAAAAACCAATATGTCTAGCGATGCCATTTGCAGCGCTATCTCTAGCACGTTGGGCTTAAAGGAAATAGGACCCTTGCCTCTCAAAAAGGAGAAGATCAGCCTGCCGAACTTCGCCGTTGCGTACCTCACCGCCGCAGAAGACCCGGAGAAGGATACCGTCACTGTGCTCCTTGAAAAGGATGCATCTAGTATGCAATGCATCGTAGCTCGTGACGAGTCAATGCTGGACCGAATACAAGAGTTTCTATCGGCTTGGAAGGCCGTTGGGATGTCAGGGATGTCTCTCTCACACAGGCCCTCCGCCGTCAACAGTAGCACTAGCGATGCCCCTATGGGCTTCCAGTCCAATAATCAAGTTCAAAGCAAGTTGCCACAGGGTAGCGCGGTGATTGGAAAATTGCCTGTGAAGAAAACAGCTTTCAGTGGTCCTCTTGATTTGGAGAAAAACGGAAACTTAATCGGACTTAATCACCCTATGTTTCATAAAAGTAACGAGCCGAGTCCAGACCCCTGTTTTCCGGATGGGCTAGGCGACTTTGCTGATCCACTCCAGGGAGTCAAAAGACCTAAGCACCTTCCACCAAATGCCATATGGGAGCCTGCACGGCCCGACACTCGCGATCCCGTGGGTCCCAGGAGCGGCTTACCCTATATTTAAAGTAAATGTCTCTATTGTTGCTAACATGTCTTCTATGTCTTCCCTCTACGCTCTCTGTGGTGTCTGTCTGCGAAAAAATCAATACATGGACAGACGAGCAGCTCACGGAGTCGTGCTACGGCTGCCCACCGCCATGGGTCACCACGACTAAGATTTTACATAATGTGTCGATAATCTGCACGCAAGCGTTCCAGTATGGCGACTTGATCGCTACGTCGCCTACAAACATCAGTATCTATGCCGCTAACAGGGTGGATTCTCTCTATTTATCTTTTGTGGTCATCGAGGCTTCCCTCACCGTTACCTATTCGTGCGAAAGCCAAGCCCCGGGCAAGCGAACTAACGTAATAAGCGCTGCTATAATGCTTATTAACAGCCCCATTGCAGTTTATGCCCCAGACGTTAATCTTAGCTTGCACTCCTCTCGACCCACCCAAATCTTGGGCCTCGATGCGCTGCAACTGCATCTGGTGAATGTGTCGTCATCCATAGACTCCTCGTTCACTGTTTCAGACAGGCTGGTCTTGACCCGTGGCTCGATAATACGCGCGTCCATTCCCATCAAGCTAGGAACCCTCGAGTTATGGGACAAGAGCTCCCTAGCTTGCCAGGGCATAGATGTGGTGTTGCTGGAGGTAAGCACCGAGTCTATTCTTTCGATCTCTGGCTCTTTATTTGCCAAGGCGATAAGCTTAAATAGCCATGCTCTTATATCTGTTACACAGAACATCACGACAGACAGTATCAAAGCCAATGCCTCAGTTGTTGCCTATGCTCTGCGGGCTAAGGGCGATACCTGGGTACACACGTACGGGACCATCACTGCAGATACCATTGAACTTAGTGCTGGAACACAAATAAAAGGTGCTTTATCATTCGAAACCATTTACTTTGCCCAACAAGACTATCAAATGCAGTCTACACATAAGCCACAGCCAGCTGACGGCACCTCGCCCAATGTTACACAATCCGACTACTCATATCTGTATTCAGTTACCCTATACGAAGGAAGTCTTCTTGAAGGGGATACTCTGGTTGCAGACGGCCTTGAATCATTTACTTCCAAATCCTCTTCTATTAATATAATGCAATATTCATTTTATAACATTAATAATCTAACTGTTGAGCACCGGCTGCTGGTGGTCAATTCTCTTAAACTCTCACGGGTGGCGTCTGCTGTCTTCAAGATGCGCGTTTTGGTCGGGCATATATATGCTGATCTGAGCTACCTTTACTTTGAAGACGGTGCCATAATTAGCAGCGGAATGCTGGCCCACCTAACAGTCACAAAGACATCTTATCTCCAGGTACGCAGCTTGCCACTTGCAAACAAAACACAGCACTTAGCAGACACCAATCCAGGGGGTCAGTCTTCTATGGGTGAGTCAAGAAAGGAGATACTTTCAGAATACCTAATTAACGAAAATATAAACCGTAGCCTGTACATAGAAAGCATATACCTGCAACCCATGACTGAAGTCCCATTGGACGATGAGAACCTTTATTTGACCTGTATTCAGACAATAGGAGCACCATCTAATGAATCAAATACCCAACTGTTCTTATCTGAGGATGACTGCCTAACTTATCTATTATTCGAGCCAGGAACTCTATATGTTGAACGCGGCTACCTACTCGGTGCTGCCCTAATAGATGCAAACGTTGTGATCAACTATGGCACTCTCATGCGACTGCCTGGGCCAAATCAGTATCACCATACATTGGATTGCTATGTGCACAACCTGTTTTACGCCGGCACGCTGTCTTCTCAATACACAATGTCACTCTTGCTCTTATCGTCATCAGATGCAAATGCCAGGTTCGATGCACTCCGCAAAGCTATCTATGTAAGGGCCTATAAGTCTGTAGCCATAAATTCTCTTGATATTAGAGGCAAAGTTCACGTTAAGCATACATGGGGATCACTAGAGGCTAACGGGCTTCCTATCTCCGTAATGTCTAACTTGTTCATTGATCATGATAGCACATTTGAGGGCCTCCTTTCGGTAGTTAATGGCAAACAGCTGCTCACCCAAGCCACCGCGATAGAAGGATCGTTGAGGATTTCGAGCACATACATGAAACAATCTGAAGCTGGATTGATAGTTGCAAACAGAATTCAAGCGGTAGCCTCAACAGTAGAGCTTCTCGGGTATATTTTCTTAGCCTCTAATTCATACAAGGACCCTACTTTGTACATTCAAGCACCATTTGTTTCCCTTGGCTCACTTATTCTTCACGGACCCATGTCAACACGGCGACAATTTAATTGCTGTGGTGGTTCAAATGTCTTGTTTGGCGGGTGCAGTCGAGGAAGCCCTGCGCCCCTAGTCAATACAAGCATACGGCTTTACAAACTGCACGACTCCAACAAGGGTCAGATTTCGGGAAATCCGGGGGATACATGTGACGGGGTCCTGGGTGGTCGGGCAGGAGGTACTGCGTACATTGTTGCAGCGGTTCATCTTACCCTCTTAGGGTCCATTGTGGCAAATGGCGAGGAAGGACGATCTTCCAAGTTAGACAATGTCTCAAATCGTGTGGTTTGTGGCGGCAGTGGGGCTGGGGGAAACGTGTATGTAGAGGCGCCCAAGATGAAAATAGGCCAGAATGTGTTTTTCAGTGTAAGTGGAGGAAACTGTACTGATGCCTGCCAATCTGACTGCATCTCAACTGGAGGATCTTCTTCCGGCACAGCGATCATTAACTGTACAGCGTGCCCAAGTCCTCTCCCCTTTTCAATCTTCGCAGATCCAGGGGCATGCGGAATCTATGAAGCCAGGAACGTAATGGAGACCTGTCCTCCCTTTTTCCGAGTAAGCAGTGATCGTTTGAGCTGCATTTTACCAATGTCTTCGCTCTTAGTAGTGATTCTTTTGATGGGGGTATTGACTGCAGTCATGGTCCTGAGCATGATCAATATAGTGAGCTGGTTTAAGCACGCGTGGATGCACCGGAAGGCAACTATCGAGACTAACTATCTCAGCCTGTTTGATAACTAGGGGATGGATCTAAAGTTAAACTAAAATGCGAAAACATGGCAACACAGTCAATGCACCACTACCAAAGCTTTCACTCTCAGCTACAGGTCACGCCCAGAAGACCTTCTTGACTCATACAGATATTCAGGCGGTCAAGTACAGGCTTGCAGAGCACGAGATTTCTCAGCCCACTGGAGTGTATAATACAGAGCTAGAGGAACAGGAGCAGAATCTTGCGGAGATCACCGCCATCCTGAAACAGACACAGGCAGAGTACGAAGCTCGTTCGGCTCAGCTTGCGGCCAGAGAGAAAGCCCTAGAAATTCGGCGACAGGAGCTTATGCGGCGCAAAGCCGAGATAGACATATATGTCTCGCGTAGCAAGGACAAGCAGAACAAGAATCTCCGGCTGACAGCAAAGCGCTACGAAGGAATCTCATGTGTCATGCAGGAGATGTCGGGGCTCACAGACACCATCGCGGGGGCGACGGCCCTGCTCTCTATTCTTATGGAGAGGAACAAGACCTACGGCGTGTACGGCTCATTTATCGAGGCTGCCCACGACCGTCTTCTGACAGACAGCGCGTTCGAGTCGGGGCCTACAGACCGGAGTGAGGGTGCTCCGGTGATGCGCAGCTACGATAACCTCCGTAGTCTGAGCGCCTCCATGGACTATGTTTCCGGTGTCTACACGCGTCTGACCAAGGAGGAAGCGTCTTCGCTGAGTCTTGAACAGGCGTTGTCTGCGGAGTATGATGCATCTGCGGGCAGTCTCATAGAAAAACAAAACGCACATAGGGTGGTGGTCTCTGCCCTAGAGCAACAGGTTGCTGACCTGAACGCTACATTAGATGATCTGCTACTCAAACACGAGTCTCTCAAAACAGATAATGAGCTTTTGGTACACAAGCTGCACACACGCACCCAGGAGATATCGGAAGTCCATGGAGCCGTGAAGAATCTTCTCGAGCGAATTGCCGCGGTCGTAGAAGAGCGTCATACGTTCCTTACCGATCGTGCAAGCATAGAAGACCTTCTGGGAGGAGTTGGTCCAGAGCTCCAGCAAAAGGTTCAGTTGTATCACAAAGAGGCAAAGGGCCTGATCAACATGAACGAGTGTTTCAACAGAGTACTTGGGTCCAGTCTCCTTGGCCGTCTCAGAGATATTTACAAACTTAGTCTGGCCTTGGAGGACGCCGCAGAACTTGTCAGTATCGCAAACGACTTATCATTTACTACAAAGTAGCCAAACTGCGACCGAGACGAGCTGAGGTGCAGCCAGTCAATCGTCTAGCAATGAGCATTGTGACTACTGTGGGGGTTGTGCGTGTTATGTTGACTGTGGCTAGCACGATTGCTTCCGTCTGCCATGGCGTTCGAGCTCTCCCACTTAGCCAACCAATTGTGAACTGTTGATAGGCAAACGTTTATCCCTAGCCTTTCTGCGAGGGCGTCCTTCAGCTCCTTGAGATGGACAGACGAGGACTGAGCCTTCATCTCAATGAAGAGCTTGCAAACGTCCTCCTGAAGAGGTCGCGGGGTTTTCGAGCGGGACTCCATGAGTGTACCGCCTCGGTACTGGGACATCCAGTGGTATAGAGTTCGAGGATGCAAACCAAATATGCGAGCAGCCTTGTGAGGGCATAACTCCAGCTTAATGACCGCCCTGCACGTTATTTGTGCAATATCTGGATTTCTTGGACGCATGGTCGTTTCAGTTAGCTTTGCTCTTTTAAAGTTAACATGGAAATTGGATTTTAATGTTTTTATGACGTGATCACTGAAATAATTCACCTTTAGAAGCAAATTCATTTTTTTGACTAGACGTCGTCTAGTGAATTTGGACAATAAGTGAAGACTAGTTCGTCGAGGGTTCTGTGTGAGATTTCATTCAATAAAACCGGCAGGTAATCCTTGTTGAAGTCCACCTTTCTGTTTAGAATGGCGCTAATCTTCTGAAGGAAGTTGTTCGCGCTGTTGGTTTCGTCGGGCTTGGTAAACGTAGAGTTGCTGGTATTCAGCTTGAAGAAAAAGGAGTTCTGAACGTTGTCAAAGATAGGATGTGTCAAGGCCTCTGTGGGCATCAGGCGGCGAAGGGGGTTAGGGTTCATTAATTTGGACACCAGGTCTGAGTACATATTGTAGAAGCATATAGCTGTCGGCGACAGCTCTAGGAGTATGGTGAGCTCTTGCACGGAGATGGCGGGTTTGTCCATCATCTCCACAACCTTTGGCAAGGGTGCAAACCGGAGAACCAGCATTAAAAAGCATGCTTGTTTCAAGGTGTATCTGCTTGTGGAGTAGATCGCGTCGCAGTCCCTGTATGGCGATAGTATAGCGTGTCTGTTGAGTATAATCAGTTGCTTAATGTGTGAAGGTATCTGTTTCAGTGGGTCGTCGCTGTGTTTAACTGGCGGTTCCTGTAAATTGCTGTCTTCACGTCCAGCATTACTGTCGCGTGCATTTGCCAATACTGCCTCTACTTGCTCGCGTGGCATGGCTAAAATCCGTTGCAGGTCTGCTGCGCGAGCCTTATTCAGCTTCGTTGTGACAGCCCTAAAGGAATCTATGAATGATCGAGACACACCGTTGAAAGAAACTATAGCCTCCAGGAAGTCTTCATTCTCTGCCAGTGGCCGGAGCTGGTTGACGTAAGCAAGGACTTCCCCTGAGCCAGTATTCTCGTCCCTGTCCTTGGAGTGAAAGGCGGGGTAATCGAATAACAACTGTATCAAAATGCACCCGAGGCTCCACGAGTCACCAATGAACCCTGAGCAGTTGACGTTCTTCCTGAAGGATTGCTCCGGTGCTCGCCACCATATGGTCCCACAGATGGATGTGGCACCAGCTGGTGGGAGGAGGCGACGCGAGACGATCCCCGGCTGCTGTGTGCGGTCTAAGCCCTCGAGTGGATCATATGCAACGGCACACCGTTCGTCGTATTCTCTAATCGGCATCTTAGTGTCTGTGTAACTATTTCCTCTGTAATCATAGTTGTAGCTGACTCCAAACCGTCGCAGAAAGGTCACTTCACAGCGTGCCATGCCAAAATCACAGAGAAGCAGCTGGCCATCCCTGGAGATAAGCATATTCTCTGGTTTGAGATCCCTGTGCGACCATCCTAAAGAATGCATAATTCCAACGGCCCGAAGAATCTGATAAGCAACACGCAGCACATCCTCTTCTTTTGCAGAATAAAGAGAGCCGTGCTTGAGGTAGGTCTTAAGATCTAACTCACAAAAGGGGAAGACAAGCAGGAGGGAAAGTTCTGCATTCGCTTCGCTCTCGTACTCCTTTAAGCGATGTACATTGCTTTTGGTAGATGAACTGACATCGATGATATCTAGAAGGGGAAGAAACGGAAAATCTACATATAGATCCGGGTGATTGCTGGTTGCACCCGGTCTCCTGCTCATAGCATCCACCAAGGACACCATGTTGTCGATGTCTCTTGTCTGCGACCTGCTAAGGAAACCACGGCGATCGTGAAGAAGGAGAAGCTTGAATGCTAACTGGATCCGTTCGTCGCTCTCATGCCAGCCCTGGTACACATAGCTGTACCCGCCCTTTGCCCGCGGCCTTGCATTTATATAGTAAGGTCCTATTTGCACGATCATTTTTTGCTTTGACCCCTTTTCCAGGGCCTTCGGAGATGTCCTCATGCGGGGAGCTTGCTTTCAAAAAATATTAATGCATAGAATTTATATTTCTCGAATACATTTCCCTGAAACAAAAATAAAGCCCATCTTACACTAGAAACTTACGCTAGAAGCTTACACTAGAAACCTATGGGCTTGTTTGGAAAAAAGGCAAACAAGAAGTTCAACGAGCTGGACATAGCACTTCTTAAACTCCAGAATGAGTGCGACAGACGAAACACACAAGCCGAGCAGGCTTCTGCGCGTGCAAGCGAGTTTCATAAGAAAGCCATTCAGAGTCTTAAGGATCACAACACTGATCTAGCAAAGATGTACTTGTGTCTCGAAAAGGAAGCAAAGAAGTACTCCAGTCTCCTCTCGGTGACCTGCGTCGAGGCAGCACGCCAGAAGCGTCTCCTTCAAGAGAGAGTCAGTCAGATATCCCTTGTTGATGCCATGAAGAAGACTAATGAGCTGTTGAACAAAATGCAGATTGACGGGGAGAAGCTAAAAGAAACGATGGACGAGATTCAACAGCACGTAGCAGCAGATAAGGCGAGCATAAATGAGATAGACCAGATCATCTCAGGAAACAAAGACGAGGTCGATAACATGATGGCCGAATTAATGGACGAGATCACTATCGAGCGAGACATAAATGCAATCCCTAGCCACGACCCGGTCTTGACTGATACGTCTGTGCACCATTCTGCGGCCATTGGCACCGTTAGAGATAAGAACGAAGATAGGCCTGACTCTGTGGAGATAGAGGAGGACCGTGAGGTCGAAGTGTGCGTAAATTAGATCACCTTGTGTGTTTTACTTCTGTCACAGCAGCTTACAAGTTATTAGTCAACGCCATCCAGGTTTGCCGAGTCCTCTAGAACCTCCACCCCGTCATCTCCACAGACATAGCGAGTTGGCAGCAATGACATATCTGCAAATAGACTCTGGTAGGGATCTTCTTTCTCGCGTTCCTTTTGCTGCTTCTCTTGTTCTACAGCTCGTCGATGTTCATCCAACCGGGTCGGGTACTCCTCAATGTACTGTGCACTGACTCTCCGAATCTTGTCCAGCAACCCCTCAAATCCCAATCCTGTGTAGCTACTTACATTAACGTAATCTATTACATTATAAAACTCTTCCAGAATGGTGCTCAGAGATTCGTAGAAGATATCTGAATAAGCAATACTATTAACGTTCCGCTCTTGGAAGTCACTAAACGCCTCAGAGAGAGCAACGTTATTCCGCATATAGACCCATGGTGCCCACCTATTGAATGTATCTGGCTCTACACTCAAAGACGGAGCGATAAGATCGCTCTTGTTAAAGACTATGATTACAGGGAGCTCAAGGCGCTCCATAATGCTGCAGCAGTACAGCATAGAGGCTACAAATGTTATGGGATTAAGGCAACGCTCGCTATCCACGATATAGAGCAGAATGGTGGGGTATGCAGAGCCGAAGAACTTAGAGACTATCTCCCCTGACGAGCTCCAAGTAAATACCTCTATCTGCCCAGGCGTGTCGACGACGTAGCAAGAGGTCCGCTCTGCCTTCTTACGCATCAAGTTGTCCAGCTCATCGATCTTGGTTGCGAAAAGGTTAAGGGTGGCCATGATGGCTCCGTTGGGACCCCAGTGATGCTTCTTCATGAGGTCTCCGATGTTAAACGTGTCTCGGATGTCGACCGAGGGGATGTACGGAGTGTCCAAGACAGCAGGATCCAGGTTAACGATATAAGGCACCTTACTAACAATATCTTGCCGTATTCGTGGCTTTAACGCATACGCGGCCTGATGCTGGTTGAGCTCAGCAGCCAAGCGCTGGATAAAGGTCGTCTTACCTGCTCCAGCCATTCCTATCACGAGTAAAACGGGGGGACGATGAAGCATCTCTCTTATCCGCTGCCTCTCAACGACCGTCAGCTCCAGGTGGTCACATTCAGATTGACACATGAAAGAATTAAAAAGCAAGTCAATAAATTGAAATGAGTGCTGATGCTCTACGACGCCAATCTGCCCTTCAGGATCTAGAGGTCATCAAAAAGGCTGGTGGGGATGTTGCGTCAATTCTTCGGGAGCAGGTTCAGGCTCTTTCCAAGGTGGCCACAAGGGAGATATTGTCGCATTTCAGAGGAACGAAAGAGGATCGACTGATGCTCAGAGGCGGGCACAAGATGGAATTTACTTGCGTAGCACATAGCGATGATACTATTTACCTTGGGTCTGGTGACGGGACAGTTTCTGCATGGTCTCTGCAGCCATCTAATATCGAAGACATCTCCGCGGAAGAAAAGCCTCTGAAGCAGCTATTCATTGTACGGGGGAGGCCAAAAATCCGGGTCCATGGCCGCAAACAGCCGTTTCGCTATGATATCATTGGGGTCAGGTTGAACAGACACCCCTACGCAAGCATACACTCAACCTCAAGAATACGGGATCCGTACCACGAGGGACACTTTGGAGGCATTACTGCGTTGGCTGCCAGTGCCGATGGGGCATATGTGGCTTCAACAGGGTTGGATTGCCTAGTCAATGTGCGCAACGGGAGAACGGGAAAATCTCTCTTCAGCATCATTCTGGATAATGTAGCGTTATCAATGCGGATTTTTGGCCACGTACTTACTATCTGTATGCAAAGTACTCTTAAGGTCTTCAACTTGGACGATCATTGTGAGATGTTCACCTTACGGGGACACGAAGATCAAATCACGGGGTGTGCAGACATGGGAGCAGAGCACAATGCAGTTATTACTTGTTCTGTTGATAAGTCAGTGCGTTTCTTCGACTATAACAAGCAGACGCAACTGATCTTTACGTCAGGTGTCTCACTCGAGTGTGTGTGTTGGATTAGAACTGATGTTTTCATTGCAGGATGTGCCCTTGGGCTACTAGTGCACACTTTAGAGAAGCGTAAGCCAGTCATGCAAGTGCACCCCCACGACTGCTTGCGGTTCCTTGAGAGTGATTCAGCAAGGCATACATTTATACCATCCACAGACTACTGTAGAAGATTGGTGACCGCCCTGGATTGCATTCCGAATGGCGATATTATTATCTCCGGCTGTCACGGTCTTGTTTCGTTATGGAGGTGTGTCGACTCCAATTTAGAGAAGGTGGCAGATTACGCAGTTGATGGGTTCGTCAATAATTTGAAACTAGTAGTCCAACATATGAAGCTCTACATCTTCGTAGCACTGGGGAAAACACCTGGAAGAGGTCGCTGGGACAGGGATCCGACCGGATACAATGGTATGCTCTTGCTGGATCTAAAATGTCCTGTTCCGATGGAGTCATCCAAGGGGTCGTCGCGCTTTAAAACACGAGTATTGATGTAGGAGGTCAGACAAGAGACTTAGACTTCTTTGCTTAGCCCATATACAAACGACGCGCGAATAATCATGGAAATATCCCCCAAGCTGCTAATGGATACGGGCAAAGTCTTGAGAGCTATCACAGCAGAGTGGTGCCGCATAGCCTTATCTGAAATTGTATCTTTAGCGATAAACGTGAATGCCAAAAGTCTATCATTCGAGTGCATGACATCAGAAGCTAAGCAATCAACGTGCCACGGGCAAAGGGAGTCTCGGGTGGATGGGGCCTGACTAAGGGTTTGAAGCAGCCTCATTATATGATACATCACACAGTCTATCAGCGATATTTTTGTGATGGAAGTGATGCCCTTTAAATCATACATTTTTTTATAGAGCAATAGAGCATCATTAAACTCGTTTGTCTTGAAATTTATGGGCAGGAGGGACGAAGCCATGTTGTACAGGAAACACCAGTCGCTCAATGGGCCTGGACCTGCTTCTACAGAGCTAGAAAGATATGTGATGTAATTTTCAACAGTTTTAAACGCAGCAAACAGCCTCGGAAGGCTCAGGAAATCCTGATCTCGGAAGCAGCGGGGTCTCACCATCGTGCACAGCACTCCTCTGCTATTGTAATATAGATGTCTATGGTTAAGGAATCCGTGGTCTCCTGCTCTTTCAATAAAGTGACGTAAATCCCCTATGATTTTAATATTTTGGAAGAATGCCCAAATATCCCTGGGAGACCCCTCAAACAGGGGAAGCGGGGACAGATTTGGTGGGAACAGAAGCTCGGTTATTACTGCAGCATATTTTGAGTGCATCTCTTGCTCGTTATCGTATAAAATGTCCACAACCCGTATGATATGCTCTGAAGTGCACCCTATATGCAGGTTGAGAGAAGCCTCCATAAGGGTGATGTACGCAGGATTAATAGTTGATGGAAGGTCAGACCTGGATCCCCCTAGCGGACCTTGATGATCTAGTGCAGCTTCTTCTCGGCCAAAAAGGCATTCAACATCGAATAGAAAGATGCTGTGCAACCTGTTTCTATATAACCCATAATAGACCTTTCCCGTTCTAAACAACCCATCAATGCTTTCATTTCTAGTTATAAAGCGGTTGTGCATTTCTCCCGTAAGAAGGAGGTGGATCTTTTCCAAAAAGTAGTGAAGAGAGAGAACAGCATGTGTTCTGTTAATAATTAGATCAATATACCATGGAACAGGGCTTCCTGCGTATCGCCTAGCCAGATCTAAAAGCACTCTGCACGTTGGCTCCGGCAGCTTGTGAGGCACGTGGGCTGGTGTGCCCAAATCTATTCTGAGTAGCCTCGAGCGACTGAGAAGATTGCATCCTGGGAACTTACTGTTGCAAGACGAAAGCACGAGATCCTTCATGGCATCCCATTCGATAACCTTCTCCTGAGGAACTCCGTTGTTAATGTCCTGGGACATACCGCACAGCCTTACTACAGCCTCACATGTATCGAGATAGTCTCGTGCTCTACTAACACCTAGAAGACCCAGCCCGAGCGTCGGCTCGAGAATGATGTGTAGTGCTTGCAAGCAAATAGCGGACTGGCTGAAAACTAAAGGCCTTCGAAGTACCAATCCGTGGAGCGTATCTTCTTGTGGAAACGGAGAGTATGCTGTGTTTGTTATTGCAATGCGCAGATCAACCTCTTGCTCAATAATTATATCAACGCTCTTGAAAATAGGCCGCAGGATTGATAGATTGGTTTGAAAGTTGTCTATGAAGTGCCTCTCTAACAAGTCAATATTCTGAATAAACTGGTCTCGGTCAGAACAAGACATGATACCCAGATCCGAGGGAGAGTCGTCATAGACAAGATGAATAACCTGTTGGCCCAGAGGGTAGGAGACACTAACATTCAGCGCATAGTGTGGTATCACGTAGCTCCTGAAAACAGAAATATTGTTAAGGAACAGAGGAATACAATCTCTCAGTGGTAGCTGCTCGATGCATAAAGAGATTGAACGCTCCGAACCTTGATATCTTTGCTTGAGAAGGTCGCCAATGAGATCGAATAATATATCGGCATCATGGGGTGATTGATATAAAGCAATAGACGGAGGTAAGTGCTTTACACCAGTGCTAGCATGGGCAGAGAGGATATCTACAAGAGGATTCACGATTGAATCGAGAACATCGTTGCATGCATAAGTAATCTCTTGGGATATTTTGTAGAAGAAATCGCCGCTAATAATCATGGTGTACATCCCAATAGGCTGCCTCTCACCTGAGTAATCTGCAGAAAGTGCGAGGTCCTCTAGTTGTAACTCTTCTACATTATTGACAACTGCATTCATTGGCTCGTCGCGAAAAGTGTCATCTATCTCGGTACAGTTGTATGACTCGTGTGCACTTAGTGTAAGGACCTCAGAAAAATCTGCAGGAAGAAACAGTGATATCACGTGACCACTTTGTGTTTGGACTGCCGGAAGACCGATTCTGAAATCGCCGAAATCTTCATGCAGCGCACAAGAAAGACCATCCAGCAGAAGTTGATGGAGAGACTGCAAGAACTCAACCCCCTTCATTCGCAGTGTATGCTCTTCGTCTTCAAGTATCAGCCCGCGAGATCTTATCTCAGTAAGCTTCTGGTAGCAGAGCACTCGCATCCGATCGACAACGTTGGCAGCGAATCTGCCGCAACTGTGGATGCAGGTAGCGAGTTGAGACACTATACTGTATTGGGTGTCCCCGCTGGCTGCTATCTTAGAGAGGAACCGTGTACCGAGCCCGATCAAAGACATATGACCAGAAGATACATGCACAGCTGCTTGGAAATGCAATCCCGTCGGTATCCCGTGATCCTCTGCGCCGCGGAGCGTGCACTGCAGTGCACGCACATGCGATTGCGGAATGTACACTGGTGCAAGAGAAAGGATTGCTGGAAAGAGCTGCACGAAGGTTTGCGCCAAAAGCACAATAAGGGAATCTGGAACGAGTATACAACACGACGTAATATCCTTTGTTTGCAGTGCAGTCTTCCCTAGCGTTTCATTGACTACAAGGTCAAAGTACTTTGAGATCAGTTGCACAGAAGTAAAGGCTATTCTCAAGCATTGAGAGACAAGCAGAGACGTCTCTGAAATCTGCATTCCCAGCATGCGTCGTACAATCCCAGTGAACGTATAGCAAGGTGTGGCTGTTGCAGGGGGAGTTAGGGAGTAGAACTCCTTTTCACCGTCACAAAAGAAGTACAGGGTATCCGCAAATTCTTCCACAAGCAGCGATCTGCTGGTACTCGTCTGGATGTACACAGTCACGCCCGCAGAGTGTAGCTCTAGCGCGAGCTGCGCAGACATCAACCCTGAACAATGTAAATTATATTGAAGAAGATCCGGTCCATTCTTTACTCTGAGACCGTTCTGCAGGCTGTCCCAATCAGAGCAAGATACACTTTCCAAAGTGTACCTCTCATAAAAGGCTTTGCAGAATCTATTGTACCTTCCGACCTAGGAGATAGCAGAGAATCCTGGAGTGCCGCTCCGTTATCTGCTCTAGCGCCTCCTGAAGGGCAGCTTCGTCGCCTTTTGTCTGTGAGAGGAGGACAAAATTGCCAAAGTTCAGTGTACGCTTGAATACAATGTCTCTGTCCATACGTAGAACAATGGTTCTTGTCAATCCATACAAATAATCCCACGTATGGGACGCATTTATGTATACTGGATGGTCAACTTCCAAGGTTTGCCCATCTGTGTGTAGTGAAAAGTGACAGCTAATCTTTCCTATTGGAAATGGCCAATTTTCCAGGGCAAGGTCGCCCATGGTCATGTTATATCTGAAATCTGCATATGTGGAATCGAGAAGCACAAGGTTTTCTAGGACCCCTGTTCCAATCCGAATCATGCTCAATAGGGACCCCAGGACATCTGGCTGGGAGGATGCCTTTCCACCAAAGAAAGGAATCTTTTCCAGAAGATCTTCGTCGCCCAGTCCGCTGATCATATCATCGATACTGATGTTAGAGTGCTGCATCTGTTCGATGGCACTGTTATTCAGGCTACGTTCGATGGCACTTTGGGTGAACCTGTTGCCAGGTAGAGCTCGGGAGAGCAGGTCCATCTTACGCTTCTTGGTCTTCTTCTTTTTGTCGAGGGTCTGCTCAATGTTCACCTGCTTTGTACGGAAATTGATAACGAAAGATCTGAGCCGGAACAGGGAGAGCGACAGAGGAAGCTTAGCACCGTACTTGGGCCACGGATCCACATCCTCTATATATTGCAGAGGTATCCAAAAGAGGATTTCTGAGGTCTTCTTGTTACGAGCATCTCTACTTATAAGCGTTTCCTCAAGGGAGTCTGTAGAGAAGGAGAGGATATAATTTGATATTCTTACGAGATGGCTATATGCCTCCAGTGCAAAATATAGCAGAGGACTATGCATGTACACAAATTGGAAATGGTACTCTTTGCTATTGATGACGGAGCTCGGGAGGTCATCTGTTTTGAAGGTCCCCGTTCCATCCAGTATGAATGAGTGGGTCTGTTCTTGCGCGAACAGCATGGGGTTCCGCTCTCTTGCTTGCTGAGGAATTGGCGAGCTTATTTTGGGGGAGTTGTACCCTGTGCAGAGTCCCGAAAGAGTCGTACTGCTGGCAGATTTAAGTGTCCTGTCTGAAGAGAAGAGCCCTGCAACGTGTGTGCTCATATCTGGTGGGAACGTTACAGAAAGATGACTCCGCTTGATGGTGTTTGATATAGATTTTCTCCCTATCTCGACGTAAATGTCCATCTTGGCTGTGTCTGCGGGCGTATTGGCAGTCAGCTCCTTGACGTCGCTGATCGTTTTCATGTAGCATCTATTGTTCCTCCTGAGCATGGGGAGAGGACTAGAGTAGCCTTGTAACACATTGCAGCTGACGTTGTTAACGGGTGAGATCATCGTCTTCACCGACTGTTCTAGTTCAGTTATCGTCATTGCAAATCCTATGTCCAGTAGAGATTGTAAGATGTGCATGCACGCAGATACCAGCTTGTATGCGTTACTAAGGTGTCCAGGACACGAAAAATACGTATGATCTAATGATATAATGTACTTAAGAAGGTTTGGTAAATACATCTGGTAATGATAATGCTCTGTTTCAGCCACGAAATTCAGAATAGGGACAAGGGATCCGTCGACCTTACTTATTGCATAGATGAAGTTATCCAAGGGCTGGTCTCGATTGGTTAGAGCATCCATCTGGTGCAAAATAAATCCGCTATATTTCCAAATGGGAGTGTAATTGTATGAGTCATTTGTGATACTGACGTTGTACTTCTTAGAGGGGGGCTTAGGAACAACCCTGGGGGGAGACATCTGCTTAGAGAGAACGGCAGACGGCTGTGTTGTGATGGGTGCTACCTTCTCCTGATTGTTGCACAATAGTGGGGACGGCATCTCCATCACTTTCAGGCTGTCCTCTAAGACAGCCGAGGGAGAATCATTCATTGTCAGAGGCGAGCGGGTGAAATGACTGTTTGACTTCGTATGCCACTCAATAGGTGTAGATGCAGCGACGTTTTTAGAGGACAGCGTAGGCTTTTCCTGCATGGCCAAGGAGCTCTCTATTTTTAAGAACTCTGGGGGCTTAAGAGACACATCAATGGACTGAGTGGCTGAGCTTACACTAGTGCGCGGCGCATTCTTCTTAAGACTGGAGGTCAGTTGATCCATCCGGCTTGTTACTTCTGCCAACGAGGGACGCTTGGAAACGGGGCTCGTAAGCTTTGACTTTTCACATCCAACAATAAGATAAACAAGAATTTGATTTGCGGCGGAGCTATAGCTATTGCGGCAATACCTTATGCTATGGGCCAAGGTATTTAAGTATATGTAAAGCGTTGAGTCAGTTATACTGATTGATATTAGGTGCACCAAGAATGTGCGGAGAATGACGTCTATAAGTTCCGAGTCAATATACTTCGGAGGGTATGCAGATCTTAGATTAATAACTAAAGGGTGAATGCGCTTCAGCATCTTTAAAAGCCCGCGCTTGTAGCTAGACTCGGAGCTCTCTGATGAAGTGCACACTCGCATATCGTACTCCTCGTCAAAGAAACAGAGATTGATCTGGTTCTTCACAAAGAGGAGCAGCATGGTGAAGACACGCGAGATCTCAATGTCATATTCCTTGAATCGGTCAAAGATAGCATTGAGAAGCTCTATGGCATCTATCTCACCACACGACAAGTCAATGAGCATCGAACTAATGGATGATGGCAGCTCCAGAGACAACGCTGGTGTATCAATGCATATACTGAAGGCCGTTCGGCAGAGCTGCATCATGTCTGTCTTACTAAGGTGTAGAGCATTTGCGTTTCGCGCAAACATATCAATGAAGACATTTATGGCCTGTATCTCTTCGTAGTATTTGGACTTAGCACCGTTAGGAATCCGCACTGCACGGTGGTCGCTCACAGTAATAGTGGATGTTATGGTTGTTGAGCCTACCTGGATGGACTCCTCCCCAGCGCCTAACACGGGGTGCAGAGCGCCGTCGATGAGATAGATGTGTATCTCTTTGATAACCCACCAGATCTGTTTTGCAATCGCTGTGTGCTCTGTAGACGCAAAGAAGTTGTGCCCACCTCCTTCGGTGAAGAAGAACTTGTTTGCATAAGTAAAAAGATTTGAGCTCAAAAGGACAAGAAAGTTTTCAACTGTCTCGCCGTAGCTCATGTTCTTTGCCTCTGTCTTAGCAACAATGGCAGATATTTGCTCGTAAAGTATATCAAAGTTACTGTGTGCCTTAGTGAACGACGGGTTGGGCTTGCCACGCGCATCCACGAACCAACGTCTATACGCAACTACGGCCTCAACTAGCTTGACCCTGTCCAATTTGACACTTTTCGGGTCTGCCCTTTGTGGATCCATTACCTGTTCAGCTATTTTTGAAATAAAAACCTAAAGTAAAATCTTTCTCGAGCCGCCAAGGCACCAATCCATGAGTGTCAGCAACTATGTTCTCTATGAAGCATATGGTAATGCCACTGCTGCCCTGGACAATATAGAGGTGCACTGGATCAACAAGCCCAGTGTCTTGTTGCTGAATAAATCGTACACGTGCTTTATAGACGTGTACATTCCCAGCACAGAAGGCCTCCCAGTGTCTAATTTCTGCCCAAAGCTCCTGCTTCCAAACCTTTTGCGGCTCAGTATGACCCACCATAACACTAGCGTTGATACCCTGCAATATTCAGAGGAGCTGGTGCTCAAGGAGACCAGCCGCCTGGGAAGGTTTGCATTCAGCTTTGCCCCGACCACCGTTGGAAGATTCAACATCAACCTTTCGTACCAGCAAGTAACAGTTTGGAGCTGCCAGATGCACATCATCGACTCGTGGTTTCCGTCGGACAAGGCGGAGATTAATGGGCCTCTCCTGCATGCTAAGACACAAGGTAGTTTCTTCGGTCAGCGCGTTTTAGACAACAGGGCATTCTTCATTGTCTCTGTGGCAGAGCCGTGTTATATAGGCGTCGCAGATAGTGGTAATAGAACCAAAACATGGTCGGCCCAGGTCAATCCTGGATTTACTAAGGTTGAAATAGTAGACAAACAATTGAATTTACTAACAATTTCACATCTTGGGGGGCCCTCTTCAGAAACCATTGACACAAAGACTATCCGCGTAGAGCCCAAGCAGTTCTCCCCTTACATAAAACTTCGGCAGGGGCAGGAGGCGCGGTTTATCAATATAGAATAAGGACTGAGAAGCCTAAGGTGCTCAGACGTGCCGAGCAGGTAGATCTGCTCACTCTTCTTTCTTGTAGACATCGTAAGGGTTCAGCCAGCTGTTGCGCACGCACTCACGCACCTTCATTTCGTACAGATGTCTGTCGTATATGTACTCATATGCTGCATCACAGTTAGCGGGATCCTTGGGATTGGGGTCGCAGAGTAACGAGCGTATGCTGGTAAGCACAGTACCCAAATCATATACAGGTTTCCACTCCTTTTTGGTCAGGATGTCAAGGCATATCTTCCCGTCTTTGTAGACGTTGGGATGATAAATGCTTGAGAGAAATCTTACCGCTGGTGGCTCGGCAGGATAATTATTAGTAAATGTCACCTTAAGCCTAAAGACGCCATGTTCCCAGATTGTGCTGGAGGGGCCAATGACCACAGCGTCACAGAGGGATATGTTGTTGGGGTCCACCGTGGCGAAGATGCCATTGTACTCTGACATCCGCCGCATGTCCCCGAGAATGCGTCTAGTGTAGGACTGGGACATGAACAAAAAAGTCCGATTTTTAAAGCATCTTACTTTTCACGGAGGCCCATCAATGGCTCCGATACGGTTAACCAAAGACTTTTCTACATCTTCACTTAAGAGTCCATCCGCTCCGCTCAGGGCCCATTTATCAACACACCATGCGTCGACTCGACCACGGCCACTTTTGTTAGGGTCCAACAACCTGTCTAACAGAGAGTCAGGATCCTCGGGGATCCTATCTAGTAACTTTGCAGCTTTATCCGCTAGCCCTGATGGGCGTCGCACTGCGTTTGCTCGTTGCCAAGAGCTGAAGGAAATTGATGTAGGTCTGCAGGTTTGCCTTCCATCTCTGCCTTCTGCTTATGATAATAACGGATGTGATGCTCAGCTCGTTCTAATTCATAACCTGGACACCCCGACAGTCAATTCGCTGTCCTTGTATGTGCCAGCAGCACCAGCGAGGTCGACAATGCATGCACACTGCTCAGAAATGCGCGAGAGCATCACTTCGCAGATGAGTGTAAAGTTTCTTGTGGGAACATTGGAGTCACTAGATCTGCGGCTCAATAGAGCGAGTGTGGATGTACATCTTGTTGCCAAATCAAATAGTGCAACGACAATTCCAGAGACGAGCTTGTTGGATCTACCTGATGAATTGGCATTCTACAAAGCCAGATTGCAAAAGTCTGACTTAGTTCTTCATAGGGAAACATATAGTGTTCCCGTGTCTCGTCTGACCCTACTTCCAAGCATGCGTCTATTAGAAGAAGAATACCCTGTTGATTATGGCGCTAACCCTTTTCTGATGCCTTCCAGCATCAATGAGGCACTTTTTACGGTCACCAATCCGTTTACTAGACAAAGTATGGAGGTCATACGGAACCCCCTTTTAGATTCCTCTTCTCGTGCTTCCCCTCAGTTCAGAGAAGCCCTGCTCCACTCCTCTAGTGTCAATCTTCATGGAATTAACAGGAACACCTCTCCATATCACGATCGGCACTTAATGAACGCTAGGCAAGCCTTGTCTAATATGACTCCTCAGACATCTGCACTATCAGGGAGTGTGACGGCTTTACATGATCTATCCCTCAGCTGTGGCCAGGACAAGACGCTTGGAAGCATAATGGATGACTTCACTCTTCAACGCACAACGATCGAGAAGCGTGCCAGGAACATGTTTCACTCTAGTTTGAAGTCTAGAAGGCAGTGTAGAGCCAGTTCTCTTCCTCAAAGGCTATCAAGCATCCCAATTGTAACTGATTCCGAATGCTCCATCGACGAGCTTTTCTCAGCAAAGGACGTTGTTGAATCCGAGCTCTCCAATGCCCTCGCTAATGATTTTGTTAAGACCATTATCCCTGAGCCCCAGGAGAATTTCTATACAATTTGCAACTGGGAAATTTCCAAGGCTGATTCTTCGTACGATATCACCTTGGACACTGGATATTTGCAACACCCCGTTTTCTTCAGAACGTTGAGGCGCATTAACTCTGTGGCGCAAGCCATGGGCATCTTCCCCGAGCGCTTGAGGCAATTGCAAGTGGATTATTTGCATGAATATAAACTCCATCTTACTGCGGTCCACAACAAGCACCTTGCAGGGGTTCAGAAAATAAGTCTTTCTACTCTCTTGTCTGTAGGGGATAACTGGCTCACGATGCCAGAGGATCGGCGCCTACAGATATCTACTCAGTTGAATGTTCTTGGCCTACTGCGATATGCTCCTGTCTCGCTGCATTCTTACTATTCGAGATACTCTTTGACTTGTATTAGAGATGAGCTGAATGCATCGGACAGTCTCGACCACTTCTCCAGTGCCTTAAAGGATCGCTATCAACCCATTCTCATGTCTGTCTTGGATCGACAATCAAGCCTGATAGCCCGTTTTAAGGCCGTTACTGCCCTAAGAAACTGTGTAACCTGGGGCTGTACTTATCGGTCCACTGCTTTACCTGCTCTGCAGGACATTTGTTCCAGAACAGGCCAACTGACCAACTATTTCTTCAACAGCGAGTTTTCCGCGATTGCGTCAATGCTACAAAAGCTTCTCCTGCAGCTAAGAACAGATGTTTCCGACCTTTCTGGCTTACACCTGCAATGTGTTTGTGACTGTAACACAGAAGGTGATGCGTTCCAGACACGACTTGGAAACGTTTGCCCAGAGGACCGGGGCTTATTGTCAGAACTGGCAAGCACATACCTCAAGAGCGCTCTTCACTTACGTAGCTATAATTACACTAAGGTACTAGATAAGCTTGTACTGGCGGCAAATCTCATCGTTAAAATCCTCCTTCACGAGCACACAGATCAGCTTTTATGCATTAAGTCCCTCTTCTTTCTTTATTGGCGAAGCATAGTACCCTTTCAGCTTACAATTATCGCTGGGAAATGTTACTATCGTACAATAAGCTACTTGATTAATTTAGAATTTCAGAAGCACTATTACTCTGAAGAAGACTATAGTTCGGCTATTCGCCATAGAGGAGAGACCGCTTCAAGAGCTGTATCTCGCGCTAATACACGTCAGGCGGGCCGTAATTTAACCGTGACTAACGAACTGATTCGACAGATCTTACTTCCTACCCCGAGACCTACGGATTCCTATGACGATTATGTTGAAGCCTGCATAAAGCATCAATATATGGCAATTCCCCATTTACAGAAGTTGGCTGAGTCGGGCTTCCCGTTAGAGTGTCAAGCCCCCCGCATGGAGGACGTGTTTGGACTAATTGTAAAAAAGGATTATGCTAGACTAAGTTACAACCCATCACGCGTAGGTTTGCAGCAACAACTACGTATCGTGCTATCCTGTCCATTTCGAACTCTTCCAGATACCTTCCTGATTGCTGCAAGACACCTTTCGGCTGCAATGTATCCACTTCTCTTGGATTTCACAAGCCTCTTCACCAGTACTATTATTGCCAACACCGACGTCTCTGATCAGCGACATCTACTGGAGCGCAGAGCAATTAAACGCCTCAAGCGTGGACGGAGGACTTTAGCCGCAAAAATAGACCATGGTGAAAAGGACGTTTTGGGAATTTCTGGCTTGTCTGGCAGTAATAGTGATTCTAGTCACAATAGCGAGTCTGAGTTTGCGGACTCAGAAGAGGATCTGTGTGTTACAGCCCCCCGGGGAGGTGTCTGCATAGCTACTAGTAATACTGACATGCACGACAATCTCGCCTTTCCATCTGCTGCACGGGTGATTTTGCGCCGCTTGTACCACCTTGGGTTTTCCCCATCAAGCCTCGACTTTCCAGGAGTTCTCTATCGGGTTACGCTAAATCTGACTATAACGTTTACGCGTCACCTGCGTCGTTGTAGTGTGGACATTGTTTCTCCGAAAGCAAGGACATTATATGGCTACTACTTTCACTCCATACAGCAGTTGGAAGACTCTGTTTGCAGAATAAGGAGCCAGCGAGAGGATATCCACAAGCAGAAGCAGAAGACAATGAGGCTAGCTATCGAGCGAGACAGCGATCAGCTTACTAGGAACAAATCTCTCACCATTGATGATCTCTACTTGACTGCAAAGGCCGATAATGCACAGCTGTATGCATCTCTCGCTGTGCTAGACGCAGACTACGCCGAGCGTCTGAAGAGCGTCAAAATTCCACTAGACTATGAACTGCAGCAAGTTATTTGGAAAATGAATGATGCTAGCAAGATTCTCTCAGAAGAAGACCTTAAATTAGTGCAGCATTCCACTCAATCTCTTGTTGAGTCTAAACAATCTGAAGAAGTAACGGCACTAACAGACGATCTGGAGAGCCTTCTTGAAGAGAATCGCCTTAATGGGTACTATTTTTCTTCAAACTGTGATGCTTCTGATCACCAGCTCATAGTAGTTTACTCTCAGCCACACTCTTTGGCAGACGTTATGGATCCTGCCTTGACATCCGATCTGGTTTCTTCGCTGCTGATTAGCTACGTGCCGCAGGTTGAGCGCTCTTTGGTACCTTTATGGAATCTTGCACTAGACCTTTCAACCATTTTCTTCACTCTACCAATCATGGTCTCCCTCTATTTCGACTACTTCTTTCCAACTACCCTCAATATAAAGCTCCAGTTAGAGAACCCGGCTTCACCAAACAAGAACACAAGCGCATTGTCTCTTTCGCTAATAGATTTCTACTCAGATACTTTTCAAGATGAGGTGGCTTCGGCTAAGGGCTCCTGCTCCTCCAGATTTTCTTCCACACGCAAATCAACACGGAGCGCAGGAAAATTGACTGTTACGGACAGGCAGCTCGACGCTCTCAAGCATTTTTGTAACATGGGGATCTTTCCCTCCAGCAACTTAGAAGGAGAAGCTGTTGAGTTTCTGCGTCTCTGGAACACGTTAACTGAGTCATCGTCACTTTCTACGCTGCTTTCCACACAAGAAGCATTGGCCTTGCCAAAACCCCTTACCTTTAAGGACACCTTTTTGGCAGGAACCAGCCTCCAAGAACTGTACTTGGATTCTTCGCAGTTTTCACTTATGACTGGCACAGCGTTTGAGAACTTCGGTTATTGCAGCTTTCTGCACATTACTGACCATAACATCCTGGACCACCGCATGGTCAATGACAGGTTTGAGAGCATTGCATCCACTGCCCGCCTTGTCATCGACATGGTGATGGATGAGCTTATGATTGGGAGTTGCTATAGCGCAATTCAGAGTGCGCTTACAACTAGTTCTATGAAGAACGTGTATGCTTACATTTCAACCTACGGAAAAGACGTCGGAAACATCTCTCTTTATGATCCCGAAACATCGCTATATTCAGAGTTTGGCAGTTCTCACATACTGCGTGCACACGTACAGGGACAGGGACAGGTTGATCCGAATCCTCCAGATTGCCCGTTTCTATCAGCAAGAAGTTTTCTTAGTATTCAGGACCCTGATGTGTCCAGTAATTTAACCAAATATAGCCTTCTGCACCCACAGTTTCATAAACTAATCCCGCAGCTAGACTTTTCAGTAATCGACAAAACGCTGGATGGAATTTCGCTATATGGCAATGGATTCCACGTTCTCCCTGCCAATGTCTATCAGACCATTTTTGCCATCTCACTTCACGAGCTTAAGAAAAGCATGGCATCCCTCCTAACCTACTATCGCTATCTTTATTTATACATACAGTATGCCTCTCTTATTCTGATCACAAAGACACTATCTTGTGAGCTGGAGAGTCTCGAAAGAGATTTGCAAAGGCCTATAGACAGCCCTGACAGTATTCTTGCACAGCAGAACTTGCTAGATCAGCTTGCTGGGATTAAGCTACATGAGCTGTACTCGTTTATATATGATGCTTCCATCGTGCAATACGAGAGCTTGTGCGCACGCTTCCTTGACACTCGATCAGTCTTCACTGTGGATGAGCTGGAAGACTCGGCATTCTCACTGTTACAACGTATCCTGTCTCTCAAGGAGAAGCAAGCTATGGCAGTTGCAATCTTCAAGCAGCGACGAGCACGGTTTCTGGAGCTCACAGCTATCACTGAAGATTGGCTGGAGACTGCCTCCAGGATGCTTCTTGATCAGATTATCACCGTTTCTTCCTTGACTATTCCCGATGCTGAGGGCTGTGAGAAGGTCTCTCTATCTTCATATGAAGATCATTTCACTGTAATGAAGATGTTCACTGTGCCACCTATATATCGATCTAAGACAATAGACGGTCTCCCAGCGGATTCTGATGCCGATCTGGCATTTTTCAATAGCATATTCGGCGCAACTTCGCTTCTGAATCTTCCTTCTCCTGATCTGGATACGCCCATATTGCTTCAAAGTATTTGTCATGAAGATGCTATGTTGAAGACCTTCGTTATGAACGACAGCATAATTCCGTTCCGACTCAAGTCGGCCCAATCTCTCCATCAACCACAACACGATTCATTATCCAATCAGCTTTCAGTAGCACACTTTCTATCGGTATTATATTACGTCAGTGTTGAATTACTTTCCCTTGAAACGCTATTGGAGAGATGGCGTGGTGCACTAGTTTCAACTGATGAGCTGCTTCAGACAAGGGGCTTTTTAAGTTCTGCACCATCATTGCAACAGCTACACCTCTGCATCCAGGTTTTCTATACCGCGACTGTCTACCCCATACAGCTGAACACGTTTCTTCAAGAAGCAGGGTCTTGGGACCTTTCTATGCTTTTACCATTTATTCCCAGGCTTTACTCAGTACTAGACTCAACTCTAAATGCGGTCCAAGTACTCTCCCTGTGGACTCAGCCTCTGGTGGATAATATGCAACATATTACTGAGCTGTATATGAACTCCTTTGCACAAGGGAGCACACTTCTTAGAAGTTGGGAACCACGTCATGAATGCTACGGGTTTTCTGGTGGCGGGTTTTCCATACTAGCGAGAACTGGCTCAATGCTAGCAAAAGTTATTCCATCTGGCTGGAGGCGCTATCTTCTACTCGTCCAATCCTCTCTCCAGCACATAGCCAACGACATAGTTTGCCTGGATCTTTTGGGTGCACCTTTCTTTACTACTTTCCACAAGAAAGAGATACAGTCGTATCTTCACATACCAGACTCCCCACCTGTTGATGATATCCTTGTGGCTATTCACAGCACTGCATGTGCCTCGGAGTTTCTTGCTTACCTCTACATCAAGGCCCAGGCAGATAGTCATGCGATTGCAGAGTTGGAAGAGGCAGAAAAGCTGCTGGGAGGCGTTCTCATATCTGCTATCGATCATATACAGCTCGACTCGCCCCCGGGATACACCAATCCGCGCTCACAAAATTCATATTCTAGCGATCTGTCCAGGTGTCCAATTCCCCTAGTCCGTTTTGTCCCTGAAGCTTCCTCTCTCCAGCTTTCAAAGTCCGAATCTATTCTAACTTCTGTGGCGGCTGGGCCTCGACACCATCATGATAAGATTCCGGTAGCAGAAGTCGGAACACTGAAGGGTGCAATCCTTTCAGTGGTACAGAGCTTAGACTGTCTGCCGCTTCCCCTACTTCCATATTCTAGCCTTCTACTCTGCACGACATATTCAGACGCGGTTCATCGGCGCATCCAAGACCTGCGTGCTGCTCTGCGCGCTACAACCATTCTTTACCACAGTCTCTGTTACGTTCCTCGCCTCTTTAGGTACGCACTGACTATGTACGGGTACGCGTCATTTATTGAAGCAAGCGTAATCAACCGAGGTGTTAGGTCAATGGCAGACCATCCAACACTGCTATACTCGGTAAATGTTCTCACCATGCAAGAGGCTACGACGCTTTTCAACATATATGGGCAGTACTCGTCGCTTATCAATTCAAAGCTCAGCACAGGTACACCACTGGTTTGTTGTGCAACAAGTGCACCGGTCTATAAACTTGTGGGATCAGTGCTAAAAGATCTAGATACTATTGTTCATCGTCTTATCACTGCTCCACACCTTTTTCTCTTCAGTAAGCTGCTGAGTAGCAATCAGCAGCCACCAAAGGCACCCAAAAGTGTTGCGCAACGAGGTACGTTACTACTCACTGAGTACCAACCAAAGTTCTCCCCAACGATTTCTTTAGGCGGGCATGACACAATGCAGCTTAAGCATCTAGTGCCTTACCTAAATGGCTCGCACCACTTCATGAGTCTCCTTTTTCCTCTGTGGGCACCCGGGTCTCATGTATTTATACCTAATATTAAGGATTTGTCAATCTGCACTCGGTGGGTTCGAAGCCATGCGTTTCCGGGTATTACTAGCTTAACCGCACCGTTCTTTCCTAATGGCAAACAGCAGATTACCGAGTTGGTGTCTCACAGTGAGACTTTGAGTCTAGTGCAGCCAGTGAGGTGCCCTACGCAGTTGTATTCTCTCCCAGATATCCTTTTTAAGCCAATATCGTCTGCCCTGCTACGCTGTACCTCCCAGGTACTGACGGGGCTTCTGAAGATTGTGGCTGCTATGGACCGTCTCCCATTGCAACAAACTCTCGATCTCTTATCGCTTGCATGTCTGGCGTCAGTCCCGTCCTGCAAAAGCGACTTAGCATTTGAGCTCCACACTATTATCAACTCCGTTGTTGTCATAGTTAACTCAGCAGTATACGATGCGCTGTGCGTTGCTATCTCTACAACCTTGAAAATACTTTTAGAGGATCAACTAAGATGCATGGCCCCAGAGGATTTTGTGGAGAAGTTCAAGAACCAGAGGCCTATTCTTCAGCGTACCTACTTATTTCTGCATATTATTTTGTTCACTTTTAAGGTACGAGCAGACGCTAAAAGTCAGTGTCATGATCCCCTTGTCCTGATGAGCAACAAGGCATGTAAGGATTCCCCGCGAGTGAAGTATAACGCCTCGTATGGAGATGCATTGAATATTTGGATCATTGAGCGGTACATGCTGCTTCTTATGCTAGAGCACGATCTTTGGGTAGAACTGAGAAGAGAGCAGGCCAGACACAAGGCAGCTACTGCGCACTTGCTGAAAGCAATCTCGGATGATAAGACTCTTGCTCACACGCATGCTGCTTATTTGTCTGCTAACAAGACGTTTGAGTTTGCTGGGGCACACATGGATGACTACTTGCGCTGCACCATTTATCCTATGATATTTCTACAATTCACAACAAACGACTCCAACACTCAGTCCATCGATATTACGCTGTCTAATGATATGACCTCCTTCGAAACGTCGGCACACTGGATTGGAGCTCCTCAAGCAGAGGATCTCTATTGCGTGCTTCCTCCCCAGCTTCAAATAAGCATGCTTCGTGTTTTGGAGAGCTTTAGACGCACAAACATAGTCTTTTTGCTACTTGACAAGATTCCTCAGCTAGACTGCTGTTCTTTTCCACGCTTCATCTTGCGCCGACTTTCACGACTTATGTTGTGCCAGTCCACTCTGCTTTTTATGACTCCTACCACCTTCGAGAAAGACATCGTCCATCTGATGATCCGCCTTGCAGCTGGTCTTCTTGTAGGGATTGTCGGCTTTGAATTACTTGAAACGGAACAGCAGATTCTGATGACGCATATATTAAAAGAGCTGCAGTGCCCTACCGGTCTAATCCCTGGCCTAGCTGTGGTCTCGCCCATCTCTGCGAAGGCTCGGGCAACCATAGAAAGTCTTGAATTTGGAAACAAGTGGTCATCTATGACTATTGACGACCAGGGCAGCTTCCTGGGCACCTACGTCACTATTCGTGATGCTTGTGTCTCTGACGTGCTGCCTCAGCCCCATGGAATGGGTAAGATTGTGATATTTATGCACTGCTTACTACCTGCGGACTTAGGTAGCGCAGGTGCCAAGATAGCCTCTTCACAATGTCCGACAAGTGAGACGCCTGCCCCACTTATTGATCAGTTCGGGCATCCGTTGTGTGTGGATAAGCATGCAAAATCTATTCTAGACAACATATATGCCCCAGAGCTGATTTACTTTTCATTCTATAGTGCATACGACATTATTAGTCATAGTTCTATGACGGTCCTATCCAGCGTTCTCGATGTCAAGTGGATTGCTCCGGTTGGTCGTTTGTCAGCTCTTTCGATTGCTTCAGTGCGTCTTGCACAGATTAGCTCTTTCATTATCGGTGAGGTAGACGAGTTGATGATACTCTCTAGATCTGCTTCAGACTCTCCTACATCTGTAGCGCTCTCGGCATTGCACTACCTACTGACCCGTGTGCCGTTAGACAATAAGGATGCGAGTGCTCTTCGGAACACACTCTGGTCGGTCAGAACTGCTTTAGTGACTAGCTTCATGTTGCCTAAGGCAGATTCTGACATCCTTACCAACGCCATAGAGGCATACTTGTCACTACAAATCAATGGTATTAGCGATTCACTGTTCTATAGATATACTGTTCAGTATTTCTATCCTTTCTTTACTCAATGCTATAAGAACCGTCTCTCCTTCCTCATGATCAAGTACAATCAGTCCTTCACGCTTATCTATACTGCTGTTACAATTTCGCAAATGCTTGAGATTAGTATTTCCCCTATTCTGATGGTGTCCTGCTCGTATGAATTTGCATGTGAAGTTGCTCAGCTGGTCTGTGATATGAAGGGGTTGACAGCTATCCGCACAACAGACCATGCTGAAGTCCAGCGGTTACTGGGTCGACATGCAGACTTGTGTGTGCAGAGCCTCATTGTTTACCAAGTACGAGCTCTGTCCGATCTTCACTCCATCTCAGCTGCAATGTTCGATCTCTCTGACATTACCCCAGTACTTATAGTAGTGTCCAATTCGTTTTATCAGCAACACTTGCCGGCGATCACTTACGTATATAAGAGGCAGTTCATTCTACCAATCGTACCTCGTTCTATTCCCCACGAGATGGAATTTTTACTGTCTCCGATATTACCTCACAGGAATATGGATAGGGAGATACCACCTAGTAGTCTATGCTTATCACAGGATGCAAGCCACAGCGCTACTTCCTTCTATCCATCTCTTCTGCTGAATCCGTCGGCATGTGGGATGAATCTGCAACGGGAGGTGTCTCTGTTGCTCTCCGACAGTGATCCATCGTTTATTGTTCCGCTCCCAAGCGTCTCTCATATTACAAGCGCGTGGATTGCAGAGCGTTCTGTGTATTCATTTACGCGAATAACCGATTACGTGATCCAAAGAGTTTATAGCCTGTTCATCCGGATCATTTTTCCGTTCTGTCTTCAGGGCATAGTTGAAGTGGTGAGGAAGGAGTTTACCCTTGTCTTTGGAGGTGAGCATAAGCTCCTTTCTGTCGCTCCGACCAAGGTCATGGCTAGTCTGATCTGGTATAACCTTATTCAATTTAAGCTTGTGCAGCGCAGCGATTGTGTTCCTGGCAGAGAGTTCTCTGCAAACCCTACCAATGAGAAGAGGTCTTCTAATGACTTAGATACTTTCCCCCTCTACTTTTCCCCGGACAGTTATGATGCTTATCTTTCAGGAGAACTCACAGCCTTTCAAAAAGCCCCTAGTAGCCCCAATCCTTCGAAGTATGCGTACTTTCCCGAGTTTCAGGGGTTGGACAAAAAGTCGATCCCACCTAAATCGGATTTATTTTCTCAGTTCATTAATGGCACTCACTGGATATCTGATGCATCAAACATAAGTACCCTTAAGTTCTGTGAGGAGACAATCCAGTCTCTTTTCCATGTCTCCCCTAATGCGACCTTGGGTCTTGTACATCTTCTCATGTTCATCTTCTTTGCAGCATGGAACGCATACTCCTTGACGTACTTGATTAGCAGAATGTCTGATATTAGTTCGCCAGGACCTCTTTCTGAGATTAGTCAAACGTTTCGTGCATCTATTTGCCGGCTTCTCACACTCTTTGGGTTTGAACTTAATGCGCCAGATCGCAATGCCAGTCCCTCTGCCGCTGGACATTACACTCTATCAGGCTATCTCCTTTCAGCTTTGCACATAACCGTCCTGTTGGATTTGTGGGAGAAGGGTATCAATACACCAATGGCTACTATGACATATGAACAGCGGGATAAGCATATACTTCTTAGTGAGTACATCAGCAAAGTAGTTGCTACCAAACGTTTCTGTCTACGAGATTCCATATGGACTACCCTCAACGTTACGGCATCTGATTGTGCATTGGCCTTTGCCTCTGCAGCGTCCTCTATCCATGGATCGCTCCAGAACCTTATAGGTAAGTTTGTAAGCTCATCAAGCCCCGGCCTTTCAGAGGTGTTTGCTTATGTCGTGCCATCTCTCGAGAACAAGGACCCTGGATGCCAGCGCATTACATTTTCATACCTGAGCTACAAGATAGGGCAGGGAATACTCTCAACTTTGTCGTGTGCCTCGCAGACTCAGATTTTGGACAACATTTCACTTGACGGGGCAATACTATACGAGCTGAAAAAGGGGGACATAAAAGACCAATACAAGAAGTTGTGCTCTGACAACTTCAAAGATAATGCGACTGATCATCAGGCAAGATTGGCAAAGCTGCGCGACGATCTCGTGCTCAGTACAATAGCTTATTCATATGGCATTCCTAGCTGCTATCAATTTTCCATCCAAAAACCACTGTCTCCTACATTATTTATTGATGAGCCTCGCACCGCAATAGTGGTGCTTATTGCTGCATGTTCCACCTCAGCGATGCTCTACCCTTCGGGTGTGTTTCTAGAGGTTTGCGGAGATGAAAGTATGGGCAAGACATCACTGATTGAGATAGCTGAACTTTTGATGCAAGACACCTTTGGTCCGTGGGCCCGTCTCACCGAGACTGCTACTGCTTCTGCTGGTGAGATCTGTAATGCATTTCATTCTTATTACGATAAGCAGGGCACAGCTGCCCTTTTTCTGAATAAGTTATCCAGATGGTCTGCTGGCGTGCTACACGTACCAAACACTTCTAAACAGGATGACCGGGATTCACTTTTCTCCCAACTAGCACAGCTGTCAGCTTCGGCACCTCCTAGGCAAAGGACACTTGGAGACGGGTCTCACATTGTTGGAGAGTTCAGCCTTATGAATACCACGTTGATAGTTGAAAGACGACACGACACTCGCTTGTCTACTCATTCATGTAAAGAAACAATAGACAAAATCACCGTATCATTACCACAATTAACCCTAGACCACGTTCTATCCTTGGTCCAATTAGCATTTTCCTCAAATAGAAGCATTTGCTATGAGATGCTGAACAAAGCCGTATCATTTTTATTCTCTAGCTACCCAGACCTTTTTTCTAATTATGATTTTCTCGCTGATCTACAGCGCTGTCTATTCTGGTTTCCTCAGCTGCCTTCTTCTTCGGCTCTAGAGACTGAAGCCTTTGTTATTAGGGAAGCTTATGCGCACTGCACCGTATGTGCTCTTGCTGCTGCCCTTCGGAATGTTCCTAGTATGTCCAATGCCAAATTGGTATCCATTCTGGACGGGTTACTTCCTGCTATTGGTGCTCGAGCGCTCAACATATGCAGCCTGCAAGCGTTAGCACCGCAGTGGCAAGTTGATGTGATTGAGACCTATTTGCAAGCGCACAATAAAGAAGATCGTAGAGCATTGGAACAAGACGATGGTCAGCCACCAACTACAGGCCAATCAGAGAACAATGATGAGAGCAAGCCTTCACAAGTACCCAGAGCTAAAGAACTAACTACAGAGATGCATGATTTAAGAGCCTTCTACAATACTTGCAGTGCTGCTGTCGCCGGGATACCAGATGGACTATGTTACTTGATCGGCATCCTCTTTCAGAAAGTCAGTCAAGATGATAATTCTTTGGTTAATTCAGTTGAGTCTCTTCCTCGTCGAGAGGATACTAAAAGATTTGATTCAGCAGCCCCTCTATCATCTAAGATCTATTCGCAATTCAAGGTCAATCCACTGGAGGTCGGCTGCGCATGTGGATGCATTAATATCAACTTAGACTGGCTTCAAAGGTTCCCTCGTTACTTTGAGCTCTTCACAGCTGACCTATATCTTGAACATGTGGCGTACGATCGCCAGCTTGCCGAGGCAAAGATGAGACATATCCCTCCACCAGATACCCCACGGTACATAAGCCCATCTCTGGCTCTCCGTGTCTTTGAAATGCACACAGAATCAAAAGCCATGGGAGAGCATATTGTGAAAGTTATATCGTGTCTTCAAGAGTATTTACGTTCTCCTCTTCCATGCATTCACCCCACCCATAACTTGTATTCATGCTTGTGGAAGCTCTTTTTGTGGGGCATGCTGATGTCACCAGCAAAGCTGAGCAGGCTGATACTGAATTCTATGCGTGACTGGCCCACAGAATCTTCTGGAAAGTACATTGATGCATACAGAGTCATACAAGCCCATACCACTTCTGGAAGCTTTTCCGATGAAGCCACTGACCATATCATCGACGAGCTGCTTTCACTGCATACTGATTCACCATGCCTATTATCTCTTGCTCTTACTGAAAAAGAACCTCCAATGAGCAAAGAGCCACAAAGGCCGTCTAATTTTGGGGTCTCTTTGGACCTCAGGCTATCGGACCTCAAGGACTCCTTCAGTTTGCAGCCTGCCTCGTCGTCTGTCATTCTACCTCACAACTATCTTCCTGTTCAATGGCCCACAACTCCGCTACTGCCTATTAACTTGTCTACTTCTATAATCACTATTCCCTGCTATAGACTATACACACCATTTGCTGACTACAAGCACTTTCAACAAATTTCATATCTGCTCCAAGCATTGGAGGGCTACACATCATTTTTAGATCTGAAGCTTGAACACCTTTACTTAAGTAATTATTCTAATGATACCCCTGCGCTTTCACTTGCATCCGATCAACTGCTTTCCTCTAGAACCAAGGGCTCACCAGTATGCGGAGGCTCTGCCAAGGATTGTCGAGGCCGACTGAATGATCGTGTTCTTGTTGACATTGACACGATCGTAGCCTCAGTTAGTCATGTGTCTGCAGGCGAAAAGGAGAAGAGCACTGACAAGCCCTCTAACCGCACGGCGGAGAGCTTTGTGAAGAATCTGTCAATAGCTGTGCTGGAACTTTCTGCGTATCTATCTAGTTTTGATTCTGACTTTCTCGCTACTCTTATGCTACTGAGAACCGCAGTTTGTCTTGCTGCAGGTGTTAACCCGATTTACTTTTTGTATACTATCAATCATACAACTGCCCACAGCATCAGTCAATTTGGATTGCTGGCCCCGCTTGCAGAAAGTCTTCTGCGCACTCCCAGTACAAAGTACTTTGATTCTGGGGTTTCTAGTGGGGCCGCCTTCACTTGCATGTACACTGATGAGCCGCTGCTGCACACTCATTTGCCGTCTATACTTTCTGTTCCAGGTCACTTGGAGCATTATGTTATGCACACATTCAATAAGAATTGCGGCACAATGTCTGAGTTCGCTCATCGTTTTGAACAAGGTGGCGGAATGAAGGGCCTGCTGGAGCAAGGAGAGTCTCTTATGAAAAAGTACCTCATAGAGCCCTCTTGCGTTACTATCCTTTCCTCAATGGATATCCTCATGAGCGCAGCCACCGGATGGCCCGCCCTGAGCTGTCTCCTTCAGACAACGATCACTCCAGGCAATCTTGTTAGGGCACTGTTCACTTCCGAAGAGCTTTCTATCATTCTTGCATCCCTGTCACTCAATGCTGGCCTTGGAAGGCATCTCAAGGCAGAAGAACTACATTCCATTCTAGCCTCCAATCTTAAAATATATGTATTGCATAACGGCTCGATTGACTGTCTAGCCACAATGTCACATCCTCTAGACATTAGGAATTTTGGCATAAAGAAGCTCCTGCGGTCTCCTGATGATACATTTGATGGCTCCTTAGCTATGTTCTTTGATGTGCTCTCAAAGTTTTCTATCAGGTCTACAAAGATTGATTTTCCTAGTGTGCACACCATTTCCCTCAATCCCTTATTTCCTGTAGCAAAGTATACGGCCGAACAGCTGCTTATTCACTGTAAGGTTAACGCCTGTCAGCTGTCCAAGGTCGCTAATCTCCCAGAACAACTGAGCATAAACTGGGAAGCACACAAGGTGGCAGTACTTCTATCCTGTCTCTCACTTCACAGGGCGTGCTCTCGTTCTTCTCACAATTGGCAGGTCCCCCTCCAGGCGTATATCAAGCTTACGGTTGATGCCATTGGGATGATCTTCTCACGTGCACAGCAATATTATGCCAATGTCAATAGCATCAATAGCCTATTCAAGGCGTATGCATACATGACAAGAGAGGCTCCGTTGCAAGGGTTAAAGACCCACGACTCTCTGTATCCTGACATTTATGTCACCCGCTTTAATAATGCGCAAGATTCTATCCTTCCAATAGAATCAATGTCGTCTAAATACCTGCAATATTTTGTGGGCAATCTGGTGTCGCATGATAGCAAGGTCTTCGGAGAGCTTTGCTACATGCGAAATTGCCTTTATTCGTGTCTGGAGGCGTGTAAGGGATATAGTAAGCTGCTTGCTTCTATACTAGGACATGTATGTTACGAAGCCCCAGTTCTGGTTGCTTGTATGCTTTATGGAGTCACTGGACTATTAGATCGCCCCACAAGTGATGGCGCACGCACAACTGCCTTAGAAATCCTGATTGAAGCACTGCAACAGGATGGATTAACCATCATGCTTCCCAGTTCAAGGAGTCGCTCAAGCAGTTCGTCTTCGGCTTCTAATAGACTTAAGTTATTCTCAGTTTGGACTGAGCATGACCTACAATCCACCGATCTCTTCTTTAGACACTTCCAGGTTTCTCTGTGTCTGGATACACCTCTCTTTCTGGCCGAGATACTCTTTAGGGACACCCTCAATAATCACGAAGTCTATAGGCATCTTCTTTATGCCGGTATGCTATTTCTTCTTTTGGGACGACGAATCTTTCTAACATATAGCGTGCTGGTTCCACCTCTTATCTTCACGCTGGTAGCTAGCCTGCGTCGCTTTGAAACTCCTTTCTGCCGTCTCTATGAAGCATTGGTCGGAGTGTCAAATACGGCAGATCCTGCTCATTCTCTTAGATCAACGAATCAGGCATTATACACATACATACATCACATCAGGCAAAGAAGGGTTGAGCTGAGTGTCCGTCAACCATATAAACAATTCTGTGCATCGGTGGCAAAGGCTCTGGCCGAGTCTGATAAGGCGATTGTGTTCTCCGATGTGGGTGCACGACAAGTTCCACAAAATAACTACTCTCTTCTCAGAAAGCTGCTTCTGCTGGCAGCTACAACCCGCGTTGATGCACGACAGCAGATCACTCTTGGTAGTCAGATTACATATTTATTTCAACCCCTTTCTGAGTATATTTTCATCATTAGCCTTTCACCAGATTACGACCCCAGTCTTACGCCTGTCTCAGTTTTACATGCTCTCCACCAGGCAGAGATGCACAGATCAGGCATGCTAGGGTCTGTGATCTTCCTCTGTAATCTCTCACCTTGTCCTGGATACGACCCAGAGCCAGCAGAGTGTGCAGCTGTCACAGATATGTTAACGGAATCTGTATTCGGTCCAGAATTTACTAGCTTGTCCATACTCCACAGAAGAAGTACTATGTTCGCTAAGCTTTCTCTGTCATTAAACACATTTATCGACACATTCCACTCCTATCTTTTAGAGTACGGCGTTGGGGTCTTTCCTATTAACGAATCCTTCCGTAGCGAAAAAACAATTATGACAGCAGAAGCGTACACACAACGCCGAGCAGAGATAGAAGTGATGCTTTCTGATTTCTCGAGCGCTTATTCTACTGGATCAAATAGCTTCCAAAGTACAAACCGTGGCTACAAGCAGCTCACTTGTGCTCATAGTAGCGGTGCAAAGGCCGCCTCGTCAGTTTCTATATTATTAGACCTGCTTCGCGAGGTGTGCTTATTATTCTATGCACTTATTCCAGGCGCAGATCGTGCTCTTCCTCTGATGGATCTGCAAAACAGGAGTTCCTATCCGATCGGAGATGAGGTGTCTCAATTTTCAGTGGGCCAATCAGTCAATATTCTCAATGAGATTCAGCTCGGTTATCTATTGCGGTCTCGATGGCATGTCTGGATTGAAGAGTGCGCTACATTGACGTGTGACCTGCTTCGGTATTTGCGAACACAGGCTAAAAGGGACCCTACACTATTGATCGAAACAAACAGGGCTGCACTAACGCCCTTTCAAAGAACACTCTGCGGTCAACTAACGAGCTTCTATAATAGTACAATCAAGACTGAATTAAAGCGGTTTTTCTCAGCTCACTCACCACTAAAATCCGTTAGTACAGCATCTTCTATCGACAATCAGTGTGATTCTCGAGATCATGCGGATCAGCCGACAACGCTTCTACAGACTAACTTCATAGCAGACCTGATTACATTTCGCTACGATTCCTTAAAGTATCCTGTCTTTTATTACATAGTGCTCTACCCTCGCATACTCATAGACTTTGTCCTCCAACAGATTCTTAGATATATGCTTTCTCGTCTAACTTCAACCTCAGCACTTCCCCACGCTCACATTCACAAATTGTTTCTTACGCTATGCACGCTGTCAAGACTAGGGCCCTTAGAAGATGAGCTTTGTAATGATAGATCTACTATATCGAGGGGAGATTTAGAAGTGGCTATTTTGCACAACGATTTGCGCTTACTGATGGACGCACAGCCTCATTTCGGATCGCAGCAGACACATGATATCGACATCAAGTTGCTGACATGCTTGTGTCCTCAGTCTCTTGAGGAGATGGCTTCTTTTATCCATACCTGCCTGCTGTCACCACCATTGCCGTCTCATTCAACTACTCTACCAGACCCCAGTATTAACTACGCTTTAGACAAAATTGTACCCTCACAGTTTTCTATTACGAAGGAAGCTAAGCAACTCTTCCTTTCTTGTGTAGTTATTTCACGATTTAGCGAGGACTCCGTTGACCTTCTATCGTATTTGGCTGAAAATCCAGCTGCAATCTTGGTGTGCTCTCAGTATTCTTGTCTACTAGTGACACTTGTGTCTTTGTACCTATTAGATGTCGGTGCAAGGAGCTCACTAGAGCATCTCTTAGATAGAGACCCTTCTGTAGCCGCAAAGCGATGCGCTGACTTGGAGCACTGCATTGCTTCCTTGATGGACGCAGAACTAGAAAAGGACAGGAAGCACCTAAATTTAACCTATGTGCCCTTACTATTTCAGAAACCGACCATGAAAGGTATGTATCTCGCCTTCCTTCTTTCTGTTTTACTGCGTCCAGAATCATTTACAATTGCATCTACGCTACTGCTCCAGATTTGGGGACAATATACATCTCCATTGGGACACGGTCCTAACCTGTCGAACAAACCCTCTATCTTCGTATCGGAGCAACCTCAAAGGCCAAGGCTACCAGTCATGTCGCATGAAGAGAAGCATTGTGCCTTTCCTGCAGGCTTTCTCCAAGTGGATGAGAAAGGCAAAGCGCTTCCAGAAACGTGCATTTGTGACTCAGTCGTTTCGCTACTCCGGGCAGCTCATGCCATGATAGACTCTACCCTAACTCTGGTCTCAAAGCGTCACGAGCTGACACCAGTGTCTAACAATCTCACCAATCAACAAGTCTCATCCTTAGTTTGCGATGCGCATGCTTGTGGTTCTTCAGTAGAAGCTATTGAGGAGGTAGTTGAGCACTGCAGGTGCTACTTCCCTTTGACCATAGTGTTCTCTGAGGGAGAGATGTTTTCCTTAGACGAACTATTTGCTCTGGATCGGCGTGGTTATGGCGATGTGACACAATACTCATTTGGGGATGTACCAATTGTTTACCAGTTTCCATCGTCGTGGACAGACTTCCATCGGCATTCTACAGTGTGTTTACTATCCAGTCCTGCATGCTTAGCTGACGAATTAGAGAACCTCTTATGCCTTATTAACATGCACCAGTACTTTAATACAACTGGTATGCCAGCATTCCCCGTTTGGCTGATCATTCCACAACATACCGTTAACCGGGCAATTGACGCAATGGGAGCAAGGCTGAGCCACATACTAGAGCAATTATTATATCTAAGCAGACCCATAATTGTTAGATACAAACAGCCATCCGTGCCATCAGATCTTTACAAAGCTGCTTTGACACATTATTTTTTACAAACAGAGACCCGCAGAGCACCGACAATCCATCAACTCGACCTACTAGTTGTAGGATTGCTTCACACGTGCACCCATAGAACACTACAGCTCGGTATCGAATCTGGACCGGGGATTCTCCGATATCTTGACTTCTTATTCACTGCACAACACGGTGCAGATCAAGCCCCTTGTCCCGCGCTACTATTCACCCGGAGTCTTAATAGGTTTTTATTTCTCTGCTCAGGAGATCCGCGCTACTTCATGAATGATAGAGCCAGATGTGCAGTACAAAGCTGCTTTGAATACTACATAGTGCTCAAGGTTCTGGGCATCAAAGGGAGCCTCCCACTACATGGAAGCAAACAGGTGCTTGCGACCAGAGTGTGTCGGTCTCAAGTACAGTATAAATGGAGAAAAAGTAGTCTTCGTTTGGCGGAGAAGGAAAAAGACCCTATCAGTTCCAATACAGTCGTTGTAGAGGGGCTATGTTCACAAGAGCAGTGGAGAGGTTCTAACGCAAACCATGGCACTGACGGGAAACTTGATTCAGAAAATACCCCTCGTCTTCTTAAGGATATCATGGCACTAATATCTCCAGATAGGCTTATAGAGAGCGTTATCTCTCCACTACTTACACTCGAGCTACCATCTCATGCCCCAATTAAGTGCTTGACAGGTTCTAAGATAGTGTCTATTTTCGATCGCGTATTGAAGACTTTGCTTGCCAACGAGGAGCCATCTTCAATGAGAGGCCCCTCGTATGGCGAGTTAGCAGAGTTTCGAAGCATCCTTAATGGGCACGTGAATACGACAAAGAACTCCATGTTGCATTCGCTTTCATGCAGAGATATTCCCGTCTGTTCTGTCCAGTCTTCCCTTATCCAGATGCTACTAGACCCTGCATGTAAGATTGAGGAAGGGGCTTGGAAGGTCTCTTCGGTCCAGAAAGAAAATGGCTTACAAACCTTACTATCAATCCTACAATTGTCGCTAGCATTGCATAGGAATGTTCCCGCTGAAAGAGTCTGTTTCCTCGCTTTTCTCAACGACCCGCCCGGGAGGCTTTATCTAACTAGCTCTGGAGTTCTTACCTTTGCAGATACCGATGCACATAGAAGCTGCACTGAACTATATCGTTTTCCCATTTGTCTGCAACTTACTAATCTAGTGTTTTCCGCAGGCACTTATGACTCCTCCATCCAATCTCTTGTCTCGGCTACAGCAGAGCAAGAGCAAGGATATGTCCACACTATTAGCGCATATATTACGGCAGTTGCACTTCCTGAAGCCTGTCCACTGTCCACAATACAGCCACCTGCAGGCTATATTTCCATTTCTATCCAAGTAGGATACATACCACTTTCATGGCTACTGCTCCCTCAAAGTGAGGATGCTTCAGTCGAGGATCCTCCAGTAATCAACATAGCAGATGTGTAGAGGACAAGCGATTGTTTACGTCACCATCAGAGTATGGATTCGTTGATACTTACCGTGCTCACAGAGGGCTCGAGAGTATGAACAGGATTTTCAGTAGGCCTGCTCTTGGATCTGCATATGAACCACCAACAAAGGAAGCCAACAACTCCGCTGATCACCAAAATAACAACGATGGAGATACCGGCGATGGCGGCGCTTGAGAGCCTGGGCATAATGCACACTCCGTCCACATTCGGCATTGCTCCACTTCTCTTGCAAGCAGTGCAGAATGATTCCTTTGTCGCGCATTCGGCACAACTACTGCTGCATGCGCTGCAGGTCTTACGGCTGTCAAGGAATGTTCGTGAGGCGCATATCCTACAGATGCCTGAGTCTCTAGCGTCGCAGTAAGTGCAACTACTCACCTTGCAGTCAGGTGCCGTAGCTACAGACCCTATTCCGTCCGGAGAAACTATCCAGGTGTTCTTGTAATCCCAGCAGTTACCCTGTGTGGACGGATTGCAGCTAGGATAGACGTAAGTATGCGTTACAGAATCAAGGTTGGGAGTGGTGACAATCATAGGCATACGTCCAGACTCGAATGCAAATGCATCAGTAGACCCGAATTCCTTCATAATCGTCTCGCTTTTCTGTAATTCCGCAGCGGTCCTTCCACAAGCATTTTCATCACTAATTCCAGGCTGGTCACTATTGATCAATACTTTAGTGCACTTAGCACACTTCTTTCCATAAGCACTGTTCCCCTCAAAGTTCAGATCTGTTGCACCGTCTATTCCTACATCTGCATAGCAGCGCGTTATATTCGTTTCTAGTTCATTGAAGCGTCCATTGAATGCCCCGAACCCTGTGTGATAGAGATTTATGTCATTGTTCACAGAAAGGTTGGATCTAGTATATGAATCAGTTATCGTAGAGGCATCTGCTTCTCCCGAGAATCCTCCGTAGAAGACCCTGCTTGCTTCAGGACTTGAAAGAAGAACAGACATGCTAGACGAGACCCATGAGTTGCTTATTTGGGGAGAAGCTGAGGCTGTCCGCCCGTCACTTGCTGAATTTCTCTTAATAATACCCACAAATCCACCGAAGTGTGCATTGTTGATTTTTCTCTTGTTGAGAGCCATCAGAGTAATCTTACTAAAGGAAGAGTCTATATTGCAGATGCATGACCCTACAAAGCCACCAAAGTGCAGAATATTGTCGGGTGCTAGATTAACTGAATCACCTGATGCGTATGAGCGTTTGACAGTAAGCCCATCCGTGCTTCCTGCAAAACCTCCGACAAAAGCCTCGCTGCTGGTCTTGACGGTGCTTGCAGTGACAATGGAGTAGCTGTCTTCAATAGTTGTCTCAGTCGCGCTCGCTACGAAACCACCACAATATTGTTTTGCTGATTCTTCAGTATAGCTAGCAGTAAACCTGAGTGCGTTTATATTACTATTTGACTTGGCGATGGTGGTATGAGTAGCATTGCATACAAGACCACCTGCACAGATGCTCCCCTCAAGAGCCGTTAGCGTCACAGAAGACTCCTCTATTACTCCGTCCTCAATGGCCCCCACTAGACCTCCAGCCGATGAGGCTGATACAGCTTTAGATACTACACTGCACCCTTTGATAGTAAGCGACTGAGAGGACTGTGGTTTTGCTACCCCGACAATACCTCCAACAGTAGCAGTGCTGTCTAATGGAGATGACACTATCCCCGTGAATGTGAGGTTAGTCAGGTTTCCGGTTGTGTTGCTCACTACTCCGCCAACCAGTCCGTTGATGGAGGAAACAGTTATGCTTATATTGGATGATGATGAGCTAATATTGTGGGTGGTATTGCTAACAAGCCCACCGACCAAGCAGCGCCCACGAGATGTGCAGCTTATGGACCCACTCGTTGCTAGATCAGAAAGGGGAGACGACGCAGAAGCACACAAAGCACCCACACGGACGGCAGCATGGCTATCTACGGCAAGATATCCCGAAAACGTCACGTTTCCAAGACCCATGCACGTGTCTGCTAAGCCTCCGACATCAACCTCAATAGCACCTACTTTAACAGATATAGACCCCGCTGCTGTGACATTCGCCAAGACCTTACCATTGAGATCCGGGGTTATGCCAGCAATCTTCTTGATAGTACTAGAAGAAATGTTGGTCGCGAATTCTACAATGAGATTAGTGATATTGGCATTCTCGTCGATGGTTTTATATAGGGCTGCAACGGTATCGTTCTCATAAAGCCTGACTCCCTTAAGTGCGTAGCCATTGCCATTGAACACTCCTGTGAACGAAGGAACCGGTAGCCATGGATAACTGACGGTAACGTTCCCAAGAAGATTGTACGTAGCGCTTCCACACGAATATAAGTAAATAAGGTCGGCGTCTGAGTTAATATTTATAGAGTCAGGGCAGGTAGACGGCTTGGTACATTTCAGCGGAGCGAGATCAGTATCATCCTGCCAACCACTGGTGCAAGTGCATGCATTCTGATTTGAGACTGTTCCTCGGATGCAGATATTTGCGTAGCATGTGTTGTTCAACTTCAGTGTTCCCTCGTTGCAAGTGCATGTCCCACTATTACACGTTCCATGGCCTCCACAGGTGGGATCTGCATCAGCGCATGAATATTGTGAGCAGAGGGGTCCTCCACTACTTGGTGATGTGTAACCCTTATAACAGAGAGCCTTGTTAGATCCTATGCATACTCCGGTATGCGCATTGAGGCCAGTACAGCCATCTTTACAAGTATTGTCGGCGGTGTCGAAGTAATGTGTTGGATTAGCGCATCTACAAGCAAACGTATCAATATCACAAACACTTCCAGCGGCACACTGCTGGTGCCTCATACAGTCATAGTGTGCGCAGAGTGTTTCGCCAGACGTTCCACTGGTTGGCCAAGTATTGGACATGCAAATGGCCTTGTTTTCTCCGATGCAAATGTGATCCCCGCTAGCTATAGTACACTTATTAGGCTCACATTGCTTATTCTCAGGATTATAGGCTGAGGTCTGAACTGTGCAATTACAAACATCGTATGCAGTAATACATTTAGCAACTGAGGAGCCCCCACATGCCGTTGTGGGATCATCTGAAGAACAACTGTACACGGTGCAAAGACCGGCTTCACCATCTTTCCACCCTTTGTCACACATTGCCACACCAGGGCCTGTGCAAAACCCGTGGCCAATGCCTTGGCATCCCATTTCGCAGGTCTTTGTGGAGATGTTGTAGTATTTTTCATGCTCCTTGCACTTGCACAGGCTGCTGCCAGCATCACACTCAGCTACCTGACTACCTCCGCACAGCTGATCCTTACCTGCGCAACTGAAACCAGAACATAAAGAAGTCCCAACATTTTTCCAGCCCTCGTCACACGTCGCGCCATTGTATGAACTGCACTGTCCGTTCTTTAGGTCAGGACAGCCGTGCAGACAATTGCACATGAATGGGCTAAAGAAGCTTTCACGCCCACAGCTTTGAGGGGTGCACGCTAGGAACGATTCGGGATTCTTCCAAAGGGCAGGAAAAGAGGGTGGGATTGCCTTCGTAGTATCGGCTTCATTAGTGTTTCCAAAGCGCCATATAGTTTCATTATCCCATCCACTGTTCTGCCATGAAAGGCCTGTTTTCCCCTTAGCATCAAGGTATATAGTCATAAAGAGGGCCGGGTTGTTAATTGCTGAGTTGGCGACCGGCATTCCCTTGGGCAAGTACCATCCCTTTGGATCATGTTCCCAGTTGTCGACAGTTTCAAACTTCCAATCGGTATTGATCTGAGCGCTTGAAGTGGTTTTATTTAGATATAAGTCATCCGCACAATTAACTTTGCTGCTGTCGAGTCCGTGTTTTTGGAGGTAGTTTTCGCAGGAGACTTGAGTGGTTGTATTGACACGTATATTAAAGTTCTGATATGTCCCTGAGGCAGGCATAAATTGCGACGTCTTTACAATGCCAGAATTGTAGACAATGTCTGTCGCTGTACCAGTGAATGTGTTGACAAAGTTTGCGGTATTGGGTAGATTGTTTCCGTTACCGATGGAAATATTGACCAAGATTGTTTTAAGGTTTATCCCTGGACCAACCTTGCCGATGAAGATCGCTGCATTTTCCGGAGCTTCGCCAGACCAGATACCTGCGGCTCCCATAAGCACTATGCGCTCAATAAGCGTTTCACGAGCTGCTTCTATCGCGCCTCCGAAGTTTCCAGCGTTGGTCCCCTGCGCAACCATCCGTACCTCAAACTTGCCCATCCCAGCCTGAATGCTGTGAACTGATGGTGTGTCTGACGATGACCCGTTGATAAGTCCAAAGAATCCCCCGTAATATGACTGCCCACCGGCCCCGGGCTTCTCGAAGAATTGAAACTCTGGAACGAACATGTAACACGTAGAAAGGGTAAGAGAAGACGCATTACCGTAGCCCAGAAATCCTCCACCGTACATATGGCCACCATTATTATACCCTCGCAGCGATTGAACAACAGCGTAGCTATTCGTCATGGTTCCACCCCTATGCTTGCCATATCCCAGAACACCCCCGAGATAGGATGAGGAGCGTGTCTCCAGAACAATCATTGATGCCTTAACAAATGTCGTGTTGATCACATAGTTTTCGGCATTAGTTTCGCCGACTGCCCCTCCGACAGACACACCAGCAAGGACACGGCCAGTAGAGGTGACACTGATGGTCGAGTTGTATGAGCTGCAGAGCTGAATGTTATTGCCATGGCCTACAATACCTCCCACAATCGAGTGTCGAAGGGCAGTGGCGTTGACAACCGAATCTGTAAAGTGGACATCTTGAATAGGCCCTGTTGCCATCGATGCGAAGCCTCCGACGTAGCACCGCTTTGCATGACAGCCTACGCGCGGCTTCCCGGTGTAGTGCATGGCCACTGCAGTGTTCTCCAGAATTCCGATGAATCCGCCGAGCCTGAGATTCGCGTTAGAAGCATTAACAGTGACGATGCAGTCTGATCGGACTGCGTCAGAAGGCTCTCGAGTTCCAGTGTCTCCGGCTGTTCCGAAGATACAACCAACAGTCACGTTTCCATCGGCGTGTGATTTAATCGAGACCGTTCCACTGACATTGACGTTTGTAACCCTGGCCTTGTCCGAAGCCTTTGCTGACACGCCACCAAAAAGTATCAATCCACTATCAATTGTTGTATTGAATTGCAAATTTAGATTGGAAATACTTCCTCCAGTCAATTCAGAAAAAAGCCCTGATCCCTGGCTGGCTGGGACAGTCGAGCTCACTGAGATGTTTCGGATAGTGTGACCCTTGCCATCGAACACTTTTCCATATGCAGGAACAGGCATCCACGGCAGTTTGAGAGTTATGTCATCGTTTAGTGTGACGTCTCTTCCGTTGCTTAAGGCCTTCCTAAGCTCCATTTCTGTGCTGACAGATACCGTGAGGAGGCATGGCAACAACCATGACAGTATCAGCATTAGCCTATTTAAACCACAAGAGGCGAAAATGTTGGAATTAATTTTGACCACAAGTTTTAAGCCACTCTAGCAACTCCAATATACCCAGGTCGCAACTGACTAGTGATCTTTGTGAAGGCCTTAAAGCTAAGCCAGTAACATTTAATCTCCACGAATGTCATTCGATGGGATATACTTTATCCTCGGTTGCATAGGCCGTGCTATAAACCTTGCCGAAAAGTCTATGCCACTCAGTGAGCTGGACGCACTCTTTGGGGGGCGCTACGCCAAACCTATTTGAGCAGGCCGTTCTTTTGTAGCGAACACTGAAGTGGTTGAGTAGAACGCGTTTTGGGCGTAACTCATTGCACAGATCCCCGACTGCGGTAGTGCAACTATGTCCATACAACGACGCCTTTTCCTGATGATAATTGGTAAATGTAAATTCATGGAGGAGAAGGTCTGGGTTTCGAAGATCAGTCCGGTCTATGAATTGAAGAAACGTAGCCCCGTCGATGCCTCCGTATGCACGGTCGGCAAGGAGTCTCTTGGCGTCGTTATCACTGCAGAGGATAATCTTCAAACGAGGACACACCGTAGAAAACTTTATTCCCTCAGTTGTCTTCTTGAGCTCCGGAAGCTTGTCCAGAGGAACACCTGAGTCCAAAGCTTTCTTCGTATCAAACACGGAAAACGTGTCTCTCACCATAGCCAATCCATGGCACTCAATTCTGTGTGCAAGCGGAAAGAAAATAAATGACCAAGGTCCATCTGCAGTGATGACGCTCGATAACGTCTGAAATGGAGCAATGGGAATAAGCTTTAGGGGACGCGAAAACCTTTCTGCAAGGTCAGTAAGTGGAAGAGCCACCTCCAAATATTTGACGAGAGCTTGGGGGCCGTAGATCGAAGGAAGGCTGCCTCCACATATCTCTGAGAGCCCAGAAATTAGGGTTAGGAGCCCTGCCATATGATCGGGGTGCATATGCGATATCACAACATAGTGGAGGCAACTCAGCAGAATGTTGTACTGAAGGAGCTTGACATAAGTGCCTTCCGGACAGTCGTAAATGAGGTAGTGCTTAGGGGAATATTCCACCAGGATGCCACATGTTCCACCATTTGCAGTAGGCTTTCCAGATATGCATCCAAGCACAGTAACCTTTGGGATAAACGGAAACATGGATTCAAAATTAAAGTCAGTTTAGAAAGTTTTAAAGTAGGCATCAGCCAAAAGTCGGGGAGCGACCATGCTTAACAATAAGTTTACAGCAAATCAGATCACCGAGTACAACCTCACAAACCTCAAGAAGCTCGTCGAGCAGGGCCTCAAAGGTGTGGATAAGAATCACCCGCACTTCAATCGCGTGAAGATTTGCTGCACGCTGGGCCCGTCTTCGTTCAACGTTGAGGTCATAGCAGGAATGATCAGGGCAGGTGCCGATATTATTCGCATCAACTTCTCTCATGGCAACACAGACGATCATACTCAAATTTTCCACAAAGTCCAGCAGGCAATGCAACTGACCGGCAAGACTGTCGCAATAATGGGGGATATCCAGGGACCGAAGCTCAGGATTGCCGGCTTCTCTAACCCAGACAACTGTATAGAGCTCAAGGAAGGCCAGGAGTTCACTTTGGATCATAACAACGTGAACGGCGATGAGTCCAGGGTGTATCTTCCCCATAAAGAGTTCTTTGCTGTCTGCGAGCCTAACGATGACATCATCCTCAACGACGGCTACATCCGTTTGGTTGCCACGAGCGTTGATCGTCAAGCCATGAGAATCGTCACGAGAGTGAAAACCGGCGGGAAGCTCGGAGCCCGCAAGGGGATAACCATTCCCACGCGCATTCTCCCACTGAGTGGACTATCACCCAAAGATCTGGGAGACATCAGAAATGCATGCAGACTCGGGATGGACTGGATTGCCCTCTCGTTTGTGCAGACTAAGGCTGACGTTATTGAAGCCCGAGATTACATTGCGAAGCTCCACGCAGAAAATCCGGCAAGCTTCTGCCCGCGCGTATGCAGCAAGATTGAAAAGCCCACGGCAGTCCTTGACATCGACGACATTGCACTACTTTCTGACATGCTCATGGTCGCTCGCGGGGACCTGGCTATCGAAACATGCCTATCTAAGGTTTGCTCTATCCAGAAGTACATCTGTGAACGAGCGCGTTATCACGGCTGCCAGGCAATGGTCGCGACGCAGATGGTTGAGTCTCTTATCGAGAACACCGTTCCCACAAGAGCAGAGGTGACAGATGTTGCGTCGGTGTGCTTTGACGGGGCTAATTCTGTGTTGGTCACCGCCGAAACCGCGGCCGGACACGACCCGGTCAACGTTGTCAAGGTCCTCCGTTCAATCCTTACTACCACAGAACAGTCTGAGGCCTTTATCAAGCAGGTTCTGACAGACAACTATATCAACCAACGCACCTCGAAGGAGCACAAGCGTCCTGATTCCATAGCACTGGGGGCGTGTCTACTCGCTCGAGAGCTTGGAGCGAAACTAATCATTGTTTTCTCGAAGAGTGGCAACTCAACTGGTCGTGTTCTTCGTCAACTCCCGCACTGCCCTGTCCTTTGCATCACATCGGAGCAGCGATCCTACCAGTGGCTCCACATGTGCTGGGGATGCCGCCCTGTTCTCCACCCCGGAAACATTGACAGCATGAAGACTCTGATCAGTGTGGCTGACACACATGCGCTTGAATCAGGGCAGGCGGAGCGTGGAGACGCAGTTGTCCTCGTCTTTGGCACGCCGTTCTCTGACGTGAACCGCAAGGGCTGCAACAATATAATGGCGCACGTTGTTGGTGGGGGCTCCTTCAACAACAGTACCGACGTGGAGTACGGTGTTACCCCTCAGTTGGCAGAGCTGACTCCCGTGGTCGGGGATAGTTAACTGATCGGTGATTGTAAACCACTTTGTGATGCTTTTTGAGACGGGAGGTAGTACTGTCGTCAAACCCGGGGGCCAGCGTATCAAGTTCAGAGATCCAGAGACCACCCTGGAATTGAGCTCAAAACTGAAGAAGAAAATCTTTAACCTATTAGTTGTGGTTTGTCCCTGTTCCTAATACAGCCAGATTGAGTTATTCATGCAACTTCCGAGTCAGACCTACAAACAGAATTCATCGACGCATTTACTACCTAAGTGTACATCTACGCTTTGCCTCTGCAGATGAACCACCAGCAGAGGAACCCTACGAGACCAGCCACAACGACGATGACAGCCACGGAGATCCCCGCGATAGCGCCCGCGCTGAGACCGCTCTTGTTGGTGTTCTGTATGAGGTAGCAGAGGACAGACCCTTTATTGTTGGTTGGGGGAGTACAGCTAGCGCAGTTGGCGACGCCGGTGATGGATCCCCCGTCGCTCTTGTCGCATGCTATACACTTTTCTTTGGACAGGTAGTACCCTGCAGCGCACACCGTGCACTTGGTGGCGTCGTCCGCATTGCACTCGGAGCACCCAGTGGCGCAGGGAACACACTTCTTAGTGTTACCACTATCCTTAGCATATCCAGCCTTACACGTGTCGCACTGGTCCTGGCTGGTGCACGTCTTACATCCGGCCGAGCAAGTGATGAGCGCGCCATTATTCAGCTTGTATCCGTCGGCCGGAGTCTGACAGGTATCGCCGGCCGATGCTACCTCCTCACAGACGCTCTTTCCAGGGAGTTTGGTCGTTTCGTAGCAGCCCCCGTTCATGCGGAAGAAGCCCCTTGCACATGTCCCGCACACACCATTGCTCGGTTCTGCCTGGCAGGAGGCTGTGCGGGCCGACTTCTTGACGCACACGCCGTTCTCTGGATACTCCGTGCCCACGTTACAGGCAGAACAGTAGCTTGTCCCGTCTATGTTCAGGTCGCAGCTCTTGCACGTTCCATCCTTGCCGCCGCTCACTGGCTTGCAGCCTGGCTTGCACGTCCCCGTGCCCTCTCCTTCGTAGCTGAGGACCTGCTTAGGCTCGCAGCTCGTGCACCCGTTGGAGTTCCCGTTCGCGCACGTCTTGCACGAGGTATTGCACTTGGCACAGGCGGCTCCGCTCTTGTAGTACCCGTCCTTGCAGGTCTCGCACTGTCCTTGCCCGTTGCACAGGAGGCAGTTCTCGACCTCGCACTTCTTGCAGGCCTTCTTGCCCCCCTCGCTGGTGCCCTCGTAGTAGCCTTCCAGGTGCTCACAACCGTAGATGCACTGGCCCGTGGGCGTGAGGGCCTTGGGGTCTTCGCACTCTGTGCACACCTCCTTGCTTGTCTTCGGCTCACTGCACGTCTTGCAGCCGGGGGTGTTGCACTGGGGGTCGGGCTTCTTCGTGCACCCGGTGCCCGCGTTGTCGGGAACGTAGCCCTCGACGCACTCACAAACGCCATCCTTCTCGGCACTCACCGTCTCCGGGCACTTTGCTATGCACCCCTTCTTGTTTGGCTGGACCTTCTTATTAGACCCGCACGTCTTGCAGGCGACTGCTCCATCGGCGCCCTTCTCGCACGTCGCACACCCGTCGGAGGTCCCCTCGGCGCACGTCTTGCACGTCTTCGGCTCAGTGTCGTCGGGGTAGTGGGTGTTTCCAGTCTTGCACTCAGCTTCGGTGACGCACGTGCCAGTGTCGCTGCCATTATCCTTCTTCAGGTACGGCTTGTCGTCCTTACAGGAGGTGCACTTCGCAGCCTCGGTCTTACAGGTCTTGCAACCAGGATCACACGCCTCACAGGTTTTGGTGCCGCCATTTTTCACGAAGAACCCTTCGGTGCCGGTGCACTCTTCTTCTGTCACGCAGGAGGTGGCTGAGTCCTTGGCTGTCTTGACGATCTTGCTATCGCCGCACGCAGTACACGTGGCGGCCTTGGCGTTAGCATCTGCTGCTTCTGTGGGAGCGTTACACCGAGTGCAGTGCAGCACGCCCTTGTACTTTTTATCGTTTTTAACTGTTATTTCCTCTTCGTCTCCACATGGTATGACCGACTGGTGAGAGGCGTCTGCGCCCGGCGGCACGAAGTATCCTTGCGCGGCTTGTGTGCATACTCCAGCATCTGCCGCCTGACACATGGTCTGTCCGGGCTGCTGGGCTGCTTCGTAACAGCCGCCCTTGTACATGAAAGTCTGCTCGGCGCACTGTCCACAGGTCTGATCAGCTGTATCGCCTCCGGAGCCATCTTTGCACTTATCTGTTGCACCTTCTTTGTCTGCACATTGTCCATTGATAGGAACAAATCCTGTGTTACATCGAGAGCAATACAATTTACCACCGATCAGAACGTTGCATGCGTCTGCTGCGCAATTAGTGTTATCTGCGCAGTGAGCCGCGCGCTCTGTTGCTTTTCCTGCCCATGCAATCTGAGCGAGTACCCCCGCGAGAACAAAACTGCCAAACATTGCCCGATTGATAGATTGGTAGGAACATACTCGCGGTACATCAGTCAATCCGCGTCGATTGATGCAGTTGATTGATCCTTCGGACGCACGTTGACCACAGGCGCTGATGGAATCAACACTCACCGGGTCTATCGCTGACACTACTCTGCAATCTGCAATCTCGGCACAGGGCCAGAAGGAGGTGGATTGAGCCGAACAGAACTGCGACTGTCTCAATGCGTATGTCATACTAGTGCACCTCGTGGCTCCGTTGCAATCTGTACGGATCATCCAGTGCGAATCAAAGCTGCCACACGTGCACTGGGACAGTACGGTCCAGTAGCGGTCCAGAGCTTTCAATGGCTCCATCAACGGCCCACCGACAACTGCAAGGGCGACTCCTGCAGCTCTGCACAACGTGCATCCAAGGCCCAAGAGGCAGTGCACAGCAACGAGCGTCTCTCAGATACGCCAAGAGCCCGTCCCAAGGAGTGCTCAGCCCCAATACCGCTTGGTGTGATTGTGCTGCGTCTCATAAGGCACCTTCTGCAGCAGAGCTAGGGTCCATAACTGCGTTCTCCATTTGAAAAGTCAAAGGGAGCAGGACCGCCCGCCACGAGGAGCCGGCCCCCGGGACGGCTGGGGCGGCACGCCTGTCTGCGGACCCATCCCGGGCTGCTGCGGCGCGCTCCAGGCGTGTGGACACAGCAGCAGCCCAGGGCGCTCCGCCGGTTGCCGCGGCCGAGTCGATGGTCCGGTGGTCTCCCGGCGCCACCGCACCAGCAGGAGGCCGAGCACTGGCCCCCATCCTCGGCTCTGTCTACAGGCCCCTCGCATTGGAGCAGGGACAGGGCCGGAGATACTTTGTCCCTCGGGGCCCGTCTCTGGGGCGCCGCTGCCAGGTGGAGCCTGTCTGAGGCGCATCGTAGTGTGTGATTCTGTTAACACTACACCCAGAAAAGCGTTGACTGCATCTGGTGCATTTCCGGCAGACCTCTGCTATGTTTGACGCTGCCTGGTGGAACGTAGGGGGACACCCGCCATTCTGGCTGTCGGCTGAGAGATCTGGTGGGATTCAACTGTCTTGAGCCCCCTTAACGATTTACTACCCTGTGTGACGAATGGGTGCCTGCACAGTCCTCTGTTGTGCCTGCGGTCGTAAGGATATGACCTGACTTCCTGGTCTCTTCGCTTCCCAGGATCCCAAGCTGCAAAGAGCGGTCCGAGAGAACCGTTGTGTTGCACTAGAGTCAATCCGGGTTAAATTGTTAGCCCTTCGCACCATGCTGCCCCTTGTTCAGCCCCCGAGTCTCGGTTGCTCTCAAAGGCCTTCTTCGGGAGCTAGGGCTGCTGTACGCTGTCATCCTTAACGCAGCCAGAGGTGCCTCATCGTCCCCCTTGCACCGGTAGTCGGGCGCGCTGCAGCACTCACTTGTTGCTTCCCTTATGTGTGGAGACATAGACTCTCGTCTTCGACTGTCGCAGCGCATGTATCCGAGCAAGATTGGCACACTCGCCCCGTTCACGCACCACAGCCTCGGTGCGATAAGGGACACTTATCTACCGGCCTTTCAGCTGCTCGCTCCACCTGAGCAGTGCAGCAGTTGTCTTCTGCAGGGCAACAGGCACGTCTGCTCGGACAGCTTAGCTAGTAAAGCGACCAGTTTCTCTGCTGTGTGCCTAGCTCACATGCTCTGTGTTCCTCGGATATCACAAGTGAATCAACATTACTTTGAGGCGCATAACTGTGAGATATCCATCTTCGTACTTGGATTGTTGCTCTCTATAAGCTCTAGTGATTTCTGTGCTGCACGTATTGACGAGAAACGTGGTTACTCGTTACTATTGTATCAATACGTACAGAGGGCATGCTTCTGAAGGAACCACACTTCTAGTCTATAAATCTACCGAGTTCTGTAAGTACATATAGCTATACTTCGTTGGAAAGTTAGATTATTGGTGAACGCTTTTTTATGCATTAAGCTAGATATTTTTCAGTAGGTCAATACTTTGCTAATAAGGTTGGTGTTACTGAGAAACGAGAGAACGGCGGCTTAAGATCGTTTCTGTAGGAATCTGATCTGGGTTTCTAGTTCCGACGCAACGTGAGGCTCTAGAACCTTGAGTAGGTCACTCACCTCTTGGGAGAAAGTACGGCTATACAGCAAAATTGCCAGATCACTGCATAGTTTCTGAACTCTCTTTTGGTCGCTTTTCTGTACCAACTGTACATCACGCAGAAGAGTTTTTAGCTGCTTGTATCTTACTTCCGTAAGCCTTCCCTTGAACTTCGTCAGTAGCTGATAAGTAGCCGATGATGTTTCATCCAAGATTGCAGTAGAATGTTCCGTAGCCTTTTTAATCTTCAATGGATTGGAAAACTCTTGCATCAAAAGGCCCAATTCGTCCTTTGTTTTAAATATTGGCTCTTCTAGCTTTCTTGTAGTTGACATCCTGTCAAATGGATTACTACCTTTCGCACTTTCTGGGGACGAAGACAATGTGCGCTTAGAGTAAAAGGCGCGTGTTTCTGCAAATATTTTCTCCGTTTGTACGCCTGTCCCAGCCAGTTCTGTAGAAACAAGTTGATCAGCCAGCCATCCGGAGAGCTGCTTTCTGCTTATCTCTATGGAGTACCTTTGATCTAGGAGGAACATGCATCCGTAGTCGTCTTTGTGTCGTAGGACACGGCCTAACGCCTGGTTGACACTCCTATATGCGTGTACAGAATACCAGTCACCTCCCTTCAGAACAGAGTGCTTGTCAAGCCAATCCATTTTTGCCTTAAGCAGAGGGTCAGAGATGTTTGGATAGGGGAGTGATATGACAAGGGCGCATCTGCAGTAGTTGTTGCTGAAGTCAATTCCTTCAGCTAGTTTTCCGCGGCAAATCACAAAAAGTATCGGGGATCGTCCTGCGTCACAGCTATCCCTGTACTTCTTTATCACTGCGTTACAATCTTGCTGCCTCAATGGTTCGACAAACAGGTCACGAGGATCTCCATGGGTGCTAGACTTAAGCTCTGCTTCAGTACCGTCCGCTTTCCAAGAATCCAGAACCTGCGCCATATACTTGTATGATGGAAAGAACACCAGGGTTCCTCCCACCACACCACGTACGCATGCTTGGAGAGCATACCCTAACTGTTTCTGATATGACTTGCTTTCCCTATTTTTATATATACCCAATAACGGAGTTCCTGTTATAGCCGTGATAGCCCTAAATAAGTAATTACTGGGTGGCACTATGTGAGGACATGATACAGATATGCCAAAAGACAATCCAAGCTCTGCTTGGAGCGCCGAGAAGGGCGCTAGGGTTCCACTTGTCAAGACGAGAGAATGCACACTCTCCCCTAGGACTATGGTTTTGAGGATGGATTTTGGAGTCATACAGAGTAGGTGCACTTGCCATCCAGCCTGGCTAGATATGGCCGGCACTGTAGTAGCCGAATGCTTCCTTATGACGTTATTCAAAACTTCACTCATTCTACATGCAGATTTGGGCTTAGCTGGTTTAGAAATAGTGTCATTTTCTTTCTGTTTGGATACAACAAAGCAAAATTCAGATCCTGTTTGAGAGTAGACCATGATGTCACTGATTGCCAATATGAAATCACTTGCTTCTAGTAAATGTAAGGGCTTGTCTGCATACTCTGGCGCTAGGCCTGGGTTACATTGGATGAGGATGGATAGGGTGTCAATTAACAGGGAGAACTGCTGCTGTTTCTTGCGTAAAGTTTGGACCGCATCTGTATGAGTTGCTATAGGCTTTGACGAAAGATAGAATCTGGCAGTTTCGATATCGGTTGCCGCTCTAGAGACACGTGTTGACGGTGCACTATGGTCACCAGACTCGAAGTCTGTGGCCAAGAGCAGCTCATAAACTTTTTTAGAAAGATCGTGAACGGCAAAGCTGAAGGGCGCATTCCCACTTATCTCTGCAAGCTTGTCTACAAAGTATTTTGAAACGAGGTTAATCAAATTGAATATCACATCAATGTCTGATTGCGGCGGCAGAGCATCCGATAAGCTGTAGAGGCGTGTCACTGACTGCCGAATAAGTTTTGTTTTGGGCTCATGGAGCCCTGTGTAGGAGGTGGCGGGTCCACAAGGATTAGTCTTTGAAAGCCAATTTCCCTCTAACTCTATTGTTGCAGCCTTATTACCGGGTCCCATCCGCTGTGCTGCTGCTACCTTCTGTAAGTACTGAATTTCCTCGGAGGCCTTCAAAAGAGCGTCAGTAGTAACACTGCCAGAAAAAGTATCACAGCATGCTTGGCCGATATTGTGACCTTCATCTACAAGGAGTATGCTATTTCGAAGCATAGAAGAAAGCTCGGATGTCCTGTTCTTACTGGAGAGTATATAGTTATAAGGGGCAGTAACCACCCTAGCCTGTGGCACGAGAGCTCTTCCCAAATAGTATGGACACCTTGATTCGTTCTTACAGTATCCCAGGAAGTCTTCTAAATCATCCAATCGCCCATTACTATTCTCACAGTAATACTCCCTGTATTTCTGTGCAAGATCATCACTATCTCCGTCACTAGAGTAATATCTACACTGTCTGTCGTCGCAAAGTTTCTTGCATGCCATACCTAGTGTGATATTTGCAGCTGCAGCATAAGTGTGTGCTCTTTCGTTTATGCAGAATATACGGCGGCTTCCTAGCATGGCGATAGGCCATAATAAGAAAGATCTGCTGTCACCTGATGCATCAGAGATGGTCACATGCTTCTTTAGTTGTCTTATGGCCTGTTCTATCTGTGCATGGGTCCTGGCAGCATAAAGAATCTTGGGTGGAGGTCGTTCTGCTACCCACCTAGCTGTATCATTGAGCCTTATATTTTTGAGCTTGCTATCTATGATGACACTGTCTCGAAAGTCTAACGTTTGATCTGTCCACTCTAAAAGCTTACCCACGTCTGGCGGCATTAGCGGTGCACTGCTAGATAACGTAGGTGCTCCAGTAGGCTCTGCTATGATTGCTCCAGCTTTGCACTTCTTCAAAAGCGAGGTTACTAGACTTAGAAAGCTAATACATTGTTCCTGATAAGCTATTGCGGGAATAAGCAGAGAAAGTGTCTTTCCGGTGCCTGTCGGGCTTTCCAACAAGGCATTTTCCTTCTTATTCAGGGCCGTAATAAGGGAACTCATATACTCTATCTGCGAGGGATATGGCTCAAACGGAAACTGGAAGTGAACACCCTTAATTTTTAGCATAGCGGCCATCCGCTAAGGCTATCGACGGGATTAATAGTAGGGGGATTTGAAAGTGCCACAAAATGATCCTCACTGAGTTTTTATTTCTGACGGAGGCAAAGGGTTAGGCAGAAATGAATGCTATCCCCCATGCTCTCGAAATACTGTATACTGATACACGGATAGATGGCAGAGGGATTGGTGAGACGAGAGACATCTCCCTTTCGTTCTTTACTGCGAGGGGGTCTGTACTGGTTGAAAAGGGGAAAACGAAGGTCGCTGCGTCTTCCAAGCTGGCAATTCTATCTGGGAAACAGCTCAGAAGCGGTCGTATTACTGTCACGTGCAATCTCCCTTCCGAATTAAAGGAGACCATAGAGCATGTGAATCTCGCAGACCTACTGAATAACACCTTCGCAAGCGACCAGGTCGTCCCTAAGGATACTCTCGTTATAATACCTGGCGCCATGTACTTCGTCATTCGCTGCTCAGTCGAGGTCCTCCAAGACGACGGCGGACTTCGGGATGCGTGCATCATTGCAGCTGGCACAAGCATCTATCACATGGGGATCCCTAATGTGCAGGCCTACCGCGGATCCAGCATTGACACGTGCAACAAGAAACAGGTTGAAGAGTTTACCACGCACATCATGGGGTTACCGAGGGACGAACTGGTCACCATGAGATATATACCGCTCTCTGTTACATTTGGACACTTGGATAAAAGAAGAATAGGACTCTATCAGCTCTCTTCAGCTGCAAACATGGAAGATATCTCTGATAGAGGCGAGGACGAACACAAGCAAGGGGCTGGCATTCAGCACGACTACCTCATAGACTGCTGCCGGGAGGAGCTAGAGCTCTGTGCAGGCTGCACAACCATAGTCCTCGATAAGTCAGGGCTCACCAACGGGCTCTATAAACTGGCAGGCACACCGATCAGCCCCTATGATTTGGTGCAGATGACAGTGGAGGCCCACGAAGCCATTCGACATGCATCTACAGACATAGAAGCCGCCGTCATTGCAGATGTAGACGCCAGAAAGAAGGAGCTAGTGACAAAGGTCAAGGGCTATTAAGGGGAGCATGAGTAAAGCATCTGTAAGTGTCTTAAGAGTCCTCTTCTAGGCTCCGGCCTGTAGTATATGATGAGCTATAAGTAGAATATGAAAGCGACGACGAAGTTGACTGCGGATTTAGGGATATTACAACTTCCTCAAAGTTGCTCAAGCCAAGAGGCTCTGCAGTCCTCAATTTGCTCACAAGCTTCAGAATCTGGGTCTGTTGGGTCTCTACCCGTTCGATAGCTGCCTGTATCAAGCTGAGAGTATCCTCACGCATCAATATTTCTTTATTTATTGAGTCTTTGCACGGTGTCCAGAGTGGAGGAGTCAGGATGACTCGGCGTACTACTTAAGTTTTCGCGCTCGCGCTCACGTTCTCTTCTTGCAACCTCCTCCTCATACTCTCGTGTCAAGAGCATCTCCTCTTCGTTAGCAGCGGGCTCTGATTGCACATCTTCATAAAGAGCTTTCAAGTCTGAATATAGCGCCCTCCGACTACACCTCTCTAACCGCTCTTCACAAAGCTGTCTGATGTTATAGCATGTCAGCTGTGTACACATACAACGCATCTGCTTGAGCAAAGCCATGCATGCATCTGAAATCTCAGAGACGGAGTCATCGATGTGCAGCACTAGCAACTTAAGAAGCTCCTTATTTGCAATCACCAATACATTTGTTTGGCCAGGACGTGCCATCTTCTTGGGGCTTTTCATTGCTTCTTCGTGATGAAAAGATAAGATCTCCCCGCAGAGATGCAGCGAGTCCACAGTAATTCTGCTGACACAATCATTCACCCGCTGAACTAGCTGATACAATAGTTCAAGGGTGCGGACATAGTCAACATATCTATACACCCCTTTAAGGATATCGAGGGCAGCGATGCGGCAGCCAGGCGTATCTGCATCTAAGTTACTGACAATTCTGCCTAGGAGTGTCCCGTGACAATCTTTGTGAGCCTGACCAAGAAGGTTAAAGGACTCAATGGTAAGGCTACTCGTCATGGAGGCGAGTGCACGTAGAAGGTACTCCAGACACTCTGGTGTTCTCGCACCAAACTGCCATGTAGACACAAGTAGGATCTGCGCAAAGAAATATCGCATGTTAGGATTGCTCATCGACAGAGTACGTGTCAAGCAAGAGACAACTAGATACACACAACGACAAGCAGCAGTACGTATGCACGTAGGATAATCAGTCTTATTGGTTAAACGCATAAGTTGAACGAAGAGCCTCCTCATGGTGCTCTCGACTTCTGGAGGCAGTTGATAGCCAGCAGAAATAAATGAAAGCATCATTCTCATCAGGAAGCTCATGCGCTTCTCTAAGTCGTAAGATGTGGGGTCAAGATTTATAAGGTCAAAGCTCTTGGTGAAATAGGCGGATAAAATGGTGTTATCGATGCACTTCCTCCCAAAATAAGCCTTAAGTAGTTCTGTTATTGTCCTGGATTCATATCTATTAAGATCTACCTCAAGAGAAGCTGCCGATGTCTTGTGACGCTGATCGAGGCTGCGTTTGGCTGTTCCGTATGGGGATTCCAGCGCTGCTGCAATGGCGTTGTCAGGTATCGACTTGGACTCCGCTGAAACTATACAGATAGTTAGCTTCGCCAGGAGGTCTGAGACGTCAGAAGCATCTTTTCCCTCTCCTACTTCTCGTAAACTGGCCTCAAAGGCCTCACTGGTACTATTGTTGCAAAGAAGAATTACGTACTTCACGATGGAATAGATTGAGCCTTGAAAGCAGCTCTGCACATATGCATCATCGTTGTAAAGGACGTTATCCTTCAATAGGATCTCATTGATGACTTTAACTATGTACCCTATGTCTAAGTTATGTTCTTTTATGGTGTACTGTATGCCTTCCAGGATAAAAAACGTTCTAATATCAATAAACTTTTTAACGAGGGTCAGTAGCCCCCCTAGCTGTCGAACACTCAACTGGCTTCGTCGGTAAAAGCTCAGGATAAAGCAAATGATCTCTTGTGGAATGAGGAATGAAAAAACAAGATCCATGATGTGGTCCAGTTGCTCCTGCACGTTATTCCGGATCCTTTCGCCTACAAAAAATGATATCAATTGCTCCAGAATGCTTGGGGAATAACGAATATTGTTATGCTCATTAGTTATTAAAAGCATGGCAAGCATATCACATGCCTTGGATCTGTAGCCGTCATTTGACCCCGTAATATCAGCCAGAACAGCTTTGATGACTTTAACAGCTGTCTTTTCCGCAAGGCACCTACAGCCGAGTCCTAAACGCAGCAGCGGATGGCACGACTCTAGAGACTCTATGCTCTCAGACCCCGAAATCAATCTAGCGACATTTTCTAGGTAATTACGTGGAGCCACTCGTTGGAGAAACTTATTATAACCAACGATGACAGGGGGCTGGTTAAGCTCTTTGGAGAGTCTTAGATCATCTTTATGCTCGCGCTCATACGTCTCTCCACAAGCTATGAAGAGATCAAATACCTCTTTGTTAATGTCCTTGTCTAATGCCAAGGACAAAAGAATCCCACAGAAAAAGTCCAAGTAGACGTGCCGATCAATATGTTCGTCAAGCCATACAGCAGCCATGGTGGCTACTGACCGGCGCACATTAAAATTAGAATCATTAACAAACAGGGAGACGTATGGGGCCACAAGAGTGGCTATGTCTTCTGATGCTGGGGAAAGATGGATGCTGCATAGAGTATCGATGGTGGTCATGCGGACGGTGTAAACCGTGTGCCTATAGTTTTCTAGCATCGCAACTGTGACATCGCGAACTATCTCTTTATTCCAGAGATGGCTTCTCTTTTGATACGTTTTGGAGAGCTTGAACAAGCACTTGTTGATTATTATGCGATTGTCGGGTGCCTGGTCTTTCATCTGGGCCTTGAGAATTTCTGTGACCTCCTTAAAGAAAAGTGACAGGCTTTCGATCAAAGAGGGATTGCTCTCATTGCAGGTGTGAATGATCCGAAGCAGCAGCTTCAAAAGGAGCAGCCGAACAACCTCGGATTTTTCTACTTCTGTGACTGGTGCGCAGGCGAGGATGGTATAAATCTCATGGATTGCACGTGGAAGGATAGCATCCAGACAACTAAGGTTGGAAAAGCTCCCCCTGACAATCTCTATAACGCAAAGACGCATGGCTTCAGAAGGATCGCGAAAGCGAGTGAGGTATGCACCAAGAATACTACGCTCCTGTTCCGGGGCCAGAGATCCGCCGTTAAGTGCTAGCTGAAGTTGCACCGCAGCTTCCTCACGCACCTTGCGGGACGAAGCTTCGAGCATTGTGCGAATATTGCGCTCCAGAAGGTCGGCACCATCCATTTTAAGTACAATTTTTTGTTTTAAGGGTATGTCTTGCAATCGTAAGCTGATCCTGCAGCCCGATGCTGCTGGTTGTTGGCGACACTTGGAAGGCTGTACTCGCTCCAGTGCAACTGATACGCATATCTTGTTCTTTTCTGAGCTGCAGGTCTCAGGGTTTTCAATCTCTCAACTATTCTTAGCCCTTTCACAGCGAACAGTCCTTGAACCCTTTTTGCAGCTGAGCGGCCGCAATATATTGAACGCTCAAATGTTCGCCCAAAACATACTCATTTTATCATATACTAGCCAAGCACCCTTTCTCAGTATCTATAATTCTAGCACCAATGAATACACATACTCCGGAGTAGCTCGCGTTCAGATGTTTACCGAGGAGAGCTGCAGTCGTTGCCTGAATGCCCCTGGCTCACTGCTTATGCTAGACAGTTACGTCATTTTTAGCTTCAGCAGGAGCTCTCCGCTGTTTGCTTGTGAGGTGACTAAGATTGGTGATCTGGATGCATACTTCCAACTTGGGCGTAGTGGAATTTGCATCTCAATCACTGATAGGCACCAATTATGGATCTTTGAGCACAGCTTTTTATACATTCATAGTACGAGCAATCTTCTCAGATTGATAGGTAAACAGGACATAGGAAGTTACGAAGTACGTGGCAAGGCCCTGAAGGAGCTGGTTTTGCCCCCAGTTACCATAGAAAAGTGTATGAAATTGCACAGACTAGATTACGGGAATTGTCGCGAAAGTCTAATCATCAGTCTCACAAGCAAGTGCTGCTTTGAGCTTGACGTCGAGAAGAAACAACTAACTCCACTTACCCCGTTGTTGACGAGGGGCAGCTCGTCCTCCGATTACTACACTGGTGCAACACAGTTCCTGTTTTACTTTCGAGAAACAATGGACAGCAGGTGCGTCTTACACGGCTTACGCTTTGCGCTGGGTAATGATCTCTCAGGGGCAATTGACGTGCCAGTTGGTTATTACCTTTGCATCTCTGAAACCGGCCATCAACACAGCAACCAGCGCCAGCTTCGATCGCTGAAAGACATGCTACACGAGGCCATCCTCGACAGGGGGCTTCAAGAGGCCATAGAAGCATGTAGACCAGACTCAGGTGTAAGCATGCCTCCCACACAGAAGGCGAATCTCTTGCGTACTATTATCTCTAGGGTTGCGCAGGAATATACATGTGATCAAAGCAAACCTACTCTTAGAGCGACGGAGATGGAGCAAAAGCTCAGAGCATTGCTCCATAGGTACGTGGAGCGAAAGCTCCGCAGACCCTGCCACGCAGGTCAGCATATAACAACAAGAGGAGTGTATATAGGTACTATAGGCACTTCTAACCATACAGACGGCAAATCAGAGTCAATACACGCACATGTTTCTGCACACATAACTACTAGGACATGCACATGTGCTGAATTGGCTTTAGCGCAACGTGCATATAAGCAGTCATTATGCTGTTTGTCCAAAGATATTTGTAGAGTCGGGTTCACACACATAGCGTCTCCCTGTACCCACTTCCTGACTCCAAAGCCAGCTCTCTGGTCTAGTATGATCACTGCTTGTAATATCATTACCCATGCTGGATTAAGTGTTCTCGTAGTACTGTGCCAGTATAGCCTCTATGTATATCTTCTGTAGCATATGCAAGCCAGAAGCCTCTTCTCCTCATTGGTAAGCGAGAAGGACATTGTGTCACTTTCTTGATGAGCACTCATCTTTAGCAAATTTACCGTTGGAGCCTGTGCGTACCCGTGCCTTAACAGCCGTGCATGCATAGGTCATCGCACTCACATTTACATCTAATGAGACATGGATGAGCGCATCCCTGCCTTATGCTTATTCGGGGCGTTGAGGATTAACTCGGTAACTTTAAAGGTAGATGCAATACTAATTCCAGACCCTTTTCCTTCTGACTCCGCCCCACTCTCATAATCTTTTAGCTCGGGGCTGTTAAAGATGTCAGTGAGCAGACTTTTCACACTATTTACGGTCTTCTGCTTGGAGTTGCTTCCACCATAACTGCTGAACCAGATCTCAAACGTAACGGTGCCCTCCTTTGACACCTTGCAATATATGCCGTTAATTGCCCGACTGGATTGCTCAGAAGGGCTCTTCTCAAAGGCTGATGAAAGAATGAGGGCAAGCAACAGCTTCCACAGATCTGTTATCTTCTCTACCTCTAGTACTGGCGTAGGAGTTTGAGACTTTTGAGATGTATACTTACCCGAGTTAGGGGCGGACCCCATAAACCTCTTCTGGGTATCCTGGCGTTCCTGATCGTTATTCTCACCATGAATCTCGCTCTCTCTGTGTACGCCCTTCTTGCAACACATAAAACGTAATATGGTGCCTCCCTCATTTTTAGGGTCTTCCCATAGGTTTTCAATGTTATCGCGGAACAGGGAGATGGACCCCTGGACCATTTCCTGAATGGAAGGAATTGTATTCAAGTAGCAAAGCAGTTTGTCGAGATCAGATGTGTAGTCACAAATACGGAGGGTAGACGTTCTAAAGTCGTTTACCTTATAACTCTGCTTTTCACGGCGGAGGTTGACGTGGAAGGACAAAGACCATTCAGAGGGTGTTCGAGGCCCCGACTCCTCCATTTTAATTTTTCTTTTCATTTCTCTAAATGATTGCATTACTGGGTCGGGACGAGAATAGCAGCCCTGAGGGGGGTTCCAGAGAAGCCACTAATGTGGATAACATCAGGGAACAGCTGCAGGCCGTGCTCATGGACCAAGGGCTCCTAGAGCAGACCAAGAAGCTGCCCATTGTGGTGGACGTTAGCGAGTCAGCAACCGAAGATCCTCTCAAGAAGATTCACCATTCTGTTGTTTTCCCACACGGATATGAGATCCCCAGAGATCCTGCCAACAAGATTTATACCTGTGAACCTCCGGCGGAGTTACCGGTCAAGTTTCCGTACGAGCTCGATCCCTTCCAGCGTCGAGCTATTGGTGCCCTACATATCGGTCACTCTGTTCTTGTTGCAGCTCACACCAGTGCAGGAAAGACGACCGTGGCAGAGTACATTATTGCAACGGCACTAGCTCAAAATCAACGTGTGGTTTATACTACCCCAATAAAGGCTTTATCAAACCAAAAGTACCAGGACCTAAAGCTTGCAGCATACACCAAGGGGTCTGTTGGTATCATGACTGGGGACACCACCCTGAATAGAACGGCTGGGGTCTTGGTTATGACCACTGAGATACTGCGTAATATGCTACATCAAGGTGCAGAACTCCTGAGAGAGATAGGATATGTTATTTTTGATGAAGTTCATTACATGCGGAACAGCGAGCGTGGCTTGGTTTGGGAAGACTGTATTGCCATGCTCAGTTCTAACATTCAGTTCTGTTTCCTCTCGGCGACGGTGCCCAATGCATCCGAGTTTGCTGGGTGGGTGGCGTCTCTACACTCCATACCGGTGCACGTGGTGTACACCCAATATCGCCCAGTACCCCTTATGCACTTCCTTTGTCCAGTAGGAGGAGATGGCCTGTACCCTATTTGTTCATCTATTGACAAAAATAAAATCAGACATGATCAGGTTATAAAAGCAAAAGCAAATCTCCCTCATGATAATGCTCAAGCAGTAGCTCGCGGGGAAGAAGAAGGAACCAGCGGCCACTCAAACAAGAAGCAGCAGCAGAAGGCCGTTCGCGATACTCTTCATAAAGTAATGAAAAACCTCATAGCACGAGATTGCTTCCCCCTTATTGTGTTTGCCTTTGGGAAAAAGAAATGTGAGACGTACGCCATGGACTTTATCAGTGACTACTTTAATAATGGGCAAAGAGCCACCTCCCGGCCACCCTTGCAGCGGACTTACGGTGAAGAACCCCAGGCATTGATTCCACAGGATAACCAGCAGGCCACTCAAGCGCAGCCTCCCGTTATACAGAGCTTGGTGACTCCTGAACAAACACGTGTTATAGATAATATATTTGACGCAGCGCTCAAGTGCCTTCCAGAAGAAGATCGCAACTTAAGACCTATTGTCGTTCTTCGTGGCATGTTACGACGAGGAATCGCAGTCCACCATTCAGGGTTACTTCCCTGGGCAAAGGAGATTATAGAAATACTGTTTGTTGAGGGGCTAGTGAAGATTCTGTATGCGACCGAAACATTCGCTATGGGCCTGAATCTTCCTGCTCGTGCGATTATTTTTTCTGAATTTAAAAAGTTCGACGGATTGACTTCCAGATTAGTGACTGCTGGTGAGTATGTTCAGATGGCTGGTCGCGCTGGCCGGCGAGGAATAGACAAACAGGGCATGTCAATATGCATGTTCAGCACAGCAGACGAATGTGACAACATTGTAAAGGTAATTCAAGGAACCACTGAACCACTAAACAGTGCATATAGACTCTCTTTTAATAGTGTCCTTAAATTGATGCAAATAGAAGATACCTCTCCTGAGCAGGTGATTAAGCGGTCGTTCTTGCAGTTCCAGCAGTTATTTAGGTTGCCGCGCTGCATAGACAAGATCCTTGCACTAGAGAATGCCAATGCCGTAGATAAAACGCAACTGGGCAGACTTTTACTAAGCATACTTAATGTCCTGCATAGAGCCTTCGGAGAGTATGAGCAGCTCGCTCAATTCTTTGGTCCAGATATGCTTCAGTCACTTGCAAACCTAGCATCTTGGGATGCTCAAAGGTTATACGGTCTCTTGACTGAGTATGTTAATCTCTTTGCACTCAAGACTAGTTACTATGTGGATTGGTCTCGTTTGTTGTCCCAAGACTCTATGAAGCAGTTATTAGTTCGCGGACGAATAGTTCATGTGCATGCCGATGGGTTGGACCTGGGGTGGGTACCAGTCCTGAAAGTTACAAGACTAGGCTCTGACAGCTTTGTGGATTGTTTGGTTCCCTGTTCTCTCGGCTCCGTCCCGGCGAAGTACACTAATGCTTCAGAAACACACTTAATTGCGTTTAGCGACACCGTCCCTTCTTCGCTTAGCTCGAGAGGAGTTGATAAAGAGCTTGCCCACGCTGCACTAATTAACAAGCCATACTATCAAGAATATATGTCGACCTTGCAAAAGCAGGATAGCCCAGCTGATGCCCAAGACGCATCTGCTGACGAGAGTCAACCCCCTGTAAAAAGGAGGCCACTTCGAAAGGTAGGTTCCAAACCAGTCGAAAAGCAGAAAGTGTCACATGCAGATATAAATGACCTCATTTACGCTAATGACTCCTCAGAGTCCATCACCCCACAAAATCTTTATGAGTACTCGTTCATTGATCCTCTCCAGCCATTCGTGCGTGAAAACAAGGCGTCCTATCAGATGCTTGCTCCTCGAGACGTCCTTCTCAGTGTCCTGACAGCAATCGACAAGTGTGGGGCATCGTCTAAGAAGAAGCAGATGAAAGGAAAGCTGCATGAACATCTCTGGAGCGAAATAGAAGCAACAGCTTGTGTAATTGTTCGCGTTCCGGTGAGAGCAATCCGAAGGGCTTCTGGAAAGATATTAAAGACCATACCGGAAAGCCTTTCTAGGTATGATGATAAGTCCGAGGCAATGTTTTTCTATTATCAAATGATAGCCTCTCTCATACCATCAGACGAATCTCACAGCTTCCCCTCTACTCTAGCTGATCTTATGGAGCCGCACGTTAACCTTTCTGAGTTGGCCTATGCCGACGTTACATCAGAGGTTAACGATCTAGACTGTAACATAAAGTTAGTTGAACATGCTATCACTTGCGACAACGAATATGGGATTCTGACGCGTATACTCTCATCACCAGCACACAGTGCGCCCACTCTACATAGAGTGCTTAATGCCGTGTGCTCTCCTGCAATTTATGCTAAGATTTCGACGCGCATGGAAGACACCAACGAGCAGGCATTAAAAGAAGAACAGCTGATTGTTTATCAAATGGTGAAGGAATACATCGATAACTCTCCACATGATGAGGATGCCTCCGGTCAGCTGGAGGTATCGGGTATGATTTTTTCTCTCATGCTCAATTGTATGAGACGAGATGCCAAAAAGCAGATATTTAAGCAATATATCCAAGAAGCCGACGACCTTATACTGAGCTCAGAGCTGGTAAAGTTGAAAAACTTCTTGCGCCGTGAACACTTCATAGAAGAAATTCCTGGGGCCACAGATAGCGAAGCTGCATACCTTCTCACAGACAAGGGGCGTGTTGCATGTCATGTTAGCTCTGCAAATGAGGTAATACTCGTTGAGTGTCTGTTTGAGGCCCAATTCACTGACCTAACTCCACGAGTCCTCGCTGGCGTCTTGGCCTCCCTTCTCGGAGAGGGAACTGGAGCATCGGGATCATCGAAGAGTAACCAACTCCAGATGGACCCGAAGCTGTCTCAAGCGTTGACGAAGCTAAAACAGATTGTATCTATGTTGCTAAAGGATTGTGCAACAGAGGACACAACGTTAGAGTTGCGCTGCACAACAGTTGATCACATCGTGGACGACACCACAGCGGTAATTGCTTTTTCATGGGCGGCAGGTCAGACATTTCAGGAGATCCTCGACATAGACCGGAGCCAATTCGAAGGGAACATAGTAAGGATGTTCAGGCGTCTAATAAACCTTGTCGACCAGCTAATAATCGCGGTGGAAGTCATTGGGGACGAGCGTTTGAAGGCACGGTTAACTGCTGTCCACGATGCAATATTCCGTGACATTATCAAGGTCAATAGCTTATATGTGGTAGCAGAAGATGACGTCTAGTGACTAAAGTCGGTTCCGGAGAGCCCTGTTCATGTATTGGCAGCTGTCTATGATGCAGTGCAACAAGCCCTTGTTGTAGCCCATGGCTCGAAACTTCCCATATGGTCTCAGTATCTGGAGAAGAACATCAGCTATCAGTGAAAACACAAATGGAAGAAGGCGAAGGCCTCTCTTTCCGAGTTCTGTGAAGCTCATGATGATCGCCAGAACGTTGGACGTGAAAAGCTTAATCCACACGTCTGCCTCGTAGAAAACATATTTATCAGTAAACGTCTGATTGAGGTTATTCCAGGGCTCGTCTATAAGGAGAGGGCGTAACTCGTAAATTCCAGAGTAGCGGGCTTTCATGCACTCTCCAGTCCAGACAGTCAATAGAAAAGTAATAAACTGGAATATTGGGAGCATGTTCTTGATTACCAAGAGGTAGCGAAAGATGAAGATAAGTCCTAGAATGAGAAGAGAGATATACCTGATGAGGTAAAGGGGGCGAAGCAGATAGATCACTGTTCTGTGCCAGCGCTGGGCCTGTAGGGTCAGGATTCTCCAGCCACGAAGAAGCGGCGCCGGAACTAGAATTATCATTAACAATTTACTTCTCATGGTGCAGATTGCTTCTAATACAATTAGACTTTGATTTAAATACTGAGGTTTTTAGATAGCTACGCTCCGTACGGTGAAGATCAAGCGTCGATAAATGTTGACTCCTTGGGAAGAGGTATCTTGAGTATGAGGCGAGTTCCGCCGTTCTTGCACGAGCTTACGTTAATAATACCGCCGTAGGCACGAGTAATGAGGATGGCACGGGCAAGACCCGACCCAAGGCACTGTGAGATATCTGCCAGCTCCTGCTGGTGGAAGAAAGCATGCTGCCAGCACTGCTTGGGAAGACCTATTCCACAATCATTGACCACAAGGTACAGCGACTCTTGGCAGTTAAATAGGGCAGCACGGACAATTGAGGGCTTAGAGTATTGCCTTGCATTGACAACCAGATCGAGGAGAATCTCGAGGAAGATGTGCGGCATGAACACATGTTCTTCAAAGCTCATTCGATTGACGTAGACACCCGTATCTATACAGAGAGCCTGAAGAGTGCTATTGCCACCTGTATCAGCAAAGCCCTCTGTACAGGCCTGCCTCTGTGCATTTTCCATTGCTTCATAGTCTTGACGTGTAATTGTCGGAAACAAGGGTCTGGTGCCTGTGGTGCAGCTCTTCATTGCTAGAGGCCTTTTCTCTGCATCGTTGGGATGCTCCGGTTCGCTGTTGTTATCCTGTTCAGTAATGAGTGGTGCAGGTAGCGACGGTTGACTTACAAGAGTACTGATGGTGAAACAATGAACATCTGTCAACGCCTTACTGTCCATCTCTGAGCTGGCAAGCTGAAAGTCATAGCCGTTCAAGTCGTTAGTCCCAGTCTGCTGCTCTGACGACATATCCATGTTGCTAGTTACAGGCTCTATTTGGAAAGTACTTAGTCCTTCGATGCTATTCTCCTCATTGACAGCCGCAATTTGATAATCATCAAGTTTTACAGAGGGAGTAGACACATTCTCGAATGGTTGCTCCACTGGAGCCTGTGGAGAAGGTTCTGACATGTGCCCAATGGCTGACCGAGGATATAGTGCAAACATGTTAGCCGCAGAGACAGACTTTCTGCGAAGCACAGAATGAGATATGTTGCTGGACCCCACTCGTTTCAAGTTTGCTTGCGAGTTGATGGAGATTGCCGCCGTAGAAAGTATGCTAGGCATAACCTTTGCGTCACTATCAATCTGAAGTGGCTTTATCTTGACAGAGTCCTGGGTCTGTACAATGACCTCATCCATCTGGGCCTGTGGCCGCTCTATCTTGTCCGTCTCAATTAACCAATTGGCAAGATAGTTTTGGTCTCCTGGGACCAAACTATCTTTGAAGTCGGCTCTATTGCCTTCAACAGAATTGGCATACAGAAAAGTGAAGTAATCGCCTGTGGGAGCGTTGCGAGAAAAACGGTATATTGACACAGGCTTACCCATGTCCCCCATTGCGGGCATGCAGGTGTTCAAGATCTTATACCCTGAAGGAATGTTATATCCGTCATCCGATGAGCTGTGGCCGCTTTGCTTAAAGTCAGAGCAGTCGTTACCATAGATCTCCTTGCCACCCACATTCATGGTGGCTGGGGCGTTGTCAGCATTAAAGACATCCTTATTTTTAATTTCTAAGAGATCGAAGAGGGACTTCAGCCTAAGCTCAACCTTTCCATTGGCCTTTCTAGAACAAACTTGGGCTCTCGTCACATCCAGATCTCCTTCATATTTATTAATCTCATCATCGTGGTGTTGAGTACTTCGCCGGATGATATACCCTTGTCGCTCTTTCGTGCTGTGGCGAATACCCACAAGGGGAGATCGCTCAGCTGCATCTAGACCAATATTAACCCATAGATCGTGGACGTTTTGCCGCAGCTTGACTGTCTCCTTTATTGTCTTTGGAAGCCTGCTGTGTGCGACGGTATTCTGAAGCGAGCGAGGCTCATAGACAATGTTCTCATTGCAATAAAGCCGCACCTGAGGCGCATCAGTTCCGTATGACGACGTAGTGGATCTCACGTTTATAATCTTCGCGATCCCCTGCAGGAAGTGGGCTACGTCAATAATGCTCAGAATAACCCAGCCTTTATTGGGATTCAGACCAGATGCATTTAGTGTGAGTCTTTGCTTCGTCAACTTCCAGCTCGATACGAGGAATGGATGTATGGAATGAGAGATCAGATTCTCCAAACGCTGTTGCTTATCCGAGAGGGATAGCAAAGGGATGTTGTCAGTGGTGGAGTGAGCGTTAGAAGCGTGAAGATTCTGAGATACTGGCCGCAATGCTAACCTGTTGCTATCAGAATTTTCCAATGGGCTATCACGGGTACACTTTTCTTGCGAAGAAGAGCGAACTTGACCAGAGGATACCTTTAACGGAGTAATCAAATCAACAACGTCATTTGTAATAAGCTCTATCTTCAAATTATCTGTTTCCAGCGATGAGCTCTGGGCAGAGAGTTCAAAGAGGCCATCGTCCCCCTTTTCTTTGCCCACGTTCTGCTCTTCTGTAAGACTGACATTTGTAGGAGAGGTACTGATAGAGCTATCCATAATGGAAGGAGTCTTTACAATCTCTACGATGGGCCTAATACCGTAGTGATGTCTTTGATGGGTGTGCAAGCTCAATCTAGACATCTTATGAGGAGCTCTTGCCTTGTGCCGCAGGGATACAGACCGTGATTGAAAGGTGAGCGGTACATCGAAGTTGGCAGAGTTTTCGATCAGTCTTAATCTTTCTGTGCATAACGATAAGCCGCAAAAGGTGCTACGACTCCTCAAGGAGTGGGGTAGCGAAGAGTCAGCAGATGTAGTTGTACAATAATCAATGGTGGCAGGAACGTTCTGCTCAATAAAGCTTCCCTCGGCAGTCTTAGCATATGACTCATCAGCGTCAAGGGAAACTCGATTAACTTGAGAGACATGGGGCTCAATAGCGTTGACGTTAGAATCTGAAGCAAGATCATCTGATGGAGGATCAAGTAAGTCTTGAAAACCATTTAGTTTTGTCAACGGCACAGAGGACGCGTGTAATAAGGCTTCAGTAGAATGAGCTGCGTCAGCCATGAGTGAGAAATCGCTGCATGAAGCGCATTTCCTTTTCATTAATTCGTTGTTATTAAGATTGTTGGAATGCGATTGAAAAATCACACTGTGGTCAGTCACAACTTGGGGATGTAAAAGTGAGCAAACTAGTTTGTCATGAACTGATAAATTGGTTGACACTGATCTAGATCCACTCACCGAGTTTCGCCCTGGCGGTAGAGCACTAGGGCCTCTGCTTAGCAGTCCAGTTGTTGTCTGGTTCTTACTGAAACTTATGCTTGGGAGAGTAGCCATAACGCTGCTCTTGCCAAAGTGCACATCATACGCAAGGGTGTTGTTCTCTAAGGGCAGCATGGGGTTATCAAAGAACTCCATCGAGCCACTGAAGCTAGAGTTTTGCTGATCAAAGGCGGAAGCATCAGTAAGTTGGGAGAATGAACTGTTGCGCACAGAGCCCGTTAGCTTGTTTTGCAGGTACGTCTTGTAGTTATCTGGTGTGAAACGCAAGAAGCTATCGAGGTCTACCTCATGCAATTGTGTACAGTCGTTGACTAACAGTGGCCATGATACCCAGTCATCATCAAAAGAAGTGGGCGTGCCCAGCTCTTCACAGAGAGCTTGAATGTATGCTCTTCCAACAGACAAAATGTTGGTGGCCAAAGTTCTTGTCAAGGCATAGGGATGGGCTTTATCAGTGCCGTACTTTAAAAGCATCCTAACACGCGGATCAACTTCCTCATTCGTCGACTTACTTGCTTGCGCTTTATCTTTATACTCTCTCCACTTACCATACAGATGAGTACCTTCACTGAGAACTTGATCGACCAGGATATGAAATTTGGAGTATGCATCTGCTAGTGACATGCTTTTGGAATACCTGTGGCCAAACCGCTGAAGCACAGCCCACGTAGAATATATCAACAGAATGACAGTCCTGGTCATAAGGAGAGCCATGTGTTCCTCAGGAATGTGCATCTCACTATCTTTGAGGTAGGCATTCACCTTTTCATCGGAATCCTGGCTGATTGCCATGTGTGCAACATGTCCAACTCTCAATGACTGATCATACTCTCCAGAGCTGTTACTAATATTTGCATTGGCTATTATATCATCATGATGCTCCCTGGATGAAAGATGAGAGTCTGAGTGAGGATACTCTATATTGTCATTGTGGAAGGATAAGTGCAGACAATCAAAGTTGTCATCCTGGTTTGTCAAAGCACCAGCGTCCTCCGGAAGATTTTGTGCGAATCCAATGTTGATTCCTCGGTCTATGCTCTCACTGTCTTCCGGATTAATGTCGAGTGCAAAGGCTTCCTGGCTACTTGCTTGAGTGTCATGGATTTCTGAGGTCAAAGGGTCCATTACTGAAACGGCATCAAGTCTTTTCACACTTTTGTCAACAGTCAGTGATAACATCTGAAAGGGCTGAGAAAATACGTTTGATTCTTCATCATCTATGTCCAAACCCATATCTAGCTTGCCGACAGACATACAGGTTAGCGGGCTTGTGTCCTTGTCCTTGAGCTCATATGTTGGATCTTTGAGTGAGACAGAGTCTATATGGTTGCCAGCACGCCCCTCAGAGGTAAACGAATTATGCAAAGTTCCCCCCTTTTGGCGATCAACTCCGACGAGCGGCTCTAGAATAAGGGTGGAGTCCTCTCCAATAGTTTCAATAGCATCTGAATGTGCATCCTGTGCCTGCTGATCTGATAGTGGTCGCTTGGAGAAAAGCTGCATCGCAGAGTCTCGGAGTGACGCGAAGCTCCCGAAGCTGAACGTGTTCTCAGCGCCTTGAGCCCTGAGGGGCACCTCCTGTATACCTTCATCATCGTTTGGTGGTAGTACAGTACCTGTTCCTATCAGGGGATAAGACAACGGCCCACCAACACTGTATAGTTGCTTTTCATCATCTGGAAGACTCTCCATGTACTTGTCTTCTAGGGCCTCGTCGAATGCATCAAAGCTCTGAGCTATCAGTGTCATTTTGGGCTTTGGCTTTTCCATTCGTTTTTCGCCTGAGACGGTTTCGGGAACCATAAGAGAATCGAAGGAGCCGCGTGCCTCCGGTTGAGGTTTGGAAACCGGCGCAGAGAGCTGTTTGCTCTCTCTCTTCACTGGCTCTTTCTCTAGACCAAAAGCCGCGTCCATCTCTTCTGAATCGGAGCCTATAGCAACTATATCACCGTCGCTACTGTACCCATCACTATAATCATCACCTTCACTAGAAGAGTCAGTCATATCCATAATGTCCTGGACATCCGACTCATCGGAGCTGCTAATCAGGCCAAACGCGGCGTCCATATTATCAGAATTGGACCCGACAAACTCAATATCAGAATCATCATCGCTAATATCACTACCATTAGATGTACCTGACTTTTTGGCGGCCTCCTCCTCCAGGCCAAAGGCTCGGTCCATGTCGTCAGAGTCAGATGCTGCGACGGCCACAATGTCACCGTCATCAGAGCTACTATCGCTCAGAAGTTGTTTCTTATCTGTCGCATCTGAGGGGGTATGTGCATCAGCTTGACTAGTCCCCTCTTTCCGTTGGCCCGCGGAATTCACGTGCAAAGTCTTCTTTTTGGCCGGAGACGCCTTTCTATGCTGTAAGGTACTAAGCGAAAAGCTTCCTAGTCCGAGCATGCTGTTCTGATCTTTTCTACTGTCGAGATTGAACAGGTCCTTCATGAACGGAGCGGTAGCACTCGGATCTGCTTTACCTCCTGCCACAACACATACCTTGTTCTTGCTGGCCTTTTCCCCGGAGCCAAAGGAGAAGTTATCTACATATAGTCCCGTGCCGGCTATGTCCTGCTCTGAAATATACTGCTTAGAGAAAAGACTAGATAGCTTGGCGAGGTCTATCTCTTCTTCAAAGAGATCCTCAGCGAGGGCAGAGGCACTGGAGGCCCCATCTCCCAGGGTTGAGGGAACGCCTTTAATTGCAGATGCAGCAGGGCCATGACAATGTGGTTCTCCAGTTCCGCTCATAACTCCTAAAGTTGACGATAGCAAATTTCCGCCATCATAGCCCTTCATTCCATATGCATCCTCTTCGACAAAGTGCATGGCGTCGGCGTCTTTGCCACCCTCCGTGTTCAAGGCACTAGAGCCGTAATTGGCACCCGTCAGAAACGAAGTTGCTGATGAATCGTTAGCTGTTAGTCTTTTCACCACTGATGCACAGGCAGATCTGAACCGTGCCTGAGGGTCACTGGAGTTTCCCTTTTTATCACTCTTAGACGCGTAGAGGGAGGTAGCGAGTCCATGGGACTTTGAAAGATCATGCTTAAGCATGCACATCTCATAGAAAACCAACTGGGGAGGCCGCAGTCCTTGATCCATCAAAAGTATGCGTGTGCGTGCAAAACTCGCGTTGAGCGGAAAGTTCCAAAACATGTCCTTTACGAAATAGTGATTTCTTTGTTCAAATTCAAAGAGGGGGCTGCATCCCATATCCAGATTACATATTTCAGGGGCCAACTCTTGTTCCAGTTTGCCTAGCAACATGACATGCTGCTCTTCAGAATCTTCAGAGTCTGTGGAATGTATAGACGGGAAGTTCAGTTCCTTGAGGGTCCTCGAGGTGTGCAACCGTTTGTAGTTCATATTATTGTAGAGGAGATAGGCTATATCGCTCCAGTACGTATCCATAGTGCGCTTGCTGGAAACACCCCAGAGAAACAACCGTATAAACTTAGAGTAGAAATAAACGTCAAGATCCCCGTCTGTTCCCATAAGTGCAAGGCTTATCAGGAAACTCGCAGAATGCTCGTTAGATGGATCCATAGTTGAGACCATGTCTGTGAGGAAAGTGACGTAATTTTTCTTTAGAATCATTTGTGTCAGGGGAAGAGACAGATCTAGCTCAAGATCCTCTCCTGCTTTGTAGAATTGATGGCGCTGCATGGCGTTCCTCCAAATGTCTACCTTAAATCGAGATGTAATGGATGGATCGGTTAGGTGAGGGGGGAGTCCAGAGCCCAAGATAATACTGGATTGAATCTTGTAGAAATTGAGCATTAGCCGCAATGTGAACTTATTTGTAACACGGTAGCACGTATTCTTGATATGATCCCCTATAATTAGGTCGTAAATCATCGGAACCGTAAAACGCTTTTTGTAGTCTAGTTCCAAGCACCCCACAATAATCTGTATTACGGTTGCATGTGGGGATGCCGTGTTGACATTCAGGATGTTGGTGAGGGCGTCGGGAGCCTCGCGTAATACGTCACTCCAATGATTTAGCCGCTTTAGTGGATTAGGAGAAATAATTATGCCACCATCCTCCGGTGGCGGGAGCTTGCTGACAAGGATATGCAGGCAAAGCGATGCAGGATGGCGGCCAAAGAGGAGCATGAATAGAGTCACCCCAAAAGCCCAAACGTCATTCTCCTTAGTCAACCCGCGGTTGTCAGGAGAGGCATATGCTGCAGAAACAACCGTAGACATGGTACGTGTTACGCTAACGTGGTTAGTGAGAGAGAAGTCTCCCAACACAAAGTTACCGTTGGCCAGACGGAGAACGTTTGCGGCCTTTATGTCTGCGTGGACATAATCCTTGGAGTGGAGAGCATAGAGACCAAGAGTGATGTGGAGGATTGCCTTCCGGAGAAATGAAAGAGACATTGGAGTGCAGCAGAGAGAGGAATACTCTAGCAAGTTGTCAAGGTCGGTAGAGTTGTAAATACATCGTAGCATTCCTACTACGTTACTATTCACGTGAGACGCGTTAGGCGCCACAGATGAAATAGGTCCCTCAGCAAGGTCCATAATCATGAGAAGCTTATCCAGCTCAGTCGACTGGATGACCTCGTAGAGTCTGAGCAAGCATGGGTGGCGAAAGGTTTTCATAACCTCTATCTCTTGATATGCAAGGTCCAAATAAGAGAGGATGGTGTCCTGGTTAGAGGCACCAGCCCTTGCCTGCCCCGCGTCGTCTGAGCCTGATAAAGGCTCTGAACCCTGGGTATTGAACTCTCTGATGAAGAACCTCTTAGACAGATACCGTTTAGACATAATTTTGGCTGCAAATTCATTCCGCGATTCGCGGTGGAGGCAATAATAAACAGACCCAAAGGACCCTCTCCCTATGCACTGCCCAAAAATGTAATGAGTTATCTTATCTTGTGGATATTCGTGCTCGTTGATTTCGCTTTTCTGTGAGAAAGAAAATGCTCCACTTGGCATGGGATTTTTATTTAATTTTTTGTTGTCCATGGAACGCCTGCAATAGAAAAATTAAATCTTGTACTGATGAGCATTAGGACCCGCGAAAGAGACCTATATGAGCCGCCGCAGTTAGTGCTGTCATACATGGAGACGCTCAATCTCACAATGGACCAGTGCCGCACGTCCATTGACAGATCAACTCTTTGTATTTCCATAGCCTCTAGATACAGGACTATCCTCTATAGTTCGATAGATGCAACGCCACAGCGCCTTCTTATTCTGGAAACATCACCCTTCAGCCCCGCAGATGAGGCTCTCGGTGATCCTTTGCTGGCCAACCAGGTTCACAACGGTAATAACAATGAATTTTTGCTAGGACCGGACGCTGTACCGTCAACCGCTTACCCCAGCAATCCCTTTGTGTTTACCTTTGAGTCAGTCTTTCCTGGAATCATGGCCGACCTTCCTCAGACGGCTGTGGCTATCACGACAGATGGGTTTCTTCTCTGCTTTAGCGACCTTCAAAAGGACTTTAGACGGGACCGCCTGTGTCTCGTCCGTAGCAGATTATGTAATTATTTGAATCTCTATCCCACAGAATTTGTAACGGCGGCCGAAACCGCTGGAGCAGGCATACTGCCCGATCCTCCGCATGCATCCAGGAGCTCTAAAGCATTACGAGTAACTTTGCTTATTGGCACCAGCCTTGGGCGCATTCTGAGGGTCACACTGAGGATTGATGAGCAGCTGGACTTTGAGATTTCCAAGCGGGCCCCCATGTCTGCGGTCAGTGTCAAAGAGCGCAAGTCACTCAGGCTCCAAGCAAGTAGTTGGCTCGGATCCTTTCATAAGGCTGATCCCATGGCTCCACAGAGAGGAATTATCAAGCGGACAAAGGTGGCAGTGGCACAGTTTTGTAAAGGGATGCTAACGGGAATGCCAACCAGGGCCAGTCCTATTTCGCAAACAAATTCAGCAATCAGTATGACTGTTGGGCGAAACAGCCTCTTGGGCAGCAATAAGCTGGGGATACGGGCATACAATGTTCCTTACTCTTCCTGCACTCTTGAACTGGTTGACGAGCCCTTCCCCACAAGATCTTTAGGAGGTCGAAAAACAGCGCACTCTCTGCTGGAACAGATGCGCGAGTTCTTTTCTGGCTATACGGAGGTTGACAGGCTTGCGTATCCCATTGCACTAAAGCGCCAGGTGCTTCTTCAAATGAAGGAGGCAGGACATGTCCTGACCAAGACCGGCGGTGAGAAGGAGCTTCTAAAGCTCATGAAGCCTCCTAAGCGCACGCATCTTCAAAGAAGCATCGGACTGAAGCCCCAACAAATCGAGGGCAAGAGGCGGCTGGGAAGATGGGCTGAAGAACACGAACAGCTTCGTCGCAACAACCTGCTCAACCCACTGGAGTTGACTAATGTCGATGGCGTACAGCTATATGATCCACAAGGCGAGCAATTTAGGTCGCTGCATCAATCAGAGCTAGACCAAGGCGGGATCTATAAAGAGTATAAAAACAATGCTAGAGTCTACTTTCCAGAAATACCCAATGATGCCTGGGTCTCTAACTTTCTTACCTTGGATCCAGTTCTCCGCATCAGGGTTACCGACTTGGAAACAACTTCCACGGCTATCAACGGGCAAGTATTGATTATCTATGAAGACAGAATTGTTCTGCTCAAGAAGAGAATTCCGGTTATAAATGCGTTGACTAGGTATGGTCGAAGGTTTCTCTCTAACGTTAAATATTATGGAGCAAGTTACCGGCCAGAGAGCCTTGCCAAAGGTGACATTAAGCAGTCTCTGTTTGCCAGCAAAAGCAGGGCCGATAAAGAACAGCCTATCGCTGGTGAACTATCGAAGGAGGCTTACGACAGACTCTGCTTCTATGGCTTAATTGACAGGCCTCCTGATTCTGTTGGATTGAGAGTGTGCGATACGTCCTCAATGGTGTTCTCATCACAGGCAATTATTCGGGCAGACGAGCTATCTACTCTTTTCCCCGGAACTAGGTACGTTTCCTGTGCCACAGAAACAATCCCACACATAGACTATGAAGATGAACGCGCTTATATAACGATGTCAGATTGTAACGTTATAGATAAGAACTCCGTCATTCTTCTATATTCAGTTATAGCCCTATCAGAGAGCAAGAATCTTCGCTTGATTGATAATTGTCCACAAGAGGGCTCGGTCACATATTCCCTTCTTTATTACAATCATCACACAAATGTGATTGTGGCTGATATCCTGCTCAACCCTTTAGTTCAGCGCAAAGAAGGACGAGTATCTGAGATGCCCGTTGAAGGCCCCGGCCTCGACGACGCTCATATGCACTCAGGTACAATGATGATATCCCATATCCCTGTCTCCGACAAGCTCTTCTCTAAGCAGACGAAGCACAGTAGAAGATTCAAGTCAGAGGCGCTTAAAGATTTAGTTATCGATATGTTCAACTATTCTGTCGAAAACTTCCCTCTTGCCGACTTCTACTCTAGACGCCCAAGCCTAGATATCCCCCTCTTAAATAGCAAAGTAGGATACGTAGTGACAGGAAGCCGGGTGTTGTGCACGAGAGTGTTGTCTGGAATTTCAGATCTCTCTCCACAAGCCTTGGCCCTGGCATATGGTTCTCCAGGGACAAGCTCTCATGTTTACATTTATAACAAGCCGGGAGACTACTTCCTGCAGTACAGGGATGAATTGCCCCAATTTGTTGAATCCCTTTTCAACACCCCCATTGATCCTAGCCTAATGCATAAGGTAACTTCCGTGTTACACGGACTTAGATCAACTAAAGCACGGATGGCACACAGCATCAGGAGCGAACTTCTCAAGCGGTATACTGTGCTCTATTACGGATCATTACCAAACTTACTTACCGTCCACGCTTCACAGAGGAAAAATATGGCCTTTACAAACAGGCTTGGACTCACCGGGAAAGCATTTGATGACCTTATGCTCACTCGTGTGCCTGTGGCATCCGTTCTAAAGTCCCAAGGAATGAGCAGGAGCGATATGACTTGCAGAAATATTGATAATATTTATGACTCGCAAGCCGTTGTGCAGCTCAAGCCGTATGGCTCAGAGCGCTTTACTGGTCGCAATTTTTCATTTCCACAAGGCGCAGGATCCATCAGTTCCTACGGATTCGCATCTCGGCGAGCCATCCATCGCAAGCTGCGGCTCATCAAGACAGTCCACCTTACCAGCATTCTTCTCCTAACAAACCAGGGTTATCTACGCTCTCTCAGTAATTACATTGAGGCCATTGGGCAGACCCCTGAAGGTGCCACAGTTGAACCCCTCGACAGGTCATTGACTGGGAACGTCAACATGGATATACTTTTTACCTCACATAATGGTGGCTCGTGTAGTAAGCTTGGTGACGGAGCGAGACGAGAATACCTAGAAAAGCGCCTAAAGCACACAGACCCAACTGGCGGCTCGAAGCTCACGCCCTACGATCTCCTCCATGCATCCTACAGTGCATATTGCAGCGGAGATGCTCTTTTCAACCTCTTGTTCCAAACACTCGTCCCAGCAGATCTGGAGAGGCTTCTTATACACATAACTGACCGTTCTATTATCAATAATATAGAAGACCCCATCTGGTGTGCACGCGAACACACCAGTAGTGATAGGGCATTCATGGTTTCTGGAACCCTCTCTTCAGGGCCTGGTTCATCTATCGACAGGAAGGAAATAGCAAGACACAAGACACTCTGTAAGTTGTACTTCAAAGCGTGCATACAAAAAATCGAGGATCTCATACTATTCATTACATTTCTCAAAGAGACCGGGCTATGGGGTGTCAAAAGCCTTGTTACGGCCGATCTGAAAATGAAGATTCGAACGTATTTGGAAGCTCTCTATGCTATGTCTGGCCTTATAAAGTTCTTCTACGTTTACACCGGTCGTGGGAACGAATCCCCGACCCTTCTTGAAGCTGATTACTATCTGCTCACCTTCCACGAGTACTCTAACTTTGTGTCGGAGTACAATGAGGTACTGGTTTGTCAGCAGCTGCAGCAAAGTATAGGGAAGATATACTCGTCAGTTTGTAAAGCGGATGGACAATTCAATTCCGGCTTTACCAAACTCCGCGAAGCATGCTTGAATGGCTTCGAATCTATCTTGAGCGGCGTGACCCTGACAACAACCAGTCACCTTCCCATAGCACACGGTATTCTGAAGAACGTAAGGTCTGTTCTTGACCCTCTTTCAAACAGTATGTCAGATGAGTTTAAATTAACGCAGGAACGGCTTTTTGAGGTCTTATCGATGGCTCAATCACTCGATTCGCTCTGTGTTTATTTGCAAACGGCATTGGTGTCTAGAGAAACGAACATTGATCTGTTGTCAATTTCGACATATAATGACATCCCTTCTTGGCTCAACTCTCTTCATCCATGTTTGTATGATCTCTTCAACGTTATCTGCAGCCTGGTTAGCCAAATGTGTAGCATCTATAAAATATCTATAGACACAGATGGCCAGGGAACTCCTGTGTCTTTTGGCCTTCTAGAACACAATGCAAAGAGCCTTCACGAATTTGTTCTGGTCCAGCTAGTCAAGACAAGTGCAACCTTAGCAGATTGCGTCCTCCAAATCTTCTACAGATCGAAGGAAGCAGGCTTGGCAATCCAGTCGTTCAAGGACAGGCGTCGCTCAATTAACGAAGAGCTGGTCTCTTTACCGGTGAAGGTTAGGCAGGCTGCAACGGTGATGGCCAAGTACCACGATTGGTCGAGTTTTGTGCGGTACAGCTTTGCACTCTTTGAGCTTAGAGATCTGACACCCGCCGAGATTTCCAGGGTAGTCATATTCCATCCATCTCTTACACAGAGTGTAGCCGGGTTATCAGCGTACTTCAAGGAGTACCAGAGCGGGATTTCTGCCTCTAACGTTGTATTGGAATCGACTATGCTTCCGACAGAAGCCATCCCTGTCCTTCCCCACGGTCTTTTAGAAATAATGGCCAACGTCATTGATGTTGGTGCTCTAGCCTTAGACCTAGAGCCCCTTGCAGAGCTCCGAGCAGTCCTCCTTGACGAGCTGGAGGTTTATGGATACACGATTCGCTTCACGCTTTTGGCCAATGAAGACACTAATGAGCTAGCCAATCTCATCATTGCCCTAAGGTCATCTGCCACCGGATTGATGAAGGGGGTTCCCCAAAACGATGCTGTCATGGAGGCCGTTTACGACCTAGCAGCCAGGTGCTCGCTCTGAACCCGAAGGCTGTGTAAATCAACGCAGGAATACAGCAAGTATCAGAGCGTTTACTTGGCCGGTGTATGCGGCAACCTAAAGGCGTTCCATGAGACCGTGCTCCTGGGCGAGGAGCATGAAGGCCGAGTCCACTCCGCCTCGGCTGCGGATGGCCCCGCAGAAGGCGAATGTAACATAGTTGTTCTCGATCATCTTGCCCTTATCATTAACCCTGGCGACGCTCAGCTGGACTGCGGCGTGGTCCTTCGGGCCAATGAGCCTATTTGTTGCTGAACACTTGCGCGGTATGTATGCGTCTACGACCACTCCGCTGCTGTTCTTCATCCCGATGTCATCCGATTGCATGGCTCAGTCGTTTCGGGTCCAATTTGTAGGACAAAAATCAATTTAAAATGCATAACCATTGCAGTGCCATTTCGTGCAATACCATATAAATTGCAGCATTAATGGATGAAAATTTACATTGATCAATGACGACAACCCCGAAGCTGGATGCCACCCCGGAGCCAACAATACCCAGTGCGCATGACTTTGCTTCTCCACTTCGCTTCAGTGAATCCTTTCTGAGCATGTCCCAGTCAAACCTTTCGATCGCCAGTCTCTCCCAGCAGCAGCCCTTTCCCGTTGCGGACTATCCTGTTCGAAGATACTTCGACTATGATGAAACAATCTGGTGCAGAGAATGTGGCCAAATAGGCCATCTTGCACACATGTGTCGGTCCAGGAAAAGGATAATCGGGGTTTGCTTCTGCTGCGGAGACGATCGGCATCAGGTTGACACGTGCACCGCAAATGTGTGCATGCTTTGTGGTGAAGCAAATTGTTCGTGCAAGAAGAAGAATCGCCTTCCCGGAGGATTGCTCGATCTGATAGACATAGACAATTTTATAAACACATACGCCAACGAATGCTACCGTTGCGGAGGGCCCCACAGTGGATTAGTGTGTCCAGAGTATATGCCACACTGTAGGGGCACGGAGAGGTGCAAGTTTTGCTTTCAGAGACACATGTCGCGAGACTGCCCCGATCTTAAGAAGGAGGCAAAAGAGAAGAGGAGCAGGTTACTGGGAAAGATGCGCTGTTTCATATGTGGCGCAAGAGACCATTACCAATTTGAATGCAGAGAGCGAAATTTTCCCCTGCGGATGGGCTATCGCTTTCGCGAAAATGAATACTCGCGCTTACTGCACGCATATAACGCCAAGCATGTTGGCAAAAGTATACCGGCTGCGACCAAGCGTGACGAAACCCTGGTACGTGGAGCTTATTCCATTATAAAAAATCTACGTGCACGGAAAGATGACTCTAAACGCCTAGAAATTACGTTTAATCAATCTAATAACTCCAAAAGAAAAGATGATGAGCAGAAAAAACATAGCGGGAGGCCCGGGGGTCAAGGGGAATTCCGGATAACTCGGGACAGGTTTGCACGCCACGGATAAGGATAGTCATTTGTCAAAGCATCAATCCTGATCGTTTTCCTTACATCACGATGCTGAGTCTAGTGTTGTAGTGTCATAGTAAGATACCTTGAGACTAGGGGATGTTCTAATCAGTTCTTCGTTCTGATTGGGTGCACAAAACGACGCCAGGTGACTTTGCCCGGGCAAGATTTGTGTATTCTGGGTACCCTGCACACTTTGTTTGGTCCTTGCGGGCGGTGCAGACACCACTGTCGATCGCTTCATAGCCCTCGGTCTTTTGCTGGGCCTGTCGCTCAGCTGATCACGAAATGTGGTGGAACCAGCCGACAGCTCTGAGTTAACAGAGGAGTTTGTGGGTACTGTTATAGGTGCATCGTAGGTGTATGAGTTCTCCACTCCTAATTCACGTACGACGTCAGTAAATGTGCCTAAAGCGCGCAGATTAGTCTCATCGGGAAGACGTCGGCACAGTTGAAGGATAGTGTCTTCGTGGAGAGAGATACGAGTGTCTGTACCGGCTACAGACCGAGAAAGCTGAAATAAAGCCGTCTTAGTTGCATACGTCTTATCTCTAAGATCAAGTGCATCCATAATTGACTTTATGTGGGATGAGATGCACAACTGCAAGGATTCGCGCACAAGCTCTATTTTGCTATTGAGTTTAGACACTAGAGCCCCATGCTTCTGGAGTATATCATCTGTAAGAGCCTTGTCAACCTTTTCAACCTTGTCACTCACGCTCTTCACTTTTGATTCTATAACGGCATCCAGTGTCTGTGACAGCGTTTCCATTCTGCCCATTACAACAGAGACTGAAGCAGCCAGGGGTTCTATTTGTTGAACAATAGAGGCTAACCTCTCCTGAAGTTTAACTGGAGAAACATCATCTTCTTTTTCCTGATTATCACTTCCTGTGCGGAAATACGGGAGAAGCTCTGGCACTAGTTTGGCGACTAGACTCTGCAATAGCTTACTATTATATGGTAACTGTGCAGAAATTTGTGGTATGAGCTCACGGACAGTTAGCGCGGCTGACGTTGGCTGGCTAGTAGCAGAACGTGGACGTATGTTTTTGTCTGCAGAGATCATAACAGTGGACTTGTAACGATGAGGGTTAACAGGCTGGGCAATTGACCTATGGCAATCCTGATAAAACTCCGGATCATTCAGGTACACTGTTCCTGGGGTGGACCTCGAGCCCTGGTAGACCATTGTCTCGTCCCTATCTTCACAGCCATCTTCACGTTCATCATATCGTTTAGTCTGAAAGCTGTATGACTGTGCATCAGACTTTTGTGTGTGTGGGAGATGACGCCTTAGGGTGCGTTTCATCTCTTCACCCTCGCATGTAAGGGACTTAGTAACGGGGTTTCCAGTAATAGAGTCCCGTGAGATTGGCTCAACCACAGTATGACCATGAGGCATCAAGGAGTTCTTTGGTTCAAAAGAGGGGGCCTTGAAATCTGGAATTGTTGGAAGCGCTGAAGGTGCTATGGAGGACTGCATATTATGGAAGTGAGGGCATGCTCTTTCACCACATATTGCATTGCTTGTTAAAGAGGTGCGCAGCTCACCAAGTTCCTTTTTAATGGCTGCTAATGCATCTTTCGTTTCTTGACTAGCTTGCTCAGACTGTGCTTGCTTTTCTTTATCACACGTTTGCTTCAGGGATAATTGGTGCATGCCTTCTAACTCTTTTAACTTGCTTGGTAACTCATCTAGTAACCGCAGCCTATCCCCGATGCGTGCCTGATACTGGTTGAAGTGCCGCTCGTTGTTTGCTATAATCTCGGCCAATTCCTGGACGTTCTTCCTATAAAGGTTCAGTTGCTGTTCGACATCCTCCAGGCGACCATTGAGCTCCTGCACGGCCTGGAAAGAAGCAGCTGAGTACTCTGACTGCATATCTCGAAGAGCATTAATTAATACGGGGCTAGATAACAGGCGAAGCGTAATGGCGTCTAGCTCCACATCTGTGGGTGGGCTGAATTTGCTCAGAGCTGAGTCCACAAGGAGCTTAGTGCGTTCAAACTGTGCATTCAGCTTTGCAGTCACGGAGTCTGTATGCTGGATGATATCTCTCTGCTGCGCATCTAGCTTTTCCAAGACGTCGCTTTGCCTAAGCTGAGCCATGTTTAGCTTCACCTCCAGGGCGGAAATGCGCTTGCCAAAGTCTAAGTAATAGGCATCAAGACGCGCAGCCACCTGGCTGTGCGCAGCGGTGGATACCCGCGTGCTACTAATGGAGTTCATGAGCATGTCATAGACGAGCTGCATGCCACTACGGATCTCTAGGATGGAACTGGAGACAATCGGCGGTATCAGTGACCACTCAACATCACTCCAGGGAGAAATCTTGAGAGACCGGACAGGGAGGCTGAGATTTGAGTTTTCGTCTCCTTCCTCGGTGACCAGTAATTTTGGAATGGCACCCACTAAGGGCCTTCCACTGCGGCGCCCAACCGACAGGGCCCGAGGAAGCCGTGGGCATTCATTCATGATTTTTGCACAGAGCCGCCGCCGGCGTATTTACTCCGAGTCGTTGACATATTGCACCTCCACCTTATCCTTGCAACCCTTCACAATACTCTTTGCATCGTCAGCATTGGGAACCGTCAGGGTGTAAAGATACTTCGCTGTGCGGAGCTTCAGCTTGACCTTGCCCTGCAGCCTCCCCTTGCTACAGGACTTGACCACAAGCTTCTTTCCTCGGCCGTCTGCGATCATCTTCATGAGGTTCTCCTCTGTGATTGTGTTGGGCATTTCTCGAGAACTCCTTTTTGGGTTAGCCGAATTCCATTTTGAAATGGAATCTTCATCTGCTCTCACTGCAGGCGACGACGTCGCGCATATCGGATGCTAGCTTGCAATTTGTGCAGATATATGCGAAACGCATCTCCGTAAGACTCAATTGCCAAACAACCATTGGAACGACCATGTTGCATAGGGGGCATTTATCTATCATTCTCTCCAAAACTGGATTCAGCAGTATGTTTTCTATTTGAGCCACGCTCAGACTCCCAAACGTCTTACTCCCCTCCGTTTGCCGAGGCCTCACCGTCATCGCCCGGGTCCGCAGGTCTGCATCCTGCAGCTGATCAAGGACAGCAGACGTTACCTCTTCCTTGATGTGGCCGTGCGTTTCCTGTCCACTGAGAATTGTCGTGCACGTATAAAGAATCTTCCAAGTGCCATTGCTCCATATGCAGCTTATCTTTACCTCATTACCGCAGTGACAGAACATCCGTCCCACGGCGTCACTCAGCCGGCTTTCGTTTCCCTCTGGTAGAGGAACTTCGTCTTCCCAGTCCCCATCCATCAGTTCTGGAGTGTTGCCCAAAAGACTTTGCTGCTTGCTTTTTTAATGGCACGGCTCACCTCCCCTTCAGCAGACTTTCATAACGAGCTAAGCACGACAACAATTAGTCACTATTCATGAGAGTAGATCGACTAAAAGGGTTTTCGACACAAAACACTCTGTTTTGATATTTACTGAGGCAGTGTACCCCAAAGAGAGTATCCCAAAGAGATACACGCCCTTATTGGCCACTATAGTGCCATGCTTTGGGAGACTTAGAGGTCAGCTTAAGGGGAAACAGAATCTTGGGGGGCTGAGACATCACCATGAAGTTCATAGAAAATTCCATTCTTCTCTCACTTGCATAGATTGATGGAACAAGCAAGAACATGCATCTTCTGGTCCTTTAACTTAAATCAGTCTACTCAGCTTGCACGTTCTGGGTCCGAGTTCGTCTTCGAGCCCTTGGCATATGCCTTTTGGTAAAGCTCCTCTGCATCCTCGCACTTAGCAACTAGTCTGCTGAAGAACGACTCTGGGTTGCTCAGGAGCGCCCTGGGGGTGTCGAACTCCTTTACCTCGCCCGCGTCCATAACTATGATTCTGTCAAAGTCGATGATAGTATTGATCCTGTGTGCAATGGCGATGACGACGCGGTCTTCCAGCGCTGTACGGATCGTGGACTGGATTATGGCGTCGTTTTCCCGGTCGACCTGGGCGGTGGCCTCATCCAGAATAACCACTGGTGCGTCTCGTAGTAGTGCACGGGCCACACAGACAAGCTGGCGCTGACCTGCAGAGAGGTTGTCCCCGTTAGCTGTGATCTTGGCGTCGAGTCCGCCAGGCTGCTTCTCGAAGTACTCGCGCATGCGGACCTGCTCGAGCACCCGCCAGAGTTTCTCGTCCGAGATCCGCTCAACACCAGGAGGCATATCTTTGGGAGTTATTCCTTCTGCTGTCAATTGGGAGTAAAAGCAGAGGCAGGTCCTTATAGTGCCTGAGAATAGAAACGGGTCCTGGGGGATGATGGTCAGTTGAGCACGTGCATCATCAAGTGGAACTGAGAGCAGGTCCACTCCATTAACAATTATGCTCGATCCTGGCTCGGGCTCAACCAAGCGAAACATGGCTGCGGTTATCGATGACTTACCAGCACCTGTGCGGCCAACAATGCCAATACGCTCTCCACGGTGGGCCGAAAAGGACACATTTCGCAATACTAAGTCAAGATCTTTTCTATAGCGCAAGGAAAGCGATGACACGTCAACAAACTTCGCTGGGTCTGCACTCTGTGTCGATAAAGCGGGATATGTTAGACCATCTTCCTCTCCCTTCAACTTCCCATATTCCAGGACGCGCTCTGCGCTGCTCATAGAACTCTCCAAACTGTTAATAGAAAAGGCGAGCATAATCAGCCTGCTGATGAGTGTGAAGCTATTCATAAGAATTAGGCCGGTATAGCGCGCACTGTTGCCAATGGGAGCAATAATGACAACGCTCATGCTCACCAACGATGCAAATATCCCCATGATCACATTGACGCGAAAGCTCAGCCACCTATTCATCACACGCATAAGCCAGTCCGCGCTGTAGCTCCGCGTAAGGTTTAGTCTGTTGAGCTCTATGAGATGGTCTTCACTTCCATAGCACCTTATAGATGGCAACGCGGTGAGGGAATCCTGCACAAGTGCGAGTATGGGACTAGAAAGGATAGGAGTGATACGCTTTAGCTGAGGAGCTATTAGTCTGAACGTGTTAAAGATAAAGATGTAGAGTATCCCTAGGGGGATGATGAAGACAATGGTTGGCCACGAAAGTAACATAATCACAAGCAGGTTAACCAGCAAATAGAGGAGGTCATTGCTGAGCGACACAATGCTGTTTGGAATTGCTGAGTCACACTGATCTGTGTCTCGACTGAGCCTGTTGAGGATCCGACCTAATGGGTTGGTTTCGAAAAAGAACAGTTGTGTGTTGAGGACGGCATCGACCATCCTGTTGTGTAGGGTGCGCGTAGCGTTAACAGAGCTCTTAATAAAGGCAACCCGCTCTAAAAAGACTATTAGAATATATAGCATAGAAATACTCACGTAAAGCACAATGTACCCTGCCGATGAGAAACCATACAGATTAGAAGACCAGTGATTGATGTACAGGCCAAGGTACTGCAGTATGCCGTTGCCAGTTAGTGTCAATAGTATGTATCCCCAGAAGATTCCGTAGCCTCCTGCCTTTATCCACGCGTGGTATACACCTAATTGAACCCGGCCTATAGCGGCGTGCTTTTCGTCTTCTATCATTCGCACCGCCTTCTGGGGAACGGGCTGTTCTGCTTCTCCAATATCAAGTTGTAGGGTGCTCTTAGTAGCGGCGTTGGCCAGAGAACCAGTGTCTGTCAACATAGAAGAGACAGAAATCAGATTCTGGTTCCGCATCTCCTCGAGAGTCATGCGAGTTAGGTGTCCATTATTCATCTCATAAATATCATCGCAGTCAGAGAAGAAGTGTATCTGATGCGACACAATTATCACTGTTTTCCCTTGCTCTCGTACAAGATAGTTCAATATGCAATCATTCCATAGGGTGCTGCCGACATGGGCGTCAACTGCTGAAAGAGGATCGTCCAGGAGAAATATGTCCGCGTCTGAGTACACGGCGCGTGCAAGCGCAATCCTTGCCTTTTGCCCACCAGACAATGTGATGCCCCGTTCACCAATTTCCGTGTCCACACCGTGAGCCATGCTATTCAGATCTGTCTCAAGAGCACATATTTTAATAACATTTTTCAATCTATCCTCGTCACAATCTTTAAAAAATAATATATTGGATTTCAGTGTGCCAGAAAAAATAGTCGGGAGCTGCGGACAGTAGGCAATGCTGGCGGTGCAGTGGATGCGGGCCTGCTTCTCTGGACTTGTATTTGCGAGCTCTCCTAACAGTGCAAGAAGAAGTGAACTCTTTCCAGATCCAACGCGCCCGTGAATGCCGACCAAGGCTCCTCGCTTCACCTTGAAGTCTAAGTTGTTGATGACATTAGGGAAGCTATCCTTGGTCGTAAGTATCTCACGAGCCACCTTGAAGCTTGCTCGGTGGCTGTCAAACTTGGGATCTGTCAAGAAGAAGGTCATGACAGCGCAGTGGACATATATCTTCTTCACGACTGTTAGCGGATTGTCCTCTTGTAGTGGCAGGTAAGACGTCTCCTTGTAGGATGAGATCTGGTCAATAGTAGAGAAGGGAATAGTGTCGCAGTCCTTGCACCATTTATCAAGATGTACACACGATGTAGTAACTGGTTTATGCAGCGCGTCCCACTCCTGAGCTGATACCGATTGAGTAAAGACAACGACAGCTTGTAAGCAATCGTCCTGTAGGCCAATTTTACGAGGTTCGAGAGGCCTGTCAGTGGCACTCGATAGAATAGAGCTGGTCTCTTGTTCATCGTCAGTGGACTGATCGGCATCTACCCCCCTCTGTGCTGTAAGTGGGTTAGAGCGGAGTAGGATGGAATATGCAGGGTCCCTATCAAGCGTAGCTAGTGCGCGAGCTAGTTGATTATTAAGGACCGGAAGCTGCCGTGCAAACTTCTTAATTGTGTCCTGCGTCTGCTTAAATAATGGATCGAGGATTATTGGCAAGGAAAGGTGTTTTGCAGTGCCCCACGAATAAGATGGATTTCCAACAGTACTGAGGATAACATCTCCACTACCTATACCACACTTGTCGTCATTGTCTTCATTTGTCGATGCATCGCGATCTTGCATGCTAGGTCCAGAGTCTGTGGAGTGAGCACAGCACTCCTCCAGCGTTCTCAAACAGAACACTTGTCCGTCCTTGTTTGGTAAGTTAAAAAACGCTATGAGACGATCACTGCTAATCAGGCTTTCGAATAACTTTGCTAACAACTGGGGAAGCTGGTTGAATATCATGCTTAGTGTGTTGATGACGAGCGCTGCACTGTACGCAGTGGCATTGTCAAGGTAACCCGCAAGTGCTAGAGTTGTCAGCGCAAGAGTGAGCATCAAGGGCCCCGTGGTAGACGTGACAATCACGGTGTATGCGCTATTCATTTTTATGTTAATTAGGTGGGACAACTCGCGGTCTCGAGCGCTATGAAGACGAATTGCTTGCAGTTTCTCCATTGAGAAATACTTAATAACACGAATGCCTGTGAGGACCTCAGTAGCACGCTTTATTCGGAGGTCCTTGTAGCACATATAGTGCTTAGTGAACCAGAGCTGGCGCCGGATGAAAAGAACCAGCAGTGGAGATGTTGTGAGCCCGCCAATGATCCCCACCATCGTTAAGGGGTTGATTGTAGTACTGAGAATAACGATAGAATAGACGAGCCGGAAGGGGACTGCAGTGAACATCGGGATGAAGGCAAGGAAGTCCGTGATTCTGCCGGTGTCAGTAAAGATAAAATTAATAATGCTTCCACTGATGGAGGAGGAGCGCGAGAGCTCAGACAGAGTGAGAAGCTTACGATATAACAGGTCAGAAAGCGCCTGGGACGTCATGGTGTTGACCTCGAAGTTCTTCAACATGGATATATTGATGAGAAACGCGAGGGTTATCTGGGATACAAAGACGAGGCCAATCCAAGGGACGGCCTTGGCGAACAGCTGGCCGATGAGATAGGTAACGGACGCCTGCTGGCCCGTGGTAAGCAAGTAGTCCAGCGATATCCTTCTAATGTTCTCCTCTGCAAGAATGGTGGTTAGGTTGTTCAAGGCAATTGAAGGAACGAGGCCCAAAAATGTGTAAACTGGAATAAGACAGAAAATAATGAGCATGCTGCTCTTGTACGCACGAATACATATCGAGATAAGGGAAGACATGCGCTTTTTGCCGCGCGCAGCATCCCTGGCGACAGTTCGATTCCATGCACCTACCAGTCGCCTTGAAGCCTCGGAAACGCGCATATGACGGGGAAGTATGTACACATCTCGTGGATATATGGCTCCCTGCCGTTTGATAAGCTTTATTATTGGGCTTAGCCAGTGATACGTGTAGTACAGGCAGCGGGGAAAATACTCATGAAGAGGCTGCTTAGTCTCCATGGTAGTAAACTGATAGGCGTCACTAGGGGGCGGGGGGAAGCCCTGTGCACCGGACACGCAGATCTTTCGATTGTGAGCTGGTGGCATACCGCAGTGAGTGCAGAAGAGAGTACAACAAATTATATTTTAAGGAATAACAATGACTGATGTTACAGCCAGATTGCTTTTTTGATGAAAACGAGGATAGTAGCATGAAAGCCCTTTCGCTATGCTGGAGAAACTGGACAGGTAGCTGCAGTGTGGGAGACAATTGTAGCCTTAAGCATATTAGCCGATGAGAAGTGTGTGCTAGTATAACTTAGATTTTTAATGGGTATAGGATAAGATCCCGAACACCAGATAGTCATGCAGTTCTTCTCATGCTTCGACGGCACTTATGCCACCCTTTAGCTTTAATCCCGTCAGCTCAAGATTTAGACCAAATTGTCATGAGAATCTATTCAGGGGAACTTTGCTTCACAGATGCTGTAGTGGATATAAGAGGAGCCTCTGATCCCAAAGAGATAGCAAGCGAGGCCATGTCGTTATATTGTGCCACCAACTCATCTATCTCCCGATTTAGTTCAGGATCGGAGGGAGATGCACCGTCGGATCTTCCGTTTTGAAGGCTGCTATCAATCACCTCGCTCAGCATGCTGGCAATCTGCTTCAGATCAAAGTCACGCGTGCTTGTACTAAAGCTTCCAAGGGACGTGTAAAATTTGGAGCTAGCTGCGTTGCTTTCAGATAGCCGCGACATAAATCTGCTGCTCTCTGGGGAACTCCTTGCCTGGGACATAGAAAGTGCGACGTTTTGCAACAGTGCACTGATGCGAGAGATCTTCCGCCAAAGATCTGGTGAAATGTTGTCAATGACGGGATCAGTTCGAGCAGTAGAAGAGCAGCTCGCCTTGCTCTGACTGCTAGCGTCTCCAGAATGAACCGCTGATGACAAACTCGAAAACGTTAGGTGAGTCCTTAGTGGCTGAGGATTGTAACCCTCTTCCTCAGAGTACTTGAGGCCGTGAGGTGTTTCAAAATGCTCCGCTTCTACGCTTTTCGTGGAGTGAAATGCAGCTTCTGTGCCACAATCTGCACTCTGCGAATGCTGCGAATGTCTTGAAAAAGTAGACGCCTGGGTGTCTGCAGAAGTGCTGTAACCTGTCTTATAAATTCCAAGCGGAACGGCCGAAAGATGCGCAAGGTATGCCGTAATCGGATTTGGTCCGTGGCCCAATAACATCGCGTTGTTAAATGTGAAAGATTCTGGGTTTTTGTATTAGCTACAAACGCAATTTTGCTTGAAATTGCAATAATAAATTCTGGAATATGTAAAACAAGAGAATGTCTGCCTCACATGTCGTGGATCTCCTTAAGACGTGCAGGGAGCTCTACGAGAAGGACGCAGTAGCAGCTGACCTCGAGTGTGCCTTACCGAGACTATCAGAGGTTGTTCTTTCTCCCGGTTCCGGTGAGAGGGCCTTTATTAGACAGCATACGTTCAATCTGCCCCCTGCCCTGACTACGCTTGGTAACAACGTTGAGCGGCAGCTGCGTATGGGGTTTTTGCCCGAAATCAACTACGTCTGGACTGCGATTGATAATGAACTTATTCTCGTTGACCTCATCGACAACCGGCGCATAATTAGGTTGGAACTAGATGCTTATATAGATTGTTGTTTAATAATTACTCCAGCTCCCTTAACGTTTGCTGTGGAAACGCGGTACCTTTTGGCCGTAGCGCTTACAAACCAAATTAAGCTCTATCCAGTAACCTACCCAAAGGCCACCTCCACGCTCAACAACACAGCAGTGCAACCTCCCGCTATGTCTCGTGGTGCGCCAAGCATAGATACCGACGTAACCACAAAAGCGTTTCTTCAAAGGAAGACAGTCTCCTTCGGTGTTAGGCTGTCGGCAGCTGGCTCCTCATCTGAAGAGACCCTAGCAGCAACTTTGCAGCAAGAAAGGTTTATCATCGCTGAGTCACAACTAAGCGTAACCCTACCCACGGATGCCGCTGTAACCCAGTTGGTTGGTACTCAAACAGGCAGACTCTTCGCAGGATTAACAACCGGGTCTCTCATAGAAGTGGTATATAGTTCTCAAAATGAGGGTCTTCTCTCAAATATTGGACTTCTTTCGGCAGCAAGAGGTATTTTGCCTGGCGGCTTTTCTTCCAGTAGTGCTGGAGTCGGCAGGGCTCGGTTGATAGATCATACGTCTATCCCAGTCTTGTCGCATGTTCCCTTTATTTCAGACCTTTTACGGCCCAAGCCCATTAAACAGGCAGTAGTAGATGATACCAGAGGACTCCTGTACACACTTCACGAAGATAACAGGATCACCGTATATGTCTTTGATGACAGCTGCATATCATCTTTTCGCAAACTAAAGCCATACACCTCATTCCAGAAGGATCTAAGCATGTATTCCAACGACTCCCAGGCATCCATTGTACAAATTTGGCCAATCACTTTATCAGAAAGCGTAACCTTCACTTTAGTTGCAATGACCGATACAGGACTAGAGCTCTATTACAGTCTATCGGCCTGCGGGGTGGCCAAAGACACATACACACTCAAAAATGAGTACTATGCGGACTTCATGGCTGCAATGGGCAAGCAGGATGCAAAGCACAATCAGGCATACGATTTCAACTATGACAAACTGGTCCTCAAACAGGTTAGAACGCCATTCCAAGGCATCAGAAGCCTTGTTGGATCCTCGTGCATAAGCTTTTTCCGTTCTCGTGGACTCTCTGTTGCCTGTTTCTTCGATGATGTATCCCAGCAAAGTGCGGTGTGTGGATCTGTGAACGAGATTTCTGTCCAGCCACGTGTCCAGAGGTGCACCAGAGAACTGTTGCTTGATGTCTTTAGTGGAGGTCAGACGCAAGTGGGCGCTACTCCACAGCCACACCAGCAGAAGATCGTAGACGTAGTAGAACTGGATTCTTCCCAAGCAGGGAGCCTCGCACTTTCCACCACATACCTTTCTTCGAATCCTCAGCTTTACCAATATATTCACTCTCCACGTACAATAGCCATCATTACAACCTCGACAATAATTGTTTACAACATTTCTACTCCACTAGAGAGGCTCCACGCACTCCTGCGCGACAAAGTTGATGTCTCAAAGCAAAGGGATCTCTATGGAGATCACGAATTCTATTGCATGCTCCTTGCTATTGCTTCTCAATACTCGTCTTCGAAAGTGTCAGAGTGTGCGACTCAGCACTTCTTTGAGGGCATGACTGCAGTTAACTGTGTCCAGATTGCAGCTTTGAAGCGTTACATTGCCCGCCTAATGGGTCCGTTGTCGATATACCCTTATTGGAAGGGGGCTCCAGTAACTGCTCCCCGCGCTTATGCGATTCAAAGTGGTGAGTCAGATAACAAAGATGGAGCAGTGCACCGCCTATCGACATTCTTCTCTAAAGCTACACAACGAACAGAGAGCGAGAATACAGTCCAAGGAGGGGCTGCCTACACTGAAAAGAAAAGGTCGCATTCAGCAGCACGCCAAAGGGTATGCATAGACTTCAGCGAAGAGGGTCGTCGCGCTTATAAAGAGGGTATCATTGATACGCACCCTGCAAACCGGGCTGTATCTACATCCCATATAAGTACAAAGTCCATCTTCCGTGCGTCGTCGACTAGACTATCCACCACCACACTCACAAAGAATCTTTCCTTTCAAGCCTCGACTCAAGGGGTCCCTCTCTTTCTGGATAGCTCTCACACAATGGCATCCTTGACGTGGACCATGGACGAGCTTCTAGGTGTTAGAGAACGACTCAACCAACTGCTGCGCTTTATGCAAATCAACTACAATCGATTGATTGTTGTGGATAGCGCACAGCAAGACGCTGACAAGGTGGAAACGATCTTTGAATCATTGGGAAGCATCTCAGAAGCAATCGGATTCGTCAGCCTAATCATTCATCCGTCCAGAATAATCTATGCTAGCACGTGCTTGAACAACTTTGCCCGGCTCCATGGACACCCAATGGTATTTTCAAGCGGACATGATGGCGCCATGGCCACCCAGAAAAACAGCAAGAGGAATAAGCAGCAGAGCGTGAATACGCTTTCCACCAGTGTATATGATGGCTTGTCGTGCGGCATATATTGCGACCTTCTCTCTATTCACGGCATATTTCTCCCTGAAACCCGGGTCCTTTTGGATGAAATTATTCGTACACTCTCTGTAGGCGACGTGACAGAGATTCCTGGGGCCTCCAGTATTAGTCGCCATAACCACTCGCTGTTACGGGCGGCGTCTTTGCGCTACGGCGTGAACTGTGATTTTTCAGCGCAGCTCAAAGAGCACTGTCAGGTCCTGCACAGTGTCTATAGTGTGCGAATCCAGGTTCTGCAGCAGCTAGAGCAGGCCAAGAGACTACCTCCAGAGCGGCGGAATTTGATAATTCGCAGGGCCATAGATACACTGGTGCGCTCTCAATCAAGCATCGAGCCCATTGAGCCAATCCTCGATGTCCTGAAAGGGATGGGGAACTTCTCCGCGTGCATCGTACTGCTTCTAATAAGGGTCTTTGATGACGAAACTGCTTTATTGGACGCTCTGGGAGATGATGGCAAGTTGGCTAGCATCAAGGGGCCTCTCGGTATTCATGCAGAACAAAATGCAGGGCTTGTCCAGGGAGCCTATGGACACAAGGGTCGCGCATATAATCTCATGGCGCCTCAGGGGAACCCTCAAGGTTCTCCAGAGTTGGAAGGCTCGTTAAAAGACGTATTTCACAAAGTTCTACAGACAAATATTAATCGTGCATATGATTATTATAAAGGTTGCTGCCATCAGACAGTTGGCCAAGGGCCTTTTACACGGCTCAAGGAGCTTCAAGCTAGCATAGACTCTGGAATTGTCAAATTCCCCTTTCAAATTGACAACGGCTTTGATGCGTTGGTACACAATGAGCTTCTTATGTCTACGATTCCCAGGAAAGATTGGCAAGCCTCGATATCAAAAGTTTGCAATCTCTGCAGCAAAGCCCTTGATATCCTCAGTCAGGGCTATCTTTTAGCAGGGATATACGAGCTATTGAGACCCCAGGGCTCAGCTATGCACGGAACCAACGGGTTGAGAGATCTCTCCGGTGCTGCATTCAGTCACTTTGGTGGATACACCCAATTTGGCAGGCCAGGCACCTTCACTGAAATGGCTGCGGATGTGGAGTCTGGAGTGCACGATGCAGATAGCCTCTTTGCTCTAACCGGCGTCCCCCTGCGGTCAATCCATACCGCCGCAAGCGCAACGTCGGGGACAGCGTCTGGACAGATTGTCACCGTTCTTCGTGTGGCCATTACTCAGTGTCCATCCAAAGTCTGGCAGATGCAGTTGTACTACTTCTTGTATGCGCACTACTACACTGCAGCATGCATTTTGAAAGCTCTCCAAGAAGACTCACAATGCGATACAAGTGTAGCAGTAGTCACCGTTTTAAAGATTATTGAAAATAGGGCCTCGCTAGGGCTAATAATGGCCGTCTCGCCTTACATAGAGAGTTTCTTAAAGACGCAGAACTTTTACCTCTATTTCAGGTATTTGGAGAAACGCTCCAATGACAAAATATGTGTTGCGATGTTTAGAAAGGCCACAGAGGCAAAAACTCAGGCTATCTTCCCATCAATCGTCAATGGCACGGTCCAGCTGGGATACCTGACGCTACAGGATCGTATCAACATGTTATCTGATGCCCTTGCGAAGCTGGAGAGTGGCGGACTTGCACAGCCAACTAGTGCTCAGACGGCATATCGAACCGTTGGAAATGCTCCATTGGTAGGGGTGGAAAGCCAGCCGTTTGGTATGTCGGGACAATCCAGTGCCGCAGATGCTACCTTCGGAGTGGAGGGAGCCATGAGTGCAGCTTATCCCAGAAATATTTATGCCACTACAGACAAGGGTAGAGCAGATGACCAGGGTGTTACCCCGCAGAAGCTCTTGGTGTCGATTAAAGAAACCCTGGTCGCGGCTCGTGTGCAACTGGTAGTGCTTCGCAGGGTGCAGAACATAAAGGATGGGGATGTCTCTAAATACATTACTCAGCTGGACACAGACGGCATCAAACCGCTCCAAGAATTATATACCCAGTGCGTAGTGCCCCTGCGATTGAGTGACATCGGGGTATATATATTGTTGTCCAGCGCAACGCCCAATCAAGAGCGCTCAGCCCTAGGCGGCTATTGGGTGGCTGCATTGACGAGCACCACCCTCCCTGGCTTTGTCTTTAGACAGGAGAGTCTGCTCAATGACCCCCACAGAGGCATCACCAGAGGTATCGTCCGCAGTGACAGTCTCAGTTCTTCAGATCTTGAGGCAGCCAATGTGATTGGCCAGGCAGCTCAGGTGTTCCGGAGCATAGTAGAGATGTGCTCGGACCTGCAGCTGACCTCCTTTGACTTTGTCATCCCTATGACCATTTTTGCGCTACTCACAACAAACAGGTACAAGACATACGATCCAAAGCAGCAATATGAAAGATTGGCTGCCCAATTTGTCCTGAACTTATTTACAACAGATGTTGTGACAATACGCGAAAAAGCCCTTGTTGCCAACCTTATACACAGCATTGACTCTATTTGGAAGGTGCTGGGGCTGCATCAAGGTGGAGTAAGCACGGTAGGGAACACCCAGATAGACACAGCAGCTGTTATGGAATCCATACCTGTTCCTGATCTTCTAAAAGAGGACTTCTCCTATGTGTCAAAGGTTCTATGCTACTACATGATTGCTCTCGTTCGCAAATACAGCGAGCTGGGATCACTGGGATACGACCCCTCCCAAGCATCTATCAATAAGAAAAATATAGGGATGCGAATACGCGCATACCTACCGCCTAATACTCCTATCTTGGCGCAGCTCGACCGTCTATGCATATGACCCAACGGCATACTGCTGTAGTACTGTAGTACTTGTGCCCAGAGGGTTCTATTGCGCATTATTGCATAGTCATATGCGCGCTTTCCGAGGGAAACTCCTCGCTAGGCTTTTGCCTCATCCAAACTTCGTGTGAAATTAGGTCGAAGACGCACTGAAATCGATGAGTTGAAGCAGCATCCATTTTTGTCAGTAGTTCTGCTTCATGCTGTGCTAAAATAGAACACAGCTTCTAGTCATAGTGCACTGCGTACATCAAAGCCGTGCGGGCACAGACATCCTGAAATCTAGCTGTGCCTGATGTACGTCCAGGAACCCTGAGCTTTCAACCATCCGTGGACAAAATTTTATTAGAATCATCAGCGGCATTTGAAGCGCCCCGATTACCGGTCTAAGCCTATTGAATAGTAGGTTAAATGGTGCAAACAGCTCCGGGAACGCAAGTATGTCGCTAAGGTCAGTATATCCTTGTTGTACTAGGTTTGCTAATGCGGAGACTAGAGAATCGCATCCACGCACATGTAGTCTCTTAGCATATGCGATCATGCTCTGTAAATTTGCTATAATCCACAGGCTGGGGTCATCGTAAGATTGAAGTAGATCATCACGCGGGCCGGGTTGGCGAGATTGCTTGGATTGCCAATCGCTAGTACACGACGACGTATCGAAGGCCATGACCCTTCTGTTATCAATGTATATGCTTTCTGACCCAACCGTGAGGTCCGACGCGGCAACAGAATATCGAGCCTAGTGGAGAGTGATGGATTGCAAACACCATTTGCAGCACCATGCTCAAAACCAATTCTTCTGGAGCTTCTGTCTGCAAAAAGTCCAGCTCGCTGAGGAGATCTGCGAGACTAACCATATGTCGCAGCCCTTTGACATCCATGGTTGCCCTTGTCATCTTAATAGCATGTTTTGCAGAAAACGTGAGTACTATAGATGTCTACTATAGTAAGGTATTTGCCAGCCCGTGTTCGCAGTCACCAAGATGACATTTTAAATGAAATTTCACACGATGGGGCGCAGATTTGGGATCAATCTTTTTGGCCAAAAAGGGCGGGGAACAAAATGGCACGCACCAAGCACACGGCACGCAAGACGACCAGCGCGACGAAGGCGCCGCGCAAGACGATCGCGCGCAAGGCCGCACGCAAGACGGCGTCCTCGACGAGCGGGATCAAGAAGACCGGCCGCAAGAAGCAGGGCATGGTCGCGGTCAAGGAGATCAAGAAGTACCAGAAGTCCACAGACCTGCTCATCCGGAAGCTGCCCTTCTCGAAGCTCGTCCGTGACATCGTCACCTCCGGGCTCTCCAAGTCCGACATCCGCTTCCAGGGCGCGGCGGTGGAGGCCCTCCAGGAGTCTGCGGAGAACTACATCATCTCGCTCTTCGTCGACACGCAGCTCTGCGCCGAGCACGCCAAGCGCGTCACGATCATGAAGCCCGACATGGAGCTTGCGACCCGGATCGGCAAGCGGATCGAGCCCGAGTACAGGAAGGGCAAGTAAACGTTAACTTGCGGTTTTCATCTCTGAGTTGCCTTTTGCCTCGCGCGGCGCGCAGACGCAAAAAATCAAATGCCCGACCTTCTCGGCGTCCAGGAAAAGAAGGAAGAGGCCCGTGATCCGCCCCAATTCAAGTTTGGATTTGTGCCTGCAAGCACCGACGACAAGAATCCTACTGGAGAAAAGCCTGCCTCAGTCCCTGCTCCCACTCCTGCTTCAGATTTCAAGTTCTCATTTGGTTACATACCCGACCAAGAACCTCCACGCAAATCTCTCAGGTCTCACGGACACATAGATAAGCAAGCGGCAGAGCCTGCAGACGGCCCGTTACCCAAACCTACCACCGAGTCAAAGAAGACCAAGACAAACGAAGCATCGGAGAATGCTACTAAGGAGAGCACTGCAACTTTCGCGTTCTCATTTACAGGAATCGCAGCATGCAAACCGTTAGAGCCAACAGTTAAGGCAGCATTTAGCTTTCCCAACATGGGGCCATTAAAGGCAGACGACAACGCCCAGGGTCCACCAGTTGCAGAGCATAACGCCTCTCTGGTTTCGGCTAAGAACTACACGACCACCCAATCAGTCGACAAAAAGGATTATCAAAACAAGAACAGTCTTTTCGAAGGCGGGGACGTCGAGCTCTACCACTATGATAAGGAGGATGGTAGGTGGGTTGCCAAGAACAAAGGATACTTGCAGATTATTAGCGTAGAGGAGTCGCCAGAAGATCGCCAGCTCGTCTTTTCGCGCGTTGGAACGAGTATTGTTGCAATAAACTCACGCTTAACAAAGGATGTGAACGTTGTTCCCGATAAGAAGCGATACCTCAAGCTCGCCATCCACAACGATCTAACGAAGACCTCCATGATCGCGCTCTTTAAGTTCGCAACGGAGGAGCTCCGCGACACTTGTCTTGCAGCAATGCCGCAGAAAGACTCCAGCGAGGGGAAGGCAGAGGAGCACACCAAGTAAACCGAGCAGAAGCTGCAAGGAAAAATTAGCTGCAGGCAAAAATTAAAATCAGAGTCGGCTTCGACTTTAGTGTAGTTACTGTTTCGTCGGCTTAACCGCCGATCCACTACATGCAAGGGGCAGCCGGGCTGTGAGGCAGCTGCCAGGATGGTCCTGCCCTTGTCCCGGCTGGCGCCGTCCACCTTTATTCAAGTTTTCTGGCCGGCTCTAATTAATCCGGCCAAGGTAATCTCTTTTGTCCCAGCTATTTGGTAGCATTGTTGTCAAGGGGCGCTGGTTCTAGAGGATTCAGAGACGCCGGTGAGGATCTACCGGGAACTTTGCGCCTCAAGTTAAAAAAATAGAAAATTAAAAAAGTATCTTATGCAGACGCCGTCCCAGGCCCTTCCAAGTATCCTTCCACAAGAAAGGAAACCCCTGGATAATGGCTCTGTGTATACGCTATTGGCGAAGCTCATTGCTAAAAAGCTCAACTCAGACGATTTATCGACCACCACCCTTCTTGAGCGAGTTCAGGGTCTTCGCACAAGGACAGATTCATACGAGAGTATGCTGGAAGCGCGGAACCTCCTCCTGCAGCTGGTCACTCGTTCTGATTTCCGGAACATATCTCTTGTCGGCTCTGAAAAGCAGAGCCATCTGCCGCGTTGGACCTTTGCTCTCTATCAGCATCAGGAGGTCGACGATTCCACCTCCACTGCTTTACTCTCGGGAACGGCAATTTTATCATCTGAACTTACCAATGTGCTTTATTCACTGGGTTGCATTTCTGCATCTGAGGCCTCAAGGGCAGACAAGACCATGCAAATAACACTCTATGCGAGAGCGGGACACTTCTTTGACGAGGCCTCCAACATGGCGAGTGGACAAACGGGCCCCATGACAAAGGCGTATCTAAGCGGGCTTGCAGAGATGGTCCGTGGACTAGGGTACGAGGCGCAGTCTCAAACTGAACTTCAGGACAATCTGGGTGTCATGCATGCTTTCGCTAAAGCGGCACTTTCATATAAAATCGCAGTTACTCACCTTGACACAGTGCTGCGCAGTATGGTGGACCCTTCGCATTATCCCTTCATGCTTTCTGAGGCCAATCTAGTGTCGATCAAGGAGAGGTACTACTCCGCTACCACGCGTTATTACCTCAGTAAGGTGCAGGCCCAAATATGTGTCTATAGCACGGCACGAGAAGCTATTGAGGCCCAGAAAATTCTAGTGCAGTTGAAGACGAATTTAGAGCGTGGGCGTGCAGAATATCAAGAGGAGTTCGATGTCTCAGTCATTGAGGCGGCTGTTAGGGAGTTGCTCTCTTGCGTTAATGACCAAACAACGATGTTCTCTGACTGTGGATCTGCTTCCCTGATATCTCTTGAAAGCTTGTCTCTGTGCTTGCGGTGCGCTGGACGCGCCCAAGTTCATGATGATGCTTTCTCCCACGGAGCATGTGCATCCTCTCTTTCGTCAGGAGATCAACTTCTAGAGATAAATGCTCTCACTGACAAACTTATCACTTATGAGCATGAGCTTAACAAGAAGACTATAGAGCTGGAGGAGCTCAAAAGCGGCCGTGCAATAACTGACTCGTCTATCTTCACAACAGAGATTTCACGGCTCGAAACATTAGTAGACGAGCAAGGCGCGGAGATAGAGAGATTGCGTGATTACATAGCCGAGAGGGACATAGAGTCCGTGCGTATGCCCCCGATCCAACCTGCCGCGAGTGCGTCACTGGTCGTTGACATGGACAAGATCTTAAGAAGAAAGGATGACGAGATCTCTCGCCTGCAAAAGTTGCTCTATAGTTATCAACCATCCCCTGCACAACCAGCCTTTGTACGTGCGCAGGTGCCTTTGCTAGACGATTCAGAAGAGCTCCGCAAACTCTTGGACCGTGCCTCATTAGAGGCCTTTCAGAGCAAGGCGCGGGCGGACACACTTGAAGAAGAGCTTCAGGAGCTTAGAAAGCGCTATGCCGAGATCACCATGCAGTCGTCCAAGGCTGCCTTTCGTGATACAACCTTAGATGCATCTGTCTACACGTCGGAGATAGAGAGACTGGAGATGCAGTTGGAGGAGCAAGGCACTGAAATAGAGCGACTCAGAGATTATATCACCGAGAATGAGATTGGAATGAAATCTCTCAAGCTTCTGACTGTGGCACAGCAAGCTCCTGTGAGGACTCTGGACACCTCTGATTTGCTCCTTGGCAAGGATGCAGAGATCAGTCGGCTGCAGCAAATTGTTTATAACCTCACATGTAAGCAGGGGCTGGTGAGCACCGACGAGATAGACAGATTGAGGAGTGAGCTTGCGAGCAAGACCCTCGAGCTGCAGAATGCATATAGCCGTTCAGCAGTCAGGTCAGACGTATCGGGAATAGATACCTCCATTTATACGATAGAAATCGATCGATTGGAGAATCTTATTAACGAGCAGGGAGAGGAGATTGAGCGGCTGAGAAATTATATTGCTGATCTGACCATAGAGACGCAACGAATCCAGCCTGTTGCTATCGATTTTCTTGATGATTCTCCAGATCGCTTGCCTACCCCACCAGCTGGACCATACGATACATGGATGCCAGATGACGTCGATGTGCTGCCTCGTGCACGCATGGAGGCCGTTACATTTGACTTTGTGGATGTTCCCGTAGTTGAGCGCCTACCAACACCCGTGGACTGTGGCCTGTTTTCACTGGAATCTCCAGCGCATCAATCACGCATGTATGTGTCCACAACAGAATATGACGAGCTTCGTAGAGTAATCGCTGAAAAGGATGAGATCATAAACGAACTTCAAGCACGCTTGGAGCAGTGTAGAGACATGCCTGTACCTACTATACACATTCAGAGAACTTACGGTCAGGCGGGTATACCTGTTGTCGAGCGCGTCGACACGCCTCCAGAATTACCTTCCGACACGTGGATAGGAAGCACCGAAAGAGGGTTCCGGACTATACGCAAATCGGATATCCCTGAGCTAGCAATGGTTGAGATCCCGAGGATTGACCGTGTCGACACGCCTCCGGAGCTTTCGTACGACACGTGGATGAGTGCTGATGTTTGCTCTCAGGTCACGGCGCGTAAAGCCGACATCTCGATATACAACCTCGCAGAAGTCCCTCGGGTTGACCGTGTCGACACACCTCCGGAGTTGCCATTTGATACATGGATGGTGTCTGAACCTGTACCTGCAGAGCCTGCGGAAATGATAACGTCTTGCAAGCAGACACCGGCTATTGATTCCTATGAGATAGAACGTCTCGAAAAAGAACTAGAAGAGCTACGTGCCCAGATCTCTGAATGTGAGCAAGAGCTTAAGAGAAAGGACGATGAGATTAGACGCTTGACGGATGATTTAGCCGCTGAAAAGCGTAACATTAAAAAAGTGGAGATTGTCAAAGAAGTGCCTGTCTATTCGCCTCCGGTGTCGCCTTCCAGCGGTGGGTCCGACTTGGAAAGGCTGAAATCTGGCCACCGGCATGAGATTGCCACTTTAAATAATCAAATTGAAGCTCTCAAAGAACAGCTTAACTCCGTTGGTGCTTTGAAACCACAGATTGTCACCGAATACAAGTTCTCTGACATCGACTACGACAAGCTTCTCGCAGAAAAGGACGAGGAAAATGACCGCCTGCGTACCATGCTCAGCATCCAGGCCCGACTGAGGGCTACAGAAAATAAGTCTTCAGACTATGAAAAGAGGGCCAAGGAAGCAGCTGAAGCAGCGGAGTACTCGATGCGAATCATGGAGGAGAAGCTTGCAGCGGCCAATGCTGCTGCTGCACGAGCATTTAACGCTGCACCACAGAATGCTCAAGTGGAATCTCTGCAGAAGAAGCTGAAAGAGAAGGAAAACGTAATTGCTGGGCTTCTTCAAGCAATGACTGAGCAGAAAGATTCCTTTGCATCGTTGCACAGAGCGCATGCATTGCAAGAAGAGAAATATTCCAACCTATGTGGCATTCTTAGTGAGCAGGAAGAGACAATCCGATCTCTGATGCGCAGTCCTGCGGGGGCAAACAATCTAACCCTCAGTACTTCCTTACGTGGGTCTGAGAAAGCGGGAGGGAGTCAATTTCAAGATATGGGCCACGAATCTGATCTTTTTCGATCTTCTGCTGGGGATAACTCTCAATATTTAATCAACTAGAGGGCCTGGTGCCCTACTTGTAGCCTACGCAGTAAAACATCCTTTTAAAATTTGGCTTTTTTGCAATGGCTGATGCGGAGCAGTGGTTTAAGGCCGTGCGGAGTAAGAATGTACAGCTGGTGTCCGAGCTTCTACCGACATATGCACGTACACAAAACAAGCATGGCGAGACGGCTCTGATGATGGCTGCTGCATCCAACTGCTTGAGCCTTTGCCGAGCCCTTGCTCCCCACGAGCACTCAATGACCAACAATAGAGGATACACGGCCCTAGCCATTGCTGCCCTTAGAAATTATTCGAGCGTATGTCTGTTACTAGTCAAATACGAGAAAAGTGTGCCGCTACACAAAGGCATGACACCTTTGCTATTAGCCATCCAAAGCTCCAGTTTAGATGCTGTCAGAGTTCTAACACCCTACTATCCTGACACAGAGGCCTCAAAAATGTCTGACATAGCTGTTCTGACCGATGATTCTGAAATGCTATCTCTCTTGATCAGTTCTGCCTCTATAACACAGGAGGATGTTCAGCGCTCCCTGTCTGCGTCTGCTATTTATACAGAACAAGTCGCCAAGAGCAGTGTTGAACACAACGTTCTCCCTCCTTCTCACTCGTTGCTGCTGAGCACGGCACCTCCTGTTCAATCGAGGCAAGAAGATCTCGATGATAGAGAATACTCACAAGAGCATCCTTTTTCCCTAAGCACACAGATTGGTGCTACTGTTGCTAGCACCAGAATTGAGCAGGCACCTACTCTACCACTAAGCGATTCTGTTATGGCACGGATGGGCGTGTCAACCCTTGCCGAGCAGAGCAGGCTTCAGATAAGCCATTTGGCTAAGACGCCCTCCAGCCAAACAAGCAAGGAGGTAACACCCTCCTCCTCACTTAATCTTGCAGAGCAGGAGCAGCCTATAAGCTCTCAGAGTACTCGTTCTACAGGTGTTATTCTATCGCGGACGCGTATCTTAGCCTCGTCACCCAGTAATAGCAAAAGTGGCCCCGAATCAAGCGTCTTACAAGGTAGTGTGGATCGCGATAAGGAACCTAAGGAACCGTTGCAATCCCCGAATTCATTAAAATCCCAACCAGATTCTGGTAAGAAAAAGAAAAAGCGGAACATAGCGTCGGCAAAATCAATCAAAGAACCGCAGCAAAATTCTAAGGAGCCCAATATAAATGTGCAGAGACTATTCCCAAGCCCTCCACGTGGCCATCCTGGCCGTAGTCCTTCGTTGTCACCGTCCAGGCGCCCATCGATCCCGTTTTCTCAAAGCATTCCGATATCTCCCTCCCGTAGCTCTCCTAGCAGGAGTTCTCCTCTGAGGCAATCTTCCAAGAGCTCGTTCATAATTTCATCTAAGAGTACCAAAGGATCCAGCCCCAGAGCAGACATACATGTAAGGCCGGCATCGGCCCTTGACATACGTTCCTTAACCATTAAAAACCCTTTTTCAACTCAGCATAAGCTCGATCCGACGTTCTACATCACCGGGACTGAAGAAGCACCTCGCTCATCTTCTGCAATTACTGAGGCATCCTCTAACCGCAAGGCTGCGGATCGATACAAATACAGATATGCTGTCCTGGCGGAAAAATACAGCAAAATGCGTGAGGAATTTGACGCCCTCAGACAAATGGGTGAAAAGGTCACAGCAAATGTGGTAAACAACTTGAATGAGGTGATATCCACCTTGCAAACAGAAAATGAGGAAAAAACCGCCGAGATTGATCGGCTGCAGATTGAAAACCAAGAACTTCTGTGGAAATTGGACGAAGCAGAACAAACTTTGCGATCCACCATGCAGACAACAACTATTCCTGCCCCAACTAGTAACGATGTAGTCTTCCCGCCTACTTGGGAAGCCACGTTTGTCCCTGTAGCTTCTAACCAGAACGATCTTCCTCCGCCTGCAAGAAGTATGTCAGCACCAGGAGCACATACAGACTCTAAATTAGAGCATAAAGATCTGAGTGAGGTTGAGCTTGATAGCATAATTCGTCATCTGCACACGCAATCCAGCCTTTCGCGAGCAGCTCAGATCATTTTAGCACTGAAAGAGGCTCAGCAGGGGCTGCAATCTGAGCTACTTGTGTGCAAGAAGAAGCTTGAAGCTGCAATTGATGCACGAGATGCAGAGCACCATGAGTGCCTCATATTGAAGCAGAAGTTGATGGTCCTCGAGAAAGACTACTTGGATCTAAAGGCATCTGCACACATCACTATCCAAAAGGACAACGACGGGAATACGCGGCTTATTAGAGCAGTGGCTTTTAAGTCGTGCAGTGATCTCAAGGCCATTAAGCAGCTAATAAAGGAGGAGGCTGGGGCAGAGAATAATCGCGGTCAGACGGCCTTAATGTATGCCGCAGCACTAGGACTAGAGGACATAGGCCTGCTGCTTATAGCTCGAGAAAGTGGGCACCAGGATAAAATTGGTTGCTCTGCGTTAATGATTGCAGTGAAGAAAGGATTGATAAGCCTTGCTGAAGCATTGATTCCATATGAAGCCGGACTACGTGACAAAGGTGGGGAGACGGCCCTAATGACCCTAACACGGGCTGGTATCTTAGAAAGCTTGTACGGGGCCATGGATTCGGACTTATCCTCAGACAGCGCAGGCCATTGCTTTCCTTCGCACATGTACATTGAACAGATAAACAAGCTCATAGCCGTGATTAGGACACTAATTGGAATAGAAGGCGGCATGAAGAATAATGAAGGAAAAACCGCCCTTATGCTTGCTGCAGAGCAGGGGAAAAACAAGATACTAGTTGAGCTTATTTCCAGAGAAGCAAAGCTGCACGATACTCACTATAGAACGGCACTTATGATTGCGTGTGAGGCCAATAACATCGAGGCAGTTCACCTTCTCGTGCCGCACGAGAAGTGTATATTGCGGTGCGGCATCTCCGCTACTGAGGCAAGCTTATTTGGTAGTGACTTCGAAACGTTAGCTCAAAGTGCTAGCAATGAAGAATGCAAGCTATCAGAACCCGGATTTGGGACAACGGCGCTGATGCAGATGGCTACCCTTGGTAATTACTCCCTTGCACAGATTCTTGTGCCACACGAAAGTGGATTGATGGACCAAAATGGACTAATGGCCCTAGATTATGCTGTCCTGTCCGGCCACAAACAAATAGTAGAGCTGCTAAGGAATGCAGAAGGCCTTGTCACCATTCAAGATGGGCTCCAGCCAGATAAAGATAGTGCTCATAAGAGTAGTGCCCATGGGGCCGACACAAGCCAGAAAACACAACTTATGCTGATGGTAAAGCAGCGGCGTCCAGGGTTGGTGTACTGCTTACTGTCCCAAGCAGGTAAGCAAGACTCTCACGGGATGACAGCTCTGATGCATGCTGTTCTGGCTCACAATCACGATGCAATTAAGTTGCTTGTAGAACTAGAGGCTCGAATTAGGAATTCAAAGGGGGAAACAGCACTGATGTTGGCACTTTTAATTGAAGACACCACTGCGGTCGAACTTCTGGCCCCCCACGAACAAGGCATTCAAGACAACGAGGGAACTACTGCGCTTATGATCTGTGCTTATAATAACTACAAGGGCTTTGTGCCTTTGTTTGTTGAAAGGGAGCATGGTATGGTGATGCTCGATGGAACCAGTGCACTTATGGTGGCAGCAGAGCAAGGCTTTGAAGAGATCTGCGCCATGTTACGGCCGTATGAGCTTAATCTTACAAAGGACGATGGAACCACAGCGTTCCTGTTGGCAAAGCGGCACGGACACATCAAAATTGCCGAGTCCCTCAGCCCTAAGATCGTTGTCGATAGGGAGGGTAACACAGACTTAATGCGAAGAATTATAGAACTGGGGCCTTTTGACCCACTAACTGATTCGGGTCTTACTCAGCAAACTGACATAGCGAGTATTGAGCGCATTAATAAGGCATGGCTTTTGAAGACTCTGCTCTACCAAGCGAAGCAGGTGAACAATCACGGGAAGACCGCCCTCATGTTAGCAGTTGCAAATAGAAATGCCATAGCAGTTAAGCTTCTGCGTAAACTAGAGGCTAAGATGACTCTAGGGACTTTTATTTGCCGAACCTGGAAGCTTACAGATGCAACCGCTTTGATGATGGCTGCGTGCTACGGATACGCTGACATTGTCCGTTTGTTGGCCAAATACGAAGCACGTTGTATTGAATCCTCTTTCCACCGCACTGCCTTGATGGCTGCGGCATACTTCAATCATGCACCTTGCGTTGAGGTGCTTCTAGAGTATGAAGCAGGAATGCAGCGCCGCGAAGGCTCCACAGCACTCATGTTAGCTGTCTCATCAGGATACTATGACATTGCCGCATTGCTGGCCAAACCAGAGGCCAACATCACTACCAATGCAAAGTCCACCTATGGTGAGGGTGCCAGTGCCCTCATCATGGCTGCTGCGCTCAATAATTACCAAATGGTCGAGCTTCTGGCCCCTTATGAAGCACTGGAGTTCGGTGAGATGGCTATCAGAAGGACATCTGACCCATCTATTGCAAAGCTCATCAGGACCCATGTTCCCCTGGGCAGAGGGGGCATCGGAGCAGTGCAGAAGTAAAGCACCAAGACGTGGAGTGCTTAGTGTTTACTTTTAAGTAAGATCTAATCGTCTGTGTCTCCTGGAGGACTTATAAGCAGGATTGGGACAGGTGATAGCTTGTTGAACTGCGGCACAAGCTTCTTGATGTATCCGTACTTGACGCAGACACGAAACTTGACAAAACGCCACGCTGATTTTGCTCTATCTTTGTTCAGAAGGACACTCACCACTGGTATGTTTCTACCAAAGTTTATCCTATTATTTTCTATGGCCTTCTTGACCTTCTCTACCTGGCCCTCTTTGACCAGAATTGTAAATTTATTGCCACTGTTTGGGAACTCGAAGATGTCTAGAAATTGCTGGAGGCTGCGGAGAATTCCTGAAAGCTCAAGACAATGGATGGACGACGGTGAATATGTGAGATCGCACAAGCTTGAGTGAGAAAATTGTTTGCCAGCCTCCTCTAATTCGGCCAAGTTGGCCTCTGCTGTTGCCATGTCTCGCGTCTTGAAATTAAACCGACTAAAGTCGCTGTAAAAGCTGTGTTTCATGCCAAATGATGCCTCCATTTCTTTTATAAAGACTTCGGAGACACTATCCGTATACAGGTGGCCGGTGTTGGCGTCGTAGTGTGCATTAATAAAACCAAGGTCCTTGATCTCCGAAATGCCCAGCACAGTCAGCAGAATCATCTCTTTGTTAAAATAGGAGTCGAAATCATAGAACATCGTGCCTCTGGGCTCCTGGGCGTCCTGAGCAGAGGCACCGTCGTTATTCATCTAATTTTTAAAAATCCTTGATAGAAGTCATGACAGTTCTTTAGTTTATTCAATTTATTCCGACAGTTCTGTACACTTGTATTGAGCGTCACACCCTTGAACCCTACGGTATACAAGCTATCAGCTCCCAAAAGATTTAAATGGTGACAAAGACTAGAGCAAAGGAAGAAAACATGTGTACATGTGTGCTGTGACGTAGAGCCCGCCTCACCACGGATCAATAAGATCATTGACAGGACGAACGTTGAAGAACGGGGGCTGCTTTAAGGTTTGAGTGTTTTCTATTAACTTAACGCAGTCGTCCTTATTCAGTAGCAATCTGACCTTCACGCGATAGGCCATGTTACCTTTCTTAGGATGAGACTCAATAAGCTCCACCTTTGGCAGATATATCTTGAAGGAGACCCGATCGTTGACAAGGGCGTCAGCAACCGCCTTCGAAAGCTTCTGGGGAACTATTATCTTCACGCGCTCTCCAGCCTTTGCAAACGTTACGTGCGAAAAGAGGAATTGCAGAAAATCAATAATGGCTGGAGTGGACTTCGCATCTGAAGCCGAAGAAATGACGTCTACTGCACAAACACCGTCACGTACAAATGCCTCCTCACACTTTTCAATATTCGTCAGGCTTCTTTGCAACGCAAAATCCTTTTGTTCAGAAATAATATCATCTCTATTTAATTGGATTGTGTGCGCAGATACTGAGAATATCCGTTTTATAGTATCTACGATCTTCGGGTCTGCGGTCTCTATGCGCGCAGTGCGCTGCTCCTGATCAAATAGAATAAAATAACGCTTTAGCCTTAGCTTTTCGGATATCCCCACTGTGCAGTACCGAAAGAGGGCTTTGGTGACGCACGGTGGGAAATCTTCAAATATCGTAGCACTGACCACAGGCTCGAGGTCGTCCATAAACCCACTTTTAAATTATCAACACATTCCAGTTCAAAAAAATCACGCGACATGTCACACGGGGAATTGGTAGCCTCTCCCAGACTCGCGGGCCAGGGCGCAGGTTTTCGACACCGAAATCTTAAGATAATCACTGATACCCTCCCCAGCTTTACAGACCAACAGAGCAGCGAGTCTGCTCGGGAGACTATGTCGAGGTTGGATCCGTTCGCCGACCCTGTTTACTTGTACGATGGGTCCGATATGATATCAGGGACAGCCACGCCTTACATCTTCACTCCAGCAAGGGTCTTGATATCCAATGACATGCGTTTTCGGTTTTTTCCGCCCGAACAAACAATTCTCCCATCAAAACCTATCAACTCTATAGGTCATAATACGCACCTGCCTACTGCTTCCGCGAAGATCATACCCTTCATTTCCGAAGAACCTCCGGCGACTGCACTAGCATTAGAGGAGTTTCCCGTTCCTCCTTCTCCTCATCCTCGGCCGCCGCAGTCAGAGGTGGCCGACGCTTATGAGCGGCCATTACCCACAGTCCAGGCGAGTCCCCATCAAGGTGGGGAGTCCTATGGTGAGCAACGAAGAGTGAAGGTACACACACAGCCAATTGAGTGTAAGAAGCCCTCTGTCCCTAAGGGGGAAAATATAGGCCGTGACGATCTTAGGCGGATGATTAGGACCCTTTCGAAGACCGAACGGGACGCATTGATGCAGCTCTTGTCCCAAGAGTTTCCTTCTGAGGAAAAGCCACCGGCTGGTATCAGAGTAGGCACTCAGGTTGATTTCCTGCTTGATTCTCAATCTGGTAGAGCCGTAGGAGCACGGGATAGCAGTACATCAAACATGGTCAATGATATGCCTGCCCAGAGCGTTGGCTGCGCTCCTGATCCCATGGATAGTCTGATCAACAGTGATGCTGGTGGAGGGTCTATGTACATCCAGGAGCCCCACCAGCGGCAGAAGTATGCACAGTCCGTCCATGACAACTCCTCTACCTCTGAGCACGCGTCCCACTCCATGTCATCCTCTTTCCACTGCTCCCACCCTCATCACAGCAGAACCTGGCCGAGCATGCATGCCACGGGTGGGAACTATGCAGTGCAGGATACTCCGATTGTAGTAGATACAGACATCAACTACACCGTGCAGAGTGCCCCGAAAACTTACATGAATGAGTCGGCGTCGCACTTTGCTCCCCACTCCAATGCACAATATAAATTCAGCTGCATTGGGTTGGCCAGCTCCACCTTTGACAGACGTAGGCCCAGACCCGCGTTCCGGGCCACTATCTACGAAGATAGTCCTAAGGCCCCGAAAGCATTCACAGAGCAGGATGATAATATTATCCTGGCAGCCATCTTTTACTACGTTGGAGATTATAATACCATTGATCTCAATTGGCACATCATCTACTATTACTATTCTCTTCTGATCTATAATAACCGCACCCTCTCCAGTCTGCGTTCGAGGTTCCACAAGTACCTCAAGATGGATTTCAAGTTCGATATCAAAGACTACTCTTTCTCTTACTGGCTCGATACTTTAGAGCTGTGTGTCTCCACTATGCAACACGTCAATGTCCCCATAACCCAGAGAGGGGAGCTTTGCAATATGATCGCTACAAAGAAAAATAAAGTGCACTACCTTGTGGCATGCATCTTCGTCTTTCTTCGCCCCGATATGAACTACAATGAGTTGAAGCGTAACTTCTGCATATGGCTTGAGCTTATTAATGGGCCCCACAGATTCATGTGACCACTGGTACTCCATTGATTTCATTGAATCTCAGGTCTCAGGTGTGGTTGCTTGGCCTGAGCCCTCCTTGTATAATTAGAAACTCTGCTTTTTAAGACTTTTAGTCTTACCGAGACTTACTTTTAGAAATTCTTGTACTGTGACTTCTTAGTGCTATGTTTTGTAGGAAATATTTTAGATTTAATGCCTTACTTAAGGATGCAACGTCGCCCCTGTCATGTCACAGTTAGATCTTAGTACATCGCTGTTGTCGATATTTCTACGTTTATTTCTTCTCTTCTTCTTATGAAGACGGCTTCAGCTCCCAAAGGATTCCTTGGGCGTAAATTAATTGGATACTATTGTTTTCACTGAAGCCAGGTCTGGGGGTGCACTCGGTTTTATGGTTCGGTTGTGAGCATTATAAACTGTAATGTTTGTACTACTTATTTTACAGGTTGGAAATGAGCTCTCAAAGTGTGTGTGCCTCAGCTCCGGCATTGGCAGGAGAAATCATTTAAAACCCTTTCGCAGGAAATAAAGGCACGCAGTGAGTGATGGGCATAGCTGGCCTCTGGAACATTCTGAGTCAGATGTCAAAGGGCTTAAACCGCGCCGACTATCTCAACAAGAAGACGGTCTCGGTAGATATTTCTGGCTTGTTGTACTCTTACTACTATACCAGCTCAGATGAAGAGCGTAAGAACTACCATGTCCGCGCAACCTTTCTAATTATCACACGCATACTGTCACTGGGCTTGATGCCTGTCTTTGTGTTTGATTCTGGGGCCCCGCACTGGTTGAAGACCGAGGAACTGGAGAGGCGTCGAAGCGCCGAAGCCAGTTTGATCAGAAGCACTAAAGGTGAAGCAGACGCGATTGATGCTGACGAATATCGACGACTTGAGACGGAAGCGCTTGACGACATTATGGCACACTTTTCAGCATCCCATGAGCAAAATACCCTTCAAGAGATGACTTCGAAAACTGTATCGGATTCGTTTGTTCCTGAGCATTGGTCAGATAGTAGTAGGGGGGCAGTCACTTCCTTCATGAGGTGCACTGCATGCCCTGAGATTACCCCTATAAATTTTGACCAACCGGAGCCCTCTTCTACCGCCTCACACTTCGCTGGTATAAATGCTGCCTCTGAAGAAAAAGAGAAAGAGGATTCATATGTTTCTGACTCACTAGAGTTTAGGGCTGACTATAACTATGAAGGAACAAAGCACTTGCTATCACATAAGCTCCGCTTTAACTCTGACGCCGTCTCTGCACAGTTGGAAGAGTACGCAAGTTGGCAACTGCAAAGACGTCTTGCAGTGTCTCAGATGAATGAACAGGTCTTTACAGCTATTAGACAGCAAAGGGATGCAGCGCGCTTAGCTTTACTTACAGCCATGTCTCCACATAGATCAGTTAAGCAGACACCAACCAGCAAGGCAGACGTGTCGCCAATGCAGCGTAGTATATTCAGTGCATCAAGAGACGCTGAAGAGTACTTCTCTACCCTACCCTATTCCATCTCTGACAGAGATCCTTCGACAACTGAAGCTTCACACCCGGCCCCTTCTTTTGTAGCACCATCGTCACCTCCTGGGCCTGGCTGGAGAGAAGAGCTTAGTGGTTCACCTGCAGCTCAAGAGATGGATGCCAGCGCTACGTGGAATCGTTCCACGAACAATCAATCTTACATGAAGAAACTTATGAATTCTAGTACTGCTGTGGGGACAACATTTTCCTCGTTTGTCAACCAATCTACTGAATTTCCCGAGGTGGGCGTATTCAAGGTAGGCGTATATAAAATGCACAAGAGGCTTGCGGGCAATACTGACTCCTCTTCTGTATACAAGCCTTTAACCGAAAGGGTGATAGCAGAGGTCTTACAAATAGCTAACTTGTTCAAGGTTCCATGCATCAAGTGCAAGCCTGGCTATGAGGCTGAACATGTATGTGCCCTTTTAAACTCTCATGGTTATGTGGCAGCTGTGTTGACAGAAGACTCGGATGTCATAGCCTACCGCCCTGTTCTGGTGCTGCGCCTCTTTGGAAGACTGTCCAGCATCCATGACGTCTCTGGCTTCCAATCCATACGTCAGCGAGATATCTCTTTGTATTTTTCAAGCGATGATATTATCTTCCTTGCACTAATTATGGGATGCGACTTTTGTGATGGTATTCCTTCATTTGGATATGTTCACACTTTGGAGCTACTGCTGTATTTGAAGTACTTTGCTCCGTTGGATGATCCAGCTCATGAGTTTCACACAGTCTCGATCCACAAGTTGATAGACAGATTTCGTCTGTACCTCTCATTTAATGGCTTGGTTGTCCACCCTGGCACTGCAGCATCACAAGTTAAGAATCACGAGGAGTTTATATTGCATGCGCACGAGATTGCTGTTAAGCAGAACTGGGATAAGATTGTCGCATACAACGGCCAGGCATGCTTTCCCACCTATTTTCCAACTGATCACCAAGCACACACCTTTCTGCGTGAGCTTGTGCAGCTGAGGCCTGTGCTGAATCGCAGGCTGTGGTTTAGAAGGGAGCTTCTTTTGAGGAAGTTACAACAGAGGGCCTCCCCAGGTTCGAGCAGCAATGGCTTACTGAAATCTATGTTCGCAAAGCTTACATCCAGATGGGACGCCGTGATAAAGTTGTTTAGTCAACATGTCCCTGTTGAAGAGGCATGTGTGCCAATCTCTATGGGAGGAAGAACCGTTGAGAGTCTCATACAAAGGGTGAACGTATTTAGCCAGCAGCATATTGCAGAACAATTGGACATGCTAACCGAGGGATCAGATGGGTACCGGCCCCGAATTGGGGAGGAGCTACAAAGGCTGCTTAGACTTCCGGCGCTTTCTATCCAGGCATGTCTGCAGAGGACTCGCACGTCCTTTGTGAAGAACCGCGAAGATATCAATCGAGTTCAGATTACAGAACTTCTCAGCACTGCAATACGGCGTGGGAACATCTTCAGCTTCCAGTCTCTAGGCAAACGGGCCTTTCAAGCCCTACGTGCCTTATTTGTACTCAAGACGATTTATAGTTAAATTAATTTATTTATTATTGATAGGTTTAGCAACAATCCGAAGTCAGGGTTGTCTAAACATTTTGCTCTCTTACAAGCGGGACTGAGGAGGCCTGTACTTTAGTCTGTAAGCGCATGCTGCACCACAGACAAATTTACTGCAAGATCTTAGCAGACTTGTGTTGCCTTGACGCTGTGGCAGATTGCTGGCTCTTTTGGCGTGTTCCATTGTATAGTATAGTGGTGCTGCGTGCAGCAGGTCCCCGATGGTCCCGCAACAGGCTGTCATCTCCAATGGAGCTATTACAGGCCCTTGTGTGGTCTTGAGAGACTACGTGGAACATAGAGTTCATGGAGCTCGACAGAGATATGCTGTCTAAAGGCTCACAGACGGAGTGTATGTCAATAGACGGCCTGAGAGCCTCGTTGAATATACTGCTGCAGTTTTGACTGAGGAATGTCTCAGAGTCATAGGATGCAGAGATGGATTTGGTCAGCTTGCCCTGATATTCTGGAAACTCCCGCTCCATCATCGTGATCAGCTGTGCATCCTCAGCATCTGTGAGCTCGTAGTTATTTCTATAACGATGAGGTACAACCACATCTGCGCTTGGATGACCCTCGTAGTTAATTGAGGCCGTGGAAAAGCCTAATTCTACGGAAAAAAGACCAGGGTGATTCAAATAGCCGTCGTGGAACTGTATGGGGGAGTTTCCTTCAGACTTCTTCCCTCGCTGGTGCAGGATAGCCGGGCCCGCAGAAGACTGGCGACTATTTAATCTACGCCGCGTCCCATCCACTAAGACTGTTGCCTCAGCACCCTCTACACTTTCAAACTGCGGTCGTGTGTCCAGAACAGCTGTGACGGTGCTACCAATATCTGCTCTGGGTGTTTTGCGAGACCTCAGATCTCTGTCCATCTTTTTAAATTCAAATCTTTAAGTATTGCGAGCCTTTGAGAGATGAACGAAAGATTTGTCCATAAAACTCTGCCTGCGGAGTCACCTAGTCTAGCCCCTGTACAGATTCTCCTAATGTGGCAGCTAAACTCCATCAAATTCCTTCTTATTCACGTTAAAAATGAATCCTTCTGACATCCCCTGCCTTGTTTACAATTATCTGAGGGAGTGTGGGTATCTACACAGCGCAGCAGCTCTTTCGTGCGAGGCCATGATAAAGCTTAATGATCCTACCCTGGACATGGTAGATCCCGGCTTGCTTCGAATCCTCGTTGGAAAGGGGCTTGCATACGCGCAATTAGAATCACTCTGTTTGGATTCGCATGTGTCCATCTTCGATCCTGCCACCAAGCAAGACTATGACAACAAGGCCATCACAGTTTCGTCAACCGCAACTTTGGGAAAGGAGCAAAGCTTGAGTTGCACGGAGGGCGTTCGATTAACACGATATCCACTCAACTACTACATAAGCCACATGCCAAATAACGACGGCTACCCGTTACGGATCCTGCGATTTGGCCCCTCAAAGGAACCTGCGCTCTCAGCACGACTTGTCGTCATATTTCGCCATAGCCTCCATTTGATAGATGCGCAAACGAAAGCCGAACTAGCAGGTCGCGCACTTGATGTAACAGAGGATCTAGCAGCGCAAGCCTTTGTCTGCCCCGATGGTCTCACATTTAGCCTTGTCGCCAAGCTACCGACAACGGAATCAGAAACTAAAAACGAAGGTGGTGCTAGTGATCCTGATTCATTGCACCATTTCATTGTCTTCAACACTGTCTCCCTTTATGTCTTGTACAGATACAGCCTCTCGTATCCTACCAAGTCCATCAGTATGGGGAGCAAGTGGATTACATGTATATGTGATAAGCAAAACAATGCAATCATGATACCAAGGCCCTTGAGTAATCGGTCCAAATCACTGATAAACCTCACAGTACACCCTGTGCCAGAGGCCATTGTTGAGCACTACCACAGTCGCAGGTATGGAGACGCAGCAAGGTCTACCACCTCTCGAGAAAGAGGATGGGCATCTTGCGTCTTCCAGAGCGCAGGGACATGTTCAGGACTGTCTTCATACTTTTATGTGTCACAAAACGAAGTTCTCGCACTATACTCACCCCTTGGAATCTTGCACCTCTATGTCCCCTTTGTGGACAACGAAGAAGCGGGTGCGCTCACGCCTCGATATATTAATCTGCCGGAGTTCTTGGGGCTGAGCACACCGCAAGTATTTCTTACAGTATACACGATTGCATTTATCGACTCATTGCCGTACGTTGCGTGCTTAACGAGTCATGGCATAGCAATGATAAACTATAGGTACCTGTTGTACGGCCCCTTGTGCACGGAAGTCGAAAGACAGTATAACTCATGGGCATACTGTGAAAAGCTAGACCCTGCCATCACAACAGTGGAGGTAGGAATATGGACTGAACGGTGCGCAGTTGCGGTGTGCTCCGCAAACAAGATAATCATTTTATCCGTTGAAACAGGCCTCCCTATGTTCACCCTGTCCATTGCGGAGTTGCAAGGGCTCCACGGTGAGCAGATAGACTGGTCACAGACTGACTGTTCTATAGCTGATTTGGCATTTGTTTGCTCAAGCGGACTGGCAGTACTTGTGTGTGATGGTGCCAGCACAAAGATATGGTGTGTGAAGGTAGCCCTCAATCACGCCACAAGGGTACTGAAGACAACACTGATATACAAGGGAGATAGTCCAGCGAGGAAGTTCATCGGAAGAGACAGCAGTAATGGCACCAAGAGATTATATCTCTCTGTGAGCGACTGTGATGCTATTGAGTTGGAGTTTTATCGGTCTCCTCGCCATTGATGGTAGAAATAAATTCGTCAAGTGCCTCGTCCTGCGTCTCCTGAATAGAGTTAAGAAGGCTGTACTCTTCGGGCATCTGTATGTTTGGTACTACTAGTCTGATAGAGGCTGGTGCATTATCATCTTGACCATCTAGGTTGATGGCTTGCTCGATCTTTCCACGCAGCATAAGCCACTCGTTATGCCTCTGCTGTCTCTGGTCCTTCATTGCAACGTCAGCCTCCATTCCCTCAACCAGCAGCTTATGAATCTCAGCAAGGAGAGTGTCCTGTGCCCGGGATAAATTTTCAGTATACCTTTGACCTGCTGACTGAACTACTTCAGTATCTCTATCTGTATTCACGTAAGTGTTGGTGAAGAAGTCCATCAAGTTGGACTCTTCTTCGACTCCATCTTCTGCTCTAATCAGCAGATCATTAACTGTATTGATTTCTCGACGAGACCTCCGGGGGAGAAAGTCCCCTATCATATTATAGTTCTGAAGTATATGGAAAGAGGCGCAAATCAAGCACCACTGCACGAGAGCTCCCTGCTCAATACCCAATATTGTAAGTGAGGTCGGCTCCTGATTCAAAATGCAGCAAGATTTTGCTTGTCGCGTCTCTAGCTTTCCGTCAGCATTATAGAAGATCTTTACTGTTCTGTCGCTATAAATAGTAACTTCTACCGGCTTCGAGGACTCTTCTGATTCGCTAGAAAACGCAACAGATGCAGGGCCTTCTAGAATAAGTGGTGCATTGAAAAAGGATTGGACCATTTGAAATTTAAAACTTGGCCTCAAAGTTTAAAAAGGAGCCTGTCCCGAAACCATGCTTGGAAGCACACAGGTCATTAACTTTTCCGAGAAAATAGACGAGCTGATTCAGGCAAATGAAATGATCATGAAGGAAAATGATCTTCTTGTTTCTTTCATTGAGCGCCACCAGTCTTTTCTTAAAAATCAAGAGAATAGCATTTTCGATCCCACGTCCAGTTTGCACTTTGATGGCGAAGAGGACGCGCTGGCAGAGAGTGCAGATGACAATTCCGACACCCTGACCATGAAAGAGAAAGTTTTGATAGCCATCTGTGAATCGGAAGAGCTTAAGGGCGATGCAGAGATCATGCGAAACAAGGGTACAGAGATAACATTGACGCTGAAGGCCTTTACGATTTCCGCAGAGACAAAGCTTTCTGAAATAAAGCGGTGGCTTTTCGCCTTCCGCCGTGACGTTCTGGCCGACCCCCAGGCGGCACTGACCATCGGTGACCAGGTGTATCTAACTGTTGACGATACTGGAGACGTAATTACCAGTAGGAGCCCGTCGCCTAAGACTCGGAGTCGCTCCCCCAGCCCCGGTAGAGTAAAGTCGCCGGTACGTGTCCATGCTCAGGCATCAGGCAAAGAAGGAGCGGCAGGTGAGCCAGATGTAGAAGCAAAGAGCACTGCTCCGGCATCCCCGACTAAGTCTCCTTCTGGGTCCCCATCGAAGCCCAGCACCCAGGTTGGCGCAAGGCAGTTTTCTATCCCCACCAAGGTGTCAGCGTTTAAGCTCAATTCATTCTATTCCGAGGTTATAGGGAAAATCACAACAGACATGAACAATATGAAGGCACGGATAGACGTGAACAACAAGCAAATCAAGAAGCTCCAGAGGCAGCTCGAAAAGCAGACTGAAGCAACAGATCAGATGTCCTCCATTGACTTCGATCAACTGGCCATTGCGAACTCCAAATATCTTGAAAAGATAGCTGCCAAGAACCAGGAGCTTCTTCGGCTTAAGCTTACCAGTGGAAATACCACGCTGGCACTAAACACCTTCAAATCAGATCTGAATAAAATAACAGAAGAAAAGGAGTTCATTGAAAAGGAAATATTTGCTAAACGAACGGCAATTGACAAGATAAGCGCTCAGATTAATGACTGCAAGAAGCAGCTGGGCATAGACAGGTCAGTTCTCAAGAAGCTCCGTCAGAATGAAATTGCCTCTGGGGATGGACCGGCCTCAATAGACTTTATTTCCTTAATAGCCACTCAGGACTCTCTTCAGAAGGCTATAGGGGAGTATACACGCAAGGTCTCTATTTTGGAGCGAACACTATTCAATCTTCAAAGAGACGTTACACAGGGTCAATCTCTGCTCAGTGGCGGCCCAGTAAAATGAAGATAACGCTAGGTCTCTTCTTCTAAGCCCAAATCTTACAGTATCAAAAGCCGTATGGTCGATGTGCTAATCGAGAAGTCTAATTTGAAGTTCTAATTCGGGAAGTCTTGTTCAAAATTGTTTAAATAAATCAACGCTATATGCTACAATGAAGTCTTTGTGCTCGACAAACAAGCTAGGCTCCGGTGCAACAAGGATGCATCCGCATATGCTGTAGTAGAGGACCTCCAGTCCGCATCCGCCAAGAAAGCTCTGGAGGGCCTCCACAGTCAACACTCGCTGGGAAAAGCGTCTATTCTTGATATTGTTGAGGGTATTCGCTCCCCGCGTACTGGCAAATATTGTATGCGTATGTGTACGATCGTCGAATAACACTTGGTAGACAATGACGGAATCTTTGTAAGCGTAAATTTTGTTCATAAGCATTAGCGCCGTCAGTGCATTCTCAGAGTACTGAATAAATGTGCCTGTGAGGATGGCCTCGATGCTCGGAATGAAGGATCCGGATCGATAGTTGTCACCAAATCCAAGATCGTGAAGCATTAGCGTATTATATACGTCTAAGGAGTAGACAATCACGTCCGTATGGCCTATCATCTCACATGCAGACTTTGTAAGGAGCAGATGACCCTCTGTTGCCACCGAGTTGTCGAGCGGGTTCACGATCATGGCCCTGTCGAGATCTGCAAATCCTATGTCAGTCAATTCTTCGGGGATTGTTGAGTCAATGGCGAACATTTTGATGGTGAAAGTCTTTGACTTCCCTTCGCTGAGGTAGCCGTCCTTGTCTTCACTGGGTAAGGCATACGTCAAGATCGTATCCTCTTGGTTAACAACATAAAGCTCACGTGACAGAGTCTGCGAGTGTCCCACACACTCAGCATCTATCTCGTGTTCCTGAGACGAGCTCATCTGTTCATCTCCGAAGCACATGTCAAGCTTCATGGTACCAGATGAATCGAGGTTGTGCTCAGCGGTTGGATTGACATGGGCGACGGAGGCTTGACGGTACGGCATGGACAGCACAGCCCTGCTAGAATATGCTTGCTCAAGGAATGGTGCCCTACAAAGAGTCTGCTTCTTGGGCATGGAGCAGCGTACACGCTCAACCAATTTAGATGCCATTTTGTACAACATGCCCCGGTATTTAGTTATCATCTCGTCGCTCACACAGTCAAACACTAGCACCATGCTATCTATCTTCTGAAGATCCATGAGCATAAACATTGTTGCATAAAAAAGCTTTGGATCTAGGTCATTTAATATAATAAGTCCAAGTGAGCTGACGTTCCTGGCCGATAGCTTAACCTGCTGCAGTGCACCCAAGGATAGTGTATGATTCATTATTGTGCTAGTTATTACAAAATCGTCAAATTGTGGATTCAGTACCCCAATGTACTCACTCATTAGGGTTGAGATTTTCTTCCCCAGAATGCTTTTCAGGCCTGTGGTATTAGATACTGGGTTCACAGGGTTTTCTGGCGGAGCTATCGCTTGTTCAAGTGAATTGTCTATAGGTGGTATTTGTTTTGAAGACTCTGCATCAGGAGAGTAAGCCCGTGACATGGCGTTCAGAGAGACTCTATTCAGTAACGTAGGCGGTGAAAGGATATTGGTCTGGGCACTTTGCATGGACAGCTCGTCAATCTTTGACAATGATAGCATACTGGACATATCGCCTAGAAACTCACTGGGTTGCTCAGCAATGGGGAGGTGTGCAGATAGCTGCTTGAGAGAGTATATGGCCTTACTTGCGGATGTCATCTTAGAAGTTTTGCTCCATATTTGCTCATTGTTGTGCTTGACTTCATAAATCGGAAACCGCTTAGTAATGCCCAGCAGATCAGGCTTGTCCATCGTGAGTCCTTCGTGCAGATTGCAGCAAATGTCGAACTTAAAAAGCTGATTAGTGAAGCGCCACTTCTTGACAAATGTATCCTCATAGTTGAGGCAATCATCTTCTTTACGCTGAAGAACACGCTTGTTAATTATTACAGCAAGGGGTCGGAAGCGGTCACTAGTGGTATCCGCCCCACAATTGCGCACCATAGTTTCCAGGTCGATAGAGCTCTTGCGCAAGTACTTTGATTTAGATGGATAGTTATTGGATTTTGAGCTAAATGTCGTGCTTGTGTCCAGCGGCTCAGTGGCAGCGACCATGGCAGGAAGAAATAGGTGTACCTGCTTGTTTTGCTCAAAGGAAAGCCATGCACGCCACTTATTGTCGTGCACCAGGCCGGGATGGAAATCAAAAACGGGAATGTCAATGGTGGATCGTAGAAACTCAAGAGTGGGGAACTTGGTTATTTTCGATATAAACTGGGTTAGAGCTGCTTCGAATTGTAAACGGGGCTCCTTTGTCCGCCCTGCTTGAAAGGAACGCCTCGAGTAGCGAGTCTCTAGGGCAGCTATATTATCAATAGATGGAACAGACGACACATTAGAGAAAGATGTGCTCTGTTGCTGGCTCTCTTTACCGAAATAGTCAGCACAGGCTGTTTGCATGGTCTCCAGGGTGATGGGCACGGGGAGAACGGTGCCAAGATTGGGTGTCGAGACTGCTATAGCGATTGCGTTGTTGTCATATGGAATTTCTGGCAACGAGGGGCTCTTCACAAGGCCAGTTGGTTTGTCTCTAAGTGCAGCTATTGAGTACGCCTTCGGAACATACGACTTTTTATCCTGCACATCACTATCTTTATTATTGACTCCCCATGGATAGTACTCCTTGTACAAGGACATGGTCGAGCTGCTAGACAGGTCCATGGTATATCGCTTTTTCAGATCCGTGAAGCGCACATGAGAAGAGTACATGTGCTGGTTTGCATCGAGCGTATTCTGTGCACTATTATTGAACTCAAGCCCCTGCATGCCAGGTAGAGAGCTGGACGGGAAAACATCGTCTGATCTGGACTTGCAGTATAGCTTGGATCGTCTACCACTTTGATGCTTCTTACCCTTTGCTCGTGCGTTTGCCAAAAGGAGACGCGTGCGGATTCTCACTCTCCTTACTCTTTCATTATAGAAATCTGCCGTTCGATTCTCAAGTTTATGTAAAGAGACATGAGGGGGGAGCATGATGTTGAAGAAGAAGGTAGCAAACCCCGGGAACAGTATCGCCAAAACAAGTATCTTTGCACTAAAGTCGGTCATATCCACTATGTAGCAATTCTCGTGGTAGGCGCCAATGTGTGACTGCAGTGTCTGGGAACGTCCACCCTCCCGGGTCATCACAATTAACTGTGTATCCACTTTTGCAACTCTGCCACAATTGAGTGCCATAGCCAGACAGGTGCTGTCCGCCATGGTTGAAGATGACACTGGAGACAGCACGACAATCTTTCTGCTTCTACCCACCAGGCTGTTGACCAGGAATTCATAGTCTAGCGCCCGCCTTGCTGTATTCTCCCCGCACGTGTTCAGATTGATGTAGCCTACGTTATTGAAGCTGTAGCAGGTGTTGCGTAAGTGAGGATTCTCGTCTTCAGTGACGTCTATCAGGCCAATGTGAATATTTGCCGGCAAGATAAGCCTGAGGAGAAAGACAAACGATATGTTTTGATCGGAAATAATAGTAATTCCATTTTTGCAGGCTGACCTTAGTTTGTGTAGTAGCCGAGTAACGTGCAGCTCTTCTGTGCTATTCCTAACAAAGATAGGCAGGTTTCCCAGGAAGGCTATTATGTAGAGACAGAGCACCACCTTTGAAAAGTTATTTGTCGGATAGATGTCACCGTAGCCTATGCTGGCAATGCTAACCATAGTATAATAAACTGCATCAATTGTGCTTATTGAGAACGTCCCAAGGGGAAAGTTGAAAATTTGGAAAAGCCCAGCATAGCAAAATATGAAGGCAACGACTGAGTACGATATGCGGATTATGGACTTGACAAAGTCGGGGATATAATATTCCTTAACCCAACGGGTATGACTCTCCTTCATGCGAAAGATTGGACCGAGACTGGGAAGCAGCCCTCGATATATGCTGAAACTGCCCATGTGATAGTGGTATAATTGGCTTACCCCAGCCCTGAGAATGAAGGGCACCACTATAACTGAAACCACAGCGGAAATCCTAGAGACAGTCCACATAATATAATACCACGTCAAAAACCGTATGTGATACCGAGTGCACTGGATAGTAAAGTTGATTGCATCGTAGGTGATAAGAATTTGTAACGGAATCCATAGAAAATACATTAGAAGCGGGGAATCAGGATGAAGCTCACGCAACACATAAAAGAGACAGAAATCCACCAAATTAATAATGAGAAAGATAAGGCTTACTGGATCCTTGTCAAATATAGTCTCTGGTATCCGGAAATCGAAGTCTCGGACGTGGCGATAATATCGCAGCTTCATCCTTTTTTGATTTATCCAAGATTTACTTGTCCTACTCTGTCACAGTGGTTGCCATCTATGTAGTACATATACCGTATGAAGGCACTTACAAGTGCCTGTTAGTTACATTTCAATACTTCAACTGAAGGTCAAAGCGTAGCCAGCAAACATTAGAATAGGGAGTATATTGTGCTCAGCCCCAGAAAACAACACAGCGTCAGCGAGGACGCCCAAAAGGCTGACTGGACGATTGCTTGAGTCGACTTATTCCGTAGGACGTTGCGCAGAAGGTGTTGGCCGTCGCTACCGAACGGAAATCCCAGTGATGCTAAGATAGCCATGCCGGCACTCGTTTCTGTGAAGATCTGGACGATAAAGGTGAACTTGTTTGTTCTTCGTATCCGTTGAACCGCTACCTCCAACTCTTTGGCATCAGAAGCTGTGCCCACTAGAGACGTTGGAACAGCGACAAACTGCCTCTGATATTGCTTTTTCCACCCTTCGAGGGTGAGAGTCTGGTGACTGCCAGAAACTGGTAGTGGTATCATTTGCTGAACACCATTAACTATCGAACGTGCATAGACGCCGTTTCCACTGGCGCTAAGGGTGTCATTGGCGAAGAAATATGGATACATGCAGACATAGTCTGCTGTGCTGTAATGACAGAGGCTGGACTGGTCGCTAGAGAGAAAGGTTGAAAGGAGAGAAGTGTTCATAACATAGGGAGATAGAACAAGCAGGTGAGACGCTGAAAGCACGTGATAGTGGGATAGAAGTATTGGGACCCCATCTTGTGGGATGTGGCATTGTAGTGGCTCCATATTTTCCAAAGCTGTGTACGGTATCTGTATGCCTCCTAGGCTTTGTGATGATGAGTATGGTGGCCAGAGATCAGCCACACCTGCAAGGGCACCACTCTTCTGGTATGCTAGCTGCGCCTGAACCGATTGCCTGATTCCGGCGGCCAACGAGAAGGTGTTTTTGTTGTCCACCAAGAGCTCAATAGCTCCATAATCTCCGGTATACTGCGCCTCAATCGTCCGGAGGGCACGATCTAGATCCATTGGGCTGTGTATTGGTGTACTTCCTACGGACTGAACTAGTGAATAGGGACTAATGTCGTGGGGGTCCTCTCCCAAGTAAACAAACAGGGAGGTGGAAGAAACTGAGGTGCGTGTTCGGTAAGAAACAAGATATGCTATAGCGAGAGCTATTAACGAGGTGGATATGTTTCCGAGAATACCGCCTATAGCGTTAATGGTTTCCTTTTGAGAGTCAGAAGCGGATCCAGGTGAATTTAAAGCCCCAAAGATTGTAACGAAGGGAATGAAGTACCGTATCCCAACCTCAAACCCACGAATGGGTGTCTTGGTGCTGTACATAAGTAGCAGATGCCCCATCTCATGAAAGAGGACGGCGCTGCAGAGGCAAAGGAACACTGTCAGCACGTTAGAGTGCGGTACTGTGAGGGTGTAGGGAACTTCTTTTTTGTTGAAGGACGACCAAATGGACCAGATGATAACAGCAATGCTCAGAATACTGAATGCAGTCCCCAGTACGACTGACAATGTGCTTATGATTTGGAGAGCACGTGCTTTCTTTTTGGAGGCACTCTCACTGGCTGGTGATACGCTTAACGTTAGATTATACTGAGGTATAGACTTGAAATAAAATGCTTTAGAAAACCCATTATGTGTGACACTAACTCCAGACTCTTTGAGGCGCAGAAGTGTACTTGGAGAGCTCCGCCGCAAGACAGAGACGAAAAGAAGCCATGTTAGAGCCACGCAACCTAGACCAATTAGAAGAGAAAGTACAGCCATTTTTTGATTTACTTTTATGTGATAGCATCATATCACGCTAAAACGCATAGGGCAGATAACTTTCTATCTCGTTCATTATATTCTTGTAATCTGTCTTGAGACATACAAGCTTATGCTTAGCATTGGCGACAAGCTCATGGGGGACGTTAGGAAGGGGAAAGCCTTCATCGTCCAGCACCTTCGGGTATGCGTTCAGCACCTCCTGATAGCTTTTTGCTTCCGCCTCGATCTCTTTCTTTCGAATATCAAGCTCCATGAGTTTCTTTCGCACTTCATCCCGTTTCATTTTTTCTTGGAGAAGAACAACCCGTGCTAGGTTGATAGAGTGGCTGATCTTTATTGAGATGATGATCAGAAGCGCAGCAGAGGTGTCTCCTGCTTAGGAGCAGATACGTTCAGCGCTGCGATGGAGATATCCTGGAGCCATGAAGGTTTAAGCAATAGGCTTTGACGGGCTAGCCACGGAGGTGGATCATTTGGCTGCATGTTCAATGCTTCACGTAACTCATCAGACATGGTGCCTGGAGAGTATGCGGAACGACCAATTATACTGCTGCGCGCTTCTTGGTAAAGGTCTCCATGTGAGAGAAGCGGTATAGTTACCCAATTGGTACGATGCTCATAGGTTATGACAACAGTCTGTGAAGCACTGTACTGCTTACTTTCTCTGCTCGACCTCTGGAATCTCGCATAGATATCCTTTGGGTTATAGAGCTTTGCTGCAAATAGAGGTATCTGGTACACGTTTTGATGTTTCGAAGCGACTGTGTACTTGGGCACATGCTCGGACAAGAATCTGCCATTGCGTAGCCGCCAGTGAACTGGCACTGGTACACAGTTATGGTGTAAAATGTGAATGACATTTAACATGGGGTCTGCTGCCGTCAGATCGTCTGCAGTTATTGCCGCCACATTCCGTCGACTATAAGTGCACTTGACGTAGCCAAGGCACTCCCGCTGCTCCCTCTTTACTGAGGCCCTGGTAGTCTCATGTTCCAATGTCAAAGTCCTCGCAAATTTGCTCTGAGTAATAGACGTGAAAGACGAATTAGCACAGCCTTCCTGAGAAGCTGGTTTGCGTATCAACTCTGCTAGAGCGTATTTCAAAGTGGATTCTGAATCAGCTGGTGCCATTTCTTTGCATACAGCTCGGATTGAAGGCTTCTCGATGGCAGCATCAATAGTAATAGCATCGTGTTCTAAGCCGTTGCCATTTGAATCCTTCTCCGCTCTCCTTTTATGCTTTAACAGGTTGCGGTCGGAATGAGATCTTCTGCCCATTTTTTCTATGGCTCAAAGCTCTGGGGTAAAGCCTCCATTTACCGATTCCAATTTCTCCCTTCCGCGATCCGTTGTCAGTGGGCATGATGACGGACCCTTGGGAAATGACAAACCATCTCCACTGATGCACAGCACAACCGAAGAAGAGCCGCCGCGAAAGGGAGATATATTTAAGCGAGTAACTAGGAAACCCCCTACAGCTACTCCTACCCTGCAAGATAGCGTCGCCGAGAGTAGCTTAACCGAAAGAACTGAAAGCCAAGCTATTTCTTCCATTCCTCCTATTGAAGCATCTGAACCCCCCAAACCTCCTTCTGTCAGCATATTCAAGAAGCTAACACGCCCGCCAGTGACTAATGCACCTGCGGTTACAAACACTGACGCCGTCGACAAGTCCTCACAGCCAGTCGTGACACCTTCTGTAGTATCCCGAAGGCCCTTATTTATCACCCCTGTCAAGAAGACCGGCGCTGCTACTGTGCTGCAGTCCATCTCCCTGGATACTATTCCACTAGGGTCTATAGCTAGCACGACCAAAAGTGCCGCCGGTAAATTACCCAATCCTTCATTGAGAAGGTATCATGGGCTTGCATTGGATGGTGGAGTCCTCCAAAGAGAGCATGAGCAGAACACCAATCTTCAGTCTGCTAAGGTACTACAGGATTTGGCGGACGATTTACTAACTTCCACAAATCGACGCATAGAGCCGTCAGAAGATTATGCTGGTACCTATAAAAGCAGAGCTACTACCCGTGACTTTGACGATGACCTTTCAGACATTATTTGAGCCCCGAAGCAAAAAATGACCAATGTGTTGGCTGCGGTCAAAGCCTTACACACCATCTCCCGCAGATACTTGCAACGCCTGACTTTCCAACGCATAAGCTTTTGCATTTTGGAGTTGTTGCGCATTCCGCAGGCTACACGCCTTATTGACTCACGGACTACCGAAGATGTCCACCTTATCCTGAAACTGCAAGGACCTGAATTTCCTCCCCGCGTAGTTTATGCGTTCACTTCCAACAAGGAGTACTATCGGGTCTTGATGGATCCTACACTGCTTTATGGCGCAAGTTTTCAGACATCTGGCGCGTCGTCACGGTTTCGTGGCGAAGCAGCCATGACGCGCTCTTTTGTCCAAAGGACCCGTGCGATTGTTAAGTACAAGGAGCTATTCAGCTATGACCGACAGACCAGACGATATGTAACTGCTATGGTGGTATCTCCTGATTCACCCTCACACTTTCTTCTCGAGCAAGCTCTCCTGCGGTGTAATAGAAAAATCACACCGCGCAGGCCTCTGCCTTCTGCTAAAGCATTACGCGCCCGCCAGCTCCGAATGATGTTTGGTCTTTCTCGCGTTTCCGAAGCCAATGGCGGGACTTCACAGGAGTCCAGTATTATTCGGGCCCCCTACCAAAGCGAACATGTCTACGATCTTCTCGATGCATCGCTTCTTGAGTTTTGTAATCAAACCGGTCTTGCCCCTGCCCATTGGAGCGCTTTGTCCACACCGGATGTACACTTAGACTTTGAGGTCCGCTCACCAGCAAACCGGTCTCCCGAAGGTTCATCGCCTCCTATAGTTGATATTGCACGCGTATCTCCGCAAAGTTCGTCTCCTCACGATGATACTGCTGAACTGAACCTTAATGGCAAGGTTCCAAACGACTTCTATCACCAGCAGACAGTTTTCCTTACAGAAAAGATCGATCCAGACCTCGATCTGCATTTTCGCGAATCGCACTCGCCTTCATTTTCTTCGGCTACTCGGGTAGAATCTGGTCCGGTCCACTTTGTCACTGCAGCTGTTCCTGATGTACCAACTGCTCCACTGAGCTACACCCCAACACACGCTATCCTGACCATCACCCCTCAGACCCCCGACGATGTCATTGATGCATTCTTCAGTACTGGTAATAAGCAGGAGGTCCAGACCATCTTAAACGGGATCGGGCTGTTCGAAGAGCTCTCAATGTGACCAGTGAATGGACAGATTTACTCAGGCAATCAGTTGAAAAGGGAGAGGAGGTTCTTAATCTCTGCGCTCTTGGCATAGAAGATGGCCCTGCGCCCGGTGGAGTGCTTGATGGGCGCCTCCTTGTTCAGCAGGAAGTGCGCACACTCAGTATGGCCCAGCTTGGCAGCGAGCATGAGGGCAGTGAAGCCAGCCCCCTCTTCATGGAGCTCGTTCGTGGAAAGACCGCCCTCCTTCGTTTCCAGGATCTTCACACACTCCGTGTGATTGTTGAGGACTGCAGACATCAATGCCGTCCATCCGTTCTCGAGGGTCATGCCGGCCTCGCGGTCGAGAAGGAGCCTGACACATTCAGAGTGGCCATTCTCGGCCGCGTACATAAGGGCCGTCTTCCCGTGGTGGTCCTGCTTTCCGGCTTGGTAGGGACGATAGAACCAAACCTTAAGGAGCTCACCGTGCTCGGCTGCGCTCATCAAATACGTCTTCGGGCCTGTTTCGTTACGGAGGTTTGTGAAGTCCAGCGGTACTTTGTTTGTCAGCTGACTGGCGGTGTCGTAATCTCCCTTGAGAATCGCTTGCTTAATCTGCTGCATCACGGGCTCCGTCAGCCACTCCAGTTCGCTCTTGGAGACATACTCACTCGCCTTTCTGATCGATTCCTCGTTCGCCTTCCCATAAGCGGCTATCTCGTTCTCGGCAATGTGGCGGAGCATGGCCCCCTTGTCACCCGTAAGGACCTTCCTCGCAATACTCGTATCGTCGTCATCTGCATAGTTAATGAAGTCCCCGGTGGCAGCGATGGAAAATGGATCCTCCAGGTTGGAAATGCCATTTTGAAGCGCCTGGAGCGCAACAGAAGACTTGGTAAGCTCGTCTGCGAGTCCTATGACCTGGTTTTCAAGCTCCTCCTTCTTGCTTTCAAGGGCATTATAGGCAGCCTTGCGCCTTGCAACCTCATTAAGAATCTCGTTCTTCTCGTCTTCAACGGCGAGAGCACGCTGTCTGTATGTGCTTACAACTTCATTAATCTCCTCAACCTGCGCCTTCACATCCTCGATCTCCTTATCCTTGAGCTCGATGACGGAACGGAGGCCTATAGCTTCGTTCTTGTGCCTAGCGACGTTGTCTGAAAGCTTAGCAATCTCTATCGCAAGGTCTTGGGACTTGTGCTCAAGCATCTTGGCCTGCTCAATGACCTCACGATTCTGGTCCTGAAGCGCATTAAGGACCTCGTCTTTGCTGACAATGTTCTGCTTAAGATACTGGGCGGCCTTCTCGTGCTCGATTTTCGTGCTCATGAGAGTGTTCAAGTCAACCTTGAAGGCCTGATTCTTCGCCTTGAGGATGGCGACATCTTGCTTGAGCTCCTCATACTCCCTGGAGCGTTTCGCCTTCTCGGCCTGCAAATCGTTGATAAAGTGCCTGCAGATCGTGGCGATCTCCTCGGCGTCCTGAGACTTGCACTGCACAAGCACACGGATCTGATCGAGCTGGTCCTGCTGTATCTTGATCCTCTTCTTGAGCTCCGTGTTCTCTTCGAAGAGCCTCGTGTTCTCCGTCTTGAGGACCGTACGGTCGACCTCGTATTTGTCGAGCTTGGTGAGTGCCATGTCGAGCTCCTTCTCGTACGTTGCAAGGTCAGCGAACCTTGTAACAATACGGCCGCCCGAGCGCATCGACTCGGTCATGCCGACAGAGCGCATGGAGCTGGTGCCGTTCATGCTTTGGGTAGACCGCGGGCCGCCGACGCGGGAGCCGAGCATAGAGCCCGGCGATTTCTGCTCGATAGGTGTCACCGATGATTGTGTTGCCGTTGCTTGGGCATAGCAAAGGTTGGCGATTCGCTCAGCCTCGGCCTCAAGGACCCTAACTGTGTCCACGGCGTCCTTCTCGTGCGCGTACCTGAGGGTGTGCGTGATGTCATCTATCGTGAACTTGTGTGTGTTCAGCATGACCTTTATGCAATTAAGGTTGTCGTTCTTGACAGCATAGTCAAGGGCGCTGAGGCTGTCGCAGTCACGCTCTGTGGATAGATACTTGGCCAAAATCATCACGCACTCGTCGTGGCCTGCCTCCGCAGCAAGCGAAAGGGCTGTGCGGCCGTTGGGAAGAAAAATGGAGTACTCCAGGGGAGCAAGAACCTCAACCACGCGCGGATGGTCCGACTGAGCGGCAATCATAAGGGCAGTGAGATTATCAGGGTTAGTGAGGGTCGCCTCCTGCTTGGCAAGGAGGTGCGCAAGTTCCACATCGTTGAGGCGCGCAGCCATTATGAGCCCCGTATCGCCTGCTCCATTCGTGCTCCCCGCAAATCGAGGGATGGCAGTCCTTATCGCCGAATGGTTCTTGTTCGCAATGGCCTGAAACCAATCCTTTTTGTCCACCAGAGGCATAGGGTTTTTGTTTGGTCGGTAAAAAAGGCGCACTTTACATTATTTTTTGATTCCGCGCTCTAGAGTGAATTCGCCCGAGTTAGGCATGTTAAGGCCTGCTTAGCTCTTGAGAGAGCAGCTGAACGTACTCGCGAAAATATTTCATCTTTGCTATGGCCAAACACCTCTGGCCTTTGGCGTTAGGGACGTCCTCTTCAGCAAATAGTAACAGCTTAACACATTCCACATGGTTGTTGTCGACTGCATAGTGCAAGGCAGTTCACTTTTGTTTCGTCTGCATCTCCTTTTCACAATCTATCAACATTTTAACACAGTTCACGTTCCCTAGTTCTGCTGCAAGCATCAGGGTGGTCATCCCATCGTGTCGCTGAATTCCCATCTCTGGCAGCAGTAGCCTTGCACACTTCTCATGACCACTGTTAACAGCAAACATCAGAGCTCTTGTCTCAGACCAGCTCTGTATACCCATTTCCGAGGCAAGATGGATCAAACATGTATGGCATCCTTTGTAGGCGCTAATCAGTAGAGCGGTTATGCCATTGCAGCGTGCCGTCATGTGCTCTTTAATTAGGATGGGTTCACAGCTATTACTCTACCAAATCTCCTTCATCAGTGGTGTTGGTTCGTGCACATCTATTCCTGAGCATATGGGATTGCACATGGAAAGACCCCTTCTTGCTATTTTTCTACACATGGTAGCTGCAGAGGTTGTCCTTCGTTTGTTGATGGCACTTACTAAAGCGCTCGGTGGACACGAATTGAGGCGTGCAATGTACTTTTCTATCTCTTCCTGATTGTCATTGTCAATAGATGTCAGGAGCTGCTTCGGTGTTCCAAGGGTAAATGGATTGATGGAATAATTGTGTGTGCCCCAATGCTACATTTCTGATCATTGTCAAACACTCTATAAGAGAGAATGACGCTTCTGCAATAGATAGCCCTTCAATATGCTTAGTAAGACTGAGTAGATCATGTGAATACGCTGCTTGCCAGGGGATATCTAGGTCACTTGATGATATGCTCTCCGATAGACTAAGATTGGTCATCCAGAGAATAAGGTTTGACAGTCCACACAGCGGTGTACTCGATCTGGTGCTGTTGTCTAACCTGTGCATTAAGCACGAACTGGCAAGACCTTGATGACCGCTGCGGAGTTGTGGATAAAAGTGTTGGTTGGTAGAAGTAGTCCATAGGATGCGATGAGCATTGCGCCGTTGTCGTAGAATATATCTTCGGGAATCAAATTACCATGTACAATCTGCCTACTGCAACTTCTGTGCAAATAATCAGGCCTCTTGGATAGCTGATGAAGTATATCTCTCACTAGCAATTCAGGAATATTGCCATGACGTCTGTGGGCCAGAAGGTGGTCACTTAGAGACTTTCCCTTCATGAGTTCCACTTCGATGAAGATTGAGCGACTGGTCACGTAGATACTTGTATATACCAAGATATTCTTGTGTGTAATTCCCTTAAGAGAACGCAGGTCCTTGATCAGATTGATTTTAGCGTCATTTGCCACGTTTGCGAGAGAAGCCACTTTCACGGCAAGCTCCGGAGTTTCACTTATCCTACATGCCTTGAGTGTTACTCCTGCAACCCTGTGACCAAGAAGCTGACCAAGAAGCGACTCGCTTTCATAGAGGCCAAAGGGGAACATGGCGGCCATCAAGCCCCCAACATACTTTTTTAGATTTAATAAAAACGTAAAATAAAGTTTACAATCTAGAAAGTTTATTTTTTAACAATTACTAGTACAAATATTATGATTGGCGAAGAGCTGTTACGATAGAATCGGGCAACTGGCCCTCAATTGTGTCGTCATCTACATCAAAGTCAACATACTCGTTATCATCCCCGCTAAACTCTGTTGCAGGGCATTCCTTTGCACTCCCATGGTCTTCATGGACATGCGCACAGATGGCAGCTTCAAGGTTACCTTGGACTTGATCATCGTGATCATCGGAATCCGTAGAGATACGAATAAGTTTACCACTTAGATCATCGGCAATACGGTCGGGCTTTGTAATTACTGCTGAGGATAGGTCTTCTTCCTGCAGGGGCTCGCAGCGAGCTGTCAATAAGTTTTCATCCGCAAATTCATCAAGTGCGTTTTGTAGAAGGTACTGTGCACGGCGATTTCGCTCTTCTTTGTTCATGTACCGCCGAGTTAGCTCGTTGGTTTTGATCACAGGTGCCTTAGAAGAAGGGGTAGACGGTGCAATCGCATTGTCGCTTGTGTCACAGTCAGCGAGAGAATAAAACTCATTAGACACTAGCTCCAAGAGCCTCTTAGAGTAGATCACGTTATATCGTCTCTCGACCTGTTCTCCCAAGGACGTCGTGATATTGTATGTGGGCATATCATGGCCCATCAGAAGCTTGACCTTCTTGTTGAGCGTGCCTTCCATTAGCCCATCAATCTTGTCCATAAATGTATCGGGATTGTTCTTGTCAGCATCTACAGAAGTGAAAAGGTCCGATAGCATGTTGGCCTCCTTTGTACCTGCAAATGGAACTGTGAAACTGAACACGATAGCATACTGGGTGGCTACAGAAAGCTTTAGGTCTGCGATAGAAGAGTAGTGGGGTAGCTCAGTCTGTGGTATATGTCGCGGCCGCATCTCCTGAAGAAATCCATTTGAAATGAGAGGGATAATCGATATATCGGAGAGGTTCTTTGGAGTAGGGATAGAAAGCAGCTCTGCAGACAACCGAACATCGTCCAGTTGCACAGAATATTCTGGCTTCTTATTAATGGGGGTTTCCAATTCAGTGAGCAACGCGGTCGCCGATTGACTCTCATAATCCAGTGCTCCAGCGTCCCAATAGCATGCATGTACCTCTATGGTGGCGCAGAATGTCTGGAGTTCTTGTTGTTCTCTATGCGACAACAACTTGCATACGTGCGCCGTTGACAACAGCTTCCGGACGAACGCTGATGCGTACAAGTGTATCCGTGCGCACCCCGTGGATTTAACAGCAACGGTATAGATGCTTAAAAGCTTTGTGAGCTTAACCTCAGAAATTGCTACATTCGTATCCGGCCATTTAGTAAACCACTCACTGAGAAGTAACGAGTACTTTCCAACTAGTTCTTTGGCATAAGCTAAGAAGAACAAGGGAAACGTGATGTGCTCATGCAGCTCAGTGAATATGGAGAAAGATGTATCCAGTGCTGCAAGGTCCTTGCAGGACGGGAAGATGATTAGCTCAAACAGAGTAAGGAGTGCGCAAACGCGTGCAAATGAGCAGATGTTTGTGCTGTTAAGAAAAGCGTTACGTTTTAGATACTTCCATGAAAGCATCACTAGTTTCAAAAGCTGACAATTAACTGCGCGCGACTTTGTTGCATCATCAGACAAGTTACATAATAAAACTAATTCCAAGATATTCGCGATAAATGCGATAGATAAATAAAAATCTGAACTCGTCACTGCACTTGACTTCGACTGATTAGTGGTGAGAAGAAATAATGTGTCGTTGTAGTACTTAAGACAACGAGTTGAAATTAGAAGCGATGCCGCGTCTCTTGCAGCTTCCCTATAGAAATGAGTAGATGGTATAAGGTGAGTGGACAAATGTACTGCTACCTTAGTCGTGAGGCGGTACAGAATCTCCACGTAGTGCTTTGTATATGTGTATGCTTCGACAGTGTTAGAGTCTAGCTCATAAAGCCTGTCCAACAAGGCCTCAACAAGATGCAGCATTTTCCCAATGAGTCCATAGCACTCTGGAAACATCTGGTACTTGCTGTGTCGGAGAAGCTGTTGCATGGAAAGATATAAAAGCTCAGTCAGGAGGTAGAACTTGGACGCGCCAAAGCCAATGGTCTGAAACCAGCTGAGCACCTTTTGCACCGATAACTGGACGGACTTATGTGGTTCGAACACTTCTCGAGCAGACGGTAGATCCAGAAGGATGAACGTTGGAAAGCATGGCTCAAGGGATTTGACAACAAGGGGCTCTGCTGACGCGAGGCTATCCGACCAATATAGCTGGGAATAGTTAATAAATTGGCACAGGAGAACCTCGTTCAAAGAGTTGAAGCGAGAAAAGCGTATGAATTCCAGCATATAAGCTCCAAAAAGTAGATCGGAGTAGGTAGTGCATTGAAAGAGTGAATTGCTGTAATATCGAACAAAGTACCAAATATTTTCTGCAAACGAATATAGCTCAGTAGACGTTAGCTTTTCTAGCCCCAAATCAGAGATACTTAACGAGCAATGATAAACACGCTCCTCCTTATTCCTGTGAGCGATCCGATTTCCCAGTATGATGCCAGATGCAAAAAGTGTATTGAGAAAGATAGTAATGGGCTTAAGGAATGGTAGATCAGGCGAGGATTCCAAGTAATAATATTGTATGAGGGAAAGATATGCATTGTAAGGCTCTTGCTCAGTGGATGTACTAGAGCTTGTAGAGCAATTCACCGTGGCAGCTTCTGGGGCCAGCTGGGGCGGCATCTTCCCGCGGCCATACTCTTGTTGACATGGTGAGGTAGCAGAGCTTGATAAAGGAGAGCTATAAACCTTGGTGTTGAGCTTAGTACCACATCTAGCTGTGGGAGTTGTAACCATCATTTTGGATGCATCATGTGTGTGTGGGTTGTCGCCAAAAGGACGATTCGCGGCCACGGAGACACAAAATCCGAACCCAGCAAAGAAATTGCCCAACACATGTAGGATTGCATTGGAAAGATTGGGATACTTAAAGATGTCTGTGGATAATGGCTTATACACAAGCATCTTAGACTCAACGAGCTCCGACAGCTTGAAATCGATCAGAAGTGGTGCCAGAACAGCAATGTCATGTACATCATGTGGCTCCTTTACTAGTGATGCCTTTGCATACACTGCCTGCTCCCTGGCCGGGACTCCACGAATAGGAATTTCATCCAAGTTACACAGGACTAGCCCTATACACGCTGAACACTTATAGAAATATGAGTTAAGGGAGGACACCAGCTCACTACAGGGCACAATTCTCTGATGCTGAGAACACAGAAGGATGGTACCAAAGGTGTTCCCAAGAAGAATATTTAGCTTTATAGTCAAATCTAGCTGGTTTTGGAGCGGAGAAAGAGAATCGTTCCGGAAGGCTAACAGAGTCTCAATTTCCTTAGACGAAAGGTGGTACTTTTCCTTCAGTGACGCTAGTGCTTCTGTCTGTTGTGCTTGACTTGGATTGTCCTTATTTTCTCCCAACAATTTATTATATTTTCTATTAATTGTGTGAAAATAAATGTATGTATGTCTTATTTGACGAACTAGTGTTATCGTTACCTCGAACAGATAAGAGAGAGACTTAATATAGCGCTCAAGGTCCCAGTAGGTCTTATTATTTCCAGGACTGTGACCATCGGGTTGCTGTGATAAGGGAAAAAATGAATGGAAATCTATAGCCAACCGTGCGGTGCCAAGCACATTTAGAATATCAATAATTAACGTATGCAAGAACTGCCCCTCTTCGGAATCAGTGATTTGCAGAAGAACTGCTGGATCGAATAGTCCAAACAAGTCAACGGTAAACCTGAAGAGTGACGTCGGCGAAAGACACAATAATCTATCCCGAACAGTTTGCAGTACCATAAGAGCCTGACCAGTTAAGGCATGGTGCTCTGTTGAGAAAGAGGTTAGCTGGAGGACAAAGGGTGTAACGAGTAACTTAAGTATCTCAGGTTGCAGAGACAACATGCTGGATCGCAGGACAAGGTCTAACAGATATGTAACAGCAGAGGTCTTCTCAGCTGTGTCAAAGATTGTCCGAGAACGAGAGAGACCAATAAGCTGCTTAGTGCTTGCGCAGAGCATAGAGAGGGCCGTAGACGAGTTTGGCGAGTAGGAACTAATAAGCTCCAAGAGCTGAGCAGAAGTAAGATCTTCCGCAGTATCGAGAATAAGAAGAAAGAGCAGGTCGTATATGCAAGGTAAGAAGCACGTCTCCAGAGAGACAAGGGGGCGCGCTTGAATAGGTACTGAATGAAGCGTTTCCGCAAGGTGAGTATAATGCTCAGTGAAGAGTTTCGCGCGCGTCTCTGATACCCTACTAGTGCCAATAGTCTGTGAATACCAGCTAAGAAGAGTCAAGAAGAACCACCGCAGAGTAGCATAGAAACGGACTGCTGCGTCATATGCCTTCTCGTGCTTATTTAAGCCAACGACTGCTATCAATCTAGTCACGGACAGAGATGCCAGGACACGAACCGTGGTGATATCTAGCCGCTGCTTATCTTGCCCTTGCCCTTGCTGCTGCTGTGTCAAGAGAGTGCTCCCGATGCTCTCCGCTAAACGCTGAAAGTACGAGTCCGCCATTAGGTACTTTCTCCCGTGATACGCTGCATATCCAGCAGAATAAAGAGTGAACAGCAAGGGGTGTTCGAACCTGTGTGATGCTCTTGCGGACTCTGCTCCATAATAAAACAACAGTGAGACAACCTCAGGTAGAAACTTTCCTAGAGGCGAAAGGTTGTGTAGATCGAAGCTTATTCCATAGACCAGAACATAGTTACTTTCTTCTATGTCACCGGGGTAATCTTCAGGGTAAGCTAAGTCTATCTGCAGTACGCTCTCAGATCCAGGGACAACTTCATTGTATGGAATCACGTGATCAACTAAGTACTCTCCTGGAAGAACGGAGAAGTAGGGTAAGGCACGTTTGGTGAAGTTACAATCGAACGTGAGACTTTTGATCATGACTCCTTGCATGCCAACGACTATCGCATGGATAAGTGTCGTCTGGGCTAACGGTATTCGCGTAGACTCGCCGACGTGTCGCACTGAGGCTACGACCATGAGCCTGCGCATAACACTCGCGCCATTCATTTACTGACTTTGCATAATGTAAAGGCGCTCATTGCCATATTTTAGTGAATTTAAGTATATGTCTTCATTAAACACGTTAAAGAATGGAACACTAATACTTTTTGGGTGTAGATATGCTTAAATTTAATGGCCTCGTACACCGTCTCGAATTATGTCAAGCTCGACGCACACAAGCGCCAGAAGTGCATCAAGGACTTCGCAACTGAGAAGGTGGACAGCTTTCTAGAGACGTTCATCCCAGTTTACCTCCCCAACCTTTTCTCCACTGGCCTTCTCCGTGACCACATTGTAGAGGTAATTAAGTACAACGTTGTAGGAGGGAAGATGACTCGAGGGACTCTGGCGGCGGACATATTCCTTCAGACTGTACGGTTCTTGTTTTCAGGCCTCTTAGAAGACTCAAACTTTTCGGAGGAGCTTTTCAACTTGGCAATCGATATCTGCCTTGTTCAAGAAATTCTCCAGGGTGCTTTCCTGATGATTGACGACGTGATCGACCACAGCACAATTCGTCGCGGCAAGCCGTCGTGGCGCGCGGTAGTTGGCGATGAGCAGGCTGTGAACGACGGCCTGATACTCTGGCAGATAGCAGACTCTCTAGTTCTTTATCTAGAGGACAAGTGTGGGAAGACCCTTAAGATCTTTGAGGTGTACCACCAAGCAAAGGCAAACACGACCCTTGGACAGCACCTAGACACCTTCACCAAGACCTATTCTCAAAGGCATACGATGGGTCATCTTAACGATACATACATTTTAAAGACAGCCTATTATACCTTCTATTTGCCACTGATAATGGGATATAGATCTGGCGTTCTCTTTGGTAACATGGCCATTGGGACTACTGCAGCTTCTGAAAAGGGATACACCATGCAAAAGGTCGACTCCATACTCAACTTACAGCAGCGTCTGGATACAGACATAGAGCAACAGATCCACAAGATAAGTATGGACCTGGGAAGGCTCTATCAGATGCAGGATGACTTCTTGGATTTCTACGCCCCAGAGATCCTTCACAAGGAGTCATCTGACTACCTGGAGAACAAGGCCACTTGGCCACTCGTGCGTGCCCTTGAACTATCAGCGTCAGAGGAGGCCCGTGGCAAGGGTGTCTCGCCGCAGACCATACTGACCATCTATGGTAAGCGAGCGTCAGAGAAGGAGAGCATACAAAAGCTGTTTGATGCACTGGACTTGAAGAGTATCTATATCCATGAAGCAAGTGCCCTACTGAAGCAGTGCAAGGAGGAGGCCGCCAGCATGCCTCCATATATTTCAGACAGTATTGAAGACGTCTTCGACATGCTGAGTTCTCGCATCAACGTCGAGATCATTCGCCCCTCCAAGTGAGAGAAACCTTTATTGCTTACCAATCAGTAAATGTGTGCGTTGTCAATTACACGCTGGCTCTGTGACCTTGTGCACAGTGAGCTCCCCAGCAGAGTCTTCTTCTGCCAAAAGCGTAGTAGTAAGCGCCCCGATGATGTCAGAGCCAGGATGCTGTACTGCTCCAGAAAAGTGCACAAGTGCAAATGGTATATCTGCTGATCTCAGAGTTGCAAGGCTTGAGTGGAGCATAGGTGAAGATGCAGTCAGAAAGAGAGGCAGTGCGTCGGTAGCGGCTGGCTGCCAGCCGGGAATGTAGAATGGAGATAACGAGAGACGATGCTTGGCGCTGGTGCACCTTTGCGAATATGAACGCAGTGCTGTCTGCAATGTGAACTTATTCTTCCTTGCTTTTGCTAGAAAGAGCCCACGAAGAAGGCAGTATGTGCATACAGTTAGCCCACCGTGGTACAAGACTATCGACGCAGGAATATGGTTATAATCTGCTCCTTTAGCAACCGACGATGCAATCCATGCAGCGCATATAAGCAACCGCCAAGCATCACAATACACTTTCATATAGCTGATAGCCCCTCCTTCAATCGCACCTAGTGCAAGCAGAGATTCACTAACCTCCGTACTGCAAAACAACCTCATTCGCGCAACAGCATTCTCTGACTCACAAAGGGAAGATGGACTGCAGCATAACAATTCCTGCAGCTGCGGATGAAGACCATGTTGTTCATAGCATAGATATGTATCTATAACTACTTTGTCAACCGAAGCCAGCACCTGGGAGACACCAGAAATGACGGTTGTTGTAGTTTGGCGCACAATCCTAGCCTTCGGCCACACGCTCTTACACCTGTATAAGTTGGCAACTCTAACACAAAGTGAAGCAACTGTATCGGCTAGTTGAAGATACAAAAGATACCTGTTAGCAGTGTAAGGCGTGCTTGATGTCTGCGTAGAAGACCCTTGCTTCTTTATGGATGGCTCTAGCTTCAGATTGATGTTTTCCAAAACCTGTGGTTGTTTGGGAAGTTTGGTGGGTAAAAGGACAGTTATGTGGGACAGTTGGAGAAATAATTCCAACACAAATTGCCCTATTTGTATCTGATAAAGATGAGCAAAGAACGACCTTGTTGAAATGCAACTATTGGCCGTACCATCCATTGCTGCCAAGTCATTGGTGTGTGCACCAGTCAGTGAGCGAGAGATGGACTCAGTGTTGTAGGCCATAAAGAGTACATTGATAAGCAGATCTGTGAAGGTGTCTGAGACAGTATCATTAGAAAGATGTGCACCAGAAGCTACTACTGCTTCTATTGATGAGATAAACGTCTGTGGAAAATTAATCAACCAAAGGCGAGTTTGTGCACTATTCCCAGTTTCACAATATTGTTCTAAATCCAAACGGACCAATGAGGCAAAGAAGGACGAAGGGTCTATGACTGCTTTTATAAACGGAGAGTGAGCCCAAGCAGTGCTAAAGCAGTGTACTAAATTGGTCATTGTTATAGAGCTGCAGTGCAATCTCTCCAGAAAAGAGTCGCTGATATCCAGGAACAGTGCAGGCATGCTAATAACATACGCCCTCATGGTAAATAAGATGCGCTGTGAAGCAATAACTGATGTGAACTGAATAGTGGAGATGCCTACTAAGTGTTGCAAAAGAAGAGATTTGAGATTCCTTTCAAGTGCCTCTGCGCCACTGGAATCGCCATTGGAAATAGTACCAGTTGATTGATCTGCTTTGAGAAGAGATAGTTCATATGTCGACACGTAAATCAAGAGCGAGACATAGAGGGTCATGCAGTGGATGGAGGCCACATACTTGTCTAGTGCTCGCCATAAGCGCTGCTTGAGGCTGGAGATAGTCGAACGGCTCCCTGACGGGCCACGTGTTTGTAACTCATAAAGCATGCTAAGAAGTACGCTCTCCTGATTCATGAGATACGTCCCTAGACAACCAGGTGCAGTTGAAAGTATAAGTGGAAGAGCAGTCTGGTAAGTGGGACAAAGGGAAAATGCCAAAAGATAACCAAGAAGGATATGGATGGGTGGAAACGCCTCTGGAACAATAATATAAAGGAGCATAAAAACCACGTGTAGAGGCGAGGCAACTCCGCGTTTGTAAAATTCTATAACGGATTTGGTTGTTCCTAAAAAGGATGCTCCAACCTTGTTATAAAAGTTCAGATCTGCTCGTGGTAGAACGGGATAAAGAGTCTGCAGCACTGAAACGGTGCTCATAGCAACAAGTCCGTCATCATGAAAGTCACACGAGTATGTATCAAGTAAGAGAATTGCAGAAATAGACGGATTGGCATATAGAGTCCATGTACTAGAAAGATATTTCACAAACGTATCAAATGTAATAGCATCATTGGTTGCTCCCGACGTATGGTTATTTAATTGCATCTTTGAGATTGTTGAAATGTGCGACAGATACTGCAAGGACAGGGTAAATGAGAAAATAAGGAATACGGGTATTTCTGAAGACAAAGATTTTAGTGACATCGTTCTAACAGTCATACTAGTGACATCTAAGAGATAGTCCATCCACTTTGAGCACCAGCGTGAAGATTTCTCTTTCTCGCTGCCGGTGATGTCACCAGAAAGCATGAAGTCTAATAGATCTGCGGCCGCCTTTCCTCGGGAAATTAAAATATCATTATCACACACTACTAGTGGTCTAGTACAGAACAGATTGGCGTTGTTGAATAATAGAAGATTCCACAGCTTGATACTATTTATCCTGCCAAGCCGTGGAGATATTTGTAAATAGTATAGATCACCGATTAGCTGCCGGTGGTGTATGCTGTGAAAGCTGCTAAGAAACGTAGGTGAGTTCAGATTGATGAGAGCAGAGGGAACAGCATCTGATTCAGCTGCAAATAACCTCCCTAGAAATGTAGTCAAAACTTCAATATTTAGAGCAGGTAGGTTAATGCTAGATGAGTCATCGCATGGCTCTAAATGTAGCCGTCCGGCAACTATTTGAAAACATGCTGCCAAGAGGATTGCCTGATGCCAAATGCTCTGGGAGGCCAAGGCTGAGAAATGCTTGGCAAGTACCTCTGTGGTGTCTCCCATTAGTGGTGGAGGTATTGAGACAGCAAAAAGCGCATCAGACTTTGTATTTGATGTATGAGGTCTAGAGTTGAAGTCTTTCATCAATAGAGAAAGCTCAACAAAAGGTGCTGAAAGATGAGTCATGGAAGCAGTGTAGTCTGGCATACAAGGAAATGCAGAAACAGCGAGTAAGCCCGTGGATTGGTCGTGACTCTCATCAAGACTTGATGTCTCAGAACAAAGTAAGGCTAGAGCACTTCTTAAAAGCTCGCCACAACAGGTGGTAGAGATGCGGGATCCTTCCTCAATGACACTGGTGAGGGGCATCAGTGACAAGGTAGAGGTAAGCTCAGAATTGAGGCTTTCTAGAATCAGCTCACTTATCATTGTCCGCATGGAAAGAGATAGAGCGGTAGGCTCCAATAAAAGATTGCACAGGCTCAGGGCGAAGTGCATTGGTGAAATAAACTGATAAGGCAGGTATGTTGCCAAGAAGAGATCAGAGTAAATGATCGCTTTCAAACATGTCGGTGGTGCTGCAGCATATAGCAATAGCGTAAGTGAGAACACAGAGCGTAACAATGCAACCTCAACCAGTTTTTCCTTTGTGTCAATTACTGATAGGTTTGGTGAAAGGAGTTCGCCAATCTCTACAAGAAACTGTGCAAAAAGCGCTGTGTCTACTGAGACCCTAGGGATAAACAACAGTGTGCAAGTTTCAATCAACGAAAGGCTGCTGTGTGCCCTAAGCAGTTGGATCATCAATTCATAGAGCAGGAAAGGGGCTTGATCATCAGCTTGCTCCCACAAAAGGGTGATTAGCCCTAACCGTGCCTCTACAAAAAGGTCTCTGAACGCTGCTGAGCAACCCTTTGCATGTACATCCAGCGCACGAAAAAAGGCCTGCCCAGAGAGGCATTGGAGAAGAATGGAAAGGCTTTCAAAGCTTATTTGCAGAGGTTCGCTACCGATTTTGTGCTGTAGAATAGTCATCATGGCGGAGCTGCAAGACATGTAGGGCTTCATCCGTGCAGCGGTGTCTGGAAGGAACACCTGCAGGAGATACCAGACAACCTGCCAAGGGTATACATCTGTGCTCTCCAGCTCATGCAGGCAATCGCAGACAGTCCTGTCAAACACAGAGCACGGGGGCCACTGGAGCCGCTCGTCATCCATGCGCATTGGTTAGTTTACAAGACCTCTTGAACTTCTCAAAGCCCAGAGTTTAGAGTTCATCTTTTTCTGCATAGTCGTACTCAGGGCCGCTGCTGCCGGCGCTGGCAGATCGGCCGAAGTTTTCGCCGAGGATGGGCTGGACAACTTTTTCGAACTTGCTCTTCTCCTCCTCGATCTCCTCCTTGCTGGCATCAGTGTTATCACGGAGCCAGTCCTGAGCCTCTTTAACGGCCTCCTTGACCTTCTCAAGGTCGTCTGAGGAGATCTTGTCAACGATGTTGCCCTCCTTATCCGCGGTTGTCTGAGTCGTTGTTATCGACACGATCATCTCAAAGGCATTCCGAGCCTCAGCACGCTCTCTGTTTATCTTATCCTCCTCCGCGAACTCCTCTGCCTCCTTGACAAGACGATTGATCTCGTCTTCAGACAACCGGCCACGGTCGTTCTTGATAGTGATGGACTCTTCCTTCCCCGACGACTTCTCCACTGCAGAAACTGTGAGGATGCCGTTAGAGTCTATCTCGAAGGTGACCTCAATCTGTGGAGTGCCCCGCGGAGCTGGAGGGATGTCATTGAGGTCGAAGTTTCCCAGAAGGTTGTTGTCCTTGACCATGGACCTCTCTCCCTCATAGACCTGGATCTTGACCATCGTCTGCTGGTCCTGAACGGTCGAGAAGATCTTGGACTTCTTAACCGGTATGTAAGAGTTCCGCTCAATAAGCGGCGTCATAATGCCTCCCTGGGTCTCAATGCCCAGCGTGAGCGGGGTGACGTCTATCAGGAGGACATCGTGATCCTTCGCACCACTGAGAATGGAGGCCTGTACAGCAGCGCCCCAGGCAACGGCCTCGTCGGCATTGATGTCCTTGTTGAGGGCTTTCCCATTGAAATAGTCCTGCAGGAGCTGACGAATCTTCGGTATACGGGTAGACCCGCCGACCAGGACAACCTCGTCAATATCAGTCGTCTTGAGCTTAGCATCCCGGAGGACCTGCTCCACAGGCTTAATGGACTTCTTGAAAAGATCTATATTGAGTTCCTCAAACTTGGCGCGCGTCAGCGACTCAGAGAAATCGATCCCATCGATGAGGGAGTCAACAACAATCTGCACAGATGAGGCAGTAGAGAGCTGGCGCTTCCCTGCCTCGATCTCTCGCCGAAGCCGAGATATGGCCTTCTTCACGGCCATATCCTTTGCCTTATCTCCTGTGTTGGTGATAGAAAGATCGATGTTATTCTTCTTTTTGAAAATTGCAATGAAGTGATCGAGGAGGCGGCGGTCGAAGTCCTCACCACCAAGATGGGTGTTTCCGGCGGTGGCCAGAACCTCAAAAACGCCAGAGTCGACAGAGAGGATGGACACATCATGCGTACCACCGCCGCAGTCGAAGACGAGGATATTCTTCGCCTTGCCGGACGTCTCCTGTGTCTTCTTATCGAGCCCATAGGCAATGGAGGACGAGGTGGGCTCATTGATGATGCGGACAACGTCTAACCCAGCAATGCGACCGGCGTCCTTGGTGGCAGAGCGCTGTGAGTCGGAGAAGTAGGCGGGAACAGTGACGACTGCCTTTGTGATCTTCTCGCCAAGGTAGTCCTCTGCGATGGTCTTCATCTTCGTGAGAACCATCGCGGAAATCTCCTCTGGGGACATGATTTTGTTCTGCAGCTCCTTTGGCAAGTTAGTCCCCGAAAGCTGAACGAAGGGTCGCCCATCCTTATTGATCACTTTGTACGGGAGGAGTTTCATGTCCTTCTGCACCTCAGGATCGTCAAACTTGCGCCCGATAAGGCGCTTGACATCGAAGATCGTATTCTCAGGACTTATTGGTGCGTAGTTCTTTGCTGCATCGCCCACCAAGCGCTCCCCGTCCGCCGTGAAGGCGACGTAGGAGGGCGTAACACGTGCCCCGAGCTCGTTGGGGATGATCTCCACTTGGCCGGCGCGGGAGACGGCCACGCACGAGTAGGTCGTGCCGAGGTCTATCCCAATGATGGTCTCCGCCAGAGCCAGGGCGGCAAAGACAAGAGCGAGCATTTTTATTTCCGCGTCCTTTTTTTGATTAACGTGACTAGACGTCATTAAAATTTGCTTGTAGACATACGCCACTAGAAAGCAAACAGACGTTTACTTCTTTTGACTGTGCAGGAGAAGAAACTCTCCCAGGAATTGGACAGGATTTTCGGGCCTCTCCTGCACTAGAGCGGCGAGGCCCTGCATTACGATAGGGACGACCGTCTCATCCAAATACGCCCGCGTGGGCATCGCTTCGAGAGATATCCGGTCGTGAACTGCTGCAGAAGAGGGATTAGATGGCGGCTGCTCCATTTCCGTATCTGAATTTTTATTTTCGATTGCTCTGGCTGCCTAGCATTCACAGCCAGGTAGATCTAACTCAGCACATTGTCTGTGCTATCAGTGGTGCGAAAGAGAAGCATCTCGAAGCATAGAGGGAAGTCTTTCACCCTCCTGCGTGATCACTCAAACTGACAAACCAACGGCTAAACAAAGATAAACTTATTTAACCGTAACAAAAGCTTGTCAGAGTCAGTGTAAATGAAGCCTTTATTGGCATATATGCTAGTCTTCCGCTTTTCCGTCTGAAGCGGTATCTTCGTGCAGACATACTGGATTCTGTACGGTTCTCCTGGAACGAAGTGGTAAATTACTGAGTTATAGACGTCAAATTCTAAAGCAAACAGCTGGTGCTTATAAACAAAGAAGTGCATAAGTCCAACGTTGCGAAGGATCACGTTCCAACTAGGCACACTGACCTTAGTAGACTTGAGAGCAGAATACACAGCGACGGAGTACTTTGGCGCTAAGGGCTCTTTGACGAGGGCATAAATGGTACCATCACAGAGGGCTGCCCCCCTTATCTTGCTGTAGTTGCATATTTCTGTTTCAGTGTATGATTGAAAAGTAAGACATGGAGTGGTCATGCATGGCTCTAACAGCATAGTGGGAGTGGTAGTAGAGATGTAGACAAACTCACCTTGGACAACACAGCGATGGGTCATATTGTGCTTCCTGTGGAACTTTTCATAGAGCAGCACCAGACGGCTTTCTTCAGTGAGCAAGAAGAAAGATCTGTAACGGATTGGAGAGGCCTTTGTCAAGTCAAGCTGCAGGGCTCCCCTGAGACAAGTTATAAAGTTGAGCTTTGTATCAAGAACGAAGAGAACATCGCTACTACCATCGTAAATAAGCACATACTCTCCTAGTGCAGCGATACAAACGTCTGTGCGACACACCCCAGGAAGGTACTTTTCACCGATTGGCAGCCAGTCGGAGACTAGCTGTCGTTCAAGTTTCACAAAAATCCTTTTATTGTGCTCTAGAATTGTGGCGCGATATTGCTTGCGCGCCAAACATAATATTAGACTCATTTTTTGGCTTTTGCTTCAATTTTTGCAAATCACCTGTCTAGCCTGGAGACATGCGTGTAGCGCTTTCGCATTCAGTAGCTGAGCCTCCATCTGCAGGCCACCATGTCTACAAGACTTATTCTGGGTCCGGAAAAGCTACTTCCGACACGTTTCTCCATCAAGGCAATGCCTTCGACGTGGAATCGAACTCTGTTGATAACATAAAAGAGAGTCTTGCAAAAGCTACACATGATTTGTCAGCTATAGCTGCTCAGGTTTCAGACCTCTACGGCCAGAACAAGAGCTTCCTTCAGGTACTATCTGCTAACAACCTCCAGCTGGAAGCCATATCGAGCTCCATACGCGCTACAGAATCATTACTTTCCCGGCTCTGCACTACTATCTATGAACTGGTCCCAACCCAGCATACGTCCCATGGATTGAGCATAGTCCGCTCTACTAGTCTCCCAGTGAGTTCTAGATACAAGACACTAGGCTCCTTCAAGCCTGAGAGCCCTTCCTCGCCCAAATATAATCCTGTAGCGGGCGATTCAGTACAAGGTATGACATCCAAATCTAACGACACCGCTCCGCATACGGCAAACACCTCTCCTTTAGACGCTTCACGTTTGCTACATCCCCTAGCAACTGCCCTCTCTAATCAGAGACCAGGAAGTCCAGAACAGAACGAAACGGCTGCTGTATTGGCGGCTTCTGCAGCCGCGCAAGTGATGGCCGAGCAACGCGGCTCAGAAGACTTTGATGCCGTATTTTATAACAAAGTGCTCACAAAGCTGTTGAGTCCGCAGCCAAATATTCTCGGAGGCAACTGGACTACGAGTGTCTCACGACAAGCTGCAAGCATAGCTGATCTTACCACAGAGAGATGTACTCGTCAGTCCTCTAAAAAAGCACATAGTTTATCCGCGTCTCCGAGATCATCGGTTGCTACAGGATACGGCAACATAGCCTCATCAAATCCTGATCTGGGCTTCGCTATGTACCCAATTAATTCGTACAGTCACCCGAGTGCTTCCCCAGTAATATTAAGAGAACCGACTCCGACCTTGCAAGCAGCTGAGACAGAGTCCCCTATCGGCCCCGGTGCAACCTTAGTCTTCAAAGGCGGTAGTGACACTTTTCCCCAAAGAGATAGGTCAGTGAAAGCATGCCTGGATGAAAAGGAAGAGTATGTCAAAATACCTACACGATCAGATACTACTTTTCAAACAGCTCGCAATCGCATTTCTCCTACTACCATCTATACTTCAGACTTTCCTTCAGAACATGATAGAGTTGACTCTGAAACGGCGGATAACCCTAAACCTTGCGACTCTAGTTCCGAGACAGGAGATAGCCGTGCTGCTGACTCGGCTAGCACAGACCTCGACCTAAATCCACAAACTCCTGCTGCTGTTTCACAACCACGCTCACCCCACGTCTTCTCGGACGAACTACAGACACTCGTTGCAGTGGTTGAGCCACATGCGGTAGTCTTACACTCTGATTATAATCCGATATCCACTTCTACCGAAAAATCTAAAACACAAGAAGCAGACCGAATACCGATTACAACAAAACACAGTGCGACAAGAAGAGGAACGGGTTCTAGGCATACACCTAGACCGCGCTCGGCACCTAAGCCTAAGCCTAGGGCAAAGTCTCAGCCTAGTTCGCGCTCGGGTTCTAGAAGAAATAGCATTAACAGACAGAGCTCAGTAGTTGCAGCATCACCATCTGCACGGTCCTCTAGACCCTCTCCTTCTAGAATTCAGGTAAAAGCACAAGTGAAACCCGTTACTATCTCTGCATACCCAGACTCCAGATACAGTACCATGTCACCGGCGTCAACCTTTAACGTCAGCTCTGATATGCATCTGGGCAGTGCAGGGCCCAGTTCTATGGCATCCATGTCTCTATCAACAATTGGTACTCGCCCTGGAACCCGGCCCTTTTCTCGGTCCTCTTCTCTCCCTCTTAATAGTACAGCAAGTCGGACGAAAAGTGATAGGACAAAACTGAATATGATACTCGAAAAGTACAGTGGAGCTTCTGGCGTGCCTTCTGCTGCAGAAGAGCAGAGCATCAATCCGAGCCAGGACCCACTTGAATACAAGAAAGCCTTCACGAGCGTCATTCCGTTTATGCACTTCTTCCTCGATCATTCTAACTGTGATCCCTTTTCACCTCTACCAACTGATGATTTACTCACAAAGTACGCTTCAGTGCTATGCGAGAAGATGCAATATGTATCAGTAGATACTGTGGGTAAGCATCTTATTCTAACGGCAGAGTGGATGGTGGAGCAGTTCACATCCGAGCACTTCTTTGACTACATTACTACCCAGTCGTTTATAGCTGAGCACTTCACCCACTTTCCCAAAACCCTTTTGGAGGTCTCACTAGAGATATCCGCTGATAATAAGCGTCGTAAAGAAGAGTATGAAAAACGTATAAGTGAGTACGAAATTGAGCGTAAGAAGGGGTCTCCACGCTCAAAGCACCCAGAGAAACCTGAGGAACCAAAAAGATATACAACAGAGCAATTCCATACCGCATTCAAGCGATGCCTAAGGAACTTGTGGGGTCCTGAACTGGAGCGTGAGCTGATATACTACTTCCATGAAAAGTACATGGACATGACTGCCACAGAGGGTATTATTCTTCAGGAGGTGACAGACCTTGTTGAGAATCCTAAGAAATCCCTCTTCCCAGGCCACAACCTTTACAATTATGCGGAGCTATTCAATAAATACAAGAGGCACTCACCGTCCCTCACCCCAGATGAAGGAGACACCCAATGTGTGGCGTATAATCTATATTTTTACTACTGTCTACTATCTATTTATCTATTATTGAATGATTGCCTTCCAATCCGGTTCAATATATACTTCATGAATTACAAAACCTTCCAGGGGGTGTTTCGGTATATCAGTCCAGCAGATCTGGAAAGGCCGATGAACATGAGTAGTAATTTTAGACTATATTGGCCGGCATGGAAGGACGTCCGTCGCGGAACACTTCGTCTTCACTGCAAGTTTGTTGAAGTTAAGCGGGACGAGAGATCTTCTAGGCCCTTTTAGATTAAGTTAGCTCTTTGCGCACGCCTTTGTTCTTAGGCCTGCTGGCCTTAGTAGACTTTTCTGCCAAACCGCGGCTACTGTCTGCGATCATGGCACTGGTGGCCTTGTGATTACTATACAGAGTTGAGAAATCAACAACGCTTTCACTGGTTACTCTATCACCACCATGCGGAACAACATCCTTATAAGCTGTCTGTTCCTGCGGTTTCCACGGGCACTGTGTACTGTCAATGTCCTTCTTTGGCTTGTCTGATGCTGCGTTCTTTTCTAGTTCATCATACCGTTCATGGAGGTTAATGAGCTCGAGCATGACTTCATCAATCTCCGCCTGAAGTTTTGTAAGCTCCACATCTTTCTCCTGTAGCTTGTGACACAGGATGCTTTTTTCCTGTAATAGCATCGAGACATCCAAGGCGGCTATAGATGCACCACACCGGCATACATCTTGCGGTTTTGCTGAACTACTGGCAAGAAGAGATGAAGTACTCTTCTGAATCCTATCTAGACTTTGCTTTGTATTAGATATCTCTTTAAGAAGAGCCGCATTTTCGCCTTCCAGTGCCTGAACTCTGTCCTTATGACTGGCAAGTTCTCGCTTAAGCGCGTTATTTTCTGTCTGTAGTGAATTGTCAGCACTGACACTCAGCTGATTTGGCGCTGCTTCAAACAGGTTCTTCATTGCATGGACGATAGCTATGATGTCCGAGGTTGCTCCGCTACCACCACGCTCTGCAATATTTGGTTTAGAAGAGGGGAGCGCTTCATTCTCTTGTCGAATCGCCTTAAGTAGATCATTCAGCGCCCGCTCATGTGGACAAATAGGTCCACACTTATCGCTCTGAACCGATGCCTGTAAATCTATCGTGTCGTTTTTCAGCTCGAGGAGTTGTCTCTTGATGCTCTGAAGAGTTTGTCTGGAGGAGGCAGATGACTTAGGTTGAGTTGTGCGGAGCTCTCCCTTGGTAGCTTTCTTTGTACTGGCACTGCCAGGCCTAGCACATGATGACACAGGCCGGTTTTTCGTGACATTATCCACTTGGATAGTATCAAGTATTTTATCGATCAATTCCTGAGCTCGTATGAGCTGTAAGGCATACTGCATCTTCAGTTCTTTCAGTTCCTTCTTTAATTTCAAATTCTCAGCTTCCAAAAGGTCCTTAGTTCGCTTTGGCTCTGTATTCAAGTATTTATCTGCATCTAATTCGTTCACCAAAAGGTTCTTCGCTCTTGTCTGAAGCTTTACATTGCGGGCTTCGAGTAATGACGATTGCCTCCGTAAGCGAGGTACATGTTCACCGGAAAAGGTGTCGATAAAAAGCATAATGTCACGCTGACATCGGTCTATTCTGTCGCGTATCTCAACTAGAACAACATACTCCTGTTTCCGAAGAGAAATTCCTGCCTGGATGTAGCCTTGAACATCCTCTTGGACATTAGCAAGAAGTCTCAAAACCGTGTTTCTGAAGTTTTCAAAATCTGGGTCAATTCTGCAGCTACAGAAGCCTACAGATTTAGGCCGCAATACCTTATTGAAATCTTGCGGTGGACAGAATGCTTTAGAGGCCTCCGATAAAACATCCGCATTCTTGGCTAAAGATAAAATGCTGTTATCATAACCCTGGGCAAACAAACTGGCAGAGTCTGTGTCAGGCTCATCGTGAACAACACTGCCTGAAAGGACTGTTGGCTTATAGACACAGCTCATACTGACTAAATCAACAATCAGATGCTATACTCCTAGAATTTTATTGGTGTCGGTAGGCACTAGTTGACAACGGGAAATCATTCACAGATAGTTGGTACAACGTTGCTACTATTACATCTCTCCATCTCCCCTCCCTCCTGGAGGCCCAGAAGAGCGGCGAGGACGTCGTCGAAGGCGAGGCGTGTGTGCGTCGGGTCGGGGAGCTGGGAGCGGACCTGCACGGGCCCCTCGGCAAGGCCTGCCTCTCCGCTGCCCAGCCCCGAGACGGTGATCGTGTGCCCGGCCAGCGCCAGGCCCTCGACGGAGCCCAGCGTACGGTACCGCCGCTCTCCGTGTGCAGGGAGTAGTCGGGCCCGGGACGGAGCCCACAGCCCCCGCTCTAGCGTCACAGGGGGCACATCAGTGTGATTTCCGTAGTTAATCTGATGGTAGGCCTCCCAGAGCACCTTGGGTCCGTAGAGGTGAGAAGCCCACATCATCGGTGTCACCCTAGAAGGCCCGGGGGCTAGGGTGGGCTCTGCTCTGATGGCCTCGAGCGCCTCCGCTGACTGGATGGCCATGGCCCGTAAGGGATCGTTAGAAAAGCCCTCCAGCGCAAGGACGTCTTCTGCAAGCATTACCCTTCCGGATGCACGCCCTCGCCTCCGCCGCTTCCGTGTTGAAGCATGGGCATTTGCGACCAACGGCTCGTGCTCCAGTAGTCGGTCACGTAGCCGCTGCAGACCTGCCTGTACCCGTCGGAGGTGACGTGTGTGCTGGTAAGTGTTTTGCTGTGCAACAAAGTCAAAATCGCGGCTGCTCGTCAAGGATTGTACCCTATGGATGCACGACGGGATGTATTCTATTATCTCGGTTTGTCCTAAGTTAAGCTCATCTAGGCCGTCCCTTGGATTATTGCCCCGAGTGTGTCTGTGAGGAGCCGCCGTCCAGCCACGCTGAGTCCAGCCTTGCCCGGAATCCATCCCCGATGATGATAGCGCGCTGCTATGGTTATCTTCTGAATCAGAAGACAGCTCAGCGACAGATAGCTTTGGGTTGCGGCGCACCTGGTGCTTACTAGGGGGTATAGATATCAAGTCCATGGATTGGCTGAAGATGGTTGCGATCCGTTCCCTCAAGCGCGTTTGTAGAAAGCTACAGACAAAGGCCCGCACGGAGCAGTCTGGAAGAAGTGTGAGATAAATAAGGAGAGCGTGCTTCATTGAGAGCCTTCGAGGTAGATAGCCGTCCAAGCTTCTAATCTTGCCCTCTACATTACCATCCAGGGAAAGCTTAAGGAATTGAAGGTTATGTTCTGAATCGTTTTCTTTTGACAAGAGCGCCTCTTCTATGTGATCGGTTGATAGCAATGGTGTTACATTGGATCCCATGCTTTGTTTGGCCAATCCAATAAGGCGCAAGATAGAAGCTTCAGCTACGAGGTTGTCTCGTCTGTTGGGTGTTTCCTCGCCCAAAAACGATGCACACAAATCTCTATAGCTTATAGATAGCGTCGCCCCTGCAGACGCTTGCTTTGTGTCCATCTTGCCAGCTTGCATATCGGTGGTAGATTGCGCTTTAATAGAGCTTCCTCCGGACTTGCATAAGCATGCCTTGCATGTTGAATATGCACGGTCTACACAAAGATCTGTTTCATCCATAGCGACCATATTGCAGAAGTAACAAGGACACAGTGGCCTGATCGTCAACGACACAGTAGAAGGGGTTCCATGTACACAGCCCTCAGGCCAAGTACAGGACGCGACAAACGATACCGATCTCGCCTCCATGCCGTCAAGAAGGAGTCCGTTATGTTGTGCCTGAGAAGTGCGCAGGAGAATGTTATTGAAGCGCAAAATCATCTGACAAATAGCTTTGTAGTATGCGTGCGCAGATGGAATATCCAAGCAAACATGATCATGAGTTTGGAGAAGAGTCTCCTGAGTGCATGCTCGCATGTGTTCTAAAAGGGAATCATAAAAAAAGGTAGCTGTAGTGAAGTGCTGGTAGGTATAGAGTCGATCTAGCACGAGTGGCATAAGATAGCGAAGCTTTTCTTCCATGGAAGTAAGTGTGTAGAATGCATGGCTTCCACCCTTTAACTCTATAAGAGCCCTTATCGCATGAGGAAAGTTACTTTCGAAGCCAGTAAGTTTCATCCCTGGACCTGTAGTAAGAGGAGGGTGGCAAAACAAATCAGAAAATTCGTTCATACACCTCTGGGCAACAGCTTCTAAGATTCTTGGTGTAGTTGGCGCTGAAAATACTTGTTTGTTTGGGATGTCCTTTTCAAGGCCACCGACCTGGTCCTGCTCCGGCAACGATTCTAAATCCAAGAAACCAGGTTGAGCGTCTTTTAAATTATAGACTCCTTTTTCAGCGAGCTCATAGACTGATGTGGGTTTAGCTGTGTCTACATGGAAAGACTCCACAAAGCTAGATTCTTTTCCTTGAGCATCCTTGGCTGTGAAGACATCCACAGCAGAAAGAATATCATGCATGCTCTTTGAAGCACTGATCGCCTCATTGATTTGTCCTAAAAGCTCGTTTGCTGGTAGTTCTGGCAATGCTGTGACATTGCCTCCAAAGCTGTTGAAGACATCACAGACAATCCCCCTGATCCCGCAAGTTAGTGACTGGGCCAGGTATACGTCTTCTGGTGTAGCAAAGTGCTCCTGGGATAGAGACCCAAATACTTTGCACTCTATAAATTGTGAACAAAGTCGTAGAAAACTAGCAGACTTGGACCAGGGTCCCATGAAAAGCTTTTCGATAACATCGAGCCAGTGCTCGTATGCTGAGTGGACGTAAGTAAACATCGTCGAGGTAAGCAGTCGGTGGGAGGCATAGTTTCGAACGGTGTCGCAGGCTTCCATATCCTGAGTGTAATTCCTAGACCTCTTAGAGCCGTATTGCTCTGCTCCTTCCTTTGCATGTTCTTCCCGTTGGACCCTTGACAAAGCGCCATACGCCTTGTGCTCAGAGATGTCATCAGCTATGACATAAATATCGCTAGCATAACGAGCAAAGTATTCTGGTTCAGGGTAGATTGTGACCATCACTCTGCGAGTGCTAGGATCTGGCAAGACAAAGTCAAAATGGCAGAATCGCGTTTCTATTTGAGGACTCAAAAGCCTTACAAACTTTCCAGAGAGAAGAAATGCACTTGCCGATGTACTGTGCTCATAATAGTATGTCGTTCTATCTTGAGAAAGCTCCTCACTACTTAGAGACAAGGCATCCTCAATTGCGGAAAAAACTGAAGCGTTAAGCCACGTGTCGTCCATATGAGTTGCAAGACAAGAAACCGGCGCATGCACTCTTGACGATAAGGAGTGTGCAGCACTGTGCTCATGTATCCGCTCGAGCGCTTCCATTATCACATGACGCCGAATGAATGCTGCATCGGAAATGTCCTCCTCTGACGATTCCGAGTCCTCATTAGCCGCTTTTTCTTCCAGAAGCTCCAGAAAAAGAGGCGGTGAACATGATAACTCGGCAGTCAAAAATCCAGAAAGGCAGCGCCTGTAAGCATGGCCGTCTAAGCACGGGTCTGACGAAAAAATATTCACTCCCTTAGGCAAACAACCCCTAGGATCGTCAAAATTCAGCCGCACTCGATGACTAGAATCGAAGCCACTGCTGTACATGAACTGCTGTGCGTACTTAAGACCAAATAAAGGAACATAAATCAGACTGCTGGGTTCTGTTTCATTGCTTGGTAAAGTAGAGTCACCTAGCGCCATCCCGTGATTTGTAGGGCTATGCATCGGTGCTGCAGGCACTAAGGTATCATGGAAACCACTTTGTGGGCCCATGTGTTTCTTACCTGAGACTCAGCTTTTTGATTCTGCGCTCAGTTGTCTCCTCCCTATTTGAATGGAGCCATGACTCTCTAGAATACCAAATTAAGAACAGCATTGGCTTTAGCTCTGTCTAGGACTGGTTGAATTCTAACAGTCATGGTCTTTCTAACATTTAGAGCTCTATAGCCTTGAACAAATTCTCGCATGTCTATACAACGGCCTGAAGATGAAGGACCATATACTATCTTGTTCGAGTTAAGTAATTCCAATCACTAATCCTGATGATCTCTATTTGTTAGATGTTGAATATACGTAGGTATCAGCGGCTGTTTACTGTAGAGAACAAAAGCAGATACAAAAAGCTATCGAGCCACATGTTATTGTTGTTGCTACTTGTTATATCTATCTTGACAACTTCTGAAAGAGGAGAGCTCTGCCTTTTAGAATTACGGGAGGGGTATCAGTTGGACTCCACGACACTTGATCCAAATTTTGTACGAGATCTTGGGGTTTTGGACTTGAAGGTTTTTGATTGTTATCACGAAATAGCTGACGAGCTCCAGGCTCATCCCGAACTTGAAAAGAGTTTAAAAGAGCAATACTTACAACATCTTCGAAGCCAAGCTGCTGTCAATAAAGTTTATTGTGACGACTTTTTCGATACAACAACTCTCCTTTATCATATTAATGACCAAACAGAGGACGCAGAACCACTAGATCATCTTCACCTTATAAACATCTTTCGATCTGATAACCTTACGTTAATTCATCCTGATGTCACCGGCCGACGAATTAAGCTTTCGTTTCTGAACTCAGGGATTTCTAGGACATGCACCCAACTAACTCTCAACGAAGAATATTCCATAAACTGTGGCGGCTTTAATGCATCTCTCTTTACTGAGGATGCACCCGGGACAATTGCGTTAACCCTTGCTGCAGCCCACATGTCTGGAGGCACCAGTGGGGTAGCGAGAAACGCTCAGGTCATTGAGAGAACGGTGTTCAGACCTAAACTGGTTGATTCGGAGACATCTTCTGGGATGGTTGCTAGCTCAGAGTACGAAGCATCGTTTATTGATGTCTTGGAAGGATATAGCATAAAGGGCGCATCATCCCGCTTCATGAACCTATTAGTTTGTATGTATGAGATTCCATTCGCTGCTCATCTAAGGGCTAAGAACTCTCTCTTGGAGTCTTTGGTTCCTCTTCTCAGAGATGTAATGGCAGCATCAGATGTTAAAGACTCTTGCAACGGCGATTTCATCCCTATTTTTAGTACAGGTGTAGGCGAAGAAGACGTCAATCTGTTAAATTATTTGCAATCCTCCGTAGCTGTGTATGTACAAAGCGTCATCCAGCAATCTCATGGAGAGGCTAACACAGTACTCACTGTCACCTATCCTAGCTCCAGAATCGGAGCGAATATCCTATTCAGCACCCCGTCTGGAACAGAAGACGCGCCATTGGTCGCCTTTGGATTTGATGACGTTGTTGCCCCCGTCGCATATGGGCCTGGGTCCGCCCTATCTATTGGAGCAGCTGCACTTGCACTAGTGGCCGATGCGTTTGCAGCTCTAGGGTATCAGATGAGCTTTTCTGATTTGCTTAACGTGATCGCCGAGACAGGGAGACACACAGAGCTAGGGCTTAACTCATCATACCTCGGCGACGCAAACGACTGGAAAAGAAACGCTGCTGGATACCTCTTCTCGAATACATACGGGTTTGGACTGGTGGATGTGAATGCCTCCCTCTCTTATGTTAAGGCGCTTCGTCACATATATGGTTCAGAAAAAGACTACATGAGCCGTCAGGCTTGGGAAGAGCGATGTGGTAACTCTTGTAAGAAATTCCTGGGCTGCACAGGGGTGATTATTGATGATGGTGGGGAGTGTGCGGAAAAGTGTGGAGTCCATCGAATAGCAATCGATCGTTACATCCCTGATCGGATCACCCTCCAGAAGAAGCTATCTGTCGTGCAAAATAAGCGCATAGAGAAAATAGGACTCCGAGTTGTTGCTTCAAACGGGTCGAATCTAAAGGAGCTGAGTATACTGGTGCAATCGCCAGAGGGAACCAGAGGCACGATGATCCAGCCAGATTCTGTGACGACAGAAGATATTGAGGGTGTGTTTTTCTACTCCTACCTGTTCTACGGAGAGAACTCCGTTGGAGACTGGACTATTAACATCCTTGACGTAGGATACCATCAGTCCATCTTCATCGAGTACATTGACATAGTGATCTTTGGGATCGAGTCTCACCTTACTATTGCATGGCCTAGTAGCATTGCCTTTAGAACGAATCCAGAAGAAAACGCAGAGACCGTTATGGAGAGGATGATGCGTACGCTTGGCTACAAGCGGCGCACAGCTTCTTCTTCAAACACTCTGTACTACACTTGCACAGTGCATCCTGTCACAAAAAGGTATACCCTGTTTTATCTGAGTGGAACGCAGACTGCTTGGAGAAGCGCACCTCAAACTCCTGTTACGATTGCCACAGATATACAGTTCAGTTGTACAGGCCCGAAGGTTAACGGAAAAGAGTTTGGTTTGACGCTAACAGGGCTAGTCGAACAGGAAGCATTCAGCGGCCAAGGGAGGCTTCTCTTTGTCCCGTCTGGGATTACGGAGCTCGACCGTACCACACTTCGCGAAGATGTGTTTGTCTCAAACAGCATCAGGGTCACATATTCACCAGAAGAGGACGGGGGTTTGCCTGATGAAGAAGGCGACGTGTCCTCTGAGGCTCGATACAGACCCCGCTTGCTAGCTGCTACTGTGACAGGCCTATGTGTGCTAGCTGCCGCCTTTCTTGGGGGAGCATTCAAGGAGTAGAGAAACCCATATCTTATACTGAGAAAGGCCGAAGAGAGGGTCTCAGATGCAGGTGAAAGGACCCTTCCTTCAAAGATACTCTAGTAACACTGGCGTAGACAGAAGCCAAGAAGGCTGAATCTAATTTGGATAGTTATGTCATTGTAACACCACCCAATAGCTTGCTGAGAATTAGGACTTTGCCAGTGGGGTGTGTGGTTGTGCTTGAATTTGAGCCACCCGGAGTTGATGGTTAGACTACAAAGTAGTCGAGTTGAAGCTGTTACAACTCCAGCGTATGGGAAGAATGCAAGTGGGCGAGTTGATCACTCGTTAGCTGTTCTATCCTTGGCCAAACCACTTGGCCGTTCGCGTTCATCCTGTATATAAGATAGTGAATGCGTATGTAACCCTCAAGAAATGCTTTATGGGAGAAGCAGTGTAAGCGCATCGAGGAACAGAAGCACGGAGACTTCTCTTAGCTACATCAAGCAAATGCTAAAGAGGGCTGCTAGTCGGAGAGTGCTTTTGGATCTGCAGTAGGATGACGAGCAGGCATCTCTCTTGTGGAGCCGTGTGATGCCCGTTATTTGGCATGCAAAGAAGATACCATCAGGCTTAGCCAGAAACAGCCGAACAGCCTTTCATATGGTCTACCGGAGTCATTCAATACACAAAGACGAGGCACTGTCTCATTACCACAGCGGTCTTGACAGACCCAGGCGTGCAAATGCCAACAATGCAAGCGGGACAAGTACCATATCGATAGAGACTTGGATCTCAAAAGCAAACAGAGAGCACCGACCGCTACAGCGTGTGCTTATGCTGTCATGTATCTAACACCAGTAAGTATAATTAGTAACAGGTCACTTGTAGGGAGTCATTGAATGCGGCGTAGCAGTGAGCGAAGGATCTAGCGTCTGCTGCTTGTGATGCTCAAATGGTGTAAGTGGTGTTCCTAGTCAGTAGACCTCCTCCAGAAATGGCAGATACCGGAGAATGTGTGACTAGTCGTGGAGGCCACGAACCGTGTACAGAGGCATCAAAGTTAGAAGACAGGCGTCTATGAGCGACTCTTGTGAGTGTATCAATAAAGGAAAGGGCCAGGACACTGCTGGGTCTACCTGATGCGTCTAAGGCAGGAGAGATGGAAGAGCTGATAAGCACGTGGCTCACTACAATAAGTACGGCAGACATAGTGCAGTTCAAGAGGATGCAAACTACTGCTGCATATGCTAGGCTGTGGAGTTACGCCTATGAGCACCCTGTGAACCGAGAGCTTGCATCTCTTCCTACAGCGTAGCGGGTGGAAGAGGCACGAGCTTGAGCAAGGCCAGAATGCTAGGGCCACAGAACGAGCGGCAGCTGGGAGAGAAGCTTGTGGAGGGTGATGCATAGCTCTCTGCTAGCTAGGAAGCGGCGTGGCCCACTGACGGGACGACTGGACGTAACCACGTTAAGCTTGATAGGCACGTTGAGCGCAGCGTTTTATGGCCTCTGAATACCGCACTGGTGTATGTGCTAGACAAGGTTTACCGGTATACCTTGAAGACAGGACTACTTGGTTGGCTGAAGCTGGGAAAGCGACCAATCCATTCCCATCAGAGGTGAATGCTTCCCCATGGATACACCTGAGACCGCACCCTCCTGTGGCCGGACAGGAGAGCAGACAATCGTGGAAACGTGTGCGAACAACCCATGGGTGCTGTCCAGCCATCTCTCTAGAACACGGTTATTTGCTAGCAGGCGGTACAGCGGGGAAGGAGACCGCCGTGCGTTGCTCCTGCCCGGCTAGATACGTCCCTTGCTCGCGGCACGGGCCCTGAAGGGGGCGTTGTCATGTGGCCTCTCGCTGAGCTAAAAAACTAGGTATGTCTGTGATCGTGGCTATCTCCCCAGAGTAGCACCTCCGTGCACAGGCCCTATTGTGTTCGTCGCTTAGCCCGCTAGACAAGGGGCTCAAAGGCCTTTTGAAGCGTCTTCTAGCCTCTGACATATCGCAAGTACTATAAGCACGAACAGCACACGGAACGACGGTGGCACACATGGACAGTGTACTATGTGCGTAGAAGAGAGCAGCCGTCCTCACATGTGCACGATGACACTAGCCAGTACGCCTTAGCTATTTTGCCGGCGACCATTTCCCCTTGTGCTTGCCACGATGGGAGAGCAAATGCACCTGGCGGGTTGGCA